TGTCTCCAAGGTTTCCTCAGTCTCCTTAACCTTCTGCTGCAGCGACTGTTCGGACTGCTTGAGGGCATCCCGCTCCGCTTCGAGACTCGCGATGGTCTCCTTCAGCTGTTCCGCCTCCTGGGGGTCAGCTTGACCGTACTTGCTGAGGATCGACTCGATCCTCTTCTGCAAGCCCTCGCGAGCCTCCTGAAGCTGCCGGATTTCCTGCTCCTTGAAGCCCATGTCGAGGTCAAGTTCGGAGATGCGAGCCTCGAGAGGTTGGATCCTAGCCTCTAGCTCTGAAATCTTCTCTGACTTCTTCACAAGTTGAGCCTGAGCTCGCTGGTTCTCGTTGCGGAGGGTCACGTTGCTTTCGCGGATAAGGTTGAGCTCGTTGAGCTTGTCCATGAGCTCCTTGTGGGTAAGGGAGCTCCTGGAGCTATCGGCGTGGGCCCTGCGTTCCTGGTCAAGCTTGAGACGAGCCTCATCAAGTTGCGATTGAGAGTATTCGACTTGTTGTTGGAGTCGTTTGGCTTCCTGGAGCTTGATGTCGTACTGAACCTCGAGGATCTCCTTCTCGCGGCGCAAGTAGTTGTTCAACTCGCGGAGACCCTCGGTTGCGGTGTCCGCAACCAAAGGCGACGGGCCGTCGCCATCCGCGTGAGCCCGGTTCTGCTGCAACGAAGTGATTTGGGCCGTGACGCTATCGAGCTGCTTGTGCAACAGTTTGTTTTGTGCGTCCACATCCTCTCGCCTCGTCTTGATCTCCGAAATCTCCTGCTCGAGCTGTTGGCGGCGCTCTTCCCAGGACTGTTCGCTCTGGGCGAGAGAGAGTTTGGCGGATTCTGCCTCAGCCCTCCACCCAGCGGACTGGGTCCTGAGCTCATTATGCTCAGCGCGAATCTGTTGCAGAAGCTTGGCAGCTTCGGCATGCTTGACGAGCTCCTGCTCGTAATCTTGTTGAGCCTTGGTGGCGATCTCGGCTTGCGCACGCAGGTCTTGGTGGTGGAATCGCGCGGTTTCCTTGTAGCGCTCTTCCTCGTCCTTCAGACGAGTAATGTCGTTATTGAGCATCCTCTCCTTCTCCTCATACTTCCTAACGACGTCGCCCTGTGAATCCCGGAGCATGTTAAGCTCGTTGTTCGAATTGGAGAGCTCCATGGTGAGTGCCTCGACACGTTGTTGTAGCTCGTTAGCAGCGTTCGTCTTCGTCGCGAGTGACGCATCCATTTCCTCGCGGTACTGGTCGTGGGACTCGTTGAGGCTTGTGAGCTCTTCCTCCATGTCTCTGCTGAGCTGCCTGAACTGCTCAGCCTGCTGCTTCGCGTTATCAAGCTGAACATTGAGGAGGTCCAGGCTATTCTTGAGCTCCTGGACCTCGTTCTCCAATTCCTCAATACGGGCTTGGGATTCGTGTTCGGTCGCGGATTGTTCGTTGAGGGTCCCAGGTCTCGGAGTGGGCAGAGGACGGAGACGCTCGGCGCGCTCCTGGGCGTTCCGAAGCTCAATTTCCAACTCGCCGACGCGAGCCTGAAGATGGTCTCGGGTCGTCTTCACCTGAACATTCTCCTCCTTGATTTGCCCGATCATCGAGGTCAGCTCGTCAATCCGCTTTTGGAATTGCTGAGCATCGAACTCCTTTCGAAGATGGATCTTCTTGCCCTCCTCCATCTCCTCGGAGAGCTTGCGTTTCGTGGTGGCGAGTTCACCGTCCAAAGAGTCGATTTGGGCTTGCAGCCTGCGCCTCGTCTCCGACTCGGCCAGCTCACGCTCGTTGAAGAGTGACTGTTGAGTCGAGACCATGCCGTTGAGCTTCGCCTTCTCCTGCGCGAGGTTCTCATTGTCCTGGCTGAGACGATCTTGGATGGTCTTCCACAACTTCTTCTCGGCCCGAAGGTTCGCACTTTCACTCCGCAGACTCTCGGCTAGGCCGCGAGCCTCGACGAGGTCCTCGGCCACTTGCTGAGTGCGCATGTCCTGCTTCGCAGCTGACTCGGAGAGAGACTGGTTCCGTTTCTGCAGCTCCTGTTTCTCGTTCTGCAGGGCCTTGAAATTCGACTCTAGCATCTCGTAGCGCTCAGTCGAAAGGGTGAGCTTGCTCGAAAGGCGGGAGACTTCGCTCTGGAGGGACCCCTTCTCAGTCGACAGCTTCTCGATTTGATCTTTCATGGCGTTTCTGTCCGTGGACTGGTCGTTGCGGTAAGAGTCGAAATGCGCCTGCAATTCCCTAAAGGCCACGGCCAAGTTCGCTTCATCGGCTTGCGGGGGTTGTTCAATGCTAGCGAGGACCTCGCGCTGGCCACTTTCCCGGGGAAGGCCAAGAGCTTGCTGGATTTCGGATGACGACGCTTTCTGCTGCAGCATACGGCGGAACATGTCGCGCTCGGTCATATAACTCTTCATCCGCACCGTGATGGACTGCACCTCATCCTGGAGCGCCGAGATCGTACCCCGGAGTTCCTGAACCTCTTCATGATCCTGAGCTGCTTGCTGTTTGGCGGCCAAGGCCTCCTCGTTCTCCATCTTGGTGGCCAGTTCCCGGGTGAGCTTCAATAACGCCTCATTCTTCTCCTGCAACTCGAAGATGTCCCTGAAGGCAGTGAACCTCTCGGTAATGAAGCGGTGTGTGTCGGACATGTCGTCCAACGCATGCTCGGCGACCTCGCCGCGCTGAAGTCGCTCGAATTGGGCCGTCTCCTCGTCGGTGAGCTGGTCCAAGCCCTTCTCGCGGGCATGGATATTGAAGATGAGGACGTGGATCTGCGTGCTGAGGTCGCGGAGTTGTGTTTGCAGGATTTTGATCTCAGCCTGGGCGGCGGCGGCAGCGCCCTCGGCTTTGCGTGCGATCTTGACGGCAGCATCCCGCTGCTCGTAAGATTGCTCTGCAAGCTCCGACATGTGGGCCGATTCATGCCGAAGACGTTCGTTTTCAGCCACTGTTTCTTCGTACTCGGGCATTTTAGCCTCCCAGATACCGAGCGCGTCGTCGAGCTCCTCTTGGAGCTTTTGACTCCGACGCTGCTCCCCGGTGAGTTGGGCCTTCACCTTCAAGAGTTCTTCGAGGGTCTCGGTGACACGGTGCGACGCCTTGCCGCGCATCGACGCCGGGGTGCCGAATGGCGAGGACGGGCGAGCCAAGAAGGAGCCATTGGCGCGGGGAGTTTGCGGTGCTGAGCCCGGTACGCCATTAGAATCGACGACGGCCCTGAGACGGTCCGCTTCGGTCTGGAGCTCCTGCATCTGTTGCTCCGTCTGGGAGTGGTCCTCCTTCTCCTTCTCTAGCTCGCGGCGTACGCGCCGGATCTCTTCAGCGCCATCGTCCTTGACCTGTTCGAGCCGAAGTTCCACCTCCTTCAGACGATTGCGGTGCGTTTGCGACTGTTGGTCTTTCAACTCAACCAGACGCTTTGATGACTCCAGCTCCTGCCTGAAGCTCTCCTCAGCGCGGGCCGCAGATTCTTGCAGCTGTTGCACCTTGGTCAGGGCTTCTTCCGCCTTTAACTGAGCCTCCCCTAGCCGCTTGCGCAGTTGCTGCTCGGTTCGGGTCAGCGACTCGATGTTAGAGAGGGCATCTTCGTTTTGCCGTTGCAGTTCTGCAATCCGGGCACCCTTTTCTTTCCGAATCTTGAGGCTCTCGGCCGTTTTGGTTTTGAGCTCTGCATCAAACCAGTCGTTGTTCTTTTTCGAGAGCTCAAGCTCCTGCTTGAGAGACCCCTCGCGGTATTTGGCGGAATTTGCAGCCGTCTGGGCGGACTGCACGGACTGATTTAAGGTGGTAATCTCCTGATTGAGCTTCAGGATCTTCTGGTGCTGTTTCTGCAGCTCCTCGGCTAGGCTCGCGTTCGCGGTCGTTTTAGAATCGACGATCGCAAGGGTCTCGCGATTGGAGGTCTCTAACGAGGCGATGCGTGTCCGAAGAGTATCGATTTCGGAAAGCGACGTTGTCCCAGAGGATTTGAGGGTCTGGAGTTCATTCTCAAGCGCTCGGCGGGCGGTCTCTGTGTTGACAGCATGTTAGCCAACACTCCGTGGAGGAAGAATTGCCAAAGCGCAAACTTGCCTTCATTTTGAAGTTTCTGCCGAACTTCCTCCACGTCCTTTAGGGCTTTATCACTGGTGGCTTTGAACTGCTCGCATCTTGATTCTGCGCCTCTGTACGCGGCTTCCAGCTCGACACCAAGTTGGAATTTTTCCTGCTCGAGGTCGCGCAGCTTGGTAACAATGGCGCCCAGCACCGAGGCGACAAGGTCTACTGTCGGCGCGGTTACAACCGCATCGAGGTCGAGCTCTGGCACGCCGGCATGCGTCGAGAGGTAGGCGAGGTCGACCTCGGCCGCCGCCATCGTGTTTCGCGGCCTGGGTTAATCAGTGCATATGTGGGTCTCAAGATTGACGAACTAGTCGGTTTGTCGTCGGAAATGAAGATGACAGGAGATGGAAATCGATGCGGTTCTCGGTCGAGGTGAAATCGCGTGATTGTTTGGAGTGAGTTTTTCTTTGAAAGAGAGCTTCGAGTTTGGGAGCCTTTCTCACCGGCCAAGCTGTTTTCGGCAAGAACTGGTCCAGCCGCGGGAGCTTTGACGCGGCAGCCAATCAACATAGCACAGATTTTATGGGGCAATGACACAAACGTCGAGACCAGCCACCAAGCGTGCCAGCGGTTCCAATGGTCTGTGCGAGGCTGTTTGGCGAGGCCCCCTGGTTGAAAATGGAGTCGCTTTCCGTTTCCAGACTCACAACGGGACCTCACGACAAAGATTGTTGATGACCCTAACCATAGGTTTATGCTACCCTAACGGTTCAAAAATACCTATAATCTCACTGTTGTCATCCATACTTCTTTGTTCATTCCACACACATGCGACAGCTAGTCCAGGCTCTTAAAACAAGCGCACTCATCGGCTTCCATCACTCAAAGAGCACGCTCTCAACTGCACCACACCACTAACAACCACAACCACAGTCTCAAATGCTCACATTAAATATACACACACAAAATGTCACCACATCTAATTAGGTACCCAAATATTCACACACCCCCATCCCATCATCCCATCCCATCCCATCATCCCATCCCACCAAGCAGCCACCTCCAATCCAATACACACCTCATACCTCCACCTCATATACCTGCACTTCATACACACACCTCATAACAATCACCTCCCCGCCCTCCCCTCATCCATCTCATGCAAATCCGGCACCGGCCCCGCCTGCCAGGACGCCTGTGGCTGCTGCTGCTGCTGCTGACCGTACACACCCCCGGGGGGCGGTGTACCAGCCGGGTTGTAGGCCTGGTAGCCCGGTTGCATCTGCGGGGGGTGCGGTGACGGGGTTGGGGAGGGGTATTGTTGCTGTTGTTGTGGTTGCTGTTGCTGCTGCTGTTGGTATTGGTATTGGTGCTGTTGTGGTTGTTGTTGCTGTTGTTGGTCGTAGGGGGGGTGTTGGGGTGAGTAGGGCTGCATGTGTGGTGATTGTTGGGGTGGGTATTGTTGATGTTGTTGATAAGGGGACTGTTGTTGCTGCTGCTGCTGCTGCGGTGGGTAGCTGTATTGGCCTGCCAGCTCCGGTCGGTTGGGGTTGGCGTTGTGGTACTGTGAGCCCTGGCCCTGCAGTTCGGACATGTTGGCCGGCGTGGCGGCGTACATGGCGCCCTGGCCCTGGAGCTCGGGCCGGTTGGACGCTGGCGCCCCTTGGCCGTAGAGCTCAGGAGCGTGCGGGGATGGTTGGGCCATGGCGCCCTGGCCTTGGAGTTCTGGTCGGTTAGGCGAAGGAGCACCTTGGCCGTAGAGCTCGGGGGCGTGTGGAGATGGCAGGACCATGGCGCCTGGGCCTTGCAGCTCGGGCCGGTTGGGTGACGGCGCGCCTTGGCCATAGAGTTCCGGTGCGTTTGGTGACGGAGCAGCAAACCCGGCGCTCTGGCCCTGGCTGTTTGGAGAGAGAGACGGCGGCGTGGCTGTGTGTTGATTGTGCAGCTCGGGACGGTTGGGCATGGGCGGGAAGAACGCTGCCTGCCCGCTGAGTTCGGCTTGGTTGTTCGGAGGCGGGGCAAAAGCGCCGGTGGTATTGGCGGAGACGGGCGATACTGTGCTGGAGCGGCCAGGGATGGCGCCGACCTTGAGTGTGCTGGGGGACGGGCTCGGAGGGCGTGGCGCGGCGACTGAGTCACTGGCCAGTTCTGCCTTGCCGCCGTACGGGCCGAGAGGAACGTCGTTGGGTCCGTTGTCCGGGATACGCAGCGAATCTGGCCGGTTCTTCCTCGCCCGGAGCACGAAGAAGATAATGGCTCCGATCAGACCAAGGCCGCCGACGACACCAACTACAGCACCGACGATGACGGCCGTGTTGGACCCGCCTGAATCCTCGTCGTCGCCCCCTTCGGTTGAGCCGTCCGATCCGCCGCCGTCCCCGTTGTCGTTGTCGTTGCCACCGTTACCGTTGTTGCCATTTCCCGTCTCTTTCGGGCCGTCGGTAATAGAACGGCTCGCTGGGAACGTCTGCTCTATCGAGTTGGAAACACCAGCAGCCGTCACCTTTGCTTCAGCAGCGCTGCAGTAATAGTTGAAAACCTGGTCGGTCTGTCAGCGATCCGACGACTACCAGCTCGCATCTCCAGGGAACTTACGGAAACGGCGGAGGAGACATCTTCGGTAGCGGTCGAAGAGCACTCCCACTTGACGGACGAGGTAATCACTTTCAGAACCTCCAGGGTCATGCCCTCCTTGAGGCACACACACGAGGCAAGAGCCTGTGGGCCACTGGGACACAAGTCGTTCATTTGCTTAAAAGGTTGTCAGTCGGCTGTGGCTGGAAGTGCCCTCTATTCCTGTCGAGATGCGCTACATATACTTACAGACTGAACAGCGTAACGGAGCCCCGACGCCGCGCATGGGGCAAGAGAGCTGTACCCCGGCAGATCCGTGATGTAGTACGTCACTGTCTCGTCAGCAAATGATTGGGGTGCGCTAGCATTGTTGTCTTGTCGACTTACTGTCGCCGGGGGGCTTGGTTGGGACAGGAAACTTGGTCGTGCCGTCGTTCATGGCGCAGTACGCAGCAAAAATGGCCTGCGCCGACGAGACATCGGCCGATTGCCCGGAGCATGAATACTTTGCCGACGAGTTGATTTCCTGACTGACGACGAGCGAGTTTTGGTTCTTCTTGCAGGCACAGCTCGCCAGCGCAGGCGCATCCGTCGGGCATTTGTCATAGGTCTGGGCTGCAAGTTAGCGGATCGAGGTGGCTCAGTGAGTCCGAAACGCATAGCTTACCATCGTTCTGTTTTCATTGTCAGTTACTGCCGCTAACTGGTAGGTGTTCATATGGATTCGGGCGGTCAAAACTTACCCAATCCCGTAACTGACAGCGCTCTTCGCGCATGGTGCCAGGTAGTCGTACTCGGGGATATCCGTGATGTAGACACTGACAGCGGTCGGAGTCGGGAACGAGACTGTTACGCTTGGGTCACAGTAGGCGTTGAAAATCTAATAGAGAGTCAGCACGCTTGGCTTGCTCCTCGATTTTGAACCGGCCATACACTCTGAGCCGAGGCGTGGTCCTCGCTGGCAGTCGATCCACACGAAGAGCTAATCGAGGAGGAAATCTGGGACGAGATGGATCTGAAATTGTTGTTCTTGGTGCAAACACATGACTGGAGTTCCGATACGGCTTCGGGACATGCGTCGTAGGTTTGCGACTGGACGTTGTATTTGAGGGCCGACTGGGCGCATGGTGCCTTGACGTGTTGCTCGGTCAGTCCTGGTTGGAGGGACGGGGAGGAGATGTTGGGGTTGGCTTTACCAGAGCTTCGTACGCAGGCATGTCGGTCACATAGAGGATTGAGCTTGCCCTCGCCGAACCAACGGCGAGAGCCAGTACGGCCGCCGAGAGGCGTGTTTGGCTCATCATGGTATCGAAAAGGAAGGTAAAGTATGTATGTCCGAAGTACACAACAAGTGTGTGACAAGATCAGCAAGAAACAGTCAACGAAAGAACGGCACTAAGGGACAGCGTCTTCCCGAAGGGTACCCCGGGCTTCACACAGGCCGAATTGCGCAACGAAGCCTCGAGAAGGGGAAAAAAAAGCTGAGGGGAGCGGCACGAGATGGTGTGCCATGCGGGAGGGGCCATCTGCGCGCCTCGTCCAGGCACGAACGCCACAACACGGAAAGGGTCTGCCGAAGCAAACTGACAGGAGAGGGTCCTCCCCAGCTGCCAGGACGGCCTTCGCGACGCCCTTCCGAAAGGGGCATGGCGGAGGCCCGAGGCGGCTTTCTCGAGCAGCCGTGTCACAGAGCCTTCTTGTTCTTGGCATGGAGATACCCCTGGTGAAGGTGTGGTTAAGATCCCTGCCAGCTGAGCGTGGGCGTCAACCTTGATACAGATACCGAATTCCCCAAGCTGCCAAGGTCCCATTGACCAATAGGTTAAAAGTCGAGGTGCGGAGGAAACCAATCAGCTCGTGACTGGGAAGCGGAAGGCTGAGCAGGGCATGCAACGCGAGATCGGAGGAGGTTTGATACCGGACGAGAGAGATGGTCCGTTCGTAATTGGAACTTGAGACCTCTCGGATTTGACCGACAGTTCGGCAAACGGCTCGACCCTCCCGTGGTGAAGAGCTCCGAAAATAACCAAACCGTTACTTGTTCCCAGGAAACTTTCCCATCGAGAACAAAATTCCGCTTCAGGGGTTCCGAATCGCTGGAATGGACGGGTGTCATTCCTTGCCGCCCCTGATTTCTTCCCGCATGCATGTCAGCCGCGGTGGAACTCGACGCCGCCGGGAGCTCATTTCGCGATCCCCCGAGACGCGTGGTGCCAAAGGTCACTTTCCCATCGACAATGCCAGCCTTGAAGGATGCCGTTTCTGGCGTTCTTATTGGGGACTTTTCTGAAGCCACCGGCGCGTAGAGAGCCGGCGGGATCTCACCGCGCCTGTCCCCTCCGTCTTCCCCTCATGAACATCCGTTAGATAATTCCCACCACCCCGCTCAAGGCTCAAGGCTCAAGCCGGCGCCGTCCCTCCAGCACCGCCAGCAGACCCAGCAGACGCCCCACCCCCCAACTAACTAACCACTCACCCGGCCAAAAACAGCAACATCTATCGGCAAGCGCTCGCCCATCCAGATGGCGCGGTCGGTGTGGTTTCGGCGCTCGCGGTCAGCGGCGGGCAGGTCGGTCTCGGGCTCGGTGGTGTTGGGGTGGACCAGCACGGAGAGCGGGCCGCGCCAGACGGCCAGCCAGGCGACGACGGCGCCGAACTGGGCGGGCGAGTGCACGCTCACCTCGAACATGGCGACCGGGTGGGGGCCGATCGGGCGGTCCCACAGCGCGTACACCCGCAGCTCCGGGAACTCGCGCCGGATGCGCTCCCTCAGGGCGCGCGCGTATTCTGTTTCTTTAATGGGGGGGGGGGGGTATTATTAGTTTTCGGTTTTGGTGTGCTGGGTTAGGTTACTTCGACTAGGTAAGTTCGATGTTGCGCGTACGTTCTGGGTTGTTCTGGAAGTAGTAGATGTGGATGTCACTTTTGGCCCAGTTAGTTTCGCGAGTGGTACGGGGATGGTCAGGTAATGTTGAGGTGGAAGGGCCAGTAAGGGAAATAGCTTACAACCCGCCCTTGGGGCCGTTGTCGAGAGGTTCAGTAAATCTTTGGTACGCACTGCTGAGCACGCCGGTCTGCGGGTTCCGGAAGCTCTTGCCATCTTCGGCCCGCTCTTCGGGCAGAGGTGGGGCGTTCTCATAACCCGCCAGCGGGGAGGGGTAGCCTGCCATTGTGGGTGACAGTTTGGTATTTCGGGAAAACGATGTTGGGATCTGGATTTGTGGTAAGATGTAATGGCGCGAACTCGGTATGCGGCTTGATATCAGGAATCGAGATCGTTAGTGAAGTTGAAGTGGTGTCGGTATTCGTAAGGCACCTACACTACTTCGGCCACCCGTTTGTAAGCGAGGTTCCACACCCGCTTTGATGGGGGATGATTGATGGGCGATTGCTCAAGTTGGAAAGAGCCCCGCATTTTGACAACATCTCCGGACAACCCACGACTGCCAGAATGTTACACTCCACATCTCACTCCCCAGTGTGACGTGAGAGGGATGGTTCGTCTCCATATCTGGGACGGCCCGCACCGCTCGAGCCAAAGACCTGTGCTCATCGTTGACCAGGTGCAAGCAAGGCACACCATAACCCCGCCGGGTGTATTACCGCTTCGAGAAGGCAACTCGGCGATGCACACTGCACCGGCATCCTTCCATAGCTGCGCCTTGGGCTAGTTAGTACAGAGACAACCCCGAGACAGCCTCATCTAGGCATTACTGTTCATGTATTGGCCATGAACTCGGTGGACTTGCCCAGTATCGTAGTCTACCTGCGGAGGATCCAACCAGCAAGGCTGCACGGTGGGTTTGGAGTTTAGTATAAAAAGCGTATGCTCTTCATCCGACTTGAATTGAATGTATTGATTCTTTAGCCAGCAACATTCTAGCCACCTCCCGAAGAAGATATCTCGTTCACTTACCACCAAATAATCCCCTCGAATCATTCGCAAGCATGAACTGCCCAGTGTGCCAACAGTTTACCGTGAGCGGACTCAGTTCTGTGGAGGACGAAGTGGAACTAACCTCTTGCCAGAACTCCGTCGTCATCTACTGCTTCTCCGGCAGCCTGGGGGCAGATAAGAGCAGCCGCGACTTTAAAGAAGGGACTACACATTGGGTCTGTAACGAGTACGTTTCACTCTCAATCACGTCTCAAGTCATGGGTGATTGCTAACTGGTCTGGCAACCCCCAGCTGTTATGAGAGCATGAAAGAAAGTGGGACGGCTACCATGTGCCCGTTTTGCCGGGCTAGCAGCGCAGGCGTGACTATATACAAGCAGAAGGCAGGCGTGCGTGCCGTGTACGAGTTTGTGGACCAGGAACTGAACAATTAGAAGCGGATATCTTGGCCAGTATTCAACAACCATAACCCCCTCAGTCATCCTTCATAGAGTGACCACAAATGAACCATCCTCCTGCTTGTCCTTGTGAAGACCATACCGGGGGCTGTGGATGGAAAAGTTGAGCGTACTCGTGTCAACAGCCTGGTAGGCCCCAACGAGTCGCCTTAGGTGTTCCTCCTCCATCACGCCATCTTTTTGGAGAACCGAGGCGTTATTATCAAAGTCTCTGACACATTTGTGGATGTCTTGTATCAAGCTTTGCGTTGCGCCGTCCAAGTCCGAGTCCATTGCTCGCATGGTGATGGGTATTAGGTTTCCAAATGCACCATCCTTCTAAAACAAGTTAGCAAAACAGGCTCTAAGCTGTGGATCACGAAACATAATAGTGTGCTTACCAACTCTTTTTTGAGCGAGAACAACTCATTGATCCTGAAGTAGCCATGTTAGTTGGGCTGCCCAGTCTTTCTCGCGGACAGAAACGACATAGTCTTACAGGATGAGGAGCTTGTTGACGCAACGGCTCATGACGGCCAGTTCCTTAGATTCGAGAGTTTCGCGAGGGAGAACAATGCCGTTGATGATCCTAAAAGGCTGTCAGCATCGAATCCATAATCACAACTTGGCCCTCCTAGAAATACCAACCTTGTAAGATCCAACGCAGCATCCACCGACGACGTCCCCAACCGCCACGAGTAGAACTCCCCCACACTCGGCACCCTCCCCGACAACCTCCACCGATACTCAGTCACACACGCCCCCATATACTCCTTCAGATGCCCAAAAACACCCTCCTCTCCTCCCGCCCGCAGTACCCAGCCACGCGCCTGCCCACCTCGGCAAAGCTCTCACAAACCTTCGTCGGCGCCACCGGCGCGGGAGCCCCGGGCTCGCCCAAACCAAGGGAATGCTCCACAAAGACGATCGACTGCCGACAGTACTCGGCCGCCGCCTTGTCGCCCCTGCCCTCGATGCCCGCGCCCCCGCCGTCGATGGCGTCGTCCCACAGGAACAGCCAGACGCAGTAGAAGGCGACCGTCTCCAGGTCGGCGTACGGCGCGTCGGGAACCCACCTGCGCCGTGGGGGCTGTAAGTCTTCTACTCCTTTTGGGGCGCATCATATATCGGGGAGGTGATCCCATACCCGGAGGCAAAGAGCGCGATATCAACCGCTCTGATCTTGGCCAGCGCCCTCTCGTTCTCGATGATCTCTCCTAGCCGGGCATCGACGGCCTGCTTGACCTGTGGGTGCAGGGGGTTGACGCCCTGTTTCCACGCGGCGAACGCCGGGCGGAGATCGGGGATGTGGAGCCTCTGGCCGGAGAGTGTGTCGGCCGAGATGACGGGGTTTTCGTTTTTCTGTTCCATTATTGGTAGGGGCTGTTTCATGGGAGGTGGGTGTTAGGGACCTAGTTTATATCGGTGGACGGATTGGAGGTAAAGATTGGCCTTTAAGAGCGCAACTCCACCGGATGATGTGACTGTAGGTGTTTCATGCAGGAACCTCACCGCTTCCCCCACGCACGCACTTACACGCATGTGTACTGAAAATGGAGGCAAACACAGAGAAGCAGCATCGGATTCTTAAGACAATATATTCTCAACTACCAAGGTAGGCAGGAGGTAGTAGTAGCAGCGGATGAAACCATCCTGAGAGAAAACAAGAGCTAGCCAGCCGTCTGTCTATACATCGAGAGCGCGCCTCTATCAAACCAGGGAGAGCAACACAGCGAAAACGAGCAAAAGCCCCTCTACTAGCACAGGCACACCCACCCGGCAAGATATCTCGCTGGAGTGCCTGCCTTTCCAGACAATGCAATGCAAAACCTATGCGAATACCAAGGCAGTAAGTAAGAAAGCCAACCGAAAATCAGGACACGAAAACACAAGAACCGTTCCCCTCCCATCCAACGCCCCATGTATGCAATCGAATACACACCCCCCCGTCATCATGCCAAGCCGATACAGGTTGATGCCAGAGTAGACGCCTCCCCAACAGAGCAAGCAATCTATAAGATACAGAGGTACAGTCAGGGGTGAAGAGGGAAAAAGAAAAGAAAACAGGAAAGAGCAGATAGCAAATGAGCAAAGTTGTAGGCGAGTTGCGGCGACGCGACGGCTGTAGCAATACACAATACAGGTGTACATATGTACGTAGGGGGTAACAGGACAAGACTGAGGGCTTGATATATAACAACGATCGCCCCACCCCCCATGACGGCGGGCGAAGCGATCAGTGGTCCGCGATGCGCGTTCAGGCGCGCTGGTCCTCGGCGGCCTTTTGCGGCGTAGCCGCGTCGGAGCCAAGACCAGAGTCGTGCTGCTCATCGTCGTGCGAGGTGTTGACGGCCTCGCCGGTGGTGGCGTTGACAAAGCCGTCGCCCTCGACGACGACCTCGCGGTTGCCGATGCGGCGCATCAGCTCGAAGAAGCGCGAGTTCTTGAACTTGTCCGAGTTGTTGTCGGCGACCGAGTTGACAATGTCGATGGCGGCGTGCACCAGGTCGTCGTCGGACCGGCGCTTGTCCTGCTCCTGCGCGAGCTTCTCCAGGTTGGTGTCGATGACCTCCATCTCGTCGGCCGAGGGCGCAGTGACCTCGGTGGCGGGATCGACGCGCGGGCCGTGCTCGGCCATCCACTTGTCTTGCGCCTCGGCGAACTCGGTGTTGGCAACCTGTTGCTTCTCGGTCCAGTCGGCGAGCTCGGTCTTGAAGTTGGCATCATCGTATTCGCCGAACGCGCGATTGAAAGCTTCGACGTCAATGTCGGAGTCCTGGGCCACGGCGGTCTGGGGTTGCTGCTGGGTGATCGGGTTCATGCCGTGGTTCTGGAGACCATAGACACCGCCAGACAGACCGTTATGCATGGGCATGCCGAAAGCAGCCTGCTGCATGTTCATGGCCGGGTTCATGGTAGCCATGGGGGCCGAACGCATCTGGGTAGTCATCGCAGTGCTGGGTCCAGCTACACCGCCGCCAATCTGCATGCCCGAGAACTGGTTAACCCATTCCTGGTGCGAGGTCGCCGAGGCACCACCGGTAGCGGGGGAAGCAAGGCGGGCGGCCGGTGCGCCCGGGCCGATGTTGGCCATGGTGGTCGGAGCACCGGGAGCCGGATGACCATAGGCCCTAGCGCCAGCAACGGTATTCATGTCGAGACCGGGACCGAAGGCCGCGTCCATGGGCGCGCCGCCCTGCTGAAAGCCTCCAAAGGCCATCTCGGCGCCATTGGCAAAGGGAGCCTGCGAACGGAAAGCCTGACAAAGTTAAGGTCAGCGACGAGTTTGGTTTACAAATCATGGCTCCCAAACACTCACATTGCCCGGGCCGGCCTGCGGCGCGTTGACGAAGCGATCCTGGTGATGGGCGCGATCGCGGTCGACATGCGACAAAAGATTCTTGGCGCCGTTAGACGGACCACACATGCTGTCGGCCATCTTGAAGACGAGTTTCTGTTGGCGATTCTGGTGAGATGCGATTTTATTGTTTCTGGTAGCAGAGGCAAGTTTCGATATCGGTTTGTTCGGATCGAAGAGAGGATAACCAAGGGTGGTTCGAGATGCCGAGGTCTTCCGAGGCAGGCGCTGTTCGAACCGAGCCGATGGAGTTGTATTGCTACGGCCGCGTTGTAGAAAAAGAAAACAATGCCGGGAAATCAAAACGCATGGTACATAAAACAATAGAGTATCGAAGCCATTCCCCGTTGGCCCCGTTTTCGTTATGTGTGTAGAGGTAGTGTGGCCGCCAGATTCGCCATGGAGAATGGTGATGGAGTTGTCGAAGTTGGTCCGTCGCTGTCAAGATGTATTGCCGGGGTCGGGGCAGGCTTGTGACCGAGGGGCAAGCCAAGAGTTCTTGTGGATGCGGGGCGGCATGGTGTGGGGCTTCTTGGAAGACCCCTGCAAGCCATTGCAGGCTTTGGGCTCGCCATGATTTTCATGCCAGCTGGACAACAACAGGGGTGCTCTTCACACGCCGAGAGCCATCTCCTAGCGGCGCAACTGAATCTCGGTGCAAACCCATTGACGAACTGCACTTTAGATAACCCACTTCGACAATCAGAGCAACTAAGCAATTCATTCTATTGTTCCCACCGAATTTGCATCCACTGAATCAAAGATCCGCCGTCACAATGGTTCGCACCCCTCCCTTCTTCTCTTACCCTTCAAGTTCAATGGAGCTCTCCTTTTTCCTGAGCATATGGAGTCGTGGATGCTAACCCGGCTCTCCAGGCAGCCGGAACCCAGGTTATTGCCAACTCTGGCCACGATGACATGATTGTACGTCCCTCTAGGTTCCGCTGCGATTTCCCCACCTAGCCACCCATCCACCGAACCTCCGAAACCGCGAGACCGAACAGAGAGATGGAGATCTGACGCAAACCAGCACGATGCGGTCCTAGACTACTACGGCCGGAGGTTAGCGACCTGCTCCTCGGACCGCACCATCAAGATCTTCGAGATCGAGGGCGAGACACAGCGGTTGACCGAGACACTCAAGGGGTACGTAGGAAACAACACACTACACTCCCTCCTACCGAGACGGGATAGGTGGGGGATATGAAGCTCACGGTGTGGCAAACAACAGGCACGACGGGGCCGTGTGGTGCGTCTCGTGGGCGCATCCCAAGTACGGCAACATCCTGGCGAGCGCGGGCTACGACGGCAAGGTGTTGATCTGGCGCGAGCAGAACGGCGCGTGGCAGCGCATCTACGACTTCTCCCTGCACAAGGCGAGCGTCAACGTGGTGTCGTGGTCGCCCCACGAGGCCGGCTGCGTGCTGGCGTGCGCGTCGTCGGACGGCAACGTCAGCGTGCTCGAGTTCAAGGACAACAACAGCTGGGAGCACAGCATCTTCCACGCGCACGGGCTCGGGGTCAACTCGGTGTCGTGGGCGCCGGCGACCAACCCGGGCAGCATCGTCAGCAGCAAGCCGGGCCCCAAGTCGACGGGCAACCGGCGCTTCGTGACGGGCGGGTCGGACAACGCGCTCAAGATCTGGGCCTTCGACGCCGCGAGCGCCGCCTACAAGCTCGAGCGCGAGCCGCTGACGGGCCACACCGACTGGGTGCGCGACGTGGCCTGGAGCCCGACGGTGCTGCAGAAGAGCTACATCGCGAGCGCGTCCGAGGACCGCACCGTGCGCATCTGGACCAGCGACCCGGCCAACCCGCAGCAGTGGAACTGCAAGGTGCTCGGCTTCGACGCCGCCGTCTGGCGCGTCAGCTGGTCGCTGAGCGGCAACGTGCTGGCGGCCAGCGGGGGCGACAACAAGGTCACGCTGTGGAAGGAGAACCTCAAGGGCGAGTGGGAGTGCGTCAAGTCGATCGAGGAGTAACGATGGGACGGGCGGGGCTTGGGCGTTACGGCTGGGACGGTATTTAGAGCTAATGAAGTTTGTGTATCCCGTCCTGTTCATGCGAATAATTGACCGGGGGACGAATGTTGGGCTGAACTAGATGACAGCGCTGGACATGTGAATTCGGCCGGATCGGTGCATTTGATTCTCGGTGGACAAGACCATAGCTGACTACAACTATCGCTAGATTTCTTCCACGGCCATTACAACCCCTTTTCAAGATGATGCCCATTATTACTAGCATCAGATCATCACTCGTCAACACCAACCCCCATCTAAGCCACAAACCCCAACCCCCCAACAGCCACCATCACCGCCGTGACCACCACCACAACCCACCCCTCGCCCCCAGCACCACGGTACCCCGCCCCAGGCATGGCCGCCGCAGTCGACGTGCTCTCCACAGGACCACCAGTCTCAGTCGGCGTCCCACCGCCACCACCATTACCACCACCCCCGTCCTCTTCCTCCTCACCATCCCGCATCACCACCCAAATCTCGCCCGTCGCATCGCTTGACACAAACAGCCGCTGCGCAGCGGCATCAAACGCCAGCCCGACAGGCCTGAAACAGGCGCCGCGCTCAGAGCAGCGGCTCACGTCCGGGGCGGTGAGGACGTCGCGGATGGGGTCGACGCTGTCGGGGGCCTCGACGGGCATGCCGGCTCCGGTGCCGTTCTCATCGTCGTCGTCATCGTCGTCGCCGTCGTCGTCGTCGGTCCCGAAGGCGACGTACGACAGCTTGTAGCCCGCCGGGTGTTCGCGGTTCCAGCTGCCGTGGAAGGAGATGAAGGCGCGCGAGCCGTTGCCGGGGAGGAACTCGATGTCGAGCGGGGCGGTGTGGGCTTGGAAGGTGAGGCGGGGCGGCACGGTGCGCAGCCCGCAGTGCGTGTCGTTGGCGGTTGCGTCGTTTTCGAGTGAGAACTGCGCGCCGACGGTTAGGTCGCCCTGTGACGGGAAGTCTGTTGTGTTGCGCAGCGCGAAGCATGTCGGGTAGCCGTAGTTGCTGCCGAGGAGCGAGAGGGGTGAGTCCGTGTCGTTGAGGAGGCCGTGGTAGTTGAGCTCCTCGCCCGGGTTCTCCTCGTGGATGTCCTCGTCCAGGCGGTGAATGTCGTCGGCGCTGTTCTCGACGGACCAGATGGTGCCCGTGACCGGGTGCTCGGCCACGCCGACCGAGTTGCGCAGACCCCAACCGACGAGCAGGCCATCTTCGGGGTAACTGTAGGGGCGCTGCAGGGAGGAGGTGGTGGTGTTGGAGATGTTGAAGGCGCGGATGTGGGAGATGCCGGTGGATTGGTCGGCGGCCAGTGGGTCGACGTTCTCGGCGCTGCCGCGCGAGACCAGGAGGAGGTCGGGCTCTTTCTTGGAGAGCAAAAGGGTCCGCGTGACGTGCGCGATGCCCGGGTTGGGGTTGGTCATGTTGGCGACGATGCGGGCGTGGTTGCTGACGGTCATGGTGTCGGCGTCGTAGCTGTAACGGTCGACATTCTCGGCCGTGGAGACGTACAGGGTCCTGCCATCCTCGGACAATTCAAGACCATGGTTGAGCTACATTGTCGTTAATATTTATGTTGTGCCGGCGCTATGGGATATCGCTGTCCGGGTTTACCTCTTCATCCTCGATGACGGAAGTGCTGCTGCGCACAGATAGACAAGTACCTCCATTGTCGTCGAAGGCCAAATGCCGGAGCCCGTTACGGGCTTCCAGCACGAGCAGCCCGCCGTTGGAGTCGAACTTGATACCGCGCGGGTTAGTGAGGTTGGTGGCAATCAGCTGGGCCTTCCAACCCTTCGCCGCAACGGGCGCCGAGTAAGCCGGTGTCAAGACGGTGGCACACGCCGTCGGCTGCGAGGTGGGGATCGTACCCGTGAGGGTAGTGACGTCCTGTGCTGCAACACTGGAAGACAGCAGCAAAGCTGCGGCGGCAGCTTGCTTGACGAGAGAGGTCATGTTGTTTTGGTGTCTTCGTGTAAGTCGAGACCAATTGAGAGTAGGTGGTCACCGAATGAGAGAATATGGAAATCCGTCTCGCTTCTCTCGTGAGGTGAACGGGCCTGTTATGAAACAAGGGCCTGTAGTTCGGGCACCGAGAGGGATGGGAGGGAACAATGGGAGACGTCATGCAAACCACCAAATTCTTTGCCTAGACATCGCGAGGGGCCATTCAACCATGGGGCCAATGGTGCAACTGGGTATGCCAAGCTCTTGTCCTGCTTGCCGGGTCAAACACGAACGCCATTGATGCCATCCCATCCAATGCGGGCTATCGAATGGGCGGGACAAGATCCCAATCCGTTGTCTTCGGTTCATCCCAACTTGGGCCAAAGCCGGTTGGTCCGAGCTAGGGTTGGCTGGCGTCACTGGGCACAGCTGGACCGAGCCGCAACGTATCGAAAACCTCGAGTGTTGCACAATGTTTGGGGCTTGCGGGAGCTGAGGAGACTCGGAGAGCTTGGGGCTGCTTGGTGTGGTTGCATTGCGGCCTTGAGCACCTGGTCGTTGTTTCTTTCAGCGACCTTCCTGATGTCATCCCCTCCTTCCTTTCCTGCACGCCGAGGCCTAGGCCACCACGAAGTGCGTGTCCACGGGCTTTCCGTTGGCTCAGGCGAGGGAAGGTGCCGAAGATTCCGAATCCTCTCTCGTAGTCAGCACCGACTAATACAGCAATCGCCTTGGCGCCGGGCACTCTCGTTTTGATGACCCTACGCCGAGACACGAGCAGAGGGGGTCAACAAAACATCAACCACCATGTCATACACTCAAAACCGTCTCTAGGCGAGGGATATCCCGCTGCGTTACAACCTTCAAAAGCCAACTTTACTTCTGGCCGACTAAGTGCAAGTTTAAGCACTCTCCCAGCTCTGTTTCGAGACCATTCAAGGGATGAATATTTGGGGTTTAGGGAAAGACCTTTTATTGCAAGAAGTAAAGTTCGTTGCTTCGTGCATTCAACCTTCTACAAGTAGACTTGTTACACCCGGCCGGGTTGTCCACCCAGGTACCGTTCCTGCATGGGTGTGTTACACGCGGGGACGGATAACTAGCAATTGGGGGTTCTAGTAAGGTATAGAACATCATGGATGGAAAGCCTAGAAGCTGTTCCATTTGACGACCGAGAGTGAGTGTCAGACGGCAGGGATAAAATAGGCTAGAAGAAAGAGAGGCGAAAGCACCTCAAGTATAAAATGTGAGAAATAGAGTTGAACTGTAACTGATATGCTATAGAGAGCCTGAACACCCCAACGCAACATTGAAGTAACTTTGCCTCAAACCAGAGTTTGAGATTGTGTGTAGAGAGGTAAAACTACAAGATGTATACTTTTCTCAGGACTCAGTTCAGCACCCTCCCCTACCTCACGATACTCTTCTCGATCTCAGCAACCTCAGCCAACGCCTCCCGGATCTTCGTCTTCGCCTCCTCCCCAGGCGGCAAATACGGCCTCCTGGGCACCATCTTGTTCTCAGCATCCTCCACACCAGCAAGAGGCGCCGTAAAGACACTCGCAGCATACTTGGTTGCGGCAATGCCACCGCTCTTCAACGCCTGCTCTGCTAACGCCGCCTTCCTGTGCAGCTCCAGCGCCTCTTGCGCCTTGCCCGCCTTGTACAAGTTGTACACTTCCACGACCGTCTTGGGGAACACGTTCGCGAAGGCAGCAATACATCCAGCGCTGCCCACTGCAAGCCCGCCGATCAAGAAGTCACTCTGGCCCCCGAACACGGCGAACCTCTCCGGCGGGAACTCGGCAGCCAGCCGCGTGATCTTGGCCACGCTCCCGCAAGTGAGCTTGACACCCACAATGTTCTCATGCTTCTTTGCCAGCTTCGCAATCGTTCCACTGCTTCTGTTAGCCACCACCCTCACCCTCGCCGTCCCTTAACCAAAGCAATGGAACCCAACCTCAACCAACCCACCCCCCCTCCTCCTCCCCAAATACAACAACAACAACAGCAAGAAAAGACGTACCTATCCAAATCCACCCCCCCACAAACCCCCGGAAAGTTATACACCACCACGCCCACCCCCAACCCCCCACAAATCCCCGCCACCTCCCCATAAAACCCCTCCACCACCTCCCCCAACGCCCCCACCTTCCCAAAATACCCCGGCGGCAGCACCAGCACCCACTCACACCCAGCAACCTCGACCGCATCCTCCACAAACTCCCGCACCTGCGCCGTCGAGTGGCCCCCCACGCCCGCCATGATCGGGAACCCCTCCCCCAGCACCTCGCGCGCCACCGCCAGCACGCGCCGGCGCTCGTCGCGCGTCAGCAGGAAGGGCTCCGCGTTGGTGCCGAGTATGACAAGCCCCGCTAGGCCGGTGCGCGTGCCCAGGTAAGAGAAGTAGGCGCGTTGGGCGTCGAGGTCGAGGGTGTTGGTGGCCGGGTCGTAGAGGGTTACGGCGGGGCACCAGACGCCGGAGGGGGGGACGGGGAAGGGGGACATTTTTGGGTGGTGGTGGTGGTGATTCGTGGGATTTGGGAAGAGGTTGCTGTTGTGTTTTGGGATTATGATAGAAAGGGGATGACCGGGTGCTGGTTCTGGGGGCTTGCTTCTTGATGGGCTATTGGAGATTGTAGTTGGGGATGGAAGCTCGGGAAAGAAGGGGGCGAGGGGTGGTGTAAGTGAAGAGGGTGGGGCCGGTGGGACGACCTCCCCGGTTAGGCACGGCACGAAGGTGGTCGGGCTCGAGGGACGGATCAGATACCGAGCGGGGGTTCAATCTCAAGCGGGAGAATCTTCCAGGCGGTGATTCCACTCGGGGAGCGGGGTGCGGATGGCCCGGCGGGGCAACGCGCCGACACCGGCCGCTGAAGCTTGCGGCTTCCGGCGGACGGCGCGCCGAGGGCGGGCGAACACCTCCAGAGCGGGTACCCGCGTCGGGTGTTGCATACCGAGCACGCTAGTTTGCGGGGAGACAGCTCATATCCCAAAAAATCTCCAACAGGAAGGTATATTAACAGATCTCGTCTCAGTGCCCAAGCAAACCCATGCCTTGCGGCGAAGGGAGGAAAAACAACAAGGTCTTCGACGAGTCGAGAGCAAACAAGGAGATAAAAACAAAAAAAAAAAAGGAAAGGTAGGTAACGGCAGATCGATCGCCACGCCCATCCGGCAAAATGTGTATATCCTCTCCCAGTGCGTGTCTACCCCTGGAAAACCGCCCAAGCAAGCAAACAAGCAACAACCCCACGACACGATCCCCAACACAGCGCGACTAGCGCAAGCCGATAACGCTCATCTCGAGGGTCCAGACCCTGCGGATCCAGACCTTGAGCTTGGTGCCGGCGGGAAGGCCCTCGACGTCGTCAAGATCGACACCCTCCCACCAGCAGCGGCGGGCGGGCTTGCGCCAGAAGAGCAGCAGCTTCTGCGCCATGCCGACGGCGCTGCTGCCCATGTCGTTGCCGCGGATGTCGGAGCGCAGGCGCGCCAGCGCCAGGGAGCAGATGACGGCCTTGTTGGGTTCGCCAGCCCGGTGGCCCCAGTGGTCGTCATGGTTGAAACCGCTAGCGCCGTCAGTTAGTACGCTACTGCCATAAAACGCGTCGGCCCGGTAAAAATATGGTGGAGGATAAACTCACCCCGCCGTCAACATCTCGATGAGATGTGCCTCAGTCGTGCCCGGCTCGTCGCTCTTCTTAAGACCGCTGAAGATACCGTCCTGCCTGAGGAGCGCCCTGGCGGCCGCCCGCTTGACTTCGATCATCTCGGGCTGGTCAATGTCCTGCTGGGGGGGGATGACGTAAAAGTCGAGGTCCTCGCGCAGCACGATGATACCGGCACGCCGGCTGTTCTCATCCCGTGCCGAGGGGTCGAGCGGCACCACGCCGTCGCCGTTTTCTAGCCCGGCCTCCGCCGGAATGCTCTGCGCCACGTTCCGGAAGAAGTCGAGCATGTACTGGAGCGATGCGGGATCATACTATGCAAGTGTCAGCCGACTTGCGTGTATTACAGAAACCAAATATGGTCTATTGTGGCGATAGCAATACTCACGTCAACTTGAACGGCGTCTCCTTCCGTGAACCCACCCATTTGCCCTTCGGGGAAGAGCCCGTTGGGAAAGAGAGAGAGCAGGACAAACTCGGGTAGTGTTAGTAGCTCATCTCGAGACAGCTTGAAGCGGGTGCCCCTGTTAAACAGTCAGTGAGGTGCAATTGCGCCGGGTGCATCGAGTCCTACCGCAGGTCCATCAAGATCGTCTCATCGCCAGGCACATCTAAGGGCGCATCGTTAGTCTGGCTATTCTACTCCGAACCCCCGCGTCACACAACCTACCTCCAAGCGGATTGAGCGATGGCCCGCCCTGTTGCACCTGAGTAATAATACTCGCGGCACCTCCTGCGGCAGCCATGAGGTATGTAAAGGAGTCGAGGGGACTGGAGCCCTCTGAATATGCCGGCGGCGGTTCTGAATCCTCGTCCTTGGCGCTGCCCTTATTATCCTGGGGGAGCGCGCGCTTGGTCTCGTCCTGGAGCCTGAGGGCCGCGGACGCGCTGTTCGAAGACTCGGGTGCTACCTGATGGTCGGCAGGCGCATACGCTGGGGCTGCGGAGGCGGAGGAAGCGGCTGTTTCGCTGGTGTCTTCGACAGCGGCTTTGTACGGCTCGCACGGCTCGAGAACGGATTCCGCTTCGTGGCCCTGGACAGGAAAGAGCGACGAAAACGAGGGTGGCGGCCGGAAGGCTGAAGGGCCCGCGGCCTCGGACGCGGGATACTGCGGCGGTGGGGAGCGCTGACGGGATGGAGAGTTCTCGTCGTCGGTAGGCGGGATGAATTCGGCGTCGACCTCGGTGAAGCACGCTAGGTTCGTCTCGGCCACGGTGTCGGGGGGCTCTGGAATGCCAGTTTCCTCGTCGACAATGCGCCGGTTACTGGAAATGGGCCCGAAAGACGAGCTACTGGGATCTCGGCGGTCAGACAGCGGACGTGACGGCAACGGTAGCCGTGCGACGGAGATGCAAGAATTGGTGAGTCGCAAATGTCCAGGGAACGTTGCTCGGTACGCTGTCGTTTTAATGGCCCGCGCGCCTGTGATTTTCTTGGCTCAAAGTTGCGGCAGAATGACTGGTCGCCGTTGAAGTCTGTGTGATTGAGAGGCGGCTCGGTCGTGGTTGGGGTGTGGCCTCCACTGCCCCAGATTAGATGCAGGGCGAATGAATGCTTTGGGATCGGGAAACCGAGATGACAGCTGCAATGCTTGGCTAACGCTTGGGCCGAATTTTATGCATCGGGGAGCTTGGGCTTGGAAATTTCAAAATTGGAATGCAGAGATCCAAATCAAAAGAACGGGAAGAAATAGTGAATGAGCACCTATTCACGTGTTGTGCACGTAGGAGTTGCCGCAGAAGCTGAGATGCATGAAGTCCCATTCCCTGGGCGCCGCTGGCTTCCAGGCGCCCCTGAAGCATCTCCAACACCCAATTGCATGTGGGGCAGGACCCACACCGCACTTGTAACCGCCCTGTAACGACCAATCAAAGTGCGGTGGGCTTGGACCGTCGACGAGGAGTCGAGGACTTGAGGGCCGTTGTCATTACAACGTAATATTCGTACCTTGATACGAGACCGAGTTCCAGATTGGAGTGATTCGGATACGCCTAGTATGCATGTTTTGGTAATACATCCATTGTTGGAAATCCCGAGAACTTGAAGTTACTGTGTAGGTAGGTACCCAGTTCAGGGCGAGTATGAACCTCCGCGCTGCAGGGTTGAATTCTCAGTTCATAACTGTGCATTCACGTATACCTCGCCTAAAAACTACACATTACTCCCACTTCGGGGTAACCAAGGGTCGCCGCTATTGGGGGTATTAATCCTCGTCGTCGCTATCTCCAAAGATGGCTTTGAACACATCCTCTCCAGCCCTCTTCCCTTCTAGGGCCTCGTTTCTGCTCGCATCTACGACGGTCCTGTCAGGGACCGGGGCTTGCGCGGTTGTCTTGTCAAGTGCGGGTACGAGAGCGAAGCCAGCATCGTTTGGAGTGCCGCCTGAGGAGGGTGGGCCGGAGCCGAACTCTCCCGCCAACGGCTCTTGCCGTAAAGCACTAAAGTCTTGCGGGACACTAAACTGGGAGGTAGAATCGTACTTCGCCCTCCCCGACCCTGAAGCCGACGGCTGGTCGTCGGGCTGCACATGCTCTGGCGGTTTCACGTTGAAGCGCTTGCATAGGAGCCGCGTGGGGTAAAAGTCGGCGACGGATCTGGTCATGGGCCCAAACATGCCAAGCTTGGCCGCTTCCTCAGCCGGATCCTGGGGTTTGGGCGGTGGCGTTGAAAGTAGATCCTTCTCCTCTGTCTCGCTGCCTGAATTGGTGCTGGGCTTGCCCGTAGACGTCGTAAACCGGCTGGCCATGAAGCCCGTCATGGGCTTGAAAATTCTTGCACAGTTATAGAACTCATGCAGTTCCCTCAGCCACTCCTCGCTGTTCATTCTTTTGGGTTGTGTCCCTGGGTCCGGGCGGAACCCTGCCTGATACTCGAGAAAAGAGATGTATCTGGAGCGTTTCGCCTCGTCGTCTCGATATGGGGCGTTGCCACCGGCCCCTCTAGCGATAGCAGCAACGGCGGTCGCCTTATCCAGCTTTGGGGCGCGGCTGAGGAGCTCCTGTAAGCGGTCGGTTTCGCTGAGCGCATGCTCAGCCGGGACTTCCCCACGGGCGGGAGGGAGATCCTTAATGCCGGTTACAGTAGCTAGACGCTCCCGTGCTTCTGCTGACATGAAGTCGAAGACGGATTTTCCTGGGAGCTGCTTTTCACCAAGGATAGCCGCGCGAGACTTGGGGTCGAGCGTTGACGCCTTAGCGGCGTCCGCCGTGGAAACGTAACCGGCAGCGCCGGCCTGAGCTTCCGGTTTCTTCGCCGAGACCCAATCCGGAGGTATACTTGGCGGAGCGTATTTAACTTCGGCGCTGGCTTCGGACGTTAGGACGTCGGGCTCCTTGCCAAAGACAAATCCGTCCAAAGGTAACCGTCCATCATGGCATTTCCGTGCCCCGAGCCCGACTTTCCCGAGACCAGATTTCCTTGATGGTATAAATGCGGGTTTGCTCTTCAACGTTGGGTTGACCGCAGTTGTAGCCTTCTTTTTCTTTTTGTCGCCGCCGATGACCCGGTTGTACGATATTCGCGGTCCAACTTCGTAGGGGTCTTCGTCGTCGGAACCGGTGTCGTTTAGGATGCCAACCCCTATCCCTCCTGCGTTCTTATCCCGCCCTTTCTTGCGGCCCGTGGCGAGTGTGAACTTTGGTCGCCCAAGGCCGCTCGTCAGGTCGTTTTCGTCGTCGGAGTCGGAGTCCTTGGCGTCGCTGGGCTTGGTAGCGAGGGTAATCGACGCCAGCCTTGTTTCTCCTGCGTAGCCTAGTCCCTTGTGGTCGGTCTTGTGGACAAGACGAATCATGGCAACGTTCTCCGGTGCGAAGAGATGCGTCCCCCTTGGGTCGTCCGTATCGCTGCGGAGCTCGAGGCGGGCTCTCCTGCGAATCTTGGGGCCGATCCCCTGTCCCTCTTTCCACCCCATCTTCTTGAGCAACCTGGCGCCCATTGTGTCCCCATCGGCGCGGAATATGCCCATAAGGCTGCTCACCCTCGTGGCATCATCGGAGGTTGTACCCAAGCTGGAAAAAGCAGCCTGCGTCTGTATTTTCCTCGATTCTTCGGCATCGGCTAGGTCCTCCTCGTCCATGAAATCCTCGGCGCGTTGTCGGGCAGTTTTTGGGTCATCCTTGCGACGGTTGGTCCGTGAGGATACAAAGGTAGACGGCGTCCATCCCTCCTTGGAGCCGACGGTATTGAAATAACTAGGGCGATGTCAGTTGGCCCAATACAAGTGCGAGATGTGAGCGTACTTGCCCTGCGCTGAACCCTCCGGTAAATGCGCCGTGAAGCCTCTTCCTCCCCCGCTCGTCCCTCACCTCCTGCTTCCATAGCGGCACATAAGAACCGTCATCGCGAACCTCGGGGTCCTGTGGTGGAAGCGGCGTCCCGAAAGTGACGTAAGGAGATTGTTGTGCGGACAAGTCGGCCTCGTAAGTTGCACGCGATCTCTTGTAGGACATGGGGAAGCCGAGGTATGGGTCTAGAACTGTCGGTGAATTTTGGAAGAATTTCGTGGTTTGTATGGGTGTTCGTTTTCGTGATGAAGCTGCTCCGTCATTGAACGTGACCTTGAATTGAACCATTGGTGGCCCCAACTCAAGTCGCGCCGAGAATCAGAAAAGGAAAGCGGTAAGGGTTCAAGAAGGAGATGTGGGGAAGTTCTGCCGATGATGCGGGGAATGTCCGTGGGGCGTCCCCCCTTCGCTCTTCCAGGCAAGAGATGCGGATGCCACCGTGCCAAGCCTCTCACCCTGCCACGCGAGAGCTGCACACACATCGTCAGCATTCCCGTTTCGACCCTGACGAGTAAGTCACCAATTTTGATTGCTCGTTACGCCACTGGCACCTTAAGAAGAGGAGATTCACCATGTGCGATTGTAAAGCTTCTGCGAGGGAGGGGCGGCAAGTCTTCGGGGGTTACCTAAGGGGAACCTTCATTTTCCATCCAAGTACATTTCATTGCTCTTTGGCGTTATCCGCTTCTCTGGAATTATCACAGGTAGTCGAAACGATGATAGTTACAGAAACCAGTTCGCAAGGCTTCAAATATCACGCTGATCGAGCCATCTTCCGGGACAGAAGTTCAACGTCACTCCGGTTAAATCCAGCGATGCGACGACAGGGCCTTCTTTCCTAGCTGATCAGCATCATGATATCATCCAGCCAAACGCTTGGGAATTCCCTCCGGTCTCCTCCGGGCGGTTTCGATGTCGACAACGAGTCAAACATTGCTTTTTCCAGGGCCTTGACAGCTGTTGTTAGAGCTGCCCCCCTGACTCGCATACTTTTGGGCCATCATCCCTTCATGCTCTTCTTGAAGTACTGCAGACTTCCGGCTCGTGGGCTCGTCTTCTGGTTAGCAGTTGGATGGAAATACTCTCGAGGTGCGTAACCCCTGTCGATTTCGTGGACTGTTTGCCCCGAGAGTAGTCACCGTTGGGCTGGCCTCTTGCGCGGCCGCTTGCTGGTCGCGGCCATTGTTGGTGCAACACACACACCATCTCCACTCGAGGGCGGCCAATCAAGGAGCGACCAAGCATCCCTCGAGTCGGGCCTGCAGAGACTCCTCTCCCAATCTCACCCAGCATGTATGTAGGTGCATTTGATTGCGAGGTATGAGATATCATGGTAGTCGCGCGGACCGAAGCTTATCGAATATTTGGCGAACGCTGTTGGCGGGACACTTGGCAAAGGGTGTACGGTCATCATGTTAGATGGGCACTGCGCAAGACCCAGGCCGTTCGAGGTCGAGGCCCGTCCTGCCGGAGCCCGGGCCTGGTGTGTTGGACCCGGCCATCTCGCCTTGTCGGGTACGGGGACGGGGACTTGTAATCTGTATGTATCTTACCTCAGGGGATTCAACAAGTTGTTGACAGCTCCGAGAGAATAAAGGAGGTACGGGAGTGGGTTCGAAAGAGAGACACGACAACGGCAAAGGAATATTTTAATCGAATTTAGAGTACTTAAGATAAACCACGGCAAGTGTCAGTTTCTCCCTCGCCAGCTGCTGTGCATAACTACCTAGTTCGAGAGAGAGAGCGATGCACTCGAAATCCAAAAAAGGACGGGAATCGGAAACCGTGCTGGTCGGAGTTCTCGAAATTACCTGTAATTCAGCGAGCGTGGATACCGACTCCACCGTCAACCCCCTTGACAGCGGTCCAGCCAAACACCCAGTCTCGAGCCAGTCCAGTCCCCCCTCAACTGTTGCTTGCTGAAAAGCCGCCTGGACTGCCCAACCTCGAGCCGACACGCCGACCGTGAAACTACACCGCGAATTCAAAGCACCACATCGCACCAAGGAACACCCCGCCAAGTTCTATCAAAGCAATTAATCCCCAATCCCGTGCGCGCGAGACAGCCCTGCACTTTGCTGCTCCGCTCCCGATCGACCGCCTGAAGCCCTCGTCATCGACTCGCCCACCACGACTACCTACCGACCGACCTTAGCCGATTCGATTTCGTCGCAAGCGTGCATTTGCTGTAGTGCTTATTCCGGGAGCCATATATAGCGAGATTCCTCTTAGACGGAGTTGAATGGTGTGTTTTTGAACCTGGTCTTTTTTTCCGCACCACGATTATTCGGGGTCGGTCTGCCATAGTGAACCTCTGCCGACTGCCGCCTGGGCCCCGTGTTCCCCTCGATTCCCTCGCCCAAGATGGCGACGACGGTTTCTGCCGGGGCTGAATTGCCCATACGGTCGCAATCCGTTCGGACACGCCGGCCACCGACTGCATCGCGACCCGATCCCCTTCCCCGATCCGAGTCATCTACAAGAGCCGAGGCCTCGACAAGAACTGAGCACTCGCAGCAGCAGCAGAATTCGAGTCCTTACCGTCGCAGCAGTAAGCGTTCGACTACAGCACAGTCACCCCGAAGTCCTCAGCAGGAAATGCCGCCTCCGGCGCACAATCCTGCTGCCGACGAGCCCAACGACAGGGCCGCCGATCAGCAAGCGCAGCGCACCTCGAAGCACAGATACCGTACCGTCATCCCTGCCCCATCAGGCGATTATGCCTTCATCAAGACCATTGGCCAGGGCAGCATGGGCAAGGTGAAGCTGGCTAAGAAGGAGGGGTCAAACGAACTGGCAAGTCTCGTCGCATAACCTGCCTAGGTTGTTTGTCTGCTAACCCCCCGTCTGCTCGGTTTAGGTCGCATGCAAGATCATCGAGAGAGTATCCGTCGACGATGGGCGGCAGAGCAAAGAAGACCGAGAGCGGGCCGACGCCGCCAGGGAAGATCGCAACGCCCGCGAGGCTGCTATCGTCAGCTTGCTCAACCACCAGTATATCTGCGCGCTGCGGGACAACCTGCGGACAAGGTGGCACTGGTATATGCTCTTCGAATACGTCAATGGCGGCCAGATGCTCGACTACATCATTTCCCACGGGAAGCTCAAGGAAAAACAAGCCAGGAAGTTTGCGCGCCAGATAGCGAGTGCGGTCGACTACTGCCACCGGAATAGCATCGTTCACCGCGACCTCAAGATCGAGAATATCTTGATCAGCAAGACGGGCGACATCAAGATCATCGACTTTGGCCTTAGCAACCTCTTTTCGCCAGACGAGAACAGGAAGCTCAAGACATATTGCGGCAGTCTCTACTTTGCTGCCCCGGAACTGCTCCAGGCAAGGCCATACACGGGTCCCGAAGTCGACGTGTGGAGCTTCGGCGTGGTTCTGTTCGTTCTCGTCTGCGGTAAGGTGCCGTTCGACGACCAGTACATGCCCGCACTCCATCAGAAAATCAAGAAAGGCGCAGTCGACTACCCCAACTGGCTTTCGAGTGGTGGGTACCGTCCCGTACATTACATTCCACCATGTCGTCCTCGCTAACCAGCTCTTAGAATGCAAGCATCTGATTTCCCGGATGCTTGTCACGGATCCGAGGCAGCGCGCCACGATGCACGAAGTCATGAACCACCCCTGGATGCTTAAAGGGTACAACGGGCCTCCGGAAAACCATCTTGCCCATCGGGAGCCTCTGCAGCTGCCGCTCAACGAGGACGTCATCACACACATGACTGGTTTCAAGTTTGGCCCGCCGGACTACATCCGCGATGAGCTGACTAAGAAGATCTTGTCGCCAAAATACCAGGCAGCGGTCCGGCGCCTAGAGAAGGAGAGGGAACTGCCACAGCCTACTCCAAAGGAGGTGGAGAAGAGGCGTGCTTTTGGTTTCGACTTTTACAAGAGGCGGAACTCAGTAACGAGCAAGGAAACTCTCACCAACGGTAGCGCAGAAGGTCTGCCCATGGGCGATGATCCGCTCAACGCGTTTGATCCTATGATTTCCATCTACTACCTCGTCCAGGAGAAGTTTGACCGTGAGCGGCAAGAGGCGCTGGCGGCGCAACCCACGATGCCGCCCAAGGTGCAGGTCCCACCATCCCCACAACAATCCCAAACGCTCGCCGTCCCGCCGTCGCCAATCGCACGGCCAAAGGAGAAGCATTCTCTTGCCGAGATTGTGCCTCCGCAACCGGCACACACTGAGGGCGGCAGGTCGCGGCAGAGAGCAAGGTCACACAGCGAAGACCAGGTTAGGGAGCCGGTCAAGAACGGCCTGCTCTCCCCCGACATGGTGCCACAAAAGAAAGGCGGCAACGGCCCCGTCTCGCTCCTCCGCAGACTCAGCACGCGCGATAGGAGGAAGGAGCCCTCAGAGGGCAAATCCAGCACACTCATGCAAAAGTCGGTTTCCATGCGTGCCAAATCCCTTGGCCACGCCCGCCGGGACAGCATCCAAGCCCGCCGCGCCAAGCGGGAGGCCGACGCGCGGGATCAGCAGCAAAATTCGTCGTCGACCCACCAGGAGCCACCTGTCAGGGAGGAGACGGACGCCGAGTTGGGACAGGACGCCGAGGGCGGCGACAGCAGCGGCGGCTCGCACGAGCGCCTCGAGCCCGAGGACCCGGATCTCGCCAAGCCCGTGTACCTCAAGGGCATCTTCAGCGTGTCGACCACCTCCACCAAGCCGCTGCCCGAGATCCGCGCCGACATCAAGCGGGTCCTCAAGATGCTGGGCGTCGACTACACCGAGATCAAGGGCGGCTTCAGCTGCTCGCACGCGCCCAGCATCGCCGACCACTCGCCCTCGCACGGCCACCACGGCCACCACGGCGACTCGCGCGTCGCCGATGGCGAGATCCGCTTCGAGATCGTCATCGTCAAGGTCCCGATTGTCAGTCTGCATGGCGTGCAGTTCAAGAGGGTGGGCGGAAACACGTGGCAGTACAAGGCGATGGCGGAGCAGATTGTTAAGGAGTTGAGGTTGTAGACGATCGGGTCGGGTCGGGTCGGGTTCCAAGGTTGGGTTTGCATTGGCGAGGGGGGTACACACGGGAGAAGGGAGGGATGTTTTTTTACGTTTCGTGAGTGTCATGTTAGGCTGGTGTTGGTCTGCCCTGTGCTTGACGATGTTGGAGTTTGTTCAAAGGTAATTCTTTATATTCTAATTAGTACTTAATGCTGAGCCCTGTGATCCTCCCTCACTTTTGGTCTTGATTGGATGTACGAGTGGGATGGGACAGAAGAGAATCTGAGTTGTCCAGAATATGGTGTCCCTGAGCTACCACGATTGGAACAAGCGATGAATGAGACGAGTGACAAACACCTAGACAGGGTATGTGCGTCACTCTTCCACTTAACACCTGACTGTTTTCCGTCCTTGGAGAGTGGTGTTGTCCTCCTCGCCGACCCCCTAAAATACATATTGTAACTCCCATCCCAAACGCCGTTCCCCAACCAGTAGTTATACATGACATAGTACAACGGCCGTAGGTTACTCCCTCCTCCCACTTCCTGCACACCCGTCCCTTAACCGTCCCCGAAACCTCACAACCTGCCCATCAGCGTCGACCAAAACAACCACCTCTCCCTCCCTCCCACGGAGCCACTCACTCACTGGAGCCAGCCACTCACTCTCTTCACCACCCTTTCACCCACCTCCTTCATCCATTCACTCACTTTACTCACTTCACTGACTCCCCTCCCCCTTCCCCTCCCCTCCCCACCACCCCATAATCCTTGGCCAGTACGTAATCCACATATACGACTCCGCCACCACCATAACACAAAACACGGCAATCAAAGCCTTGCGGGCGCGCGGGTTGGGCACGATGGAGCGCAGGTCGAATTTGGGGTAGGCTGGGTTGCCGCTGGCGTTTACACTGCCATTGGCATTGTTACGGGGGTTCCCGCTGCTGCCACTGGTGTTGGTGTTGGTGTTGCGCACGGCGCGGGAGGTTGAGAAGGAGGTGGTTGTTTGGCGCGGGAGTGCGAGGTGGCGGGATGCCCGGGGTGATGGTGATGATGATGATGATAGGGGGGTGCGGGTGGGTAGGAGGCGTTGCAGGCGGTGGGCGGGGGGGAGGCGGAATGCGGCGGACATGATGGGTGGTGGTGGTTCTGGTGGGTTTGACTGTTTATTTTTCGGGTGATGGTTGTATTTAGTTTGGTTGGCTGCAAGGCTGGGGTAACGGAATACAAGATTGGATATTATGGGACGGGTGTGTTGGGAGGGAATCCTTGGGCTTATAACTTGGTCTTCGAGGCTTGCGTTTCAGCGCGATAATTGCCCGAATAGGCAATGTTGAGTCACTTGGTACAGATTACATGTATTTGATGCGACACACTCTCTGGGCTCCGGGAAAAGCCGGACCTGACACACCAACAATTAAATTTCCAGCATGTCAGCAAGATTGCACCTCACGTCAAAGAGCTGGTTCATGTTTGGGGAAAACCCCTTCGCAACTCGCATTCAGTTAGGAGGAAATCAATTCATGATCATCATTCATAACCCATCCCGGTTTCAAAACCTGTTGATGGTCAACGGCTTAAACGGCTTTTGCGGCCTTTGAACCGGTGTGATCCCCCGCCGGGCTAGGCCCGGGGGTCGCCGAATCTGTCCGCCGAAGGGAATGCCACGGGCCGCCGGCCGAGCGGGTCTCACCAGCGGTTCATTCTCGTCGTCCGGTTTTGCCGCGTTATTTTCATCATATTTCGAATCCTCCGCTGTCGCCGGCCGGGGCGGCGAGCTCGAGAAGCAGGCGTACCGCTTCGTTTTTGCTGCCTTCTTTTCGCTTGGGACCGACGGGCGGGTCATCATCCTCCCGGCGCCTAACCTGTGGCCGGCGAGAACCGGGTCGATTGGTTCTGTCGGAGCAGCCTGAGGCTGGGCTCTTGACGCACTCCGTGCCGGGAACATGTTGCTAGGTCTCATCTCCGGTGGTGGTCCCGCAGGCTGAGGAGCAGAGGCGGAGCTGGTCCTCACAAAGTCCATGATGCTTTTTTGGTTCGAGGCTCGCTGCTTAGTTGATGGTTTGGCCTTCTCGGTCGTTTTGGGAACTTTGGCTGTCCCATTTGCGGCAGTGATGGCGGCCTGGTTGGCTCCAACACTGACAAAGCCAGGCAGAGGGACGGTGGTGAATGTCGACGACTGTTCCATGGTAGTGGTGTGCTCGTTCTTCCACGGGCTTTCCTCGCCGTTGACCTGTCCCCCGCATGGACCATGGAGTCTCGGCCTTTTGGCCCTTGATACATCCCCCCCATAGCGAGCATCCGCGATACCGAGCCCGTGCTTCATCTCTTGCCTAACCTCTTCTGGGTCGACGGGGAAAAGGTTGTCCTCGGGGCTGAACATGGCAGGAAGGTCTTTGTAAATGGTCTCCTCTGGCGGCAGCTCGCGGCGAAGGATTTTGGCGATGTCGACCATGACAGGCCGGTCGAGACACGGCCCCTTCGGCAAAAATGAAGCTTTCACGGGATCAACAAAAGGCGACAGGTCGTGACGTTCCCCGTTGCCGTTCGCAGAGAAAAGCGGGCAACTGAGATAGAGCAGACTCTGGGCCCTCGTCATGGCCACATACAGCAACCTCCGCTCCTCATCTCCATCGTCGGATCGCATGTGAGGAATGGACCCGTCGTAGACCGCGGGGACAAAAACGATGGGCCATTCGAGGCCTTTCGCGGCGTGTATCGTCGAGATAGTCACCTGTGGGTTGCTCTCCTGGCCGTCGTTTCCCTTTTGGGTATCCGACGCGAGCGACACGTTGGCCAGAAAACGGGGTAGAACTCCATCTTCCTTTGTCTGTTCGAGTCCTTCGATTTCTGGCAGAGAATCTTCATCGGAGATCTCTATATCGCGGGTGAATTCGGCGGCGAGACTCAGGAATTCTTGCACGTTGGCCCATCTCTGGGCGTGGTCATCAGGGTCGGGATAGAACCCCTGGAGGTATTTTTGGAAGTCCAGTTTCGTCAGAAGGTGTTGAATCATCTCGACCAACCCAAAAGGCGCCCCGTCGGGCCCTGATGCTTCTCCAAGGCGCCTCCGAATATCCTGTAATAAACGCAGGAGCCCGCCGCTGACGCGCTGCTCGGCCTGTTTTGTGATTCTTGTTTTCGCCTTACGGTCTCCTCGGCAGTGTTTTGACAGGACATCCCAGACGCTGAGGGATGACGTCTCCGCCTCGTCGATCAGCGCTTTTACGGTCTCCGGGCCGATTCCTCTCTGGGGGACGTTTAGGATCCTTGCAAGTGCGTCGTTATTTTCAGGCTGGTGAATGACGCGCAGGTATTCAATAATAACCTTGATCTCTGCGCGCTCGTAAAACTTTTGGCCGCCAACCATCTTGTACGGAATACCGGCCCTTCCAAGAGAAGCCTCGATGTGCCGTGACAGAGCCGCCGAGCGTACCAAAACTGCTACATCGTCATTGCGCAGCATTGAACCTGACATGACGAGCACTCTCCTGATTTCCGAGACAATCCAGTCCGCTTCGGCGGATGCACTCTTCAGCCGGCGAAGAACGGGGCGGGGACCTTTGTTGTGGGTGGGCGTCAGGACTTTTTGGTACCGCGCCTGGTCCTGCTGTATCACTTCCAACGATAAGTCAAGGATAGACTGGGACGACCGGTAATTCTCCTCAAGGGATATCTCGTCGGTCTCGGGAAACTCTCGGAGCATTTTCCACAGGTTTTTGATCTCGGCCGAGCGCCATCCGTAGATGCTTTGGTCCGGATCTCCGACGGTGGTGATCCTTTGGCGGCGCTGAGCAAAGAGTTTCATCAAGTCGTACTGGATCCCGTTCGTGTCCTGATACTCGTCGATGAGGACTGTTTGTATGTTGGAGACGCAAGACGGGAATTTCTGGAGAAGATCGACGCAATTCACCAGCAGGTCGTCGTAGTCTAGAAGATTTGACGTCTCTAGGTGTTTTTGGTACTCGCTGTAGCAAGTCTCGAGCTCCCGAAGCCCGGCTGGTTTGGTGGACTCCTGGCGGGCCGATTTGGAAGCTTCCTCGGTGCCCTTGGCTTTCTTCTTGCTGATCCATGAGCGTGCGACAGCCGGGTCGGTGCCGAGCTGCAACCTCTTGCAAATTCGTTTGAGGATTGCGCTGGAATCGGCGCTATCGGCAATGCCAAACTTCTGGTTGAGGCCGATGTGTCGTCCGTAAGCGGCAAGATAGCGGCGTGAGATGCTGTGAAAGGTGCCGAGTATGAGTTTGGTCTCTCGGCCGTTTCCCAGAGCTTTCCCAATGCGCTCTTTCATTTCGCGTGCGGCCTTGACGGTGAAGGTAGCGACGATGACGTCCTCGGGGCGGATTCCCATGCGGTCGACCAGCCAGACGACCCGGGCTGTGAGCGTATGAGTCTTGCCGCTGCCGGGTCCAGCCAAGATAGCAACAGTGGCGGCATCCGAGGTCACCGCCCTACGCTGGGCATTGTTGAGACCATGGAGGATTGCGTGATTGAGTGTTGGGGTTGTCATGGTGGCCAGCAACCACGACAACGTGTGGCGCTCGTGGGCGCTGGAGAGTTGGGAGGACCTGGTACGGTATCGCGTTACCAAATTTGGTATCTCGAAATGGTCTGGCTCGTTCAAGTTGTCCGCATGCGGAGGACTGATCGAAGAGCACCGGACTGTCAAGTGTCAAGTGTCAACAGCAGGCACGGCTGTCAACGGCATCAACATGCAACCGACCGAGCTCACGGAAGGCGCGACAACACAGAGGACAACCGTGATGTGGGGCGCTTGATACGCGAGAGCACGTGATACAGGTGCCGCTTCCGTGCAACCCCATGACGATCACATGGAAGGAGCGAGGGAGTTCAAAAATAGATCCTCCAACTCCCCAGCTTTTTGTTCCCGGTTCGCTCCCATGCATTGATTTGCGATTGAGATACAACCTGCCATCGGGTCAACCTGTAAGCCCGGGCCGTGCATCAACAACAATAAACCGAATATCCGAGGCACAATGGAATGCACGTGGGGAATCCTCTGCTTGTCAGTGGTTAATTGAATCCAATTTCTTCGTTGTCTGGGGTCACTCTGAATGACTTTCCTTTTTCGCGATCCCATCGTGATGACGACGACATCTGCAAATATCTCCGACGTCTCCGGCGTCTCCGACGGCTGAGATTCTTGTCAGCCGGCGGAAATCAACCATGCGCCCTTTGGTCGAGAGATCGTGGGCATTGAATCCATAAAACCTTGGAGATGTTCGCGCTTCTCGAGGTCGTGGGAGGTTGAAACAAGGCGTTGGAACTAAAGCCTCGTTCCTCAGCCATCATCGACTTTCTTCGTCTCCACGACACCTCCCTCGACGATAGCCATGCGCTGGCTACAAGGTATCGCCCTCTGGGCGCTGCTGGCTCCGCTCTCGCAAGCCAATGTCGCGGACCCGGCCAAGGACGCGACTCCTTACCACAAAGAGTTCGTCTTATTCCGCAGCGCCAACATGGCTTCCCCAGACAAGCTCTCTAGCGGCATTGGCTTTCACTCCTTCCGCATCCCGGCCGTCGTCACCACGAGCACGGGCCGAATCCTTGCTTTTGCCGAAGGCCGCCGCCACAACAACCGCGACTACGGCGACATCAACCTCGTCTATAAGCGCACCAAGACAACCACCAACCACGGTGCGTCCCCCAGCGACTGGGAGGGCCTGAAAGAGGTGGTTGGTTCCGGCGCCGGCACATGGGGCAACCCGACGCCGGTGGTCGACGGCAAAACCATCTACCTGTTCATGTCCTGGAACGGCGCTACCTACAGCCAGAACGGCGGCAACACACTCCCCGACGGGACCAAGACCAAGAAGATTGACACCACCTGGGCGGGACGCCGCCATCTGTACCTCACCAAGAGCACGGACGATGGCGCCACCTGGTCCAAGCCCGAGGACGTCACCAAGACGCTGACCCCCGCCAATCGCGCCTGGGACGCCGTCGGTCCCGGCAATGGCATCAGGCTTACCACGGGCGAGCTCGTTGTCCCCGCGCAGGGCCGCAACATCATCGGCCGCGGCCCCTCGGGCAACCGCACCTGGTCGATGCAGATCCTCTCGGGGGCCGGGTCCGAGGGCACGATCGCGCAGACCCCCGACGGCAAGCTCTACCGCAACGACCGGTCCGGCAGCGGCGACTACCGGCGCGTGGCGCGCGGCACGCTCACCAGCTTCGGGAAGTTTGCCGACGACGGCGGCCTGCCGGACCCCAAGTGCGAGGGGTCCGTGCTGCTGTACAACCGGGCCGACTCCAAGGGCCCCGCCCGGACTATCTTCATGAACTCGGCCAGCAAGACGAGCCGCCGGGCGATGCGCGTGCGCATCAGCTATGACAGCAACGCGGCCAAGTGGAACTTTGGGCGGGAGCTGGCCAATGCGCCAGTGTCTGGGGCAGGCAACGAGGGCGGGTATTCGAGCATGACCAAGACGGCGGACTACAAGATTGGGGCCCTAGTCGAGAGCGACTTTTATAACGACAAGGGAGGCCAGAAGTCGTATCGGTCCATCATCTGGCGGCGGTTTAACCTGTCGTGGATCTTGCATGGGCCGCGTAACTAAGGGGCTCTTTAGGGTCGTCGGTGTCGACCGAGGTAGTAAATTACATATGATGTACTAATCGGAACGCACTGTTGTTCCGCTGTGGAGGGCCGTGTGAGCGAGAGGGCCGTGTGATCTGGGGGACCGTGTGCCAGCTGTGCTGCAAGGTCTGTTCGCCTGTTCACCTGTTCACCTGCTGTTCTCCAGGCTGGCCATGCCAACTTACCCATCATCATCTCCCACCATTCCTCCAAGCCATCAGCTTCCAATACCATCTTTCTCCGCGACTTTTCCCAAACCTCAACTCGTTCGAAAATCGATCAGCAATCGACCGACTACGACAGAATGTCCCAAATCAATCAGCAGTCGGTTGACTACGACATATTGTCTAAAATCAATCAGCAGGCGACGGCCTACCACGAGACACTTTCTAAGCAGAGGGCCGCATCATCCGACTCAGACCACCCTCCCAAGTCCGAAATCGAACACGCTCCATCGTCGGACATCGAACGTCCAATGTCGGAAATCGAGCCGGGCTTGTTTTTGGGAGATGAGGTGAACTCGTACACAGTCTCCGGGTTGGCCAGCAACAACATCGGCGCCATTGTTACCATGTTAAAAGTCAGGCCAATATACTGGAGCCATCCGCAGTATCGCCCCTTTGTGGATATGGACCGCCATATGTTCATCCCCTGCCGGGATTCAAACACCCAGGACCTCCTCCGCCGGATGCCCGATATTTGTGATTTTATTCACCAAATGCTCCACGGGGAAGAGAGGCAGAGCGTCCTTGTGCACTGTCACAAGGGCATTTCACGTTCAGCCACGGCGATTGTGGCCTACCTCATGCGAACCCATCGCCAACCGTTGGACGCCGTGCTCGCTTCGGTAAAGGCCATACGGCCAATTGTCAGGCCCAACCCCAACTTCATGGAGCAGCTGGCCGTCTGGGCTGCGGTCGGCTACGAACCCTGGGAAGACGCGGCCAGAACGACCCCCAAGCCCCGGTATGCCGCCTACCTGGCAGGTTGGCGGGAAAGTGGCGGGTAACCGGCAATCTGGGTTTGGAATTCGTACTACGAGAGTAGACTTGTAGTGTAGTAATCCAAACCCTGCCATCAATGAATCCATACACTTTGCGTGACTTGACAAACTAGCGCCACCTATCCCGGCCTCGACGTCATGGCTTACTATGTATATCGCTAAGCCAACTCAACCTCGAAAGCAATCCAAGGCAGATAGTTAAACAGCAGAAGACGCTATGAGACAGGAATCCTTTTCTTGTTTTGAATAGGCGTTCCGTATCCAAGGGTCAAGTTACACGCCTGCGAGGTCCCTCATATCCGAGGGTTAAGTTCAGCTACGCGACCACGAGGTTGTTTGTATCTAAGGGTAAAATTATACGCCCACGAGGCCAACGGAGCCATCACGTAGTGCGAGGGTCAAGTTACGACTGCTTTTCTGTCAAAACATTTAAACCATCCCTCGGATCTCTATTAGTTTAGATTTTAAATCATGGCTAAATACCTCAATCACCGTTTCATCCCTGTTTCCACCAGCCGACCCTGCGCTTCATCGTGGCAGTAAAGCGCTCGGAGAACGTGGCGTTAGAGCGAAGCCGATCCTCCTCCTCCATAAGGTAGTGGGCCCGATTGCGACGGACCTTGTACATGATATGGCATTGCCTAAGGGTACACAACCTGCATTTCGGAACGAGTCAGCACACGGCCAGGTCCAGTACAGGGAAGAAGAAGAAGAACCCAGCACGGCCATACCAACTGCCAGTAACCCCTCCTCAAAAAAAGAGAAGAAAAAAAAGAAAGAAAAAAAGAAACCACTCACAAAGAAAGACTCGCAAAAGCCAGCGCCACACAGCTCGCATCAAACACCTTCCCCTCCGGCGTCAGCGGGTAGCACTTCCTGCGCCGCCTGCGGGTCCCGCACGTATCCGTGAGGCCGGCCGTCGAGTCGCGCTCGCCCATGTGCGACTGCGTCAGGTGCATCACCGCGCCCCCGCCGCCGACGGCCAGCGCCAGCAGCACGATCGACGCGCAGGCGGTGGCCAGGTACGTGTGCCGCGACAGCTTGCTGCTGCTCGGCGTCGTCTTGGCCGTGCTGCCGGGGGCGCGCAGGGCGGGGGTGAAGAAGAGGAGGGTGTGGATGATTGCCTGTGAGGTTTGGAAGGGGGGGGTTAGTGGTGGTTATGGTGGTGGTGGAGGGGGTGGTAAATGATATGGAGGGGGGCTGGGGTGAGGTGGTGGTGATGGTTATGGTAGTGGGAGGTGACGTGACATGAGCATGGGTGTTTGTTGGACAGGGGGGTAGCGCAGTCATGTAAGTTGGGTGATGATGAGATGAGAACATGCACTCACACAGACGATGCAGTACGCCGCCCAGGGAAGCGCGATCCAGTTCGTGGTCGGCTTCGTCCCCTGATCCACGATCCACGCTGAAGCACCGAGCATGACCAGGGCATAGACGGAGCGCAGGGCAATCCAGAAGTCGTCGGTGCTGTAGGCCGACTTGGGTTTGGCCTCCTTCTTGCTCGCCTTTTCGGCGTGGTCGTCGTCCTGACTTGAGCGGAGGGTAGAGGACCGCTCGTTCATCTCCACGTCGGACATGGGAACTGGCTGCGCTGCTAGCAGCATGCGCTTTGTCTCTTCGTCGGGATCCATGGTGTTGACCGTGCTCGGCGTGCTGTGGTTCGATGGGGAGGAAGTGTTGGGCTGCAAAAAGGGATGGGCCACGGGCGTCTTTTACAAGTAGACGCGAAACGGCGCGCGTGGGCGCGGTTTTTCTCTCCCGAAAACGGTTTGGCGCTTGTCGGTGCTCATTACCTGCCAGCAGCAGTCAGGCTGAATCTGCAGATCTCCTATACTATGCGGTCTAGTTGATACCCCTGAAACAAATGGCTGTAGCGGGCCATCATCGCTCCGTCTTACCTGGATGCCGATCCTCTAACTAAACGTTTAAATTCATGTCTAAGTTTCTCCGATGTAATCTGTCCAAGCAGACAGACATACATAGCACAACCATGGAGTTATACATACAACAAGGAAGAGGCAAAAGAGAGAAGTTCCCGCCAGGGCATCCCAGCACCTCACTTGGCCCGCTGCCTCGTCCTCCCCCCTATCATTCGCCGGCCCACTTTCTATCCTTTCGACAACAGGAATGATCGCATTGGTGATGTTACGGCAGGTAAAAGGTTAAACTGGTAACTATCCTTGGAGCTCAAACTGCCGGGTTTAAGAATCGTGGGGTCGACTCGTGGCTTGAGTGCCCAGGTTTTGCAAGATATGTGAAGCAGGGAGGAATGTACGTGGGGAAGTACCCAGGTAGGTACATACCTTAGTTGGGAAAATGAGGGCGGCGAGAGGCCTCACAATCCTTCCGCAAGGCTTCTTGGGCTTCCCAGTCAAATAAGCCTTACGGATTAAGGAAGCCTTCCAGCCCCCTTACCAAATTCAGGGGCCTCCAACGGCACCTGCTGGGTAACGGTAAAACGGACAGGGCGACCAGGAGCAGGGCGTTCAGGGCCGTCGTCTCCCGCCTTGCGACTTCCTCGTAAAGTCGCGTCTCTAGTTATACAACCACACAACCTCCTTCCTCAATTGAATAGCTTCGCTTGCCGTGATTCAATTGTAAATGATCTCCTCCTTTTTCTTTTTTTCATGATACCTGTCCCGTGTTCAATTCCACGGCGTGACATCTTTCTTTAAGTGCAATGTTCAATAAAATGGCGGTCCCGTTGTTGAAGAAGAAGGTGTAGAGCCTCTTATAAGGGATTATTATAAAGGCTTAATTACTCGATTTCCATTGAAGGCTTCCTCTTTAAGTAATCTGTCAAACCCTTTTTTGGCCTGGCCTACAGCCCTCCCGTCTAGGTACGGAACCCCGCCGAAGTATGTACATATGTACCATGGTTTTAGAGGTTCCATCCGACGTGCTTCCATGCAAACCCCGCTTTCTGCTCAATGTGTTTTCTTCGGTGGGCGGCAGCTATTGAATGCTGCCTTCCCCGACAACATTGCCGCCAACTTGGGGACCCCCCTGGGTTACACCCCTGCTTAGAGAACCGCTCAGCTTCCCAACCATGGCAGAGCCGTTCAGTAGGAAAGCCATTGCCAAGGCATTCTTCGGCCTCGACATCACCGATGATAAACCCTCCTCGACAGTGGGAAACCAACGCCCTAAGAAGGGGAGCAAGACGAAGGCGCCCATCACAACGAAGCAGGAATCCCGACTACTCAACTTGCCAGTCGAGATCCGACTTCAAATATACGACCTGCTTCTCGTCAGCTGGTTCAATCGCTGGGACAACCCATCCTGGTCGGTCGGGAACACTCATCAGAAGTTGATCTTGTTGGATTCCATCAAGGATCGACAGTACCGAACCATGGATCCGGCTGTTCTGCAAGCGTGCAAGCAAGTCTACTCCGAGGCGGTCCCGATACTCTATTCACGGAACGTGTTCCGCTTTAACGACCCGCACTTGATGTTTCGGCTCATGGTTCAGATTGGGGATACTAATACGAAACTGATTCGATCTCTGGATATCTACGTGCCCCCCGACGCCGACAGAGATTCGTGGTTGAATCTCCTCCATGTCCTTCCCACCGCCACCACGGCTCTGAAGACGGTCGTGATGAGTTGGTGGGGGGAGGGGGATGACAAGCTCTGTGAACGACTGAGCTTGGGGAAGGACGTAGCCTTTGCTCAGGCTCTAGCGGGGCTATCGACATTGGGCCTGGAGAAGCTGAAGATTGAGGGATATTACGCTCAGAGCTGGCCTGCGTATTTCAGAGACAAGTTCGGGGCGCGAGTGGTTGAGGCTGAAGAGGGTCGTCCACGCCCACCGAGAGACGACGACGATGACTGGATGCGCGAGTTGAACAAAAGGTCCTTGGAGGATTTCAGGAAATATCAGGAGGGAACCGAGTTGCTGAATCCATGGGAAGAAGTTGGTAACGCAACATTCTTCTGAATCGCTCAACATTCGTCATACAGTGTTGTGTTAAGCACCAGTGTGATCGGCGGCTACAATATGCTGGATGACTCCCCTTTGTTCATTGTTATGTTATTTGAGCCATTGACGAGTTGGGTGTGTACTTGCGGGCAATGTGAGGATATCATATTAGACTGGGGCGAGGCATACATGAGGGGGAGAGAGTCCAAGAGACTGAAGATCAGGTTGATGTTTCTACCCTGATTCCACCCCACAAACTCAAAGCGGTGATGGAGGGTTTCCAGCAGTCCCATATATAGCCGTGAGGTCACCAAGCCCGCCCCTAAATTTCCCCATTCCCTTTAATGGTTCGCCGGCCGGCTCGTCGCCGCTTTATGAACCTGGCTCACGCAACGCAGGGCCGCCTCCATGGCGCCCTGAATCCAGCCGTGCGTGTAGCTGGCGTGCTCGCCGGCGAGGAAGACGCGGTAGCTCTTGGGGTCCTTGGGGTACGCCCAGTCCGGAGTGCACATGGTCTCGAGGTACTGGCCCTTCTGGCGGGGGCCGAAGTAGCAGAAGGCGCTACCGCCCGCCAGCTCGTCGGTGGGGAAGGCCTGCGACGTGCCGCCCTCGAGATACTTCAGCGAGCCGGCGCCGGGGAAGATGCGGTCTAGGTTCTCGGCCGCCGTGCGCACCCGCCGCTCCTCCGGCATGGCGCTGAGGATGGTGGCGTCCTGCTGGAAGGTGTAGGCCGCCATGATGGCGCCGCGGTTCGTGTCGTTGGTCTGCGTGTTGCCCTCGGTCACCGGGAACATGGTGTACCGGATCGGCAGGTCGCTGACCAGACCGCCGTCGGTGCCCTGGCCGTTCTCTGTGAAGACTTGCTCCCACCAGCGCTTTTTGTACTGCAGGAGGACCTTGGTTACCTCGATGTAGCGCACGTCGCGGATGGCCTGCTCCAGCTCCAGTCTGAAGGGACGGGACTTGGTGATGAGCCGTTGGGCCGTGTAGGGCACCGCGAGGATGACGTAGTCCGAGGTGAGAGTGTACTTGTGGTTGGCCGTCTCGTAGTGGACTTTGACCTGGGGGGACTTGTCGCCCTGAGGGGGGAGGTCTTCCAGGTGCGTCACGCGGGCGCCGTACGTGATGTTATCGTCAAGGGATTCCTCCCCCAGGTCCGACGAAAGGAAGGCTTTGGGAACCTGGTCCATGCCGTACTGCAGCTGCTGCATGCCGGACGTCTGGCCTTCGGTGTTGCTCGAGAGGAAAGCATCCTTCCAGGACTCGATGAAGCCGTTCTCGTACACGACGTGGGCGTTGCCGAGGTCGTAGAGCCTGATGGCGTCGTCGCTCCACCCGGCGACCTCCTTGAGGAACGAACGGAGGGTGTACTTATCGTACTTACGGGTGACTGTCTGGTATGCGCGGCGAATCCTGATGGGCTTGTCGCCGTCGCCCTTGTTGTAGGCATCCTCGAATTCTTGAACGACGGGCGCGACGGCTTCAAGGAAGAGCTGGTCGCACGTTTTGCCTTTCTCGGTTTCATCTAGACCCGGGAAGACAGCGAGCAGGTCGCGATCTTTTGCGTTCAGCTTCTTGTTGAAGTCGTCATACGTCAACTTAGAGCCACCTTGGTAGTCCGAAAGGTAGATGAACTTGTTCTTCATCTCAAAGCGAAACAGTTGGTCATCGAGCTGGAACTTTTTAAGGTAGGCGCGCAAGAGAAAATGGTTCCCAGGAATGCGCATGGCGCCTCCTTCGCCATGCAGACCCGGGGCGAGGACGGGGTCCCGGAAAGTGACTATGCGGCCGCCTACCCGAGAGGATGCCTCGAGGATGTGAACGACAAAGCCGGCCCGCTTAAGCTCGTAGCCAGCCACGAGGCCTGAAATGCCTCCACCGACGATGGTTACCTGTGGTGGATGCGTATTAGTGCCACGGCCCACGGGTACGAAGTACTACTACTATTATAGCACAACAGGTATGAATTTCTCATCAAACGTACCGAGGTGCCCTTGGGTACGCCCTTCAACCCCGGGCCATTGATCATGTCCGTATAGGTCGCCTCGTCTTGTGCGCTTTCATCGGGAATCTCATGCTTCCCAGGCGCGGGCTCCGGCTCGGCGCCACGAGTAGACCGCCCGCGAAAAGGCACCGCCCTCAACGCCTCGTTGCCGATCGACCATAGTGCACGGCCGTCTTTGCTTTTCAAGGCCTCCTGGTAGTCTGTCTCCGGTTTAGTGAAGTTGAGAAGGAATCTCAGGAGGGGGGCAGTTCCGGGAGAGGCGACATCGCCCTGGGTGTACTCGTGGATTTCGAAATCATCCGAGAGGGGTCGGGGCGCCTTAGATGCTTCCATGTTGCGTGTTTCTGAGCGGAGTCAAAGAAAGGAAGTTTGCTTTGATTGTTGACTGCCGAGGCACGGTTGGGGCTTGCAGAAGCATAGGTCGTCAAGAGAGAGCACAGGTCGAGATATATAAGTACGTCTAACACGGGCTTCCTTGATGTTGCAGCTGTATCCGAACCCTGGCAAGGGACTTGAACATCATTGCCTTCACCGTCAAAGAGAGGGACCATGGCTGCCCAATATTCAATGCGGTGTTTCTTTCCCTGTTCAGAGACCATAAAATGCGCAAGTGTTGCAAGGCAATAACGCTCATGGGCCAGTAAACAAGCCAAAGACCGGATGGTTACGTATTATGGCGATCAGAGCCTCCTATGGCTGCCCGAGTGAGGGCCGAAGTGAGCCCGATTGGGATTCGAATGAGCTCTTGGAGAGCTGAGTCCCCGAGGAGAGGGGTTTAGAGGGTCACACTCATGCAGGGACTACCGAATGTATAGACACGCATGAAGCTGAGCCCTCAACATGGTAACACACCCAAATTCGCCGGGCATCAATGCACTACCCTCCACCACGGCACGGCCCATCCCGCCTTACCCGCCAAATCAACCACCACAACCCCCCTCCCTCGGAGTTCCCCCTCACGATGAATGGCTCTTGGCATGGCAGATGACTGAACATGAATTTCAACTAGGCACTGTTCAGCTCTTCACCCACATTGTGCTAGTCCCATCTCGGGGCGGCCAAGCTCGGAGGTCCGGATTTGATATTCATCTAGCCGCGGTTGCCGCGTGCCCCTGAAAAGATGAAGAAACTCCTGCGAAAGACAGTAGGGAGTGAATCCGGTCGTTGTCTCCATACTTTCCAGCCACCTCCGTCATTGCCAGATGCACTCCATCTGACTCAGAAAGGGGACCTGTAATTAATCACGGGTTGTATCCATCCAGCCACTATCACCCCCCTCACACCACCAACAACCCACAACCAACCAACAGAACCCAAACCTCCCCCCCCCCCCCCCCGCCCCAAGGTCAACATGCCCTGCAAACTCGCCATCCCCATCGCGTCCATGGGCCACCGCTCCACCGGCCACACTCTCACACGCAAACTCGACGCGGCCCAAGCCTCCGGCTCCTAGGGGGGGAGCTGCTGGTGGTGGTGCGGTTCGCGTACGAGCCGCGCTGCTCGGCCACGCGCGTGGATTGCTGGGAGTTGGGCTGGGAGGTAGGTGGTGCGGCGCGTGGGGAGGCCGAACTTTGGCCTGTGTTTGGATAGGTACCTTCCACCTGGCAGGGTTGTATGTGCTTTGCTGATCCGGCTGTGCCGTCCGGGCTGGTGTCGGGCGGTGATGAGGCCGTGCGCGTGTCGATGCGTCGGCTGGTCGAGCGCGTCAAGGCGCACCGTGGTAGCCACCTTCTTGGTGCAGATGGGCGACGCGCGGCGGCCCGATGAGCCTATCGCGCCTGGGAGCCCGGAGTATGACTGGAACCCGAGTAGACGCCGCGCGCGGTGTGGTCGAGCTGGTATCGGCTGTTTTATGAGGAGGGAGTGCGCGGTGGGTATTGGCCGGTTCGAGAGATCTCTGAGGCCATCTTCAACGGGGTTGGGTATGAGGGCTGGGTGAGCATGGAATTGTTTAGTCGGCGTATGGACTGTAAGGACCCCAACGTGCCGATGGAGCTCGCGCGGAGGGGCGCTATTGCCTGGCGTAAGCTGCCGAGCGATATGGGCTGGTGGCCTGCGCCGCCGGATATGATCGAGACCAGTGTCGTGTGTTAGGGGATGTTGGGACGGCTAGCAGATCGGCCTGGTGATTTCTTTTTCCTTTCTTCTTTCTTTTCCTTTTTTTTTCCCTTTCTTTCTTTTTCATCACTTTTCTTTTCTCCTTTCCTTTCCTTTCCGTTTTCTTCTTCTTTTGCTTCTTTTTTTACTTGTTCTTTTCTACCTTTCCTTCTCTCTTCGTTGCGTCCCCCCCCCCCGTTCTTGTATTTTTTCAACGCTCTACTCGAGTTCTTTTTGCTCAACTTTTTCCCCGTTTCTTTTCGCCCGAATACTAGTAAACAAGCCCAACAGTGAGTGACAGGGGCGAAACGAGCCTCGCTTGTCCCGCGATTCCCCTCCCTGCGGCACCGATGGATTGGATACGGCCTCCTTGAAAGAGATCACATAGGTGACCTCATGGGACGAATTGAGCGCTTCAATGCCCTCGGCGAACCAAACCGTCCTCCATAGCGTCCATGGTAACGCCAACCGGAGCTTCTCTCCATATTCATGGCAATGAAGCGCATTGGGCCACGAGTTGGTCGCTCCCCCGTGGATACTCGAGAACATGTCCCACATGTACTTCACGGCCGTCTCTGTGTTCAGGCTTGTGCTTGGTAGTTTTCCTTTGGTCTGACTGCGGATGGTGTTCCACTGTGCTTCTCTGCCCTTAGGAAGCACATAAACACTTTGGCCAAGAGCTGATGGCAATGTTGGGCGAAATTTGAATAGTAGAACCCCTGTATGGGTGTGATCGCGGCAACTCCAAGGACTTTGTAGTTTCTGTTTCGCAACTCCGGTGGGCACCGGGGACAGCACCTCGGCGAGAAACGCTGCCCAAAGGAAGGAGCGGAGTGGGCTAAAGCCCGTCCAGACAACAGGGAGCCGATTGGATGTTGGGACTACCTGGTTGTCCCTGCTGTGGCCGGCCAAGGCGCCGGTTTGTAGAGCTGTATCTTGTTCTTCCCAAACTGCGGTGCAGAAGGAGTCGGTTCCATGGTACACGGGTAGAGCTTTGAACTCAGGTGACGATGGGGTGGCGGATGGACCGGCACTGAGCGCGATGCGCTCCATCTCTCTTGTGGTTGCGTTATGGCCCCAAGCATCTAGGATTGCAGTGCCCTCCAAATCAATTTGTACAAGGGAACATCGTGGGCCTTGGTCGAGTGGGCTATCGGTGTCCGGCAGGGCCTCGGTAGGGGCAGGAGGCGGTAGAGGCGGGAGAGTTGGCGAAGTTGCGGCTCGTTTGGTCGCAGGGGGCTGAGGTGCGGTCCCTTCTGTTTGTCCCGGCAATGGTACTGCTTCTACCGCCTCCTTTGCGCACTGGACAGCGATGGACTGTATGAGATCTCTGATCGCCTCTCTTGCAGGGCGTGCTTCGATGAAGACGTCCGATAACCCAGTTATGCCTGCCACGGCGTCGAATGCTCGGGCTTGGGCATTGATCTCGGCCAGGAATGAAGACGAGAAAATGGGCTCGACAAGCGAGAGGAACTCAGATATCGATGCTGGGGACTTGTCGAACTTCAAGTTCGGGTTGGTGAAAACAGTATTGAACACCGTCCAGTTGAGGACCTCGAGAATCCCGTAATTCCCCGCGACGACTTTATGGCGTAGGGTGCTGGACGCAGGCTCCGCGAAATATCGAGCTGCATTGGTGACCGCATGCTTGAATTGGTCCCCTGCGAGGCAGAAGTTGAAATCCATGGCTATACCGAAGGACGAAGGTGTCGAGGTTGGTGTATGAAGATGGGTAGGTACTTACATGTGGGTAACCAGGTAGGCGCGTGGTTTCCAGGCTTCTTCCGAAAGGTTAAAACCACAGCTTTGCGAAGTGAGGTCTAGGTAAGGTACCTAGGTAAGGTACCTAGGTAAGGTACCTAGGTAGGGAACTAGGTTGTCAGAGAGCGAACTCCCCCACCAATTTTATGTTTTTGACTTTTAGCTGCCAACCGTCCTAGTCACATGGTAAATGCTGAATCAATCCGATCTGGGTGGCAACTTGAGAAATACCGCCACGCTAAACAGTGAATACAACAGCGTGGCCAAGCACGTACATAGCGGCTATTCGGTTATGAACGTTTCTACCTCTAGGTTCCAGCGATACCCACGACCCTAAAGAGCACTTATTACAAGATACCTAAGCTATCTTCACCCTCACTTCCTGGGAATGTACATGTCCTCGAACCCAACAGCGTCCCACTCCCCAGTCTCGGTGTTCAGTGTGACGTTGGTCCCCGTCGTCTTGCCACCGCGGAGGAAGCCAGCCTCGACATTTCCGCCGCCAACGGGGCGCGACAAGTGGTTCTTGCCAGACGCGACCGTGAAGTTGGCCAGCGGGAGGTCCCAGGCGTTGGGGGTTGCGACGCTCGGAGAACCTAACACAAAGCGACGGTATCAGTTTTCCATTTCAATCTTTCATCGCACTATTATCACGGCATGGTATTAACGACTTACCAAAGTACTGCGCCGTCACACCCTCCTTGCGGACCTGCAGGACAAAGTACCCGCGGTAGTACCCCTCCTGCCACTGCAGCACCTCGTGGGCCTCGACCTGGGCGCGGGCCTTCTCCCTCGCGGCGAGGATCGGGCCGCTCTGGCCCGAGGACGAGACGGCGGTGCCGGCGAACTCGACACCGACGGAGCCCTCGCCGGTCTCGGAGTCGTAGTCGGCCTTGCCGAGCCAGGTGACGTCCGAGACCCAGCTCTGGTGGCTGTCGCCGGCGAGGAAGAGGTTGTTGCCGATCCCGTTGTCGTACAGGTGCTGCAGGGTGCGGTTGCGGTTGGCGAGGTAGCCCTGCCAGTTGTCGCCGCTGTTGCTGATCTCGGAGAAGATGATCTGGCTGCCGATGATGCGCCAGGCGGCGCCGCGCTCCGACGACGCCGTCAGCTGGTTGTAGAACCAGTTCTCCTGCCGCGAGCCCATCAGCGTGCGCGAGGCGTCGTCGCGGATGAGGTCGATGTAGTGGTCGTTCCACCCCAGGCTGGTGATGCTGCGGTCGTAGTTGCGCGTGTCGAGGATGATCAGGTCCACGAGGCTGCCCAGCTTGAAGGACCGCCAGATCCGGAGGTTGTCGTCGAGGTCGACTTGGCTGTGGGGGGCTAAGTCATCTCCGGGCGGAATCTGAGAGGGAAAAAAGACTTACCGGATGGGCATCCACTCAAAATAGGCCCGCACCGCATTCATCTTGCGCTGGTCGACGGTGATGGAGGGGCCGTCCGTGCGGAAAGACTCTTCCGTGTTGTTCAAGGCACTGAATCCATCACGGTAACCGTTGTTGGCAATCTCTGTTGGTCGTTATGGTTAACAAACTGAGCAAAAGAAGGAGCCGTGTGCCGTTCATACCGTGGTCATCCCAGGTCGGCATCCAAGCGTAGTTCTGAGCCAGGAGTTGTAGGTCGGGATCGGTGCGGTACTGTCCGTCTTGTTAGCTGTCTCTACGGGCTTGAAGTGTCATGAGCCCGAGTTCCTCACCTGTCCATGGCGGGTCCTGTAGTCCCACAAGCTAAAGATGATATGCGGGGGTTCGTGTGCACGCTCGCCCCCCTGGGCTCCCTCGTAGATGTAGTCACCCAGATGGATCACATAATCATGCTGGTCCTTCCGGGCGGCATTGCCGTACGCGTTGAAATAACCATTGGCTACATTGCAGGTCAGCGGCAGTCGCCAGTTTCAAAGAGAGGTAACTCACGGAAGTTGCTGCACGAAAATACGGCCAACTTGAGCTCGTCTAGCTTGGAATTATCTGCAGGCGCAGTCTTGGTCCTTCCCACCGGGCTGGTGTTGTCAGACTTGCAAACCGTGAACTGGTAGTTGTAATCAGTGAACGGCTTAAGACCCTTGGCCTCGACCTATTTTTTGTTAGTCTCGGAAGCATCTTTTTTGGGGCGGGATGGGCTTCCACAAACCTTAACAGTGTAGTCAATGTCGCTTGTCGTGTAAGCAGTACCTTGGGCTGCAGCGTTCTTCTTAGGGGGGTTGGGGCCGTGACCAGGGCGAGTGCCGTTGGACTTGATTTCCCAGACTTTCCACTCCACACAGATCGGGTTAGGATCGGCCTTGATGTACTTCTCGGTCTCGTGGTTGTACAAAGCAACGGTTCCCTCCACGGTGACGTTGCTGTTGTCAGAAACCAGAGACGGGGCAACTCGGGTCCAGAGAATGACGCTGTCCGGGTAGGGGTCGCCAGAGGCAATGCCGTGGGTGAAGTTAAGCTCGGACGGCTCAAAGGGCACGGCGCTACGCTTCAGGCTGCGGCGTGCCACGACGGGGACGTCGATGCCGAGGTTGACATGGCGTAGCGAAGGGCTGTGGTAGTTGAGGTTTCCCTCAAATGCAGCAGAAGCCAGCGGCGCCGAGAGGGCCGCCAGACTTAGAGTTGACAAGACACGCATCTTGTGAACAGAGCCCTGCTAGGTGATGGTGGGCAGCGGCGAGGAGCGCAAATCGGCGACTGAGCTGTTACATCCCATTGATTCCCAGATTCTGTCGGCACCGTTTTATACCATTATCATCATCCCTCCAGACCCATACCATGCTCCATCATCACCTTCCCGTGTTTCCATAATTACCTATCCCTCGGTGAATGATTCAGGGCAGGACCTTGTGTCGGTTTCCAGGTTATGTCGCCCTGTCTGTACTAACATGGGGTTGTCCTCCACTGCCAGTGCTCTTTTCCGTGAAGATCTTCCCCCACCTTCCAATCCGGTTTCTTGTATTTCATCGCGCATTGAAAGAGTGGTCGAACTGCAGGTAGTAAGCAGGCTTGGCCAATTAGTAGCAAGCTCAATTACACGGGTTGTGCAGGTTGTGCATATCCCGGCTCGGGCCTGGATGATGCAATTACTCCTGTTCCCTGAGACCGGGAATGAGGTCAAGAACGTGTAAAGGTGCCGAGAGTTCATTGGGCCATATTTCGTGGGGTGTGTTTGTTGAACGTGGGGATATCCCGGGCGTGTCAGGCAGAAGGTTGGACCCCGAAGGAGAGGTCGTGGAGGCCGGCGTCAGCACTGGTATAAATTCTCCCGGAGCCGAAAGCGAGCCCTCCGCGGGTCGAGAACCCGGAAACATGGAATGAACTATCCCAGGTCCCTGGTCTCGACAACCGCTCAACAGGCAACATGGGCTGGCAGTCAAAACATGATTGCTTCAATTGTTGACCTTTCCATGGAGACAGTTCGCATGCTCGGCCCCGCCTGGTATTGCCGTTGCAAACCCCACCTTCTCTTCTTTCCCGGTTAAAGATCGCGGCCGATCCTACCTGCCTGTTCAAGACTCGAGTTGAGCTCGGCCCTCCAAGACATTATAGAGAAGAACGAGATGATATCCGTCTGGATTCTAACTCGGTATTCACCCTCGGCAACTTCGAGAAATGCCACAGTCTCGGTCTCGCCCAGTGGATCTCCGAGATATCCATGATACTACCTAACATGTAGATAGACTGGACAGCGAGGAATCGCCGAGGGCCACTAAACTTTTAGCCATAGACACCTAACCGGATGACCCATAACTTACCAAGGTTGTAATCAGTATCTCTGATAGAAACCCTGTCGCTCGAGCTTGGTCTTGTATTGGCAGAGTAGTTGTCGCTGTTGCCATCGTTTCTCAAACCACCCCCGCCATCGTGACGAACAATTGACTACCTAAGGTGCCTACCTTACCTACCTACTCAACATTGGCTTTGGGATGGAGACTAAGCGGACATGCGAGGTAAGGCTAGGTAGTACCTTACCTGGCCTGATCTCCGGGGTGCCGAGCGGTGGAAGCACATGTCCTAACTGGGACAGCAGCAGACAAACCGGAGCAAACGGGGGCGGCAAAAGTACTACCAGCCGAGAAATCATGGGGTGGCGCGTGCGCCTATGGCCTAGTATGGCACATAATCCAGCAGGTACGTAGAGTACATGCAAGCTGCCAAACTGGGCGTCACGCATCGCTAGAATACGTACCAAGGCTGTCCATGATGAGCACTTCTTGCCGCTGGGGAAAAAGATAAATGGTCGTTCAAATACCCAAGATCTCCCTGCACATGTGGAGAAAAGAGCCCATAGATCAAAGCCGCAATCTCATCCATCACCGGCCCAGACTTGGCGTCTTCTTGTCGTAGTACTACATACCCCTAATCTTGTCAATAACTCGACGCCTCGCTTCTATCAACCATGGCACTTTTGATACCATTCACTGTTGAGAGCGCCCACCAGGACTCGACCACCGGGTTGGTCCTCTATCGCATCCGTGTTCCGGTTCCCGGGACTACGAACGCCCATGAGGGCCCTACCATTCGTTATCTGACTGCTTCCAACCCCCCGGAGGGTGCCAGTAACAGAATCCCTGACGACCGCGGCAGAAACCTGTCCTTTGACACAGTCCCCACTGGAGATTGGAACCTCGGCCACCTCGTTACCAACAGCGACGGCACCAAGTTCGTCCTCGCCTCAACCGAGCCATCCTCCCTCGACAAGAGCGTAGGTCTCCTCGATGCCGGACCCACCTGGCACGACACCCAGTTCGACCTCATCCATCTCCTGGACGCCTTCTATGAACAGCGCAAACTCCAGCCGGACAACACCAACAACAACAACAACAACAACAACAACAACTACACCAACATCCAATGCAGCGGCCATGTCAACGCCGCCGTCCTCCCCAGCCCCTTCAACCCCAACCACATATCCGCCCAAGATAAGGTCATCGGCATCTGGGCCTGGCAACCGCCCCCGACCCACGGCATCGCCAACGAAAGCCACATCTACTCCCTGCTGCAGGCGCGTGACCGCGACCCGGGCTCGGTCGCCGCCGCCCGCTTCCTCGGGCACATCACCGACAACGGCACGCGCGTGGTGGGCTTCCTGCTTGAGCATGTTGTTGGTGCCCGTAGCGCCGGACCTGGTGATGTAGACAAGTGCCGGGATGCGCTCCGGCGGCTGCACGCGGTGGGGGTTGCGTACGGCGGGGGGTTGAGGAGGGAGAGCTTCTTGGTTGGGACCGAACCGGAAGGGAGCGTGTTGTTGCAGGGGTTTGGGGGGGCGTTTGAGACAAGAGAGGAGGAGGTTTTCGTGGCGGAGCTCGGGGGGTTGGGGGGGGTTTTGGCGCAGGTTGAGGAGGTAGGTAGGTACGCTCGAGGCTTGAGCACCTACATGTAGTGTCATTTTGGCGAGCTGTTGTTTGGGGTTGGGTGTGGTAGGGTTCGTCTTTCGTATTTCACTTTTGCGCAATGGAATTGCTGCTGCTAATATACTGCCACCAATATCACAATCTGCTTCTTATAACAACTTCTTGGTATTTCGGTTATGCGTTGAAGAAGTTGCATTCATAGCCACTCGCCACTATCTTATTTGCACTAACATTTACAGCAGATGCTTTGAAGTCTGTTTAAGGTAATCTATGTAAGCTGTGGGACCTTCCCCAGAGGATTGATGTTACTCCTCGTCACACTGCTGACCAGGGTAAACAACGCCATGAAGTTGACCTATAATGTTACCAACTTACCATTGCGGTGTCGAGGTCACGGTGGGTTGATACTGAACTCCGATGCCAAGACCGAGGCCATTGGGCCTCGAGGAACCCTTTGGATTTAATGGTCTTGGATAGGGGATTGCGTTTGGGACGCCCCCCGGACTTGCACGCAAACGGCCAAGGTGAATGTTCCATGGTCATGATTCAAGAGCCGTCATCTCACAGCTGCGCTGATGGCTTGGGGCCACGCCGTCAGCGTTGGGCAAATGGGTTCACCCATAGAGTTCACTAGGCCATACCTTGCAAGCTTGAATCGCCCTACGAGATATTCTAAACCTGCGTAGTTCACTGTTCAAGAGGTTGCGTCCCGTTGTCTCGGAGTCGGAGTCCCTTGATGGCCTTTACCCTAACCCTACGGAGACCGGCAGGGACATGGTCCCAGCCAGGTTCTTGCCTCCCATTGATCGGAAGGAAGCCGATCGCCTGCTGCAGCCCAAGCAACTGGGCTTGTGGTGTGCCACTCAAGAGCTGCCGTCGCTGTGATCAGCAACTTTCCGGCAACACCACACGTGTGACGACAAAGTGATTGCTCGGAGAACGGACCGAATGGAGTATTCTCGTCACCGCATCTCATGCTTTTTTCCTCCGAGCATCACGCGTTCTTCAGATGATGCCCCTTTTGCATTTTTGGGTTCCGTTAGCGTCTGTCTAACGGCCTCTCATGTGCATGGCGTCGCAAAAATGGAAGACCCCCAAGAACTCATCACCACCAGTGGCTGCGATGGTGCCTTGCTTGGAGGGCAAAGCCAAGAAGTGCAAGTGACGGGAAGAGGGGCGGCGACAGGGGCAGATGCGGGTCAATGGCGGGGGATGTGCGGGCTGGAAGGTGCTATCCAATCAGGGGCCTGCCTTTGCCGCTGGGCCCGCCCATGAATTCAGATTGATCTGGCCAACCATGGGACAGGACGACCTTGCAGTTCACATTCCTCTCTCCCAAGAACGGGCAGCGGGCGTTGGCGAGGTCCCTCACAGGTCGCACACGCGGGCGCTATTTTCGCCAAATCCTTGCCCGTCATGCGAGCGCAGCTGTTCCTGAGCAAGTCAGAAGCGACTTCACACAACGGCGGCCAATGGAGGAACCAATGGTTGCAGCGCCAGTGCCGAGCCGGCCGCCCACTCGCCCTCTCTCGCCCATTGTCGCCCACTTTCGACACAGGTCCCGCTCGCCTGCACTGCTCTTGCGTCTCAACAGCCGCTATATACCCAGTCTGGCCCGTTGACACGCAGTGTCGTGTTCCTGCTGTCAGCCATTTGCCATAGACAGCGTAATTGCATCCTGCGCATCTCAATCACATCGTGTTTCGGCATGGCGGATACCGTGGTCCATCCTTGAACTCTAACGTCTCCTTGCGACGACCCCCTCTCTTCGGTTTATTGACCTGGTCAACCACCATGCCACCTGGCGTGTCGGTCTATAACTCTGTCTTGGTTCTTCTGCTCACGGCTTCGTCTTGGGCCCCTTCGTGTTCCGCTGCGCCGTGGACCGGACACTTGTCACGTCGATTCTCCTTAGTCCTCGACTATTCCCCCGCTCCGTCGCCCGAGGACGGCCCTCCAGCATCCGCCGGTGCGCTTCGCGATCCAAAGTATCTCCCGGCTCAGATCGGTGGCATTGTCGGCGCATACGCCTTCTCCCTGGTGCTGGTCGCCCTTCTTCTTCTTGCTCTTTCCAAGACCCGCCGTGACCACTTGCGGAACCGTGACCGGCCTCCCGAGGAAGACGGCATATTCTTCGAAGAGTTTAACCCGTTCCCCGACCCGTTCTTGCTCCAACAAGCCGAGGAGGATTACAAGAGACAGCTCGAGGAGTTCCAACGGTCGGACGAGTTCGGACAGCTCGAACAGTTCCAACACCAGCAGTTCCAACACCAGCAATTCCATCAACCGCAGTTTCAGCACCCACAGTTCCAACCGCTCGAGCAGCCCCAGCATCAGCAATACCACCACCCACAGTTTCCGCAACCGCCATTCGAACACCAGCAGCTTCAGACGCTATCCCTCCAGATCCCGACGAGTCCGATCAAGAATTTCTCGCTCCCATCCCCTTCACCCTTGAGCCCGACCAGGACTGGCCCGCTTAGCCCGACGAAGTCGCAGCGCTCGGTTTTCACTGCCCCCCTCGCCGACTTCGACTATCCTTGCCCCCGGCATCGACCTCTCAGTGGATCAGACGGTCGTAGGCCGAGACAAAGTCATGGCGCAACAACAGCTGGAGGAGATGTACAAGTATGTGATGGAGCAGGAGCAGGCCAAGGCCGAAGGGCGAGAGTACCAAGGGCCTTCGCTCACCTCACCGTCGTCCAACACGGTGAACGCGGGCCCGGCGAAAGCCGGTGGCCTTAAGAAGGAGAGAAACAAGCCCACGAGCCTGAACCTCGCCCGGGATGAGAAGGCGCAATCACGCAGCTCTTCCATATTCTCATTCCTCAAGTCTCCCCGCAAGAACAAGATGGGCGCGGCAGGAATGAGCATCTCATCCCCCATCATGACGCCCATGTCTGGCACCTTCCCGCGTCACGACGACCAAGAAATGAACGCCATCCAACCTCGCCACTATGCTCCCCCGGCACCGCCGCCCCTCGTCCATTCGGACCTTCCCTTCCGACGGGCAGCCGCCTCAGCCGCCGGTAGCAGCCACCTGCCAACGCCCGACATCTCCCCCGTCAGCACGCAGAGTATCGACTCGCGCATCGACGCGGCCGTTGGCCAGCCCCCAACCCGGGCCGCCCGCCGCGAACAACGCGAGCGCGAAACCCGCGGCCAGGACCGCCTCCCATACCATGCGCGGGACGTCTCGTCAACCGCAACCAGCACAGCGGGCGACCACGAACCGATTTCGGCGTCCTCCGAAAGGTCGACCACCAAGCTCGTCAGCCTGCCGGTCTCGCCGCGCCCTGGCGCCACCCGCTTCCCCAGCGACATCACCCTGCCGGCCTCCCCACGGCCCCAGCAACAATCCTTCCAGCTCCCCAGCCACCACGCCAACGCCAACTCATCGACCTCCTCCTTCCCGCGGACCCCAGGCGGCGGCGCCGGCGGCTCAGGTTCCGCAGCAGCATCCGCCGTGCGCGAGGGCGGCGCACTCCCGCTACGGGCGTACGAGCCCTCGGTCAGCAGCCCGACGACGGCCAGCTACGCGACGACCAAGCAGACCGTCTTCACGCGCCCCATCATGTCGCCCGGCGGCAACGGCGGCATGCAGACGGGCATGCGCACCCCCTGGACCGGCGCCCCCATGCCCTACACCCCCTACCAGCCCTTCTCGCCCGTCGTGCCCATCACGCCGAGCGTCGTCACCAAGGCGGACCGCAAGCGCATGCGGCGGATGGAGCCCAAGACGCCGACTGTGGAGATGGTTAGGAGTGAGGAGGATATTTGGTGATGGTGATATGTGTGTTTCTGAACAATTGGTTGTGGCTTTTCTTTTTGTGTTCTTGGGGGGAGGGTAATGGTTGGTTGGCTTTGGTTAGCTCACTCAGCCTGGTGGGGATGGCTTTTGCATCTGGCGATGCTGGAGAGTAGAGGAGGATTTGATATCCATAGTGACGAGAGCAATTGATGAATTTTCAGTCTGATGCAGGTCGAGAAGCTGTGAACAATTTCCCTTTGACACGAAAACTCCTGCCCCCGGATGCGAGGGAGTTGTTGTTTCAAGTGGAGTGCGATGAAACTGTTAACCCCGGTATCCCTCCCAACCCACGATGCCGAACCATTTTGATACATCCTGGACGAGCCTTGATCTTCGTTTTGGCCTCGGATGACAGAACTTTGGAGAATAATTCGAGAACAATCCGAGGAAGCGGAGAAGGCAAAAGATGTCAGTGGGGAGACAGGGAGATGGGATGATCTGGGCGTGGCGAACATCAATTCGTCCGTTAATGGTTTTTGGGATGTTCCTGGGACCCTGATGACTTCTACACAGTACACAGTAGGTAGCCCGCGAAGAGCGGAAAGTGGGCGGCAGGAGCCGACAAGACTTCTCGCGCACCTCGCGGATGCGGCCGTTACGGAGCGGAGAGCCCTCTGGGACTGATTTATGTTCGGGCAAGTATTGCAGCTTGGTCCGGGTCTAAAGGTTTACAAGTAGACATCCTCGGGGCGATTGTGGGGGTGTTCTGGGCTCATAAAGCCTGCATCGCGGGGCAAAGTGTGTTCTCGACTTGCGTACAGACCCGAGACCCAAGAAGCAGATCAATACGGGTACGGAGCAAAATGACCGGACTCGCCAGCTTCTTGCCTGTATGAGGGTGACGCATACGTCATACGACGTATTGACACCCCGACGCCAAACCTGTATTTGGAAATGAACGCAGCGGGTTGGGTGTGTTCGGCTCGGCTCTTTTTCGTATTGGTTATTGTTAAACATCTTCCGTCATTGGGCTTCATATCGTAAAAGAACACCTGGTGAGCTTGTCTTTATCAAGTAAACACGGATTTATGGGCTATCCAGATGTCGTGTCGATGTTTCCGTCCGATTGAAGAGCACAAACTCTAAACGCGCCGACAGGAGCAGACCCCGCCGCCGTGACAAGTGCAATACCTGGAGCAGCCAGCCAATCACAAACAGAAGGTGCCAATCGCGGCGCGGGTCCCCCTGGCCCAAACAGCTCGGCTGCACCCGCCTGTCCATCATACGATTCTGGGGCGAATCGTCCCACACATAACCCGATTCTCTCAACTTCCTCCCTCCAACCTCGAGCCATCGCCAAAAATCCCGACAACGGCTGCTCACCCCGCCCATAACACCGCCGCCAAAACAACCCGCATACAGCCCAAGCTTACGATTCCCGCCGAAAGCAATCCTACCGCCGGCCGCTGCGGACGAGTTGCCGAATTGGTCGATCGCACCCGCTTTCGCTCCCCGCCCGCACCTCCCTACCTGTCATCGCCCGTCTCCGTGGGGCCCAATTACTCTTCGCACGGTTGAGTTCGACTGTCGCCCGCGCGCCCGCAGCGAGGCCCGTATGCAATAGCCGATCCCAGCACGCCTTGCAGACCCTGGGCTATAGGGCAGAGAGGGACACCATGACCGACCTCCCCGCTGACTCGCCCGACCTGTTCAGCAGTCTGGACGGAGGGCTGGGCGCTTTTGATATTGGGGACGGGACTCTCGGAGATAGCAGCATGGTGGACGGCTCGGGGCCCGCTACTACTGCTGCCGCTGCGTCTACCGTAACCGAGACTCCCACTTCCGCTGCAGATGCGGGTGGGAAGCCCGGGACTTCATCGAGTTCTGCTCCGACTGTCACCGCCCCCTCGCAGGGGCAGCAGCAGCCCGGCCTTTTTAGCCCCGTCACGGCTTCACAATGGACCTTCCAGGACACCCCCCCACATGAGTCCCCCATAGACGACGGAAACCCATTCGGTGCCGCACCCCAGCAGACCTGGGAGCTCCCCCTCAACCTGAGCCAACTGCCGCAACAACCATTCTACCTCCAATCATCTACCGCGCCCGCCAACGACCCAAGTTTTGCCCCCGTGGCCGCGGCGGGCGATGTACCGTTAGCGTCGGCATTTTTGCCAGACCTGCATTCTCTCCAACCGGGGCATCCACGAAGCATCCAGAACACGCTCACGCCAGCACAGCGTGAGCGGCTGAAAACCATCGCTATGCCTCCACACCTTCAGTACCGCTCACCCCAAAGCGCCGCCGGCAGCCCGGACTCGGCGTCTAGTGGCCACGACAAGGGCAGCCTCTCGTCACCGGACGGTGCCGGTCCATCCAAGGGCTACAGCAGGAAGCGCAAGTCATCCGCCGAGGTTGACGACGAGGACGATGACGACGATCTTGAGCAACCGGTCAAGAGGACGGCGCACAACATGATCGAAAAACGGTACAGGAATAATCTTAATGACAAGATCGCAGCACTGCGAGACAGTGTCCCGTCGCTAAGGATCATGTCCAAGAGTGCCCGAGGGGAAGACACCACCGAAGACCGAGAGGAGCTACACGGCTTGACGCCTGCCCACAAGCTTAACAAGGCCACGGTAGGCGACCCCCGTTTCCAGTTTCACCGTTTTTGATAATCTAACCCCCTTATAGATCCTCAGCAAAGCTACCGAGTATATCAGGCATCTCGAGAAGCGTAATAACCGTTTGTTCGAAGAGAACAGCAGTATGCACGCAAGAATTTCAGCTTTTGAGAAGCTGTTCATGGCCGGCGCCCTGACCAACCAGTTACCAAACCCCCTACAACAACCACCTACTCCGGTACAATACGCACAAGATGGCGGCGCTTTCTTGAACACACCAATGGCGACACCTCAGTCATCGGATCCACCGGGGATGATCCCCATCCCGGACAGTATGAAGCGGATCTTAGCAGCCCAACAGCTGAACGCAGGCCGTCCATATCCGGTGGCTGGCCAGCAATTCGGCCAAACCCCCGCGTTAGTACGCCAACAACAACTTCAGCAACAACAGCAGCAAGCGCAAGCACAGACCGGTCGGTGGAACCCTTACCTTGGTAAGCTCATGGTGGGTTCTCTCGCCGGTTTGATGCTGGTTTGCGTGCTCATCGAACCCGATTCCACCGGGCAGACCGATGCACGCGGTCTTTCTTTCCTACCGAAGTCTCTCGCGCCATTTGTCCGAGCCCCTCTTTTTACCGTTGGGGGCTTGGACGTGTCAATCGTGCTCATGCTTGCCAAATTGAACCAACTCATATTCGTAGGGGCCTTCTTGTGGGCGGTTTGCTCGTCGTTCCTCGACCTGTCTGCCTTCCGGCCTTCCGAGAAGTCAACGAGCACCGCTGCTGATGTTAAGGCGGTACCGTCTCTCGCCTCGCCCATCCACGTTAGGAGGCAGGCCTGGCTCACCGCCATCCAGACCGTTTGGGTGCCGAGGCATAACTTCTTCCTGGAAGCTGCCGCCCTTCTGGTCAAGACGATGAAATATACTTTGAGGAATGTCGTTGGTTCTCACGGCTACCTCGCGCTCACCGGGCTGAGCGAAGAAGAAGAGACTGCCCGAGTCAAGGCCTGGTCGATTGCCCTAGACGCCCAGCTTGCCGGCGGTGACGTTGAGATTAATAAGAGCCGTCTCACACTCACACTCATCGCCTCAGGGACCCTCCCAGACACGCCTCTCCGGCTCATGCTCAAGGCACTGCACATTCGGGTTTTGCTCTGGCGGCTCAACGGCGCTACCTGGGCCGCTAACCTGATTGCTGCCAAGCTGGCGAGGATGAAGTGGAACGAAGCGAGGCAGCTCAACCGCATCCTCAACTCCCTCCCCGAGGGCGAGTCGTCTCATGACAACGCCCTCCCAGAGCACCTCGCTACCTTGCTTGAGGAGGACTGCGACGAGGTCCTGAGCGACGTCATAATCCAACGCGCACACAACCTCGCATGGAACCAGCACACAACCCATAACGTCGTCGACAAGATCGACGGCATGGACACCGTTGTCGAAGATCCCGCCGTGCGATCGCCTATGGACGCCGTCGCGGCATGGTATTCCAACTCGACCCTCCACAGCGTCCTTCTCGCCAGCCTCCGGAAACCCCGCGACGACGTCGCCGTCGTCCCCGGCCTGGCAGACGACATCGCGCTGGCCGTCCGAGTCGCGCCCATCGGTTCCAACGCCCAAGTCCGCGCCCTCATAGCCCGCGCCGTCCTCGCCGACGGAAAGCGCGGCGGCCACATCGTCTCGGCGCTGCAGGCCCTCGGCCCGTCCGCCAACCCGGACAAGCACCCGGACTACAGCCGCGGCGTCCCGCCCCTCATCGACTCCCCCATGACCTCCATCGTGCCGGACCCCGACGCCCAGATGGCGCTGCGCTGCGCCATGGGCATCGCCCAACTCCAAAAGTTCGACGACCCCCCGGCCGCCGCTTACCTGACCATCAACTCGGTCCTGCCCGCCACCACCATCACCGCCGAGGACCTCGCCGGCCTCTCCCTGCTCGGCTACACCGCCGCGTTCCACCTCATGGCCGCCCTCGACCGCCACGCCGTCGCGCGCGAGACGGCCGCCCGCTCCCTGGAGCGCCTCGCGGGCAGCCTGCGGATCTGGATGGGCTCGGACAGCGCCGCGGGCCAGAAGGCGGGCGTGGACGCCGGCCTGCGCGCGGATATGATTGCGCGCTGCTTGGCCGTGACCAAGAGCGTGGTGGGCATGGAGGCGGATCCGGGGTATGGGAGTATGGATGAGGAGTGTTCTGCTGGGGGGGGTGTGGCGGATGGGGAGGGGGGTGGGTGTTGATTCCGCTTGGGTTCGGTTTCTGCGTGTTGTCTTGCTATGTGTGTGAAAACCCAGGTTCCCGCGTGCCGCTCTCTCTGAGTGAAGGCCCGGTTGGGGTAAAGGCGGGCTTTGCCTGGGTACTTGGTTGGCTGGTGCATTGTCGCTGCGGTCTGTGTTGGCCGTCTCGAGTTTTCTGCTTCTTTCTTGCGGTGCCGAGTTTTTGTTTTGCTGATGTTGCGTCTGGCATGCGGTACGGCACTTTATACCTTTAGTTCCAAGCATTTCATCTTCTCTCTGTACTCTTTTCTTCTCTCTTCTCTTTTCTTTTTTTTTCTTTTCTGCGGTACGTTCGATGGTCTTGAATTCGCATGCTACGAGCAGGCTGGATGCCGGCGTATCGGTGGCCTTGGGAAGGGCCGGGAGGGCGTAAACAAAACGGCAGGGGGGGGGGGGGGGGGGGGGGGGGGGGCATTCTACTCCATTTTTGAGGTTTGGGTGGGTTCGTGACTCGTCATTGTTGAGGTTTTGTCACCTGAGCAAGCGAGTCAGTCGGTTGTATGTTATAGAGGGCGTGTGGTTTTGAGGCGGGTCTGAGAAGAGAGGATTTGGAGACCAGATAGAAGAGGGTGGCGCCGGTGACGGATGAAAGAACATGAGAGGCTCTTCTCTTTTACAATTTCCCATTTTGAATCACGTTGTGAGATGTGTAATGAAATGCTTCCTTATGCAGTCGTAACAAGTAGCAGTTGGTGTGAGGTTAGGATGCTCATATCGTAAATATGGGACATGAAGCAGGCGGGTTCACGGGCCGATGACGCGCACAAGTCAAGCGAATGACAACGGAATACACGGTGGTCGTATAAAGTACACATGCGACTGACGTCAGGTATACATGCGTGATATACAACTATTATTTCTACTGGTAACATCTAATTCTATGGCGAGGACAACAGACATCGCTCTCTTGGATCTAAAAACCAAGTGGTTCTACTTTATCAATCTTGTTTAAGGTGGACAGAAAGCAACCCTTGACCGGAAGGGGTGTCCTCAAGTGAATAACAATCTGGTCATGCATCCCCTTCCTTCAATAGATAACCCAAAATATATATCCCGGCTGAGATCACATGGTATCAAACCTTGATACCATTGAGCCTACTTGCCGAAACCAGGGCAGGCGACTTGGATCGTTGGCGCGGTTGGCGCTGCTCCGGGTTGGGTGTGGTTCGCCTCAGAAGCGACGGGTCTCCGATGCGCGACGCCATGCTGTCAGGCATGAAGTCGGGAGTCCCAGACCGCGAGTCTAGAGTGTACTCGGTATCCTGGGTGTACTCAGTTTCGGGCGTGGCGAGCAGGTGACGCGCGCTGAAGTCAGGAGAGGATGAGCGTGAGCGCAGCGGGTACTCTGTTGCCGGAGTGGCGCGGAGGAGACGTGAGGTTGTGGGCTGTGGGGAGTGGATGGTCGGCGCCGGGAACTCGTCCGTTACGATGGTTGTTGGTACCGGCGCGGGCCCGGTGCGGACTTCGGAGGGGAGGATCTGCTGGAAGCCTTGGGTGCGAGCGACTTGTTCAATGTCCTTGAAGTACTAGGTGTGTGTTAGTATTGAAGGTCATTTTAATGGGTGATAATGAGTATTACCTTGACAGTCTTGACCTGTAGCTCGAGCGTCGCATCCTCATCACAGACGATCATGGAGTGAGGGTGCAAATGCAGAGCCGACAATGTCCACATGTGGTTGACCCCTTGCTCAACACACCGTTGCAGGGCAAGGGCCTTGCGGGCACCGAGGGCGAGAACGACGACCTCGCGAGCCTCTAGGACTGTTTGGACGCCCACCGTCAAGGCCATCTTCGGCACCTTGTCCAAATCGTTGCCAAAGAAGCGGCTGTTGGCCAGGATGGTACCATATGCGAGCGTCTTAACGCGAGTGCGGGAGGCTAGGCTGGAACCAGGCTCATTGAAGGCGATGTGTCCATCCTCGCCCATGCCAGCTAGGAACAGGTCGATACCACCAGCGGCTTGTATTTTTGCCTCGTACTCGACACACTCCGCCTCTAGATTTGGGGCGTTTCCATCGAGGATGTGCACATTGGTGGGGTGGATGTTGACGTGTGCAAAGAAGTGTTTCCACATGAAGGAGTGGTAGCTCTCAGGGTGGTCCCTGGGGATGCCAATGTACTCGTCCTGCAAGAAGCATCAACATTTCCGCTATCATGGCTTGACAACTCAGAATAGGGTGCCATACCATGTTGAAGGTGACAACATTTTCGAAGGACACCTACCCAATGTCAGCCATAACCGATCTCGTCGGCGTCAACTCGGCTGTCATACCTCGCCAGCTTTGTATGTCTCGACAAGAGACTTGTAAACGCCTAGTGGTGTGCTCCCTGTGGGGAGGCCGAGCACAAAGGGGTGAGCTGGCGTAGGGGCAAAGTGGTTGATACGGTCGACGATGTAAGAGGCGACGTGGTCGCTGGCAGCTGCCGCGTCGTTTCTGATGAAGAATCTCATCTTGACTTCAGGAAGAGGCTATGATCCTAGATCAAGTGAAGCTTAGGGAGTAGAGGGGTTTCAGTGACCAGGGCTTCCGTGGTGTGGGAAAGTCTAGGGAGAGAGCTGAGGGCGGGATATCAGGCAAGGAGGGCAATAAGAATGGGACTCGTCGTCCACTACAACGCCTCCAGAAGTCAAAGAAGGTGGACAAGGCCTGGAACATGTGACGGTTCGCGTAACAGTGAGCCCGCCGGCGACTGTCCGGAATCACCGTGTACTGTGTGAGCCTGTGGATAGCATCGGTCATGATACCAGATAAGCTACCGAGCATGCCGAGTGTCAATGGAGGAGGCGATGGAGGCATGGCGTCACAGATGGAACGTTCTTGGGTTCCAGTTTCTCTCCCAGAGCACACAGTGGGAGGAGAAGGCTGTGGACGGAGAGAGACCCAACGAAGCGTCGGTGGTGCAAAGCCTTTGATCTGTCAGCTGGTAGGTAACAACAGGTGACAGAACGGGGTCCAATAAGCGGATGGAGGGCGTTTAGCTTGGTTGCGCCGAATTTGAGCACCGTGACAACAAAACTGAAGCCAAAGAAAAAGGAAAGTTCCACAGGCCACAGGCCGGATGTGGAAATCGGAGTGGGAGAGTTGTGTGGCAGGAGCAGCTGCGACTCCATCTTGTTGTGGGTAGGTACGGTCTGGAGTTGACAGAATTCGCACATTGCTTCCTTTCTTTCTTTCCCTTAAGAACCGATTTGTGAGCTTGAGCCAACCTAGTCAGCTTGTTCTTGTCAATTTGCTGCGTGTTTATCCTGCGGCGCGGTGGATTGAGGCTCTTCTCATCCGCCGGGGGTCCGCAGCTGGACCAAGCCACAGATTACTTGCAGGTCAATTCCATGCCTCGCTTGATGTTTGGAGAACTTGAAGTCCAAGTTCAAATTGATGATTCTGGTTTGATCTGAATTAAGCTTTTGTATGGTCCGTGCGCCTGCCAAAAAGGGCCACAACGCCAAGCAGCCGACCAACTGCCTGGTGGCCCCACAGGTGCCGCTGGCGCCTGGATTGGCCCCGCATTGGACCGAGGCCCGTCCGATCGACAACAGCTCCCGTCTGCAACTGGAACTGGCACTGAACCAAGGCAACGTTACGTCCCCTGGTGTTCCGGGCGGAGGACGCGGCGGGCCACGGCGACCACCACAAGGTGCAAACAGGGCAGCACACAGCGCAAGGCGATGCCGGGATCCCTCTCCTTTCCACCGAGCTGGGCAAGGGGGGGTGTTTTCTCGGCTCTTTTTCGCCTTCTAACGAGTTAGTGTGGGATTTCCATTGTTTTTTTTGGTCGCGTTCGTTGCGTGGCGTGGCGGTCAGCACAGCACGTTCATCAGTCATTTCCAGGTTCTCTCACCTGAGCGGGCTCCTTCCTGGGCACTCACTCGAGCACCACTCACACAGTGCACCGCACCGCTGGGCTGTCCCCGTCTGTACTTGGTAGGTACGAAGTACGTACCCGACGGGCAGCCTGCAAGCCGCCGAGTTCCACACACGACACATCCCACAGAGAACAACCATCCACCTGGATCCCTCGCATCGACAACCCGCGGTCTGTGACACGAGGGCTTGCGGCTACTATTGGCTCCGGTCGTTACCCCTGGATTCCCGTCAATCTACGGCCCATATCGACCATTTGTCTCACACATTTTGCCTGCGCCCGGCCTGGCTGGACCCCTTCCTTACCCTTTCCATTGTGCATTGTGCCTCTTCTCTCTCTTGCCAACAAAGTACCTTCCCTCCAGCGCCTCCAGCTCCTCCCCCTCCTCCCCCTCCCCCACTCATACGGGCCTCCCCCCCCCTGTAACATTCTTTGCTTGCTTTCTCCCTGAGTAAGGGTAGGTCGCGCCGCCGTCCCATCCGCGCGCCTCCCGCTCCTGCACGGCGGCATCCGGCAGGTTTCATTTTTTCCGTGTCAGTCATTTTACGGCCCGGTAGTGGTGTGTTTACTTGGCACGCAGCATGCCAACTGCCAGAGTAAGGTAGTGTGCGCTGACTTGAGCTGGCCCCCGATCAAACCTACCTACCAACAAGGGCCGAGTCCAGCCCGACCAGCAACCGGCACCCTGTCTACAACAGTACCTCGCCCTCGCCCTCGCCTCGGTCGTCCATCCTCTCGTCGGATTTGCGGAGACTCTCCCGGCTGCGTGCCCCGTCCCCGGAAGTGCTTCGTATCACTCGCTCACTGGAATGTGTCTCCCCTTCCAGACGCCTTCCCTCCCCCCCTGCACTGGATGACTTAAAGCGCACGCCTTGTCCGCCACCACTCTCTTCGCCTCTCTCCCTGTCATGCCGCTATGCCACTCGTTTCTGCCATGACTTCGCTAGGAGAGGCTCTCGTTTCGGCTCTCAAGTCCTTCTTTCGCGGCAAGTCGTTTCTCAAGGCACTGCTCGCTTTCTGGTCCAGCCCCGTCGCCCCTGCCGTCCCCGTTGGTTCCCGAGATGCCGGGGTCAAGGTCAGCGCCGACCCCGCAGCCGACTTCCTCGCCGAGGCCGAGCACCTGCTGTTGGGACATCTCGAAGCCGGCGGGCTGATGCAATTTTCACGGAAACTGAAGGGTCAATTCAGGGAACGTCTGTGGTCGAACCCGGAGTGCATGCTGCCCTCATACAACTCCCAACTACCCACCGGCCATGAATCCGGCCAGTATCTCGCTCTCGATGTTGGCGGGTCGACGCTCCGGGTAGCACTCGTGGAGCTCAGGGGACGCGGGGAATCGGGACCGGAAGGCAGCATTATCCGAATGGACTCGTTCAAGATCGACAATGATGCTAGGAATTTGAGAGGGACCGAGTTCTTCGACTGGATGGCCGAGAGGATACACCGGACCGTGGCCAAGGACAGCGCGAGAGGCCACAGCCCAGAGCACCCCCTCCTCATGGGATTGGCCTGGAGTTTCCCCATCGAGTATGTCTCCGCTGTGCCCGTCACACTACGTAGGCTAACAGCGACAGGCAAACGTCTTCAAAAGGGGGCAAGCTAAGCGCCATGGGCAAGGGATTTCTCGCCAACGAGGGGCTTGTAGGGCAGGACTTGGGAGAAATTATCAAGTCAGCCTGCCGGAACCAGGGGCTACATGTCGAATTGTCCGCGATCGTCAACGATTCGAGCGCTGCGCTGCTCTCCGAAGCGTACACCACCCCCTCGACTCGCTTCAGCCTCATTCTCGGGACAGGCGTCAACATCGCCGTCCACCTCCCCGTCACGACCATCGACCAACCAAAATTTGGCGACCGCCCAAGCAGCTGGCATGAAAAGGCCAGCCACGTTATCATCAACACAGAATTGGGCATGTTTGGCCACGGAATCCTCCCCGTAACAAAATGGGATAAAACCCTCAAGGCCGCCCACCCCCGGCCAGATTTCCAACCACTCGAGCAGCTCGTTAGCGGGTACTACATCGGCGAGATCTGCCGCCTCGCCCTCCTCGACGCGATCACGTCAATCGGCGTCTTCGGCGGCGTCGTACCACCTTCTCTGCAAACACCATACTCCCTCGACACCGAAACTCTCTCTCTCATCGAAGCGTATGCCCCCCCCCCCCTTCATGCATCTCTCTCCCCCTACTAACCCTAACCCAGCGATATCACCCCCACCTTCACCACCGCTCTCCAAATCTTCACCACCCGCCACCCGACACCCAACTACCAGCCCACCCCAGCGGATCTGTCCTTCTTACGCACCCTCGCGGCGCACGTAACGCGGCGGTCCGCCTCAGTCGTCGCCGCCTCCATCTACGCGCTGTGGGAGCTGAAAGCCGAGACCGAAGGCATCCTGCTAGACTGCCTATCCGACACGTCCCCCTTCGCCGCCGAGACGGCTGCCGAGGTGGCCATTGGCCGCGGCCGCACCACCGTTGCGTTTAACGGGTCCGTTGTTGAGCACTATCCTGGGTATCGGCGGCAGCTGCAGGCGTTTGTGGACGGGCTGTTGTTGGCGAACAGGGAGACCGAGAGGTTGAAGGGTCGTGGTGGTGGTGGTGGTGGGGAGATTGCGCTTGTCGAGGCGCGGGAGAGCTCGTTGCGCGGCGCGGCTGTGGCGTTGGCGTGTTTATCGTAAGAGTGTTTGGGGGGGGTTGCGTGCTGCTACGTGCTGCTACGTGCTGCTACGTACTTCTACGTGCTGCTACGTGGTGTTGCGTGGTGTTGCGTGCTGCTACGTGCTGTCCGGGATATACCTGGGTTTTTATCATATCATGTGTTGGGTTTAATACCGAGGGAGACGGCCCGATCAGGGGGTGTCGTTGGTGAGCGAGCGATAAGGGCTGCTGCATAGGTAGCATGTGCGTCGGCCCGCATGCAGGGGAGGGTTTAGGCGATTTGTCTGTACATAGATGGAGGCATATAGCGATGTTTTTAAGTCCAGCCTGGAGAGGTTGAGGGACGAAATGAATGGCATTCTGAAGACGATTTATTCATAAACCTTTGCCCTAGACCATGAAGTAAAATGGTATATGTATGCTGACCTAACCTTAACAGTCCTAGAAATTTGGGTATCCATCCATCCATCCCCCAAGCTCCCGATACACCCGTGCACACTCCCCTCGCCACTATCGTCGTCGGCGTCTTCGTCGGCATCCCAGCTATCATGATGTGCACGGTGAATACGCCATGCTCGCCCAACCTGTCGTCTCCCATCGTCAACGTCCAAGCGCATGACGTGACCAAAGGGTATATAAGGAAGCCCAGCCCTCGCTCAATCTCCGTCCTCTCCATTTTCCCAACATCAAACGAATTTCCATCCATTGACCCCAGAGCAGATCCATCCGCTTCACCAAAGAACCAACGTTGCAAACCAAACCAACGTTCCAAACCAGCATCAATCATGCAGTTCAATACCGGAATCAGCTACCGCGGGATCCCATTCTGGGTAGCCGACGGCCTCGACGATCCGGACCCGGAGCCGCCGCCGGAGCCATTCCGCATCAACACGTACATCGTCTGGTACACCATATACGGCGAAGCCGGCCGCCGAGCCAGGGCCCGCGAGAGAGCCAGAATCGCGGCTCAAGCACCGTGGCAAGGAATGGCGCCCCGGGCGGCGAGGCTCGTGGGTGGCTTTCGTAGGTGGTTGCCTTTCCTCTTCCCAGGAACGTGGTTGTTTGTGGGCCCGTTTGTGGACTCGTACCGTTCCCTCTTTACTAGGACCGAAGCAGCCCAGGATGATGATGATGAAGTGACAGCCGAAGATGAGATGACATCGCAAGACGATGTGACATCGGAAGATGAAATGATGTCGGAAGATGAAACGAAGTAAGGCTGGAAGATGAAGCCACACCGCAAGGAGAGGATCACTCGGCGGCGAAGTACCGTTTGGATTTACTCCGCACCTGCTGAGCTTTGACCTCAGGTGGGACGATCGTATGATGAACGACGTGAGGCCGGTAGATTGCGTCGACGGGCGGCATCCTTTGAAGGGAAGTTAGCTCACGCTCCAGTCTTCCTTGGATCGATAATAGGGACATGAGACATGGGTGTGATGATGGGGGGACTTACCAGTCGTCGACGCTGAGCGGGAAGTACTCGTATAACATATCCTCCGTCTCGAGCGCCGTTGCCAGCGGATTTTGGGCGCCAGTACCCTGCCCCGGAACAGATAACCCTTTCCCGCCACCGGAAAGCAGCATGGAGGATTTGGTGAGCTGAGGACTCTGAGTGGGGTCGTTTGGGCTGGCGCGGTTTGGGGGGCTCCGCTCGTCTTCGGAGAGGGAGAGGTTTATCGGAAGTGGTTGGGGCCCTGTAGCGCTATTGTTGCGTTGCTTGGTTGTTGATAGGTTCGGCTTGGTGGTAGTGTGCTTTGAGTTAACCGGCGATGGTGGCTCTATTGTACCCCACGACGGAACCGGCGGCCGGTTTAGGTTTGGAGAGGCCATAGCGAATTTCTTACTCGGATGTTGTTGAGCGTTAGGTGTGCTGGAAGCATAGGGCGTCGCCCAGTCGGATGGCGATTGCTATAAGCGTAGTTAATATTTACATAGGTACGGTAGTATGAATCAAGGACAAGACATACCTGTACGCCCATCGAGGGATACCGCTGCATCCTGACCGTATCCCCATCGTCCTGTTTCTGCTGTTTTACCCCAGCACCACCACCCGGTCCCTCGGTATTCTTCCTTTCCAGCGGCCTCTTATCCCCCAGCGGCACCTCCTTCCGGCTATCGAAATTCCTCGGGCTCCTCCCGCGGACAATCACCGGCCCCGACTGAATCTCGGCCACCTTGACATATTCCCCGCCCTTGCTCTTGACCAACAGATTGATCTGCACCACGTAATGCTGCTGCAGCCCCTTCCGCCGCCCGTTATTCGCCGTGGCATGCTTGAACTGCAGCCTCTTCCACGCCACCGGCACCGACACGCGGCTCCCGCCATCCACCTCCTGCCCGCCACCACCAAAATCAAGCGGCACCACCGGCGGCGCGCTCACCACTTTCGTCTCCTCCGCCCCCAGCGGCGCATTACTCCCCCGCCACGGAATAGTAATCATCTCGGCAACCCGACCCTCAATGCTCTCCACAGCCGTAATCGACGCCGCCAGCTCGGCCACCGGCGCCCGGCGCCCCTGGTCATCCACATAGTGCGCCACATGGCGCGGCAGGGTGATCTGGCCCGAGATCTGCCACAGGTTGCGGCGGTAGCAGGTCAGCTCGAGCGGGCGGCCCGAGGTGTTGCTGTCGGCGCCGAAGACGTCCTCGGCCACGAAGAACATGCCGTACAGCTCGCCCGTCATGGCCGGCTCCGCCACGTGGCCCGCGTCGGTGACCAGTGCCGCCTTGCCCGCGATCGGCGCCCCGAACCCCAGCAGCTTGTTGTCCAGCCCTTCGTCGTCGTCGTCCTGCGGGGACGTCGCCCCCATGTGCCCGTACACGTCGTGGTGGCTGTGGATGGGGTCGCCGCCGCCGCCGCCCTCGCCGAGCGGGTGGTGTGGTCCGTTGCCGCCGCCGCCCCCGCCGCCGCGGTGGTGGTTGCGGTTTGGGCCGGTGCCGCTGTTGGTTTCGAAGGGTCGGGCGGGGTAGGAGAAGGGGTCTTCGAAGGTAGTGCTGAAGGTTTCGAAGTCGTAGCCGGTGGGAGTGTAGGGTACGTGGGGCATGTGGACGGGGTCGCTGGATAGGGGAAGAGGGAGGGTCAGCGAGGGTTCTAATCGAGTCCGAGGGGTAAGGTGAAGTGGGAATCCAGGGTGCGTACAGCAGCGAGTCGTCAAAGCCCATACAGGCATTGAAGGCATCCATGTCCGAAGCCGTTATGGCCATAGTGTCCGGGCCTGGAGTGGCGCCGGACGACATGACGGGCATGGGATTGAAGCCGGCCATTTCATTGCCGCTCCGGGGGAGCTTCTGGTCGGTTCATGCAGATTTCGTGATACTCGTATCAGGTATCCGACAATGGGTAGATCAATATGTTGTTGAGCATGACCTTCGAGATAAGCTTCGATGAGTGGGTTAAGGCGGTCGCATGCGCGGCACATGGGCCTCGTTAGTTAGTTCGTGCGTGTGGGAGATTGAAGTGCGAGGTGGAGAACCCCAGTGCCAAGCCTTCTCCATTGTCCAACTCTCCGCAATTGCCAGGCGCTTCCGATTGCCCGCTTCCCGTCGCTTGAGTGCAACCTTACAGGAGGTCGTGGCCAGGTTTCCCCAATTGCGCACGGGGCTGGATCCTCTGCCAAGACTTCTAATCGGGCGGGTGAGGTCACTGAAGAACAGGAACTGAGGGAGTTGCCGCTGGGAACAGTTCCCCGTCGGTTTGATAACTCAGGTCTTCCGAATTCGGTACTTTGTACATCTTTGTGATTCTCATTTTTTGTTCAACCTGCTTAAATAGGCTTTAAGTAGCCATCCTTCTTATAAAAGTGTCCCAGATGTTGTATGTCAGTTACGGTCACGAAAGCTGATGTCAGCGGACAAACCGCCTCTCATGGCGCGATTCACCCAGGAACATGTACCCAGTGTCGAGACTGTGGGAGGCCACTTCAAAATGGGGACAATGGTCGAGATATCCAAGTATGAAATGCGGTATGCCAACTTGAAAGCTCAAGTCAAGAAACCCAAAACGAGAAACACGAGTACTAGGAGAAGAGATGACCAAAAGCCTCAGCCTGACGTGAAGTCCCAGTGATGTCATGCCCATAAATTGCTCCTGAATACATTGGTCCACCAAACTAACATCCTCACCCAGCTTATGCCAGATCCTGCCACTATAACCTGTTAGTCCCGTCCAAGCACCCGAGGATAAAAACACTTACGTTATCAGGTGAGTTTGTATACTCCTCAAAAGCCTGTACCGCCTCGAACCCCATCGCCAACAGCGGCTCATGGGCCTCGTCCTGCACCCAGCTCAACACACTCCTGAACGACTTGTGCGCCTTATTCTGCCTCAACCCCATCAGCGCCAGACCCTGGAGCACCAAACTCGCCTGAGGCGCCGACGACGCGACAAGGGGCGCCACAATCCCCCCGATCGGTTCGTCCTCCTGCCCTAGGGACGGATGTAGAGGAGGGATGAATCCGGCCAACGGGCTCCCCGGGCTACAGATAATCACGGTACCCAACAAGCTCTCGGCGTGGCCCTTGGCCCGGACGACGCCACAGCTCTTGGTCTCCTGTAGCGCAAAGCGGTACAACTCCATCACCTCCGGGTTGGCGTGGGCGATGATGTGGCCGAGCACGCTGTCGGCGTTGTCCGGGCCGTGGATCAGGTCGAAGCTTATTCCTGCGCGCTGGATGTTCTGCAGCAGGCCCTCCGGGGCGCTCCAGTTACTGAGGGAGGGGATGGTCATGTTGGCGAGGCGCCGCGGGAATTGGAGGTCCCACCCGCCGTTGGCGAACCACTGCTTGAGACCGGCGCTATCATCGGCGGGAATGCCCAGGAAGACGCCCGGAAAGGACATGCCGAGTTGCATCTTTTTGATGCCGGGTTTCTGCGCGAGGCCACGCAGGGCTCGGCGCTGGAGGGATCTGCCGATGGAGACGTTCCGCTTGGCGGGGTCGACGAAGAGCGCGCCCATGATGCCGGTGCCTTGGATGAAGTAGGTCGCGCAGAAGCCGTAGAGAGCTTGGGTGCTACTATTGCGCACCACGAAGTGGGCTTCCTCGATGTTGGGGTTGAGTAGCTCGAAAGCGTGTGCCCTCGTCGTCTGTAAGAACTGGAGGGCTGGGGCGCTGGCTCTGGCTAGGGCCTGCAGGAGATCGTTCAGCCCCCTGGCATCCCGGTTGCGATTATAGGCTTCGACAAGCCAGTGTTGTCGGGACTTGAGTGCCTTTCTACTCTTTCTAAGCGTACCCGGCAGCGTCCCCTGGGGTTTGAACTTGCCACACAGGACTCGTACCAGGGCGGACATGGCCATTTCGGTGAAGTCGAAGGTGCAGATGTAGGCCCCAACCGACTTATCCATTGCAAAGTCGTAAGGCGAACTGACAGCAACGACAATGAGCGACTTTTTCTGGCCGCTCGCCCTCAGCATTGAGCACATCATGGAGACGTGCTTGGTGAAGCCTGCCTGGTACAGATTTCGGTTGGCATCTGCCGTAACAATGATGATACATGAGGCTCGATTGATCAAGTTTTCATGTACTGTCCATAAATTAGCAAAGTTACAGTGAGGTCGCGGGGGACTAACCTGGTCTAACACCGTTCGCAGTGTAGGAAGTATGCAACAGTTTACCGTGTCTAGCACGAGCGAGAGACCTTCCAAGTTCTCTAAACACGCCTTCGCCGCTCATGATAGCCCCTCGGTCGCGGTGCACCCACTTGTCGTGATTCGTAGGCGCCTCGAGTTTGTTCTTTTCCAGGAGCGCCTTGGTCATGGAAGAAGCTGGGAGCGGCTTCACCAAAGGTGTGAGTAAGAGTAATTCCTCCTCCTGATGCATCGAGTTGGGCAGCGGAAGAAGCTTATCGTTGTCCCGTATGACGGCGATGGAATCATCGTAGGCCTTTAGCGAGAGCGCGAGGTGTCCGGGGTGGATCTTGGACAGCAAGCTGATACCGGGAGGGTTCAATGCCTTCTGCCACGACGTGCATGACTTCTTCATCCGAAACACCCGCTTGAGGGACGTGTATATGCGCTCCTTTGTGATGAGTTCGTTCTCCACTCCAAGTTTGAGACCCGCAATAGCCTCAAGTTGCACGTCGTAGGCGCGACACAGCAACACCAAGTCACAGCCGGCCTCCACCGCCATGACAGTACCTGTCCTGACACCGATTTCGTTTCGGAGGCCCTCCATTTCGAGGCATTCTGATATCGCAACACCCTGGAAGCCGAGCTCATTTCTCAACAAGTCGTCGATCACCTGCTCTGACAGACAGGCGTGGTTGACGCTCATGGAGGGGTTTGTGATGCCACAGCCACCGATGAACATGGCGTCTAGGTTCCCCGTGGCGATGGCGTTACGGAAAGGGACGAGGGCACTCAAGGAGAGTTCTTCTAGCGTCTGAGTAATGATGGGGATATCCAAGCTGGAGCCGAGGAAATCCAAGTTCCCGTACGAGGGGAAGTGTTTCCCGCAGGTGGCAAGGCCGGCGTCCTTATACCCGTTCATGGAGGCAATGCCATATTGCGAGACTTCTTGAGGGTCGTCACCGATGGCCCGGACACCCAATGGTTGATAGCGCGCGTTGGTCAAGACATCCAGCACCGGCCCGAGGATCAGATTAACGCCAACGGCCGAGACTTCGGTCGCCGTGGCCTTTGCGACCTTGTAGGCCAGCTCCGCACTGCTGGCAGCAGCCTGGCCCATGGAGCTCGGGAACTGGCAGATGTAGTCCTCATCGTAGAGGCTGTTAACGCCGCCATTTTCCTGGTCCAGTGCAATCAGCAAGGGGTGAGGATGGCCGGCTTGGTGGGCAATGGTTTGCAGTTCCTGGACGAGTCTTGCTGTTTGCTGGGCAGCTGCAGGATACGAATAGTCAGTGGATGATCCCTCTAGTACTACAGCCAGGTGTATTGTGATTACATTTGAGATTCTTTGCAGTGAGCAGGATAGAGCCCACATGGTGTTGTTCGATCAGGTTACGGATCTGGGGAGTCACTTCGGTTCCATCCCATCCCATAATCAGCATCTGGCCGATGGCCCTGGCGGGGTGTTAGTAGCCGTTCCATCTCGTTCATCGTACAGCGTATCTGCAGTCTATCTCATCGCATCTCTTGATTGACTGATGTGCTGCAGCAACACTGTGGCTGAACTGCTTGGCCTCGTCGTGTGAGACTTGGCCCGGGAAGCAAAGCTGCAACCGCACAACGAGACAAGCCAAGCCAAGCCACATGAGGCGTCGCGGTAATTAGCAAAGAAATAAAGAACACCATATCACATACCAGTCGAGATCCTGCCATAGTGGGTCCAGGTCGGCGTCCAAGGTGGTCATGTTGGGCTGCGGCAATCGGTGCGGTGGGTTTGAGGGTGGTGCTCACGCGACGGCGGCATAATGGTTTTCCCAGTGGTACCGGGATACGAATAGGTGGAAGCGCCAACAGCAGCAGGTGTAACAATGTTGTGTTCCCGGACCTGCTTGGCTGGTTCGTTAAAGGTGTGGTATGTCAGCGATGCATACCTTACCCGTCCTGGCGCATGGGATGGGAAGCATGTGCAAAGTCCCTCGAAAGTCCCGCGGAACAGTGGCACCACTTCCAATTCACTGGGCAATTGTCAATTGCCCGTCGTTGGCCGAAGAGGGTTGTGCACAGCACAGGCACACCTGGCAGGCAACCGGGAAGGAGGTGGCATGTGCGCTGAATGAGGTTGGCCAATGGCACGTGGAGTTCCCAATCCCCAGAGCGAGGCGCAAAAGGATGGAGGCACGCTAGCCCAACTCGGGCAGGCACGATACAACGTTTTGGTTAGCCCCAATCCGGCAACGTTACATGCCTTCCCGGTCCAGAAGCTCCATCTAGAAGCTCCATCTTGAAACTCACTCAACCTTCATCAACAAAGCCAAGCCAATGCCGAGATACTTGGGGATCCGCTGTCGACAACCGCGCCGCCGACCCAAGGGGTTGGAATCCCCAATTTACTACCTGGAGGGCTGCAATATCCACCAAGCAGGTACCCTCCCTCCCAACCTCCTTCGCCTCCCCTCCCTCCATTGTTGCGTCGACGAGTCATTCTCCCTCCTCTCCTTCACACAGTGCGACTGTGTTGGTTACAACTCACCCATCACACACACCACCATGACGACCGACTTCCTGAGGTAACCGGAGACACCCCGAGATGCCATCCACGAGTCAAACGCCCCGCCATGCCGAGGATGGCCCCCAGCGAATACCGGAACTGACGGAGACCACGAGTGTCTTTCATTGAAACAGACTGGCTTCGGAGACTGTGACGTTCATGGACCTGCAAAGAGGGCTTACCAACGCCCCAGATCACGGGGCCATGGACGGGCTCAGATAAGGTAATTCCGGATTAGGTCCAGAGTTCCGGACGTTCCAGTAGCACAGGTGGTGGCGCGTTCCAGAAGGCGGCCCAAGATCGGTGCCACTGCAGGATCCATCGGGCAAGTACGTCCATCGCAGTATTCCAGGCCCCTTGTAGTCTCTGGTATTGTCGAGTATGAACCCGATATTTGAACTGGCTTGCCTCTCTTCCGCTTCTTCCAGCATACTATGGCGTCCACAACTGAACCCCCGGGTGTCCTGGAGCCCTACTGCTCCCTAAACAAAGCCCCTGGATCTGTGACTTGACCCCTTTCAACGGCCAACCACCAGAGCTACCCCTTGCACAATGCCTTCCGCAGTCCGCTCAGCTTCTCCCCGCCTGAATGGCATCACCAAGTTGACCAACTGCCGTCTCGTCCGTGGCGATGACCTGGTTTGGGGTGACGTCTGGGTCAGCTCGGCCACAGGCAAGATCATTCGCAGCCAGTCGGCCTTCTACGATGAGCTCAGCATGCCCGACGAGGTCGTCGACCTCGGTGGCCGCATCGTGTCGCCAGGTTTCATCGAGTGTCAGTTGAACGGAGCTTACGGCTTCAACTTCTCTACCGTCGCCGACGACATGACGCAGTATGGCAAACAGCTTCGAGACCTAAACAAAAGGCTGGTCCAGACGGGCGTCACCTCCTACATTCCCACCGTGACGAGTCAAACAAGCCGTCTCTACAAGAAGGTTGGCCCGCTCCCACCCGCACAACATGCCCGCCGGTATTAACTCTCCAGGTCCTCCCATTCCTCGGTCGCTCGGGCTCCTACCGCCGCGCTGACGACGGCGCCGAGTCCCTCGGGGCTCACGTCGAAGGCCCTTTCCTAAACCCAACCAAAAACGGCGTGCACAACACCTCCACCCTGCGCGTTGCCTCGTCCTTCACCGATCTCGAGGAGATGTACGGCGCCGCGAACATCATCCCATCCTCCTTCAAGATCTCCCCTCAGCCCTCCCCCAACTCCACCCCCACCCTCTCCCCCACCGACCCAGCAGCAGCAACACCCCCTTCCTCGGAAATCCCCATCAAGATGATAACCGTCGCGCCCGAGCTCGGCGCCATGACCAGCCTCATCCCGGACCTCACCTCCCGGGGCATCCTCGTCTCCATCGGTCACTCGGAAGCGACCTACGAGCAGGCGTCCGCCGCCGTGTCCGCCGGCGCGACCATGATCACGCACCTCTTCAACGCGATGCGGCCGCTGCACCACCGCGACCCGGGCATCTTTGGCGTGCTCGGCGCCACCGACCCGCAGCCGCAGCCACAGCCACAACCACAACCGCAACCCCAACAGAACAAGAGGCCGTACTTTGGCCTGATCGCCGACGGCATCCACCTGCACCCGGCGACGGTCAAGATCGCGTGGCGCGCGCACCCGGCCGGTTTGGTGCTGGTTACGGATGCGATGCATATGGTGGGGTTGCCGGACGGGCGGTATGAGTGGACGAATGGCGAGGGCGAGCACTTTATTGTCAAGCGCGGCAGCGTGCTGGAGCTGGAGGGGACGGGCGTTATTGCGGGCAGGTTAGTTTGCGTCGATTTCTTTTTTTGGCTACGTTTGGTTTACTTGTTTGCTCTTTGCTTTGCCGGGTTTATATCACCTTCCCCTTTTTCTTTTTTCCCTTTTCCCTTTTTCCAGTCCTGCTCATACTCCCTCTCGCCCTCCTTGCCTTGTTCCCCTTTTCCTCATGCACCCCCTTCCCCACTACCCAGCACCCCAAGCCACTCTCTCCCATGGTATGAGTTACTTGTGATGATGTGCCGCAGCTAACCAATTGCCACGACGGCCCGGTAGTTCAATAACCCTGATCGAATGCGTCTCCAACTTTCTCAATTACACCGGTGCCACGATCCCCCAGGCTTTGGGAGCTGTGACGGCGACACCGGCAGCCATGCTTGGTGTCGAGGGCGTCAAGGGATGTCTGGATGCCGGGGCGGATGCCGACCTGGTTGTGCTATCCGAGAAGGAGGATGACAAGAGGCGGGGGCTGGTGGTTGATGAGGTGTGGAAGTTTGGGGTGAGAGTCTTTGAGCGGGGGTCGCGATTAACTATTACAATAAGTGTCAGAGGTCACAGGGATGCTTTGGTAAGGGATTTACGGACATCTCATAAAGGAGGGGAGAATTCAGATTGTACCGGTCAGTTGGAGAATCAAGGGGTTAGTTAACGCAGTCGAATTTGTATCACGAAATGTAGGCGACATAAAGGAGCACAACGCTACCCAGACGGCGGAATCTACATTGTTAATATATAGAATATGTACTAAGACTAGATATCCAAAATTCCGTCATCAGTCATTACATTAGAAATCCTCCACGAACATCCAATATATCCTTACGTCAGCGTGAACGCGTCAGTCGTCCCTGTAAACGCCGTGATATCCCCAATCAACGGCTTCGAGTCGCCATAATACTTGATCCGGTACGTGCCGGCCGCGTCCTCATCGCCGGTCTCCCAGGCGATGGTCACCTCGCTGTGGCCCAGCACAAAGTTGGTGCGCTTCCAGCTGTACACCAGCCGCCAGTCATTATCACTCAGCACCTGAGTCCATGTCTCCCCGTCGCTGCCCAGCTTCTCAACCGCGGCGAAGGTGCCTTCCAGACGGAGGTTATTCCGCGGGTTAGCGCCAACGAAAGTGGTACTGACGACAGAACCGCGGGCGGATGAGGCTGCTGGCTGGGTTATGACGGCGCCGAAACTTTTTCCGGCGGGAGCGGCGTCTAAGACTACGCCCGTGATAAAGCTCAAGCTCTTCTCGCGGTTGTCTGGCGGCGTGGGCCCGGGCGGGGGGCTGTCTGAGGCGGCCTCGTTGAGGTAGGGCAGGCCGCGGAGGGTCAAATTGATGTAGGCGGGTAGCTCCCACGGTCCGTACAGAGTGCTCGCACCTTCGTATCGCTGTACATTGTACTCCTCTGGCGTGGTGACGTAGTGGGCATACGAGTTGGCCGGACCGCCAAGAACGACGAAGGGTTCGTGGTCACCGGTTATGGAGGACTCAGACGCAGCAGCCTTGACGGCGTTCCGCCAGCGCCGGCCGGCCATGGTGCTCGCTTCGGACGGGGAAATGACGATGATGAATTGGCCCACGCGGAACGACTGGACATCGACAATGTTGGCAGACCACGCGTAGGGAAGGTCCATCTCACCGACGTCGAGAAGAATTGGCTTTTGCCCTTGGCACTTCTTCTGCTCGGCGCTGGGGACACGAAGCAGACCAGCCACGACTTGCCATAGAGGGTTATTGGGCGCCCCCTCGTCACCTTGAGTGAAGTCGAAAGCGCCAGGCCAATCGGAAGTTCCTGCAGCGAACGAGTATCCAAGGGCAGCTGGGCAGGTTTGCACCTCAGTACCATTGTCCAGGGGGAACTTGTAGTACTGCATGTCTTGAAAGTAGTGGAACGATCGGACGCTCGAACCTGCAACGGCCGTTGATTTGGAGTCGAATGAGTCCTAGAAAAGTCAGCCACGCAGCTTAACAACCTCGGAAAAGAGACTTACATAAAGCTCCTTGGCCCCCGAAAACTGCTTCGAGGCGATATCGAAGCAGCTAGTCACACCGAGATCGAGCTTCCGGAAAAAGGGCCCTCTGCCGTGGCATGACTGTGATTTGCCATCGGCGCAAGTGCTGGTCTGGAAATCACACTCCTGACCAGAGCCGTCTTCGCACCAAGCGCCCAGGATGTTTGGGGTCGTGTCGCCCACATTAGCCTGGGAGAAGCCGGCCACAAAGCCGTCGGCGGCTTGGTCGTTCCCCTTGACCGACTGTTCGAAAAGGTACGCCGCGAGACCCTTGTTGTCGCCGGTGACGTGGGTGTTGTTGCCGAGCATAGACGTTGGGTGAACGGGGAACCAGGTCAGAACGCCAATGTTCTTATTATCAGACGCTCTCTGGAATCGCAGCAGGGTAAGCGTCTTGTCGACATTATCTGTGTACTGCACACGCTCCGACTCGGGATTAGCGAGATACGAGTATGGGCTCCGGTTGATGTTGGCCTCTGAAATGTGAGTGGTGCCAAAGTCGAGGTAGCCCTAGGATGATTAGTGAACTGGGATTGCAAGTCAACTAGAAGATCCCACCCACCTCCTGGAGCGAGTCGTGCGCCCTCTTAACCGATAACAGAGCACCGTCAACAATAGCTTGGTAGCCTTGGTGGTCGAAACCGAGACTGGTAATTTGCGGCAAGAGGTAGTTGAACCAGCCACCCGGCCCACTATGCGAGTGTGTGCCGACCACAGCAACGTTCGACTGTCCGTACATGGAGTAGCCAGATCCCATGGCAGCCAACCCTTCAAGAATACCGTTGCGCACTGCGGTATCACCACACATGGCGTCGAGAATGAGGTAGACAAATCGGTTGTCTGTGCCGACTTCACCGATAATGAAAGAGCGGGCGTAGATGCGCTGCCTTAAGCCAGAACCGATCTGCTCCGTGTTGGCATAGCCGGCAAAGTTGATCTCAACCACCGGGCCTGTGATGTCGGCCTTGCCTACCCCAATGAGGTACTTGTCGCCGGCCGCAGCGGCTCTCGACCTGGAGAGGAACGGGTTGTCCGCATGCTCAGCGTTTTGAAATCTTGCAGCAAACTTCCCCTCGGCCGGGGTCGAGCTGAGCTGTGCGAGAGCGAAGAGCGCGAGGATGAACAGCGAGACCGCAGAAATGGTGGCAACGAGGGCTCTCTTGGGGGGTGGTGCCCCCCGGCGTTGGTGTTGGAACGGCATCTTGGGTCTCCCTTACTCCGAATCACGGAGTGGTAGAGAGGCGTGGTGGGTGGCCCTCGACGAGGAGGTACACTTACACACCCTGGGAATGCCCCGGCTTTTAACCCCGTGGCCGCTGGGCCGTGGTGTTGTTGTGACAGTTGGCAGGGATTCCCCGCAAGCTGAACCCGATCTGGGAAGCTTCAAAGTTGAAGCGGCGGGGAAACCAGGCAAGAACGAGCAAGCGACATCAAAAGAGGCAAGAGCTTGAAGCGGGTCGGGGGAGCCTTCCTCTTATGATAGCCCGCAGGTGCGCTTGGTAGGGCTGGAGGTGATTCGTGCTGCTGAAGGCGGGTCGCATTCGCTTTTTACCTCGAGCCATCCTCGACTAACATCTTTGAGTCGCTTGCCAGGTTCACAAGCCCCAATCACTGCAACCTCGCTCTCGGCAATCCAAAGACCAAGCTTCTCACCAGTCACTGCCAGTCCCTCCTCCAGGGGGGACCATTCGCTTGCAGCGGCGGCTTCCCGGCCCAAGCCGCTCGCCGCATCCACCCTGGAAACAATGCCGATCGGGCCAATCACATGGCAGTCAGTCGTCCTGTTTGACAACATGTGGCTTGCCGAGTTCTTCTCTGTGTCTCTGAATTTGACATGGTGGTGAGACATGCCTATTGAGACTAACCATTGGATGTTGAAAGGGAATTGCGATGGGCTTCGCAAACGAATGGCGTTCTCGTTCCTGGTTGGGGAGCTGAAATGACGTCTGAGTAAAGAAGGAGGGTCAGCCGACGTGTTCATTGGGTAAACCGATCCTACCACGATCTTGCTTTGGGCTGCATTGTTTCTCGCTTGTATCGACTCGAGTCCGAGTCATGTGCGGGAACTTTTGACTGGTAGAAATCGAGCCGACAATGCGACTTTGTTGACGCCCCTTAAACTCCGAGTTAGTTATTGGAGAACCCTAACCCAGTACCTTCTCAATGGTAGCAACCCCGAGACCTTCCTCCCCGAGACATTCCGGTCTGGTCATGTTCATTCTTCAGAGAAGAGAATGTAGGTACCACCTAGGAGAGACTCAAACTTTGACTCTCGGCGTCGAGCCCGGCCCCACCAAGTCGCAGGACTTGGCCTGCGTCTCCCTAACCAACCCGACAACAACTCCAAAACACTCGATACCCAAGTTCTTTCTAGGAAGTTATGGACACTGCAGTTACTCTGCCTTTGCGGACAAATAGAATTCCGCACGGGCAATCAAAATACAGCGGAGAGGTACCTGAGTTAGGGCCAGCTTAGTGTGTTAACACTCGAAGGGTTGAAATACACACGAATACCCCCCCTTCATCGTTGTCCTTCGAGCATACCTAACTCTTGCCCCCCCCGTTTACCAGGCCGAGTACACAATCAAGTTCTGCCGATACTCGTGCTCGGGAAGGAAGACGGCAGACTGTTGATAACATCCAGTTCACAAGCAGCCCAGACATCTCACACTCCTATTCCACCCTATCCCCGTAATCTACCACTATACTTAATATATCCCTACATCGTACAACAAGCACCAGCGCCACCGCCAACCCCTCGCCAAACGAACCGCGAGAGATCAAGCCAACACCGCGGCCCCTTCGCTTTTGTGTTCGCTCTGATGGTGCGCCCGTACCAAAAAAGCCGCAGCACAATGACAAAAAAACAACCGACCCATCCTTTTGCTATGCAAGTCCATGCCCCCATGATAACCCTCCCCCCCAACAACCCCTCTCAGAGAACCCGAGAAGAAGAAACCCCGAGTAAACCGGAGGAAAGGAGGGTCAGGTGATATGTAGAACGTAAGGATAATAATAGAAAAAAAACAACGCCCCGTCCGTAACGCCTGTGTCCCCCCGTCCCCAGTCCCCGCCGCTTGCAATGTGGATATTTCCTTCCTTCATAAACATGATAAGGCTTTTTCCCACCCACCCACCCCCCTTCCAAGAAACTTTTTCCCACGCCTGAGAACCCGTTTTCCTACCCCAGGCATGCGCTGCCTGTCCGACTCCCTGCCTGACTCGTCTTGGATTCCGCCGGCCCTGGCGTAACAAAGAAAAGCGATCATGCCTCCCGATCTCTGTGGATTATACTAACATGGGATTCCAGCTAATGTGACCCATAGCCGAGCGCGGCTGGCCGCGTGGCGGTAGGATTTGGAGCTGTTAGCTGAGCTGTTATAAGAGAGACCACCGGCGGTGGCGTTATCTTTGGGGGTGTTTTCAGAGTCCAAGCTGGCCGACGGTTGGTTCCATGGCATTCTCCGACAGGTTTATCAGCAGCTGGGCGAGACAGCGTTTCGTAGCCGCGTCGTCGCGCAAGACGGCTGAGAAGGTTTGGTCGCGGAGCGGCTGGGGGAGGCATTGCCGGAGGGCTTCGCGCGCACGGGCATTGTCGCTGAGCCTACAAGGGGCTGTCAGTCACGCACGAGAAGTAGTGGGGCAGAATGGGAAGGGTTACCTGAGAAAGCATCTGACCACGTGCTTCAACAGCCTCGCGGTCTGCTGCTCTACCAGCTGAGCGACCATGTTGCTGAGCACCGTACCCACAGCATAGAACCGCTCGTAGGTGGCGCAAATGTAGTTGAGGCCGTTGTCGTCGAGCAGGATTTTCTGGACGATGAAAATGGCCACCGTTTTGCTGAGCTCGGAGCCCGTCTCCATGATCCGGAGACACAGCGGGATAATCTCGGTGGTCAAGAGGAAGTTGATAACCTCGGACGAGTCGTTCTTGACCAGTGCGCCGATCACACCGAGTGATGTCAACCGGAGGTATTCGAACGGTCGCGACTTGGATGTTGTGTTGAGGAAGGGATAGAGATAGAGGGGGATGTGCGCTGTGCTTGTCAGCAACCCGGGGCCGGGATCGGCTTTGATTTCGTGCCCGTACCAGTCAAGAAGAGAGTGCGCGTCTCATTGTGGGATGCGACGCATTGGAGAAGGGCCAGCGCATTGCAGACCCTATTAGAGGCAGCCGCGGTGAGCTGCGACGGGCTCAGGAGGTTGTAAACGCTGATGATCTCTTGCAGCAGCGATGTCATAACCCCTACATCACCGTGTTAGCGAACGCATGTCGCGCCCAGAGTCCAGGGTCGCAGGCCAAAGCCCGGGCACGTCGTACCGAATGAGTGCCACAGAATCAAGGCCAGCTCGGGGACCTGCTCTCGTTTCTTGCTAAGCTCCAAGAGCGCGCCCTCGCGCGTGTTCTCGTTCAGCAGGTCGGCGATGTACTGCAGCGTCCGACGGTTGTCCTCGGACACGGACGACTCGAGGGTGCTCTCCTGGGCATGGGCCTGGGCCAAGACGCCGGCGGTGTTGTGGGCGCTGGCAATGCGGTTGTAGTGCTGCTGCTGGGCGACATTGGCAGCGGCGGCCGCAGCTTGGGCGTGGTGTTGGTGGGACGTCTGCTGGTGCATCCAGGCCGAGTCGGCCTGGGGGTATTGGTGGTGACCGTAGACGTGTGGATTGGGCATCATCTTGGCCGTGGGCGAGTTTTGGGGGTTGACGGCGGGTGGAGGATATAAAAGCGACCGCAGAGCGGGCAGGGGAGAGAGTTTGGGGGTACTGGAGTGTCGAGGAGTCAGGGTGTTGGGGGGGGAGGCGCGGAGAGTCGAGGATTCGAGCAGTCGAGGCAGGGCTATTTATCGCGCCGGGAAAGATAATGCGGTAGGCTCGGGCTGCGTGTCATGAGCAAAAAATGTTGATGTCGGTGGGTGTAATTCAACAGGCGACCCTTTTGCCTCACGCGGTATGTGTGCCTGGCGCTGTGGTCTGGAAGCTCGAGTTCGGAGGTGGGGGAAATGGTGGGAAGTCGGGTCTGATGGCCGGCAAGGCAAGAGGAGCCACAGAGCCGCAGCCGAGTGGTTGATGGCGGTTTTTGGCGGCCGTGCACAGGCCAACCGTGGGGGTTCTCGGGTTCTTTCTTTCAGCCCAACACACCCCGGCCACCAACCAGCCAATCAGCACGATGCCGGTGGGAGTTAAGGTGAACCCGAGACATGGACTCGGCCCATCTCTCCTAACCCTACAATCACAATCACGAAGTCAGAACAAGGACGGAACACTTCAAAATGAATATTTCTTCGAATAACTCGCCGACTAGTAAAAGTACAGTACATTATAACAACAAAGCCAAGTTGAAGCCGGCGCAGGCTGAGCCCGACTGAAGAAGAAAAAACCTAACAAACAAACAAAAAAAAGCCAGGTCTTGTTTTGAAACGCCCTTCCCTCTAATCCTCGACTCAGAGTCGACCACCACCCCGTTCCACCAACCCAGGATATCGATACCTACCATCTATGCCGTCCCATTACCTTCCGTTTTTTTTTGTCTATCACAAGAGAACAAAGAAAATGATTGCGACGCTACCAAGCCCCAGTGCCGTAATGACACTCGGAGGCGCATCCTTTATGCCTCCGGAGGAGACGATGACGGGCATCGTTTTGGCGCTCGGATCGGGGGTTGGGGTCGACGTGCTGTTCTTGGAGCAGGGGCAGGCCGGGATGGGGTAGAGGACCGTCAACTTGGTGAGAGTCTCGATGGCACCGCCGGGACCGGTCGGGGTGCCTGTTGTGATGGGGCCTGTTGAGTCTCCCCCACCATCACCACCGCCGCCGCAGACCTCGCAGGGGCTGTTGCCCGGCGTCGGGGTTGGGGTGGGTGCACCTCCGGTTTGGGAACCATCACCGCCGGAACCTCCGTCATCACCGCCGGAACCTCCGTCGCCGCAGCCTCCCGAGCAGCCGCCGTTCCCGCCATCAGATGACCCATCGCCGCCATCCTCTCCGCCGTCGCCGGAACCACTTCCACAACCACCTGGGCAGCCTCCGCCTTCGTCTCCGCCTTCGTCTCCGCCTTCGCCTCCGCCTTCGCCTCCGCCTTCAGAGCCGCCTCCATCGTCATTAGAGTCACCCCCACAGCCACCCGAGCAACCCCCTCCTTCGGAGCCCCCTCCTTCAGAGCCACCTCCGTCGTCATTGGAGCCACCACCACAGCCGCCCTGACACCCCCCTTCTTCAGAGCCGCCCCCGCCATCATTTCCTCCGCCACCACCGTCACCACCGTCACCACCATCACCGCCGTCACCACCGTCACCACTGCCGCCGCATACTTCGCAGGGGCTCTGGCCTGGGTCCGGGGTTGGGGTAGGCTGACCACCGGGGCCTCCAGGCTGGGAGCTCTCACCGCCGGATCCGCCGCCACCACCACCGCAAACATCGCAAGGAGTGTTGCCCGACGTCGGGGTGGGTGGGCCACCGGCGTCTCCAGGTTGGGACGTCTCACCACCTGACCCGCCGCCGCCACCACAGACATCGCAAGGGGTATTTTCTGAAGTTGGGGTGGGTGGGTCGGCGCCTCCGGTCTGAGAACCATCGCCGCCGTCACCGCCGTCACCACCGCCGCCGCAGGCATCGCAGGGACTCTCGCCTGGTGTCGGGGTTGGGGTGGGTGGGTCGGCGCCTCCGGGCTGGGAGCTCTCACCCCCGGAGCCGCCGCCGCCATCACCGCAGACATCGCAGGGAGTGTCGCCTGGCGTCGGAGTAGGTGTGCTACCGGCGCCCCCGGTTTGGGAGCTTTCACCGCCGGAGCCGTCTCCGGAGCCGCTGCCACCTTCACCAGAGCCGTCATCACCTCCGTTACCACTCCCGTCCTCCCCACCACCATTTTCGCCTCCGTCGGAGCCATCACCACCAGAGCCCCCATCACCACCGGAGCCCCCATCACCGCCGGAGCCCTCATCACCGCCGGAGCCTCCATCACTACCGGAGCCCCCATCACCGCCGCCCTCTGACCCCCCAGGGGTCGGAGTCGGTGTTTGACCGGCACCACTCTCAGTAGGTGTCGCATTTCCGCCTTCCCCGCCAGCACCACCTTCCCCTCCAGCCCCGCCAGGACTAGGGGTGGCGGTACTATTCCCTGCCCCTCCCCCTCCACCGCCCTCACCACCTCCGGGCGTTGGCGTGGGAGTGCCATTTTGTTCCTCTCCTCCGGGCGTTGGCGTGGGAGTGCCATTCTGTTCCTCTCCTTCCCCTCCACCTCCTCCTTCACCACCTCCTCCTTCACCACCTCCTCCCTCACCACCTCCTCCCTCACCACTCCCTCCCTCACCACCTCCTCCCTCACCACCTCCTCCTTCCCCGCCCCCTCCTTCCCCGCCCCCTCCTTCTCCACCCCCTCCCTCACCACCCTCCTCCTCAGGCAGCGTCGTCCCAACCGGCACGCCCGCCTGATCGACCGTAACGGTCGCAGTAACAGTCGCGCGGCCACCGGCCCCACCCTCACAGCCCTCGGACGGCACCATGACGGTCGACAAAAACGTAATCGTCGACGTGAACATGCTGCCCGTGTCCTCGGATATCGTCACCGTCACCTCCTCGACGATGGTCGTCACCGCCTTCCACAGCGTGCCGTTCCCGCCGCCGCCCACTCCCGGCGTCGGCGTCGGCGTCCCCGCCCCGCCGTCTGGTGGGAGGGTCGTCGTCAGGAGGATCGGGTTGCCGTTCGCGTCCGTCGTCGTTATCACCGTCGGCGTGCCGGCGGCTGCGCCTCCGGGCGTCTCCGCGCCGGGTGCGGGGGTTCCTGCGCCGGGTGTGCCTGCGCCGCCGGGCAGCCCGGAGGTGGCGTTCACGGGGTCACCGTTCGCCTCCCCGCCGCCCGAGCCGGCTGCTGCGCCGGGGGTGGAGGTTACCACGACGGGGTTGCCGTTTGCGTCTGTCGTGGTGATCACCGTGGGCGTTCCGGCGCCGGCCCCGTCACCGCCACCGCCGTCTGAGCCTGAGCCTGCATCACCTGCGGCCGGGGTGGAGGTGACCACGACGGGGTTGCCGTTTGCGTCTGTCGTGGTGATCACCACGGGAGTCCCGCCGGCTGCGCCATCGCCGGCGCCCGGCGTGGCGGCGCCCTGGGCGGTGGTCAGGATCACGGGGTTGCCGGCCGCGTCGGTCGTGTAGATGGTTTGCATCGAACCTCCACCGCCGCCGGCGCCGCTGCCGCCGTCTCCGGATTCGCCTGAACCATCGCCTCCGCCGCCGGGCCCACCTGCGCCGGGGGTGCTGGGTGGCGGGGTGGAGGTCACCACCACGGGGTTGCCGTTGGCGTCGGTGGTGGTTATCACCGTGGGCGTTCCGCCGGCAGCACCATCGCCGGCGCCCGGCGTGCCCGCTCCCGGGGTGGCGGGGAGGGTGGAGGTTAGGAGGATGGGGTTGCCATTGGCGTCGGTGGTGGTGATCGTGGTCACGACCGGGGCGGTCCCATTGCCGCCGGCAGTGCCGTTTCCGGGGAGCGGAGTCGGTAGCGGGGTTGGAGTCGCACCCGCCCCTCCGCCGATACTCTCATCTCCCCCGTTGGTGGTGCCGTTGATGACGACCCACGTGGTGGCCTGCAGCTTCGTGATGGCTGCGCTTTCGAGGAAGTCCTCAAAGTTGAAGTTCTGGCGCTTGGTCTCGTCCATCTCCATGCCGCTGAACGCCAGCGAGAACTTGTCCTCGATAACCAGGGGGTGCGGCTGGATGTAGAGGAGCGTGACGAGCATCACCGGCTGGTTGCTGCTCTGGCCCGACATCTGGAAGGGCACCAGCGGGTTGATGTCGGAGATCAGCATGGGGTTCTCCGCTGATCTCACCTGCAGACCTGACTGGATGTAGGAAATGTAGAGTTTGGACGATGCCATGATGTCGAGAGGGTCGAGCGAGGTAAGGTTGATGGATAATTGCATGCCCAATGCGATGTATGTGCGGTTCCCCTCTGCTTGGGGGTATATGATGATGGGCTCTGAGGAGAGGTCTGGTGCTTGTGTTAGCTTGGGTTTCTTCCCGTATGTGTGATGCTCGACATACCTTCCCAAGTACATTGGGCCCCAGGGGTGTCGATGGTTGAGGCGCCCATCTTCAACATCATGTTGTTGGCTGCGCTGAACCTGCCGGTGCCAGATCCGGTACCTGAGCCTGTGCCCGAGCCGGACTCGGAACCGGAACCCATCAGCGACTTTTTGCTCCAGAAGCCTGCGTTAACATGGCTAGATAAGAGTGAAGCAGCAAGGAGAGCCGCCAACGGCGACGGTAGGAAAAAACGTCCACGCATCTTTACGATGCGTGGGGGTATAAAAGAAAAGAAGAAAAGGGGAAAATGGTGTTAAAGCGTTGTAACCCAACCTTCGGTCTGGAGACATCAAGTGTCTGTCAATCACGTTTGGAGGACAGCGCAATAAAGGAACCAATGCGCATCCTCGGGATAAAACTCGTTCTTGAAGGGACTAGAGATGAACGCAAAATCTTTCTAGACGATAGACGGAGGGCCATGTCCTGCCTTAAACCAGCCCGGGCAGCCACATGTGGCCCCCTCTTACTCTCCGTCTCCACGCAATAGCATGAGACGGGGTCGATTCTGAAGCCATTTGACCCAGCTTGCGGCCCCTCCAAAGCCCTGCGTGTATGAGTTCATATGAGTACCCGGGAAGACGGCAGAGCATTGGGGGTTTCACCGAGCTGAGCTGGTGGGCCAACATCCAGGCCCCGGACCGGAGTTGGGAGCCAGCCGGCCGGGATGCAGCCCACGTTTTGGTCAGGGTGCCGGGATCGGAGAGCCCTAGGTGGGAGAGCCAACATTCAAGGTAGAAGTGTACTTTCCGATTCGTTTCTTTACATGAGCGGCGCGGATGCGGCCGCATCAGTGAGATACCGAAGGTTTGGGCTAGGCAGTGGGCCAACAGCAGGACAACCGACAGGTTTGCTGCGCCGTGTGGCACTTGGAACATGCACATTCTGAGAGCAAGAAGGGGGGATCTGGGCTTCACTCGGCCGGGGCAGGGCCGTTTCGTGTTATTTAGGCATCGCAAGCTTCAGCTTTTCAATATTGTTCTTGGGGGCCCTCTCAGCCACGGCGGTGGTGGTTGTTTAGAGTCGTGGGAGAGTTCGGGGGCCAGAAGCAACAAGTAGTCTAAAATTGAAGGACCCGGTTCGTTGTTAACTGACGCGTGTAGACTTCAAGCATAAAAGTGCATCACGGTTGAAGAGCGGAAAATCAAGGGACGCCACATGGTGAGGCGAGGAAACCAATCGTGATGGAGAATGTTGGTGTTGTGGGACGAACCTGGAAGGATCAGGCGAGGATGCACTGAATTTGTGTTACCTGAGCTGCTGAGGTCTTGGTGAAGGGCCTAGACCGGCCGCTGAACGGCGCGGGAAAGGTGGGGATTCGAGAGGTGCCCTGGGTTAAGGTTCTCAATCCCGGTCAAGTCTGGATGCCACTTATCTTGCTACTACCTATGTACTTTGTACGGATGTTGTTTTCTTCCAATCAAACAAAATACCGCAGTATTGGAACTGTCCTACACTCGGTGTCGATGCTGTGCAACAAACTCGCTGAGCGAAGTATGTATGCATGCAAACCCAAGAAACGGGACATGGTGGGGTGTCACTGAATTCGGCTGTTGGCCAGGGTCGTAGCCTTGGCAGCCGTGGGGCCTGGGATCATCTCCCCCGAGCCTCTCTTCGGGACTCCAGGTTGCAACGGAGATAGCGCCAGGATTGGCAGTCAACGGGAGCTTTGAACACCAGGTTTGGTCGTGATGTGCGCCTCGTTGACTCCTTCCCCTCTTTATCCGCATCGGCTTTCCTCCGGGAACAGTCGGAAACAACCAAGAACGCGGAAGGCGCGTCTAGGCGGGCTCGAGCCACATACCTGCCCTAGTCAGCCGGACAAAGAAACCTGGAAGCTTCGGGGAGGGGCAGGTGGACACACCCAACGCCTTCCGCCATCCAGTGATGCCCTGGCACTCCTGGTCCTTCGCTCAACTGCGCCGCCCGTTTGGCAGTTTCAAGATGCATCCCGCCCACTCAGAGCGAGCCTTGAGCGAGCACGCCAGCAGTTAAGCTTGTTCCTGTGCCCTCGCGTGGCATGGGCAGCCCCAGAAACATCCCGGCTGCCCCCTCACGTGCGAATTGCACAAGCAGCAGCACCGAACGGATAAGGTACCTTTGATCGACTGTCCATTTGAGGAGCAAATCCGAAGGCCCAGATTAGGTACGGCTGTCGCCTAGGGATGTGCGAACTGCAGTGAAGACCCTCGCCCTCCTCCTCACGGCGGTCGGTGGTTGCCAAGCTGGGATGAGCCACAGCCCGGGACTGAGACTTGCCAGCCCTTCTTAAAAGGCCTTATCGCCCTGTGTGGTCGGACTTGTGGCCTGGTCTCACCGCCGACTTGTCTTTCTTCAGACCACGTTCGCATGCGCGTCGACTTCCGAGCATTCAACCATCTCAAGACATCATCATAGTACATAGGTACAGAATCAACGCAATGGCTGGCGGTGGTGCGACCAATTCCACGGGGCCCCCACCCCAGGCCGGCGTTCTCGAAGGTATTAATCCAATCGAGTATAACCCATCGAATCCAATTACGCTTTTCATCATCCAGGTAAGTGACCCTATTGGTGGCCCTGTGAAACCCAACGTTGTTTGGACCCATCAAGCGGTGCCGATATCCGTGTGTTTCGTTTCGAGGCCGAGAATGTAACCCGGCCACCGGCCTTGGCCCCGGCCAGCCTGGCTTGCATGTTACGGGCTAGTACGCTAACAATAGCATCCAACAATGTAGGCCATCATTGTCATCATCTTTTGCCAATTATTGCACTGTGAGTTACCCGACTCGGGATTTGGACCTGTTCGTTTTGGGCTGACTGACTGGCTGTGACAGACCCCCTCCGGCTGCTGAACCAGCCCCGTGTCATCGCCGAGGTCCTCGGCGGCATCCTGCTGGGGCCCTCGGTGATGATGAGGATACCGGGCTTCAAAGATAGTATGCATCTCACCGAGTCCTTGTGTCGATGCCGTCCCTGGTCACTGACCCGTCATAGCCATCTTCCCCACTGATTCCATGCCCGTCTTTAGAAATGTGGCCGAAGTGGGCTTGTTGGTCTTCCTCTTCCTAGTCGCCCTCGAGGTGAGCAACCCGGCTTCCGCGCGGCTGTGGATTGGGCCTGACTATCAATAGGTCGACATGCGTCTGTTCACCCAGAACTGGAAGGCTGCCCTCAGCGTCGGCCTGGCCGGCATGATTCTGCCCTTTGGCCTCGGCTTTGCCATCGCTTACGGTATCTACCACCAGTTTCACGCCGGCATTGTTGAGCATCCCATCAGCTTTGGAGTTTTTGGTTTGTTCATTGGCACCGCGCTCGCCATCACTGCTTTCCCCGTCCTCTGCCGCATTCTCAGCGAGCTGAACCTGCTGCGTTGCAACGTCGGTGTCACCGTTTTGGCTGCCGGCATCGGCAATGATGTGACCGGCTGGATCCTCCTTGCCCTCTGCGTCGCCCTGGTCAACAACAGCAACGGCCTGGCTGCCCTCTGGGCCTTGCTCTGCTGCATCGGCTGGACCCTGGTGTTGTTCTTCATCGTCCGACCGCCTTTCATCTGGGTCTTGAGGCGGACCGGCAGTCTGCAGAATGGCCCTACCCAGGGCATGGTCGCCCTGACCATGCTCATGGTGCTTGCTTCGGCTTGGTTTACCGGTGGGTCCGCTCCCCATCTGATATTATCCGCTGGTTCTGATTTTCCAGGTATTATTGGTGTCCATCCCATCTTCGGAGCCTTCTTGGTCGGCCTCATCTGCCCTCACGACGGCGGTTTTGCCATCAAGTTGACCGAGAAGATCGAGGATCTGATCTCGGTTCTATTTCTACCCCTATATTTCGCACTCTCTGGCCTGAATACGAACTTGGGTCTCTTGAACGACGGCATCACCTGGGCCTATGTCATCGGCATCATCGTGTGCGCCTTCGTCGGCAAGATCGCGGGTGGCACCCTGGCTGCTCGCGCTAGTAAGTTGCTTTGGCGAGAAAGCTTCACCATAGGCTGCCTGATGAGTTGCAAGGGTCTTGTCGAACTGATTGTCCTGGTATGTCCGTTCTATCCGTTAAAGGGACCTCCAGCTAACGCCATTAGAACATTGGTCTTCAAGCGGGCATCCTGTCAGATACTACTTTCAGCATGTTTGTCGTCATGGCTTTGGTTACAACTGTCGCCACTACGCCCCTTACCAAGGCTTTGTATCCTCCATGGTACCAAAAGAAGGTTGAAAGGTGGCGGCGCGGAGAAATCGACTGGGACGGCAACCCCACCAACCCTCCCGATGCCGATCAGCCTCAGCAGAAGTCGGCCGACTCGCAGGTCCGCCGCCTCATGGTGCATCTTCGTCTCGACAGTCTTCCGAGCTTATTTACCTTCATCACTCTCCTCAGCCCTGAGAGCGTGCCCGCGTCCGCCCACCCTGACACCGCCGAAGACTCGTCCCAAGGCAAAGAGGTACAGATCAGAAAGAGACCGCTCGAAGTTCATGGCCTACGCGTCATTGAACTCACCGACCGTACCTCGTCAGTCATGCATCTGACTGAGGGCGATGATTCCTACTCCCTCCGTGACCCTGTGGTCAACGCCTTCAGGACCTTCTCCCAGCTTCATGACGTTGCCGTCTCGGGCCGGGTCGCAGTCGTTCCCGCAGATTCGTACGCGGAGACGCTCATGTCCCAGGCATCCGAAGTATCTTCCGACTTTGCCCTCATCCCCTGGGGCGAGTACGGCAGCACATCCGAGGACATGTCCCTTCCTATCGCCATGAGTGGGAGCGAGAGGTTCCGGTCTACCTCCCACTTCGAATTCATCACCCAGACCCTACACCAAGCTGCTCACACCTGCAACACGGGCATCTTCATTGACAACGGCTTCGGTGGCATCACTAAGCCCGTCGACCGGCCAGATCTGGCCCGCACCAAGAGCGCCATGTCCATCCGCAGCTACCGCCCCGAGTTCGCCACCTTCCCTGTCGCCAATAAGTCCCACCACATCTTTCTTCCCTTCCTCGGCGGGCCCGACGACCACGTCGCCCTCCGAATCGTCCTGCAGCTTGCCAAAAACCAACACGTCACCGCTTCCATCGTGCGCATCATCTGGCCAGCCACCACCACCAAAGCCGAACCCACCACCTCCAACGACACCTCCACATCCACCCCCTCCCCCAAATCCGCCACCACTACTTCCCTCCAAGACTCAGCCGCCCGCCAAATCCAACAAGATGCAGTCTTCTTCGCCACCATGCAGGCCTCTCTCCCGTCGGACCTCGCCCCGCGCGTCGTCTTCAGCGAGGTCGAGCTCTCGACTGCCGCCCCGGCCTCGACCCTCCCCGAGATTGTGGTGCTCGCCCAGAAGACGGTCGGCCAGCGGCCTAAGAACGCCGGCGACGTGGTCGTCGTGGGGCGGCGGAATGTTCGCTTTGGGGACGCGCTGGCCGCTGCTGGTGCTACTGGCGCTGCTTCTGCTGCGGATGGGCAGGATGGCGGTGGCGGAGTGAGTGGAGGAACTGGGAGTGGGAGCACTAGTGCGGGTGGGAGCGGTGGAGGTAGTGCGGATCTGAGGCGGACGGTCGGTGCTGTGGCCGAGCAGTTGGTCACGGTGGGCATCAAGGCGAGTATCTTGGTCGTGCAGGCTGGCGGGAAGGGATTGGAGGCTGTTTATGCTTAGCGGTTGCCAGTTAGGTGTCCATCTTTTGTTGTTCTGGTTCGGCTGTTTGGGTGCTTCTATCTTTGGGTACGCGGCCGGGGTTGATGGGTTGGTTTGGAAAGGGTGGCGACATCCATGACATATCACGACACGCTACACTTCCTCCTGGGTATAACGACATCTGACTGGAACTTGTTCATGTTTATTTCTCTTCGTAAGTCAAAATATAACACACTCGATACATCCTTAAAAGAAAAACCATACAGCAGAAACGTGACAGTAAAGGAAGCAGAAAACAACATCAGTTTTACCCCCAACGCCCGCTACCATAAAGCTCCGTCCAAAAAAGGCATACTGTTACCCACATCGACTCAACTCACCACGCCGGCGCCCCCCCACACCCCGCACCACCACCCCCATTCCCACCCATCATCAACTCCACCCCCTTCCGCATCCCCAACTCCCCGTTCACCATGGCCTTCACCCCGGGCTTCTTGGCCCTCTGGCCCACGAACCCGATCTTCCTGTCCACCTCGTCGAACTGGCCCGGCCCGGCCTCCCCCTTCTTGACCATCCACCGCCTCGTCCCCAGCGCGGCGTCCAGCTCCTCGACCGACGGCAGCTTCATGTACACCATGCCGTCGGCGCGCTCCTCGACGTCGAAGGTCGCGACCGACAGGTCGGCGTCGTTGAGGCAGGCGCCTGTGGCGAGGGAGTAGTTCTTTTTGTGTTGTGGGGAGGAGATGTAGGGGGATGGTGGCTGTTGTGGTGGTTGTGTGGTGGTGGTGGTGTCGTCCGCCGCCGGGGGGAGGTCTTCGCCGAGGATGGAGTCGGAGAGGATGAAGGAGCGCTTGTAGGGGCACATCTGCTGCGTGGCGTAGTACCGGCCCTTGAAGCGGAACACGGCCAGCTGGGTGTCGCCGCGCTTGATGGTCGCGCTGGTGCCGTTGGGCAGGGCGTCGGCGCCGCGGAAGTAGGAGGCTTCGAGCACGGGCTGCCAGGCTGTCTCCGACCAGCTGTCGCGCAGCGAGGCGAAGTCTTCGGTCGCTGGTTGCTTGGTCCACATGACGGGTCGGGTTTGGAGGCGGTCCGTCTCGAGCTCCATGTTCTCGAGCGTCTCGGCGGTGTTGGCGAACTGCTTGAATTTGGCGGCGATGGAGGGCGTGCTGATGGCCTCGGCCCACTCGTCGAAATAGCTGTCGACGAGCTCCTGCATTTGGGCTTCTAGGGAGGCGTTGATTCCGAGAGAGTCGTCGAGGATGACCTGCTTAAGGTAGGCGATACCGCCGGGGAGTGATTCCAGCCAGCGGGCGGTGCGCTGGAGCTTGTCGGCTGTGCGGATGTAGAACATGAGGTAGCGGTCGAGGATGGGGATGACCTCGGTTGGTGGCACATCTTTGGCAAGAAGCTCTGAGTGTCTGGGTTTGGCGCCGCCGTTACCGGCCACGAAGATATTGAAGCCCTTTTCGGTGGCGATGAGGCCAAAGCTAGGGACTCGTTAGTCTGGGAGTGCTGGGTTGAAAATGGGTACAGGAACTTACTCCTTATTCTGAGCTTCTGCACACTCCCGCACGCAACCACTTACACCACCCTTGATCTTATGCGGCGCGCGGATGCTCTTGTACCGTTCCTCCAAACGCACCGCCATACCCACGCTGTCCCCGACGCCGTACCGGCACCAGGTAGTCCCGACACAGCTCTTGACCGTCCGCAGCGCCTTGGCATAGGCGTGGCCGCTCTCCATACCGGCATCGACTAGCTTCTTCCAGATGTCGAGCAAGTCTTGCTTCTTGGCGCCGAACATGTCGATGCGCTGACCGCCGGTGATCTTGGTATACAGGTTGTACTCTTTAGCAACCTGAGCGATGGCAAGAAGTTTGTCTGGCGTGATCTCGCCACCCGCCATCCTGGGCACGACACTGTATGTGCCGTTGCGCTGGATGTTGCCCAGAAACTGATCATTGGTCTCCTGCAGACCATGATGCGGCTTGCCCATGACATGCTTGTTCCACAGACTGGCGAAGATGCTGCCTAGGCAGGGCTTGCAGACTTCGCAGCCGAGGCTGTTGGGGTCGGTACCCGCCTCCTTCATGACCTCTGGCAGGGTCTTCAGGCGCTTGACCATGATTATGTTGTACAGGTCGGCGCGACTGTGGTTGAAGTGGGGACAGAGGTGGTTCTTGACCTCATTGCCCATGTCCTTCATGGTCTTGTTGAAAATGGCGGTCACCAAAGGAACGCAGCCTCCACATCCGGTGCCGGCTTTGGTGCAAGACTTGATATCACCGATGGACTTGCAGCTACCGTCCTTGACAACGTTGACAACGTCACCCTTGGTGACATTATGGCAACTGCAAATCTGGGTGTCGTCGTCGAGGTCGTCACCGTCGTCGCCTTCGCTCTTGGCCCCCAGGATGAGCTCCGCTGGCGGGATGTCGAGCTCCTTCTGGTTCTTAACTAGGGGCACCAGCTTGACGTAGTCTTTGGTGTCGCCAATCATCATGCCGCCGAGGAGGTACTTTCCGTCCATTGTGAAGATGTACTTTTTGTACACGTTCTGGAAGGGGTCCTTGTAAGTCAGGGCCTTGACGAGGCTCGACGGGGCGTCGGCCTCCTTGGTGCCGTTGGCGCCGTTGGAACCATGGCCGTTGGCACCATTCACCCCGTTGGTCTTCTTCGCTTTGGCTGGTAGATACTTGGGACCCTCGATGTCCGCAAAGTAGTCCCCAAAACTGGCCACCTCGACACCCAACAACTTCAACTTGGTGCTGAGGTCAGGCCGCTTGTATAACCTCGGCTGGTGAAGCTTTGCCTGCGTGAGGTTGAAGGACAAGATATCCGCCATTTCCACACCAGGGGCGATCAACCCAAAGACCTGTCCCTCCCAGCTTGCGCACTCTCCAATGGCGTAAATATTGGGGTCGCTGGTCCTGAGGTTGTTGTCGACCATGATCCCGCCCCGGGCGGCGCAGTTGAGCCCTGCCTGTCGCGCCAACTCGTCCCGTGGCCGGACACCAATGGCAAAGCATATGGTGGAGCAAGCAAAGGAATCGCCATCTTCGAAGCTGACTCCTGTTACGTTGCGCTGCTCATCGGTCTGTATCCCGGCAACGGCCTTGTTAAGCAGAACGTCGACACCGAGGCCACGGACCTGGTCAGCCACCATGGCGCCGGCGACGCTATCTAGCTGGCGGCTGAGAACCCAACCGCCACGCTCGATGACTTTGACTTTGTTGTAGCATTGTAGATCCATCAAAGCCTTGGCTGCTTCGAGGCCCAGCAGACCGCCGCCGACGACAGCGCCAACGGCGCCGCTCTGATTTGCGGAGAAGGCAATGAGCTTCTCAAGATCGTCAACCGTGCGGTAGACAAAGACACCCGTGGCATCGTGGTTGGGGATGGCACGCGGGAGGATGGCATCGGAGCCGGTGGCGAGGACGAGGATGTCGTATTCTATTTCTTTTCCATCGGCGCAGGAAATGGATTTTCGGAAGGAGTCGATCTTGGTGACTGTGGTGTTGACGTGGTAGTTCAGGGCTCCGTCCATAATGCTTTCGTACTGAAACATGTCAGTTGGCGACGGGTTCCGATAACACCAAGTGAGGTGATGGTTACCCATTCTAGCGGGTTGAGGTAGAGCTTCTCGACCTTGCGGTGCTCGAAGAATGTTGTCAAGCCGACACGGTTGTAAGCCACATGTTTCTCCTCGCCGACCACTGTGATGTCGTATTCACGGGCCCTTGCGTCGAGCTTCAGGAGTTTCTCTCTATCCAGGAGTCAGCGAGCGAGGAGGGGCCGACTTTATTTGTCTAGACATACATGAAGCTGATGCCGACCATGCCCAGGCCGACAACAACAATCCGTTTGCGCGCTCCCACCGCCATGCTGGGCGTGGTTTGGTGTAACGTATGGAACACCAGGGAGAGGTGCCGAGGTCAATTAGAGCAGAACAGGGTGGAATGTCAACAACCGAGGTTGTAATAGTCTAGTTTGTTCTATGCGGTCTTGGTTGAGGATGAGACGAGAAGATGAAAATGGGAGAGAGAAGAAATAAAAGCGACACGGAATGGTATACTTGCGGTCTTTCTAGTATCAGACGACAAAAGCGCGGCCAAAACACCAGAGACAAGCCGGAATCTGACGACAACCCGCGTATCTTATCCCGATGAGCCCCGTCAATGCTGCCAACATGGGCCTCAACCATCGGAATTCACGGGACACAATCCCCACAGCCAACGGAGAACTGCATCTCCGGATCGCAGTTCTCCGGGTCTGGCTCTGGGATATCTCGGGGGTCGGGAAAGCGTGGGCATCATGTCATGGTCTTAGCGGAGAAAAGTGAGTCGAGCAGAGAGCGGATGGAGCAGGGCGCGGGATGTTGGCAGCCTTGCATCTCCACGGGGCATTTGCACAGGCACTGATGTAAGCCTGAGTATTGCGGTTGTGTGCTGCGTAGATTCGAGCACCACGCAGTGACTGCGAAAAGTGGAAACCCACAGAACATCTCTCATCTTCCAGCAGCTCAGAACGGCAAGGGCGTTGAGGTTGGTCAAGATAGCAGATAGCCCACAGATAAGTGCACCAGCCAATCAGGTGTTGCAGAATCCATCGTCGCTTCCTCCTTTGGACACCCGCGGAGATAGACCGGGCCAGACCTTATCTTTCCTCGAGTGGTGTGTTTCCGGAATTCTCTTCCCGTGGCTTCCCTACGATGGTTATTCTTTTCAGGTACCCGTCCGGCAGTCACACCGTACGTTCATGGTTAAGACCACGCGTCATTGTCTTGGGGGGTCCCGACCACAGTTGGGGGTCCATCTCTACTGTGTAAATAAATGGACCCCCATCAGCTCCGATCCTCCAAGTCTCACCACAAACCCGAGAAAGCTCCTGACGGTGGCGGCGGTCTATTCGGACCCACTCGGAATCCGGCGTCGACTGTCTCAGCCGGTTCTGTCCGGGCTTGGCCCGCCGCTCTCGGTTCCTTTGGTTGTTCGTGTCAGTCGCATGGTGTGACGATTTCAGGAGCCGCACTTCGAGTGGTTAATAATTCCGGAGTTTGCGACTTTCCCAACATATCACTGCTCGAGGTCCGCTCCCGAACACTTGAGCACTCAAGGCCATCTTGCCCCTGAACACCACCCGGCTTGTTTCCGCAGCATGCTCGGAAATGTCCCAGTTTCAGTCGGGGCACGGTAACAGCCGTTGGATGGGCCTCCAGCAAGTCAGGCCATCTTCGGACTCCAACAGGGCACCTAGGTAGCAACGTTCCCGTTTCCGCTATATCCGGGGGTAGTATGTGTCCGGAGGCGGCATTAACTCGCTCATATATATGCAATTCCCTATGCCCGTACGTCGTACACACTTCCTCCCGTCCGTCAAGCTTTTCACGTTGCGCCCTGTCCCCAATCATGGCGGCACTTGGTCGGAGACGGCACCGACTCATATGTACTTTATGAAGAGGACATGTGGATCGTCACGTTGGATGCGGATATTCGGGCGGTTTTGGTTACACAGGTTGATACGGCCAACTGGCCAAAGCACGTAAAAGTGTATACAATCTCTCAAACTAACGAGACATGTACATGTACATACTAGATAATAACAAACAAAATCGAAGAAAAAAAGACCGGAACCAGGACGGGCCAGTCGGCCACAACAACGGTTACCGCAAAGCCGGGTATTACAAACTCTCCCTCCCCCCAGATGGGTATCCAACTTCACACACACTTCCACCACACAACTAACCAAGCCACCCCCTCCCTAATACCTCAACACCACCCCCCTCGTCCGCCTCACGCACACACTATGCAGCCAATCCCTCCGGCCACCACTACCCACCCCCATTCCATTCCTCACATTCACACCGACACTCCACATCCCCTCCCGCGCCCCCCTGAAACCATCATCAACAAACACATCTTCCCCGCGCTCAATCGCCGCGATCCGCGCCAGCACCTCCTGCATCTCCACCATTTCCTGCATCGCCTTCCTGCGCCGCCCGCGTGCCGCCATCGCGAACCCGTCTTCCGCTTCCACCAAACCGGAGGACGAGTTGGCGGCGGTGGCGGTTGTCTCGGACCACAAGCCGACCGAGCCCGGCGCGCTGCCGGAGCGGCGGCGGGGCGCGGCGGTCGTCCAAAGGTGTTTGCTCGTGGCGTGGCTGCTGGGGGAGGTTGGGGTTGAGGTGGGTGTGCAGACGGTGTGGAGCCAGTCGTGCTTGGTGTTTTGTTGGGCTGTGACGACACTCTGCTGCTTGGTCCACATCTCCGTGTGCGGCTTGATGTGGGCCGGTTGGGTTGGTGTGGCTTGCCGGCGGTGGTTCTTCCTGCCCCCGGTGTGCGCCGTGGGAATGGAGCTGGCCAAGGACGCTGTTCCAGGCCACAGATGGACGGTTGAGGCGGAACTGCTGGTGTTGCTAGGACGGCGAGCGGCCCAGAGTTGTTTGCTCACGCGGCCGGTGGCCGAGGTCGAGGTCCGGGTCGGTGTGCGTACGCTGTGCAACCAATCGTGCTTCTTGGTCTTTTGTTGAGCCGCGGCGACGCTCTGCTTGGTCCACATTCCGGAACGCTGATCAATGTGAGCTGGTTGGGTGAGTGTTTCTTGCCGTCGACGGTTCTTGCCGCTTCCAGTGAGCACCGTGGCCATGAGCCTGTACTCTTCTTCCCTGGGAGATGACGCCGATGAGGCCGTTCCGGGCCACAGGTGGAGGGTTGAGGCGGACCGGCTGGTGTTGCTGGAACGGTGAGAGGCCCAGAGCTGTTTGGTCACGCCGCCGGTGGTCGAGGGCGAGGTCGAGGCGGGTGTGCATACACTGTGCAACCAATCGTGCTTGGTCTTCTGTTGAGCCGAGGCGACGCTTTGCTTGGTCCACATCGCCGCGCGCCGCTCGATGCGAGCGGGCTGGGCGGACTTGTCTTGCCGTCGGTGGTTCCTATTTCCGGCGCGCGCTGTGGGCATGGGCAGGAGGGATGAGACCGAGGAGGCTGTTCCGGGCCACAAGTGGACGGTTGAGTCGGAACGGCTGCTGGGACGGTAAGGGGCCCAGAGCTGTTTGCTCGTACCGCCGGGTGTTGAGGCCGAAGTCGGGACTGGTGCGCACACGCTGTGCAACCAATCTTGCCTCGTCGCTTGTTGAGGAGACACGGTGCTCTTAGTCCACATTTCCACTCCCTGCGGTACCTTGGTGGTTGGCGTGAAGGGTTCTTGTCGTCGCCGGTTCCTCCTGCTCTGGCCGGTATGGTTGGCGTCCTCTTCTTCCGAGGACAACACTTGAGGGCCGGCCATGGGCGTCCAGAGGCTGGTTCGCGAAAGGGAACGGTTGTTGGAAAGAAGGGAAGAGGTCCAGAGTTGTTTGCCCTTCGACTGCTTCTTCGCCATCGGCGCACACACATTATGCAGCCAGTCCCTCTCCGACGCCCGAGCCACAGCCGCCCTCTCCCCATTCACCCACAGGTCCATCTTTGCAAAGTGAACAAAGGGGTTCTCGCCCCTTTCTACCGCAGCCATTTGTGCAAGGATCTCTTGTGTTAGCTGCTTCTTCTGCAGCATTTCTCGCCGGTGTGCCCGTTGCGAGGCGGCGATGGCGTCTTCTTCCGCCGAGGGGCTGGTGGAAAAGTCACGCTTAGCGGCTGGCAACCACAGGCCGGTTGTTGAAACCGCAGCCACAGACTGGGAATGAGGAATCCACAGGTAGCTGGCATCCTTGCGGGGCTCAGACTTCCTCCTCGGCTCAAACCTCGCCACCTCAACCGGAGCAGCAACCACAACGGGCGGTTCCGGCGCCTTGGGTTGAATCGGAGCCGACGTGAAGACCAACGACTGCCGAATCCGCAAGCTCAGCCTCCTCTGCAAGTCCTGCACCGTCTCCACGCCCGTAACCTCCTCCTCCATCGCCACCACTGGCTCTGCGACAGCAGCAGCCGCCATGCTCGTGCGCCGGTGGTACTCGGCCTTCGCAGTGCGCTCCGCAAACAACCGCTCCTGCTCGAGCGCCTCGATCTGCGCCTGGATGGCACTGTTGTGCGAGAAGGTTGCCTGTAGAGTAGCCGGGACTGGCGGCGGGGCGTCGCTCGACGTATGCACCTCGTGCTCAACCGCGCGGACCTCCTCCTTGCGTTGGGTCCGACTGGTGCTGCGGCTGCGGCTCCGCGAGTTGGAGGATGGCCGGTGCAGTTTCTTGGCTGAGGGGGCCGGAATGGCAGGGTGGACGGCCTCTTCTGGGCAGGTGATGGTCAGGGAGCCGAAGAAGACTGGGTGGCGGATGGCGGGGTTGAAGGCTGATGATTGTTGACGGGTAGAGAGGGAGATGGCTTCTTGAAGCGCGGCTTCCCAAACCCTAGGGGTGGAGATGGTCCGGTTGAGCTTCTTGCGGCTTGGGTAGCTGGCTGCGATGGCTTCTTGAAGCGCGGCTTCCCACTGGGCAGGGGTGGTGATCCGGTTGAGCTTCTTGCGGCTTGGGTAGCTGGCTGCGATGGCTTTGCTCAGAGCAGCCTTCCAGTCCTCGGGAGTAGTCTGCTGTCGTTGAAGCCTGCTCCCCCGGTGCTTTGTCTTCGCCCCTAAGATCCAATTCCGCTCACTCTTCTTTCTAGCATCCGCAGAGGTCCAGAGATCTGTCGACGCCAACCGCTCCAGGGATTTCTGCTCAGCCGGGCGTGATTTCCGGCTCATGTGCATGGCAGCCGGCTCCTCGGAGGTGCCACGGCCGTCAGATCGGCGGGCCTCGAATACGAACAAGCCTCCTGGTGCGGAAGGCGTATCCGCTTGGCTGGGCGGGTGCCACAAGCCGACAGATCCTTTCTTTTGGACAATCGTGGCCTTTTGGACTTCGGCGGTGTGGCGCGGCATCCGAGACATCTCGGGTTCTGGTGTCGCCTGGGGAGCAACAAGGGCCGCGCGACTGTTCAGAGAGGCCTTGGGGTTGGCAGGCAGGCCAATTCTGATAGCCTGCTTGGGCGCCGTCTTGGACTCGATGGCGTCTTCGAGCATCAGCAGAGCCGAGCTCTCCAGTGTCGCCGAGTCACGCTGCTGCTCAGCAAGCGCCTCAAGGGGTTCAGCCAGGCCAATCACGATCGACTGACCTTCATCGTCCGAAGGCAGTTCATCAAGATAGTCATCCACGACCGGCTCGGATGGGGGCGGTAGCAAGCTATTCCTCGACGGCACCTCATCGGTCTTCAAAAGGCTGGCAATTTCCCACAGTGTTGTCTCGTCAAACCCGTCGTCACCATCCTCGTCGGAGTCCATCCCCATGATATCGTCCTCGTCGTCGTAGTCGTCAAAGAACGAGGAAGAGTACTCGTCTGACTCTGGCCGTATTGAGCGGCCTGCCATACCGATAGACGGAGTACCTGACGACATAGTACCGGGCATGGCCATGTACACGCTCGGGCGCGGTTGGACTCTCGCGGTGTCGGACTTCTCGCCCCATGGAAACTGGAAAATGCCGAGAGTTCCACGCTTGTCCGGAAGAGGTTTTGGGCTTTCGAGAATGTCTGGGAGCAGCGTAACGCGCTTGTTACGGCGTGGGGGCCGTTGAGTTACCGGTCGTGGGGCCTTTTGCGAGGCGGGCTCTGACTTGGAGGGCACGCGAGCTAGTGGTTCGGCGGGAGGTGCTGCTGAAGCCCAGAGAGGGCGCCAGAGACCCGAGGTTGCCCGGTTCGCGGTGTTGTACGGCTTGCGCCAGAGCTGAGCGCTCTTGATCTGAAGAGGCGCCCACTCCTTTCTCTGTGCTGGACGGACCGACAGGGCCGGGAGTGGAGCATCGATCTCCGGGCTAGGCTTCGAAGTAGCCGCCCAGAGGAAGCTTGTCGGGGCAGCGTCCTTTGATGCAGGCGTCCATAGCAAGGCTGACTCTTGGGGCGCTTCTGATGGCTGCCCAACCATAGCTCCCTCGTCAAAACTTGGGAGAGGCGGGACCTCAGAGTCGTCTGAGTCTGGTGGAGTAGGACTAGCAAGCTGAGCTCTCGTCAGTTGCAGGAAATTGACGTTGCTAGCACGGAGGAGTCGAGCGTCCATGTAATCCATCTGCGCCTCCGTCAACCGCTTCTGCCACTTGCTCATCTGTGGGCTCACCGAGTTCCGTACTGGTGGCTCGGGGACGATGGGGATGGCGTTCTGCATGTGAGCAAGGCGGGAGGCTCTACGTTCTGCCCCGATGCTCTTTCTGGTCGGCTCACGAGCCATATTGATAGTGCTGGCTACAGACGCGTGGCGCGAGTCCTGGGCCGTGGGCGACGTAGTCTGCATGCTGGACAGAGAATCACGGCCAATGTCATGCTTGATCTCCTCCCAGTGCTCCTCCTGTTGGCCCATCTCCCGTTCGAGATCCTCAAGGAGTGCTATGCGCCGCGACGCACTTTCCGGAGTGGGTTGCTCAAGCTCATCAAGCTTCTTCAATTGCGCCTGAATTTGCTGGATGGCTTGCCCAGGGGACTCAAGCGGAGAAGGCTCAACTTGAACGGCGAGGATCTTTTTCGTTGAAAGAGTGTGTAGCGGCAGAGGCGCAGGAGGGGGCATCTTCCTAGCCTTGACCTTCTTCGCTCTGTCTGAGAAAGTTGGGCACACGTCGCCCACACGTCGGTGCCAAGTAGGTAGCACTGGGCTTACCACGGCGTCAACTTCCGAAACCATCGGGCTCTGGCGATCGAACTGCTGAACGGTGGAGGTGTCGAGCATGATCGGCAATGTCTCCCGGCTGCGGTTGTCGGCGAAGGAAAGCTCCGACCCTCTCATGTCTTGACGGCCAGGCATCCGAACTGACGACGGCAGGCCGAGCCGCTGCATAACGGGAACACCAATGGCCACCTCCGGCGTGTTGATAGAGCTCCAGTTCGTCCCGTCGTCCTCGGAGCGGTCGTATGTTGTCTCTGTCCAGGCGGACGCACGAGCCGGGACTCCGGGGAGAACTGGGGACGACCCGCGCTTCCCGCTAGCTTCCTTCACGCGTGGGTTGTTGCTCGGGTCACCACCGTCCTCGTCACCCAACGCGCGGAGCCAAGAGCTCCCGGCTTCGCCTGCATTCACCCTCGTCTTCTTAGGGTTGCGCGAGATCTCGTCAACTTCCAAAACGCTTTCCGTACGAGTAGATGCTTGCGTCGTCCGGTTAGAATGCTGGCGCCCATAGGGCTCACTCGGGGAGGAGTCGATATCCCAGTAAGATGCAGGAATGGGCGGAACATCGGGGAGAGATGATCGGCGCTTGATCGCGTTAGAGCTCGGTGGGCTTGGGAACAGGAGTGTGACCTTCTCTTGGAAGGTCATGCTCTTTGTGTTGTTGGGGTGCGGCCTGGCTCCTACCGTCGCGCTCCTCGGCAGGACAGGGAGAGGCGGAAGCGTTGTGGGGCTACCGGGCGACGGGGCAAGAAGAGACTTCCTCCCCATCACAGAGCCGCCAGACTTAGTTCGACGGTGGCTAAGCGCTGGGCTAGACTCTGCTGGCGAGTCTGCCGGTTTCCGCGGGATCGGACGCGGGCGGTTAACGACCGACCGTGAAGTTCCAGGAGTTTCAGCAACAGGGGCGGGCTTTGTAGAGGGGTGGCCTGCGGTCTTGATGATGGCCTGAACCATAGCTGGGTCGTTGTATTCGATGTTATTCACAAATAGGATGGTCCGGTGCTGCGATCCCGGCTCTTCGGTGACTGCAAGACCCCGTGCCCTTGGGTTCGACGGAAGGCCAATAGTTGGGCGCCTCTGGAGCGGAGTCTTGGTCGGTTCAGGTGGCGGCGTTGTTGGCGACGGAGGTAGCATCCTTGAGGGGCGAATATTCGACCTCGGGAGAGGTTGTTGCATGGCCAACGTGTGGTTTTGCGGGGACTGAGACTCGGCGTCGGGGGATTGCGTAGCCTGAACCGGTGATGCTTGCCGTGGCTGTACTGGCTCCTCCTGCGGCGATGGCCGAGGCGACCTCCGACGAGTCTCCTCTCCGCCCGGAGACAGCTGGGCGGACGTGGTTACCGCGACCGCTGCATCCTCTGGCTGAAGGGCGCCGGGGAAAAGGCTCTCCCGGATAGAGGCAGAGGCGACTTCTTTCCTCTTGAGGCTAACACCGCGCTTCAACGCTTCCTCCGGGGTCAGGTCCATCGATACCCATGCAGGGCGGCTGACCGTCACGTTTTCTTCTTCCTGCATCCTGGCTCTTCTCTCCCTCTCTGCCACCGCAGCCTCCTTGAGATCCACCACGGCGATTTTGCTCCAAGGATTCTGGCCGTCATTTTGTTGGACAATCGGGTGGCTGATGGTCATCTTTCCTTTCGTAAGGTGGAACGCATTCGGCTTGTGGCTGATATTAGCTGGAAGCGGCGGCATCGGCTCGGCTTGACGTGTGCCTTCGGCTCCGAAATCGAACCCAATACTCGTTTCATCCTTGACTCTCGGTGCGTCTCTCGGGTTGACGAATGTTCTGGAGGACCGAATGGCCGCTTCTTTGAGGTCCTCAAAGCGAGTCGGAGGATAATCAGTGTCGGAGGTCGAAATATCGCGGCTGATGTTGATCCGTCTTGGTGATGGTGCCTCTGGCGGCCGAGAGCCTGTTGCTCGGGACGTGAGTAGAGTCCCAGCACCACTTGCCACAAAAACTGCGATTTTGTTAGCTCGAAATATGTAGAAGAAGAATAGGGGACAGGCAACGTACTGATCACAACCAACAAACCGCCGGCCGGAAGAGCCGTCCTGGTAGCCAGGGCTAGAGTTTCAAAGCCGAGAAGCATCGGCACACTCGTCTATCATCTTATCAGTACGGGCGTGAAGAAGGTCATGCCACAGAACGTACCCCGGTCCAGAACACCAAACCCAGCAGCACAGCCATCAGCGCTCTGGCCCGGTCGGCGTCAACTCCTTTGCCATCGCGGTTTTCCTTCGCCGCCCCTCCCGCCGAATAGGCCCTAATGATGAGGAGCAAAACGATGGCTCCGTCCAGACCCGCGACCAGGATACCAACAGGAAGCGCAGACGTGGTGGCGAGGCAGAAGTCATCAGTCTGCGGCCGGGTGAACCCGATAAAGACAGCTCCGGCCAGGAACCTGACCAGGACCAAGACCTGGGGGATCAGCTGGGTGAGCGAGAGCTTCGCGCCATTGTTATTATTCAGAGCCCATAAGAGGAACTGCTCGACCGAGAAACGCGCGAACTGGTCGAATGTGGTAGAGAATATAATGCCGATCTGGCAGGGCATCGACGACGTCGAGATGTCGAGAAGGACTGTTATAAAATCGATCTGGGCCCACAGGGCCGCACTCAGGAGAAAAAGAACGAGGACCAGCCTCTGGCTGTCCCGAAATACGGCGGAGAGGCCATACCCCTTAACGTAGAGAACGAGAGCCGCGGACGCCGCGTTCAACACGATCCCGCTACACAAACGTTAGTTAAAACCTACGGTCCCAACACACACAAGTTTCGTTGGGTATATCTAGCATGAAGTGGAGAATACTGACAAGAAGAAAGCCGCGACGAGGGCCTGCGTCGCACCCTCGACCGCCATGTTGGCGCCGGCTGGAAAGAAGAATAGGTGAGAAGAGAAGGGAAACCAGCCCAGTCAATGGGGCAATTAAAGAAAAGAAATATTCTCAAGTGAAGGAGCGTATCATAGTGGAAGGTTCCCGTCGGTCACGTCGTGATGTGATCAGACGACGGCCATCCCATAACCTATCACCAAACAAAAAGAGGGTGAAGGAGGGAATCTCGAGATTGGGGGTTCACACGGACAGAACGAACCCACAACGAGCCGAAACGAGGCAGTTCGCTGTGGAGAGAGAGGGTCAAGCAGTGGTGCCAAGAGGAAGCTTGTCGGGTCACGAAGAAGGGAGGCGAGTATCGCAACACAGGGTCACCCCCGAGATGCCGAGCTCCATCCTGGTGGTCGTCTACTTCTGAGGCTCAGATCCAGACAGGACAAGCGGTCGATCACTCAAACAAGTACCCTGCTCCCGCCGTTCATGCGAAGAAGAGGCGAAGTCGGGGATTGGATGACATGCAAGGCTGACAAGGCCATTGCTCGGCGGTTGCATCCAAACCCTAGTTCATGGTGTTTCACTTGAAACCTCAGGTGTTACATCTCGCACGGACTGCCGTGAAGAACTTTCCCAACGCGTGGGTAACCGCCGTCGCCCAGACACAATCGGGCCTCGTTTAAAGGCCCGCTTCACCTCTTTGCCTCATGGTTGTGGTGCTGGGTAACCGATGGTTCGTCTGTACTGTGTGTAGAGGACAGATGAGGTAGGCGAGTGTGACGGTGCCTCGCCCGGCGTTGAAACAGCTGGTCGACTCAGCTAAGTTTAGAGACTACAACTGTAGCAATGATGCAGCAGCGCATCTCTGTACAACCGCCAATCCCTCTTTTCTGGTTTTATGACGCGTCGATGGGCGGCCACGGGTGTAAGACGGTGGGATAACGAATTATCAGACTACGCTGATGTGGCTCTTGACCGGCAGACAAATACAAGTAGATAAATAACGTCGGGTGTGTGGATCGAGATGAAAATTCAGAATTCGACAATGATAGTAGGTATGGAAGTGAAGATAGCTGTTTAGTGCACTGCCAAACTGCTTCAGTTGAGTCAGTGGTGCCACCGTCGATGGTGAGCCAAGTCGCGACTTCCCCCCTCCATATTTCAAGTTGCGCTTTCGTTGAGCAGTGGTCCGTGCATGGCCCCTAGTTAGAGTGGGTAAAATTTGCACCATTTTTCCCATTTCGAAACACTCCCGCCCCTCGCCAAGAACCCGCCAACCCTGAATCACGAGCTCGAAATTCACCTCGTTTTTACATGTCATGAGCATCCGATGCTAAATACTAACCCCCAGGGATTTCCATCGCGGTAGCTCTGTAGTACTATTTGCTCGAAGGTGGAGAGGATGGACGTTGCTCCTCTTTTTACCCGTTCTCGCCTGGTGACGACTCCCGCTCTTTTAAAACAGGACTGAGTCGTCCCGCCTCGTCTCAATCGCCAACAGCCGCGAGCGGATGTAGTCGGACGGTTCGGTCGTCGCGAGGTCAATTCGATCCAGCATTCAGCCGTCTATGCGGGGTGTTCTCATATGCCTGAATCTCAACCTTTTCCGCGTATAACAAAACCGCCCTGAACTCGAGATCAGAAGCACTCAGAAGATGCCCACTTGCCTGATTAGGTAGGCAGTTATCCATGTGGGGCAAAACCATTGGCCTTGCTTGGTACTTTGTCCGGGCCGACCGCCATCGAGCGGTCGTCGGAAGGGCGTGGTGTGTCGAGTGACTCTGTACTCGTGCGTTGATGGGGCGAAGGATGGGGATGCTCGGCACGCCGAGCGGGGTTTCCCCGTCGGACGGCTGTCATCGGGATCGGCCTCGGGCATCGGCCAATCTGGTCGGTCTCTGTCCCGGATATGGTAGTGACCTATCTGACTCTTTGATCCTGACTCACCAATTTCTCCTTTAAGTTTGCTAGTGTATATGAACAACTCCCTCGCCAGAAAAACATCATCAATCTGATTCCGTCTCTCAGTAGCCAGCCCCTGAACCACTCCCGAACAACCCTCCTCACAATGCCTCTCCGTGAGCTCCAGTATCCGACCGAGCCTTACAGCAAGGTCAACCGACTCAAGGATCGGGGTAAGCTCAGCCGCCCTTAGAAATAAGAATCTAGGTCTAACCAACTCTTAGCGGACTATGCTCTGGAGACCATCCACCAGATCGTCAACTCGTGCCCCATGCTTCATGTCTCCTTCCAAGCACCCGATAGCCCCTTTCCGGCGGTTCTGCCCATGATCGGCCAGATGGGCTCGTTTTCGCGGCCCAGTGCCGACCTGGGTGATGTGTTGGATCTGTATCTTCACGGGTTAGTGATCCTCACCCGATTTGGTCACAGGGGTTATCACCCATCACCCATTCTCCCATTTACCACTACCCTCTCACAATCACTAACACCGGTTACCATAAAGCTACGTCTCCTCCCGTATCATGAATACCGCCCGCTCTACCGATTCCCAAGAGGAGGGCGTCCCCATGACCATCGCCGCCTCCCACCTCGACGGCCTAGTTCTCGCGCTCACACCCAACAGCCGTGAGTAGTGATGTCTTATTAACCCCTACCACCTCCCCTCTCTCACACCCCTTTTCTTCTCACCAATCCCCCAAACAAACATCAACCAACTAACCGCCCCCCCTCTCCCCCAAAACCAGACAGCTACAACTACCGCAGCGCGATCCTCTTCGGGCACGCCACGCTGGTGACCGACCCGGCCGAGAAGCTGTACGCGATGGAGCTGATCACGGAGAGCATCGTCCCCCACCGGTGGGCGCACAGCCGGGTGCCGCCCAACGCGGCCGAGATGCAGAGCACCAGCGTGCTGCGGGTGCGCATCAGCACGGGCAGCGCCAAGATCCGCACGGGCGAGCCGCACGACGAGCGCGGTGATCTTGAGGATGAGGCGCTGCTGGAGCGGGTGTGGACTGGGGTGGTGCCGGTTTATACCGTGCGTGGGGAGCCTGTGGCGGGCGGGTATAATAGGGTTGGGGAGGTGCCGGGGTATTTGGAGGGGTGGAGGGGGGAGGTGAATAGGGAGGCGGAGGAGTATGCGCGGGAGGCGGTTCAGAGGGAGGTGGTGGCGAAGAAGGTGGATGGATGAGATGTCACCTACTTGTAGAACGGCCTTGGTGGAACGGACGACTGGCATGTTGAGATATCATCAATGCATATTGGAAATCAACTACAAGAAAGTCTGGTGTCCAAAACCAGTATATACAGTCCATCTTCAACTATTTTAGCACATATCCCAAAGTGCTTTCCACACCACACATCCAACAGGCCCTATCCAACCAAGACCCTCTCAGGGGTAATGCAGGTAACCCCTTAAGAGGCTCACCACGCCTCCCACACCGCCTCCGGCAGCACGGTCCTCATGACCGTCCAATGCCCAGCAGCGCTGACCTCATGCCACTTAGCCAAGCTCTCGGTCTCGTTCTTCCTCAGCACGCCCTGCGCCTCCTCGCCCGTCACCAGGAAATCCGCATCCTTCACCTCGTGCTGCGGCAGCAAGAAGGCGCGGCGCGACGGGCTGTTGAGCATGTCGCGCTCGCTCGGGTAGCGGAAGGCGATCTCGCTGTCGGCCTGCTTGGTGCAGAAGATGACCATGTTGGTGAAGTCGCGGCCCGACTCGGCAAAGTCGGACTCCTCGCGCGGGTGCTCGCGGAAGATGCGGCAGGCGGGGAACACGGCGTTGATGGTGTTGACGACGATGCGTGGGGGCGGAAGGGCGAAGTCGCCGGCGTAGTTCTGTTGTGGTGTCGTGTATTAGTGGGGGTTTCAGGGGGGAAGGAGCGGAGGGAGGGGGAGGGGGTATGGGGAGCGTACGATGGCGACCACGCCGTTCGGCTTGAGCAGGGTGTGGAGGTTCTGCAGGAACTCGAGGGTGAAGAGCGCGATGGGCTCAGCACCGCCCGTGAAGACATCGTGAATGATGTAGTCGAAGCGGGATTCGCTCTCGTCAGCAGCCAGCCGGGCGGTGTACGTGACCGCGTCCTCAATGACAGCGGTGTGGTTGGAGGGGAGTTGGAAGTACTGAGCGGCAAACTTGTGAACCACCGGGTCGAGTTCGACCACAGTGGTGTCGATGCCGTGGGCCACAAGGGCGGCCGGCGTGGTGCCAATGCCGAGCCCGCTGTAGAAAGGTCAGCATGTGTAATTACACATGGGTGCCATTCAGGGGGCTTACATCACAAGGGCGTTGGCCTCGCTGTCAATGATCGGCTCCGGTGTCTTGACCAGCCTGACAGCCTCCAGCATAGCAAACACGCCGTAGATGGGCTCAGCCACCTGGTTCCCCTTGAACTGACCCTGCCCCAAAAACTTGACCCATTCACCGCCGAGCAAGCTGTGGTCACATCTCATGACGCGGTATCCCTCCTTCGGGCTATCAATGACAGAGATATACCCCGTGTTGGACTCAGCCCGATCCAGAACAACGTACCCCTCCGCCGCGAGACCACTATTCAACCTCGCAAGCGCCATCGGCGTCGGAACATTCGTGTTCAGGACCGCCGTGTGCAGCAACGCGGGCACGGCCAAAAGCAACAACTTGGACGGCGCAACCAGCGCATACGCGGCTCCCAAAACCAGCTCCATCCCCAGCCTGGTGTTCAGCACCGACTTGCCGACGAGCCCCTCGACCACCCCACCCAGCACCGTCTCGGCGCCCTTGAAGAACCCGTACGCCCCCAGCCCGGGCGCGGCATCAGCCACCCACCCGGGCAGCGCCGACAGGTCGGCCCCGTCCAGATACGTCGCCACGCAGGCGGTCGACACGCCCACCAGCGGGAACAGCGTGACGGCCTCGGTCACCAGCGGGCCCCAGGCGGCCGTCAGGGTCCCGCTGGCCTGGGCCAGGAAGAACTGCACGGCGGGGACCCACAGGGCGATGACGGGGAGGAGGTACTCCGGGCGGACGGGCAGGGCGCGGTTCAGGAAGAGGTTGGACGACCAGCCGGCGAAGCAGGCGGCCATGAGCAGCTTGGCGTGCCATTTGGCCGACGGGATGGAGCCGTAGACCGGGGAGAGGGCGAGCTGGGAGACGGTCGAGTAGACGGCCACGAGGGTGAGCAGGGTGAGCGACTTGAGGTAGATGCGCGTCTGCGCGAGCATCCAGTTGGACCACGTCTCCGTCTGGGCTTTGGCGGCGAGCGAGCGGAGCTCGGATTCGAAGCTCTCTGGGGTGAAGGAAGATGAGGGGTCGATGGGAGGGATGGTGTTGTTGTTTTTGCCCTTTTGGGGGGAGGCTTTAGAGGGGGTTGGTTTGGGGGCCATTGCGGCTGGAGAGCAGGTTGCACAACCTGAATGGGATCATGAGGTTCGAGGTTCAGGTTGGTGATTGAGGCTAACTATCCAAAATAATATAAAGTTTCAAGACATGGCAGTTTCACGTTGCAATGTGGTCTCATCTCATGCGATTGGTCAATCAGTTAGGTTGGTTTGAAGATGCGACACCCCAAGCCTGGAGCTTGGGCGTCCTGGCGCCGGAAGAGGAACAGCTCCCCCTGCCGTCGGTACGTATCCTTCCGTGAGGTGGTGGGGCAGGAACGGTTGCGGTGGGCGGGTTGGTTCCTGGTTGCCCAGGCTGAGCCGGGGTAAGGAAAGGTGTGAGCCAGGTGTCAACCGTGGGGGTTACCGATGACGTTCCGCACACCGTCTTCCGAACCATTTTTCAGGGCAGTTCCTGACCTGAGCTTCGCCTTCTATCCATCATCGCATCGCATCCGCCCGCCAGCCTGCATTGCCCGTGCAACACCACGCTTTCCTCCCAACCTCGCTCGTTCTTGCAGATCTCTTATCAATCGTATCAACCACATCAACTATCATGGCTCTTCCCACCACCCTGGCCGAGCTGGTCGAGCTCGTTGATTTCGACCAACAGAGCCTCTTCAGTATGTTGCATCAGAAATGGACCTGATTGCTAAACCTGGGGTTAACTGACCGCGCGCAACAGTCTCGGCTGCTGCCATCGCCTTCAACCCGACCTTTTGGAAGTATGTTTTCCGAACCCTGGACTGTCCGTGAACTTGTTGCTAACTATTATCTTCTGTAGCATCGTTGCCCGCAGAGGTCCGTCTCGCTCCACGCACTGCCCATCCCGTTTCTGCCCCAATCTCTAATATCCCGACAGAATACCACACAAAGTTCCTCAGCCGCGCCCTCGGAGGCAACCGCCGAGCATGCTACGCCCTTGCCGTCACCATCTTCTCGCTCGGCCTCTTCCGTGACTTCCTCTACGAGCGTGCCCTGCGCGACCAGCCCTCGCATCCCGCCCTCGAAGGGCCTCTTGTGAGCTACGCCGCGTATGCGCTGCTGGCTGTCGGCAACATCTTCGTCCTATCCTCCACATGGCAGCTGGGCATCACAGGGACCTTCTTGGGCGACTACTGCGGCATCCTCATGGATGACATCGTGACGGGTTTCCCCTTCAACATCACCAACGCCCCGATGTACTATGGAGCGACCATGAGCTTCTTGGGCACCGCCCTGCTATACGGGAAGCCGGCCGGCATCCTCTTGACCCTACACGTCCTAGTGGTGTACCTCGTCGCCATCCAGTTCGAGAACCCTTTCACTGCTGGCATCTACGCCAAGCGCGACAAGGAGAGGGCCAAGGCCGCCGGGAAGCCGTACGAGGGCAAGAAGGAGCTCTAAGCTCAGATGCCGTAGAGGAACTCCGAGATGATAATGGGAGAAGGGCTGGGCATGGAAGTTCGATCACACGGCAGTTGGGTACACCGAGGGCTCTGGAAACATCACGACAGGCCGATATTGGGCATGCCGCGGCCCGCCTAGTCCAGCGCGCGAGGTCTGGCGTGAGGGGCTAGAGCTTGGCAACGGCGATCGGGAGAGCTCTGCCCTTAACAGCGTTGGTTGCGGTGCGGGAGGCACATGGCAGCGGGCCGGCCACAGCAAGGGTTTGAGATAGCTACTTCGGTGCCGTCAAATCAACTATCCTAGCGAGCCAAAATTAGACATATAGAGACATGCAGATGAGATAAATTTGTTTCCAACCTTTCCGTCTTCTGCTATTTCTTCATTCACACCTTTCTAGCTGAAAGTAGCTCCTCCGAAATATCGAGGCACTGCGAATAAAGCCAGGTCAACCTGGTTGCTAGCTTTTGACACAAGTGGTCGTGATATATCTGGGGCATATGTCCCTGCGGTTCTTTGTAACATTCAACAGCTAGCTATACGGCACATCTGACACGTGCTGCAGTTGGAATTGTCGAAACTGGCTTCACTCCCTAAGCAAGATCTACTCACACTCTATTTCCACATGTGTCGCATGGGAATGAAGCTGGATTTCTTGACTCGTCACATTCAGTTTTACTCATGCCCGTATCGCTGTGAAGTCTCAGTCGAAGACACTCAACAGCCATCTTTCCTCCGTAGCATCAACACTAGCATTCGGTCACTAACTACCTAGCCAACCACTACACTCACCAGGTAGCTTACCTGTAATACTGATTAGAGTATAACGCACCCTCGCTGACAATGTAGTGGAAATAATCTCCCGCGCTGAGCAACATTAACGACGTGTGTCTAGCAGGTCATGGGAGTCACTGAATCTGTTCAAGAAGTATGAGTTCTTTACATCCTTTGGCCCAATCCCCCGTGAAACCCCCAGCTCATCCCGAGTTCCCTAGCCCCAAACACGTGGGATTATTGTTTAGAGGACAATCTCCTGGCCAGTCCCATGGATGGTTCGCGTTTGTGACGCCCATCCCCTCTTCTTCGACCCCTTATCCCCTCCTAAGACCAAGCACGCACTTCGCCAACACCACCTACCCTACGACGTCCTCACCACAGCCCCCAACTTACCCTCCCCCGTACCGATGCCCCCGCCACGGGGCTCTGCCCGACCAGCGAAAACCAACACTACCACCTCACCCATCGACCCCGAAAACCCCGTGGCGAGCCCCAATCCTACCGCAACCACCCCCCAAAGCTCTTTCAGTACAACGACCGCCATCCCCGCCCAGCTGACCGCGCCACACCTTCGCTCCCGCCTGACCTACCACCACCACCCCGTCGCGGCCACTTACGACCCGTCCGCCCCCCCCCCCCCCCCGCTACGGCGGCCCGAACAAAATTAGCGCCCGCACAGCTGCCCGTTCCCAAGCGGAGTCGCCGGTTTCGGCCGCCACTCTACTCCCGGCCCGTCCGGGACGACGAGTACACCATCCAACCCGGGCCCCTCCGCGTGTGCGGGGTCGGGGACTGGACTGGCGGGTGGGCGGGCACCCGTTCGCGAGCGAGCGGGTTCGCGGCGGGATGGTGGGTGGTTAGTATACGGCGAGGATGCTGGGGATGGCCGCGGGGCGGTGGGCGCCGCGGGCGTTGGTGCCAGTGCTGGTTGTGGCGAGGGGGGTGGTGGTGATGTTGGGAAGGAGGGGGGTCATTGATGAGATGAGTAGAGGGGTGTTGGCGCTGGAGGGGCTGGGGGGTGTTGATTGAACATACCATGAGTGTTACTGTGGTTGGGTACCATGTGGGAGCACAACTGAAGAGTCTAGAGGACGTCGTGGCGACCGAGGTAGCCAACCACTAACATGTTTACTTCTATTAACAAACTGACAGGTTAACCATGTGTGTGGTGTGTGGCAAGGCACTTTATTCAACGATATGCACAAAGGGTTTAAGCCTTCATGTTTGATCGTGACTAAGGGGGCATTTGAGTACATACGCTCCCCGGTGAGAGACACAATAGCTCAAACCCTAGATCAGACCCAGCAAGTATCGGCCTTGTCCCTGGAAAATGGAGCACAGACAAGTCATACAGTCACACAACCTCAATAAGTCGCCCTATCCAAGTCAGCCTTGGTGGCAGCGGCTTGCTTACCAGATAAAGCATCTCCAGCGCAGGCATGGCCGTTTGCATTATCGACTTTGGCCAAATGTGATTGGATCTCCCTCGTGTGTTGGATCGGGAGATTGTGCAAACAGGAGAGTCGTTTCCACAGCCTCTCAGAGCATTCAGCCTCCCGTCGTCGGCTACCTGCATCCAATGGCTGAGATGATGACATCTGCGGCTTCCGGATGGTGTTGTGGTTGGCTCGCGCTTGGCGTGGCCCAGACTGCCGGGGAAAACATGGGGGTTGCCGTGCCGTGCCAAGTGAGGCCAGCAAGGCGGAAAGATGTATTCACGGCGGTGTGAACCAGGTGAGAGATTGGTGGATTACAGCCTAGAATGTGGTTTTGGACCAGGCGAGGAAACCACGAACCGCCAGAGGCCCACTGCCCTAACCTTTCCCAGCCCGCACTTTCCTGCTTGGCTCCCTGTGGCTCTTTGTTTGCCAGAAAGTGAGGTGCCCGAGCCAGAAGTGTCTTTCATGCGAACTCAACACACTGCTTGGCACCCGACTGACACCTTGTCGGCGAGGGGAAGCAAGCGAGGTCCCCACTCCTATCCCCAAATCCCAAATCCTGTGGGGAGCCTTCCATTTCGGGCGTATGAGACGTGGCTCCCTAGCGCTCGGTTTATTACACGGTTTTTCCACCACCAATCCACAACATCATCCCTGGAATTACACTCGCCTTTCAAGACCGGATTGGGTGCTCGTGTGGGTGCGTCTATACCACCGTTTGTCGATGCAGTGAGGCCTACTACAACAGGCTCGCGCGGGACAGCTCATTGATGCCTGACTCATTCCACACACAATATGAAAGCTCCCTATACGCCACAGGGCTGAGTTAATGACATCTTCGATCACACTACACAGTATATTGTTTCCACTGGTAGTATTTTACCCTGCTGCCCTTTGGTACATACATGATTGCTTTTTCCTTGCTCTTGTTCACGTCAGGTGAGGTTTTCCTTCACACCAGCACCCTGGCAACGTCATTCTTGCCTGGGCTCACCACCCTGCAGCTTTCAAAGCCATTCAAACGGGCTCAAACAAACGGGCAAGCTGAGGGAAGACTCATTTTTTCGGGCTACACAGCTCCGTCCCATCTTCCCCCTTTAGTTCTTTCCTGTCATACCTCGCCCACGAACGTTGCACACAACTCTTTCCCCACGAGATAACCTGGCTTCTTCCTCTATTTTATCACTTGGATCCTCGCCCTCTTCTGTACCTTTCAAGTTCAGCAAAGCATCGCCAACTTTCACCACCCAACCCGTGGGAGTAGAGAAGCACGCACTAGCTTCTCGCCTATCCCAATTACAAGCTAGGCAACAGTTGTCACCATTCGCCCGTTTGCAACGCGAGCAAATCAGTTTGCAAACAAAACACTGGTCGGCAGCAGCGACATAAACATACGAGAGTATATTTGAGTCACCCATTCTCCAGATCACATCGACTTTCCCTTTCTTTATCTACCCACATACATTCTTGGCCAAGCCTATCGCATCTTTACTTTGCCGAAGCCCACATTGCTCTTCACCATGTCCGACAACCGTGGTCGTGGTGGTAGGGGCCGTGGTGGCGGCCGGGGCGGTCGTGGTGGCCAAGAAGGTGGTGGTGGCCGTGGCGGCCGTGGTGGCCAAGAAGGCGGCGGGTTCCGCGGTGGTGGTGGTCGAGGTAACTACGCAAGCGGTGGTTATCAAGGCGGCGGCTACCAAGGCGGCGGCCGTGGAGGTGGTGATGGCTACCAAGGCGGCGGTTACCAAGGCGGCGGCCGTGGAGGTGGTGATGGTTACCGAGGCCGCGGCGGAGGTGACTTCCGGGGAGGCGGTCGTGGCGGCGGCGACTTCCGAGGTGGTCGAGGCGGCGGCGACTTCCGGGGAGGTCGTGGGGGTGGCCGCGGAGGTGGGCGAGGTGGTTATTCTGGTCCAGACGTCTTGTAAGTTGGCCCCCTCTGGACGCCAAGTTGCTGGATGACGATGCTAACAGCTTTTGTGCAGCGGTTTGGGCCAACCGATCCCCCCGCCTGACGAAGAAGTCAGCAAGCTCGAGGACACATGGATCAAGCAGCAGGACAAGATAGAGTCTAAGTTGCCCAACCTGTCACTCGGGGACTCTGATCATGCATTATTGCCTGGTCGACCGGGTCTCGGCACTGGTGGTAGCCCCATTGTGCTTTGGGCCAACTACTTCAAGATGGATGCCAGGGTCCTGTCCTTGTACCGGTACGACCTCAGAGTCACTTCCAAAAAAGTGACCAAGGAAGAAGAGGAAACCACAAAGCCCAAACCCAAGGAAAAGAGCGGCGGGGGCGGCGGCGGTCAAAGTTCGGCCAATGAACCAAGGGAGCCCAAGGGCAAAAAGTTGGCCAATATCATCCAACTCGCCCTAGACCAGCTGCCTGGCAAGCCCGTGGTCGCTACCGAGTACAAGCAGCAGCTGATAACAAAGGACAAGCTCAAGCTTCCGGCAGGCGGCCACATGCAGATTGACCTCGTTGAGCCCGGCCGGAGCACCGAGACGTGGTTCGTCCGCTTTGACGGGCCATCCTCCATTAACGTTAAGGGCTTGATGGACTACTTGAAGTTGATGGAGAAGGATAACGATGGCGTTTTCCCCAAGTATCCCGAGGAGATTGATACACTCGGCGTGGTACTTGGCCACACCCCGAGGTCGAATCCGGGGGCCGCCGCCGTCGGCCGGAGCCGCTTTTTTGCCGTGGACACGAGGAAAGATGGGGCAATGATGGGGGACAGGTCTCTCATCGAAATCCTACGTGGTTACGTCCAGAGCGTTCGCCCAGCGACCGGTCGGCTGCTTCTCAACACCAACGTTACACATGGCGTGTTCCGGAGAGGGTTCAAGCTGGATGAGTTGTTCCGACTGTTCCAGGTCGCGCAGCTGCATCAGCCCCGAAATCTCCCTGGGCATGCCGGGTCCGAACTCGAAAGACTGCACAAGTTTCTTTCCAAGACGCGCATTCGATGCAAGGTCCCCGGAGATGCGCCCGGCAAGTTTTTTGTCATTGAACGGGGCATGGCCGGCCTGGCCAACCAGAGGGATGGTGGGAAGGCCCCAGAGGATAGACCGCAGTTCACATTGACCGCGGTTCGTTTCGGCGCCCCTACCACCGTCAAGTTCTACCTTCGCGCTCCAAAAACCCCTGGCACGCCTCCCCCCGCAGGCCTCGCGTACAACACCTGGGTCTTTGTCAGCGATTATTACAGAGCCAGTGAGTCCTCAAGATGCAACCCCCGTGCTCGACGTGTATTCTAACCCTCGTAGGGTACGGCATCAGCGTCGATCCCGGTCTTCCTTTGATCAATGTCGGAACTTCGACCAAGCCGATCTATATTCCGGCCGAATTCTGCGAACTGCTCCCCGGCCAGCCGCTGAAGTCGAGGTTGAGTCCCCAAGAACAGGATTCGATGATACAGTTTGCATGCCGGCCGCCGCCGGCCAATGCACAGTCCATCACGACAGCAGCGAGGAATCTTCTAGCATTGGATAACAACAAGTTGCTTGTGAGTTTCGGTCGTGGCTGGCTTCTGTCTCGTAAGATCGGGCGCTGACAACTTCTAGGACAACTTTGGCATCACAGTCCACAAGCGTCTCATCACGGTGAGGGGCCGCGAGCTCATCCCTCCCAAAGTCAGCTACATGAAAGGAACTCGGCCTGAGTCAGTCACCCCGGCGGACGGGTCGTGGCTCATGAAGGGAGTCAGGGTCTGCCGGTCCGGAAGGCACATTGGAAATTGGACATACTTGACAATTGGGAATGCGCCCCGGGCTGAGGAGATCAGAACGGCTGTCTGGGGCTTCGCCAAGTTCCTGAACAACAACATGGGCATCTCGATGAACACCAAGCCAAACCCGCCAAACGGCTACGTAACACCTTTGAACCACACCGACACAGATTTGGAAAAGCTTTTTAGGAGAATCACGACACAAACGCCTCGGCCTGACCTCCTTCTGGTGATTATTCCCAGCAAGGACGCTGCCAGATATAACAGCATCAAGAAGTTTGGGGATTGTGACTTTGGCCTCCCCACCGTTTGCGTCCGCGAGGAGATGATTACGAAGCAACAGGGCCAGGCTGGATACTTTGCCAACGTTGGCCTGAAGGTCAATTTGAAGTTCGGCGGGGTCAACCACAGGGTGGAGGACAAGACCGGGATTGTCGCGAAGACCATGTTTGTGGGCTACGACGTAACCCATCCCACCAACCTTCCCGCGGGCGCGGGCGAGAATGCGCCCAGTCTGGTCGGATTGGTGGCGAGCATTGACCAAGACCTCGCCCAGTGGCCTGCTGTGACGTGGGCAAACAGGGCCCGGGTCGAGAAGGTTGGGCAAGACGATGGCGGCCAGTTTGTGCGTCACTTCAAAGACCGTCTCAGGCTCTGGCAAGACCACAACAAGAAGCAATTGCCCGAGTACATCGTCATCTTCCGCGACGGTGTTTCGGAAGGGCAGTTCAACATGGTCCTCAAGGACGAGCTGCCGCACATCCGCCAGGCATGCCGGGAGACATACCCAGCCAAGCAGCAGCCGCGTATTTCTCTCATTGTATCGGTGAAGCGGCATCAGACGCGCTTCTACCCTACGGACCCCAACCATATACACTTCCGATCCAAAAGCCCCAAGGAGGGGACCATCGTCGACCGAGGCGTCACCAACGTCCGCTGCTGGGACTTTTTCCTCCAGGCCCATGCGTCTCTCCAGGGTAAGTCGTCGTCTTGCTACCACCAAACCTGCTGCAGTATGCTGACGTGATCCCACAGGCACGGCTCGCCCCGCGCACTACACAGTTCTCCTGGACGAGATATTCCGCAGCAAGTTTAAGCAAGATGCTGCGAACATGCTCGAGAAACTCACGCACGACATGTGCTACGCCTACGGCCGGGCCACCAAAGCCGTCAGCATCTGCCCGCCGGCGTACTATGCCGACCTGGTCGCCACGCGGGCCCGCATCCACAAGAACGAGCTGTTCGACGACAGCCTTTCCTTGGCTAGTGGTGGCACCAACTCGTCGGCCTTCAATCGCGGGATTCACGACAAGCTGAAGAACACCATGTACTACATCTAACGATGGGGGTTGTGTGCCGCGGGCCCTACTGGGCGAGTGGGTTGCGCTGCTCCAGAAAGCGGTCACGGGTGGCAGCGAAGCTGGGAAACGGGTGGTCGGCAAAAAGCGGATTCAATGAGGGATTCACTCGGCGATTCGATGGTGTTTATGGGTTGATTGGGTTCAATGGCTCGGTCCAGAGTTCATTCGTACGGGTGAGCGGTGGTTGTGTCATTTATTATGCCAATAGCTTGAGTATTTCCGAGTAGTACTCTTAGAGTGGTAGATCATTCCAGTTTTTATTTTCCCACTCTAACTATGACCGAGCTGCCAGTTTTGCGTAGGTAATGCGGAAGTGCCGTCGACAAAGTGGTGAGCACTGACCGAGGTGTGGACGGAATCATCGAACAACACTCCGGGGTTAGGGCTGCCCCTCGCAGGAATGAGCAACGTGCACGTGACTTGCACTCAAGCCTGCAATGCCAAGCCAACCAGTCACAGCCAACCACAACCCAACGCAACCAAGCAATCGCTGCAGCTCAACCGCAGCCGACGACCGACAGCGGAATCATCGCCAAACCGAAACGTCGCTCGCTTCGGCATCACCATCCCCCTCTCCACTCACCCTCGGCGCGCACGAGCCGACGACCCTCCCGATCTAAGGGTCGAGTGCGCAGCACTCAATCAGATACATCCCGCACTCCAACCCAACCCCGGGGCTCCGACACGACAAACACCCCCCCAATTCGAGGAGGCAAACGACCAAGCATCACACGCCCCCCTCAACCCTCAAACCTCAACACCCCTCAATAAAAAAATAAACATGTCCGCCCTCCGCCCAACCGCCCGCCTCGCGGTGCGCATCGCCACCACCACCACCCCCATCACCAGCACCACCAGCAGCGCCGCCCTCGTCCCCGCCCGCTTCCGCTTCTTCTCGGCCACCCCGCGCCGCGCCGGCGGCGGCGGCATGCAGTACGACCCGCCCTCGGGATGGCTGTGGGGCGTGCGGCCCGGCGAGAAGTACCAGAATGAGGGGTGGGAGGGCCCGTTCTTTTACGGGTTCTGGGGGAGCATGGTTGTCTTTGCGGTGGCGTATGCGTGGAAGCCGGATACGAGGTGAGTTCTTTTCATAAGTTTTTTTTTTTGGGGGGGGGGGTGTTCTGGGGGGTTGGGCTGGGGGTTGGAGTTGGGGGTGGTTTGGTTGGGCGGGCAGGGAGAGATTTGTTGGGGTGAAGAGGGATTTCTCGCTGACTTCTGAATAGCATCCAGACTTGGGCGTTGGAGGAGGCGAGGAGGAGGCTGGAGGCTGAGGGCATTCTGGAGGACCCGGAGAAGAAATAGATGGATGCGGAGCAGGCAGGTCTGGGTTCTCGGGGGTGAGGCAGACGGACAGACGGACATGCTACGCATACATATGCCCGCATAGATGGATGTACATGGTTTGTTTTGTTTGTTGTTCTTGTTGTTTCCTTGCCCGTCATCATCGTCGTCGTCGTCGTCGCGTCGAATTCTATGGATATCGATACATGATCCAGCTAGACCATCATTCGGATAGAGGTGCTGCCCCTCTGCGGCAGCCGTGTTGTTGTTGAATTGAGTTTGTCACTGAACTACTAGAGATCGAAGATGGCATGAAGATCAACCGCTCGAAATTACTAGCACGCTATATACAATTCTACATCCAACCAACACCCCATCTACACCCCCGCTCTAGCACACGTAGCTCCACTCGTGCGCGTCATCGCCGTACTGCCGCGCCTCGATCCAGTTCTTCATCTTGGTCGCGACCTCGCCCGACTCCTCGTGCTCCTTCAGCCCGCAGTTCACCAACTGGCCGCGCCAGCTGATGTGCCGCACGGGGCTCACGATGGCGGCCGTGCCGGCGCCGAAGGCCTCGATCAGGCGGCCCTCGTTGGCGGCCTCGGCGAGCTCGCCCATGGTGTGCTTGCGCTCGACAATGTTCCACCCCTCGGGCGCGAGCCGCTCCCGCGCGAGCGACAGCACCGAGTCGCGCGTGACGCCCTCCAGGATGGTGCCGTCGAGCGGCGCCGTGATCAGCTCCTTCTGGCCCGTCTGCTTGTTCTTGACCGCCACGAAGAAGTTCATGGTCCCCACCTCGGTCGCGTACTCCTCCTCGCCGAACAGCCACAGGTTCTGCTGGAACCCGCGGCTCATGGCCTCCCGCTGCGGCACGATGCACGGCGCGTAGTTGGCGCCCAGCTTCTTGTCGCCCACGCCGCCGGGCCACGCGCGCACCGCGTAATCGGTCGCCTCGAGCGACACGGCCTTGAAGCCTGTCGGGTAGTAGGGGCCGACGGGCGAGGCAATGACAAAGAGGAGGGCCGACCCGGGCGGGTTGACGCCGAGCGTCTTTTGCGTGCCGATCATGGTGGGGCGCAGGTAGAGCGAGTAGCCGCGCTCCTCGGGGATGAAGCGGCTGTCGAGCTTGGCGAGCTGGGCGATGAGGTCGATCATGGCGGCCGAGTTGAAGTTGGGGAGTGCGATGCGGGCGGCCGACTTGTTGAACCGCTCCATGTTCTTTTCCGGGCGGAAGAGGCGGATCTTGCCATCCTTGTCCTTGTACGCCTTCATGCCCTCGAAGCACTCGAAGGCGTAGTGGAACACGCAGCTGGCCGGGTCGAGCGACAGGTTCTGGTAGGGCAAGATGTGCGGTTTTTGCCAGCCCGTCGCCTGGTCCCACTCGACGGTGAGCATGTGGTCTGGGCGGGGAGACTAGGTCAGCGCATGCCCTCTCGCGCTGTCATATCACAAGTAGCTACCTGTGAAGTTGCGCCCGAAGACCAGGTCCTCGGCCTTCAAGAGCGGCTTAGGCGTGCCTGTCTTGTTGACCACCACCTTGGTCGGGTCGATATCCTGCAGTTTTGTTTGGGATGCCACCTCCGGGCTGACGCTGTACTGGCGTGCAGCCGGGAACAAGCCCAGTGATGACCGCCGCGGCGCAATGAAGGCCGCCGAGCGAGGGGCGCATCGTGGGATGAGTCGCCGTATCATATTTGCGGCGGGGTGGGTTTGGGGGGGGTAGCCAATTGACTGTTATCGCAACGCAATCATGCACGAAGAGAAGAGAGTTGGACCAGAACAGAACCGGGGCGGGTGGTTGACGGCGAGACGGGGCTTACTTAACGCCGCAAGCGATAGAAACGGTGACTTCTCCAGGTCGGGTCGCCGTTCTGATACACCAAATTCTCGGAGCGCAATCGGAGGCTCGCGATACGCAAGTCGGGGTGTGCTGGGCCAATCACGCAGGTCTGGACCCTGAACTTTGAGGCGGGTTCGGCAGGGGTACGGATCGTTTCGGTATTCCGTCACCTCGTTTGTACGAATACACGAGCCGTGACAAGCCGACTCAAGGCGAGAACAACCAGCTCTAGCTTGGAGCGAGCGAAGTCGTATTCATCCCTTTTGCCGGTGTGTACTAGGTAACTATTTTTTTTCTAATAATTTTATATCTGGATGATTCAAGTTTCTTTCTTTTGTCTTTCTTTGCTTCTCGGTCTTAGTTGAGCTCCCGGCTGGGGGTAGGATAAACCACAGTTCAATTAGCAATACGTTTTGATAATACCTATTGATGGCGACGAATCGTGGAACGGGCTGCTAGAATAACTAACCAGCTCTCGCTCCCCTGCTGCTGTCGCGGCCGGCCCCCCTGTAATTCAAGATGCAGCTCAATCCAACCTGCAAGTAAAAGTTGAAGTCGCAAATACAACAGCTCCAACTACATAGTACACTACCTAGGCCATACCCACCCAAACCTCTGTCAATCACAAACGATTCAGGGGCCTAGGCCTCTAGAGCCGATTCATTTCCTTGCCAAATTGGTGCTGGACGGCCATAGAATTCCGGCGCCAAACTAATCCGGCGCATACCAATTCGAGCTGACGACGACAGCGTCAGCGTCGCCCAATCTCGACAACCGCGATGATAGCCAGGTGACAGCAGCCCATCATGTTCGCCAACGCGCTCAAGTCGATTTCCTCGACAAACATCACATCCAACTACACCATCTCGCCGAACATCACCTCGACCGCGGGGCCATGGAAGATCTACCCGGCCAAGAACAAGAAGACGGGCAAGGAATGCTCCGTCTTCGTCTTCGACAAGAAGTCGCTCGATGCCCATCGCAGCGGCATGACACGCGCCGAGGTGGCAGATTTCAAGAGGGCCCTCGAAGCCGTCATCGAACGCCTGAAGAAAGAGGCCTCGGCCATCGCCAAGCTGCGACACCCCGGCGTCCTGGAAGTGGTCGAGCCCGTCGAGGAGACCAGGGGTGGTGGGCTGCAGTTCGTCGCCGAAGCCGTGACTGCGTCTCTCTCGGGGCTACTGCAAGAGAAGGATGACCAGGAGAGGGGTGGAGCTGGCGGTCGAACGAGCCGATACGTGACCGAGGACGCCGATGGAAACCGGAGGAGGCGGGAGCTCGAAATCGACGAGTTGGAAATACAGAAGGGGCTGTTGCAAGTGAGCAAAGCGCTGGAGTTTTTGCATGACAACGCCGGTCTCGTACATGGCAACCTTACACCAGATGCCATCCTCATCAACGCCAAGGCAAGTCCATACGTTTGCCCAGTATCTTGATACCTATGCCATGATACTAACCCCTAACAGTCGGACTGGAAACTCAGCGGTCTGTCCTTCTGTGGCCCGTTGGAAAACTCGACCACCCAAAGCTCCATGCAACCTATCAATCTGCGCGAGGTTTTGAGACATACCCCCAGCTTGCCTCGAACCGTCCAACTGAATCTCGACTACACATCGCCCGACTTTGTCATTGACAATAATCTCACACCGTCGGCCGATATGTTCAGCTTGGGGTTGTTGATTATTTCATTATATAACTCCCCTCACAAATCACCCATATCCTGCAACAGCAGCCTGTCTGCCTACCAGCGCCTCTTTCAGTCCTCGCAGAGCATCCCGAACACGACCAACAACTTCCTTTCTTCCCGCGCGCTGCCCAAGGACCTTACAAGCCATGTGCTCCCAAGACTCATCACACGAAGACCTGCCCAGCGGATGACGGCCAGCGAGTTCCAACAGAGCGAGTTCTTCAACAACATCCTCGTGTCCACCATCCGCTTCCTGGACGCGTTCCCCGCCAAGACACCAAACGAAAAATCCCAGTTTCTTAGGGGCTTGATGAAAGTTCTGCCATCGTTTCCCAAGTCCGTAATGGAAAGGAAGCTGCTACCCGCCCTTCTCGATGAGCTGAAGGACAAGGAGCTCATATCCCTGATCCTGCACAACGTCTTCAAAATCATCGAACTTCTTCCATCAGGAAGGAGAGCGTTTAGCGAGAAAGTGCGACCCAGCCTGAAGGAGATCTTAGTTGCCAACTCCAAGCAGCCCCAGGAGAAGGATGCCGCCCGTGACGGTGGTTTGATGGTTGTGATAGAGCAGCTCCCCGTCATCGGTGACAACTGCGGAGGCAAGGAGTTCAAAGATGGTAAGCACCAATAAAGCCTAATTACGAAACGATAGCTAACCCCTTCCTAGATGTCTTGCCCATCATCTTCAGTGCCCTGGAATCACCAACACCCTCGCTCGTAGACGCAGCGCTGAGGAGCCTTCCATCCGTACTGCCTCAGTTAGATTTCAGTACCATAAAAAACGAACTGTTTCCCGTCATTGCCGCTATTTTCAGCAAAACAAACAGTCTTGCGATCAAGGTCAGGGGCTTGCAGGCTTTTGTCACGCTTTGCGGAGGCTCTAACGACCCCGGTGGCAACGACGGGCTCGATGGCCTAGGCCCACAGCAGAAGAAAGCAACAACCTCCACCGCGCTCGACAAGTTCACCATGCAAGAAAAGATCGTCCCCTTGATCAAAGTGATCAAGACCAAGGAGCCGGCTGTCATGATAGCCGCGCTTAATGTTCTCCGGGTTATTGGAAAAGTGGCCGACGCTGACTTCGTCGCCATGGAGATCCTACCTATCCTATGGAACATGAGCCTGGGCCCGCTCTTGGACCTTAAACAGTTCCAATCGTTTATGGACCTTATTAAGTCCCTATCGAGCAGGGTGGAGGAGGAACAAACTAGGAAATTGCAAGAATTGACCGGCGGCAATGCCAGCTCATCTGCTATGAAGGACGATTTTATGTCCTTTGGCCCTGTCGCCAGCTCATCCTTCGATGCAAACGGAGCCACTGAAACAGATTTCGAGTCGCTCGTCAAGGGGGGGCCTGGCGGGCTTTCCGCCAATCCCATGGACTCGGGGTGGGATAACATGGGGTCAAGCGCAGCTGTTACCTCTCCGACCGCGAGCAGCAGAAACTCTACACCGACACCCGCCTTCTCCTGGTCAACCGCCCCGGCAGCCCCGGCAGCAGCCCCGGCCAACAAGGTTGGCGCCGTCAAAGCCCAGCAACCTGGCTTCAGGACAGTCACACCAGACCTCACAAGCTTTCAGCCTATCGCGCCGACAACCACACAATTTTCACAGCCCCTACAACCGGCCCAAAAGACAGCTGGTGTAGCATCGGCGCCACTGACGCCTCAAGCACCATCCATCAACTGGGGCGCCGCAACCGCACCAAGCAGCAGCAACAACAACAACCTGTGGTCTTCTCCACCCGCCACACAACAACCACCTACATCAGCTTTCGGCTCACTCTCCCTCGGGCAACAACAGCAACAACAGCAAATCCAAAACCGCAACCCAACCTTCTCCCTCCCACCACCACCGGGCAACAGCACCGGAACCGGCCCCGCCGCGTCGAGCTTCTCCGGCTTCAGCCTCGCGCCGCCGCCCGGCGCCTCACAGACACAAGCCCCGCGGCCTCCCATCACAACAACGACATCAACACCAGCGTTCGGCGGGTTAGGGAGTATGAACAACAGCAGCATGAACAGCCTGGCGTCAATGGGTGCCGCAGCGAACAAGATGGGTTCCAACCCCGGGATGGGCATGGGCATGGGTATGGCGGCTATGAAGAATATGAACGCGGGTACGGGTACGGGCACGGGTATGGGTATGGGTATGGGTATGGGTATGGGTATGGGTATGGGTATGGGTATGGGTATGGGTAATGGCACGAGTATGAATAGCATGGCGGGTATGGGAATGGGCGCGGCTGGACTGGGACAACAGCAAAAGCAACAGAGTCAATGGCAGGGGCAAAGTCAGGGGCAGGGGCAGGGGCAGGGGCAGGGGCAGGGGCAGGGCCAAAAGTCGGGGTTGGATAAGTACGAGAGTCTTTTGTAGAAGGGGTGAATTGAGAGCTGCTGGGCTTGATAATATCATCCACGATCAACGCAGGGGAGTCTCGCATAACTTGCTCGACTTGAACCACATCGCTGGGACAAACTACACCAGAGACCTTTCCATTCTCGAAGAAAGCAATTCGCACCTCGTCACAAGTCCGAGCAAAACTTCCCAGACGTAACATCAGCTCTATGGTACTATAGTCTACAACTAGCAATCCCAGCGCACCTTTTTCTCTTGACCTGCCTAGCCAGGAAGATCCCCTTAGTATTAACCCCATCAACATCGTCAGAACCGTTCCCCAGAACCCCACACCACTAAACACGACTCCGTACGCAGATGCCTAACAAAAACAGACGCGAGTATCCTCCCCACCGCAAGGCCAACAAGATGTGTCTTTACCCTCAAGCTGTTGAAAATGCCAACGGGGATGGAGAGATGAAACCAATATATACGGCCGAAACTCCCATCATATTCCCTTTGGTTGGGAAAGCGAAAGGGCAGGCCGGTTCGGTGTGGTGCGGTGCTATGCGGTGGGACGAGGAAAGAAGGGGAAAAAAAGAAGACAAAACAGGGTATCATGCATGCCTCTTGCCGAAGGGGGGTAAAAAAAGAGAAAGAGAAAAGAGGGTAGGAAAATGAGGAGGAGGAACAACCAACGCCAGGCCCAGCAACAGCAGCACCATGCTGTGTGCTGTGCGAAGTAAAGCAGAGAAATAAAGCCATGGACGGGGACGGGATGGATGGTTTTTCACATCGACCTCCTCTCCCTCCTCTCTCTCCTCTCATCCTTCTTCTGCTGTTCGCCCTCCTTCCTCTCCTTCTCCTTCTCCTCCCTCCCCTTCTCCTCCGCCTTAGCCGCAGCCGCAGCCGCAGCCTTAGCCGCCTTGGCCTCAGCCTTCTCCTCCCCCGCTCCCTTCTCATCAACCGCTGCTGCTGCTGCCGCCGCCGGCACAACCTGGGTAAAGACATGGCGGCTGGCCCAGCCCTCAGAAAGGGTAGTCTCGACGACCTGGCCGTCGGGGACCATCTCATGATCGAGATCCCAGCCGGCGCGGCGGCAGAGCTCGGCGACGACGACGTCGCAGTCGCCGAGCAGGTCGATGTCGAAGTTGACGTGGGAGACGGGGGTGCGGCTGATGTAGAGCTGGGGCACGTGGGCGGGGAGGAAGGGGACGACCTCGCTGACGGGCGCCACCTTGAGGCTGGTGCCGATGACGATGACGAGGTCGACGCGGTCGCGGTCGTGCTCGGTCAGGCGGCGCGAGAACTCGTCCGGCAGCGGCTCGCCGAAGAAGGTGATGTCGGGCTTCATGACGCCGCACGACCAGTTGGTCGGCGTGTCGAACTCCGAGTCCGAGTTGGAGTCGTAGTCGCCCGGCCGCCGCCGCGGCTTCTTTTCCGTCCCGTCCCGCTGCACCTTGCGCTTGCGCGAGTTGGTGCCGCTGCTGTTGGACGTCGTGCGGCTGCCCTGCGCGCACTTGCGGCACCGCGGGATGTCGCCCGCCTTGATCTCGGGGAAGAGCGACTCGCCGGGGACGCGGTGGCCGCACTTGACGCAGGAGGCGGTCGCGAAGGAGCCGTGGCATTGGACGAGCTTGTCCGGGAGGATGCCGGCTTTCGCCTCGAGGTTGTCGATGTTTTGGGAGTAGTTGGTGAGGAGCTTGCCTTGGTTCTGGAGCAGCGCGATGAAGGCATGCGTTGGCGAGAAGCGGTTATGGCTGGGGAGGATGTCCCGCGCGACCGAGTAGAAGATGGTCGGATCCTGGCGGAAGACGGTGATGTCAAAGACCTCCTGCGGGTCGTTGAGACCGAGGTGCTCGAGCTTGGAGTAGAGACCGGTGCCCTTGGAGCGAAAGTCAGGGATGCCGAGCGAGGTAGAGATACCGGCGCCGGTGAGGACGACGATGTTCTTGGACTTCTTGAGAAGGTCGACCGCGTCGTCAACCGAGTTGTACTTGGGCAACTTGGCCCGCTTGGAAAGCTCACGGCTGAGGGCGAGGCTCAGTAAAGAGTAGTAAGCTTCATCGTCGGCGCCGTCGAGAAAGGCGGGCGGACGGATGCCAAAGGCAGTGAGTAGTTTCTTGGCGCTGATCAAGCCGGAGCCGATGGTCCTCTCACAAAACACGGTGGGACCGACAGAGCGCAGGAGTTGGCGAAACTTAGTGGCTTCGTCCGCAGTGCAGGCTTCGGGATCTATACGACGCGTTTATTAGCACTTGTTGTTTGTTGACATAGATGTGTGTGGCCTCGACGGCTGAGTGAACTGACCATCGGTGAAGAAGCGATCCTCAGCCAGGTCTTCGAGAGCATCCTGGAAAAGAGACTCCGTCTCCCACGACTCGCTGAGATCGTTAACGCGTTCCTCGAGCTCGCTCAAGCCCGGATTGTTCGCCTTCGGATTGACCTCCTCGGTGAGTTCTACAAAAGCCCGCTTCTCATCATAATCGACCACGTTCTTGACTCTGGCGCTGGGCTTTCTGGTAGTAGCAGAGCTATTAGTTGAGCCATTTTTGGCCGGTGCGCGACGCGACGAATCCATCAGTTGCGTGGTGTGATGAGGTGGCCGGTGTGTTGTGTTGTGGTGTGTTGTCTCAGGTTGAGTGATTAGTGTTGTGAGAAGGGAAAAGCCGACAAAGGATGTGAGAGAGACTACCAGTGAGACTGGGAAAGGGATACGTAAAGACGCGCCAATGAGAAACAAGACGAGCACCAGGCAAGCAGCCGAGGATGCACGCAGACCGCTCAGAGTCAAGGCGAGTCGAAAGTGCACCGGTGGTCTGTAGGCGGAGATGTAAATTTGGTGGTGAACAGAGTGGAAAGAGTGAGTGAGAAAGAGAGGACGCCAGCGAAGCCAGGGACCGAGTAGGTAACGCGAGTGAAGTGGGCTTGGCAACCTGGAAGGGGAGTGGGTGCGAGTTTCAGTGAGCAGTGATCAGTGGCAATTGAGAGAGAGCAGGACACAGTTCAAAATCGGGGCTGAATAGAACGTGTTCTGAGCGAGCAGGGACGTTGCGGACGGAAATACGCAAATGTGTAGAAATGACAAGTCGCAAGTTTCAAATCGCCAGTCGTTTGCATATGCGCCTGATCGAGCAAGTTCCCAAGTTGCCGAGGAGATTCGGGATCGAGCAACGGGAAGAAAATGCAAAACTGTCGAGGTATTATTTCGTGTCGCTGTTTGGTTTCGGGGCTTGGAAACCAGCTGCGGCTGTTTCTTTTCTTGCCGATCTGTTAAGATGAAGAAATTCGTAGTCGGTTCGAAGAAACCTACCTGGAAGGCCGGGCCAGTGCAGGAGCAGCTTGAGACGATTCCAGGGGGGCCGAGAACTGTTTTGCTTTCAGCCAGCCCTCGCTACTGTAACTTGCGGGAATCTCATTGCATCGTGGTTGTCAGTGTGACTCGACGGTGGATGTGAAATCGGGGGAGATGGACTGAAACAGAGCATCCATGCCCGTTACTCCAAGGTGTTGTTGTGTTGGCTTTTGTACTCCATTCTCCCACCGTGCCACCCAGAGCTATCTCGGGATGCAGATAAACACAGGTCTATACCTCTCAGTTTCTAGCGAGTTCGGGGTGGGTAAGAGAGAGAAGGAAGACCACAAAGTCGAGGACGTAAAGGGCAGGCAAGATCGACGGGCCGAGGCCGTCCCCCTCAATTAAAGTTTGCCGGCTCAATCACCAACGCAAAAAACTCCCAACACCCGATCCAAATCTAAATCTAAATCTATGACGGCAACACCTAACCATCCGATCCCAATAACCAAACCCCCCGATCTCACCGTCTCTCTCACTCCATCCGCCGCCCTGTTACATTCCCAAGATGATATTTTTACCCCCAACTCCTAAAGAAGAACCCTGCAGCAGCACCGGACTTATCCATACGACGACTCCGTACAGATTACTGTGCATCTCATTCCCCGGACCGAAGCAGGTAACCGCCTCGTTAGCGCGCGCCCTCGCCCCGCCCCTGCCTTCCTTCCTGCAACCCAACGCTTCTCGCGATGCGCCAACGTTGCGGCGCATCCAGCCGCGGTTTATTCTTAGCAGTCGGCTACTGCCATTCCACCCGGTCATGACTGCACCGTCACGACCGACTAACTTCAACTAAGTTGGTACGAAAGACGGACGGTTGGTTGCGCCGTTGATACTTGGGTTCCGGCTGGGCACCGAGGTTAGTAGTGATGTTTGTCTCTCGACAGAGACGGGAGCAGAAGCAAACAACACCTGAATCGGTTGGTGGTCTGTGGGTGGATGTGGTCCGAAACTTTGTTGAGTCCAACAGCAAGCACAGACGACCGGGCTGCAAATGAGCGCTAGATAAAAAGTATTCCATAAAAGGGTAGATAGCGAGCTATGTACTGCGGACCGCGGACCGGTCGGTGTAGACCTAAATCCATACAAGAAGGGGAAAAGGAAAACCGGAAATGCTTTTTCGTAAAAAGACTAAAAGTGAGCCGAGCCGTGCCCATCCGCTGATGGCATGATAAAGTATGTACTTCGCAAGTAACGATCGATGATATAACCCCGTCTACTTCGCCAGGCGCCCCATCTCCCCTAGACAAGAAAAAAGAAATCGTGGCCATTACCGAGTATGTCTGAAACAGGAAAAATGAAAGGAGGCAAGCCGGCCAGGAGAATGGCAGGTGCCTCCATGCCGCCAACGCCGTGTTTTTCTGCATCTGCTCACCCAGCTTTTCGTCTTCGTCCCCGTATGCTCATCCTCTCCGCGTGCAACCATGGTGCAGCGATCCATCTCCTGCTTTATACAGTAGTATACACATGAACAGTGAATCGGCGTACCCGGATTGCGCCCGGGGTGCCGATCAGGTATCTGCGACCGGCCCGGTGTAGGGAGCCGCGGGTATCATGGCCAGCTTGTTATCGTGAACGTCCGGGAGCCATTCAATCCTCCTCCGGCTTAGGCGTCGCAGGAGACCGTGGCTTGGGCATGCTTAGGATAGGAACGTCCTCGGTCCCGGTCTGCTGGTTCCCTGACGGCTCCTCGCCCATCTCCTGTGGCTCGTCCGAGAGGATCTGCTCGCCCAAGACGGACTGGCCCGCCGGTGGCTGGGACTCTTGGCCCGCGGGGCCCGGCCGCGGGAACTGGCCAAAATCGGGCTCACCGCGGCGATCGATCGGCGACCAGCCGGCAGCGATACTGCCCGCCACGATGCCCGTCATGACGGTGGCAGCGCCCAGAGCGCTGTTGGACCGCGAGCGCATGCTCCGGCTACGCCGGCGCGAGTCAGGAGTCGGGGCGACAACGGAGCCGAAGCTGTCCTCGCGTGTGGGTGTTTGCGGGAGGCGGTGGATCGAGTTCGACCGAGAGTGGTCTCGGCTTTGGGCGGGGCTCCGGCGGGGCATGAAAGTCTCGCGCGGGTGCTGCATGGCGAACTTGAGGTTGTTGAGGCGGCCGCCCTTGATACGCTTGAGCCAAGCCAGCTCTTCCCTGATGTCGGCGAGCGCTTCGGGATAGGCGTTGAAGCGCTCATCATCGTCCGACACGGTGAGACCCGGAACCTTGGGGTCCGACTTGCGCTTCCATGACTCGGGGATCAAACTATCGAGGAGCTCGTCGGGGACGAGGCGAATGATGACACCAACCGGGATAGAGAGGGCACCTAGAACGATGGCGATGCCCCACATGACTGCCGTCTGACCCTCGGGTGCGATGCGGAATGCATCTCCACCAACCATAACGATCAAGACTTGACCACCGCACATGATGGCGCTGATGACGATAAAGTAGGGGTTCTTGTGCATGCCCTCGAAAATGTTGAAGTTGTTATCCAGACGCCGGTTGCTGCAGAATGTTAGCAAACTATTCACTCGCCACGGAATCTTATCAGTCTCTACTTACTTCCACTGGTTGAAGATTTGCATCCACACGAACGTGTTGAAAACCAACGTATGGATCTGCGACTCCGTCATGTCATCCGGGCCAGGAAGAACGTCGACACCTCCGAAGTAAATCAGGAACGTGATCAGCAGCTGCCACACAGCCTGGCCAAGAATCATCTTCCACATGGTGGTCGATATGATCGAGGAGCCCTTCCGCTCGGGTTTGCGGTTCAAGACGCTGTCCTGAGGGGGGTCGGTCGCGAGAGCCAGGGCAGCGAGAGTATCCATGATGAGATTGACCCACAGGAGCTGGACGGCGGTGAGGACAGACGTCTGGTCAGCACTCTGAACGGCTGACACGAAGGTCAAAACGACGGCAGTGATGTTGACCGTGAGCTGGAACTGGAGGAAGCGTTTGACGGCATCGTTGACAGCGCGACCCCACTTCAGCGCCTTAACGATCGAGTTGAAGTTGTCGTCCATGAGGATGATGGCGGACGCCTCCTTGGCAACCTCGGTTCCGGCGATGCCCATCGAGAAACCGATGTCGGCCATCTTCAAGGCGGGTGCGTCGTTGGTACCATCTCCCGTAACGGCAACCGTTTCGTTCTTGTCCTTCAGGCGCTTCACCAGAATCCGCTTGTCCTCGGGGCTAGACCGTGCCAGAACGTGGAGCCGGGGAATGATTTCGTCTTGCTGCGCCTTGGTCATGTTCCGGAACTCGGGACCTTCGAGAACGACGCTGTTGGGCTGCAGGATACCGCAATCGGCAGCAATGGCCTCGGCGGTTATTCTGTTGTCTCCAGTAACCATGCGAACCACAACACCAGCCTTTTGGCAATCACGAACGGCCTCGCGGACACCAGGGCGCAGGGGGTCCTTGATACCAACGACGGAGATGAAGGTCATGTTCCGGCAGATGTCTTCGAAAACGATCTCGTCCTTCTCAGCACCCATACGGCGGGTGGGCTTAGGCGGCCACCGGTCAAAATCGCGGTAGATGAGGCCGATAGTCCGCAGCGAGTTCCGAGCATATGTCTCGATCAACTTCTTGAGGGTTTCGCGGTTCTCCTCGGTCAGGGTCGAGGAAGCCAGTCCACTGGATGGGTCCCGTAGAACTTGGGTGCACTTCTCCAGCATGATCTCGGAGGCTCCCTTGACGTAGAGCCGCGCCTTGCCGTTGTCCAGTTGAATCACCACGCCCATGCATTTGCGGCCGGAGTCGAAGGGGATCAGGTGCAGAGTCTTCGCGTTGGCTCTCGCCTCGCTGACAGGGCCCATCGCAAGGTGCTCCCGCGCGAGGATGAGAAGTGCGGTCTCGGTCTTGGAGCCGATAAACGTCTGTTCACCATCCACGTCGCCCTCAAACGCCGTCGAGTTGAGCGAGATGGATTTCGACAGCAGATCCTTTGCCTCAGGGCTGAGTGTCGCGATGAGTTCCGGAATTTCCACGTCCTTATCCATGGGGTCATGTTCCTCCGGTGTCGTCGTGGTACCGAATCGGTGGGCCGTGCCGATCGTACCGGCCACAACCTGCATCTTGTTTTGGGTAAGAGTACCGGTCTTGTCCGAGCAAATCGTCGTCGCGTTACCCATGACTTCGCACGCCTTGAGATGGCGGACGAGGTTGTTGTCCTTGAGCATGCGGGTGGTGGCAAAAGCGAGCGCCAAGGTGACGGCAAGAGGGAGACCTTCGGGGATAGCGACGACCACAATAGTGACAACGACAATGAAGATCTCAATGAAGTGTTGCCCTTTCTCTGCCGGCGTCAAGCTCGCATACTGCCTGGGGAGCCGAACCAAGAAGATGATGAAGAGGACGAGGAAGAGAAGCAGGGCGACGGCGCCACCGAGCTTGGCGATGTATTCGGCGATGACATTAAGCTTCGACTGCAGGGGCGTGACTTCGGGATCCTCGTTGAGAGACATCATCGTCTTGCCGTAACTCGAGTGGATGCCGGTGGAGGTGACCATGAACTTGCCGGCGCCCTCCATGACGCGGGATCCGGACTGCATGAAAGGGTCCATCTTCTTCAGACTCTCATGGTTTTCGATAGCCGCGAAGACTTCGTCGGCAGACTTCTTGCGAATAATGTCAGATTCGCCAGTGGCCTGAGACTCGTCACATTTGACGCCAAAGCCCTCGATAAGAACTCCGTCGACGGGTATCATGTCGCCAGGCTCCAGAAGCAAAATATCGCCAGCCATGATGTCGAAAACCGAAAACTCGATGGTCTTCCCAGACCGAATGCCTTTGACCAAGCGATCCTGCTTTTTCTTGTTGAGCTTGGCGAATTGACGCTCCTTTTGGAAATCGTTGATGGAGCCGACAAGAACCACGATTGCGATTGCGACGATGATTGCAACACCCTCGATCCATTCGACGCCGGGTTCCGTGGGGTCCTGTTCCGCACCAAAGGTTTGGTACAGGCCAACGGCGAGAGAGACAATGGCAGCGGCCGAGAGCAGGATCAACACCTTGTCGTTATACGTGATCCACATGAGCTGAAGAAGGCTCTTGCCCTTCTTCTCGGGCAGCCTGTTGTCGTGGAATACGCGCTTTCTCGAAGAGAAAGGTTCAGACGGATCGTTGGCTGGGGAGGGGGCCGCATGGTCTTTGGGTGAAGAGGGAGCAACACCCTCCGTCAGCGCCTTATTCAAAGAGCGGGAGGTGGCGTCCTCGAAGGAAACGGATTTGGTAAGATTGGTCTCATCCACGCTCAGACCGGTGGTGCGGTCGCTCTGCAGCCCCTTCTCGATACCGGTCAGGCCCCCTAGTTTCCAAAACGCCGACAGGCTCTTGGGGTCGAACATTTTGCCCAGCATGCCCGGGCTGAAGGCGAAGGGGTTGTTCTCCACCTCGAACTCGGCCTCCTTGCCCTGGTCCGGCTTGAGGGCATTTTCATCGTTGATGATTCGGTTATTGCCCGATCTGTCACCGAACGGGGGGCTGTTCTTTTCGCCAGAAGAGGAGGCGCCGATAACCGTGTCCCCTTGGGAGGAGGTGACGGAGCGCGCATCGTCTCCCGAATTTACCGAATTCTGGCGCGAGCGCTGGGTGTTGGGAACGGCGAGGAAACCCTGGCTCGGGCCGGGACCGCGAAACGATAAGGGATTGAGGACATTGTGGGGGCTGGTAGGGCGGCTGTCCTTGGCGTCCGAGGCCATTGCGGCTTGCACCTCTGGCCTAGTCTGAGAGAGGCTGCGCTCCTGCGAACCTGACGTCGTGTCCGTCGGGCTGCTGTGGGTGACGGGAGGGTTGGGTGCGGTTTGCGAGCCTACTTCAGGTACATCCGGTTGAGGTGCTGAAGCTGGACTCACTGCCGTGGTATCGATATTGATGGTAGGACTGCCAGGCATTGTTAGGACTCGGCTGGCAGCAACAGGAGTAGCAACGGCGGCAATCGAAGGCGCGTTGGGGTGCGGTAACGGAGAAATACATACGCTCTGGCTCGGCGAGCGGGAGCCGACTCGGTCTCCTTGCTGTCATTGCTGTCCTGGTTAGGGGCTGCCATGGTAGCTGAGGGAGCGGGTCTGGGTCGTCAGCGACGCAGCTCAGCCCTTGGGGGCGAAGAGGTGAGGAGCCGCGCTGTATGGGTCGGCTCGCGGGGTGGCGAGGCTGATGCAAGATTTGGAGAGTGGTGGTTGTCGTTTTGCCCTTGTAAAGGTTGTCCGCCTTCTTGTCCAGCCACAGTCGGGAGTTGGTCTGCGCAATCACGGGTTCATTCGTTTGCCCGGTCGAGCTGTGCGGTCAGGATGATGCTGCGGATTGCAGGCGGCCTCCCAAGGTTTTGAGAGTATTGAGAATCCGTTTATGTGAAAGTTTATGTGAAAAGGTTCCCTGCAGGACTCAGATGCAGCGGAGCGCAGTGCAGGAAATGAGAAAAAGGTAAGGTTGGTGGTAAGGCACGAAAGAAGAGGGAAAATGCGCGAAATGGAAGCCCAAGTCGACGCGTGATTCTGGGCTGATTACAAGAAGTTAAGTGTAGTTTTGGGCAACAACGAATAAGAAGCCCCGAGGCAGTGCAGCCGACAGCGCTAGGAGAGAGTTTTGGCTGGTCTCATCACCATGGACAGGTGTGACGTCCCCAATGGCAAGTTGAAACGGGCGGGAACAAGGAGTGTTGGTGGTGAGAATAGAGAATGGGACGCCCGCTGGAACTGAACTCTTGAGGGAGGCAATCCACCTCAATGGTGCAGTGCTCGGTGCCCAGTCGTTGGTCCCTGTTCGCCAAGCCAAAGGCTTGGGGCTGTGCACATAGTGCCAAGCACAACACCCCGGACAAGGATGGCATGTCACTTATCTTGTCTGCCGAGACTCCTTGCATCATTTCATCACCGCAATCTGAGAACAAGCTCGATTTCCTTCCTTACTAGGTTGGAGGCGGTTGTCACTCAGGTAGGTCGTTACCCACGAAATGAGAGGAGGCCTCTTTCTTCTTTTGTCATCAAGCCCGAGGAGGTTCTTGAGCAGCTCCATACTTTTTTGTAATATGCCAGTATTATTATGAAAAGCAACAATACTGTGGTACATGTAATATACCGAAGGAAGTATTCGAGGATGCCCCCCGCAGGTCTCCTGTTCGTCCAATCCAGTCCCAGGTAAGCAGGGCGAACACGGTGCAACCCCCTGTCGGTAGGTTTTGGTTCCCAACATCGCTGTGCCACCGGTTTGCAGCCGCCGACTAGATCTGTTTCGAGCGTTCCCGCTCGCACTCGCAGCATCGCAGCATTCTCGGGCACCAAAACATACCGACTTGCACACACGGCTTATTCAATGACAACGCCAAAGCTGCCATCGCCGTCAGCCTTAACAGCAATCGGTGTCAGCCGCTCCGCCATCGGATTCAGCAACTGCTTCTTTGGTTTTGAGGACCTGAAGGGTTAAAAAAAAAAAGCCTGGTTTTCACTCGATGTTTTTGAGATTAAACTAGTGGAGCCTCCTCCAAACTCGAAAAGGGGAAGCGGGGAGAGGTCGCAGATGTGCATCTCGATTGGCGCTTTCTGTCCGCGGAAAAGCCCCGCCAAGACCTCGAATTGGTAGTTGCGGCTCCAGCAGGTCCAGCCACCGCATCATCATTTCATCTCCCGCTAGCATCGGTAATTTACGAGTCCGCCCAGTTTGCTGACGAGCTGCTTCTTTCAGGTCGGTATTCCGCATCACGATATTCGGAATCCACCAACAAACAGCATGCTCTTTTCGACCCAGAATCAGATCTCCGACCACCCGACCCCGCAAACCTGGGGCAGAGTCGATCACAGGGGGTGTTCGATCGCTGCAGCACAGGCAGGCCCAAGCGCCCCGCCATACACAGGCAGTCGGTAAGGTGGTAAGGTACAGATCTGCCCTGTAACTACCGTCGGTACCTTGAAAGCCAGACTCCCGGGCTCGAACCAGAGAATCTTCGACAAAGAAAGTCTCATCGATCGCCAGCCATGGTTACCAACTCCCTCCTGTTCCGTTGGGGATGGCAGTGCTCGCCTCCCGGCCTTGTTTCCCGTCGCCGGCGCAAAGCGGACAGTGTGATGGCGATGGCCACCGGACATTTCATCCAAGCGCGTAATCGAGGCGCAGCATCTTCAAACTCTTCGGTTGGGTTTGCCGCCAACGGTCTCGACTCCACGAGGCGATCTTGATGCCGTGTGCGCGCCAATATCCTTCCTTACCTGCCTCGGCTGGTCTTGCCGCCTCTACATAACGTCCATACTTGGTAACCTGACACCACCTGACACACCTCCTGTGTAGATAGCGATGCACGTTGGGGAAGCCTGGACCATCTCCACCTCACCAACACTCTGGAGGTCTGCCTGTTTCATGAAACGCTCCCTTCTCCCCATTGGGAGTCGCATGTTCTCTAGTTACCTATTGGCCCGAAATCAACCCTTCTGGAAGCAGCCATTATGCGTCAAGCTCTGCGACGGACGAGCATGTCTCCATTCAACCGGCCGTCAACCCCGTCAACCCCGTCCGCCAGCGGATCCATTCGTGTTACGTGGTGGGTGTATAGGCAAATGAAAGAGATGGGATGACGCTGCGATACCACGCTACGAAGTTGATAAGCATTCTCGAGATACACGTACAACACCAAGGAGCAAAACGACATGAATAATGCACACCGATCATGGCTGTTCTTTTAGCAAGACACTACATCCCAAGGCACATCTCGCCCATCGCACAATAGCGCATACGGCACGACGTCGGCCCCGATATGTCATCGCAGGTTTGGGGTTGGGCGCCCCAGGACGGTCGTGAACAGGTGATACCTTCAGCCACCAATTTGACGTCGATCTCCCTTGCGCGGTTGGTTATATGTACATGTAACTCTGTACCCAGTGGTACCGTGAACACATGGCAACCCGCCAACGACGGCGGTAATTAGCCGTGGCATGGTTCGGCACTTGATGTTCCCAGATGAATACTACTGCTGTTAAGGTTCTTGAACACCGCTTCAGAAATGCCAACCATAACACCGGCTCCTGGCGGATCCGGAGAGTCGAAACCAGAGCCTCCAAGCGTGATAGTGGCTGAGCCAACATGAGTGTCTCAACCACCAGACCGAGCCCCATCACGAGTTGCCTTGGACCGCAGGCAAAACAAACATTTCCCGGCCAACGTGCCGTTGTTTAATTCCTCTGCTTCGTACAGTTGATTCATATTTTCTAGCACACTTATCGAAGTGAGACTTGTCTCTACATCCCACCAATGGCGATAACTAACAGTCCCCGCGACGCGTGGAATTTGTGCGCCGAGTCAAATGAGCATCGCAAGCAGTCCAGTAGCATTCCCCTGACAGTAATCTCAGCCTTTACTCCAGGACTCCCCCTTCTCGGGCAAGTGCGCTCTCAACTTCCTAGAACGACAGGTCTCCCATGTGATGTGCAGTCCGCGTCTCTGTCGAGTAGTCACCACAGCTTACACGGTAGTTACGAATACATATTACATACATTGAAGTCGACCCGTGTCACCCGCCGGAACATACCGAGCACCAACACCCAACTCGGCGGTGAACCACCCCTCTCCCTAGGATAATCAACGTTCGCCGGACAAGGCTTTTTTTCTTGGCCCAGTCTGGCCACCGACTTCCTCGGCGAAGGCGTGCGGTGAAAATGACCTTTCATTGGTCGCGCGACCACTTGCCGTTTGTCTTTGGGGAGACGAGCCAAGGGCAGGTCGGGCAGGTCGGAGTGGTCGGCTACGGACGGGTACCTCATCCCTGGCAACCACAACGTCAATCGACGTCGGCCCGTTGTTTATTTTTGCCAAGATATACTGTCTCTCCCGTCGTCCCTGTCGTGTGGAAACGATAAGGCAGGTCCAAAGAGAAACTGGATGAAGGACCCGACAAGAAAACCCCTCATATCGAAGAGGAGGTTTACCAACTTCTCTTCTTGGTCGTGTATCCCGCCCTTCCCCCCGCCGGAGTGAGGCAGTGCAACAAAATTGTATGACCTGCGGAGTCCGGGCCCAGTCCGCTCCGAAGAAAACGGATGTCTTGGCGCCACTGAGTCCCTTCCAAGAAAAGTCTTGAGCGATCGATCATGATGTGTGGCTACCTGGTGTGTTGGCATGGGGTGCGTGGGGGCGTGGTGGTGGTTTTTGCCGTCGCTGGCCCTGTTTCTGTTTACTTTTCCGGCGCGGCGGGAAGGGGGCAGGGGCATCAGGAAAGCAACCTGCGAGCTTACGGTCGAGGGTACAGAGTGGATAGTAAGGGAACGGGATCGGGACAAACTCGACAACTCCATCTCTGGAAGAGCGGAGTTGAAAAGAGCCTTGATGTAACCCTGGGACTCCCCTCTGACATATCGAGCGCAACTCCGGAATAGGCTTACCCCCTGATGACAGCATCCGCAGACATGCAAGGCAACTTTATTCTAGGCTAACATGCAAACGTGCCAACACCTCCCCAACTTTTTTGTGCCCCCAACCTCTCAAGAGAACATCCGAATCAACCATTGTCCCAATCCGGAAACCAGATTTCACCATCTCGTCTAAGCCTCATTACCAAGCGTGTCCCCCGCTGACCAAGGATGCTTATCCCATGCCATTGGCAGCGTCGGGACCGCGTCGGGACAGCGTCGGTACGACGTCGTCAGATCCAAAGGAACACATCAACCTCCTCCCAAAGGACCTCCCCCGCATACCAAGACCCGATCCAACCGTACCAACGAACCAACCGACCCTGCAGCAGCAGTCAACCGTGTGAGTGTGAGCGTAGTGAGCGCGTTTCTACCAACGCCTCCCCAGATCCACCTCCCTAACCAGCACCATCCCATCATCACCACCCCCCTGCCCACCATCACCGCCCCCATTAGCATCAGCAACACCACCACCCCCAGCACCCACCCGGGGAACAGCAGCAGCAGCAGCAGCCTGGCCAGCAGCGGAGCCATCGGGCTTCACAACAAAAGGCAGCACCGCCCTCCTCACCACCCCCTCCCAGAACCCGGCCACGACCCCCGCGAGCCCGGCGCCGGTCTGCTTGAAGTCCGGAAAGGCATTGACCTCGAGCAGCCAGGCGGTGCCTTGGGCATCGGCGAGGAAGTCCAGTCCATACACCTCAAACGCCTGCGGCAGCGGCTGGAAGTGCACCGTCATGCCGCGGGCGGCCGCCTCGAACAGGTCGCCCGTGATGGCGCAGATTTGGGTGGTGAGGGAGGTGAATTGTGATGGGGAGAGGGGTAGGTCGTCGAGGCGGTGGACGAGGTCCGCCGCCGCGGTGCTGCTGCCGTCTGGGGTGGTGGTGGTGGTGGTGGTGGGCTGCAGGCAGGTGTTGGTGAGGTGGGCGTCGAGGTCGGGGGTGGAGCTGGAGCTGGAGCTGGACCCGGACCCGGGGGGCTGGTACGGCTTGGCGGCGAAGAGCGCGAGCATGTCCCGGTAGACGTAGACGCTTAGACTGCCGACGCAGAGGACGTAGACGCGGATGTGGAACTTGCGGTTGTTGAGCTGCGGGAGGAGGAGGGGGGGGTGGATGTAGGGTTGGGCGACAAAGTGCCGCAGGTGCGAGGTCATGATGTGTTCTTTGTTGTCGTCTCCGCCACCTTGCTGGTCGTCATGGTCCTCGTTTTCGTCTTCGTTTTCATCGTCTTCGTCTTCCTCGTCGCTGCTCTCGGGTTCCCACTCGTCAAAGATCTCCTGCAGCTGCTCCATCGTGTTGAACAGCCGGATGCCCTGGCCGCGATCGCTCATGCTGGGTTTGAGGATCCACCACTCGGTCGTATCCTCCTTCTCCCCCTTCCCCTCAGCAATAGTTGCTGCGGCCTGTACGCTCTCGTCATCGTGCTCCGCCACTTTCTGGGCGTCATCTCCGTCCGCTCCGTACGCGGCAGCGGCATTTTTGTCCAGGCTCTCGCGCAGGTCGAACGCCTCGATCAGGGCGTCGTCTAAGAACTCGGCGAAATCCACCTCGAACGCCTCGCTGCGTTTGACATGTGTCTTGAGTACCGAGTCGGGGTGCTTCGCCACCCAGTTGTCGACCGTCGCCGAGAGGAAGTGCTTGCGGATGAGCGCCTTCCTGATCACGTAGCTGTTGATGAGACACGTATCGGGGTGGGTCGAGGCGAAGTCAAAGTCGATGCTCTCGTAAGGCATGATTTGGAGGACCTTGGCGTTGGGCTCAGCGATGAGGTCCGGGAGCGTAATTTCCGGTGATGACTTGGACCAACTCGACGGCGGGTTGACGAGGGTATAGCTGTCGGCGGGGAGAAGGAACTTCATGGCGGCCATGATCAGGGGCTGGACATAATCGTCGTCATAGTCGACCAGCGCGTAAACCCGAGGCTTCCACTTTTCTCTGATCGGAAGATCCCGAGTTAGGGTGCCAGAAGTGGCTGCCACAGACTTGGGCACAGCTCCAAAGGTTGAGCTCCTAGAGGCTCCTCTGAGAGAGAGCAAGAGGGTAAGACAGCGTCCTAACTACCTGGGCTACATCATGCAGGGCTGGCAGAGCGGACGGAGGCTAGAGGAGCTTCTCGTCTATTTCTAGATCGCCTGCTCTATCCTCTATCTGATGAATTGCATGTATCATAGCCGTATTACTCCGTCCGTCTTGCGCCAAATCCTGATTCAAATCAAAGGGGGCAAAATCCATACTTACAATTGCAACTCCTTTCCGTGCAGCTGTGTGGCAGTCTGGAAAAAGTTGGCCTTGAGGGGCGTGATACTGCAGAAAACAGAAAATGTCAGTCAACACATCCACGTCTCATGATGGTCACATCACCACCGATCACGTACCTTGTATGCCCCTCCTTGACCGCCCACCCATCGTTCCCCGGCGGCGCATCTTCCACGCTCTGATACACATCCGTAAACCGCGGGGACCACTTGAAGTGCTTGTGCGTATGGCACGCCGTCTTGCCCTTCCCAGCATCACCGCCATCCTCCTCCTCCACCTTGGCCTCCCCCTCCCGAATCCGCTCCTCATCCTCCTCCTCGCCGTCCACACTCCCATCCACCTCGGTAAAACAGCTCCCCGCCCCCCAATAATTCTGCAACATCTCCGTATACAGCACCTTCCCCTCCTCCAACCCCTCCAACAGCGGCACATTCACACTATACAAATCCACACTCCCATCCTCCGGCCACTCCCTCACCAGCGCCTCAATCACCCTCACCCCCTGCCGCGTCGCCTTCTCAATAATGCCCGTATCATGATTCCGCGAAAAAAAACGCATAACTCAACGCCACCGCGCGGTGGCGACAGACGGCGGCCTCGAGGGCGCCGCCGAGGGTGCCGCTGCTGAGGGCGAAGACGGCGGTGGTGTTGCGGCCGTAGTTGGGCCCGCTGACGACCAGGTCGACGGGGCCGCGGTCGCCGAAGAAGTGGTGCAGGCCGATCTGCACGCACGACGCCGGCGTGCCGTCCACCAGGATCCACTCCTCGGTGCCGCGCCGCGTGCTGGGCCGGGGGTGCGTCGTGCCGTGCGCCGGCGAGGGGGTGTTGTAGTCCTTGTCCTGCTGCTCGGTGGTGGTGGTGGTGGTGCTGTCGTTGTTGTTCTCGTCGTCGTGTGTCAAGCCCGCGGCGGGAGCGGAGAGTGGGGGAGGGCGGTAGTAGAGTGGCTTGACGGTCTGGCCGATCATGTGCGCCTTTCCGATCCAAGAGCGCTGGGTGTGAGGGAGGCAGACCGAGACGGTATGCCCATGGGCTTGAAGTTCTCGAACGAGAGAATGGACATAAGGAGATGAGTGGGGGGACGGAGGGCCGTCATCGTTAACCACGAGGATGTGCATCTTGACAACTTTTGTTTGTTTTTTGAGTTTAAGTGAAATCTGGGAGTTGAGGTCAGAAAAAAGAAGAGGACCGAGATCGGGATACCTGAGGTAGGTAGGGAAAAGTACTACCTTAGTACCTTTTACACTGTTGGGCAGCGGCAAAGGAGGGGCAAATGAGCTAAGGCACGGATAATGATAAGGTAACTTGGACGTGAATGTGCAAACTGCAGAACACAAGTTGCCCCTCTATTGACGTTTTCCTGCCCGAACATGTGGGAGGGAGGTGGGGTATTTCGGGGGGTTAAGCTCGGGCCGGGACGGAGGCGACCGGAGGTCCTGTCTATGAGAAAGGGGCAAAAAGAAAGAGCATGTGTAATGCCAAGCTGAAAACTTGGGCGGCCCGGGACTACCCAACTTCCAAGGTTGTTACCTCATTGTTGATGTATTACTTGATGCCACGGCTGCACTATAGGTGCGGCAAGTGTGCCGAGATAAATACAAACATGAACGACCTGGCCATCTAACCCTTCCGACCTAGGCATTCTCCCTAATTCTTAACAGACGAGTCGTAATCCATCCCGGAGGGTCATGAAGAAGACACTCTTCTGTCCAAGCGCGTTGCCTCTGGCTTCCGATCAATTTCGACCACTGAGAGTGATGACCATGAAGAGAGCAAAACGAAAACTGAATCGAGTTGAGCAGCGTCCACGAACCTCTTCCCCACCAAGACCCCCGTTCACCGTAAAAATCAATGCAGCCCAAAAATCGCGCCGAAGAAATAAAAAATGATCCATGAAGTCATCCCCGCTCCGAGTCAAAGCCCGCCGCCCGCCGCAACCTTCCATAATGCCACCCGTCGGTACGGGCAGAAATCCAACACAACATAATTAGGCCCTGGTGCGCTTAGGGGCGTCCGCAGTGAGGTCGTCGCCCGACCGCTTGTGGCCGGCGCTCTGAGAGCCGCCCTTCACCCGGCGCCAGCTGTCGAACGGGCTGCGCTTGCTCGGCTGCTTTGGCTTCGGCGTGGGCTCTGCATTTCTCTTCCCAAACCGCGTGGTGCGCACCGTTGTCGGGGGAGATGCGGGCGCGTACCGCGGGGCTGCCGGGGTGCCGGGTGTCTCGTCGACCAGATCTGCTGGGGTCTCTGGCTTGTCCGCCTCCAGACCAGCCAACACGTGGTCTTCGATATCGGTTGCCGCTTCCTCGTCCTCGTCGAACTCCTTTGGCTCGTCCGAGTCGGCTGTGGGGAATAGCAGGCGGGGCTTGATCGAGGAACGGGTAAAGTGCTGCTTCGTCGGGGACTCGACTGCGCTCTCCAGACCACCCTCGCCCTCGTCCAGGCCGTCGCGGATGCTCGGCTCGTCCATTTCCGTAAATTTGCGGAACTGCTTCTTGCCTCGGCTACAAAGTCGTGTTAGTACAATCAACGGGAGTCAAGGTAAGGACAAAATCACATACAAAACAATCAGCATGCCGTCATCGCGGCGAATAGCCTCATCGATCGGCACCTTGCCCTCGCCGGGGATAGAAACGGTGTTGCGCTTGCTTCGGCGCCTCGGTGCTTCGGGAGTTGCGGGGTTCGGGCCGACGTAGAAGGGGTTGTCGGCGCTGTGGTCGACCTCGGGGATGCGCTCGTGGGAATCGGTGAAGATCCGGAACGACGTCTCCGCAGCATCGCCGCTATAGAAGCTGCCGGGGTTGTCGGTCTGTGTGCGGGTTTTCCGCGGGCTCGGCATGGCTTCCTCCTCGTCGCTGTGGAAGAGATTGCGTGCGACCGACTTGACTTTGGCCTTGACCTTCTCATTGGGCGGCTTCTGAGGGGTCTTGGCCGGTGTCATGAGCATCCCAGAGCTAGCCGCTGCGCCTCTGCGAGTTGAAACCGACTCTGGCTTGCGGGCGGGCGTGGGCGCGGGCGACAATCCCAGAGCGACTGCAGCGTGCGCAGTCCCTTCGGCGGTGAGAGTGCCCGAGGCCCTGCGAGCCGAATCAATCGGAGGCATGCGCTTCTTTTGGGGTGAAATTGCGGGTGTCGCCATGGTGGAAATAAAACGCTTCTTGGTTGACTTGGGCGAAGCCGTTGAGTTTTCGGTTTGATGGGATGCGCGATGTCGCGGAGGTTGGGGAGAGGGTGTTCTGTTTGTGGCCCGCTGCGCGATGCGACTAGATTTGCGGGGCGAGTAGGGTTCGTAGGAATCCGAGTAGCCGTGTTGAGGCGCTGTGGGTGTTCGAATTTTCGAGGTCGGTCCCGGGGAAGGTGTTGATGGAACGAGTGGTTCCATGGTGCCGGCCATTTTAAACGCGTGATCCCTTTTTTCTCCTGGCTCTGGCAATGCTCAATTAGGCGGGTGAAGCTGGGAGGTATGGCGCGCGCGATAAACAATCGCGATCAGGAAGTCTGTTCCAGAATGGTGGAGTTTGAAGCGAGTTGTTCTGTGTTCGAGAGAGTTGAACGAGATCGGATGGTTCTCGAGTTCCGCCACGAAGTGGTTGCCAGGAACTCGGTGACTGGTAGCAACGCAAAGAACAAATCGCGCACTTCGCCAATTCACAATAACAAGCACCTGGGGCAACAATAAGATATGCTGGGGGCCCTGGTGGTAGAATAGGAGCGATTGTGCATTCGAGAACAGAGGGATGCGAAAAACGGGTTGTGCCCGGATTCGTAATTGAGATGGTGGAGAGAAATGGAGGCGAGGAAGGGGCTGGGAACAGTCTGCCGATACTTTCGGGGACACCACCAACCTCCCATTGGACTCCAGCCCCCTGGTTGTCGCTTAAATGGCCCGACGCCAAAACGCGAAACCCCACAATTCGCGAAGACGCGTCTTAAGCGTGCGAACCCCTGTTGAACCCCCCTCCTCCCCCTCCAATCCCATTTCAACAACGCATGTGCGGAGGGCGCAAAAGTCAACAAAGCAACGTCATTTCATCGCCCAATGCAGAGGCCCAATGCTAGCATGAAAGCCCCAGATCTCTGAATCTGTTTCATGCACAACGTGGCAGCTAAACGAGGACAACGAAGACGCTCCATATTTCCATCATGGCCGACGACTTTGACAGTTCCGACCATGAAGACACTTTTGCATCGCCGCCCCATCCTGCGCCTGGTCGGTCTAAGACACCAACCAAGCAGAACTCGCGGTTTGATACCGATGAATCCCGAGAAGCCGCCCTGCGTAAGGAGCTCGATGGGGTCAGGAAGATCAACGAGGTGATTGAGGGGGTTATTGGCACCCTGGGGAGGGCCAAGGGGAACATGGGGGTATGTTGGACCAGGGGGATTCTGTCCGTGTGCATGCATGTGCTGACCAGTCTTCTGCAATACAGACTGTTTCCAAAACGGTAGACAATGCGTCAACCCTGCTTAACACTTGGACACGCATCCTCTCACAGACAGAACACAACCAGCGATTGCTTCTCAATCCCGAGTGGAAGGGATCAACGCAAGACGTCGCCGACATGGAGAACGAAGCGTTGAGTAAGCAGCAGGAGGCTGAGAGACGGGCGGCCGAAGCGGAGCAGCGCCGTGGGGAGGTGCAGAGGAGGGCAGAAGAGGAGGAGAGAAGAAGAGCCGCGGGCACGACATCATCATCTCGTGGAGTCGGTCGAGGGGGGACGAGGGGAAGGGTTAGAGGAGTAACAAGAGGGGTGGCCAGAGGGGCAACAAGAGGGGCCACAAGAGGCGCTGCGAGTTCGTCGTCCTCGGCGTACGGTGCCGATACCACATCGAGCAGTATCGTGAGCTCGAGGAACACGTCCGGGATAGGCAGGGGAGGGTTCGGATATACAAGGGGATCGTCAAGGGGCGTGAGATGAGCAGATATTTTGCGAGAGCAATTGTTATCCTGATTATGCCCGTATATTCGTACCACGATGCCAACCCCGAACGCCTGATCCTGACCATCCACCCAGATCTGGACAAATACTACAGATGCTATAGAAACAAGGCCTACAACACGAGGAAAACACCCAAAGCGGTTTATGCCTTCTTTTTGAAGAAATCGCTCATCTTCTTCATCCCTGATGTGTTGACCTTCATCAGATTCTTGACCCCCCGACTCATGTTTGCCTTTTTCGCCTTCTCCTCCGCCTCTTGTTTCCGCCTCTTCTCGGCGCGCTCGTCCTGCTCCTCATCGCCCCCCCTCTTGCGAGAGAAGTCGTTCGACCTCACCGCTGCAGCTTCCTGGCGCAGCTTCGTAAGACGCTCGAGATACTCATCCAGAGGCTTGAAGTCAACCAGCTCCGCCGCCTGGGCAAGGTCCCTCTTGAGCGAAACCACGATCGGCGGCGCGACATAGCTCGAGCAGATGAAGTTGAACGCCACCCGCAGCCGCTGCAACTTGACCACCTCCTCAGAAGCAACCATCGCACTCGCAACACCATCCCCCTCATCCGCAACCGACGTAGCCGCCGTGCTCGCCGCCGACACGTCCGACGCCGAACTCACCGCCGTCCCCACCGACGCCTGGGACTCGGCGCTCTCTTCCCCAGAGCCAGAGCCAGGCGTCACGCTCCCACCTCCCTCCCCTTCAACAACAACAACCGCTCCGCTCCCCCTCGCCACCCTGACCCCCAACACAGGCGCCTCCAGCTCCTTCCTCACAAACCGCTCCTCCATACTCTCGGGTAACCTCCCAGCACCACCCCCAACCACGGCGCGCGCCTTGGCGAGCAGCGCGCCCAGCAGCTTGGCCTCGTCCACGCGGTACATGCGCTCATCGCCGGCCTGCACCGCGCCGCACACCGCTGCCAAACGCGCTTCTACGAGCTGGCGCGTGCTTGAGCTGGTGGCGAGGAGTTCGGCGAGGTGCCGGGATGGGTCGGGCGTGTTGTCGAGGTGGTCTTCGAGGGAGAGGAACATGCGTTTTTGGTTTTGCTGGTGGGGTGGTTCTTCTTGTTCTTGTTCTTGTTGCGCGTCGGTGGTGGTGGTGGTGGTGTTGTTGTAGAGGGCGGGGAGGAGGAGGAAGAGGGGGTCGTAGGGGGTGGCGAGGTGCAGGGCGGGGGATTGGGTGATTTGTGTGCTCTGGTTGTTGCCATGGTCCTGGTTCGGGGTGGTTGATTGTACGAGCCAGCTTCGGGGTGTGGACTTGGGCGGGGAGACTGTGGTGAACTCGAAGAAGCCTGCTTCGGGACAGACGAGGAAACGCGTGGGCTTGTTGTGACGCGGATGCTGGAGGGTGACGATGCGCGCGGCAGGCGAGGCGGACTTGGGGAGGATAAAGAGCTTTGGGGGGTTGTCGGACTCGGTTGAGAGGGTGTAAATTGAGGTCGAGCTCTTCGTAGCCGTTGTCGCGCTCTTCTTGTCGTCTTTCGATGCCGCTGTTGCAGCGCCTTTAGCGCGAGTTCTCGCCATGGTTGCGTTTGTTATGGAGGGCTTTGGTGAGATGACGGCTTCACGGGGCGCATTGGTCCCGTATGGAGTTGGAAAGGGTTGTTCACAATGTTCACTGTCTCCATCTCGTTTTAGTGTTGAGACAGGGGGCAACTCGCTGCCAAGACCCCTGTAAGTGGGACGCGACTTGACGCGTCGTTAACGCGCTCCCTTGCATTGTAGCTCCTTCGTGCCGTGTCCGATCTCGAAGCGCGTTTGCTTAGCGCCACCACGAATTCCTCCCACACCACCTTATCGAGAAGGGAGAGCTTATCGATCGAGACCGAGACGATCGCCAACGACAGCAACGATTGTGAACATTTTCGTCCAAAGTTTCGGCACACCACAACTTGTCCCATGCGCCCAGTAGCCGCCCGATCATGGTCCTCTTGTCGCATATTAATTGGCTGAAATAGCGACACTTCGAGACTCGGTTTTCTGCGATCTTACTGTTTAACCTGGCTGTTACCGAAGCGCAGGTAAACAAACAGTACCGTTGCAGTCCCGGATTCTCGAACCTTTGTCTCTCAACGTCGCAGCGAATTCGAGTTTTGGAACCTCTAGGCGACTGAGGGGTATTTCTCGGGACTAGAGCCACTAAATCGTCATGGCTGCCCAATGGCCGCCACGGTCGCCCCACGATGTCCTGCTTAGCACACCAGGAGGGCGAGAGAAACTACGGCGAATTGCTGAACGCACATCCCCATCGCCCTCTCCATCCCGACTAAGAACATCACGATCGGCTGCAGCGTTGGGTTCAAGAGCGGGAGCGGGGCGAGGTGGGGGAGATGATGACCCGTTTCAGGGCGAGAGGATGGACTTGGACGAAGAAGAGGACGAGGAAACATTGCAGCTCAAGCTCCAGGCAATCCAGGCTCGGTTAAGGCTGAAGAAGCTACAGGCAGCGAAGGCATTGAAAAAGGTGACAACAGAACCAGGGCCAGGGGCTGGGGATGATGGGGGCATGAGGGAGGTACCTTTGCAGTCAAAGCTTGCGGCGGTACGGGACAGGCTGGACAAGCAGGCGTCACGAGATGTCGTGCAAGTTCCGGCCTCGCCAGTCAAGAAGCAGTCTACCTCGGACCTACAAACCTCGCCGCAAAGAGTGCTGCTGGGGATCGATAAAGGATTAAGGGGGGCCGATGTGTCTCTCAAGAGAGCTCCGAGTCGGGGAGCAGGCGCCGACTCGCGGCTGGGCTTTTTACGGCGCGCCAAAACCCCACTGGACGGGCAACTGGGGCAAGAGATAGCTCGTCCCTTGAGTTTCAACGAGCGACTCGCGTCGGCGCGGACTGATGAGACTGCTCGCCAAGAGAGGAGAGAACGAGCACAAAAGGCGCGGAGCACCGCTTTTACTGTTGGCCAGCAAGAGATGGAGGAGTATAAAACAAAGGCCCTCGATATCCCTGACCTTCCTTCCAGACCACAAGAGTTCTCCAGAGAACAGATTCTCTCCTCCATCGGGAGGCCATTAGGTGGAGGCCAATTACAGCGCAGCAACACGGCACCAACTGTCCGGTCCGGGACTCCTTCGGATCCGTTCTCAACGACGACCACCGCAAAGGAGGAATCAGAAGGAGCCATTGAACCCTACTCAGGACTGCATCTCTCGAAGCGAATACTGCCGCATAACGTGTTGGCCCGCGCTGTCTCGGGGAAAAAGTCATATCTTCTGAAAGATATGCTTCGTCAAGTCAAGGCGCCAGATTGGTCCCTCCCGGACGACGAGGTTGACATTGTTGTCTTCGCCATCGTCGCTAGCAAGTCCGAACCACGAAGCCACCGCCCGGGTCCTGGCAACGATGGTAAATCACAACAAGACCGTGGGAAGTACATGGTGCTCACGCTCGTCGACTTAACATTTGAAGTCGAGCTATTCCTCTTCAACTCCGGCTTCCAGCGCTTTTGGAAGCTAACCCCTGGCACTGTCGTGGCTATCCTGAACCCGGGAATCCTGCCTCCACCATCAGGGCGCGAGGCAACGGGTCGCTTCGGGCTCGTGATCAACTCGGACGAAGATACAATCCTCGAGATTGGAAACGCGCGCGACGTTGGCTACTGCAAGAGCATAAAAAAGGACGGTTCCTACTGCAAGAGTTGGGTCAACGCGCGCCGTACCGAGTACTGCGAGTTCCACACCAACGAGGCCGTCCGAAAAGCCCGTAGCTCGCGCATCGAGCTGAGCACAACCGCTGGTCTCGGTGGTGGCGACGGGCCGCGCGGGAGGAACAACTCCCGGCAAGGCTTCGGGAAAACCGATGAAGAGCGCCAACGCGGCCATTACGACCGCGCAACACAAAGCCAGTACTTTATCAGCAACGCATACCGTTCCACCGACCCGGACGACGAGCGAATAAACGGTATGGCGGACCGCAAAGAGCGCGAAGAAGGGCTCAAGCGACGCCTCGCCGAAAAAGAAAAAGAACGGGACATCGCCCGCCGTCTCGGCGAGATGGGAGGCGGCGCCGGCAAAGAATACATGTCTCGCGCAGCCTCCCGAGCTGCCTCCCGCGCGGGCTCCCGCGCCGCCGGCACAACAACAACCACAACCCGCCCAGGCCACATCGGCTCGAGCTTCTCCTCGGCGACCTCCTCCTTCACCTCGGCGCCCGTCTCCTCCGCCACCACCTCCGCCACCTCCCTCGGCACCGTCCCCTCCCCATCTACCGGCGGCATCGCCCTCCACGGCGCCAACGAACCCCCCCGCAGCAAATGGGACGCGCGCGCGCTGGGGCTGGTCGGCCGGCGCGGCGCAGACCAGCCCAAGATCAGCCTCGGCCCGGCGCCCACCGCCGCCAAGCGCAAGCGGCCCGAGTCGTCGGGGTCGTGCTCCACCACCACCGCTGGCGGCGGCGGCGCCCAGGGGGCGGCGAACAACAACAAAGCCCCGCTCGGCTGGGGGTCGACGCTGCACCACAAGCTGGGCAGGATGAAGGAAGGGGAGCGGCTGGATGGGCGGAAGGCGACGGCATTGCCGCCGCCGCTGCCAGATAACGGCAATAGCAATGGCAACAACAACAGCAACCCGCCGATTTTGAGTAGTTCGTTTAGTGGCGGCGGTGGTGGTGCTGCGGCGAGGAGGGGGGACAAGTCGCCGGTGCGGAAAAAGACGCGGTTCGTGACCGAGAAGGGCATACGCGAGGCCGGCCGGGACAGTCTGGGGGAGCCGTTGTCGGCGGCGCTCAAGACGCGGCGGCAGGTGGTGTTGGATGATGATGACGAGGATGATTTGATTATTCTGAAGTGAGCACATTTTGGGTTGGGAGGGTAGGGGTTGGGTGTATTCGGGAGTGGGTTGTATGTATGTATGGGTGTGTTTTGGGTGGGACGGGTTGGTTGGGTCGGGCTTGGGTTGCCGGTTAGAGGGCTGCTGGTCGGAAGCATGGCAGGCGTTGTGTGTGTTTGTATACAGCCCGGGCTCGGCTTTGAATTTATTGTTATTTGCATAGAATCCGACGCATGAATGTATGAACACTGCAGTTTCGCGTTTATCAGTTTGATTTCTTGCCCTTGCCTTGATCCTTCGTTGCCTTGATCCTTCGCTCATCATGTCCTTCCCCCTTCGTTGTCTTTTCCTCGAGCTTCTTGGCGAAATAAGTGTTCTCAAGAGTGAACTAACGCTAGTGTTGATTCTGAGTAAACGGCACTCGTAGGAACATAAGCCTATACAGACACAGCCTCGCTCATGTCCATGGAACCGACAACTTGATATGGATAGCTCAAACCACCAACTGCAAACAGCATATCTATGATCAACAAATCCGATAAACCCCCAATCCGCGCACAAACTAACCATGCATCCAAACCGGCTTACACGCTGCAGTGTCCAGTAACGCTACCAACATAACCATAGCCCAACCCGTCATAACCTAGGACATATCCATAACCTTTGACCCCGACTAACCATAGACGGGAAACCCAACAACAAACAAACCCACGCCTAACTCAATACCCGCCATCCATCATATCGTTCAAAATATCCCGCAACACCGGCTTACCCCTGAGCATAGCGCGCTCCCCGATCCTCGCCGCCTTTTTCGGTTCCACCGTCCGTCCCTTCTGACTCAACGGCCTATTCTCCTTCCCCTTGACCGCACCACCCCCACCCCCACCAGGGGGAAACAACAACCCCCTTTTCAGGCCAAGCCCCTTAAACCCATCCTCCTCCCCGGCACCAACAACAACGGAAGCACCACCCACCCTCGCCGACGCAGTCACGCTCCCCGTAACCTGCGTCGCACCACCATCCTCCCGAAAGAGATGCGCATCCAACGCGCCGGCATCCAAGTCATAGACCCAGTCCCTGTCCTCCATCAAACGCACAAAGCGCGCCAGCATCTCGCCCTCGCCACACCCGCCCAGGGTGGACCTGCTCCCGACGACGAGCAGCTTGGTCTTGGCGCGGGTGAAGGCGACGTTGATGCGGCGCCAGTCCTTGAGCAGCTCGCCGATGGCGCAGGGCTCGTTGCTGCGCACGAGGCTGAGGATCACGACCGACTTGTCGCGGCCCTGGAAGCGGTCCGCCGTGTGCATCTCCACGTCTTGCGCGGCGGCGGCGGCGGCGGCGCCGCCGGCTGCTGACGAGGCGCGGAGGGTGTGCTTCAGCAGCGCGAGCTGCGAGCGGTAGTGCGTGACCACGCCGACCTCGGACGGCGGGACGCCGACGGCGAGAAGGGCGTCGACGAGCTGCGCGACGACGCGTGCTTCGCACGGGTTGACGATGCGGTTGCCCTTGGCCTGCTCGCGGGAGTGGGGCAGTAGGGCGTCGGTGTTGACGAAGCGCACCCGGGAGCTCGGGTGGACGAGGTCGGCTAGCCAGCAGGCGCCGAGGCGCGATGCAGGGCAGAAGGTGGTTGGGCGGGGTTTGGAAGGGCTGCGGTTTTGTTGAGACTGGGACTGCGAATGGGAGATGAAGGAGGCAGCGTCGAAGTGCCGCGCGCTGAGAGCGCCCATGTTGGGGACGTGCAGTTCAGCGTGGCGGAGGGATTCAGTACCACATTTGAGACGCCCGTTGTAAATGAGGGTGTTGGAGAGGGTCATGATATCTTCAGACATGCGATATTGGTGTTCGAGGTTGACAACAGATTGCGGATGAGTGTCAGACAGAAGCTTAAAGAGAGAAACGTCGAGACCGCCGAGGCGAGCTTCTTCGTTTTGCACGAGCGGAGGCAGCTGGTTGTGGTCGCCCACCAGGACGAACGTTCGTGCCATCCGGATTGGGCCCAGGCAGATTGGGAGCGTGATCTGCGAAGCCTCGTCCACGATGCAGTAGTCGAAAGTGCGCTCGTTGAAGACCGGATGGCTGATTCCCAAGCAGGTTGTCGCCACGACTGGGGTGTCGTGCCAGGCGCGTTGTATCTCCTCAAACGAGTCCTTCCATTCACTGGCTAGCGTCGCGAAGTCCCGTACTTCCGGGTGAACCTTGGCGGGAGCACCCAGCCGTAGGATCGGGATGCTGTCGTCTTTGAGCTTGAGCAGAATATTGTCGACGGCAGTGTGCGTGTACGACGTCAATAGGAGTGTCTTGCCCTGGCCGATCAGAGCCCGGATAATATGAGCAATGGTCGTGGTCTTGCCCGTGCCCGGCATTCCGAGAACCAGGGCGTAGTCCCTGGCGCTCATGACTTTTTCGACCGCGGCCTTCTGGTCAACATTCAAGCTGTCCTTGCCCGGGACGGTATACTGGGTTGGGGTTGTCTTGAACGTCGGCGGAACAAGGTCGACGACTAGCCGGCGAATCTCGGAAGACCCGAAGGGGCCGTCAGCCATAACTTGGACGAGGTTGTTCCGCACCGTAGCCATGCCGTTGCTGAATTCGTCCTTGTCAAGACGGTAACGAATTGGTGCTTCCCTGATTTTGCCCTCACTCTGCTCTGCTTTCGCTCCCTCAGGAGCTACCTCCATGATACTTGCGAACACCTGATTGTCCACGTCGTTGAAACCTGGCTGCCGAATGCGCGCGTTGTGAAGCCGTCGGTCGACAGCGACACTGATTCGTTGTTTCTTGACGGCGGTCACGTAACCTAGCGCGAGTGCGAAGTGACCCTGCTCGTCCGATACCACGATGGGTTCTCCGACAACAAGCTGCGAGTCCAAGAAAGAGAAGCCGGGGGCCGAGTTCCCCTTCATGAAGGTGTAGGAAAAGCGATTGATCTTGAGCTGCTGCTTGTCTTCGGATGCGGAACCTTCCTCAATGATGACGTTGGCGAAACAGCGACCTACCTTCTCACGCTCCGTGCTGACCATAGTCCAAAGTTCCCGACGCAGCTTCTGACTCTCCTTTTCTTCTTTGGTAAGGAGGTCCTCCCACTTCAAGAAGAACTCTCGATGCGTGGGGGTCAGATGCTTGACCACCTCGTCAAACTTCTCGTCCAACCCGCTTGTCTCGCCGTTGCCGCTGTCGGCGAGCTTGTGGTAGGTGAAGCAGGATGTTTGGGCATAGCATTTGGCGCACGCATTCTTGCTTCTCTTCATCGGCGGAAGCTGGACGCTCCGTTCCCGAATGTAACAGGCTAACGTGTTCCGCCGCATGATCAAGTGTCGTAGCTCGGTACGAATAGCGGGAATCCGTAGGGTCTGTGAGGTCTCCGTGTAATACAGGATGCCATAAACAATCTCGATGTCGTATCGATCGGAAAGGAGGAGGTTGTACAGCACGGTCTGAGCTTGGTGGTTCGCTGTAGCGTTCCTTCCAGTCTTGACCTCGAAGGGCACTGTCAAAGTCTGAGATGTTTTGCCGTCCCGCATCGTGATTTGCACGGTGGCATCAATGTTGCCCTTCAGCCCGTACATGGGAGACCAAACATGTTCCTCGACGTCGAGAAGTTTGCTCACACACATATTGACTCGCTCGCTGCCCCTCCCTTGTACAAATGCGCCAGCCTTGGGGCTTGCGGCTACAAAAGCTTGTGCCCAAGTCCGTAGCTCAGGCATCTTGGAGAGTACGTGGGCATGGGCATCTTCGAAGGTGACCTTGATGACGTAGAGATCCTCTATGTGCTTTCGTAGTGTCTTGCTGATAACAGACCCCAGAAAGCCCAAGTCCCAGTTATTCGCCATTAAGGCCTCCTGGAAGATCTCGTGGAGAATGGTGCCGTAAACCAATGGGGGAGACGCCTCGCTGGTGGCTTTCACTCGGTCTTGGAGAACAGCACGGCGCATGCAGGTAATTGAGTCGGCCACGACGGTAGAAGAGACCAGCTGGTCGGGGTGTAGGATGAGGGTATTGTGGTTGTTGTCAATGATACATCTGCCGGAAGGCTCGAAACTTCCGATGATATGGACGTAGGCTCTAGGGCTGGCTTCGGTGTCGTACCAGTCGCCTCTGAGATGGACCGTCTTGACGGCGTTTGTTCTCTCAGCCTGTACAAGGAGGATCTGAGCCGAGTCAGCACGGTACTTTGAGAGAAATAAGAGTCCTTTTCACCTTCTCGGGGTATTCTCGTTCATGTTCATCGAAATAGGAGTTTTCGAGCACATCCGTGATCAAGTACCGCTGGATCGCCTTGGGTTTCTGGCTGGGCTGTCCAATGCTTTAGTGTTTCGTCGTTATTTTTTTCTGCTGGCTACCCTGCGGTACGTACATTGGTCGCGAAGGGTTGAGCGGTTGCCTGTGTAGCTGCTAGGTCGACGGCATCAAAGTCGGCGTCGTCAAAATCATCACCGTATGCAGTATCGTCTACCCAAGCATTGGCTGGCTTCTGTTGCTGCCCATGGAAAGGGTTTTGAGACGCATGCTTTGCCTCCACCTCGGCTACCAACTCTTCGGCCCCGTCAAGAAAGTCATCATCAAAATCACCAAAATCGTCGCCAGCCACCTTGGGCGGGGGAGGAGCTTGATGGTTCAGTTCTTCCGAGGGCGCGACCATAGTAGAGTCGTCTCCCTGTACCGAAATGCTCGCATCAAGCCCCAGCAACGTTTCGTCGTCGAAATCGTCATCCCCGTAATCAGAAGAGGCCTTGTCTCCAAAGGGGATTCCAGCATCGGATTCTTCTGTTCTTACCCCCGTCGACTTCTTGGCCAACGGAGAGCTCCCTTGCGGTCGCCGTGAAGGTGACTGTCTGATGGGGCGCTGGACAGTCGGGGATTCTCTCAATGGCGACCGCTTCTGTGGTGAAGGTGGTTTTAGCTGGGTCGATTTTGACTTGATTTCTCCGTTGACAGTCTCCAATAGGGCCGACACCATGGATGATTTGGAGTCCGGCTGGGTCTTCGCGGTAGCGATATCTCCCATGTCCGCATCAAGGCGCTCAACCTTTCGTCGTTTGGGCCAGTGAGCACCACAGCTGATTGCCTTCCTCAGGGGTCTTTCGCTGCCTAGTGCACCGCCATCCTTGAGACGGGGTGAGGATGAGACCATAAGCTGGGCAAGCAACGGATTTGTCAAGCCGGACGGGCTAGCATTTGCCCCGGGAACAGAAAAGCGATCCCACAGTTCCGTTGCCGGATCGGCACGGGGTGTTTTCAGGACCCGGGCCAGCTTCTTGGAGCCGACGGCAGGGGTGGCATGCTTGGAAGCCGGAGACGATATGGGCGACGAGCTTCTTGCGCGCTTTCGGCCCTTGCGCGGGATCAGCGGGGACATGGCCACGGGATGGTCGGCATTGTGGTCATTGCGCCAGAGGATGCGCTCGCCGGGGGAAAGGTTCTCGTCATCCTTCGGCGCTTCGGGCTTGCTGAGGAGGTCCTGCCACGCGGTGCGGCCGGCCGGCGTCACAGCATTGATAACCTTGTCTGGTGCCGGTGGCGAGGTGTGTTTGGATGTCGCGGTGTCGAGGTCTGCATCGGAGAGCGTCTCGAATTGGAAGGCCTGGAGCTTTGTCTTCGTTTTTGTCGAGACGGGGAAGGGAGGTGGAGGGACGATAGTTCGTGGCGCGGGGTTACTCTTGGATCTCTGCCATTGTGGACGCTGTTGATGCTAGCATTAGCATTTATCAACACCCAAATTCATTGCTGGAAACATGGGTTCTCGGACCTTGGGACCTCTGTTCTGCTCAGAGAAGGACTTTGTAAGAGGCATTGCTCTTTTGGTTGCGCCCGGCGCAGAAATGCAGGTCTATGTACAGTGTACAAACGCGTCTGAATTTGACGATGATCACATCTGGTCGCGGAAATCGAAGGTGACTAGAATACAAGATGGTGCTGGTGTTGAGGGAGCCTGTGTTCTTCGACTGCCCCTGCATTGAAAGGGATTAACAGCCGACAAAAGGTGGGCAGGTGGGAAGTGGACCATTTGGGGGGGGTTTGCCTGGTTCATCAAGCAATTGACAAGGGTCTCAGTGCAGAAGACGCGTAGCGCGTTTATGAGGGTGGGATCGAGGGCAGGAACGCGACTGGTCGCGCCCCACCACCCGGACTGGCAGCCCAGACCGATAAGATAAGCGCTTGAACAGGGGACCGCAAGCTCCGGCACCTTGGGAGCTGCCCTGGGGCTGCATCACCACTTGCTCCACAACACTGCATTGAAGCCTCGAACATCGAACATCGAACCTTGGAAATACGGAATTCCACACCCAACACTCAGACCCGACCGAAAACGCGAAGTCGTAGAAATGCGCTATTATCAGGAGAACTAGCGATACCCTGCAAGAAGACCATCAGTGGCATCCACAGCACAGCGCATATACGAGGGCGATTGGCGGGGTCGGGTTCGAATTCTACAAATAACTTAGACCCATTTAACGACGCCATGGACGAGTATCCTGCCGGCAGTTTGGACCATAGTATCCCATATCTGCTTACATTAGGGACCCGGACGGGCACGCCGTACGATTCCGGGCTGAGTGCCGCCCTCAAGGAACAGGCCGTACTCATCAGATCCGAACTCCCTCCCCTCGAATCCGACCAGGCGCAAGCACTGCTGCGTTACATCCAGGACCGTGATGCCTCCCAAATACCCTGCAATGGAAGAGATGCGTCTGAGAGGAAATACCGGTTTCGGATCAAGTCGGCTGAAAGGGTGGGTGCTTCACCAAACCGCCAGGCGTGTGTGTTTTTGTACCAACCCCATTTCTGACTCGGTCCCGTTAGTCACTTCTTCTACCACCACGCCGTGCCCGCCTCCCTGAAGGTATCGAGTCTCCGCCTCCTTCGGCCGTGCTTCACTCGCCCTACTCCCCTCTAAGTCCTATCTCGTCTCTCTATCCCGACGGTCTCATCGACACGCAATGGATCCGCAAACATCAAGACCTCGTCCCCGCTGTCCTCCTCTGTTGCTACACCCTCACATCCGACCCGAGCCTTGCAACATTATGTGACAACCAGATAAAGACCGATGTGAACAATATCAGAGCGCTCTTGAGCCAGTCCGGTTATAAGACGCGGCTGGCGGTTGTGCTCCTGAGCGACCATGTCTCTCCTTCGTCTTCCATTGATGGCGTCCAGGACCGGTTAGAGATTATTCGCAGGGGCTGTGGTTTGGATTCAAAGGCATTATTCCTCGTTCCCTCGAGCAATTCCCAAGAGGAGCTCGAGCGCGTCGCAGAGAACATGCTTACGACGCTCTATGTGGTGTCCGTCGAGTATTACCGAGATCTTGGGAGGCATTCCCGAAAGAAGAGGGGCAGAGGCATTGTCCCTCAGCCGACAATTCCCCCAACCTCTGGTACCTCACAAACGCTCTCGTTAGCTGGCTGGAACGTTCGGTATGACTTCAAGTCGGCTGTTTTTGCCGAATTCCGCCTGGAAATGGATGTTGCCTTGCGCTCTTATGAGCAAGCCTACGAGAACCTGCTGAGCTCCGAGTTGATGGAGCTCATCCCCAGCTGGAATCCGCGATGGAATGAAGCCAGGTTCCTAGCCGATGTTATCGCCGTGCGCTGTCTGCGGTGCTTATTGTGGAACGCCCAGCACAGTGCAGCCGCCCGGAGGTGGCTTTCTCACCGTGAAAGGATAGCCGACTTCGTTGACCGCAGGGGGAGGGGCACCAACAATTACGGTTGGGAAGCTTGGGAGGCTCGATGGGCCATCGTCATGGCTGATCTCATCGACAAGATCGATATACCGGAGCTTTTCCCTGTCACGCTCAAACTCTACCTCCCGCCAGAGAAGAGCATAATGGGGGAGCGGCTACAGCCTTGGGAATTACTTCATCACCCGGGGTACTGGTACCGTCTTGCCGCGAAACACTTGCAAGCGCGGAAGGCCTTTGCGCATTCGATCCCAGAAGATGACAGGAGATCGCCGAGCGACTCACCCGCCTCCCACGTCGCCAAATCTGCCTTCACATACGACACGTACATGTGCCCTGACCCTTACGAGGAATACCCGTTAGGCCGTCAAGGCGTAAATCATGCCAAGATGATCACTGACTGCTTAATGCGAGCTCGCGCAGAATTCTTGAAGCGACGTCAAACACGTTATGCCGCGGAAGTGTCGTTGGAATGCGCCAGAGAGCTTGCTATGGCTGATGACTGGCAGGGAGTTTTAGAGCTCCTGCGCCCTATGTGGAAAGAATTATCGTTTCGAGCTGAGGGATGGATTGCCATAGCTGAGGAAATCAACTGGGCTCTCAGGACCGCGGCTGCGGAGGTCGGTGACGCCGAGTCGGTGCTCCTCGCCGATTGGGAGCTGCTCTCACGAGGTATGTCTTTCCCATAGGCGGTCCCTTGATCTAAGACCCGAACCGTGTTGACTCGGTGTAGACTTCGCGAAACGCCCGAACTGGCATTACGATATCACGCGATCCCTGGAAGACGTCACGCTCACCTCCAAGCCCAATGTTTCAATCAGGGATGGGCAGCTCGTATCTTTCATGTCCGCCTCCTTCCTCTTTCAAAGTGAGGAGGGAAAGGCCGGGCAAAACGTTCGCGGTCAGCTATCGATCAAATCAAATGCCCACCTGGGGTCGGCGCCCGTCGTTCTCAGCACTGTCTACCTCAGCTTTGACGGCAGCTTGGATGGCATCATTCTACGGCACCACGACAACGGGCGAACAGCGCTGCAAAGTCAGGGTAAAGCGGCCCTGGCCACAGTATCCTTGACTAGGCAGGCGGATGGCGATGGCTCCCAGCCAGCCGCGCCAGCCGAAATTAGTAGCGGCGTCACACTCGTCGGATCTGCCGACTTGACATTGCGGCCGGGCCAGGCTCTTGTTTTCAACATGCAGATACCCCTGCGGGAGCCTGGCGAAACACGCGTAGACTCTCTCACTGTCAATGTTGGGTCTGAGACTTTTGACTTGCGGCAATCGTTGACCTTCCAGGAAAGGGGAAATACTAACCTCTGGTACATCTCTCCCTCCAATACCAAATACGTCGCACATCCCCAACCCCTCGTCGTTCGAGTCCTACCAAGACCTCCCAAAATGGAGGTCAGGTGCCCGGCGTGGAAGGAGCAGTACTATACAGACGAGCCGATGGACCTCGAGTTTGAAGTCGAGAATGGCGAGGACATCGAGGCTCTGGCCAAATTAGACGTGGTTTTATTTGGCGAGAAGCCACCGCTATTTACGACGTCTATCCCCGAGCACGAGGACCAGACATCGTCGAGCATTCGCAGCGAAGAAACTAGGATCTCTGGGGCGCCAATGGGCACCATCGGGAGCCTCAAGTCACTCACTGTCCGCATCCGGCTACCACCGATCGAACGCTCAAGCCGGTACGACTTGACGCTCAAGGTTACCTACTTCCTACCGACCAACCCCGGCACGCCCATATCACAGACTGCCGTCTTTCAGCTCAACGTCGTCAACCCCTTCGAAGCTAACTACGACTTCCTTCCACGAGTCCACCCCGACCCCTGGCCAAGCCTCTTCGATCCCGACAACATTGCCCTCCCCATCACCAGCGATAGCGACGACGTCACTCCCCAGCCCCCCTCCGGCATCTCCCAAGCCTGGTCCCTCGTCACCCGCTACGCCTCCTTCGCCTCGGAACCTCTCCGGGTAACAGATGTCGACATAGTAATCCAACCATCCGCCACATCCCGCTGCGCGACCACCACCAAATACACCAACATCCCCACCTCAGGCGCCGGCCGCCTCGTCAACCCCAAAACGATCGAAGAAGCCACCTTCGACCTCTCGGCTCAAAAGCTCACCGTCGACGACCGCAGCCACGCCCCGCTCGACATATCCCTCATCATCAAATGGACCCGCGCCGACACCCCCACCAACCCAGCAGCCCTAACAACAACAACACCAAACACCACCTCCCTCCCCATCCCACGCTTCACCCTCTTCGGCACCGAACCGCGCGTGCTCGCATCAGTCACCCACCGGCGCCGCCGCGGCGGCGGCAGCGGCAGCCCGCCCACCAGCGCCACCACCACTACCACTCCCTCGGCGCCGGCCATCCCCCTAATCACGCTAACCATCACCATCGAGAACGCCTCCAACCACTTCCTGACCTTTGGCCTCGCCATGGAGCCCAGCGAGGCCTTTGCCTTCTCTGGCCCCAAGCTCACCACCGCCAGCCTGCTGCCTGTTTCGCGCCGCGCGGTTGAGTACAGGCTGCTGCCGTTTGACCTCGCCGCTGCCGCTGCCGCGGGTGGGGATGGGGTTGGGGCTGGGGCTGGGGAGGGTGGTAGTAGTGGTGAGGGTGCGGGGGTGGAGGAGCGGGTGGATGGGTGGTGGATCCGGCCGGGGCTGGTGGTGCGTGATAAATACTTCCAGAAGGTGCTGAGGGTGATCGCGGCTGGGGAGGGGGTGAGGGGGGGGAAGGAGGGGTTTGAGGTTTGGGTTCCGAGGTTTTGAGGTCTGGATTGTGAGGTTAGTTGGAGGGGACGGGGGATAGGTTTTGTTTTTGGGGTGGTGGTAGGGTATGGAATGGGTGGTTTGTTGGTTGGTTGGTTGGTTGGTTGGTTGGCTGGGTAGGGGCAGTGGTGATGGCAGTTAGGGTGTTGTTTGTGTGGAGTTTCTAGAGTTCGAGTTATCTAGGTGCATGTTGTGTTAAATTTGGGAAGGCTTTATCTGATGAGCAGGCATTAAATTATCTGACTCAAGGCAGCGACTACGTTTTGACCATGACCCTCGTCCATCTTGTTGAATGGTAGCTGTTTGCTTAACCTCCCTCCTTCCCATTCGACAGATGGTGGACATTAGACTTGACGGCTTTAGCATGACTAGATGCCACGAAAACAGGAACGAGCACGTATTCTTGACGATATTTGAAGAGGTCTAAAGGGGAAATCGGGCGAGTCCATCCCGGTTATTTCGCAACTAATAATTCAAATGTCCATATTTGTACCGGCATCACCAGCAATTATGACCAATATCCACTATGGCTGTGAAATTGTTCAACAACCAAGAAACTGTAGCTCCCTCCATTTATAGCAATACTCGAATTGATTTGTCTATATTACTGATGACATCGATAACGATAGAAGCGCAAACGAATGGCTTTTTGTCTCGCTGCGGTAGCAAATAGCTTAGACAGAGGAAGAAAGAGGTGAGAAACAACCGCTGGCTAGCCACGCCACCCGCCTAGTCTATCCCTCTTGAACCGTTCACTAAGCCGGCTGAGGTGCCCTGCTTTAATTCTCCTCCACCTTCACGGGCTCCACCTCCTGGTGCCCCTCGTCCTTCTTGATCTCTTCCTTGATTAGGGTTTCGCCGGCCATATTGGTCGCAAGGGACTTGGTCTCTTGCCCCTCCGGCTCCGGTTGGGCGTCCGACCCGGATTCGGGCACAGCCTTGGTCTTGACTTCAGGCTCCGGTTTGGGTTCGGGGTCAGACTTTGCCGCCGCGGGTTCAGGCTTTTCCTCGGCTTCAGACTCAGGTGTAGTTTTTGGCTCTGAAACCTCTTCCTTTTCTGACTCGACCGTGCCCTGCTCGTCTTCCTTTCCTTCCTTCTCTCTAGGAGCGGCGGCAGTGATGGCCCCAGGCGTAACCACGTCCGTCGTCTCCTTGACGGGAGTCTCTTCCGTCTTTGTTTCCTCCGTCTTAGGTTCTTCCACCTTGGATTCCTCCGCTTTAGGTTCCTCTATCTTCACCTCCCCCGCCGCAACCTCGGGTTCAGGTTTGAACTCCGCCTCTGGCCGGGCCTTGTCCACCACCCCCGCACTCAACACGCCCTCGTCCGGATCGATCTCAAAGAAAGTAACCGCCGACACAACCGCAGACGCAACCTGCGACTTCTCCTCCGCCTTCACTTCAGGAGAGGCCACTGCCGCTGCCTTGGTAGCAGGGGCCCTCCGCTGCGGGCCCCTGGCACGCCCCTTGCGCGCATCGGTAAGCGGTACCTTCTCTTTCGGAGCCGGGGCCTGCCCTTCATCCTCCGGTGATGCTTCCTGCTTCGAAGGCGGCGCCTGCGGGCCCAGCTTCAGACGTTTGTTCAGGTCGCTCATGAAGCCGGCCTGCAGGGCGGCAATCTTGGAGCCCATCGGACGGGCGGGCACCGCTGGTTTCTGGCGGGGTGGGGCCGCACCTTCGGCGGGCTCGGGGCCGCCCGGTGTTGGGCTGGCTTTGGCGGGGCGGGCGGGGATTTGTGGTTTCGGGCGGCCCGGGACCGCCGGCTTGTCGTCGGCTGAAGGCTGTCTCGGTTTAGGCCGGCTCGGGATCGCGGGCTTCTCGGCAGGTGAAGGCGCGTCCGGGGATTTTACCTTGGGTTCGGGCCGCCCGGGAACGTTGGGTTTCTGGACGTCTACTGGTGAGGGCGATGGAGCCTCGTCCTGTTGCGGTGTTGAGACCGTGGTCTCTAGGCGCAGGCTTTCCGGCGCATCCTCCCAAACGTCGCGGCTGGGGAAGCGCTGTTGCATGGCTGGGCGGGCGGCAGACTTTTCGGGGGCGGGGTGCTTTTGGTTCTGTGGCCATGGGGCCTTTTGCGTGGCGCGCTTCCCGTGGGATTCCTTCTCGGCGAGCTCTTCCTGGTAACGAGCGAAAGCCTGGACTGGGGTCTCGCCCTCCCTTGGTGGTGGCACAGCGTTCCGGGTTGGTTTCTCTTCCCCGTCCGCGAACTCGGGGGTGGAAACCTCGGCCGTTTGGAGAACACTGCCGGGCGCATCTTCCCAAACATCGGCACTGGGGAATCGATGCGGTTGGGTTGTCCGGTGGTTATCTGTGGTTGTGGGCTTCTTTGCATCTTGATTTTCGTCGTCTTCAAACAGCGGTTCGTACTCTTTCACATCCTCTAGGGGCGTGTGCTGGAGCTCAAACGAGGTCTCCTTGTACAAACTGGTGGGCCGACTCGTCGGACGGGTCGAAGGACTCTCCAATCCGGAGGCGGGCGACTCGGCGGGATTCTTCGCAACGTCGTCGTCAGCTAATATGGGAGCCGTATACGGGTGGTCCACCTCGTCGGCCGTCAGCGACTCCGTCTCACCAGCCATCACAGACCGCCTCCGAGGCTCGTCGATGTAGATGGATGTCGATTTGGGCTCCGGGGACGCTATCCTGGATACCGACTCTTCGAGTGCTTGCCAACCGACCTGTTCGCTGGGCGTGCCGGTATGGTTCTTGGTACCTGAAGAGTACCGCGTTAGCCCTCACGATAAAGAAACCAGGGTTGGCTCGGCACAGTGACTTACTAACACCACCAGAGCCGCGGCTCGCCGTCTCCTTGACAATCTTGTTGAGGTCGTTTTGACTCATAGAATAGTCATTCGGGCGGTCGTAATGGTGCGGCATGTGTTCCTTCTTCAGAAGATCTGGGTGCTTTTCATAGTAGGCCTTCTCGAGCTTATCTTGTGGTGCCGCGCCGTGACCATGCAAGCCGTAGCTGCCAGGCGGTGGGTTTCCATGTGCAGATGTCTTCCGAACATGCCTGCCCTTAGAGCCCTCGGACGTTGAGGGGGCGGGCGAGGGAGCCTGGACGTCGCCGGCATTTCTGTACATGGGCACCTGCTGACCGATTTCGGGAATCCCCTGCTCATCGTCGATATCTCTCTCGGTCCCAGACAGCTGACTGGCGGTACTCGCTTTCTTCTTGAGGCTGCGGTTTGACGGCAAGGCGGGGGTCGAGTCCTCGGCGCTGCTCGCGCGTCCGATGCCAAACGAGGCGGCCCGCTCACTGTCGGTGCGGGTAACGGCTTGAACCCGCTGCTTTGCACTGGACGCAGGCAAGGACGGCTTGGGGGCGTGAAGTTTGAGGTCTTCAGCCACAGTCCGAGTTTGCTCAGGATCGGCGCTCGTATCCTCGGAGGATCTTGTCTCATCGGCTATGGCAGCGTATTCCTTGCCCTCCTCGCCGACGGACGGCAGTTCAACCGAGTTGGGGCGGTGGATGGGCTCGTCATCGTGGGTACCAAGAGGGCCGAGATTCGATGGCTTGGGGGACTTGCTGAGGAAGCCGGGCTCGTTCAAGGGTGACGGTGCGAAACGGTCGGGATTCGGGCTGACGGAGCGCAAGCGCCGGTTCGTGGGGCGGGGAGGGATCATCGGGGTCAAGGTCTGGTCTTGAGCCTTGGACGGTCTCGGGGGTATGACTGGGGGTTTTGTTGTAGCAGGCATGGTGGGCAAGAAGGTGGAAGTCGACTGATTTGACTATGGAGATAGGTAATGGAGACGATTGCGGCTGCCGTGGCTAACTGCCTAGGTAGATATGTGGTGATAAGGTAGGTCGAAGGTGGGGAGGAAGGCACAGGAGGCAGGTCTCGAATGTCTAAATTGACAGGCTCTAATTCTGGTTAGCTGCCGCACAACAATCAACAAAAAGATACGTGAGAGGCTGTGCGGGCGGCAATGCGAGATAAGGCCTCTTCGCCGTTGAAGCCCCCGGGTCTTGGGCGGTAACACCAAGGTCGATTCCGGCTTGTTTTAGTTATCAGGTGCAGCTGATAACGGCAAAACACCAGACTGGGGCGGCTGGCGGCCGGCAAGGTGCGCCAGATATGGACCCGGTACGGATTGCCATGATAGTCACCGCTGGCTGTCATAATTCTTTTGGACAGGGTAGACTTCCGTTCTTGCAAGGGGAGGGACAGTGGCAGGTATCATGTAGGTTGGCGGCGTACTTACCAGCAGTAGAGGGGGTCTGAAAAGGCAGCCTGTATGTAACTTAGGGAGTGATAGTCAGAGTTTAGTATAGAAGAAACGGAAAAATCCAACAATAACAAAAACAAAGGCGGCAAAATCCAATTGCGTGTTCAGGCTCAAAAATCATGGACTGTTGGTGGTTTGCCGTGGTCCTGAAGCTGATGATGAAACTGGGTTGCGATCAGGGAGACAGGCCCGAGCTCATCGCTTATTATACCGCTCAGCATCCGCTTTTTCGTCATCAGCTCGAAGACAAATGGCTCCGTTTGGACTGTGCGAGTGTCCTGATGGACCCTTGCGAACATGATCCGCTGCTCCAATACCAGTGAATGCCTCATTGTCGTCCCGTCTCAACAGGGGTTCTCCCACATCTTGGGGCCCAGAACACTGGCAGCTGATCCAGTTGCAGCTGCACGCAGCAAGGAAAAGGCGGGGACCACACTGTGCGGGATGATGATACCTCCGGACCTACATAGCAGTTACATTGGAGCTCAAAGCTATCTACCTAGATATTCCATGGGAGCTCACAAAGTCTTTAACTCGGCCTGACGTGAGAGTAGCTATAGGTAGAAGATTTCCCCAACATATAACAAAACGACGAGCTCGTCCCCACGATGTAGAGAGCGAAGGGCAGAAGCTGCACACTGTGCGCCGCCGTTACCCCCACCATCTCCACCGCCAACTTCGGGGTCGGGTGCCAAGGTGTCGTTTTCGATCTTGGGACAAATGGCAACAGTATTTCCTCGGCTAGCTGTGAGGCCAGGGTGTTATGACGACGGCGCTATCGACTTCAGGACTCGAACTAAGAGATTGGACTGTTAGAGACCCGTCACGAGGAGTTGCAGGATTATGCATAAAATGGCGGGGCATCCGACACGGCGGGGTCTGATCAGCTTCGAGGGTCCAACACGTAAGCTTCCATTGTTGAGGTAGATACCTAGGTACCTTAGTAGGGAGCTCGAAAAACAAGAAGGGGACCGACTAGCAACGGCAAAAGCCAACAGATATCTCAACGAGAGAAAAGCCCCTTGTCTCATTAAAGGAAGCCATAGACGCCATAGAACCCCCTTCCTTTTTAACAAATACAAAACATGGATAACCGACACACAAAATCATGCTGTCGTCTCATTGTCTCTCGTTGTCCCTACGCAGCTCGCGCGCAGCTCATCACCCCGCCTCTTCCCTCCTCACTCACTGTAGCCAGCCGCTGGTAAGAAAGGCGAAGAAAGGCACCAGGCCCTCCATCATCTGCCTCCTCGCCTTTCCCCCCTAGGCCTCGCCTCTGTCCCACCCTGTAACCAACCAACCACTCCCCATCCTCACCCCCGTCCCTCCCCTCCCCTTAAAAACCCGCAACGAACCGAGCCGAGTGTCACACACACATAAAACCCCCGCTCATACGATCATCTGGGCGACGCCGGCGCCGCCGAGGGTCTTGCTGCCGACGAAGGCCTGGCCCTTGATGCCGGCGAGGAGGTAGCAGATGCCCGTGAGGGAGAGGAAGACGGCGGCGGCGATGAGCGAGGTGGCGCGGTCGATGAGGGTCAGCCACTGCACGACGGCCATGATGGCGTAGGCGGCCGCGCGCATGTAGTTGGTCGTGATCTTGCGGATCGCGTTGTCGAACTTGGACGACGTCGGGCAGATGCGCAGCAGCAGCGGCACCTCGATGAAGAGGATCACGAAGGAGGAGGCTCTGTTTTTGGGGGGGGAGGTGGTGGTGTGGTTAGCCGGGGGGGTTGGTTTCTTGCGGGGTGGTGGGGTGGATGGGAGGGGGAGGGGGAGGGGGAGGAGGGGTGTTGGACGTACAGGCATACTGCGCTGAGGATGATGATCAGCACGCGGAGGGTGAAGAGGTTCGCGATGCCGAGCGCGAAGCAGAGGATCATGGTGAGGATACCGAGCCTGTATGCGCCATGTAATGGTTAGCCACTAAGTCTACGGCGGCATTCAAAGCTCTGTTGATGGCCTGTGCCGGTGGTATGGGGATGGTGTCGCGCCCGTCGCGGGCGGGTGCTTCGAGTCGCGTGATAACGAGGAGGGTGCTCACCATTGCCCGTAGATACCTGCAATGAAGCGAGTCAGCAACCCATTTCATAACAAAAGTTCCCAGCCCGGTGTCGGTGTGCTCCCGAGCTGAACTGATCCCGGAAGAGATACGGCGGGGACATACTGAAGTTGCGCGTCGCGAATTCCTCCTTCAACGTCATCTTGCCGGTGCTCTGGGAAGGATGTCCTCCGACCAAACAAATCCGGGGCGTTCGATAAACCGGCCTGTTCCTGGTATCTCAGGTCTGGCAGCGATCACTAGCCTGCGGTCGACAGTCGAGTCTCCCGAAGCGATTCCCGTCGCGCGAGTGCTGTGACTGCCCGGTGATGTTGATGTTGATAGTCTGCTCGATGCGATGCGATGCGATGCGCTGCGATGCACGAGTGCCTACTGTGGTTGCCGCGCAAGAACACAATCAATGGAATCGATCGATCGGGATCTAATTAACGGTGGCTCCGGGCTTTGTCTCGCAGGGGTCCTGTCAAAGGAAGCTAGATGCTGAGGTTTTGGTTAAAGCAACACAGTCGCTTGTCGTTGTTGCTTGTTGGCCCAAAATATTCGCCCGGTTCTTTCGTTCGATAGGTAACGTAAGCTCCCCCAAAAAGGCCAGCAGCAATGGAAACACAGTGACACAGTACTTCCATGGTAACATGTTGTCCATTTTGGCGGCCGAGCAGGCCGGATGGGTGGGGATCTCGCCAAGTGGGGCTGTGCTGAAACGGCGCTGACGATTGGTTCCCTGGTTGCTTCCTCAACCCACAACCCAACGGTCTTGCGCGTTTGCGGTCGGAAGTCGGAACTCGGAAGGAAGGGACGCGCCATGGTGAGCTGCTAAGCCCTGCCTGCGCTTGACTTCCAGGCTGTTTCTCAGGTCGACTTTCCATGCTTGTACTTGGTAATACCGTCTCATCTCATGATCAATAAAGTCACTAGGAGGTGCCTAGAGCTGGTCAGCAGCAGCTTCTTTATCGATGGGCTCACAGATCACCCCGTAATTGCTCACGTTCAACAGTTTGATTCCCCTAGAACAAGGAGATTAATCAATAATTATTGGGAACTCGACGAATGTTGAGCGGGAGGCCACCCCACGCGCGCCCGACAGGTTGTGTTTATTCCCGGGCAAAAAACAAACAGCTTGTGACACCTACGAAGTACAACGAGCGATCAGTTGGGGATTCAGTCCCTTCACCCACAACACGTCCGGGGAGCAAGAGTATTCCAGCTTGGCTTCCCCCACAACTTCACTCACCGTACATACAATGCTTCTTGTCGTTTTCGAAGAGCCACCGCCCGTCCAGCAAGCCGAACACAATGTCTAGCCTGTAGAGCCAGGTGGTGAACTCGACGAGAGCGAATAAACCACCCACACGCAAGAGGCGCTGCGAGTTGGAGCAGGACACGGCGAGGCTCTTGGAGGCGTGGATGCAGTTGGTCGACATCACCCCGTCGAACCGGTCCTGGAGTTGCTGGGGCGGCGCGTTCCCATGTCGAGAACGGGGTACTCGATGTAGTCCGCCGGGAAGTGTTTCGTGTCGGTTCTTAGCCGCCGCCGACAAAAAAAGAAAAAAAAGAACCCCAAGACGTCGGTAACAACGTACTCGAACAGGATGCCGGCCTCCATGAGCATGTCGAACACGAACTACGTCGTGCCGCCTAGCCTGGCGCCCACCTTGAGGATCTCGATGCTGCGGTTCTGCTCGCGGGATATCCGGGAGAAGACGCTCTGGAGGAGTGTTACAGGGAGCCTGGAGGCGACCACCGGCATGGGGGCATGTTTGGTGTAGGAGTCCTGCACCAAGCACTTGCTCTTGCCGAACAGCAGCAGCCTGATGGGGTCCGCCTCGCCCCGGCCGCGAGGCATTCCGCAAACTGCCAACCCGTGACATGGAAAAGGCGGTGCGTGTTCGCATGCAGGGGGTGCTCCCGGATGAGCTTCTCATACGTAGATGGGCCCGACTGGCGTTATGCCGACCGGTGTGACCGTGCGTACCGACGCAGCGGTCGCCACCCTGGTGATCCGCAAAGCCGCCATTCCCGGGGATATCAAAGACAGCCCCGCGAGGTGGGTTTGATGAAAGGCCAAGTGCTACGGTCGATGATACTCTCAACATCCACGAGACCTCCGGGCTGATAAACTCTGAGAGAACGGGGATGAACAGTTACTCGCCGTTCCAGACTTCCTTTCCACTTCAGCGCCACTGGCGCCGTCTCGAAAGAGTGTAAGTAGCAGGGAGCTTGATTCCGGTGCGATCTTTTACCATCTCAAGCACGTTCATAATCGCCAGAGGGTCCAGGGAAAGGTCCATGAAAACGACTCCAACATCGGTAACATCATATCCGCGTCCGGTTTCGCTCGTGATAACGCCACATAACTAGGGTTTTGGGAATTTCCGCCCAGAGGAAGTTTTCCGCACTCGAGGCTTGTCGTTGAATGGTCAGTGGATCATTGTGATGAAAAGACTTGTGAACCGGGGTCAGGGATAGTATCCCCCACGTTTGTTTTCCCCCATCCTTTTTTTTATTTAGTTTACCCGACCATATTTTCGCCTTTCTTTTCTCTTATTGAATCTCTCTCCTCGCCCTATTTGGAACAAGCCACCTTCAATCACTGAGCTGAGAGCGGAGCGAGAAACATTTCAGCCGGGGATCAGCACCCAACAAGAAATCGGGGATCGACGGGGCAGGGTCTTTTTATTCGTAGTCCCTTTTTTCGACCACGTTTGTACCAGTACATGGCAGGGACACACCATCTGAGACATTCCACAGCGGTGCTTTTGACCGCTTTCTGTCTCACAATATTTGGACGATCCGTTGTTTTATGGCATAGTGACTGCCATGTGTAACTTGTCAAGTTGTCGCGATAACCAGGTAAAAATATTCCTTGCCGTGGGCGAGCTAATCAGCTGTGAGGCTATCAATGCCGCCGGGAGGACGCGAGGATCAACATGCCTCAAAAGAGGTGATTCCGTGAATATGCATGTAGCACTCTTGACCGGGGGCGAGTGACCACTCGAGATAAAAACCACTCTGCAGCCGGCCTTGACACTTGAATCACTTTTCCAGGCATTGTCGCCGTGAGAAACGTCAAAGATGGCTCGCATGAATCTCTTGCTGCCGCTGGCATGTGCCGCTTTCTCCCAACTGGCATGGGCCGCCAAAGTCCACGAGACCTTGCGTCTCACTTGGGAAGAACATGCTCCTAACGGCCAGGCAAGGGACATGATCTTGATGAACGGACAGTTCCCGGGGCCGCAGATGGTATGGACCGAGGACGATGACATTGAGGTATGTTGAGTCTGCTGTCTACATGGAGAGTTCCAAGCCCTCTTCGAGCATCTGTCCACTAACTGCTCCCACTTACAGGTCGTTGTGCACAATGACATGCCCATGAATGCAACCGTCCACTGGCACGGCATTGCGTAAGTGACGCCCGTAACTGCAGGGCTGCCAACATCGTCCCTTGCTTGCTGACACCGAACTTCGTCTCAGCCAAACGGGCACCCCGTGGTCCGATGGAGTGATTGGGCTCTCCCAGCAGCCCATCCAGCCGGGCGAGTCCTTCGTCTATAGGTTCAAGGCTTCGCCACCGGGCACGCATTGGTACCATTCCCACGAGCATTCAACGTTTGAAGATGGGCTCTACGGGGCCATCTTCGTCGAGTAAGGCTTTCCCTAGTCGCCCCCCCCCCTTTGGTGGTAGCGATACTGACTGAGATGTTTTAGGCCGAAGAAGGACATGACGGGGCTATGGTCTCAAATCAGTGAGGACCCGGAAGAGATCGAGGCTATGAATAAAGCTGCACGCAACCCGGAGCTCCTGGTTCTGTCGGATTGGTCGAGCTTCCCCTCGGAAGAGCGCGTGAAGACGATGAAAGAGCTAGGCTTGTCCTTATTGTGAGTTGACCATGGCGCCAAATCAGCTTCTGGCTGAGAAATAGTACATACTGATAACTAACACCAACCCCCCCGCCCATAGCTGCGTTGATAGCATCCTTGTGAACGGCCACGGAGAGGCGTACTGCCCGCCTCACGAATTTCTAATCGAGAACACAAACCCAACCATCAAGGAGGTCGCTTTCCCCGACCAGAATGTCACCGAAAAGGGGTAAGCAAAAGCTCAAATGCAATCGGGGACGTGAAGGGCGACACTGACAAGCTGGACGTGCAGTTGCCTGCCTTTGGTGCCCAGGATCCAAGGAGACAAGATGGACGCCGCCAACATCACCAAGCTTCCTGGCTACATGCACACGAAATGCAGCCCGTTTAGCGGGAGCAACTACACGGTCAAGGCTGATCCAGCGGACGGGTGGATCAGCCTTAATCTCATCGGGGCCGAGTCGAACGCGCAGATCACCGTCTCCATTGACGAGCATCCCATGTGGCTCTACGAGGTCGACGGCGGCTACGTCGAACCCCAGGAGTTTGTGTCGGTCCTCATCAGCTCGGGACAGCGGTTCTCGGTGCTGGTCAAGCTTGACAAGCCCCCTGCTGATTACACCATCCGTCTGCCCGACCCGGCCACCCAAGTGCTCTCCGGCTTTGCCAACCTGGTGTACAAGGGGGCCAAGAACAGCTCGTACGAGTCCAAGGCATACGTCACATACAATGGCCTGAGCGCTTTCGACTTCCCCGACAGCCAGAAATACGCCCCTAACCTCCCCTCGACCGACAAGATGAAGACGTGGCCGGCGAACCCACCAGCGCTCGTCACGGATGAGGAGTACCATCTGGTGATGGGCCGCACGAACTCGTCCATCTACTTCACCATGATGAACCAGGCTCTGTACTACACGCCCGCCTCCACCGCGGACCAGCCCATGCTCCACTACCCCAACAGCACCCTGGAGGAGGAGTTCGGGAAGCTCGTGATCCAGACCCGGAACGGCTCGTGGGTTGACGTGATCCTCGAGTTCGCCGTGAACCCCGGTGACGAGGCCCCCTTCACGCACATCATGCACAAGCACGGCAACAAGATGTGGAAGATCGGCGAGGGCGAGGGCCCGTGGAACTACACCAGCGTGGCCGAGGCCATGGCGGACCAGCCCGACAAGTTCAACCTGGTCGACCCGGGCCTCCGTGACACCTGGTTGACCCCCTTCGCCCCGACCCCTATTTATGGGCTCTGGTCCGTCTACCGCTACCACGTGACGGACCCGGGCGCCTGGCTGTACCACTGCCACCTCGAGCAGCACTTGATCGGGGGCATGGGCATGGTGATTATGGACGGCGTGGACGCGTGGCCCGAGGTGCCGGCCGAGTATGCCATTGGACCTCACTAGCGGCATGTCGAGTGGTATTTCAAACCTTGAGCAGGTAGCTGTACGAGACTGAGAAAGGGGATGACGGGTGAAAACGGGACTAGTAATAGATTATATGGCGAGTGAATAATCAATAATAACGTACTGTTCTCACTCGCTCCGTCTCCACCTCTAGGTACTTTGAAAAGGGAGAAAACACGCCTCGTACTTCATATTCGCGCATATAAACTAAAGACACAAAACCGACCCACGAATGCTTATCATTGATCTTCTTCACCTTCTTTTAGCATACACGCGGCTTAGTTAGTGGCATTATCAAACTCTACGAACAGAGTCTCACACTCAACGTTACGTGAACATGCATGCAGAAGGATGACCACTTCTCTCTGCGGCCATCTCGAGGAGCTCGTTTATCACACAAGGAGCAAGCGTGTCAAAAGTCTCCGAATATGACCAGCATATGTCGCTAATACAATGTGGGATGAGATGTTTGAAAACTGCATCCGGTATCATGCATGATTCACGTCTGAGCTTGCCCGCCTGCCATTCTCTTCATTAGTCTCACAAACCCCAAAGAGGCCAGAAGAGGAGGGTATGGTGAGAATTGATTGTTCATCGAGATTTGTCACTCCGGCTTGGGCGGTGAGGAAGGGCGAGACAGCGTATTGAATCGTGGATACGAAGTACGAGCATGGAGAACCGGAAGGGATCATGATGTCAACCGGTGAGACTCTGCTCCGCCAGGTAGCATCTTGTCTCAGCTTTCGACGTGATATACATGATCTGCTGCTGCAAGCCATCGGAGTGGAGCAGTGTGATACTGTGAAGTCTGTGATTCTCTCATGTAGAAAGAGAGACAGTCACGGTACAGCGAGCTCCCCCCGACGAGCGGTCCCTTGCCCCCACTCCGGATCGAGACTCCGTCGCCGGATCAGGGACCCTGGTGCTCGCCGAATGGCTCTTTTGCTTGCAACACAGGGCGGCATCGTATAGGTTGGCGGCGCCGAGGCCGGCAACGCGAAGCGTGGGGCTGCCCGGGCCTCCCAGTCAATCAGGACTCGCTTTCCACTCCGCTGGTTGAAAACTCCGACTCTCTCGGCCAACACATTTTCATCTCGAGTCTCAGACGGTCAATCTCAAGCTTTGCCAAGAAAGATTAGGCCCGCGGAGAAGGCGGTGGCCGTGGTGCCGCCGTCGTTAACCATCACGAACTACGTGGGAGCATCCTATCCCGTCCGAACTGATCCAGACATGTTATGAACCTTCCAAGTCAGGTTAGGCAACCCAAGGTGGATTCAGCTGGAAAAACGCCCATGTCGCCGAGCATTGCTTGTCTGCGCCAGCTGCGGGAGTTGACGATTGGGTGGAGATGGGAGAGCGGATCTCAGGAGTGACGAGATCTGCGGTGAGACTGACACGCGATTGGAAGTGACACGAGATCGACAGCGACACGAGATCGACGGCGACACAAGAGCACAAGGATCCGGAAGTAGTTAGTACGGAAGGCATGCTTCATGGCCGCCGGAGCTATGTACAGAATACATGAAAATACACGGGGATAAACAAGGTGAACATATACCCTAGATGGGTTGACCCCTGTATTTTCACTGAGATGAGATGAGGCAGGAAAGACGTCCACGATGCTTTGAAGTTGACGACACTCGGAGATCATACAGACACTTGGCGTTGTTTCTTTTTTCAAAGAAGAAGCCCCCAGCCAGACATGGGCAGACTCCAGACTCCAGACTCCAGACTCCAATACTATCTCGGGGCTCCGGCTTCCCCATCGGCCCATGGTCGGGCGTGAACGGACAAGGGAGCAGTACCCCCGTCAAGTACCAATAATTAAATATCAAGAGCCCTGATGAACATCAGGCGGCGGGATCGGGTTTGATCGTCCCGCGCCGAACTCCTCACCGCCCCTGTACCCGGTTTCAGCCAACCACCATCCCGTCCGGCTCGGCAACCGCCTGCGGCCTGGACGCTAATGCGTGCCCAGGGTGATCTGTAAGGCTAACACGACCTCAGCCTACCACTGCGGCTCTGAGGATCCGAGTCTCATCCCCTCCGGCCTGCGTCGTTGACTCAGAAGTCGGCATACGTGAGATTTGATTCATGTGCTGGCTCTAGGAATGGGCCATGAGAGGTCTAGCCAAGAGCCCAGCCACTCCTTTGGGGGGGAGCATCCTTCCTTTGGGGGTAAGCGTCGTTGGAGCATCTCGGCCCTCTCCGGTTGGCGGATCATCGTGTGTGTCCAGTGTACTTTGTACTTCGGGTAGGCATCCGACAGTGGACTCGGGCCCAGCACGGCTATTTCTGCCGACACGTGCAAGCAATGATGACAGAAAAGCTTTTCTGGCGCCTGTTGACCAAGTCAACGTGGGCCTTTGGCCCTTACCCCCTGACCCAGGCGCACGTTCTCGGTAAATTTAGATTCCTCAGCCTGGAAGTGACTCGGTTGATGGGGCGAGAGGGATACCATGGGCAGATGATAGCAGATAGATCCTTACCATGAGACGGGCTTATCCGATGGACCTCTCTCCCTCGCGCTCGTTGCATACCTCGGTATCATGCAGCCATCACACGGGACTCAGGAGTCTATCTGAATCTGTCCTTAGCTCGTCATGGTCTCGAACCTGACCCCCCAACCCGGTTTGATTATCCCTCGCTGACCCCACTGCCAGCGCCCTTGCCGCAGACATTTCCATATCCCGGGCGCGGTCAGGTAGCCACGCCCAAGATACATAGTTGGGCTGATATTCATCGATGTGGGGTCTTTGATCGTACCCGAGTGAGACCAGGGCGCCGGTTCATAGAGTCGCAGATCGACACGGCTGAGAGGCGAGATGCAAGCAAGGGCTCGCCCGTCTCCAGATCCAGACGAGGTTGACTCAGATATGGGAAGGATGAACACTATAACCAATCAAGAGAAATCCGATTTAGGAATCTGTTTTTGGGGCTTATCCCGTAAGGGGTTCCATTCAGCTGAAGGCGTGATGCCGACCAACAAGCTTCTCCCACGTCCGAGATCTATGCGAACCACTCCAAGTAAGCCAGGGCAGTGATCGGGCTGGTCGAGGCTGGCTGAACTGAATCCATGGCCCGAGCCGGGCCGATGTGGGCGCTTAGTATTATCATTCTTGTTTAGCTCAGACTCGACTCGGTCTCTCGCTCGAGTAATAAAACTTGCCATGCTGCCCATCTTGAACTTCACACTTGAGCATGCAGCAGCGTCCCGAAGTGCTATGGATCTTGTGGAATACTTGATCACACGGGTATTCCTTCTGTTGCTCCCTCTGGCACATCTACTGGCCAAAGCGCTCTCGCCCTTCCGACCCAAGCCCCTGGCCGTGTCACCACCACCTTCCCACCCCTGCGTTCCTCTCCCAACAGCAGCGGCAACATCAACATCCAACATGTCCAACATGACGGGGCTATCTCAATTCATGGTCTTCGGCGACCAGGCCGTCCCTTATGCCTCCGAGTTGCGGCGGTTCGTGGCCAAGCGTGAAGACTACACGCTGGCAAACCTGCTCTCCCAGTCGCACCACGCCCTCCGAGCCGAGATCGCACGGCTCACCTACAGCCAAAGGGCACAGTTCCCAGCCTCATCCACCCTGGTAGAGCTCCTCAACGCCCATGCCTCCTCCACAACGCCCAACTGCGCCCTGGACAGCGCCCTGGCGTGTTTGCACCAAATAGCGTCCTTTGTCTCGTAAGTGACCATGTAGCTTTCTGCCCTAAGCTTAGTAGTTAGTACCCGGCGACAAAGATTGCTAACAAGACCGCTCAGATACTTCAACGAGACAGGAAAGGAATACCCGAAGCCGGAATCGACATGCTTGGTAGGAAGCTGCATCGGCCTTCTTTCGGCCTTTGGCGTAGGCTGCGCTGAGAACATCCTCGACCTTGTCGAGCTTGGGCCCGAGATCGTCATCCTTGCCTTCCGGCTCGGCCTCGTCGTCCAAAACAAGACCGCCTCGATCGCCTCCGGTCTTGAGAGCACCGCTTCCGTTTCCTATGCGGTGGCTGCCATCGACCTGGAGACCGCTTCCAGCCTCGTCGAGGATTTCTGCCAGTCCAGGTCACTGCCCCCTGCGGCTCGCATCTACATCAGCGCCGTCGGCAACGGAAACGTCACCGTATCAGGCCCTCCCGCACAGCTGTTTGGCTTCTTCTCGGAGAACCAGAACCTAAAGTCGGCCAAGATTGTGATGACCGGCTTGTTCCACTCGGCCGTGCTCTACGACCAGTCCGCCGTCGTGGGCCTGCTGGAAAATGCGAGCCCAAAGCTGCTTTCGAGGGTCGGCAAACTGGAGATCGTGTCCAACTCGGAGGAAGGAGACTCGACGATACTGCCCGGGCCCGCGGACCAAGCTTTGGAGACCATCCTCACCGAGGTCCTGTCACGGCAAATGCGGTGGGATCTCGTCACACAGCGGGTAGCGGATTTGTTCAAGGGGTCACAGGAGCCATCAGGAGGCGCAGTAATCTTGCCCTTCGCCACGGGGAGCGTCCAGGGCCTCGCCTCCGCCCTTCGACCGTCTCCGGACGGAGACGCGGCGACCATCGTCGACACGGCCCGGCGGCCCCAGAACACGGGGAGCGGTCGTTCCGGGGCTGATGCTCCGGGAGGCAACAGAGACAGGACTAAGATCGCCATCATCGGCTACTCTGGAAGATACCCGGATGCGGACAGCAACGAGGAGTTTTGGGACTTGTTCATGGCCGGCCTCGACGTTGTCAAGGATATCCCCAAGAGCCGCTTCGACCCTTCCGTGTACTGCGACCCTACCGGAAAGAAAAGGAACACGAGCGCCATCTCGAAGGGGTGTTTCGTCAAGAACCCGGACCTGTTCGACGCCCGCTTCTTCGGCATGTCCCCGAGAGAGGCAGAGCAGACGGACCCGGCCCAGCGCCTCGCCTTGATGACGGCGTACGAGGCTATGGAGATGGCCGGCCTTGTCCCGGACTCGACGCCTTCTACGCAGCGGAACCGAGTCGGAGTCTTCTACGGGTCTGCGTCTGACGACTACAGAGAGGTTAACGCGGCTCAAAACGTCGATACTTACCTCATCCCTGGAGGTGTCCGCGCCTTTATCCCTGCCCGCATCAACTACCACTTCCGTTTCACCGGCCCTTCGCTCGATGTCGATACCGCCTGCTCTTCTGGTCTTGCCGCGCTCCACGTCGCCTGCAACTCCATCTGGACGGGTGACTGCGATGTCGCGATTGCCGGAGGAACGAACGTCATGACGAACCCCGACATCTGGGCCGGTTTGGACCGCGCCCATTTCCTGTCCCGGACGGGCAACTGCAAGACCTTTGACGATGGCGCCGATGGCTACTGCAGAGCCGAGACTGTGGCATCAGTGGTGCTCAAGAGGCTCGACGATGCAATCCTCGATGGCGATCCGATCCAGGGCGTCATCCTCGGTGCTCTCACCAACCACTCGGCCGAGTCAGTCTCCATCACCCGGCCACACTCCGGTGCCCAGCGTGCCATCTTCAGCCGCATCCTCGACTCGGCCGACGTCGACAGCTCCGATGTGAGCTATGTCGAGATGCACGGGACCGGCACGCAACACGGAGATGCCTGCGAGATGGACTCGGTCCTCAGCGTCTTCGCCCCTGAAGGATCCCGCCGTGAGCAGTCTTTGCATCTCGGCTCGGCCAAGGCCAATATTGGCCACGCCGAATCGGCATCCGGCACCGCGTCTCTGATCAAGGTCCTGCTGATGATGGAGAAGAACCAGATCCCCCGCCACGTCGGCATCAAGACCAAGATCAACAAGAAATTCCCTACCGATCTGAATCAGAGGAACGTCCACATTGCCATGGAGACGACGGCGTGGCCGAGGCCGGACAACACGGCATACGGAAGGCGGGCGTTCGTGAACAACTTCGGAGCCGCGGGTGGCAACTCGTCGGTCCTCCTTGAAGACGCTCCGCAACGGCCGCAACTGGACGCAGCAGCACAGGACCCCCGACCGCTACACGTCGTTTCCGTGTCGGCCAAGTCGCAGGCGGCCCTGAAGCGCAACATCCGCGCTTTGGTGGACCATCTCGACGCTAACCCGGACACCTCGCTCGCCTCGCTGTCGTACACCACCACGGCCCGCCGCATCCACCACAACTTCCGCGCGGCTGTGTCCGGAAAGACGATCCGGGACATCAGCCAGGGGCTTCAGCTGGCCGAGACCAAAGACCACTTCTCGCAGAACGGTGGGGTCCCCGTCGCCTTCTGCTTCACCGGCCAGGGTGCGCAGTACATCGGGATGGGCAAGGCGCTGCTCGAGATTCCCCGGTTCCGGTCCTTCGTCACGGACCTGGACGAGGTGGTGCGCCTGCAGGGTTTCGAGCCGATCCTCCCCATCATCGACGGCAGCTGCGCCGCACCCCTAGAGACGCTGCCCCCGGCCACGGTGCAACTGGCCATGACCTGCCTGCAGATGGCGCTGGGGAAGCTCTGGACGTCTTTCGGCATCGCTCCCAAGCTCGTCGTCGGCCACAGCCTCGGCGAATATGCCGCCATGAACGTCGCCGGCGTCCTGTCCGATGCCGACACCATCCACCTCGTCGGCACCCGCGCCGCGCTCCTGGAGAAGCACTGCCAGGTGGGAACCCACGCGATGCTGGCCATCAAGGCTGCGGCATCCAAGGTGACCCCCCTCATGGCGTCGCGCCCGGATCTCGAGATCTGCTGCGCAAACAGCCCCGAGGAGACCGTGGTCGGAGGACCCAATGCCGAGGTCGAGTCCTTCGCGGCTTCGCTCACCGGCCTGTCCATCAAGGCGACGCAGCTCAAGGTCCAGTTCGCCTTCCATTCCGCTCAGGTGGAGCCGATCCTCGAGGCCTTCAGCGAGAGCTGCGCCAGCATTACGTTCAAGAAGCCCACCATTCCGCTGCTCTCGCCGCTCCTGGGCTCGGTTATCACGGAGGCCTCGGATTTCGGGACGCCGTCCGTCTACCTGAGCCGCCACTGCCGGGAGACGGTCAACTTCCAGGCGTCTGTCCTGTCGGCCAAGTCGGCGGGCATCATCTCGGACAAGATGGTCTGGGTCGAGATCGGGCCTCACCCGACATGCTCCCGCAGCATCAAGTCGACGCTCGGGTCCACTTCGATCAGGGCCTTCCCTACCCTGCGGCGCGGCGAAGACGACTGGGCCGTGACCGTCCCCACCTTGGCTTCGCTGTACGAGTCGGGTCTGGCCATCAACTGGGACGACTACCACGCCGGCTTCAAGAAGAACCTGAGTGTTCTGAGGCTCCCTTCGTATAAATGGGATCTCAAGAGCCATTGGATTCAGTACACCGGCGACTGGCTGCTGACCAAGGGCCAGTGCAACCACGATCTGACACCCGTGGTCCAGGCGCCGGCTCCGAAGAAAGAGCCCTTCACGGCCACTGTCCAGGACTTGGTGGAAGAGAGCTACGCCGCCGAGGAGTCCTGGATCGTCGCGAGATCCGACGCGCAGGACCCCTATCTCGCGGCCGTCCTCAGGGGCCACAAGGTCAACGACCAGCCCCTGTGCTCTTCGGCCGTCTACGCCGACATGGCGCTCACCATGTTCACCCGCTTGCTCGAGAAGTCACCCGTCGGCTTTGACAAGGCCGGCATGGGCGTCGAGGTCCGGGACTTGGTCGTTGACAAATCCCTGATCCTCAACAACGAGGCCGTGCAGCTGGTCGAGCTCAAGGCCCACGTCCAGTGGTCGACGAGGGAGGCCACCTTCTCCATCTCGAGCATCGACTCCACCGGGAAGCCCACGGCCAACCACGCCAAGTGCGTCGGCACCTACTCGCAGACGAAGGCCTGGAAGACGGAGTGGAAGCGGATGGCGTACCTGGTCAAGGCCAGGATGGCGCACCTGCGGCAGGCGGTCGACGACGACGACTCGGGCGTGTGCCAGATCAAGACCGGCCTGTTCTACAAGCTGTTCGGCGCGCTCGTCGACTACGACCCCTCGTTCAGGGGCTGCCGAGAGCTCATCATGCGCTCGGCCGACTTCGAGTCCACGGCCAAGGTCAAGTTCAACACGTCCAAGGAAACGGCGGCGCAGTTCAAGTTCCCGCCGTACTGGCTCGACAGTCTCGGCCACATCACCGGCTTCACCATGAACGCCAACGAGACCCTCGACTCCAAGGCCACCGTGTACATCAACCACGGGTGGGAGAACATGAGGGTCGCCGAGACCCTGTCCCCGGACATCACGTACCGGACCTACGTCAAGATGCAGGACAACGGCGGCCGCTCCTACATCGGCGACGTTTACGTCTTCAACCCGGTGTCCGATTCCATCATCGCTGTGTACGAGGGCGTCGTCTTCTCCGCCATCCCGAGGAAGGTTCTCGACAAGGTCCTGCCCCGTCCCGCCGCGGCCGCTTCGGCCCCGACTCAGCGCGCGGCCCCTGTCACCGTGAAGGGACCGTTCGTTGCTCCGCCGCCGGCCACCAAGCAGGCCCCCGTGCCGGCCGTGAAGGCTTCGGCTCCGGCCCCAGCCCCGGCCCCGGCGCGCGCGCCGCCTGCCGGCATGAAGGCGAACAAGGTCCGGGAGATCATTGCCGGAGAAGTGGGCGCTCCCATCTCGGAAGTGGTCGACGATGCCGAGCTGGCCGACCTGGGAGTCGACTCCCTCCTGGCCTTGACCATGTCGGACCGGATCCTCGAAGAGCTAGGCATCAAGGTCGACTCCGGCTTGTTGATCTCCAACATCACCGTCGGCGCTCTCGTGAAGATCGTCGCAGGGAACGAGGCCACCGAGTCGCCCGCCCCGGCCCCGGCCCCGGCCCCGGCCGTGCAAGCAGCACCAGCCCAGGCGTTCGTAGAGCCGGCCCAGCCCGCTCCGTCCGCCCGGCCGTTGCCTGCAGCCGCCGCGACGGGATTACACAGCGCGATGACGGACAAGCTCCGCACCATCGTCGCGGAGGAAGTCGGCGCGCCCGTGTCCGAAGTAGTCGACGACATCGACCTGGCCGACCTGGGAGTCGACTCGCTCCTGGCCCTGACCATCGCCGACCGGCTCCTCGAAGAGCTCGGCGTCAAGGTGGACTCGACCCTGTTCATCGCGGGGATCAAGGTGCAGGAGCTCATCCAGATCGTAACCGGTGTCAGCGGCAACGGCAACAGCAACAGCAGCACCGCCTCCTCCTCCGCCTCCTCCTCGGCGCTCTCCTCCCCCGGCATGCGCGGCGACGACGACGCGGCCCTGCACTACCAGCACGACGGCACCGACACGCCGCTCTCCTCGCGCCCGCTCTCCCCCGCCCTCAGCACCGACAGCGGCTGCTACTTCTCGCGCGACGACGCCGACGTCACCCCCACCACTCCCCTCTCACCCCCACCCCCGGCATTCCAATGCCCCCCCGCAACCTCCGTCCTCCTACAAGGCAGCCCCACGACAACCGCGCAGCGCACGCTCTGGCTCTTCCCCGACGGCTCCGGCCTCGCGACCGCCTACCTGCAGCTCCCCGACCTGCCCCCCAGTACCACCATCTACGGCCTCAACAGCCCCTTCGTCAAGAACACGACCGGTCTCGACCGGTGCGCCTTCGAGCAGCTCGTCGACGCCTACCTGACCGAGCTGCGGCGGCGGCAGCCGTGCGGGCCCTACATGCTAGGCGGGTGGTCCGCCGGCGGGATCTGCGCCTACCGGGCCGCGCAGCGGTTGGTGGAGGAGTATGGCGAGGTCGTGGAGGGGTTGGTGCTGCTGGACTGTCCGGAGCCGATGGGCCGCAAGAAGCTGCCCGAGAGGCTGTATGCGGATCTGGATAAGAAGAATGTGTTCGGGTCGGCGCCCGGGAGGCGGCCGCCGGCGTGGTTGCTGGAGCATTTTATGGGGTTTTCGAATATGTTGGATACTTTTGTGTTGAGGCCGTGGGCGGGGGGGAGTTTGCGGACGTGGATGGTGTGGGCGGCGGATGGGGTGGATGAGCGGGGGGAGATTGAGATCCGGCCGGAGGATCCGCGGAACATGACGTGGTTGATGAGGAAGCGTAGCGGGGAGGATTTGAAGACGAATGGGTGGGATTTCCTTGTGGGAAGGGACAAGATCGAGGTCGAGATCGTGCCGGGGGCGAACCACTTCAGCTTGATGCAGAAGCCGGCCGTCACCAAGATGGGCGCGTTCCTCAACAGGGCGTTGATGTCCTAGAGCTGGTGTTGGAAAAGGGTTTTTGTTTTGTCACGGGTCGTGGTTCTGTTTTCCTTTCCTTTCCTTTTTTTCTTTTGTTAAAATCTGGCGAGATAATCGGGCACAGTAGCGGTATGTTGGTGATATGAAGTAATGCTTGAAAGGTAGTTGATTAGGTCCTGCAATCGATATATCAGTTTCAATAAAGTGGTTTAATCAGCGATACATGCCGCCCAACTATTACAGTGAGGCCGCGTCACGCATCAACGATCGAAGATACCAAGCTGGGCAATGGCTAGCCAGACCACTCTGCTGTCTCAAAAGAGAAGACACCTATTGGGGAGGAGGGGAGGATCTGCAGACTAACGAGAGACAATGACGCGGCAGCAGACGCCGCAACCGCAGACGCTCAAAGGCAACGAGTCAACGAATCAACAACACATCGCACCGGCCATATCGGACCCGGCTGATCAGGCCGGACTGTGGTTCAGAACTCCATCTGGTATTAACCCAAGCTAAAGCCACCAAGGACTTCCGTTGCCGTAGATCGTTCTACTCGCGCCAGCCAAAACACTTTGTCGCTTCGACGACACCAGAAGCGAGGACGAAGCGCCGCGGTTCCCGTCTTCCGGCATCCTCGCCCGACCCAGGCTCAATAGCCCATCTAATCATGTAGGCGTTCCATCATGAGCCTCAGCTCGTCACGAGGAGTCGTCGCAAGATGGTTGACCCGCTTAACCCATAATCAACTTGAAGAGGTCGTTGAAAACGAACCACGCGCCGGCGGGATCCTGGGTGAGGTGGAAAGTCTGCGTGTAAGAGAGGGGGTGTTCCCCGTCATCGACCTAAGCGCCACCTGTGTTAGCAGTCGTCCGTCGACCCCACCCCACTCATTGGATTCCCAAGTTGACATACGAGAAGCTGGCCGGTCACGAGGATAATGATGCCGCCGGTAGCGGTAGGCTGCGCATCCAGAGTGCTGATTTTGTGTATAACCTTCTGAAAGGGGAGGCTCTGCGCGACGGAGATTAGCGGTGCCCAGCTCTTACTCGGCGCACCCAAAGGCCGCCGGCTTGCTTTCCGGGTCTTACCGTGAGCTTCTCGGCGATGGCGTTAGTGCCGAGCGACTGAGCGCTCTCAAAAGTGAGCATCGAGTTGTCCCTCTAGATTCCGGGTTATACACCGTTAGCCTTCGCCTTCCTAGCCATTCCCAAATCCCAAATGGCTCATATCACTAGTAGGCGGGCGAGCGTACGTAGAGACCGGCCAACTGCGCGCGGTTTGCGTCGAAGGTGGAGTAGTAGTGATCGACGAACTGCTCTGTGAGACGCCCCAGGTTAGAACCGCCGTCTCCCCCCCGGGAGTTTCTTGTCGATTAAGAGGGCGTGTGGTTGTGCGCCCGGGCTGTGCACTCACTCGCAATTCCCTGGAAGTCGGCTGTCTTCATGTCAGCAAAATCATGTGGTTCTTCTACCATCCGCCAACAGCACCCGAAGCGCGCAAAAACAGGGGATGATGGGATCGCGGGGTAAACAGGCAGCCTCTCAGCGCTCCTGGTGATTTGCGCGCAGCGTTGCCAGCATAAAAAAAGAAAGGGGATACAACGAGAAACTGGGGGCCACTAACCCATCTTTACTGATTTGTCGCGGAAAGGTCTAAGAGATTCGTAAGACGGAAAGCGGCGTGGAGGTGCTCGGGTGTGCGAAGTCGGTGGTGGTTCTCGAATTTGTACAGAAGTAGGGGGACCTCAGTTTGCGATGGCTACCCGACCTGAGCATGAGGGGAGCGGGACCCTCAAAATGTTATGGTGGGGTTAATTTCAGCCTCAGGCAGCAGCTTGGCACCTTGGGCAAAGCTCTGGTGGATCCGCCCGGCTGCACCCGAACACCAAATAAATTTGAAGTTTGCAGGATCCGACGTCTCTTCTTTTTCTCCTCCTACCCAAAAAGGATTGAGAGGACTGGTTCGTGCCGGCCACGCCAGCTCCAAACAATTCCTTTTTCAATGTACCATCAGTAAGGCATCTCCTCTCCTCTGTCCAGATTTTACCCTCCCTTTTGCAATGATGACACAATCTTCCATTAAGAACGGCCAACTGAATCTTCCATGTTGATCCATCAAATATCAAGCTCAACAGTCTGACTTTTTACCCTTGCATCTCACTCCTCGAACCACTCAGGCAGATGTTTGGAGTATCACAGATGGCTAACCATCGAACAGGTGACCAGGTGGTGGCCTTGGGCTGTGGAATTGGGCGTCGGTTCGTCCCACCTTGGGCGGCGAGTGTGGCAGTCGTGACGGCCGGTTCGGTATCTCGACCTTGCCCTTGGCAGGCAGTTATCTCGCCTTGGGCTGGAGTCGCGATCACGCGCCCTGTTTTTCTGTTTTTGGGTTTGAGATATCCCAGATTTAGCCAATGGAAAAACTTCGTCATAAGCACCGCGTGTCTGAAATGCAATTGCTGTGCAAACCCAACGCCCCGGGCCGGTCCCCCGACACCGGCGGGGTGCCTATTCATACCTAGGCGCCGACTCAATCGCATGAACAACGCAGTAAATGACCCTGTTCCGGGTTAGTTCTTTTTCTGAACTACACTAGACGCCGCTATCGCAACCGCCGATTTCGGAAGCCCCCCATATCATGCCCCCGTGATGCCCCTTGCTCTGCTCCCTTCCCCATCGCCCATAGGACAAACGGCAAGCCCGTGTAGATAGGCAGCGCAGAAATCTACATGTTTCTTTGTAAGAAAAAAGATTGATGAGGGGTGCTCGTTGACTCCTGCTTCTGCCCAAGCTCCCTTCCACCAACCCCAAAACCCCACCAGCAAAAGCAGAATTCAGAATGTCCAGGCCCTGCCTTGTCGGGTTCCGACGCAGAGTGGCGTCTGTGCCACGATAGACCAACAGTAAACAACCAAATATTAGCTCACTTCCCAAGGTTTCCCATGTTATAGTTCCTCCTCCTCCATCTTCATCGGCGGCGCAGCCCGCTCTTGATCCTGGCTTGCCTGAGCAGCCTGAGCCTTGGCGAGTATATCGCCGAGCGCTGGGGGGAAGCTTCCGCCTGTCGAACCGCCGATGTCGCCTCCACCAACACTCGCATCAGCACCCAGGCTAGGTCGGGCCTTCTTGAGGGGACTACCGACAACGTTGCTGTCGTCCGTGAGGCTCTTGCCAAAGATTCCGGCGGCGCCACCAAGTGGCGCGAGGCCGCCGGGCGGAGTCGCTTCGGGCGGCGTCGAGACGCCGGCGCTCGGGGATTTCCGAGGGCTCGAGGCGCTGTCTGGGTCGGCCGAGTGGGCTCGCTTGAGCTAGAGTATCAAGCGTATTAGCTTTGCATACGGACCATGAGGGGGTGTGGCAGATCAAGGACATACCCGGATGCGATTCACGCCGTCAGCGAGCTCGCCGGAGAACTGTGCGTCATCGGGCCTGAGCTTGGACTTGTCATCCTTATTGTCAATGTCCTCCATCTTGCTCAGGATCTCGGCGCCGTCGTCTTCATCGTCATCGTCGCTATCGGCATCCATGGCGGTGCTCTCTGCGGCCCCGTTGCTCTTGCGTGACTTCCTACTCCTCGTCGGCTGACTGTCCCTATCCCGAAACGCCGAGAAGCCCACGGTGCCACTGGTTTTGAGGGGGCCGAGGCTCGAAAAGTCGACCTGACCGGACCGCCGCTTCATCGTCGGGGACGTAGTCTGTGGCTTCGGGGGCGCCATGACGCCCATTTTTTGAAGCTGGCCTGAGGGGGTCATGTGAGCAAATAGCGGAACCGGCAACTGTTGTGGTTAATGCACTTACGTTCGCCGCGGTAAAAGAAAGTGAACACCGCGTACGGCTTGTCCGGCCCGTCGAGGCCCGTCACCGTCTGAGTGCTAATCGTCTTGGGGTCCAGCGTCTTCGGTTTCGCAAAGCTAGTGGTATGCTCGACATCTGCGTCGATCCCGTTCGAGCTCCCCTTGCCCTCATCCTCCTCGGAATCGTCGTGAGCGTCGAACTGGGGCGAGTACTCCCCCTTCTTGATCTCGCCGGAAGCGATGACCCGGAACATGGCAACCTTTATCTGGCCCGTGGCCTCGGGCGGTTCGTCGTCGTCAGACGACGAGATGGAATCCTCGTCAAAGACGGCTTCGACGGGGGAGCGCTCGTCGGCACCGTATCGGAGGGTGCCCCGCAGCTTGCTTGAGCCCTCGATGTCCATGCCCATGCCTTCTTCGGATTGTTGCTTTTGCCGTCTCCTGCGCTTCTCGAACTTTTGCCTCCGGCGCTCTAACTTCTCGGCGGCGTCGTGGCCCTTCAGGTCAAGCCCATTGAGCCACCGCTCCAGGCCGACCTCGCGGAAGAGGAACTCGCGCTCGGCGAGGCCACCACCCTCGCTGTCCGGAACTTGGACCCAGCGGCTATTGACCCAGGTTTCCTCGCCGGGACGCAATAGGGTGGCGACCTCTTCTTTTCCTCTTCCGTCAAAGTAAATATAGGCGGCAATGGTCTCATTCTCGACGTTGGTCATGGGGATGTAGGGCGTGACGACGCCATGGAACTTGCCGCGCTCCCCAGTGCTCGAGGGCAGCGGGCCGACGAGCTGGGGCTTCGGGTTCGGGTTATCGGGGGTTGCCTTGCACGCCGAGTAGGGTATCGTAAGGCCCGGGGTGAGGAGGGTAATGGAGATGGCGAACTTGGCGGGTTCGGGCTTGTTGTCGCCGCTGAGCTGCGGCTGCGGCACGGGGATGTACGAGTTGATTCGCGAGACGCGAGATTGCTTCTGCACGCCGTGTTCCGGCAGCGGCATTCCATTGGCATGGATGCTCACCGCAATCCCCTTGAAGCAGGGCATGACGGCGGTGGGTTCTGCTGCTCGAGAGGGTCAGACCCCACTGTCGGCTGGTCGGTAACTGCGCGATGGCTCGGGACCTACCTGGACACTACCCCGCGCTTTGTCGGGTGGCGGGGAAGGATCGTTTTATAGTTCGTAGGTAGGCGGTCTGCGGAGGGAGTTGTTGCTGCTGCTCTCTGCGGTGCGGTGAGGGCAAAAAGCAGGAATGTGGCCGGTGGTCTAAAACTAAGAAAGCTAGGTGCCGGAGGTGGGGGGTGGAACAAGGTGGACAAAGTCAGGGCGGCCCGTTTCGAGAGGAGGCTTTAGGAGTTGCCGGCCAAAAACAGAAGCGTGCCCTTTGTGCCAGTCACCGGCCGACCCGCGATCTTGGGTTTCGTGACAACGGTTTTGTTGCAAAATGTGGCTCGCCGTCTCCCAATTCCCTAAAAATGGCAGGAAGGTGCACGGGGTGGGCAGAAGATGGGTCTGGCGGGATGGGGCAGGGGCTGGATGGGTTCTTGGGGCTTCTGCGTTGGCAGTAGGGGGATTTAGAGGGGTTGGGCCGTGCAAACGCCGCCAGGCGGGCCGGGGGGGAGGAGCCCTGACGCCGCTCGAACAAACTTAATTCTGGTAGTCTATTTGGATCGCCGCAGCGTTGGCGAGATGAGCCAGCTAATTGCCCAGCTGGCCATTCGTTTCTTGTCGAACTGGGGGAAACTGTCGAGAAGAGGTTAATCAGATCCGAGGCTGAAAGTTGCAAATCACCAAATGACGGGCGGCGCTGAAAGTGGAGGTGACGATTGGAGCAGAATCACCTTGACGCACGCACCTGAGTTGCGTTGCACTGCTTGGCACCCTCTGGCCAAAAAAAGCCGATCTCAAAGGAAAGCAAGAAATCAAGCAAAAAGAATAGAATAGAGTAAGGAGAAGAATAAATTGAATAACAGAGATAGGGTAAAATAAAAAGTAAATAGAGTAATAAAGTTTGTTTGGGCTTCAGGATGGCTTTCATTTTGTTCCTACAGTCGGGGACTCGAGGTTTCCATTAACTCAGGTATCGACATCTGCGCTTGGAGGTCGGCTTCTTTTGGCTAGAACCGTGACTGGCCAGGGGGTTGACTGCACGCGTGGACACCGTGCATGGGCTTTTTATGCGCGGACAGCAGCCTCGAGGAGCTTTTTCTGATTATTGAGTTCAAGTTGAGCACTGAGATGAGATGTCCAGCCCCGCTTTGGGCGTTTTGTCGAAGCCGCCAACACAGTGCCCAGCGGCATTGGAATGAGTTGGCAGCGCCGTTCCTGGTGCCTGACATGTCAATGTGCAGTCATCATGATGCTGTCATCGAGTTCCCTGCTGCTGATCGGAGGCTTTCGACAACGACCTGCTTGACAACATTCAGGAGTTGCATTTTTGCTTCTTAATTACTTGGCTGGCATTGGTGCGATATGCTAAGGATGTCCGTTCATAGTTACTGCTTAACTGATTAGGTACCCGTCTTTAATTCAACGATACAACATCTGAACACCATTAGTTAATCTCCACTTACTGAATTGTCCTCCCTCGACAAGAGAAATCTCCTTCTCGCGACCCCTTCCGTCACTTGGCTACTACTAGACCGAGTCCCTGTATCCTTCGACTCAGGTCCCTCCTCCCGCTTCCCCTCATCTTCATCACCTGCTTCCGTACTCGACCCGGTGGGGTAAGAGGGAACATCCGCCATCGACCGCGCCCCCTCTTCCTCTTTCTTTACCGTCCTCGTCTCTGGAGCAGAAGAAAGCGAGCCCTCGGCCTTAATCCTCCTTTCCCGGTCCTTGGCTACCTCTGTCCCCAAATCCCCCTTTTCGTCATCCTCACTACCACCACTCTGGTCCCCATTATCCCCATACTCATCAGTGTCCCCATACCCACCAGTGTCCCCAGCGTCCCCAGCGTCCCCGGAGGCCCCATTCCCGTCCTCCCCGCCATCCTTCCCCTCCTTGCCCTCCTCCCCATCACCCTCCTCTCCCCGCCCCCCAAGTTTGACCCCTACCACAACCAACACCACAGCCATCACCACCATCTCAGTCATCCAGAACGCCGCCGTGAACAGCACGAAGGCGGTGACGCGCCAGCGGTACATGAAGCCCTGCAGGCCGCGCAGCCTGGCGACGAGCGTCACGCGGGCGTCGTACACCTGGATGGCCTGGCCGGCCTGGACCTCCAGCAGCAGGCTGTCCGGCAGCACGCGGGCGGCGTCGCGGCGCGGCACGGCAAAGGCCAGGCCCTCGGCCATCGGGACGGTCAGGCGCACGGCGGCCGCGCCGCGCGGGGCGAGCAGGTGGTAGCCTAGGAAGAGCACGCGCGACGCCAGCGACGCGAGCGGGTCGACGTAGGGAATCAGTGCCGGCCGCGCTGTGGTGTGCACGATGGTGTGCGAAGCGAGGAAAGAGGGGAGGTCTAGGCGTGTTGGTTGGAGGAGGGCGTCGAGGGAGTGCCAGGAGGACGATGATGATGATGACGACGGTGGTTCTTGGGCTGAGGAATCGGAGAGCGGCCGGGCGGGCAGTAGGTAGGGGATGGTTTTCGGGGTGGTAATTGGGATGGCGTCGGAGGCAGTGCCGCTTGGTGAGAGGAGGTGCAGCGCGAGCATGAAGTTGCCGCGGTCAAGGTTGGTCGGGGAGCGCGGAAGAGTAAGTGAGACTTCAATGTCGTAGGCCTGGCGGTTGGCGATACCCCTGAAGGAGGCGATGCCGAAGGGGTTGGGGCCGACGCTGCACCTGTCAGTATCTATACCCATAGGAATGATCGTCCGTGGGGACAAGACGTGAACGTACCCATATTGCAAATGTACCGGGACGGTTGTCTCCAGTCGCGGAAGGTACTTGTAGTACAGAAAGAAATAGCCGACGGCTGCTGGTATGTAGAGCAGGACCCCCGCGATGGCGAACAGGGTCGTCCCAATCACCAACTTCTGCAGCCACCGAGAGGAAACAACAGCATGAACGCGATCGCCGACTCCACGGGCGGCATTTTGCCCTATGGATATCACGCCGCCGCCAATATCTGCAAGTGCTTGCTTGGCTTCATTCAGGGCTTGTGCCTAGAAACAGGTTGACTTAGTCGAGGGAAGCGAGAAGCAAAAGAAGGGAGGGAGTTGTTGATTTGGGTCGAGGAGATGTCCGGCTTACCATTTCATTCGTCAATGAGCCCCCTCCTCATCTGCAACAGTAGCCTCGTGAAACGAATGTTCGATCTCGAAAATCGACGAGGAAGAGGGATACTGATGCCATGCGGTTGTTTGGTGTTGGGGATGAAGATGGGATGAAAGTTAAAGTGGGGAGCTCTTGGAGCTGCATGCCTTTGAACTCAATCAAGCCTGCCGCGCCTCGCGCGCCTGATGTCATGTCTTGGCATTTCACAGACCGTGTACTTGTAACTCCCGAGCTGCTCCTTCTCTCCCTTGCCTACTTGATGTACCGAGGGCAAGTGCAGACGAGAACTCATAAACAGGAAAATCATTCAAATTGCTTCATAAATACAGAGGCTAACACAACGCTAACAGCCCTCATCAAAAACCACATCAAATCCGTACAAGACATCACATCAGAAGAAGATTAAATGCGCCCCCTGGGTCAGCTCAACAACGCTCCCCAAAACACCCCGCTGAATGCTCTAGACAGATTCTCGCACTCTTGCTCTCTCCAAAGCCCAACGCTCAAAGCTCAAAGCACCAAACACTGCCAACACCACGTCGGCAGGCCTCACCAAACAAAAGACCTCTCACCAAATAGGCGGCACCCGATACCCCACACCACACACCACACCACCCATCTGCACACAGCACAGAGGCCTAGCAAGGCTGCAGATAATTGCTCGGGACCAGCCCAACCTGCCCGGCGCCGCCCTGCACGGTGGCCTCCCACCAGCCGTCGTCCTGGTGCCGCAGGATGGCGAGCACGTCGCCCTTGGCAAACCCCAGCTCCTCGGGTATTGCGGGCTGGTACATGTACAGCGCGCGCGCTAGATAGGTATCGAGTTAGCCGCGCCTCTCTCGGAGGAGAAAAAAAAGGGAAAAAAGGGAAAAAAAGAAAAACTGAAGAGGGGGACTCACCAAAATGCAAAATGGGCCTCCCATCCCTGGTATACCGGTTCGGGTCCGCCACGCTCTTACTCCTCACCCGTGACCCCCCCGCCGGCTGCACCGGCCCAGCACCCTCATACAAGCTCATCCCGCGCATACTCATGCTGGTCGCCGTGTTGGAGCGGTTATGGCGCCCGCGCATCGACCCGCCATAACCGCCATCATCCTGCTGTTGTTGTTGCTGCTGCTGCTGTTGTCCGTACCCCTGGCCACCCGACACGGGCGCTAGTTGCACGGCCATGTCCATCCCCCTCCTGCTGCCCATGCTCATGCTGCTGCCCGGGCGACCCGAGTGGGATCCGCCGCCGCCGCTGTGGTCCTGCATGGAGCCGCGCGGGCTGTAGGCGCCCGTGGGCACCGGGCTGGCGGCGGTGCCGCGGGCGCTCCCGTACGGGGAGGGGCTGGCGGCGGACGCGCGCGGGGAGTAAGGGGCCGGGGAGGCGGCGCGGGCCATCTCGTTAGGCGACGCGGCCGTCGACCCGCGGTGGCTGTGGCTGTTGTAGCTGTTGCTGTGGCTGTTATTGCCAGTGCCGCCGCTGTTGCCGCCGTAGTACGCGGCCGAGTCCGACCCGCGCTTGTTGGCCGACATGCTCAGCTGGCTGACCGAGCCGCGCTGGCTGCCGGCGTACGGCGCCGGGGACACGGAGCGGTGCTGCGAGGGGGAGGCGGCGTAGTGCCGGCTCGCGCGGGAGCTGGGCCGCGGGGAGACGCTGCGCTGCGCCGCGGGGGACACGGCGCGCGGGATGTCGCTGCTGCTGCCTCGCCCGGTGCCGGGCCGGCTCCTGTAACTACCGCCGTCACCGCCGCCGCCGCCGCCGCCGGAGCTGGGGCGGTCGGATGCGGTGAAGAGGCTGCGGGTTTGTTGCTGGAATTTCTGCGAGGACTCCTTCATTGCTCGGGAGGTCACTGCTGGCGGGGGCACACCGAGGCGCTGGATTTGGGTTTGCTGGTCATAGGACGGCGGCGGGGTTCCGCGCTTGGCGGCGGCAACGACGCTGTTGTTGGTATTGGCCCCTGGCGCGACCATGGTGCGCGACGGGCTGGCGCCGGGGGCGGGCGTCGATATCCCATGGTAGTGGTCTGCCGACATCCTCGTCCCGCCGTTCTTGCCGTTCGTGACACCCTTCAGCTCGGCAAGGGCCAGCGCAATGGGGTCGTCTTCGGGAGTGGCTGGGCCGGCATCCTGCTTGCGGCGGTCGGGTGTCTCGACCGCGAAGACGTTCTGCCCGACATTGAGTGCGAGGCTCGCGTTGGCTGCGATCGGATCCGGGCTGACGCTCCGCTCCGGGCCGATAATCTGGTTCTGGGTCTCCTTGGGGGGGGCAGCAAGTTGCGGCCGGTTGTGGGCGGCGGGAGGGTTCCACGTGTTCCGGTTCGTGGGCGCCACCTCCTTGGTACTCTTCCGTCGGAAAGGGCTGTGGTTCTGGAAGAAGCCACTCTTCTTCTTAAGGACCTTCTTATCGGGAGACGCCGGGGGAGGGGCCTGCTCTTGCTTGACGGGAGACACGGGCGCTGGCGGCTCTTGACTAGAGAACGACGTCTCGCTGTGCGAGTCTCTGCTAGAGGGGCGCGCAGACGACGTCGACGGCGCCGTGCTCAAGTCCGAGGCGGTTGGCCGGCAGAGCATGGTCATGCCATCCATCGGGTACGGGTCGTGAGGAACGGGGGCAAACTCGTTAGGGTCGTAGTCCACGTTGCTGGCCTGTGGTGGCTGGTAATTCTTGGGCGTTTGAGGCGCCTTCGACCGCTGAGTATTTTGCTGCTGAGGAATTGTCGGCACCTTCTGGGGTGTCGCGGCAACCTCCCGGCCCTGTGGGGTCTGTGTATCTCCGTGCCCGAAATCCCGAGCCAATGCCGAGTTAGGATCATGATGAGACTCGAACATGGAGGGTTGGGGGGATGACGAGCGGAAAGCCGGATTGATGCTCCTTGGGAACTGCGCGACCGAGTAGTTATCGTCATCGGACACCTCCGACTGTGCGTCAACATCACCGCGGCAGAAGTTGATGTACTTGGGCGGGTCGGGGATCTCCTGGCCAGTACCCCTGTCCTTGATGAAGGTGTAGATATCCTTCTCGACTTCCATCTTTTCGAGCGATAGCCGGATCTTCTCGCACGATGAATCGTCGCTGACACAGACGGTCGAGGCGATATTGGCAAAGGTCCACAAGCTGCTCTTGGAGAAATCGAGGCGCTCCTCCTCCAGGTCCTGGAACTTGTCGGCGGCCGCCTTCCATTCCCTATTCCAGCGGGCGGTCGTCTCCTCCAGGGCCTTGACGGCGGCCTCGTACTCCGAGTTGGATGTTGCCAAGCTGATCTGCGTCTTCTCCAGCTTGGCCTTGTTCTTTCTCTCTTCCTGGCCCATAACCATATGACCCTGGGCGAGATAGCCCTTGATTTTGAGGCATTCTTGCTCATAGCGGTCGCGTGTCTAGGGCTGTCAGTACCATGTCCGCGGGGCCGTGTAAGGTCTATCGACTCTGGCGCACCTTGTTGACCTGCTGCGTCTGCTGCACCTTGGTCTTGAGTAGCTTTTCTACCGTGTTTTGCACAATCTTACGGCGCTCCTTCATGGCACCGGCGAAGGCGGCAAGCGGCTCTTCCAGCTCGCTCTTCATCTGGGCGGCCACGCTCTGGTGCTGCTTGGCCATCAACTCAACCTCGCCGCGCATGACATCGAGCGACGTCTTCAGGGTGCCTGTCTCTTGCGACCCTAGCGCCTTGCGCGATAGCGACATGAGCTTCCGGGCATATTCGTCCTCGATGGATGCGCGTGCTGTTCCAGGGCTGCGGTTAGTGATGTGCCCTAGGGAGTACGACCAAGTACTCTGCAAGCGCAAAAGCAAAGCTTACCGCCGTAGAAGTTGCGAAGTTCGTCGCATGTCTGCTTCGCATTGTGCATGCGATCCAAGAGGGGCGGTACACCGGCATCGTCCTTTCCCCAGAAGTTGTTGGCGACTGTGGCATTATGTTAGCTAGGTACTACTACTCGACGATAGTATATGACTTTATGTTGTTGACATCTCCATACGTACAGGAAAGGGCGACGGCCGGTGCGTCGGAGATTGTGGCCGGCATTACGCCTTACGGAGCAGGAGAGGAGCGGAGCCGGGGATGACGAAATTGTTTGCTTCCCACGGCACAGACCAAATGGAAATGGGAAAAGTGATCAAACACACAGAAATCCGCCTCTTTCATAAACGCAAAGGCGTCCTGATATTGTCTGGGAATATCGACAATCGCCGGCGACAAAGAAATGCGGCTAAAGAGTGTAGGTAAAGCAATTCCGGGTGGATTGTGGAAAGTTTCGACGTGGCACAGCGAGCTGGACATGCAGGGCAGCGAACAGGTTGTTGACTTTGCTTGGTGCTGAGGGCAGGGCGATCGGTTGCTAGGGGCAACACGCCTTGCCGCCAGCCTGCAGCTGGAGTGCGCATTGGCGCTGCACGCTGCATTGGCGCCGAATCTGAGACCCACAACCCGATGCAACTTCCAGTCGGGTCCGATTCTTTCTCCAATCGATTCCACTGGCACGTTGCAGGTGTTCGATGAATCGGATGAGCGCTGTTTTCGAGTCCTGTGTAAAAAATAAAAAAAGACACCATTGCGTTGTCATCCTCCTCGGAATGAATCACAGTGTCGAATTCACAACCAATGCCATTTTGCTGACCTCAATTGGCATTTTGTAACCCCTCATTCCCACATCCTACCATCCATTGAAGCAGGGGAGGATATGTAAGTCACTCACTCAGTTGGAGCTCGCTGGCCTCTTTAACTTCAACACGTCGCTCAACTTGATCTTCCCTTTTGCACCCCAGCCTGCAGTTCCGCTCTCCACATCGGGCCTCACCGCAATATACCTGTCCAACAGCGTTAGCCAACTCATATCCAATTGGACCTGTCGGGAGTAGTTCGGGAGAAAGCGACAGTTCCAAGCACAATGACAATGGCCGCCGCCACAGTTTGAAGGGGAGTTCAACTCACCAGCCCCACGCCCGCCTATCCAGCTCAGCCGCGCCAATGTGGCCAGCCCAGCTGTCGAACACGATCCTCAACGCACCAAGCAACAACCCCAAATTCTCCTCCTTCTCCACCTCCATCGCTTTCAACGTCTTGGCCTTCTTCGGACTCTTCCCCGTAGCAGCAGCAGTAGCACCAGCAGCAGCAGCCCCCTCCCCCTGCGCGCCAGCAACGGCGGTAGTAGCACTCCCAAAACTCCTCAGCAGATACGCCCTCGCCTGCTCCGGCCGATGCACCTGCATGCCCACCACCCCGGTCGCAGCATGCATCTTGACACCACTCCCATAACCACCCACCACCGTCTTGCCCGCCCGCGTAGCCTCCAGATCCAAACCCCATAACGCCTCCCCACCAAGCGTGACCTCGGCCCCCGGCCTGCGCAGGCGCTCGCCGAGGGCGGCCGCCACGCAGTTGCGCATCAGGCGCCAGCGGTCCGGGCCCAGCATGGTGCCGCCGAACCAGCGGGTCAGCACGACGAGGGTGTCGACGGCGCCGGCGTCGCGCATGGCGCGGAGCATCAGGTCGCCGCACCCCGTCTCGCCGTCGTCGAAGCTCTCCTCGTGCGCCCGGCTGATGGCCGAGAAGGCGTCGCGCGGCGGGCGCAGCCGGTACGCCCACGCGTTGTGGGTCGCGGTTTGGAGGTGGGGGACGTCGGTGAGGAGGGACTGGACGAGGGCCTTGCGCTGGGACGGTTCGCTCATGTGCGTGGCGCGCGCGACGAAGGTCGAGTCTTTGAGGGTGATGGGCTGGCTGGTGGCCCATGTTGGTTTGGAGGGTGGCTTGTTGGGAGTTGGTTGGAGGGGCGTGGTTTCTTCTATCTTGACCTGTGTCCCTGATGCGGAAGTGTTTGCTTCGGCCGTGCCGGCGTCCGCCTTGACATCCTGTTCGCCCACCACCTCCTCCCCCTTCCACTCGTAACCCCCCCTCTTGAGGACGGCGATTTCTCTGCCCAAGACCTTCACGCGCGGCTGCCCCTCACCCCATCCCTCCTCATCCGCACTCGGGCCCTTGGTAACACCCAGACTGACGGCTTTTGATCGTGAGTTTGCACTGACGACTGCTTGGCCTAGGCTGAGCCGACTCGACAGTGGCTGCTCGGGCATGGTATGTCGCAGGACCTCCACAGCAAACGCCAAGACTAGCGGTGCTCTATTCGTCTCGATCACCGAGTTTGAGATGCGCTCTTCGTCCATGCACAACGGCAACTCGAGCGACTTCTCTAGCGCTTGTGGTGTCGTATCCACGGCCTCGGCCATGAATGGGTTGGTCTTGGTCCGTTTTGTTTGCGGCGTAACTGCGTCTGGAGCTCCGCGCTTGTTGGGAGCGGATGGGCCACGCTTAAGTACCGCTTTGCAAGCATTATGCAGTGCTCTGCCGCCCTTTTCGTCCTTGAGTGTCGACTGCACTGTCTCGAGAGGAGCCTCGGCGATCTGCTTGATGCTGTGGCGGCATGAGCCGGGGCATTCGCATACGAGGTAGACAGGCGCACACTGGCTCTCCCATGCCCAACCCGCTCCTCCGGCCGATTCGGACTGAACGTGACCATGAATGCAATGCTTTGCTTACCTTCTCAACTCGGCAGCCTGGAGAGCCTTGATCTGCGTCATGGCTTGCATCATCGGTGTTTTCCGACCGACCGTAATGAGCCGAAGTAGCTCTTGCAAGTCTTGTTGTGTCGCCATTTTTGATGTTAAATGTCAGTTTGCGAGAGGCAGTTTGATGGAAAGTTGAACTTGTGTCATTGGAAATTGAAGGTTGAACCCGGCAAGTTGGAGACGAAGTGACGAACCACAGCATCCCTGCTCGTGTTAGACAGGAGTTGCTGCGTAAAATTGGCTTACGTAAACCCGACGAGAGACGAGGATTGGCCCAAAATGTCCTGCTCTTGAACTTCAATTCAAGTTTGGCAGAAACTCGCACTTTAAGATGACAAAATAGAGACTGGATATATCTCGGCAACAAGCCAACCTCACGGAAAAAGGCGCAAGGATGACGAGGTGACACCTGCAGGCGATATCTACACACAAGAAATTACACATAACGGCCAAGATGGCCTCCCGCCTCCGATTACCACAACGGGCACAGCTCACTGCTCACCTGAGATGCCCTCACACCAACTCATACCCCCGGAACTTCACTTTCTCAGCTAGACTTGCCGATTCAAAAGAAGGGAAAGCCGATTCAAAAGAAGGAAGAAAAAAATTCAAGTATTACGGCCTACGATATCATGGCCCGCCAGAGTCTCAGCGTCCACCTCCACCATCACCACCCCCACCTCCACCCCCCTCCTCTCGAGACCCTCAATCCCTCGATGTCCTCTTCCAAGAAAAGAAGTGGCCCCTCTTCGGCGCCGGCATCGTGGCCCTCGGCATAGGCCTCTACATCTCCCTCGTCGTCACCACCACCCTCAAAGACACCCCGCAAGACACCTCCAGCAGCACTCTCCCCTATACCTCCTGCCCACCCAGCCACAACAACAACAACAACAACACCACCACCACCAACCCCCACAACCAACCCACCCCCACCGGCCTCCCCGCCACCCTCGACACCAGCACGCCCACCACGGGCGCCCTCACAGCACAAGCCTTCGACAAATCCCTCAACGCCCCCGAATGGCTGATGGGCATCACCGGGCTGCGCAAGACCCTCGCCCAGCAGGCCCGGGGCCACGTGCTCGAGGTCGCCGTCGGCACGGGCCGCAACCTGGCGCACTACGACTGGGGGGAGATCGTCTCGCAGGCCCAGGACCCGGCCGAGGCGCGCGCGGCGCGCGAGCGCGAGCGCCTCGCCCGCCTGCTCGACCGCCACCGCCTCGGCGGGCCGACCCTGCGCGACCAACAGCAGCAGCGCGGTGGTGGTGGTGGTGCGGGTGCGGGTGCGGGCGCCGTCGGCTCGCTGCCGGGGGAGGTGCTCAGCTTCACGGGGGTGGACGTGAGCGGCGACATGCTCGGGGTGGCGCGCGACCGGGTGCGGGGCGCCGTGCCCGGGCTGGACCGGCTGATGCGCCGGCGCCGTCTTGAGGACATGCCGCGCCTGCGTGTCGATGAGGTTGGGGCCGAGGGCGTGCCCGTCGTCGATGCCCTGGACGGGCGCGTGCGGCTGGTGCTCGGGGATGCGCTGCGCGGGTTGCCGCCGCCGCCGCCTCCTGCTGCGGTGCAGCCGCGTGCGGGGGGAACGGGAGGTGCTGGAGGGGCAGTGGTACCGGCGATGGTTGCGGGAGCGCCGGCCAAGTACGACACCATCATCCAGACGTTTGGGCTGTGCAGCGTGGCGGACCCGGTGCGGCTGCTGGCCAACATGGCGGCCAAGGTGCAGCCGGACACGGGGCAGATCCTGCTGGTGGAGCACGGGCGCGGCAGCTACGACTGGATGAACAAGCGGCTGGACAAGGCGGCGCACAAGCACTTTCAGAAGTTTGGGTGCTGGTGGAATCGGGACATCGAGCAGATCGTGCGGGAGGCGGCCGAGGAGATTCCGGGCCTCGAGGTGGTTGCCCTGAAGCGGCCACTGTGGTTCCAGGCCGGCACCACGCTGCTGATCGAGTTGAAGGTCAATAGCCAGGGTGGAAGTCATGTTGACGAGAAGCCCGCAAGCACTGGTTAGTTCCGGGGTAACAGTGTACGGAGCTCATTGTATGAGTCTGGCTCACTTGTTGTGTAGATTACCCATGTACGACACTTCACTGATAGACAGAGTTCAGAAATATAAAACGAACAATCCGAGCTGTTGAGACCAATTGTGGTAACAAGTCACCGGTGGAGCGTCCAAGTGGCCATGAGATAGATTGATCATCATCTTAATGATTGATGGGAGATTGATTGCATTCCGTCTTCCGACGCCGCCCTGCCCATCTTCGAGACTCTGTAGCCGACCCTCCTTCACCGGACGTGTCCAAACAAACTAGGCTCTGTCTATCCCGTCCATCTTGGCGCCATCCCAGCTCCAAAACCACGACACTTCGTCTCTCTAGGTGTGCAGGTATCACCCCTGAACAACCCTAACTATTGTGTACCGCAGCACGGGGTGAGGTTTAGTGATACAGGTGCAGATCGAATCCCCCTTTGACCCGGGCCGGCCCTAGCACCACCCCTTCCCGAGCCTTTCATCATTCTTGTCCGTCTTTCATCTTCATGTCACCGAATTTTCGTTGTCCTCTCCTAGCCCGGGGATCCACCCCCACAGCACCCAAGCCCCTGTTTTTTCTACCAAAACATCGAACGAGGGGAGAAAAGGAAATCGGGAGCGAAATAGGACTGGAGAAAACCACGAGGTAAAAAAGGAAAGAAAAAGCAACGCAGCGACCACCGCCCTTGTCAACCCCTCACCCTCCAGAACGCCAATCCGCAACCCACATCAGCTAAGCCATAAACGCCGTGGACCTAGCCTCTTCTATGGGAAGACCTGGCCTCGATGAAACTCCAAACAGAAAACAGAAAACCCCACGAGACGATAACAGTAGAGACGATAGCAAAAGAGATCATAACAGCAAAACCACATCGCAAGCTGGCGGAACCACCCGCCCAGCTTCATCATCGTACAAGGGTTGCATCGTCGGCGAAAACGCCAAGCGAGCAGACATACCCCGCCAAGGCCCTGACTAGATGACGAGACCCCGGCTCAGTAGTCGATCAGCAGCCCATCGAGCTCCTCGAGCTCAATGTTCTCGGGACTGCGGTCCCACTCCAGCATGCCCTCAAACTTGGCCCAGGCGTCGACGTCGCCGTCTTTCCTCCCGAAAGCAAGAGACATGGTCGACGGCCGGATTGCCGGGCTGGACACAAGCGACGCGGCAAACCCGCCAATGACCCCAAACAACGGGCTCTCGTCTCTTTCGAGATCCATTACGCTCGCCGTCTGGTCGGCGGGTGCTGCGTTGCTCGACGACGACAGGTCGCCATTGAGTTTCCTCTTTTGCAGACCGTCGGCCGTCTGCGTGAACTCTTTCTCGTCCTTTTCTAATGGCGGCGACCCCGCGCGCCCGTGGCGGGCCGAGGTGCTCTGTACCGGGCGCGACGGCATGTAGAAGCCGCGCATGGAGAAGGACCCCACAGGTGTGCCGGGCATAGCAGAGTCGTCGTCCATGTCGTCAAACTCTGGACTAGATAAGTCGACCTCGGGGCTTGGGCTGAGCTCGCGCCGCCTTTCCATGTCGGACTCGTCGGCCGACATAGACGGCGCACTGGACGGGCTGGGCGAGATAATGCTGCGAGTGTGCGCGATAAAACTCATCGTCGAGGATGCCTGGGACGGGTCCGGCAGCGGGCGGTGTGGGCAGGTTGTGAGGTAAAAGTAGGTGCGGCGCGGATGGACCGACTCGAGTTCTTTTGCTAGCGGGCAAGGGGAGAGGGCCGACCAAGTCGACCGCTTGAGGTAGGAGGCTAGTCGCGAGGAGACGATGGCGCACGGGTTCGCGGATCTATGATGAGTGTGTGTTAGCGTCAACCCACTTCAAGTCAAAGTAGCCAAGGTGTAAAACTTACTGTTGGACAATCTTGAGCTGCAGCATCAAGACGGCGGCGAGCTCCTTTACCAAGTGTGGCCGATTGCCCGAATTTTGCAGCAGGACGATGACTGCCTCGACAATTTCGTCGTTGATGCCCTCCATGTCAATTGTTTTCGGCGCCATGTCCTCGTCTTCGCTCATCTCGATGGAGGGGCGGCGCTTGGCGGGCGGTGACGGCGGCGGTGTGTTGTCGAACTTGACTGTGTCGTCGCGCTTCTTGGACAACCGACGAACGGGCGGCGCATCGTCCGAGGATTCGCTGTAGGCGCGCTTTAGCCGTTTTGTTGGTGGCTGGCTGTTCTTGGAGGGGGATGCGGGCGAGGCCATCGAGGACGCTCGGTTCGCTGGTGTGCGACTGGCATGGGACCCGGGGACGTGGATGCCCAGCGAGTGCAGCGACAGGGTCTTGTGGCGTGTATTATACGGCCTCATGATTGCTCAAGGATGCAAAAGCAACACAGAACAAGACAGGATGCGACGGATTTGCGGCTTGTGACGAAGCCAGGAGATTCCCCTCTATGCAATACACGGCGGCTGGTCTCGGAGGGGTGTTGGATCGCCAGTAGCACGTCTAAGCAGGGACAAAAATACCAATGCACGTCTCGCGCGCGTGTGAAACCACCCACACAGTCCGGCAGAACAGAACTATTTCCCGCAGAAGGACCCGAGACGAAAGCAAGATCAATCGATGATGATGGGAGAAAAGGCTCAGGCAAGGGAGATGGCCAGATAAAAAAAAACAATAACGGCGAGACGGAGGGTTCGGAAATGGGGAGGGACGGAGGGAGGACCCAAGGGAAAAGCCGTAACTTTTTTTTACGCTTACCGTTTGGGGAGGTGGGTTGCCGCGGGACTGTTTGAATGATGGAAGGGGCGACGACTTCATGAGCAGAGGTTGCCAAGCCTTGGAGACGGGTGCGGCGGGAACCACTCAAAACTCATTTTCATGCAGGGATGCCAGGCAAAAAAGCGGTATGAATCCACTTTTTGGGGTAAACCTCCCGATGTGTGTGGCCGCAAGCGTGAAGACCCCCATGCAGAGATTGAACTGACCAGCAGGCGAGGAACAGGCATGCGAGAAACCCTGCAACCGTCGCATGCCAGAGAGGCTCTCAGCTGAGCGGAGACATCCCACACGCACGGTCCCACAATAACGTTCCCGTTGACACACGACAGGTTCTGATTCTGGTCCAAAGAGCCAATCGAGGCCGTTGCGAAAGGGGTCAGAGCAACCTCAGTGCCTCGGAAAGACATCGGCGGCGAGACGCGTTTCCCGCTTGCCGTCATCACTTCTGGTCTTTTTTGCCAGATTGGCATTTGCATTTGCATTTTTCTGCGCGGCGCTTTGGCCAGTCGGTGACATCAGCCCTCCCCCGCAATGGCGCCGATGCCAGCCTCCAAAAAATCGCCGTGTAAGAGATCACATCAAAAACAGGCAGCACCGGGGTGCATCGCTGCGGCCATTTTTGTCTTTCGAGGCCAGGAGGCTCGCATAATCAAGTTCCGAGCCGAGAGAAGAGGAGTGGATTTCGGGATTCGTCCTCGACATCCCGTTCGCCCCTCGAACGCCTTCCCGAGGCTGCTTCCCCACCATGGAATCTCTCACCGCCCAGGTCCCCCCAGCACGGCAGCGGATTGGTTTCCCCGGTCACCAGAAACACCACGCGACAAACGGTTAACTAACGAGATTTACACGTCACTTTTGCAGCCCGCACCGCTTCTTGTTGGTACAAGTAAAAATAACATGAAGTAGTGGAAGAATAAGGGTTTTCTTCATAATAGTCCACATATCAACGAAACTATTTGAGGTTACTTCGGTAGGCGGCCCAACCGGTCAGGCGAACGACGGGAACGGGAACGCCAGGTCTCCCTCTGTTGTCCAGCCGCGCTCGCAGTCTCGGTCGGTTTTGGTGTTCCCGTCGAGCCGTTGCCACGGCGGGGCCCACTGCTGACAGCGTTCACCTTCTCCGCCGCACTAGTTCAGATGCAGTTACCTCATCCTGTCGATTACCGTTAGCCAATCATGAGGGGTCGATTGCGTTCGATTGCTTCTTTCGGCCGATGCCCCAGGGAAGGTCCTCGCTCGGACCTTTCTGGGGTGCCTTTCTCGGCGCGCAGGACCCTTCCGATTCTGTCCCGCCGTTGGCCAGGCAGGCAGAAAAAAAAAGAGAATTCCCCGGCACTTTCGCTGGAACTCACCGCCCGCTCACATTCCTTCTCTGAAACGCAAGTCGAAGTCGGCTAACAAACAAGTGCCTCATGGCGGGTAAAAGGCATGTTTGCCTCCCTCGGACATCCCCCTCAAGCCCATTTACTCGACCAACCTAGACATGGGGTACACGAGGCGTGTTTTTGTCTCACCGGGTGGCTGCAGCAAATCGTCGATCTTTCGTTTGCCCCGCTGGCGATCGATATCGGGACTGTGTGGCCTTGTTGGGCTCGAATACATACAGTGATACAACGCCGGCGTTATTAGTCGTGTTAGTGTACATGCAGCCCGTCTTTTTCTGTCTTTCCGACATCTCCCCTCCTCCCTTGCCTCAACCACATTCCCGCGCATATTAGACTGCACATATATGTACTTTCACAAATTGAGGTGGTTGGCGCCCGATCTGTCGGCAATGTAACATACTATTCGCGAGATCTAGACATGCATTGTAATTGAAACGATGTTGATACAGGACATTGGTCGAGCTACCTATGGTACTTGAGTAAGTTAGTTGCCACTAGTGTAGTTGCAAGTATATTCCATTCCACCTGCGTAATGCCGAGTTGCATGCGAACCCAATGTGTCGAGAAAGCCTGGTGGAAAACCAAATCCAGATCACATTTCACTCTTGAATCACCGCTCTTGGACCATCTTGTACTACAACAGCTCGGGCTGGTGTTCTAACGTGGAATTCAAACATAACCTCCATCCTCACACCACACCAAGACATCATCTTCATCATTTTGAGTACCTATTTAGCAAACCCCGCCTGCAGTCATCAGACAAGGATGCACAGGATCAACCGAGTCCATACCCCTCAAAGTTGACCGAATTGTTGTGTTGAAACCAAGTCTTCTCGAGTGTCGACGTCATGGCCGTTCCTTTCCCCTCCAAATCTTGCAAACTCGTGATCGGCGTCCGGGATAGGGATCGCTTCTTTCGTCCCCCCGCTGTAAAAACAGACAAGGAGGGGGCCCCTCTGGAAAAAAGAAAGAGGAGGCGGGACTGGGAACAAGAAAAGGTTTCAGCTGAGGGGTGACAATTCTTACCATACTGTGTAAACCAACCAACGTGACCCCAATCGGATAGCTATGATTTAGGTAATTACCAGGATACACCCGGAAATAGAAACACCCTTCACTTAGGTACATACAACATAGATCAGGCTTCACATATCTACACAGTAGTCTGTTATGGAGAGAGCTTTCCGAGTTGTTTGGAAACCTGGGCCTGGGCCGCATGAGCACATCCGTAAATAAAGAAGAGTACACGCTTTCTCTACCCCCCTCAACGCCGTCCCATGATATACGTCATCTAAGCGCTCTCGTCAAAGACAAGGCGGCTTCATATAAAATACATGGACCGTTGGATCAGGTTTCATATCCACGGCCCTTTCGGTTTCTGGCCTGACTTGAGCGCTTTTGCCCAGCCGACCTACCCCCCTTGTGTGCCTTCCATATTCTCGCCGGTTGGGGGCCCAGGATATATATCTGGGCGTTTCTTTGTGTGTTCGTCTTGAACACGCATCACGACGCTCAGTCGTCATGTTTTGACTGCGCCTCCCGCTTACGACGCAGGGCGGAGGACTTCACCAAACCGTTGAGCAACCTATTCCATCATGGTTAGCGTAACAACTAGACAGGCAATGCACGGGAACGTACCTCTGGCTCTGATTTGATAAACTGTAGCTCAAAGAAGTTGTACTTCTCATTCTTGAGTATTTCGAGCGTGGTGACCAACACTCCCCACGGATGCGGCCAGAACCCAATGATCCTCTCGAGCAGGACGCGCACAATCTGCTCGCGGATTTCCGTCTCCTCGGGGTCCGACATATCCTGTCCAAATATTTCGAGTAGCGCGTGGCTGAAGTAGTTTGTCGACGCGTTCGGGAACCTTAGCTCGTTCACGATGCTGCTGAGAAGGTAGTACCTAGTCTCAGGGGACACCTCGCTGATGAGCATGTGCAGCGTTCTGATATCCGAGGCACCGGACACGAAGATGGGCGAGTCGCTCAGTGTGCCCGCGCGGGTGACGGCAAAGTGAGCAAATTGCGCAACCACCGCGTCGATGACCCGCCGGTTCACTGGGATCGGGACGTAACCAAAGGTCGAGTCCGCCTCGTCAACCTTGCTGATGGCGTGGCTGATCTGGGCAATCGCATCTTCCGATGGGCCGTTCTGCAACGCCTGCTCCAGGATGTTGAGCAGCCCAATGTCGCGAAGCACGCTAGCCGAGTCAAACAAGGTCAAGCAAGGTTCCCTCATCTCGGGAACCCTGTCCGCTTTGAGCCCTGGCTCGACGGGGTCAGGCAGTTTGGATGTGGCGGGGGTGGCGGCAAGAATAAAGTTGGCGATTTGTGCCGTATGTGGTGAGAGGCTCCGGCACAACTCTACATGGTTCGCAGCGAGGTACTCGGGGAAATCGTGATGAAGGATGCTCAGCAGCCTCAGCACTCCTTGGTACATGCCCTTGGCTAGAGGCGAAACGGAGAACGGCTTTAATAGGTTGCTCAGATACACAAAGAGCTGGGTAAGCAGCTTTGTGAACGGCGCCCAGCCCGCTCCATTAGGGAGCCGTAGGATCACGGGCATGAAGTTGCGGTGGGCCAGTAGATCCACCCACGCGAAGACGAATCCCGGGTATACGCTTGGTTGAAGATCGTACAGGCGCGCCGCAAACTTTTGGATGGCTTGGTGGTAGTCGTTCTCCGGAAAGTGCCCGGCCAAATCCGCTAGCTCGTGCAAGATGAGCGCGAAGAACCGGAAGAAGACCCGTTGGTTGAAATCCTCCCCCCGCTTGACGTGATGATTGTTCAGCACCAACACACTGAGAGACAAGACCGAGTCCAAGAATGCCACACCCGTCGACTGTCCGTCGTCTTGGTGAGACTTGACGAAAATCATGACCATTCTGACTAGCGCTTCAGTAGCCTGGTAGCCTTCTGTCAAGCCACCCCCGGACGAGAGGGCTTGTTCGAACCGCTCAACAGACTTGTCGAGGGCTTGGCGGGCGAAGAGGAAGAAGTCTTCGCTCTTGCTAACAATGCCGCGCGAGCGCATTTGCTGCACGAAGATCGAAGCAGACTTCTCGGTGGCAAAGCGGTTGTTGCAGAGATGGATCCATTCATCAAAGACGTAGTCCATCTGCTCCGACTTGATCGCGTCAAGTTCCTCTTTGCTCAACTCGGCGGGGAGATCCGGCGGCGGGGCGAGCACTTTGGCCTTGAAACGTGCCGCACCCGGAACTTCTGGTTCCTCCGTGATCCACGACCATGCCTCCTCCAGACTTCGCACAAAGTCGGCATACAGAGCGAGCGGGCTGTCGGTTAGGAGCGTAAGATCCAAGAGCTGCTCCAGAAACGTCAACGACGCTTCCTTCCGCTGCTGCAAAAGCTTTGCCGTCGCCGCGTCGATGCTTCTCCAATCGAGAAGGTCGGTCCGGAGTAACGCGGTAATCAGGGGTAGGTTGAGGAAGAACTGCCCGGGTTGCTGGTGGAACAACTGGCGGATCTGTTCGCTAATCACGGGCCCGGCAATCTTGCGGAGAGTCTCCAGAACATGAACCAGGCTCTCCAAGAGCAGGTCGCCCTCAGGTTGCCGGAAGAGGAGCTGAGAAATTTGATTCGCGGCATAGGCAGCGAACTCCTCAGATGTCTGTTGGGTCTTGATGATGAGCTGAACAAGGGCGTCGACGATGTCTAGGACTGGGTGGGACCGGGGAAGTTCGTCAAAATGATCTTCGGTGGTGTTGGTGGCGGCAGCGGTGAGCTGTTCTAGTAGTTTGTTGACCCTCTCGGCGATGCTCCGAGAGTCAATCTGATTGATTCCTGCCTGCCGGCCATTGGCAAGCCCAGCGTGGGTCTGCGGGTAGTGTTGCAGTTGCACCCCCAGAATGGGCATTGATGGTGTCTCGGCGGGGGTTGGCATGTTGCTGACGGCATTGTACTGGTCACCGAGCGGCTCGTTCGCTAGGGACCGGGTATCCGACGCGGATGGCCCATGCGAGGGGCCCGTCGTCGCAGGAATCGCCCTTGACTGGCGGGCAAAATCGTCGTAAATGGCCATCTGTTCGGGATTGAGGCCAGTGAGGTTGGGCTGTAGTTTGAAGGGGTGAGGGATAGTCATTGCCCAACGGCTCAACCCGTGGTCGACGTAGGGTTCGGAGGGCCGTTGGAGCCGGTGGCGGCGGCGCGCTTCTAGTTCACCCTCCATCAAGTCTTCGATCTCTGGAATAGCACGCTCTTCGGCGCACTTCTCGATGATGCTCGAGGCCAGGTCAAGGTTGGAGTTAACACACAGCACGATGATGCCCTCAGGCAGCCCTTGGGGTAGATCGGCGGAGAGGTTACGCAAGTAGTTGGCGAGGTTTGCTCGCAACGGCTCTTTGGACGTGACAAGCGCCAGGCTACCTGCGGTAGACTTGACCATATTGATCGCCGATGTCCGCACCTTATTCTCGTCGGGTTCGGTGGCGAAGTCCTTGCGGACCATTTGATGTGTCGAAATCGCCGCAATCGTGACTGAGCGATCAACGACGGGCTGGATAATATCCTGTAACGCGCGCGTCAAGGCTTGCCGCACAATCTCGTGCAGTTTGGCAGCGGTGACAACTTCCGTCTGAGGGATCGACAGGTTCGGCCCAAGATCGGGGATAGTGAAGGCGGGGTGCGACGAGAGGGAGCTGTTGACGCCGGGCATGCCATTGAGAGAGAGGCTTTCAAAGTTCTCGAGGGCCTCTGGCCCGAGGATGTCACCCAGCTCTTCGATGGGAGCCCTGTTAAGGATCTCGCCGGAGGGCTCGATGGCCTTGTGGTCTAGGTTCAGGCCCTTACACAGAACCTCGATCTCGAATTTGAGATTCAGCTTCAGCTCGGCGTTGTGATAGAGCTCGATCAGGAGATGGATAATATCCATCAGCCAAGGATTGGGCGGCCTGAAGACGTTTGAGGAGACACCCTGAGCAAGAACCTTGCACACGAACGGGATGACGACGATGAGGCGCTTGGTGTCGTGAGCCTCAATGAGGAGCTGCTTGAAGGCTATATGCCTGTGCTTGATTGGTTTGTCGCGGGCCAGCGTCAAGAGCCCGAGCCAGCCTCCGAGGTTCTTAAGATGCGTCCGTTCGGTGGAATTCTGCATGGTGAGCTCCGAGTTCAGCATGCGCGACACGCTGATGTAGGTCTCTCGCTGGACCTCTGCCCACAGCGCCTTGTCCTCGAACTGTTTGACGAGTTCCAGGTAGACGTGATGGTAGTTTGGCTGCATCTTCGCGCGCTCTTCGACCAGGTGACTGGCGAACCACTGCTGATGTCTTGACTCCAGCATCTCGCGGATATCCTTGAACATGGATTGCAGCGTGGTATCGGTTAGGTTGTTGAGCACGAACTGTATCTTCCCCTGCTCGTCTTCGCCAGGCTCCTCGTAGACAATGCCGGGCGGAGGCGGGTCCACGTTGACCGAGGCGAATGGCGGCGGATGCTGTTCCGACCCTATGCTGTCCTCCAGGTTGCCATTTGTCAAGCCATCATGACCGAGAATCCCCGAATTGGCCAGGGTGGCGCCGTTACGGGAGCGGGCAAGCTCCTCGTCGTGCTCCTGGGCCACTTCTTCCGCCTTCTTCCACGCCTCAGTCCCTTGCAGACCGGGGATCTGGAGGAGCTGGGTACAGAAACCCGGCCACTCACGCAGGCGGCCAAATAGTTGCATAAGAGCCTGCAAGCCAAACTTGTACATCGACTCACCGGGATGGTGGTCTCGAACCGCTTCAAGGATCATGCCCAACCCGATCTGGAGCGGGAGGTCCGAGATGAGCTTGTGGGATATGATGCCGCCAAATAGGACTGCGGTGGTAGCGAGAGCTTCGAGCGGATAGTCAACATAATGCGCGTACTCGTCAAACAAGCCGTGTATCATGCATGCGAAGATGTCCTGGTCCAGGGGATCGCGAGATCGCTTGTATCGCTCCAAGATGTCGACGACGGTCCGGACCTGTATCTCATCGCCATACATCTTTTTGTAATGTTCTTCCATCTTGGCATTAGCGGCTAGCGGCAGCGCGTTCCCATCACGCCCGTTGGCGTCGATGATATCGTCAAAGCCTTCCCCGTAGTTGATGAGCCTTGGATACACAGTGATGCAGGTCCGTTGAACCCCGATCAGCTCTTGCATCGGCGACTTGGGTAAGAACTCCTCCAAGATTTGGAGCAGCGCATGGACCGTCCGGACCTGCAACGTTGTGCTCGCTTTGACGGGCGGTTGGCCTTCGGGGGGACGCTGGTATTGCAACTCGAAGTTCGCCTTGATCAGCAAAAATTGGGAAAGGGCCCTGGCCATCTCGGGACTCCTCTCAGCGTTCCGCCGAGCCCACTGCTGCAGGTCGAGGTACCCTTCGGCATGGGCCAGGGCAGTTAAGTCAAGCCCGAAGCCGATGGGTAAATAGACGAGCTCATCAAGCCAGTTTTGACGGACGGCATGTTCAAATATGAGCGGCAGGCTGATGGGCTTCAAGGCATGCGCATCGATCAGCCGCTGCTTGACCCATTCCTTGTCTCTCCTCCAGAGGCTGTCCATGACGAAGTCGGCCTCAGGTGACCTGGTCAGGAAGTTGTCGAAGAGAGAAACAAGGGTATCTTCGGCCATGCTCGGCCAGGGCTTCGGCACCCCAAAGGCCGAGACAACAAAGATGGCTAGGTTCGGCACAACAACGTCCTGGAAAAGGCGCTTCGCTTCAATGCTCTGGGAGGCGTGCATCGAGTGGAGCGCAACGTTGAAGACGGCAGAGAGGGCCGCCTCAGAGACCAGGGGGTGCTTGACTGCGTATGCTGCCGTTTCTTGTATCGGAAGAGGGGACTGCGCGTACTCTTGGACCGTGAACGTCGGCTTCAGGCCCGGGACGATGGTCGCATCCAGCTGCTCCGGCTTGAGGGACGCGAAAGCGCAAATGAAGGAGAGCTGTGTTTCGGGGTTCTCCCATTCCCCACCCCACAGCTGCTGGATGTTGAACCGCTCGCTGTCCTCCCGTGCTATCGGCAGCAGGGCGTTGTACAGGCGCAGAAACTGGGCCGACGTAACCCGGGCCCCGCTGTGGTCGAAGTACGACACCACTTCTTGCCACCTGAAGCTATCGGGCAGGATGCGCCTGAGGGAAGCGACGAGAACCGAAGGGTTGTGGCGGGGTGTTTGGCTGATGGTCGTGTACATCAACGACACGGATACCTGTTCCTCACTGAGGTGGACGTTCGTCGGCCGGTTTTGAAGATAGCCCGTACAAGTCTCTTCGTCCAGGGTGAACAGCAGGCCGGAGCGGTGGATATAGAGTGAAAGAGCATTGACCGGCTTGTCGGCGAGCATACGTACGAGGTCGAGTGCGGCGAGCACTTGTGACGGCGGCGGCTTCGCGTCGGGAGACTGGGCATATCTTTGTTGCACCTTGTGTTCCAATTCCCGTTTCGCAGCGGCATTGAAGTTCGGGGGGTGGACTTGGATGAAGCGGTCGACGAGCTCGGCGACGAAATCGGGCTCGAGGTCGGTAGCAGGGTCGCCGGTTGGCCGGCTTAGAATGTTAACAAAAGTCGGGAAGTTCGTTGATAAGATGGCATCGGCTGAGGAAGAGGAGAGTAATTTGTCAGCAGCGGTCGCCAGCGGGCCACGAATGGGGGATGGGCGACAGCTCACCTTTGGTCTTCAGGTCGGACCTAGGGCCCAGCTTGAAGGCGAGAGCCAAGACTGTCTTTCCCAGAGCATCTAGTTGGAAATGTTCCATAAAGCCGGAGAGGTCGAAATCGCGAAAGATATCCTCGCTGCCGGTTTCGATGGACTCTGCTATCTTCCTGGCCTGGGGGAATTCCCGCGACAGCTTTCGCATCTCGGCCTTGAGGATGTGATGGTTTCCCGGGTTCGAGCCCTGCGGGTTCGACCCGGGCCTGTTGAGGCCCGGGAATATCTGAGAGGCATTTGCGGCCACCAGTCGCGCGAAGTATTTTGTAAACACATCCATGCCGTGTTCATCGAGTAGCTAATATGAAGGGAAGGCGACGTTAGCAAGTTGATAGATGATGGATGACAGGGGGGGAGGGGGGGGGAGGGGGGTAACTCGATAGCCGTGCATGATGCCACATGCCACATCCACATTCCGCATTTTGCATTACCTTCCGCAGAGACTCGAGTTGTGACTCCCACTTGTGAGGATCTTCCTTGTCCTCCCTGATGGTGCTTAGAAGCAGGTAGACCTGGGCGACTGCGATCTTGGTCAGGGAGTTGGACCCGGTGGGGCTGCTGGTACTGGGGCTGGCAGCCGCACTCAGCGCAGCGGCGTGAGAAGGATGTGGGGAGTGGCCAGTGTAGATGGACTGCGCTGCTGGGCTCGGCGAGAAGGTTCCCGGTCTAGGTTGGGCGACCATGGATTATGGGGAGAGAAGAAAAGGAGGGAATGGTGACACTGCTATCCCCTGGCGGATAGAGCCACTTTCCTCTTTCTTTATTGGGGCGGGAATGTGCACGAGGGCCTGGGGGACAGAGAGACTTGCTTGGTCGCGAGGCAGGGAGACGGCTTCGGTGCGGTTGTTCGGTGCGGCGGGCTGCAGGTGGGGCATGGACTGGCAATGCTGTCGGTCAGTCCGTCTTCGACAGAGTGGTCGAAAAGTCACGGCTTTTTGATGAATTGGTGGTCCTGGTTTGGCTGTGAGGAAGTGCTTTTTTCGGCGTCTGAGGTCAACGGAAAGAAATGGGTCACTGGAGCTCCCGGCCAGGCTGGCCCGCTCCTCGGTGGGCTGCCTGTGGTCCGTGCTGAGGCGTGAAGCTGAGTTTCACGCTTTCGCTTGACTTCCCTTGACTGCGTGATGGGGGGCAACGAGAGTGTACGCACGGACCATATTCTTTGGTAGCCTTGCTCGTGGCTTCCCGAAGGATGGAAGGCTTCCGAGTCCAGCACCAAGCCATTCTTTGGTTCTGCATTCCCCCAGCCGATGGCATTTAACTCATAACTTGTTGTGTATCCAACGTGACGGAACTACCTACCTACACCTACAGATTCCATAGGTTCTTTCTTGAACCTGGTTGAGACTTTTAAATTATCAGATTACCGGGCATCACTGAGCATGAGTGTTGCCATAATTATTTACCCTACCATGCTTTCCTTCTGTTTCCCATTTCACCGGAGTGCAGTTTTCAAATTCCTTGCCCCTGCCTCTTTCTCGGGCTTTGTTCCCGACTTTGTTGACACGGAACCAAGCAAGTCAGAAAAATGAGAACAACCTGTTCATATCCTGCAAACTTAGGTTCGTGTTCCACTGACTGGCCGGTCAACCCCCTCCACACTGCTGTGTACCAAGTAAAGCTTGCTTCGAGCGCAAGACCCGTAATTCATCCCAGCAGGCAGGATGACTTTGGCTGAGAATGGTGTTGGATCAACCTGCAGGTGCGCATCCAACTGCTGCTTGTTTGATCTTAGCGCTCCCCATCCTTGCGCTTCAGGCCCCGCACCGCAACCAATCGAGAGCCCCCGACCAAACCCCAGCCGTCCAAGACCCATGAATAATCTCGAAATCTGGGGGCGGAAACGGGCCTGTCGCGAGGATGATTCGGCCCTCGCAGCAGCACGGGAGCAATCGCGTGCCGTCTCGCCGCGTCCCGCCTGACCCCGGCAACATGGAAATGGACCCTGAGGGAACGGGTCCAAGTTAGGAGGAGCCTTTCTCCTTGCACAGTACTTCCGCTCCAAGATCTACGTGTTGTTTTTATTCTTCTTTTTTTTTTTTTTTTGGTTACGACCAGATATTACCTCACCCTTCGACGGCGGCCGTCCTTGAACAGCGTCACTACTGCTCAGGCGGCCAACGAGATCGATGGAGAGGGACGGCAACTCCAGAAACTCAACCGACGAGGCTGACGTCGTCTCAACGAAAAATGCCGACACTGATGCTACCACTGCACACATTCAAACCAAGGACTTCTCGGCGCCTCCTTCCCAGGATGATGCTGTGCGTGGGGGGCAGAAAGGCCAGGTTGGCGTGAGCGCAGGCCGGGAGCCCGTCGACTCGGGTCCCGGCTTCGTGGATGTCAACGGCGACGTGGGTGGTTCCGGTCATAACGAAACGGTAGTTGATGTCATCGCGGTACCATGTCCGGGTGCCGACCCGATCAACACCTGGACTTTTGGCCATGAGACTTCACGCCATGAAACGTCCGGCGATGCTAGCGTCCCAGGTGAGATGGGATCGCGTAGCTCGTCGCGTAGGTCTGGCCCCTGGGTCACAAAGAATCTGCGCATGGCTGCTAGCATCGCCCGAGTTTCTCTCTACCGACATCGCGCGTTGGAGGACGGCATGACCTTGAAGTCCTTGGCCGGGGATTTACTAGACCAGGTGGACCGGATACGTGATGGGGCGGTGGGTTTTTCTGCTTTCCTGTTTAGCTGGATTGTTGTATTGATCTAGCTAGGCCGCGCGCCCCCTATTTTTCATCGGCCACAGCATCGGCGGCCTGGTTGTCAAATACGCGTTGGTTAGAGCAAATCACGGCTCTCAGTACCGGACGATAGTAGACAACTGTCATGGGGTTACCTTTTTCGGTGAGCCAGCCGACCGCAGCAGGCGAAAACGTATTGACTGACCGCGAAAGGCACACCGCACCAGGGATCGAGCTACATGTCCATGACGAGCCTCAAGGAGAGCATCCAGGACATCCTTCAACTGCAGGGGACCCTTCCTCAATCACTAACCGACGAGATCAACGTCCGTAATCTGGATCTTGTCGGTCTGCACGACGAGTTTGTAGACATGGCGAGTGAATTCCGTCTTTGGTCCTTTTACGAGACCCAAGAGTCCATGTTGTCTGGTTCTGCTGCTGGCTTTTCCAGCGACGTTCAGTTCGGTGCCCCTCTGGTATCGGTCAAATCGGCACTCCTTGAAGTATGGCAGGAAGACGTGTACGCTGTCGACAGTGACCACGCCCACCTTGCTTCGTTCGGGCCTAGCAATGCGCGCATCATGGATTCGTACCTTGCCGATTTCGCCCAGGCCATCGACAAGGCAGCCCGGCTCAATCTCGCCCACCGCCACACACCGCTGCATTTGAAGTCCCTCGTCAAGGTTGAGGTCATTGGCTTCTACGAAGACCTGGAGGCCATGATGGCATCACCTCGGCAGCAGCAGGGTGGCGAGACTGGCTCCATGATCCGACTGTATTCTACAAAGCATCCTTATAAGGATTTCCTGAAAAAAGGTCCAGACCGCTGCTTAACAGAACGGCTCCATAAGGGACCCAAGCGACGGTCCAGCAAGCGCAGTATCGGCCGTCGCTCTGAAGCAGAGCCATCGGCGAGAGAGCCGAAAAAAGAGGGGGCCGGACTTGGCCTTCGCAGCCAGACGACCGACGCATCACAGAGTACTGCGTCGACGTTATCGCCAAACATCGTCATCACAACTCCGAGGGAGAGGCCACCGCTGTTGAGGGTGCCAGTCCAATCAGCGCCTCTCTTTCGCCCCCCAAGTCCGGACAGTATCGCCAGCGTCAGCACCACCATGTCAGAGCCAACACTGCCGCTACCGTCTCTCGGCGACTTTGCGGGGGAAGACGCCCATACCATCGACTTGCTGGCTCAGCAGCAAGCAAAGTCGTTGATGAAGGAACATGGCCTTACCGCCACGGCTGGCTTCTCCCGGCCCAGCCCATCAGCGAGGAAGTTTATGTGGGTTCATATGCCATTCAACAACCCGGTCTGGGTCAAGGTATGAGGCTGCTCTGAAAGTGTTCTACGCAGCCTAGATGCTGACTATCGGCAGGAAATCTTTGCAACGATATCCAAGACCCAAGGGCTAGAATTTTCGCGGCTTTTCGACTATGATAACTGGGTGTCCAAGCAGATCCAAAACCGCAATTCGGAATCCCAGCCGGCGTACCTCAAGGCGATGTGCAAATACCTCTCTGCTGCAGACCGTTTAACCTCACCGCGGATTCCCTCGCCTTTATTTGGCCCCGTCAGCACGGGTATCACTCCTAATTGCCTTTTTCTTTACCTCCCTTATCTCCACTTCGACACATACCAGGGCATGATCCGGCGCCGGAAGTTGATCACAAAGCGCCGGTTCCATGGGCGAGCGAAACCCGTCCCTCGGTGGGTCGAGCAGGAATCGCTTGAACTCAAGGTGATTTGGGAGTACATCGGCTTCGACCCTCCACTGAATTGCCGACGAACCCTGGATCAGTTCGGGCATCACTCTCTCAGGGATACCAATTCGCGGGACGATGACCAAATGCTGTACAAGCTCACCAAGAAGGACGCACCGGCGCCGTGGAGGCGGATGGCCAACATTGGCTCTGCTCGGTCCTCAGCTGGGCGCTCCTTGCCCTCGGCCAAAGGATCTTCTTCGAGCTTATACGCCGGCACAGATGCCGAGTTCGGCGTCGAACCTGGGTCTGAACTCAAGGATGGCAACGTCCTGATGGTTGATCAGCTATGGCTCTGGTCCATTGATATGAGTAAGCCTGGTTTTCCTGGAATCCGCAAGGCGAGATGCTAACCTCTTTATAGCTACCCTGGTGACTTTTTTCTCCAAGCGGGAGTCTAGCCCTACGGAAGGGACCCTGTTCCAGCAGGCGGATTTGCGGAGCAGCGTCTACAATGAGCTCAACGGCGATCTCACAGGAAGGACGGAGAACACTCTGGACCTTGCGGCGTTGATCGTATGGCATGCTGTCACTGTTCTTCTCGACCGGTCCTCGCACCCCGATCTTGAGATATTCCGCCTCTTTGACGAGGCCATCGGTATGCTGGTATGTCTAAAGCCACCCGGTCGGTGCCGAATGTAAAGACAGACACTGACACGTGCGACAGGCCGAGCGGATGACGCTTAACATGAAGCAATTTCGAATCAGTGCCCTTGACATGGAGCCAGATGACGAGGACGGGTCAGACGAATCGGGTGTCGAAGGGGAAAGTCCAACTGCGATTAAGAAGCGCCACAAACGTGAATTGGAACGGTCAGAGCGTGAAAATAGGGAAAACACGTCGGCCCTGTTGGAGTTACGCGACCTGGAGGATGAGCTGACGACACTCTCCAAACTTTTCGACATGCAAGAGTCGACAATTCGCCAGATGAAGGAAATCTACACGAGCAAGGACTTCAACGATACCACTAAAAACGGGCAAGACTACCTGGATGAGGCGCTCGAGTACCTCGAGGACTACAAGCAGCAGACTGCCGAGATGCTGAAGAGGGTAGATACTACGAGGAATGACGTAAGTCAACCCTTAGAGCATATTGATATCAACCAGGCATGGACTGACGGTTTTGTTTAGTATGAAAAGATGCTAGAGATGGTACAGCGCCAGGCCCAAGTCGACGAGGTTCGATGGTCGCGTTTGCAAGCCGAGCTGGCGTCGAGCCAGAACCTCTCGGTCATGATCTTCACAACCTTCACCGTCATTTTCCTCCCCCTGACCTTCTTCACCGGCTTGTTTGGTATGAACACGATCGAGTGGCAGGAGGAGGACATACCGAGCCTGAGGCAAATTGGCGCCATCTCCCTCCCGGCATCGATACTCCTAATCCTTGTGTCGCTGGTGGCGGCCTTTAGTTGGCGCGTGCAGGGCACTTTCAAGGCAACGTACAACGGCATTAAGACGTCGTGGAAGATGATCAAGAACGTTTATTCCGAACGGTTGGAACCGACATCGAGGAAAATTGCCAAGAGAAGAAGGAGGGAGGAGAAAAAGAGGCGGAAGAGGGAGGCGAAGATGGCGCAGGACGACCAGAGCTACGACTTCTGGGCCATGGTCAAAAGGCAACAGAGAAGTGTGCAATACCAGATCCCAGAACAGAACGTCACCGGCTCGACGGCTGTTGATGCGCCGAAGAACCGAAAGCGACCATGAGCTGAGGCAGGCAGGCAGGCAGGCAGCACAACACAGGCACAACACCGACCGGAGGCAGTGGGAGGCAGTTTGAGACCATTGAGGCCTTTTGAGGCGCGGCGACAAGCCAAGTTCTAATTAACGAGACGGATAAGGAAAGCGAGCCTTCTCGCTCTATACTTCCCAATTCTGTCCCTCTTCGCACCCGTGGCCCCAGACCTCGTACCACCGACTATCCTATTGGCTCTTACTCACTCGGCTCAAGATGGCAGCTCGCGATGTCACAAGACGGAAAACATGGTGGAGTGTGGGGACGAGAGAACGAACTCCCTTGGCTCGGCTTTCCTCGGGTAAGCGGGGGCCAACTGAAGGCCAGGGTCCGTATTCGGGGTCCGCTTCGGAGGGCGCACAGACGCATCTTCAAATGCCAAAAAGTCAATTGGCCGCTTGTCCTGGGAGGAAACGTCATTTATGAGAGAGCATTGAAAGAAAGGCCCGAGGAATTTGGAGCAGAAGAGGAAAGGTCTACAGATTACGGGTCTGTTTAACCCGCGATAGAAATTGATGTGAGTCAGGGCCGTGACCGCGATTGCCAAGTTCAGTTGCTTGTACATCCGAATCCCCCTCCATCGCGGGGCGGCCAATTCCTTCCTTTCCTCTTTTTTTCTTCCGAGTCATCCACCTTCCCGGCGTGCAGCAACGATGTCGGCCTCTGCACGCCTCACAACTGGCCTCTGCCGGAGGGCCGCGGCAACCCCCGCTTCACTTCCAACAACCAGGTTTCAAAAAGCATGCGGTGTCAGGAGTCTGTCTTCGGCCACGACTCGCCGGTTACGGCGTCCAGGCGTCCGCGCAACACACAACAGTAGCTACCTTGCTGCGCAAACGACCGGGAGGTGTTTGTCGACCACCCCAGCCCGTTTCTACGCCGAAGCCGACGACTCGTTCGACCCAGCCAGCATCGAGCGCGAGAGCGACCAGGTCGATGTCTGCATCATCGGCGGCGGCCCCGCCGGCCTCTCCGCCGCCATCCGCCTGAAGCAGCTGGCCAACGAGGCGGGCAACGAGGACTTCAGGGTGCTGCTGCTCGAGAAGGCCGGCGAGCTCGGCGCGCACATCCTCTCGGGCGCCGTGATCCAGCCGACTGCGATCGACGAGCTCATCCCGGACTGGCTCGACGAGGCGAACGAGAACCGTTTCACCGGCGCGACGCCCGCGGGCAAGGACCGCATGCGCTTCCTTACCGAGAAGATGTCGATCCCCGTACCGAAACCGCCGCAGATGAGCAACCATGGAAACTACATTCTCAGTCTGAACGAGTTCACAAAATGGCTTGGCGAGCGTGCGGAGGAGGTCGGCGTTGAGGTATACCCCGGGTTCGCGGCCAGCGAGGTGCTGTTCGGGTCGGACGGAAGCGTCAAGGGCGTGGCGACGAACGACCTAGGCATTGGGCGTAACGGGACGCCCAAGGACACATTCGAACGGGGCATGGAGTTCCACGCGCGCGTCACCCTCTTCGGCGAGGGTTGCCACGGGAGCCTGAGCAAGCAGGTCATCAAGAAGTTCGAGCTGCGCCGCGAGAGCCAGCACCAGACGTATGCGCTGGGCGTGAAGGAGGTGTGGGAGGTGCAGCCGGAGAAGTTCAGGAAGGGTGAGGTCACCCACTCGATGGGCTTCCCGCTCCCCTACGACACATACGGCGGCGCTTGGATGTACCACTTCGGTGACAACCTCGTCAGCATCGGTCATGTCGTCGCGCTCGACTACCCCAACCCATGGCTGTCTCCCTACGGCGAATTCCAAAAACTGAAGCAACATCCGCTGTACCGTGAGGTGCTCGAAGGCGGCAAGTGCATCTCGTACGGCGCGCGCGCTCTCGTCGAGGGCGGCTTCCAATCGATCCCCAAGGTCGCCTTCCCGGGTGGCGCGCTGATTGGCGACTCGGCCGGGCTGATCAACGTGCCCAAGGTCAAGGGCACGCACAGCGCCATGAAGTCGGGCATGCTGGCGGCCGAGGCCGCGTGGAACGCGCTCCGGGAGAGCGACGACGCGGGCGCCGTGTTCCTGTACGAGTACGAGGAGGCCCTGCGCAAGTCGGCCATCTGGAAGGAGCTCAAGGAGGTGCGCAACATGCGGCCGTCGTTCCACACGCCGCTCGGCCTGTACGGCGGCATGCTGTACTCGGGCCTCGAGGCCTTCGTGCTCAAGGGCCGCGTGCCCTGGACCCTGCGCCACGGCGCCCCCGACCACGCCGCCACCAAGAAGGCCGACGACTGCCCCAAGCTCGAGTACCCCAAACCCGACGGCAAGCTCACCTTCGACATCCTCACCAGCGTCTCGCGCACGGGCACCAACCACGAGGAGGACCAGCCCGTCCACCTGCAGGTCAAGGACTGGGACAAGCACACCGCCGAGACCTGGCCCGCTTTCAAGGGGCTGGAGAACCGCTTCTGCCCGGCGGGCGTATACGAGTACGTGGAGGATGCCTCCAAGCCCGAGGGTGTGCGCTTCCAGATCAACGCGCAGAAGTGAGTTTTGTTCTTTTTCCCTCGTTTTCTTTACAGCCTCTTAAAAGGCCTTGATATCACGTTGGGATTAAATCGCTAACGGAGCCACTCACTAGCTGCATCCACTGCAAAACGTGCGACATCAAGGCACCCAACCAGGACATCAACTGGCAGGTGCCCCAGGGCGGCGAGGGCCCCAAATACTACATGTCTTGAGAGGCGGCGCTATGATGATCTAGTGTGCTGTTCTTGTCTTTTGCATGTACCAACCGCATGTATACATACGACAGGCATGATAGCGTGCGGGTGGTGTTTTGGTGTATCCTGTTTGTAGCGCTAGACTGACTGGAGGCATGTTTTGCATTTTCGCGTTGGGAGTTGGCTTAAACTTTTGGCGCCATTATGTGGATGGCATGGCATGGCATGGCATTCGAATACAGAGAGGATCAAAGTTGCTTCACTGGTATTTCGAAAACGCGAAGAAGCTGACCTTGGACTGTCTGGGCTGTCAAACATGTTCGGCCGAATAAGGGATAGGTGAAGTTGCAAGCTATCGCGTCTCAGTGACACAGAGATGTGGCTGAGCGCTGGCGGGGAAACAAGTGGAGGCGCAGCGACTTGCTGCCGGCGTCGTGTGGTCCTCGTAGTCTATGATGGAAGAAGGCGATCTAAAATGGCAGACTTCATCGTGCGATGATGCACCAAGACTTTTGAACATCAGACGAGCTGAGGCCTGTATCATCGCGATATCGTCACGACAAGGGCGCGTGTCAGTGACGCGCCGCTGGGCGGGAAATGAAAGAAAAGCCGCATGAACCAATCAGCTCACGCCATGCGCAAACGCGGGCGGCCTTGTCATCTCCCCGCGCGCGCGAGCCAGACAACGAACGGCTGAGGGGTCATCGTCGAGAGGGGTGGAATACAGGACAGGTTGCTCCCTGTGGTTGTCTTCAAAACCTTCCTTTTTGGAGATGCCGTCGCGTCCATACCTCCACTCGACAGATGCGAGGTTTGCACAGGCTTTTCTCTCCCTCCGCAGGCAGACGAAGCGAATTCATAGCCGCAGGTTTTAAGCGCTAGGATGCCCCGCGCCTCATGGGCCGCGGCACTTCAGGACTTTATGCAACTCTCCGGCTTTTGTTCCAGACTGGTTGGACCCCCGCCCCGTGAGTGCATGGTTGGGTCGGCAACCTTCAGGTTTGGGAGGGGTGTGAGGGGGCACGGCCGCAACCGAACTTCAGCGCCAGAGTGTGCGTGCGGGTTGGCACGGTTGGGCAGGAGGGAGGGAGCGGCCGACCGTCAACCCAGCCAGCCCGCTGTGGCAATCGCGCAATCGCCTGCGCCCGCCTTCCCCCCTCCTCGCGGTCCGGCAAACCGCGACGGAGGAGAGCGAGGTTTGAACCCTCGCCTTTACGAAGCGCTCGCGCTTATCGGCGGCGATGCATCTTTGTGCTTTGATTGCTCAAAACAAGAATTTATGTGTGAGGGCCGAAGATGACTCACAGACAAGGCTGGGTGTTGGACGGGAAGTGTTGTGCATCGGGTTGGACGAACCTGAAGCCACACGGGCCACAGACCTGCACGGGGCACACCCCATTTCCGCCCCGTTCCAAGTACAGATACTTCCCGTTCATCTTGGGAGCGGCGCTCGAGGCCCTTCCACCCCCTGAAGACGGGCACGGTTGCCATGCGCCCGGTTACTGAGACGCCCAACATGCCAAAGGCCATGAAATGCGCTCGATATTTCCGTTTTCGCGCCAAGCCGTGGGGCCCCGGGTGCGCCATTGTGATGGGTGCTTTCCTTTGCGCGCTCAGAGAGATCGAGGGTTCCTTGCCTTTTGATGCCAGAAATGTGAGGGTCGGGTAAGGGGCAGGTCTTGGCTGCTTGTGCTGTGCAGGAAGTTGCCTCGGACAACACTCGCAGCTTGGTGGGTTTGGGCCTTCGAACGGCTTGCAACCAAGGCGGGCCTTCCGAACACAATTGATTGTATGCGCCGGTACTCGGCCTGAGAGCCAAGCTGCAAAATTTCGAATCATTCGCGGTAGAATTGCTGCAAGTTTGTCATCCATACCTCGGTATCGTCGTATTCCGAAAACGGTATTTGCTGTTGGTTTGATGCTGCGGCGTCGGAATGCGTTGTGGCAACGGGCTGCCTGAGCCCGCCAGACGCGCCGCAACAAGGCCGCGCGTCACTCCGGCGCAAGCGGGACAGCACTGTCGCGACAGGATACCGGCATGAAATCTGTGTGGTGTTGGTGTGCGAAAATAGGTCGTGGTTTATGGTACTGCTCGGTAGCATCAGCGTTCCCCAGCGAAAGGTCGAGCTTGTGCCGACATTGACTTCGATTGTTGATTGAGTGCGCGCGACAAGGCATAGCCCAGCGGCCTTACGGTCGCGACGCTCGGCGGCATCCTCTGGTAGTGTTAGGCAACTCGGTCTTTCTTTTGTTATCATCTTCATATCGAGTAGACCCTCAGGAAGGTCGTCGGGCGTCTCGGACTCGGGTTTGTTGTGTTTGACGAGAGCTGGCGATAAGAATACGGCAGCAAGCATAGAACGCAGGAACCAGCTGAAAGTGATGATGTAGACGGGAGCGACTCGGCATGCAGCACCGGCGTTCGGCAATGGCGTTTCGTTGTTTTCTTGAGAATCGCGGCGTTGAGAATGGAAAAGTCAATAAATTATCGTTGAGGTCTGTAAAGAGTCGCCGAAACAGCAGCGCATGATAAAAATATAGGAGAGGGAGAGTTGTGCGTTTCAGGAGGTCGTAATGGTGTGTGACGGGTTTCTGGTTGAGATGGCGAATGGTCGCATGGTTGGGTGGTGTTGTCGGAGATCCCAGCGGCCTGAATGCGAAGGGCGAGCTGGCAGTTTGCTCAGTGTGCAGAGGTACCAGTACTTTGACACTGTGCGCAGGGGTTGATTCAGGAGGTGGGCGCAGGATCGCATCTTTGATTGGTTGAAGGGGGAAAAAAATCCTGCACGGCCGGCCTCTGATTCGCCGCATCCAGAATCACAGAACATGAAAGAGCAAGGGATCCGCCGCCACCAGCCTAGCGTGGTTGCCTGAGGCGCCACCTGGGCATTCCAGCGAAAATTATAAGTAGGTGCCGCTCCCCCGATTTGTTTTCCGCCCGCGCCCGGAAGTCCCCAACCGGCCGTTGCTACCTGCCTCCGGCCACACATTTTTGACCCACACCCCCTACCGTCATCGAAACTCCACATTTTTCACAAAACGACCTTGACGTCGGCCGTTGCTTGTCATTCAGACATTTAACGGTTTTCTCGATACCTGCGCTGTGTGGGCGCAACCTCTCATTCATTTAGAGTCGAGGATTAATCTGTCGATACAGAGACAGGCGACCGTTCCCTCGCTTCTGGACTAGGGCCTGTCGTCACTCGGTCATTCGTGGCGCCCGTTGACCTCCAAGGAAACCGCCGTCTGTCACGATCGACCCTTTAATCGTCGACGGTAATAGAAGAAGATCCGTTTGCACAAGACACAGTGCACCTTGCTCTCCTCTCCTCGAGGAACACCGTCTTGCCGTGAGTTGAAGCAGTGTGGGCAAGCCAGCCTCTGCTCCGTGTGCAGAAAACCCGCCTCGGTCCGTCATCATCGAGGCTTCTTCCGGCTCCGAGCCATCACCAGTCGCAATCAAGCGCAGCATCGCATCGGCGAAGATTCTTTTGAGGTCGTTGATTGAGACATCCCGACCATCCTCGAGGGTGTTTGCCGACGGACAGCAGTTTAGGGGGACACATTAATTTGTTCATCTCCCACATCTGGTATGGCCCCTCTCTCCGCCTCATCCCATCGATTGTATTTTATCGCCACTTCCCTTTCGCCCTTGAACAACAGAGCCACCTCCATTCATCCCATCACCGCCATTCATTTTGGGCAATCAGTGATTGTTCCAAGTGGTGCACGGGCCATAGACAACATCTATAAATTGTTTTGCCCTTCCCCTCCTCCGTCGCACCAACTTTTTTTACCCAAGGTCGAGAAGTCGCATTCCCACAAGATTCCCATGTTAGCGGTTCGTTTCCGAAACCTCATCTAACTCGTTTCCCCGTAGAATTGTTCGCGCAAGCCAAAACAACCTGAGATCAAGTCGCTTGGTTTACATCGAACAAGATGGAGGCCATTCAGACCCACCCCTCGAACGCTGCGCAGGCCAAGGCGTTCACGGCGCCTGGCTCGCTCTCGTTCCCCGGCGGCGCGAACGAGTTCGCAAACCAGGCGGCGCAACCCAACGGTATGGCAACCAACGGCGTTCAGCAGCAGGGCGTTCAAGCCACGAACGGTACTGGGGTGACTCCCGCGACCCCCGCTGCGACGCCAGGAGCTGGCCCCGCGGGCCCGAGTGGCATCACTCCCACGCTCCAGTAGGACTCCCTCTTGTAATAGTTTCTGTTGCGAGACTCGGGGCTAACCCATTCAGAAACATCGTTGCCACGGTCAACTTGGACTGCCGTCTGGACCTCAAGACGATCGCGCTGCATGCTCGTAATGCGGAGGTACGTGTTGAGTCAGAAGCCCGGCGCGCTGTCCTCAAGTGAGAAACAGCGTCGCTCATGGCTTCTTGTCTTCAACCGTCTTTTGCCACAAGCAGTTCTGACCAGAAACAGTACAATCCGAAGCGTTTCGCCGCTGTCATCATGCGCATTCGCGAGCCGAAGACTACTGCTCTCATTTTCGCCAGTGGCAAGATGGTTGTGACCGGTGCAAAATCCGAGGATGACTCGAAACTTGCGTCTCGCAAATACGCCCGCATCATCCAGAAGCTCGGCTTCAACGCGAAGTTCACCGACTTCAAGATCCAAAATATTGTCGGATCCTGCGATATCAAGTTCCCGATCCGTCTCGAGGGTCTCGCGTCGAAGCATCACAACTTCAGCTCGTACGAGCCGGAACTTTTCCCTGGTCTGATCTATCGCATGATCAAGCCGAAGATCGTACTTCTCATCTTCGTGAGCGGCAAGATCGTCCTCACCGGTGCCAAGGTCCGCGAGGAGATCTACCAGGCATTCGAGATGATTTACCCCGTGTTACAAGGTGAGTCCTCGCATTGCATTCTCGTCTCAATCAACTGGATGCTGACAAACATGGCTAGATTTCCGCAAGGTTTAAACCTGTGCGACGCTTGGGTCGGCACGAGGAGATCAATCCCGCCAGCAAACTACGTTTTCCCGCCGCAACACCACTACCTCGCCGCCTGTTAACCACTTGTAACACTACGCTTAACCACCATCGACCATGATTTCACGACAAAAAAATCATACCCACCAAAAAGCTCGACTGTGCTGAAGCCCTACCAAAGCTGATGCCTCGGTCATTTGTATCAATTTTTTGCGGCCTTTTTTCGGCATCACTGCATTGCATCGGCGTTTACGGAACGGAGGCGGACCATTAAAGCAGGATTTTCGCGCTTTTCGTCATGACCGCGGATTCCCCGAGTGATTGGGAGCTGGCGCGCTCCCTTTCGCGGGTTATATTACCCATAGAAAGATTGCGCACGACGGGCAGGGGTGCGACGCCTGCCCGTCCCCTAATGAGTTTGCGGTCGACGCCATCCGGGGTCCCGCAGCCAAAAAGAGAGGTTTCTGAGGAAGGAACGGAGAAGTATCGTGCCCATTTGGGAGCAGAGCTGCTGCCTGCACAATTGCCCGCTTCTGCTTCGGGTGTTGATGGGACGCTGGCACAATTTTAGTTCACCTGAAGCTCGTCATCGGCACCCAGAAGTGGTAGCAGCAGGAGGTTTGACACAGTATTGTCTGGACTAAAACAACCCATGGAGAGGCAACTGCCGTGATCGGGGAAGCCTTCGCGACCCCGACACAAAAGGATGATGGCGTAGGCCTTAACTGCTCTATCGCAGAGTTTCGTTATTCGCTGCTAGGCTTAGCTTTACGGCCAGGGCATGGCGGCGGGTCGAGACTCGTGGCGTTCTTCAGTCGTGGTTTTTGCTGCCGTCGAATACCATCATCTAGTTGATTAAAACTTGACCTGCGTTATGGCAACTGTGATGTGTGGGTTGGCTTACCTCATGTTTCGTGACCCTCTTTTTCCCATTGCCCATTCTCGCCCGAGGCTCTGTCCCCTCACTGCAAAGGCACCGCTCTCTCGCCCAGTGCCTCCGCCAGAACCAACCCCGGCGTACCCCCTCTCGTCCCATCCTCCGTAAACGCGGCCACTCCAGTCCCAGCCCACGTAGATTCGGTGGTAACCTTCCAATCCCACTTCCCGCGAAACTGCACCGGGCAGTCCCGCATGATGCAGTCGACGACCCTGTCGCCGACGACGGGCAGGAACTTGAAGGCGTGCCCGCTGTCGCCCGTCGCCACGAACAGGCCGCGCCAGTGCGGGTGGTAGTCGACCAGGAAATCGGCGTCGGCCGTGTCCGAGTACCAGCACAGCCGCGTCTTGCTGAAGGGCCGGTCGTGCAGCGCCGGCCACGGAATCATCTCGCGCAGCGCGCCGCGGAGGTCGGCTGCTGCTCGGGCCGGGATGTTGAGGTCCGGGTCGGTGAGGGCTGTGAGGGGGAGGGAGATGGGCGTTGGGGTTTGGGTTTGGGTGGTGGTGGCGGAGGTTGGGGAGAGAGGGAGGGGTGGGTTGGAGGGTGTGACCGGGTTGAGGTAGCCGTAGGCGTGCTGGCCGATCTTGAGGACGCGGTCGGTCGGCGGGATGATGAAGAGGCCGGTGGAGAGGTTGAGGATGACAGGCATCTTGCCGAGCTCCTCTTGCTCGGCTTCGGTGATGTCCATGTAGGCGAGGACTTGGCCGGTGGCCACTGCCTGCCCGGCCAAGTCAACCAGGCCGCCGGTCCATGCACCCGCGGCGACGATAACCAGATCGGCGGACAAGACGCGGCCGTCGGAGAGCTTGGCGCCGGTGACGGTGTCTTCAGCCCTTTCCAAGGAGACGACAGTTCCGGGAACGAAGTCCACGCGTCCCGTCTGTTGAACCTGGTCAAAGGACCACGCCATCGCGGCTCCAGCGTTCCCCCATCCACTGTTGTTGTTGATGTAGCCCCATGACCCAGAGCTGCCACCCGTTCCCAACGCCTCGCGGATGGCGTCGGGGTTGGGGAGCTCCCGAACACGGGCAGCAAGAGCTGGGTCTTTAGACGCCAGAGACACGACGTTGGCCCAGCTCATACGAGCATAGTCCAAGCCCGTCAGCTTGGGTTTCAGACCCCCGCTCGCCGGGGCGGCTGATGGCGCAGGCGGCGCGAGGTCGCCAACCAGAAGCAACCCAGCCTCGTGGTAGCGCCCTTGGGCACCTAAGTCAGCGGGGGTTTCTTGCTTGCGCCATTGCACTTGGGCCTCGTCGCCCAGCGCCGTGTACGCTGGATCAGCATAATCGGCCCTAATAATCCGGCTGGTGTCGATACTGGCGGCGTCTGGTGAAGGGAATGTTCCAGGCTGGGAAGGGTCCGACCTGTCGACGACGGTTATCGAGCATTGAGAGAAGGCATCGCGACGGGCGAGGGCCAAGGCAGTGCTGAGCCCAAAGACGCCAGAACCAATGATGAGAATTGAAGATGGAGGTGAGAAGGGTCGCGAGGAGGGAAGCGAAGAGGAAGAGGAAGACGCAGCAGCCATTTGAGAAACGGAACGGCAATTTGGCTTCCGTAATTAGACAAGGTTTCAGACGCGAAGCGGCAAAGGCCGGGTCCAACAAGGTCGGGCCTAGGGTTTGGGTCGCTGGCCGTCACAAATGGCCCCGTTTGTGTGTGTGGTATTCGTAGTTATGCTGTGTGCTGCTCACTTGTGCGACTGCGTGCCCGTTTGTTCGGTTTCCAACTTTGGAGGTCTGCTGCAGTCCAGGCGCTTGCTTGGGTAGGCTTGACGACAGGAACACGCCTCGCCCCAGAAGGGCGCCCGTCCAGGCATTAAATAAGGAGGTCGAACATTGTGGGGAACCCATCGTCTTCGAGGGAGGGAAACGGAAGGAAATATCTCGGGGCTCGGCTCTTGCAAACAACGCGGGGAAGGGCGCCGATGGCTCCAACATGGAGAACGCATAATGGAGGATGGAGAGCACGAAATGGAGCCATGAGCAGAGATCTCTTGTGCTGTTGAAGAAAGGGAATCTCCGAATGTCACCTTGGCCGTTCGGACTGCACCGGGAAACCGCTGATTGTCCGATGCAGGCTCTCCGACGGCATCATACCCTGACAAAAGAAGTTACAGGGAAGAAAGACTCGGACCCATCCCCCGCCCCAACATGAAAGGGCGCGCTCTTCTTTTGAGGCGCTGCACGGAGTCCGGTGATGGACGAAGCCCCCACCAACCGTGACACAGATCATCCTCGCTTTGTGGGTCGCCAGAACGTGCGCGTTTGGATATCGGTCGACGACAGCTGGCAGCATCGATGGCCGTCTCACACTGGCCTGTACTCGGTACAGAGTCCCATCCACAACCGGGCAGTTGAAAATGGCAGACGAATACCGACGAGGACGGTGTCCCAAAATAGCGCTTTCTCCATAATTCGGGAAACAAGTATAATTGCAGGATTCAAGAGGATACCCCAGTACCGAATCCGACCTTGAAATCGCCAATTTACGGCGGAGTGTTCGGTTGTCAATGGCAATTGAGTAGTTCTTCGTGCACAATCACTGATGAAGAGGTCAATTTCGAGCATGGCCGTCAGGGTGCCAGCATTAAGGTGCACGGACCAATTCGCCATCCAAGGAGGCCGATCCCTCAACACCAGCGCGCGAAGGTGCAATTGCAACATGCGGATGGTGTAACAAGTCCACCCAAATCACCACATCCCAACATGCGTAGCCGACACACTCGCGCTGCCAAACATGTCGTCGACCAAAAAGATTGCCGAATTCCCTGACGTCGAGGCAAAGCTGCAAAAACCGGGCAAGCAATCAGCATTCGAAAAGCAAAAAGCCGAGGCCGAGGCGAAGCGTCGAAGAGAGGCCGCAGAGACCGCCGCCGTCTACGAGGATTTTGTTAAAAGCTTTGCGCATGACGACGAGGACGACTCCTCTCACGGACCCAGGCATCCGCCGTCGAGATTCGGTCATGGCCCGCCCGAGAGACCACCGTTTGGAACCGGGTCCCCTTTCGGAGGAGGCGCTGGCAGGAGACACTTTGGCATCCCCTCCGGCACTCCGCTGAAGAGCGGCCCGGGGAGTCTGGGACCATCGCCGTCGTCGTTTGTGAAGAAGAGACCATACGAAGGTTTTCAGCGAGATACGGATGAGGGCCGCGGGAGGCTGGGGTTCGACGACAGGGACAGGGAGAGGGACCTGGCCACAGTACCCGTCTCCAAGGCATTCGAAGCGAGCGACGATGAGGCAGATGGTGGGACTGGTGACCGGGCGGAAGAGAAGGCGACATCAAAGCCGACCCTACGCTTGGCAAACCTGCCGCCTGGTACATCCCCTGCTGTCATCAAGGCACTCATGCCGGCGAATCTAACGGTCGAGAACGTCAAAATCGTGCCGCCTTCGGGCCCCGGCGGTACCGAACGCAAATCGATTGCTGCTATTGTCACCTTGTCCAAGGAGACGCCGGCGACAGAGATTGATAATGCCGTGAGCGCTTTGCAAAACCGCTACCCTCGGCTTCGGTTTCTTCCTCACCCTGCACCGACATCTTTCTTCCGCTGCCATCTCGTCCGGATTGACCTCTCTGTCTTCATCGGCGACAGTCTCATACCCATTCGGTGCGAGGAAGGTTGAGGAGGGTCCAGTCAGGCCCGCTCACCAGCCGATGGGCCACGGTCGGGCATATGCTCCACCGTCATCATATGGCCCTCCTATGGGCGGCCCGCTCAACAGATCTGGAATTCTTCATGTTCCGGTCCGCGCTCCGCGAGACATTAAACAGCTCCGCATGATCCACAAGGTCATAGAGTCCGTCTTGGAACATGGCCCAGAGTTTGAAGCGCTTTTAATGTCCCGCCCGGACGTCCAACGAGAGGAGAAGTGGGCATGGGTATGGGATGCCCGTAGCGAGGGCGGAATCTGGTACCGCTGGCGGCTGTGGGAAATTGTAACAGGCGCGCAGCCCGCGAAGGGCAAGCTCGAGTACATTCCGCTGTTCGAGGATAGCCATGCGTGGAAAAAGCCTACACGGCGGCTAGCATACGAATACACGACAGACGTCGATGAGTTCATATCCGATTCCGACTACGACTCTTCAGAAGACGACGAGTTCGAGGATGAGCAGCCTCGACAAGGCGACGGTGCGGATCAAGAAGACACATTCCTGAATCCAATAGAGAAGACGAAGCTTGCGCATCTGCTCGGCCGGCTCCCGACGTCATTATCCAAAATTCGGAAGGGGGATATCGCGAGAGTTGCAGCATTTGCTATCACCCACGCCAGCCGCGGCGCCGACGAGATAGTCGACATGATCATTTCCAATATTGAACACCCTTTCGCATACACATCGGCAAATCCAGATTACAAGCAAGGGGCGAAAGAACGGGAGGGTAGAGAAGACGACTCCGGCGACACCTCGCCAGCGCCAGAGGACAAAACCGTGTCTGACGCACCTGACCAGAGCGCAGCACGGCTTCTAGGACTCTACGTGATCAGTGACATACTGTCCTCTTCATCCACTAGCGGGATCCGCCATGCCTGGCGCTATCGGCAGTTGTTCGAGGCGGCACTCCGGAGCCGCAAGACATTCGAGATGCTGGGACTGATGGCGGACAGGCTGAACTGGGGCCGCCTGCGTGCCGACAAATGGAAGCGCAGCGTCGGGCTCGTCCTGAGCCTGTGGGAAGGCTGGTGCGTGTTCCCTGTCGAAACCCACGAGGCCTTTGTCAGCAGTTTCGAGAACCCGCCTGTCCTCAAAAAGGAGGCCGACGCGCTCGAAACGGAACGCAAATCCGGCCGGTGGAAGACGGTCGATGCCGTGCCCGCCGACGGGGGCAACGGCAGTGGCTTCCTGCCGGTGTCGACGAAACCGGTTGTTGACCAAGACGCAGTGGATGATTACGTTGAAACCATCCTGTATATGGAGGACGGCGATGAGGAGTTGGACCCTGTTCGCCTGCAATACCTGGCAGAATTGGACGATGCGTTCTCTGACCTCGACCTCGACGGCGAGCCAGACGACGGCTTCGGGATGGGGGCGGCGGGCGGTGATGTGACGATGAAGGATTCGACGGAACCAGCGGAACCAATCCCGGGCAGTCAGGAGGGCAAGCCCATCGGCGGCTTCCATATGTCAGGCTCGAAGCCAGCCCCTGGAAGGAAGCGGATGCGTGCCATGGACATGTTTGCCGATTCCGACTCCGACGGGGCCTCATAGGACACCTGCGGAGTTAAGATTGAATTGCCAAGAATTTTGCCCCAAAGCGCCCATCTTCCCGGATTGAGAAGCGACTGTTGAAGCAAAGACGTTGGCGTCGGCGATGTCACCCACCCCTCGGTCTCGAAGCCACGCCGAGTCGCTGCACAGTCCCCAGGGACTGGTCCGGCTGCAGGAATCCACGGGCCCGGGGCGGGGGATGCTACCTTGTCAGGGACTTTGGGAGTGGGAGTCGGCACTGTCGGCCTTGGAGTCGCGCAAGCACTTCACCTGGCTCAGATCGAAGCTGTGAACGTTCCAATGACACACCTAAATACATGGATTCCACGGGGCTTTGTGGCCCCCCCGTGGTGAAAAGGTCCTACCCAGCTCGCCTCCCCGTCCCCCCAGGGCCCTCCATTCCCACGCTCCAGCCCTGTATAGACATCCCGGCCCCCAAGGTGCTCACTGTGGCCCTGAATCACTGCGCAAGTGTTGGGGTAGTGGGTTTTCCGAAGCGGGATGCACGCCTTCCCGAGGTGTGTCATACAGGTACCGGTTACTGCACGATTCTGATTTGTTCAGCTTTGATTGAGGGGACTTGTGACGGGGTTCTTCTCTCTTTGTGACATGACATGAGAATTACGAAGGACTGCTGATTAAAAACCCCCATTTCAGCCACGGCTTGAGCGCGACCAACATCCCGCGCGGCAAGCATGGTTTTGAGTCCAGGAACTCGGTCGATTTTCTTGTAGCGGCCCCCTCCAGCCAATAGAAACTTGCTCAGTTTCTCCGACTGCCAAAACGCGGTGCCCCACCTGCCCACTCCTGCATGCATTTGATCGAAAGGACGAACCAGGAAAGGACCCCCCTTGACCCTGGGCCTTGAAGGCATCGCATACCACACTTTCACTTGCGAGCAAGGCAGGTGCAAGGTTCGTTCTCACGCACTCACTCTCTCAACCCCGCGGCGGCCGGTCAAGGAACTAAACAGGCTGCTGCTGCCGTCAGCACATCTGGGCTGTCAGTTGTGACCAAAAGTCCAGGTCTGACCCACGGACATCCAGAAACCCCCTTCTCCACCCGTGCCTCTCCCTGAAAAACCGAGAGCCAACATTGTTGCGGCACAACCATCGTCATTGAGCCTTGTCTGGCGATTTGCTTTCCGCCCAGCTTCTCTCTTATCGGTAGTGAAACATCTGCCCGTCCCGACTCGCTTCCCGCAAACACGGCTCCGGTCTGGAATGGCCCATCCCCGGCTACCTTCGCCTTCTCTTGCATGTTTCCCGGGTGCTAGGTACTTGATTTCGGACGAGGGATTGAACCTCATCCGATATTGAGCAAAACCTGCCGTCACCCATCGGCACTCACGGGCTTCTCCAATCCTCATTTCCCCTACGACTTGCGGACGGCCGGTTCCATCGAGCCTGCGATCATCCCAAAGCTGCCGGCGTACCTTGAAACTACCGGCCGACTCTCCTCTGGCGGCTCCTAACTGTCACGGCTCGCCGCTTAAGTTGCTTCGCCCGCGATCAACAGGTTCCAGCTCTTGCTCGTTGCCACCAAGGAAGATCTGTCTGTTTTGTAGCGCGTCTCATCACTTGCATGCTCCCAACGACGAGGGTTCATGATTCTTGAAGTCCGCGCGGGGCCACATGCACGGCCTCCCCTGGAAACTTGCTCAACTTGCTCACTGATCCGGCCTCGGCCCGACAATCTCGAACGACGACACCGCCCACGCCCACGCAGCAACGGGGCTTGTGCCTGATTCGCCTCAATCCAGCTCATCCAACAGGCTCGCTGCTCTTTGCGGTGGGCAGATCTGCGTCGTCAACGGTCTTCCCTGCTCCCACGCGCTGCGCGGCGCTCGGTCCGGACACCGGGCTGTCCCGGGTCACAAACTAGGAACGCCCCATTCGTCACCAGCGAGCGGGTACGGATTGAGGCGTTGCCCTTTACATCGCCCAAGATGCCTATGATAAACGGTCAGAAGATGGCCTGGTACGTGTCCTCTCGTTTACCTCAGCCGACTTATTCCCAATTTGTTTCTCTGCTGTTGGTTCTCATGCTACACACACCGTTGTGGCGTTTTGCCGCGGCCTCTCCAGGAGAGCCGGAGCGAGCAACATCCCAAAGCCGCGGCGCAACGCTTGCTAACTCTCCGACCACCACAGCGCGCCATGTATACGTGGCCACCGTTCGACAAAATGCAACCACTTCTACGAGCGAGTCATGGTTCCGGTGCGGAAACCAGGCCGGCCGCTGAGCACTTGCCCTTGCCCTCCCGGTCGACCCTGTGCCTGTGGTGGTGTACGGGTTGCCATCCCGAAGAAGCAGAAGTGCGGGTGTCCTAGTGAAGGCGGCAAGGAATCCGAAGAGCATGAAAAGGAGCACTCGCCGGTTGAGGCTCCCATGTCCCCGTCCCGACCGTCGTTCCGGGTCGGGAAGCCGAACGGCGGGACCAAAGCCAACAGCCGGAAGCAGTCTTTTGACCCCGCCAATCTGGAGAGGATGGATCCAAGATCGATCAATCTCATGGCGGTTGCGAGCAGCAACGGGGTCGCTAACGGGGTCACCAACGGGGCCACCAATGGAGTCGCCAACGGAGTCACCAACGGAGTCGCCAACGGGGTCACCAACGGGGTCACCAACGGGACTACTAATGGTGCTCCTAACGGAATAGCTGTTGCGGGCAGCCCAGTTCTCCCAGGTCCGCCCGCCGACCTAGCCGGATTCAGGCCGGGTATGAGAGCGGGACCGGCTGGGCCGGGCAACGCGTTCACGTCTCCTCATAACCCTAGCTTCGTACCGCCGATGCCCTACGGGATGGGATTTCCGTATCCCACGCCCGCCCAACTTCAACATGGAGTCAAGCTGGAAGATGGGCTCTACATGGCTCCAAATGGCAGTGTCCCGCCCTCTCCTTTTGCGAACGGCAACCACGCACCGCCGCCTCTCCGCAGCCCAGCGCAACCCACGATCCCGATCTCGAAGACGAACGGTACCACTTCTGGTGGTGGCGGCTGTTGTGGTTGCAGTGCACCAAAAACAGCACCGGCTCCAGTACCGGCCCCGAACAATACCCCCGCGCCGCTTCCGGTCTACAGCCAGCCATACATGGCGCATTTTCAATACCCCACCGTCTTTCGATACCCGGGCGACTACGGTTCTTGGCAGCAGCCGATCGACCCGGTCATCTGGCAACAAGTTGTGTCGCAGACGGGCGTGCCGATGAGCACGCCGATGTCGCCCACCACCAAAGGGGACGCGGTCGATGCTGGCGCTAGCCACCACTGCAACTGCGGCGAAGGCTGCCAATGCGTCGGCTGCCTGGCCCATCCGTTCAACTCCCAGATGTATCAGTACGTCAACAACGCATACAACGGTAGCAGCGGCAGCAGCCCCGGCGGGGCGGATCAACCGGCAGGCGGGCAGGCACGACCCGCGGTGACGGCCGGCCAGGAATCCCCGACGGAAGCACCCACACCGGCAGCGAGTGAGGGGTCACCTGCCCGGGAAGAACAGTCGCTGTCTAGTATGGATTACTTCTTCGTCAACCTGCCCATTTCGGGGCTCTGCGGAGGACATCTGGAGTCGTGTCCGTGCGGGGACAGCTGTGATTGTCCAGGTTGCCTAGTTCATAACATTCCGCTGAACCAGGGGTAAGGCTGGCTGGGGGTGCGAGAAGGGGCCGATGGGGCAGGTTGCAGTATGCGCCCGAATTGCTATGATGTTGTATCACGGAATGAAAGGAGATGTATTCTTATTTCCTCTCTGTCAAGTCTATCGGGGATTGCCCGCGGGCATTTGTTTATTATATTCCAAATATGAGATACCCATGGGGAAGTAGTTGCCGTTTCAAGATCATCATCTCCCAACCTACCGACAGAATAAAATGCTTATGCTTTATACAAGCACGTATATCAGGCAAGCATCGTGCTCGTTACCTACATGTTAGGGTTGAGACGGAGGAAGATTCAGCAGGGGCCTCTTGCTCAACCCTGGATCGTTGCTGAATGTCCATACCCCAAAACGGAGCCAGCGTAACGGAGGCTCGCCCTGTTGTTGCGCTAACAGCGATCCACCACGTTTTGGCAGCCGCTTCTCACTTGGCCAGCGCCAGGCTTAACAAAGCTCAACATTAAACACAGTGTTTGATACAAATACAAACAAATCAGCATTTGAGTTTGAGGTGCATCAAGTCACATTCGGAAATTTCGTTGTTTCCGAGCAAGAATCGCGCATGAAGAAATTTGTTATTTACTTGGAAACTTACCCGAACATCGCGAAATCACAGAGACGATCAAATAAATTGAGTAAACAGGTAGTTAACTACCTCCAAACAGAGGCATGCCAGCATCACCCTCCAGATTCGAATCTCGGCGCCTAGCTCGGTCGAGGAGCCGGTCAAGGTCACATCACGATAGAAGGACATCGAGGACTCATTCCCGCTCGCGATCTCCGCGTTTTGACCGGAACATTGCTGTAGGCGGTCCGGGCGAGGAGAAGGATCGCTGGCGAGATCGTGGACGGGATTCAGACCGGGAGAGGGGAGGAGAGGGCGGCTCAAGGGACCTTGGAAGGAGTTCAAAACGGCATCGAGTTGATCATTCGCGGGAGCGGGAGGCGGGTCGTTCATATTCGCCCAGCAAGGATCGAGAGAGCGGGAGGCCGTCGCAACCTCACCGCCACCGGCATCGTCACCGCGATGAGCACCCACATCGGCGCCGGGGTCATTCACCAAAGCGAGAGTCAATAGAACCGACACCCTCCCGCAAGGAGTTGCCCTTTGATGCCCGCCAACTCTCGCGCACCGACCTAGCCGCCTTCAAACCGCTCTTCGCCGACTACCTCGACCTGCAGAAGCAGCTGGACATCAGGTCACTCGACGAGACCGAGCTTCGCGGTCGCTGGAAGAGTTTCATGGGGAAGTGGAACCGAGGGGAGCTCGCAGAGGGATGGTACGATCCAGAGGTCTTTCAGCGCGCCACCAACGAGTACAAGGACATCGACATCAGCAGTCAGCGACCAGCAGCACCGCCGGAAACCCTCCCCCGCTCCATTTCCCCCTCCAACCCGGAGAGCGAGCCTCGCCACCAACCCAGCAAACCTGAAGAAGACGACGACGACGACGACGACGAGTTCGGCCCACCCCCACCCCCACTTCCAGGGCAAGAACACCACCACCACCACCACCACCACCACCCCCCATCCCAGCACCCCGCCTCCTCAAGAGCCCCCGGCCCCTCCATCCCCACCAAAACCGACCTCACCCTCCGCGACGAATCCCTCGCCGCGGCGCAAGCCACCGCCCTGGCCGACCACCGCCTCGCCCGGCGCGCCCACGGCCGCGAGCAGCAGGCCCTGCTCGACGAAGCGGCCCCGCGCGCCGACGCCGGCACGCGCGAGCGGCGGCTGGAGAAGCGCCGGGAGCTGAACGAGAAGCTGAAGGGGTTCCGCGAGAAGTCGCCCGGTGGTGGTGGTGGGGAGGTTGCGGAGGGCGAGTTGATGGGGAGCGGGGACGGGGTGGAGGAGTATAAGGCGATGGTGAGGCAGAAGGCGGAGAGGAAGAAGGAGCGGGTTTCGAGGCGGGAGGAGGAGGAACGGGCGAGGCGGGCGGAGAGGGAGGAGAGGGTGCGGGAGTATCGGGAGAGGGAGGAGAGGGTTGTGGAGGGGTTGAGGGCGTTGGCGAGGGCGCGGTTTGGGGGGGCGGTTGGGGGTGGTGGTGAAGGGGGCAGGGGGTAATTAAGGAGGAGGGGGGTTGGGTAGATATGGAGATGGGGGTGGGATAGGGGAAGGGGATAAATATTCAGTTTGGAGGACGGAGTTAATTAACTACTACTTGGGAATGCCTTTCTACTTTTTATTAGGGCGGTCAATATTTCAAGGAAAACCGCACTTTATCCCGTTTTTTGAGTTATTACCCCAATTCCTAATGTTATCCCGAATATGGGACTCTCATAGCTAGGTAGGTAGTCAAACAAGACTCGCCGCGGTTGACTCGAAGTCGAGTTTAAGTGCTACAGCCCGATAAAAATTCCTCCACAATTTTTGCCCGCTCCACCTCAACCCGCATTTCACATCTCATGCCTTTTACCTCTCACACATAATTCACCAGAGTCACATAGCAACCTCCCACCAACAATAATATTCGGCAAGAAGTCACTCCAAGATGGCCACAGCCGACATCGACGTCGACACCGTCGACACAGACCTCTTCCAAGACCCAGAAGATTACTACCCCCCGACCCCGCCTCCCACAACCCAAACCTACACCACCATGAACGGCGACATCATCACTCTGCACCTAGTAGGCCGTAAGTGAAAAAGGAAAAAGAACCAACCCCAACAAACCACCACCCCCTCAACCCTCTCACCCCCTCAACCCCCTCCCCACCACCACCCCAACACCCCCCCCTCCAACTAACAACCCACCCCTCAGACTCCCCCACCGAAGCACACCACCTCTGGAACGGCTCGCGCGTCATGGCCGCCCACTTCGAGTCCCACCCGGAACTAGTCCGCGGGCGCACCGTGCTCGAACTCGGCGCCGGCGCAGGCCTGCCGTCCATCGTGGCGGCGGCGGTGGGCGCGCGGCGGGTGGTGGTGACGGATTTCCCGGACCCGGATCTGCTGGAGACGATGTGGCGGAATGTGAGGGGGTGTGGGCTCATTCCGGGTGTGAGCGAAGAGGAGCAGGAGTTGCCGATTGTTGTGGAGGGGTTGGTTTGGGGGGCGGATCCGGGGAAGGTGTTGGGGTATTTGGAGGGGGGTGGTGGTGATGGGGATGGGGATGGGGAGAAGGGGGAGAAGGGGGAGAAGGGGGAGAAGGGGGAGAAGGGGGAGAAGGGGGAGAAGGGGTTTGATGTGTTGATTTTGGCGGATTTGTTGTTCCGGCATTCGGAGCACGGGAATATGCTGCGCACGGTGCGGCAGACGCTCAAGAAGAGTAGGGAGAGCAAGGCGTTTGTGGTGTTTACCAGTTACAGGCCGTGGCTGCAGCACAAGGACCTGGCGTTCTTTGACGTGGCGCGGGAAGAGGGGTTTGTGGTGGAGAAGGTGCTCGAGAAGAAGATGGATCGGCCGCTGTTTGAGAAGGACCCGGGGGATGAGGAGGTGCTCAAGACGGTGACGGGGTGGGAGCTGCGATGGCCGGAGGAGGCTCTGAAGGGAGGGGGCAGGTGATGAGCACAGGGGCGATGGTGATCCAGGGGCAGGTACAAAATGAATTATCATTACAGCTATATAGCTCGGGTATCACGCGGCGTTTCCAACAAGTTCCCAGATGACGCCCAGGGGAGTCAGCAGAGTCCAACTCTAGCGGCGACACATCTCAGGCCACCACCTGACGCAGACTTGATGGCCTGCTCGAGTACACCGGCGGTTGCTCCGGGGCACGCCACCCATCCGATACGAGGTATCCGTACCTCTCGAGTCCAAGAGACGACGTCGTCTCTACCGAGGCCCGGCTTCGCAGCTCTTGAGATGGTGTGGCACGCTCGGTGTAGTCTTGATCATCCTGAGCCGGCTCGGGGATCACCGAGTGATATGAGGGCGGCGGTGAATGTCGTCGCTGGGGAGTCGCTGACGCGATCGATTCTTCACGAACGTGACCCCGAATCACTCCCTGCTCGATGTCACCGGCGGCCGACCCAACCTTGGCAAGGACTGTTTGGAACGACCGCTTCGCACGCCAGGCGGTGGCAACGGCGGTAATAAAATGCGAAAGGCTGCCGAGGCATGAGTCAATGGGGCCAAGGGGCAGGATGTCGAGATACGCACATGACGAGGGCTCCAAGTCCAAAAATCACATCGAGAGACTGGCAGATAGAACGGTGGCTCATGTGGTGATGGACGCCACCGTAGCTGAAATTCATCATATCGCGCAAGTCGAAGGCTACAACGGCGTCAGCGGGACAGCGCCGACAAGATGCGGCCGACACAACGTACCACCTCCTTGGGGAGGGTTGTGACAGTAGCCCTCGTGGGCGGTTTCCAACGTGCATAACGTGTTGAGTAGGGCCACCATCGCACATCCGTCGCCAAAAACCGCACCCAAGCCGGTGAAGGGCCGCTTTGTCGTCGCCCTCAAGAGACGGAGCAGCCAAGGGACAACAAGGACAGCGGCATGGTAAACCAAGCTTACAGTAGCCTAGATGGGCGAGTCAGACATGTACTGCCTTGTCATACACCACTTGTCCACGGCGAACCGTACCTGCATCCGGGCCCAGCGCATCATCCGTTGCGCATGACGTATCTCGTTCGGCGTGTGCTGCCACGGTCCATCCTCGCGGAAGTAACTCGATCTCTGGAAGCCGTAAAGCGAGAAATACGCAAAGACGAAGTAAACGACCTGCAGAAGCCTGAGCACTGTCAAGACGAGAGCGGGCCAGTCCCGAAGCCGCCGGGCGCATTTCTCATTGAAGTTGCCGCCATCCGCAACCTCGTCGTCGCCGGCCCGGATGGACCTGGGGCGAAGCCCGGAGAAGAAGGAGCATCTGGGCATCTTGGACGCCGGCGCGTTTGGCGCGACAAACACCAAAGAACCTGGACTGAGACTCGGAATCAGCGCTGGGTGGAAACACAGCGCCTCAGGCCGATTAACTAACAGTTGGATTCAGTTGCCAGGTTGAGAATCAGCAGATTGGCCAGTGTTTGGCCAGTGTTAAGAGTCACTGGAGCCTCTCTCTCAGCCGCTCCTGCTTGGCCGTCGCTCTGTCCTCGATCCAGCAGCCAATTACGGGGCGACTTGTGTCGTTGACTGGTTCATTCGGCAGGGGCGCGGGGCTGTGCCCCCTGGCAGCCGCCAAAAGTCACGCCAATTTGCCCGGGAAGTGCCGATGACGCGTCCTCTCGTGTATGGACTGTACTGTGCGGTCCTTTGTGGGAAGGTGGGGCAGATGTCAGCAAGTGCAACCCCCTTCGAGCTCTTTTCCCCTCGACCACGCCCTTTCTGCCCTGAAAATAAGCCGCTCTTGAACAAATGACTTGAAACGCGGTTCCTTCCCGGTTTCCAGGGTTGAGTGTTGTTGGTGTTGTTTTCACAACCATTCGAAGAGTTTGGCGCCGGGCCAGGCACACCACAAGTACACGGTGTGACGGTTGCTCTGCCGGGATCTGACACCCGACGAGGAGCCGTGATGTTCGCCGTTCAAGCCCCGCTTATCCCCGTCCTCCGGCTGGCCCCATTTTGGTGGGAGACCGCTCAAAACGGCTTGGAAGCGATCTCGCCGTGTCGGGAGGCACAGGTACACAGCCCCAGCCTCCCGCCCATCTTATCAGCTCTGCAGGAGGAGCAAATACCACCCGACGAAAGAGGTCCGATCGGGGGGGTTGCATGTTTGCCCACTCAGCCGCTGTTGTTCTGTCGTCTCACTCTTGATTTTTATTTTGTTTCTTCCACCGCGGGTTCCGTTGACTGATGTCAATCCTCCATCGATAATAATAGTTTTAACTCTAAAACTCCTTTGCGCCTCTTCCTAGTGGAAGCTGGCAGCAGTCTCTCCTCATCAGCAATGGGTTGGGACTTGAGACAATGGGTAGCCCTCGCCCGTTCCACGCAGCTCTTGGGCTCGCTGGCCGCCGTCGGTTCCCACGGTTACTTGACCATCCGAGTCAAGGAATCCGAACACGGTCTGACAAAGGAGATAGTGGTGCTCGAGTTGATGGTATTTTCGCAATTCCTCAACTATTTGTTGTCGCACCGGCGAACTGACTTCATGGCTAGGCCTGTCTCATCCTCGGCTACTCCATTCTAGCTCTCGTCATCCAGCAAACTGGCCGACGGTCTAAGCAGACGCGTTGGTTGATCGCCACTGTTGTCTTCGATGTGGTGTTAGTTGCTGTACTGCTCGGCATCATCAGCGTCCTCGGTCGGGGTGGGCTGCCGATGCACTGTGCCGGCCTGAACCGGAAAGACGCCCATACTATACCCCCTCCGGACGGATTCGATACCGTCGGCTTCAGCGATAAAAGTGATGGTCGACGAGGCGAGCTCGACAAGCTCTGCTCTTTCGAGCATCCGTACTTCGCCATTGCGAATATCCTCATGTTCGTTCCCATTCGGCCTCCCTAGCCGAAGCCCTACTGACGGCGAGATAGCTTTACTTACATGTTCACCGTTACTGCGACCGTCATTCGCATCTTGGAACAGAAGTACTACACCAGGAATACGAAGGTCAACGAGCTGCTGGATTCGCTGGAGCGGGCCGAGGATATCAACTTGAAGCTTATGGACTCCCCATCACTGCGAAACGAATCGCCTAGCCTGAATCTACGGCCGCCCGCTAGCGAAGGCATTCTCACGCGCAACACATCTCTCCGCAGCAATTTCACAGCCGCGACTTCAGTAGCCGCCTCGCACACCGACGCTCCTGGGCGCCCTTCGATCCCGCGCCGCCCCATCGGCCAAACCCCACCCGTTCCCAGACGGCCCATACCCCCCACATCGGCCACTCCGTTTAGCGCCGCGAGCCCGGGGGCAGGCTTTGTCCCCGTCCCCCTGGACGACGACAACAGCGCGGAAGCAGCGCTTGTATCGGACGGCATGCGACACCAACCGCCTCCGCATCAACACCACCAACGCAACTCGTCAAGAGACCACCAACAGCCCGCGCAATTTTCACGAATGCCAATGCTCTCCGAGGAAGACCAGTCCGCCGACGCCGCCCTCGTCTCAGACGGCATGCGGCCCGGTGACCACACGCTGCCGCCCTACCACCCGGGCAACCGGCGCATGTCGGGCCACGGCGGCGACAACGAGATGCGGCTGAGCGGGTACGTCAAGGGGCAGACGCGGGCGCAGGATATGAAGGATTCCGGGAGGTATTGATCTTCTTGCTTGTCCGGATCTACATTATTCATGGGTAGAGGCGTAAAATGGGGGGGGGTTGTGGAGCGGCGAGCTTCAGAATGGCGTTATGATACCACATCGCATTGTTCGGCGTTTTTCGGGGGTACAAGGTTTTCGGAGACTGGTGGCTGTTGAACGCGGGGATCTTGGAATATTGGGTATTGGGTTACACTGTACACACACAACAAACATTCTGGGCTATTTCTTAATCACAAGTCATAAGTCTACGCAGTAGCTAATGAGCTGTCACATTTATTCACACCAATCTGGGCCTCAGCATATTTCTTAAAAACAGTGGTGAAAATAAACTACGAAACCGTAGGATACGCACAAGAAAGCCCCATACTCAGTGCCGATGTGGCCGCTACCGGCCGGGCAGAGAGGGAACCGCTATAATCCAGACAGGATACACACAAAAAAGCACCAGTTGGTATACCATCCGGTTAACCCCCTAACCCACCAACAAACCCATCCGACCAAAACCAACACCATCCAGAACACCCAATCCAACCCTTCCTCCTAAAACCACTTTTCCCAATGTATCCCAAACCCCAGTCTATCCCAAACCAGCCCCCCCGGCCACCCTACCACCGCCTCCCATAAACCTCATGCTCCTTCCTCCTCGGCTGCTTCGTCCGCCGCATCATATCCCCCACATCGCCCACCACCACCCCATTCGACCCCAGCCCATGGGGGTCGTCATCCTCCACCCCGCCCAGCGAGGAGGCGCGCGCGTCGTGCTTGAACAGCTCGAGGATCTCCTGCAGGCCGAGTTTCAGCTGGCCCTTACCCTTGCGGCGGGCGCCGCCCTCGATGGTGGCCTCGGCGAGGCGGCGCTTCTTGTCCTGCAGGTCGAGGATGCGGGCCTCGACGGTGCCGGCGACGGTGAGCTTGTAGACGACCACGTCGACCGTCTGGGTGAGGCGGTGCACGCGGTCGATGGCCTGCTCCTCGACGAAGGGGTTCCAGAAGGGCTCGACGATGACGACGCGCGTGGCGGCCGTCAGGTTGAGGCCGAGGGAGCCGCATTTTAGCGAGCACAGCAGGATGCGCGTGTGCGGGTCGGTGCGGAGCGCTCGGAGCGCTGCCTCGCGCGCGTCGTTGGCCATCTTGCCGTCGTATCGCACTGCTTTGAGACCTGGCTGGGCGCGGAGGAAGGGCTCGACTAGGTCGAGCATGGAGGTGAATTGGGAGAAGACGATGAACTTGTGTTCGGGGGCTTCTTTACGAAGGAGGGAGAGGAGCTCGCGGATTTTGGCCGAGGTCATGATGGTATTGCTGTTGGCGCCGATGCTGTGTCGCTTGGGTTTGGCACCGCTGCGGTGTCCGTTATGCCGTTTGACGGGAAGGTCGTCGTCTGAGTCCGAGTCGGACCCGGAGAGGAGTTCGGATTCAGAGATGCCCGGGTTTTCGGGGGAGTCTACCTCGTTGTTTTGGGAGGAAGAGACGGTCTGTGTGCGTAGCTTAGACACTGAGACAAACGTCTCGTCATCCGAATCGGTCTCGGAGCCTGATCCACCCTCCGGTACCTCTTCATCCTTGACAATGAAGCTATCGAGCTGGCTCCCATCGTCCTCCTCCGAGGAGTGATCGGAATCCTCCGAGGCGATATCTTCGCCACCACCCTCTGCATTCTCATCTTCCTCGCCGCCGGCCTTGCCTAGGCGTAGAGAACCACGCTCATCCTCATCCACCAACCAGCTCCCCTCCATCTCTTCCTCTTCGTCATCACTGTCGGTGATTATCTTGCGGCCCTTGGGCTTCCGCTTTGCCATCTTCTCGATCTTGATCTCCTCCTCCACCACGCTGACTCTCCTATTCTCCTTCTTCGGCTTCTTCCGGCCCGGGCTCTCATTGTTGACCTTCTGCAAGCTCTCGGCGCACTCAGTGCAGCGCAACAAACCGGCCGCCACCTCCTTCTTGCTCAGATCGTTCAGACACATCTCGCACTGCTTCGTCTGGATGCCCATGCCGCCAAATGCATCCGCCAGAGCATCCAGATCGTCTGCAGCGCTCGCTTTCGGCTGCGACGCCGTATCGCCAATCAGCGCTTCACTGTCCTTCTCGAGCTTCGTCTCAGACAGCCGCGGGTGGTTGCATGCCTGGCGCAGGCGCAGCAGCAGCACGAGGGCGTTGGCGTAGTTGACCTTGCCCTTCATCATCTTCTCGAGGCTCTTGTCGGCACGCGCCTCCAGCTTGTCGTAGAACTCGCGCTCGGCTTCGGAGAACTCCGTCTCGACTGTGACCACCTTGCGTTGCGTGACCTTGAAAGCGGGCTGTGGCACGTCTGTCGCGTCCCGCCCTTCCGCCTTAGCCTTGGCCGCGGCCGCGTCGAGCGCCTTTTTACCCCCCCGCTACGAGGGCGCCTTCCTCCTTCAGGACATCCTTGGTTCGCCGCTTCATAAAGCACTGGAGGAGGGAATGCAGCCGCCGGATGGCAATGTGGCCCTTACCAGACTTGAGTGGCCCATCAATGTTGGCTCTCCACTCAGCCAAATCGTCGTAGGGAGCGATCCGGAGGAAGTGGACGAGCGACTGAAGCTCGTCGAGGTTGTTCTGCATTGGTGTACCGGTGAGACACCAGCGATACTCGGAACGGAGAGCACAGCATGCCTTGGTCGCCTTGGCGTTGCGGTTCTTGATGCTATGAGCCTCATCCAGGATGACGCGGAACCAGTGGACACCAAAACAACCCGCCTGAGGTGACTTTGTGGGGTCTGGGTGACTGTTACCGTGCTCAGACACCAGGATCTGATAAGTAGTGATAACCACGTCGTACTTTCCCAGAACCTTGGGGTCCTTTGTCCGTTGAGGGCCATGGTGGACATAGACCCGGAGTTCGTGGTCCTTGGTCACTTTCTCCTTGATCTCGGCCTCCCACTGGCGGATGAGTGCAAGCGGCGCAACCACAAGTGTTGCTTTCTTCACCTGATCGAAATGTTTCTTCCACCCCTTCTCTTCGGGCCCAGGCATCGTGTTGCTGACGATCAGCGAGATGCTCTGCAGTGTCTTTCCGAGACCCATATCATCGGCTAGGATACCCCCATTAGTCACCTTTCCTTTCTTTTGGGCCCCAACTTCTCTCCCACGCATCCATCGCACTCCCTCCACTTGGTGAGGGAGGAGTTTGACCTTGATGCCCTCCTGCGTACCATCCTCGATGGTCTCTTTCTTTGGCTTGTCACCCTCGGGTTTGGGCGCCTCGCCCTCCTCCTCTTCATCTTCCATGCCGCCCTCGAGCAAGGCCTTCAGGTCTGCCGCGGCCTTGGTGGGGTCCGTGTAGAAAACCTTGTCCCCAAACGACCCCGCAGGTTGGGTGTACTGGTACGCGGGTTGGGCGTCTTCACTCATGGAACTAAACATTTGGAGCGCTGGCGCTTTCTTAGCCTCGGCCTTCGGTTTCAGTGGACCTGAAGTCCTATACATGTCGGTGTGAAACTCGGGCCGGGTTCTCCGCTGAATAAACATGGGATTGGGCTTGTCCGCTTGCTGGCCGAACCGCGGGGCCAGTTTTGTCGGATGGCCAAAGCTCGGTGTTGGTGTCGCAGCTGCCGGGGATCGGATGGCCGGTATCGGGCTGTCTGTCAAGTCAACAACAGCGTTGCTTGGCCTGCTGGTTTGCTTCGGCGGTGTTTGAGACGCAGGATCTAGCGACATGTTGGTTGCCTGCGAGCTGAGGTACTCGAGGTCGTCATCGCTGAACGATTCTTTCCGTAATCGCGCCATGTTGTCTGACTCGAGACTAGCAAGCGAAGCGTTTGAGGATTTCGGCGGGGAGGAGGTGTAGCTGATGGTCGTCGCTTCCACCAGGTCGTAGAAGCTCTGTCTCAACTCTGCCCGAGACCTCCGTGGTTTGCTGTTGCTCGGTCTTCTGTCACTCGCTTTGTTCGTCCGCGAGAAACCTGGTTTGTTGTCGGATGCGAGATTGTTTTGGGGTTGGATTGCGAAGCTGGAGCCTGGTTTTCTGAGTTTGTTGATTTCCGTCAGTTTTTATTTTACCCCTCGTCGTGAGGAGGTGCAAGCTGTTAGCAGGGGCAATTACATACCGCATCGATGACTCCAGGTTCGCAGCAATATCTTGCCGATTGTGGGGTTATCGCCAGCTGCCAGATCCTCTCGATTGTTGTAAGGCGTGGTCGCGGGGCACTTCCGACAGCGCTTGGTGGGCCTCTCTGTTTACTAACTGACGAGTCTCGAGCGGGCTCCAAGGCAACCAACTGGAAGCAATAACACAAGTCCAGACCTCAGGTAATTACCCCGCAGTCGCTCAACCCCTAACCCTAAATACTGACCCAAAGCCCCCGACCGACAAACGCGGGCCTCAAAGACACAACAACAACCTGGAACTCGGGCTCTGTCTCGATGAGATACGGCGCGAGCAACTTACGGAAGAAACGAACTATGGCACGCTCATCCAACATATGAATATACCTAGACTCTATTGCATACCTGGTTCCTCGCATGAGTTTACACACCAGACACTTAATTTCATGTCAAGGAGGTTTGTATTCGAGTCAAACTCGAGGAGAAAGATGAAGCGGGTGGTTCAACTAGGTGCGAGGTGTTGTCTAAGGCGTCTGAAGAGAAGAGCTAACCAATGCTGGTGGATTGCGTTTTCGGCTCCAGTGACGCCTCTATCCCCGCTGGTATTAATGTCGAATTAGTGACAACAATTAATTCTTGTTCCTGCCTACAGTTTGCGCCCTTGACATCCATTTGTGTTATACAACCGTGACACAGATGTCTGTGGTAACGCTCATAGGACGTATCTAAAATAGGGGTTCTCCATGTCCGTCAAATCCTGGAACGCCAGTTTCGCCCGCTCCGCCTCGTCCTCGGGGACGGCAGACTTCTTCTTGTTTGCTGCCGTTAATACGATGTAAAGAGTAGCCGATGCGGCAATGCATATTATGTAGCTACCGTCAATGTTAGCAGGGAAGGAGAATAGGGGGCGAAGATGAGGTATAGGAAAACGGGAAAGGGAGAATGGTAAATTCATACCAGATGATCAACCCCAACCACAGCTCCGGGTAATGCTGCGGCCTTGTCTGTGACTTAACGAGCTGTGGCCCAACAATATTCCCCACGCAGTACGCAGCGAAGATGGTGGCCGCCATAAAGCTCTTCTTAGTGTGGCCCGCCACGTTGGACATCCCAACCGTGATGATGAGACTAACCGTCCCGCCAAAAAAGCCGGTGATAGAGTAGCCGACTACCGGCGCCGCAGCCCGGTACGACCACTCGCTCTTCCAGATGATGGCGCAGCCCGCGATGACGGGCAGGCATGTCAAAATGAGCATGATGAGGCGGATGTTGGGGATTTTGGAACCCAAATACCCCGTGACGAGGATAACGATGAAGCAGAGTGCCCCAAGCGGAAATTGGAACACGATCGAATGCAGCGTATTCCAGCCAAAGGTCGACACGATGAGCGGGCCGAATCCACTGACCGCACCGTTCATAGTATACCTAGCGACCCCACGTTAGAATCAAGCCATCAGGGGCTAGGCACGTAAACTTACGCCGACGCCATCATGACAAAGATCAAATACGTCTTGACATCCAAGAACGACTCTTTCACTTGCCCCATCTTGATGCTTGTACACCGCACCCCCGTCTGGCTATACCGCAGCCTCTCCACAGCCGCAAACCGTTCCTCCTCTGTCAAGAACCAGGCCGTGACGGGCGAGTTCGGCATGGCAAAGCAAAACAGGCCAAACAGCACCGTCAACGCCCCCGCCAGCAGATAAATATACTGCCAGCTCCTCAGCCCGCCGCCCTCGATCTGCGCGAACCCGTAGTTGAGCGCGCCGCCGAGGATGGTAAACAGGCCGGTGCTGCTGAACCACCAGCTCTGGCGCAGGCTCTGCTCCTTCTGGGTGTAGTAGCCGGCGATGATGCACATGAAGCCCGTGGGGACGATGCTCTCGACGAAGCCGAGGAAGAAGCGCTGGGCGTAGAGGCCGCGGTACGAGGTCACGGCGGCGGTGAGCATGCAGATGGCGCCCCAGAGCAGGACGATGGCGCCGAGGACGCGGCCGATGTCGAAGCGCTGCAGCGCGAAGGACATGGGGTACAGGCCGGCCAGCATGCCGAAGTAGAAGAGCGAGGTGGCCCACGAGAGGCGTGAGGTGTCGACGGTGGGCGGGGTCGTGGAGGGGTCCGTGATGGTGAGCTCGAGGTCGGCTGTCATGCCGAAGAGGACGGCGGAGCCGAGGATGGCCTTGTCGTAGTAGACGATGCCGTCTGGGAAGGGGGTCAGCCGAGGGGTTCGTAATAGTGGGGTGGGAAAAGGGGGAGCTGGGCTTACAGCCAAAGATCATGGCGGGAATTAGGAACCAGTCTATCTTGCGGACTGCTCGCGCAACCACAGCAGGGTCAACGGTATGTTGCTGCTCACCGACCATGGCGATGGCTTCATCCTTGGCGGTTACATTCCTTTCATGATTCTCATGATCGCTTGGTGCGGGCGCCGCCGCTTCGAGGTCCTGATTCATGGTCGGGTTGCTCTTCTCGGTCGCCATAACGCCAATCAAACAAGCAGACACAAAGCCGGTAGCTTTGTGTTCCAGGTGTCGCCGTAGACTACGCCTCGTCGCTGGGCTGAAAATATTTTGTTTGCGATGCTCCGGTATCGCATACACTAATGACCATCCCGCCCGGGATGGGGGCGTGGGGGTTGAGAATCTTGGGATGTCAGCCGTTTAAAACCTACTTTTTATTCAACGTACCCTCGGTTTCAGAGACCTGACCCTTCAACAATTACGCCGTTTTACTAAGTGAAGCATATTGAAAGAACAAAAAAAAACAGTTGATGCCCGAGTTTTTTGTTGCCGACGATAACCGTGATAACCGTGTATGCCAAGGGGAACAGGAAGATTGAGATAACTACTAATACCTCCCTGATATGTAAACTTGGGTTGTTACATTTCGTTCTCAAAGCCTTTTTATCTGCTCTACTCCTCGGCCTCCCTCGGAAGAGTATCAGTGTAAGGGTCAAAACCCATGCGACGTTTCGCCTCACTCCTCATCTGCCAGTGCGCCTCGCCGTGTAACCCTGTTGTCGAGGTCTCCTCCAAAAAGAAGATGAGAATGTGGTCTGGGATCGCCAAGTGGGATGTCTGCTGGAATTCCTGTAGGCTGGTGAGCCGGACCAACATCTCCAGCAGCGAGAGTGATGATATAATGGACCCGAAGGGGGATCTCATCACGTAGGTGTCCGCTATGTTCTCCCGAGATTTGTCGAGGTCGGCTGGGGCCCGGCTGCGGAGGTCCTGGGGAGGTGAGTCGGGCCGGATCGACATGCGCTGGAGTTGAGCAGTGAGCTTGGAGTCCCCCGAGAGCCCGTCGTGGGACGTCTGAGCGTTGCCAGGGAATATTTGGTTTGGATTTCCGCCGTCATTCCCCACATCCTCCCCTAAGCTCTCGTCTTCATCATCTTCTTCGTCGTCATCGTTGTCCATATAGACCTCCAGCGCCAGCCATTCGGGGTCCAGGTGTGGAGGCAAGGATGTTGTTCGAGGGGCGTCCTGGCTCGCTGGTGACTTGGCGGAATGTTCAGTTTCCTCCCATAGCTGTCGGTCTACGTCGTCCTGGTCATCAGACTCGGATGATTCATCTGCAGAATCAGAATGTGACTCATCCTGTTCCTTCGGGTCCGGTTCGTCGAACCACTCTTGCCGCATTCTGATCGGGCACTTGGCGTTAACGTCCCTCTTCAGAAGGAGGATCGGGTTATTGTCCCCTTCATCGCTGTTTCCGATGTTGAGAATCCTTCCAGTATCTGTGTAGAAGATCTTGGAAATCTGATGTATCGGAATGGACTCCCGGATGCCCGCCATCGGCAGGTCATCGTAGGGCGGAGCCCTCGAGCCATCTCCTTCGTGGAGTCTCCCATCGTCCAAGTCCTCAATGACCTCCAAGTGGTACGAATACCCATCGGAAGCCCTACGCAGCGGGATGGTTGTCTTTCGCGAAACAGCATGGAGATCGTCTGGCCGGTACCCCTGAGCAGGATCAAAAACCCAGGTTGTAGGGGTCCGGCAAAGCCGCACTCGAGCTTTATGCATAACCTCCTGCCATATGGGTTTCCGCTCACCTTCCCCAATTCCGTAAGGAACCTCTCGAGGAGCATGATCCTCTGAACCAGGCAAATTCAACCGTGAGTCATTTTCAGCGTCACAACCTGGCTCAACCTGAGAGTGACCAAGGAACAGCATGTAGAGGGAGAGTGTAAAGGAAGGCCCAACCTGCATGGGCCGATTGGGATCCGCGACGAAGTGGGCATCTGCAAAGGAGAGCAGGGCACTAGCCTGCATCATCCTAGAGGGCGAGATTCCGGGTGTCATGGCCGTGGACATCTTCTCGCCCGAGACCGTGATGGCGAACTGAAGAAGCGGGATGTCCCGGTCGATTCGCGCGAGAAGGTCCTTAATGTCCTTGATGATGAGCAACAGCTCGGCATGCTGTTCTTCCGATACGCGGCCGCCATGGCCCCTGGTATATGCATCATGAGCTTCTTCCTCCGTTGTGGTGGCTGCATTGTCCAGCCGTTTTCCAAGACGGACGATTTCCCGGTGGAGGGATTTCGCGAGGGGCACTGCCGATTCTAGGAACACATTCCCTCGACTAGATCTGCGGATGTGTCAGTATTGCTGCCTATTATTGACTGACTCATTTTGGGTTGCCGTACTTGAACTCGATCAAATCGAGAGCGGGAGAGAGGATCTGTTGGGATCTGGTTTAGCCGACATTGAATAGGAAGGAAGATATGGAAGGGCGGGCCGGAAGACGGACCTTGATTTTGTTGTCGAGGAGTTTCTGTAGCGTCTTAAACTCAGAGCGGACGGCCTTATCATTGATTGATTTCAACAGTCTCGAACATTGCTGTACCGCGTAACGGGATGTGAGGGCGATCCCGGATCTGACGGCGAAGTTGAAAGTCTGAACTCCAAGGGTCTGCAAGAGTGCATCCATGTTCACTCAGCACGTCCATTCTGGTGTTTGGGTAGCATGCAAATATTCGATGGGTGAAAACAACATGGAGTCTGAAGGCGGTGACTTGGTTAGCATGGGGAGACCCATTGGGTTGTTCCGATGCCTTCCAATCGATGTTCGTGGACACCCGACCTGATGAAAGCCTCCCTGTTTAGGCCCTCTGTCTTGTCTCAGATAGGCTCGATTATTAGGCACCCACAGCACCCTGGTGGTGAATGTGCTGGTTGCTGTGGAACTGCGCACTGTGCATAGGGCTGTTTGGAACGGTTCCAGCTGGCCTGTCTTGGCCGCTGAGGCGAACAAGGATCAGGCGGGGGCAGACCGTGTGTCACTTGTCTCCCCACCGTGCCACCGTGCCACCAAAACCCTCTTTCCCCGCCACCATTCATGGTGGGGCAATAAATCTTCCCATTTCCCATTCTGCGGTCGCTGAAAGTCGCTGCAAGAGGTGCCATCGAGTCACGGAGCTGTCTATCAACTGGTAAGGGCATTATCCTTGTGTTGTAAGCACATAGCGATCAAAGCTGATTTTTTTCTTTGCAAAACAGTCACCCCACTCCGTCGCTCGCGACCTTGGACATCTCCAGCGAGTTCGTCTACTTGTATCCCGTTTGTCGCAGCTTGGCCCCTCGACTAACACTTATCTCGCAATTCCAGACACCCAAACGACGACTCGCCAGAACAACTTAAATACATTTCTCCGACAAGATGTCCAACAACGTCCAGGACTCATGGGAGGACGATCCGGCTGCTCAGGATGAGAACCTGGCCCGCCAGGCCCAGCAGCAAATGAACATTGGCGCTCAGCAGGGTCAGGGAGGCTTCCGTGCCGGTGCCGCTTCTTTCCAGCCCACGGCTCAAACCTTTCAACCGGGCCAAGGCCAAGGATTTGGCGGGGGTGGGGGTTATGGGCAGTATCAGCAACCGTACTACGGCGGCCAAGGGTACTACCCGCAATACGGCGGCCAGCAAGGTTTCGGCCAATATGGTCAACAACAGCAGCAACAGGGCTACGGCGGCGTCTACGGACAGGGCCAGCAGCCTGGATACAACCAGCAGCAACAGCAATACGGTAGGACTGCATAACCCACCCCCAACCCTCGATGCGAAGGCTCATGATAGCGATAGGTCAGTGGCAGGGCTACCAGCAGCAGCCCCAGCAAAGCCAACCGCAACAGCAAGCTCCGAAGCCGACGCCCACCATTGTGAAGCGGCCGACCGATACGCCTGCCGCAGGGGGTGCGCCAAAGCCGACCCTTGCGAAAGAAGGTGGCGCGAAGGTTCTAAGCATTGGCGGCGATGCACCGAAGCCTAAGGCTAAGGTCCTATCCATCGGCGCGGTCGCCCCTGCTAAGGAGGAGCCTAAGAAGGACGAGACCAAGAAGGAGGGGGCCAAGAAGGAGGGCACGGTCGAGGCTGCTGCCAAAGTCACGGCGGCTAAGGCGATCGACAAGGCGGATTCCAAGGCGGCCAGCGGCAAGACTTCACCCACGCCATCTTCGGGGCGATCCAGCCCATCTCGTGGGGCGGGCGCTAAGGCCGCCCGTGACGCTGACGCCGTCGAGAAGGAGCAAACCGCCGACGTGGACGAGGATACACTCAAGGAGATTTACGGCAAGGAGCATGTCAACATCATCTTTATTGGCCACGTCGACGCCGGCAAGAGTACACTTGGCGGTTCCATCCTGTACGCCACGGGCATGGTGGACCAGCGGACGCTGGACAAGTACAAGAGGGAGGCCAAGGACATGGGGCGTGAGACGTGGTATCTCTCGTGGGCTCTGGATTCAACCAACGAGGAGCGCGCCAAGGGCAAGACGGTCGAGGTTGGCCGTGGCTTCTTCGAGACGGAGAAGCGGAAGTACAGCATTCTCGACGCACCTGGCCACAAGACCTACGTGCCTCACATGATCGGCGGTGCCTCGCAGGCCGATGTCGGTATCCTCGTCATCAGTGCGCGGAAGGGCGAGTACGAGACGGGATTCGAGAAGGGCGGCCAAACCCGTGAGCATGCTATGCTGGCCAAGACTCAGGGAGTGAACAAGCTGGTGGTGGTCATCAACAAGATGGACGACCCGACGGTCAACTGGTCCCACGAGCGTTACACGGAGTGCACAAGCAAGCTGCAGCAATTCTTGAAGGGCACGGGATACAACGTCAAGACGGACGTCTTCTTCATGCCCATTGCGGCGCAGCAGACCATAGGCATCAAGGACCGTGTGCCCAAGGACAAGTGCCCGTGGTATGACGGCCCATCGCTTCTCGAGTACCTCGATGGTATGCAGGCCCTGGAGCGCAAGGTCAACGCGCCGTTCATGATGGCAGTTGCCAGCAAGTACCGCGATATGGGCACCATGATCGAAGGCAAGATTGAGGCGGGTGTGGTCAAGAAGGGCATGAGCGTGATCATGATGCCCAACAAGCAGACAGTCGACATTGCTGCTGCTTATGGCGAGACTGAAGATGAAGTGGCCATTGCTCAATGTGGTGACCAGGTGCGCCTTCGTCTCCGTGGCATTGAGGAAGAAGAGATCACCCCTGGTTTCGTCCTTTGCTCGCCTAAGCGTCTGGTCAACAACGTGTCCAAGTTCGAGGCGCAGATCCGGATCCTGGACCTGAAGAGCATTCTCAGTGCCGGCTTTAACTGTGTGCTGCACGTACACGCCGCCATCGAGGAGGTCACATTTGCTTCGCTGCTCCACAAGCTCCAGAAGGGCACCAACAGGAAGAGCAAGGTCCCTCCATCGCACGCCAAGAGGGGCGACAGCATCATTGCCGTTCTCCAGGTGACGGGCGGTGCCGGGTCTGTGTGCGTGGAGAGGTTCGAGGACTACCCCCAGATGGGTCGTTTCACCCTGCGTGACCAGGTAAGTTCGCACTTTCGAGTATGTCTAGCACAAGCACAGCTGACGTTTTGTGTAGGGTCAAACTATTGCTATTGGCAAGATCACTAAGCTCATCACCGATGCTTAAAGGATGTTTAGGTTGGAATAGCATTTAGCATGAAGAAATCTGAAGTTGGTTGATAGATTTACCAGGTGTTGATTTCCACACAATGTTTTACTTTTCTATTTCCCGTTCGAATGGTTTTGCGTAGTGCTTCCGGGAAGTTGTTGGTGTCAACTTCAGAGGAATGGATGCAATCCGCCCCAGCACCCGACACTGGGTAGAAAGACGGAATCACTTTGTGCCTTCCCTGTGAAGTTTTGTGAAAGGGTACATTCCGTGGTCTCCATAACCCCGCAGGCTCTTCAAATCAGGGAAGTTCCTTCCGGAACAGACCGTTATAGAATTATCTACTTTGCAAGTAGAACGTCTACCAGCACCGGGCTCCAACCAGGGGCCATTCCGGAACAAACGTCAAGCGGGGCCAAGGCGGGGCAATCGATGGAAGCTTAACCTCGATCGTGACAACGACACTCAGCTTGTGCCCGGGTCGTTAATATCGACCTGGCATTCTACCTTCGCAGACCAACGTAAGTTCAATGCATTAATGTGATCATGTGCTACTCATATTTCCCCAGGCAACTACTATGATGGAACCGTGTTCTTGGGAAGACATAATGACTCAAAGAACCCCGCGCTGACTGTACTTTCCCAGACCAAACCACCACCCACATTGGTTTCCAACGTCCTTTTTGTCATTCTCACGAGATTTTCTCAGACAGCTCACAACCCAGGCCTTGCTTTACACCAAAACCCAACATGGAAGCTTCAGCCCCCGCTCCCGTCAAAAATGTGGAGGATCTCTTTTCCGTCAAGGGCCTTGTCGCCCTCGTCACCGGTGGTGGCACAGGTGAGCAACCCCCTTCTACCCCACCCATCTATCACACGAAACAAAAGGAAAGAGAAAACAAGAAAAAAAGACCAACCCTCAACTAACCAACCCCCAGGAATCGGCCTCATGATGGCGCGCGCCCTGGCCGCGGCCGGCGCCTCGCGCGTGTACATTGTCGGGCGGCGCGTGGACGTGCTGCAGGCGGCGGCGAGCTCGATCAACCGGCCGTCGGTGATCGTGCCGCTGTACTGCGACGTGACGTCGCGCGTCAGCCTGGAGAGCGTCGTGTCGGTGGTCGAGACCGACGTCGGCCACCTGCACCTGCTGGTCTGCAACGCCGGGGTGGGTGGGCCTCAAGTGAGGCCGCCTGTTCCTGGCGTGACGGGTCTGGAGGAGTGGCGGGACGAGCAGATGGCCGTGCGCTGCGAGGATTTCAATGCGACGTTTGAGGTGAATAGTACGAGCGTGTGGTTTACGGCGATGGCGTTTTTGAAGTTGCTGGATGAGGGGAATAAGAGGGAGGGCTGGGGTGGCAAGGGCGCGGGGGTTAGCAGCCAGGTGGTGGTTACCAGCAGTATTGCTGCGTTTAACAAGAGCGCGCCGGGCGGCTGGGCGTATGGACCGAGCAAGGCGGCCGCGACGCACATCGCCAAGATGCTGAGCGTGGTGTTGCCGACTTGGGGGATTCGGTGAGTCTTTTTATTACTTTCTTCCTTTATCCGCTTCATCTAGTGAGGAATTGTTGCTAATGAAGCTGGGAAAATCAAGGGCGAACTGCATTTGTCCTGGCCGTGAGTATCTCACTTGATATGGACAATTTGTGCTCGCAACGTAACTAACGAGGCTCAGTGTTCCCGAGCGAGATGGCGGCTCCCATTGTCCAGGCGGCCGGGGGCTCCATGACAGGCGAGAATACCACGATTCCTCTAGACAAGACCATGGTTCCTCTTGGCCGCATGGGCGACGAAACCGACATGGCTGGCCAGATTTTGTACCTTGCGTCGAGGGCAGGCGCATACCTGAACGGCAACACCATTGTGGTCGATGGTGGGCGGCTGGGTACGTTCCCAAGCACGGGGTACTGAACATGGGATATGGCGTGGTGGGGTTTGGGGTGTTGTTGTATATGGTGATGGAGACTTGCCTGGGTCGATGACTTCCCTGTAGCAAAGTATATACATACCTAGATGTTAGCCGTGGATATTAGATCTGCCCTTTTACTACGGTGTATGCTTCATGGTTCACTTAAGGCTAGGGACCCAACCGCGATAAACGCTAAAGAGTCGAATATACAATACCCGGATATTACAATGTTTATATACTGAAGGGTGTATTAGATTACCTGGCTATAGTGTCTGCTTAGTCGGCTTCGAAGATTAGGTACTGCCTACATACTACAACTCGATTTGGCGGGATGAACGAGTGCTTCGAACGGCCCTATATATTTAATCGTCATCCCTTACTACTTTTTTGAGTTGTGGGCATCAAGTTTCTCGCACTCGATGGTGATTGTTGTCGTTTTTCGTTGTTGTTGTCGTTGTCGTTATCGTTGTCGTTATCGTTGTCGTTGTCGTTGTTGTTGTCGTTGTCGTTGTCGTTGTCGTTATCGTTGTTGTTGTTGTTATCGTTGTTGTTTTTCGTTGTTGTTGTTGTTATCGTTGTTGTTGTCGTTGTCGTTGTTGTTGTTGTTGTCGTTGTTGTTATCGTTATCGTTATCGTTATCGTTATCGTTATTATTGTCGTTGTTGTTGTCGTTGTCGTTATCGTTGTCGTTGTTGTTGTTATTATTGTTGTTATTGTTATTATTGTTATTGTTGTTGTTGTTATTGTTGTTGTTATTGTTGTTATCGTTATCGTTATCGTTGTCGTTGTTGTTATCGTTATCGTTGTTGTTATCGTTGTCGTTGTCGTTGTCGTTGTCGTTATCGTTGTCGTTATCGTTGTCGTTGTCGTTGTCGTTGTCGTTGTCGTTGTCGTTGTCGTTGTCGTTGTCGTTGTCGTTGTCGTTGTCGTTGTCGTTGTCGTTGTCGTTGTCGTTGTCGTTGTCGTTGTCGTTGTCGTTGTCGTTATCGTTGTCGTTGTCGTTGTCGTTGTCGTTGTCGTTGTCGTTGTCGTTGTCGTTGTCGTTGTCGTTGTCGTTGTCGTTGTCGTTGTCGTTGTCGTTGTCGTTGTCGTTGTCGTTGTCGTTATCGTTGTCGTTGTCGTTGTCGTTGTCGTTGTCGTTGTCGTTGTCGTTGTCGTTGTCGTTGTCGTTGTCGTTGTCGTTGTCGTTGTCGTTGTCGTTGTCGTTGTCGTTGTCGTTGTCGTTGTCGTTGTCGTTGTCGTTGTCGTTGTCGTTGTCGTTGTCGTTGTCGTTATCGTTGTCGTTGTCGTTGTCGTTATCGTTGTCGTTGTCGTTGTCGTTGTTGTCGTTGTCGTTGTCGTTGTCGTTGTCGTTGTCGTTGTCGTTGTCGTTGTCGTTGTCGTTGTCGTTGTCGTTGTCGTTGTCGTTGTCGTTGTCGTTGTCGTTATCGTTGTTGTTATTATTATCGTTATCGTTGTCGTTGTCATTGTCGTTGTCGTTGTCGTTGTTGTTGTTATTATCGTTATCGTTGTCGTTGTCGTTGTCGTTGTCGTTGTCGTTGTCGTTGTCGTTGTCGTTGTCGTTGTCGTTGTCGTTGTCGTTGTCGTTGTCGTTGTCGTTGTCGTTGTCGTTGTCGTTGTCGTTGTCGTTGTCGTTGTCGTTGTCGTTGTCGTTGTCGTTGTCGTTGTCGTTGTCGTTGTCGTTGTCGTTGTCGTTGTCGTTGTCGTTGTCGTTGTCGTTGTCGTTGTCGTTCTACGCAGCAGAGCACATATATCTTACGCAATCTGGTCCTTGATTCCTTGATTGATGTTCAAGTCGACTGGCGCTGTGTCGACTCGCCGTCGTTCCAGGAAGTGGTGAGGTTGTTACGTCTTGGCGTTGTCCCCTGTTGCTCCCCTGCCGACTTGGGCGATGTGGGGCAGGCAAGGCCCCATCGCGATTGTCGCTTGTGCGATCACATGACGTCACTTATGCCTTGTTGACCCTCATTCCCCGCCGAAACTTGGTCTTTTGTGTTGAGGATTGAATTCACTCCCACAAGACGATCCTGTGGGATTCGGAAGTCTTGTAAATAATTCGCTGTGACCGTCGAGATGCTGCGAAGAAGCCGATGCGGACGGGGCGCCAGCTTTATCGATAAAGTGAAACAGCGAAGCATCGACCCCGCAATGGTGCAGCTGCCCGGGGTCGGCAGTGTGTGTTCAGTGGCATCGGAGCATGGGAATGGAGTCAGACCCACTCTGCCCGAACGGCGTGTAAGTCGAGACCATCGCGAGAAGGGCAGTTCGAGATGGAACCCGGGAGTCTGGTATCAGATGTTCTTGCAACAACAACCACCCTCCGATACAGACCCTTCGTGCAGAAAGAGCGATAAGGATGATCGGTTGCACTGTGCAATGAGATCAGATCAACACGGGTGATGGCGGGGTAGAACAACAACATCCCAATTCTAACGGGAATTCCAGGCGGCAACGCGGTCCAACAAACAAGAGGGGGGTTGCTCTGTGTGTGCGGCCATGCAGGAACTCCCCAACTCAGATTTGGTGGATTGTCGCGATCCGGCAACTCTGGGTGGTCGAATATCATGAGGAGAGGGGTAGGTCGGCAAGAACAGGAACTGAAGCTCCCTTCCTCTCCCCTCCATTAGCTACCCTCCAAGTTCCCCTCACGTTCGACGCTGTCCTACCCACTCGCTGGCCATCCCGCCCCAGAGATGATCGTGTTGGGGTTGACGCGTCCGGTTTCGTGTGTTTCTTTGATGAAGAATGACTTAAAACGGACTAGAAGCAAACCGAGATAGACTCATGTCGGATGTGAAGATGCAAGGCCATGTGGAAAGTTGACGGACATCAACAAGTATGCCAGGACGGATCGGCTTCAGTCCTCGACTCATAATAACCTACCGAGTAATATCAATAACCCCGCTCTCGACGTGTCTGCGTGTGCATTCATCCAGCCGTCGAGGAACATGCCAGTGGTGCGGCGCGGGAGAGAAGGTACATCGAAGGACATCATGGAACGGGCTCGTGTGTGGCGCGCCAAAAGGGCAAAACCGACGGGAAGTAAATTGCATCCTTTCGCAAAAACGCTGCACCCCGCGTATCCCTCCGCTGTAGTGGCTCGGGTTGCGAGGATGGACACGCCTGGTTGGAACGGCAAAGAGCTACCAGAGAGCATGTATGTAGCATGTGCAGTAGGTACTGGCAGAGTACCTTGGTTGTGAGGAGTACGACCCCTCACACCCTCACATTGCACATGAGACGAACCTGCTGTAATTGCCCGGGAAGGAGGCAATGGAGGTGGTGGTAGGTCAGGTCACTTGCCATAAATATCCAAGCAGGGACTCGCTTGACGTCTGTGACGACTTGCACCTGCACTTGCTCAACCCTCCATCCTTTGTTGAATCCCTTTCTTTCCTCCCAACACACTCCTCTCCTGCATCTTGGACAGAATTGAGCTCCTACTTTCTTGCACTATTGCATCTCGCAAGAAAACAATAGAATTGACTGCAAAGAACCCTATATTCCCTACCATCGTTGTCTACTGCCACCAGTCTGGCCGACGACCGATTTGGGCACGCGACCCCGCAAACACCCGACAGCTGAGTGCCACAGGCCCGAGCTACCTATTGCAGCCGGGGGCGCTCAACCACGAAAAGCATTCTCGTGCACATACGCATTTTGAGGCGAAACAACCGGGTGCTTCGCAATTGGGCTTCTACAAGGGTAGGTTTCCTGTGCTCCATTTCTAAATTGATCCCAATTTGAAGGGATGGGATTCCAGAATTTGGTTTGGATGTCTCCCGTTCCCCATTCCCGCATTCCCAGCGAGAGAACCGGGGCCCCACATGCGGACGCCCGAGTGCCGAAGCGGCTTTCTAGAATCCAGCGGCGCCAAAACACGAGCTCGCACCGCGCCGCGTTCAGCCGGGCTTCCTGCATTTCCCGATGTTTTTTTTCCCAAGCCGGTCCCCCAGACCGAGCTCGAGTTACCGGCTCCAGTCGTCCGTGTTGCTCACCCGTTCCGCTTGCCGATGGGTGCCGGAAGATCAGCTTGGCGAACGCCAGCGAAGCATGGTCCTTGACATGCTTGTTCTCACCGGGATCTCTGACGGCATCCGTGTCGGTTGAGCTTCCCGGACTGAGAGCTGGAGAGGTTCCGGTTTCATTGGTCTTAGCTGGTGGATAGAACCCACCTCCGAAGCCCGATGTTAATAGCGAACAGCGGGCTAACAGTGTAATCGCGACTTGTAGGGTGCGATATCCGGGCTTGTTGAGAATCACCAGTCAGGGGGTATAAAACTGTTGAGCGGTTGGGCTTGTGAAAAGACCTAAGCGGTCAGCATTCCCGTCCTCATCATCTCGAAGCCTTCCAGCTCCAACACACTCGTCCATCATGTCCAACTCGATCAAACAGGCCGCTGAAGCAGCACGATCCAGGGGAAACGAAGTGATGGGCACGGCCAAGAGCGTCAAGAACGACAGCGTCGCCGTCGCCAATGACTTCCTGCACACGCCGTTCATGCGGGCCGCCCTTCCCTTCATAAATGGCGGGCTCAGCGGTATGGTCGCCACTACGGTGATCCAGCCCGTGGACATGGTAAAGGTCCGCATCCAGCTGGCGGGCGAGGGCAAGGCCGGCGGGCCGAAGCCGACGCCACTCTCCGTCACTCGCGAAATCCTTGCCAGCGGGAAGGCCCTCGACCTGTACACGGGCCTCTCGGCCGGTCTCCTCCGACAAGCCGTCTACACCACAGCACGCCTCGGCTTTTTCGACACCTTCATGATCCGCCTCACATCCCGTGCCAAGGCCAAAGGCCAAAGCATAGGTTTCGCTGAGCGTGCGACAGCAGGCCTCACGGCGGGCGGGTTGGCCGCCATGATCGGAAACCCAGCGGACCTCGCATTGATCCGCATGCAGAGCGATGGCCTCAAACCGCTCGCCGAGCGCAAGAACTACAAATCCGTCATCGACGCGCTGGGGTCCATAGCGAAGAGCGAGGGCGTCGGAGCGCTGTGGGCGGGGGCGGCGCCGACGGTGGTGCGCGCCATGGCGCTCAACTTTGGGCAGCTCGCCTTCTTCAGCGAGGCCAAGGCCCAGCTCAAGACCCGCACCGACTGGTCCGCCAACGGCGTCACCTTGAGCGCGAGCGCCATCGCCGGCTTCTTCGCCAGCTTCTTCTCGCTGCCCTTCGACTTTGTCAAGACCCGCCTGCAGAAACAATCCAAGGGACCCGACGGGAAGTTTCCGTACAACGGGATGGCGGATTGCTTCGCCAAGGTGGCCAAGCAGGAGGGTGTCATGAGGTTCTACCGCGGGTTTGGAACATACTACGTGCGCATCGCGCCGCATGCGTGAGTGGCCCCGGTCCCTTCGCCTTCATCACGAGTGATTTTTGCTGACAGTGCGCTCCGTTTGTAGGATGGTGACCTTGATTGTGGCGGACTATCTTGGGTTCCTTACTCGATAGGCCACCGACCCCTGATGAGTTTTCCAGAAGTCAGGTGGTTGGTCGTTGTGTGTTGCATCACTGAGAGTGTTCTTTCTGTTTTTGGTGTTTGGGTATACTTGATTGACGAGTATGATTTCCTTTGGGCGGTTTGACTGTTAGTATACCACGGGCCTTGCGAGGCGAGACAGTACATAGTCGAGTAGTGCTGGTTGTTTGGGGAGAGATATTCCTCATTACGCATTGTTTTCCCTCTTTTTTCCAGGTTGTTTCCGAGCAGAAGCAACACAGCAAGAAGCCGAGGAATCGATTGGGCGCCTCTCGGTTGATCATTCTTCCGCTCACGGACTTGGCACCTGCCCCGGCCTGTGAGAACGCAGTGTGACGGCCCACAACAACCCCACAGCACCTGAAGGCCCGTAACTGCAAGGCTGAAGTATCGTACCAATGACCGGAAACCGAAACGATTGTGGAGACTGCAAGCATCCCGCGCCGATTTTGGACCCCGACCACATCAAAGCCAACAGTTTTGGACAATCCCCCCCCTTCCCTTGTTTATTGAAAATGTGACTGGGGGTTGGCCATGGATGCGGACTGGGACGAGGTGAGTTCTTCGATTTTATTTTTTGGGGAGAGTAGGGAAGACGGGGCAATGGCATCGAGGGTCAAGTGCGCTGTGTTCGTTCGCGTCAGGAGGGTTGCTTGCTCGCGTCGGCGCACGACCCCGCGATGGTGTATTTCGGAGCTCTCCTCCCCCCGCCAACCCCCGACTCCGTTCACCTTTTACCGTCCGAAGCCATGCTTCGACATGGCATATATGTTACAGCCTAGCTGACCGTCCAATGTGTCCGAGTAGGTCACCCGCATCGCCTTCCCGGCGCCCGGCTCCAATGACTACCCCCGGCCGGCCACCGCCTTAGCTTTCGACACCATCGCCGAGCTACTATGGGCGGGCAACGACCGAGTATGTTCCCAGACTCAATCCTAGCGATTCCCTCCTACGGTTCTGTTCGCCATCATGTTTCTGACCATACCAGGGCCGTGTGGTCTCGTTCTACGGCCGCGACCTACAGCGGTACACGGCTTTCAAAATCCACCCCCCGTCCGAAGGCCCAATACGACAATTCCTTTTTCATGACAAAGGTGTCATCGCGCTCGGCACCCGGAGCGTGCACATGGCGATGCGTAGGGGACCGGCGCTCTGGAATATTCGGTACGATTACATTCGGGTGCCATGGAGGAAGAAACGTTCGAGTCGCTGACCCGAGATGCAGGCATGACGAAATGAAAGACCTGCAATGCATGAGTTTTACCTCGAAGGGCGCCTCCGAGATTATCGTCGCCGGGTTTCAAGACACCATGTTTGTTATCGATGTCATCAAGGGGGAGATTGTCAAGCAGGTATGCTTGGTTTTGTTCTCGTGACCCCCTTTTAGCGTCTGGCCCACAGCTCACATCAGACCAAAGGTCGCTACAGAGCATCACTATACCGTCATGAAGAAAAGCAAATATATTTGCGCCGCCACCCGGACCGGCTGCGTCGACCTCCTCGACCCCATCTCGTTCAAAACCGTTCGAAGTTGGCAAGCCCATGCATCGTACATCAACGACATGGACGCTCAGAATGACTTCATCGTTACCTGCGGAGGCTCCCTTAAGCAGCAGGCCGCTCAGACCTACATGCTAGATCCATACGTCAACGTTTTTGACCTAAAGAACATGACATCGATGAAACCAATGCCGTTTCCGCCCTTAGCAGCCCACGTCCGGTTACACCCGAGAATGCTCACCACCAGCATCGTAACCTCTCAGCATGGACAGATGCACGTGGTGGACATAATGAACCCTAACACGAGCAATGTGCGGTACGCAAATGTGATGTCGTTCATCAACCTCTTCGAGATGGCACCTTCAGGAGAGGCTCTCGCCATGGCCGACACCGAGTGCAACATTCATCTCTGGGGTTCACCCTCCAAAATCCACTTCACCGACATGGCCCTCCCAATCGAAATGCCAAAGGCGGAGGAGCCCGCTCCTATGCTCGACTGGTCTCCAGATACGTAGGCATAACTCCAGAGCTCATTCTACCTCTACCCTCCCCGACTGACATCGTCGACAGCCCCTTGAGTTCGATAGGGATGCCCTACTACCGTGAACAACTATTCTCCGCCTGGCCTTCCGACATCATCTCCGACGTTGGTGCTCCGCCGGTGCAGCTAGACCCGGCACTTCTAGGTACCCTCAAGCAGACCGAGTGGGGCTTGTACGGCAGGAACACGCGAGGTCTGCGGCGCAACCAGGTCGAAGATACACGAGCATGCATGAAACCATCCATGCAGCCGCCGAAGTTCTTAAGCGAGAAGGCGCGCGAATCGGCCATGTCTTATAGCGCCACTGTACCCGATCCCAAGACAGAGCAGGTACCCGAGTCGTCACCAAATGAACTCGAGAGCCTGAAACCCGAGGCGCCGCCAATCTATCGGAATCTGGAAATCAAATATAGCAAGTTCGGTGTGGACGACTTTGATTTCGGGTAAGCGAAGTCCCTTCATTTTCTTTCGCGATGGCGAGAGCTGACACACTGCCCAAAGCTACTACAATAAGACACGGTACGCCGGGTTAGAGAACCACATTCCGAACTCATATGCGAATTCACTTTTGCAGCTCATACATTATACCCCTCTTTTGCGGAACATGGCCCTTCAACATGCCGCCACCGCGTGTGTGACTGACCTGTGTTTGCTGTGCGAGTTGGGTTTCGTTTTCGACATGCTACAGAAGGCAGAAGGCTCAACATGCCAGGCAACAAACATGTTCAAGGCATTGGGCGCCACGCCACAAGCTGCGCCTTTGGGCCTACTCGAAGAGGAAATACATGTTCCGTCACTGTCGACCATGTCACAGGGGCTGAGTAGATTCCTATTTGACAGAATCAACCACGACTACCGGAGCATATCCCCGATTTCAACCACACTAGAGCAAACGCTCTTCAAGCTCCCGCAGCCTCCTACTCCGGACGAGTTGGTATCAAGGGTCCTTGCGACATCAGCCGTGGTCACGATCAAATGCATGAATTGCCGAAGCGAGACTACGCGTCCTGGCACGGCACAAGTCAACGATCTGATGTACCCGCCGCCGAAGGGCTCCGCCCGAGGCGGTAGAATGCACAAGACGACATTCTCCCAGGTGTTCAAAACGGGAGTTGAGAGAGAGACTGCGTCTAAGGGGTGGTGCAGTCGCTGTCAGCGATACCAGAACCTGCAGATGCGCAAGACGATACATAGCGTGCCGGCAGTGCTCGCTATCAACACGGCCATCGCTAACCAGGAACATCGGAGGCTCTGGTCGACGCCGGGATGGCTACCAGAGGAGATTGGAATTATAGTAGACCAGGGGCAGTTTTTCTGCTTCGAGGGCGAGGACTTGAAGCTCCACCTCCAACGGGGCATGCACAATATCACGGTCTACTCGTTGATCGGGATGGTGGTCAACATTGAGAGCAGCTCGCCTCAGAAGACCCACTTAGTGAGCGTGATCAATGGTGAGTTGGATTTCTATCGTGGGGTTGAGAAATTGATGTACTGACGATCGATAGTTGCACACGCGGATGCAGCACCGTCAACGGAGAGCAAGTGGCACCTGTTCAACGACTTCTCGGTACGGCCTATCTCAACGGCGGAGGCGTTAACGTTCAACGCGGCATGGAAGCTGCCCGCTGTATTGCTGTTCCAAGTTAAGGCCGCGAACAACAAGACCAACATGGACTGGAAAACCAAGTTAGACACATCGATTCTATACAAGGATCTAACGCCGCACACGGACGAAAAAACGTACCGGGTGCTTGACCTGGAGGCGGAGCGACCAGGTCCGGACACGATCGTGGGGTTAGACACTGAGTTTGTGTCGCTAAAGCAGCCCGAGATCCAAATGAACTCGGACGGCGAGAGGGAAACGATTCGGCCCATGTCGCACGCCCTGGCGAGAGTATCTGTCGTGCGGGGCCAAGGTGAGCACGAAGGAGACGCCTTCATCGACGATTACATCGCTATCCGGGAACCCGTCGTGGACTACCTGACGCTCTACTCGGGTATCACACCCGGCGATCTCGATCCGCGCACCACCAAGCACAACCTCGTGTCTCTCAAGGTGGCGTACAAGAAACTCTGGGTGCTTCTCAACCTGGGCTGCAAATTTCTCGGCCACGGCCTCCGGCAAGACTTCCGTGTCATCAACATCCAGGTGCCCCGCACGCAGGTGATCGACACTATTCAGGTCTTCTACCTCAAGTCACGGCTTCGCAAGCTGTCGCTCGCCTTCCTAGCCTGGTACCTGCTTAAGGAGGACATCCAGCTGGAGACGCACGACTCGATCGAGGATGCGCGCACCGCGCTGAAGCTGTACCGCAAGTACCTCGAGTTTGACGACGCGGGCATCCTGGAGGCCATGCTCGAGGATATCTACAAGGCGGGGCGAGCTACTAACTTCAAACCGCCGCGAAAGGACGATCAGGTCATCCAGCGGACGGACACGCCGCCCGTCACGGTGATTGAGGGGAGCAGTGGCAGCGGGGCTGACCCGTGCACGCCCGCCCGTAAGTCGGTTGGGCGCGGGATAAGTTCCGGAGGCACACCGTTCGGGGTGGTGAATGTCTTCACGCCAGGGAAGGGGTCGCCTTTGCCGAAGTGAAGTCTCGGGGGCGAGCCTTATTCGGGGTTGCCCTGCGAGTGGTGGGTAGTATAGGGAGGAGGTGGAGTGAGACAAGGAAATGACGTGTCTTTTGAAAGGAGCGAGCAGAGCAGAATAGAGCAGAGCGATTTTCTTAACTAGCGAGTGGAAAACTTTGATGAATGACAACATTGAACTAGATCAACTTCCTGACTGAGTGGCCGTTTAGGAACTTACACCCGCCCCTTTTTCTGAGCTATCAGTCACCGGTCGCTCCCTTTTCGGGCCCATCCCGGTTTGCAGATTCCCCTCCTTCCCAATGAGTCCTGGAACTTGCAACGCGGTTGAGACCAGACCTGGAAAGCAGCTATGATTCGTCAATGTAACAATATATTGCAAAGGAGGAATTGTGTCCCGGCTCCGGCACGAGCCCGGCTCGGGAACCTTGTCATTTTACTTAATTGAGCACGAACGTCCATGAAGGAGAGTTCAAACTCTCAACGGTGGTGCCCAATGAGCGGCATATCCAACGACAATGGCAGCACTCTTGGACTCCTTGATAGACCTAGCAGTGGAGAACACCACCGCTGTCACTACGGTTGCTTTGCTGGTTACAACTTATGTGTTGATTTACCGATGGCAACTCGTCAAGATACACCCCGATGAACCACCCATCGTCCCGTCGACGGTGCCCTTTGTGGGACATCTGTTGGGCATGGCGCTGTTGGGTGGGAAATACGTGAAGAATCTCGGGTGAGATCTCGGTTTACCCCTGAGATGAACCTAGTCTAGTCACATACTAATACAGAAGACAGCCTCCGCAACCCCGACAAGCCCATCTTTACGCTACCTGTGCCTCGCTCCCGCATGTACATCGTCACAGACCCGTCCCTGGCGGCGGCAGTCCAGCGCGCTTCCAAGACGCTGTCTTTTTCGCCGTTGGTGCCGGATATCACCCATCGGGCACTGGGCCTGAACGATGAGACGGTTGCTATTGTTAGGCAACATATCGACCCTGAGCCAGGGGAGGTAAAGGGGTTTCTCGCGGACATGCACGACTTGGTGTACTCGTCCTTTGGGCCGGGAGAGACGTTAAATGCACTGGGTGTGGAGGCGGTGAAGGAGTTATCAAGACAGGTAGATGGTTATGTTAAGGCACTGCAAGACAACAAAGGGGGCGAAGAGACGGTCGACCTCCTTCGGTGGATCCGCCATTTTGTCGCCATCGCAACCGCCAACTTACTCTACGGCGACGAGAACCCGCTTGCTCTAGACCCGGAGCTAGAGTCTGCGTTCTGGGACTTCGACCACGGGCTGGGTTCCTTACTCATGGGAATCCTCCCTTCTATCACAGCCCCCAGGGCTTACCGAGGGCGCGAGGCATTAGCGGCCGCTCTCGAGGAGTATCTCTTACAAAACCGGCACCTCCCCAGTGACGGCCATAAGGGTGCCTCCCAGATTGTTCAACAACGGGTCGCCCTCGCCCTCCAACACGGCTGGACTCTTCGCGCCGTCGCTCGCTCCGAGCTCTCCTTCCTCTTTGCCGGCATCGTCAACACAGCAACGACCACGTTCTGGATAGTCCTACACCTATTCGCCTCGGCCTCCTCTGGCACCGATAACTTGTTGTCCACCATCCGCTCGGAGCTATCCTCCTCCATCACCCCAGACCCCCAAGCCCACAACACCCTAACACTGTCCCTCGAAAAGCTCAAAACCTCCTCACCAGCCCTCCAATCCCTCTTCCGCGAGTGCCTACGCCAAAACTCCGACACCTACTCGACCCGGCTCGTAAAATCAACCACCACCCTCCCCGGCCAAGCCGGCCCATACCACCTAGCCGCAAACTCCGTGGTCCAAATCTCAGGCGGCACGATACACGCGGACCCACGCATCTGGGGCCCGGACGTGGGGGAGTTCCGACCCTCCCGTTTCCTCCCCCATACCAACACCCAGCACAAAATGCACGATCCAGAGCAGCAGCAGCCCACCCTCAACAGTGACACTACTACCACCACCACCACCACCACCACCACCACCAACAATACTAGCACCAACGACGACACCACCCCAACACCCACCATACACCCAGCCCAAGGCCCCGCAACCCACCACCCCGCCGCCTTCCGCGCCTTCGGCGGCGGCAAGACGCTCTGTCCCGGCCGGCACTTCGCCAGCACGACGATCCAGGCGTTTGCGGCGCTGCTGGTGACCCGGTTCGATATCACGGCTGCTTCTGGCGGTAGTACTACTACCACTGGTGATGGTGGTGGTGGAAGTGGCAGTGCTGCTTCGGGGGGCAGTGGGGTGATCACGGTGCCGGGGAAGGAGGACGGGGTGCTGCCTGTGCATGTGCTTGAGCCGCGGGGGATGGTGAGGGTTGTGGTGCGGGTTAGGGGCGGGGGTGATGGTGGTGGGAGGGGGGTGAGGGTTGTGGCGTAGTTGTTGGTAGTTGTTGGGGTGGGTGGGTGTTTGGTGCTTTCTCTCTTTTTTCTTCTCCTTTTGCCTCCTTTTGGTGAGTGAGAGAGAGGGGGTGGGTATGTTGGAGAGTTTTGCGGGTCTTGGTCGCTAACTGAGAGGGTCGGTTTGTTCTTTGTCGTGTGAGGGACTGACAGTGACCGGGTTGGGTAGGAGAACATGGAGAGGCAGTCGACTTCACGAGGACGGAACGACGGAGAGTTTGATAAGGGACAACCATCAACATATTCACATGATCAAGGAACCAGGCATATTGACAACCGTGTGATTGTAAGCTACATACTAACAAGACTGCTACGCTACAGCTCGCGCCGGCTGGCTAGCACCAATGAATATCCCATGCAAAGCACATCCCACCATCCCCATGCCATTCTGCCGAGTCCAGCCAGCCCTTCCCTTCCGTCAAACCATTACTTCTTATCCTCTCACCCACCAAGCACAATTTTGTTTGTTGTCGTCACCTCTCAGCAGATATTCTCCAGCGCCTGCGTCCGCATGTACTTCCCCCGCACATCCCCCGGCAGCAGCCCGAACAGTCTCGGATCGCCGCCCCTGCACCGGATCAGCTCCTCCGCCATATCCCCAATCGCCGCCTCCTGGCGGATATCCCCATGCGTCTGCCCGCGCAGCGCCACCAGCCCGTCAAAGAGCTGGTGGTCGAACTTGTCCAGCCCCTGCTGCCTGCTCTGCACCCGCGCCATGGGGTAGAGCAGATACACGGCAGCCGCGCGGTCCCAGTCCTGCAGCTTCCCCTTGACCTTGAACAGCAGCTGCGCGAAGCGGAACAGGCGGTTGAAGTCGCGCTCGATGACCAGGTCCGGCCCGACGCGGTGGACGAAAGCCTGGTTGGCCTCGGCGTAGTTCTGCGCCCAGACGAGGGCGAGGAACTCCTGCTGCGAGTCGCCGCGGGTGCGGAAGTCGAGGGCCTTGGCCTCCCAGATCCACGCCTCGGGCACGCCGAACTTGCGCAGGGCGGAGAAGGCGCCGGTTGGGTTGCGCGCCGAGCCGATCCGGTGGGCGTGGCGGCCGAGGTGGTCGCGCACGGCAGCTTCGCGGGAGCCAGCGTCGGATAGCTGGAGTAGGACGAAGGTAGCCGGCACCCACTGGGACTGCACCGTCAAGCTGGATGCAAAAGACAGAGACGCCATGTCGAGCTTCTCGGCCGCATCTTGTCCGAACGAGACCTTGCCCGTGGCGTAGATGGCTTTGGTCATGAGCCACCCAAGGCGAGTATCCGACCAGTCGAAGTCTTGGTTCGCAAACGCCTTGAGGAGCGACCACAGAGCGCTGTCCGGCTCTGGCTCTTTGTCCTGCTCAATGTCGGCCTGGAAGGAACGGACCGCCTCCGCAACATTAGGGACGGCCCCGGTGGTGTAAAAGAGACGAAGACCAAACGACCGCATCCAGTCCAAACCGAAACGCTGAGAAATGGTAAATGAGTCGACGCGGTTCTCAATAGGAGCATTCTTGACGCCCGAGCAGACACCAGCGTTACCGGCCAAGAGCTCATAGATAGCCCGGATAGGCTTGGAAAACTCGGCCAGCACATTCGACTCCCGCCAGTCCTTAAGCTGAGCCTTCATGTCCTTGTTCTGCGTGCCGATGCTAGAAACGAGAGTGGCCAGCCGGAAGTTCCCTGCCGCAAGGAGGTGGCCGCAAGCATCGCCGACGCGATTGCCTGCGAGGCAGATGATCGCCTTTTCCTCAAGCCCAGGCTCCTGAGCAAGTGCACGGTCGGTGGCGGCAGACACTAATTGTCTCCAGAAAACAGGCAGGCTGTATCCATTGTCGTCAAAAAGAAGAGACGCTAGCTCCCAAGAAGAGTCACCGAGAGCCAGCTCCCGGAACTCGGGGCCGGCGATTGGCTGCCCCTCCTTGCCGGAGATATTGTCGATATAGTGTTGGAGCCGAGTTAGGGTCTCGGGCGATCCTGCTGAAGAATCGGCAGCAGGTAAAGTCCCGTCGACCGGTTGCAGGCTAGGCTCCCCATGGTGAGTAGTGACGAGCAGTTCGTTAGGGCCCCAGTTGGTTCGCGGAACTGACGGGCCCTCTTCTGCGTCGACCTTGGGACGTTGTTGGTAAGGCCACTAAAGGAAAGAACAATCTTAGTCTGTATTCACAATAAATAGGTACAAGAGGAAACGCTAAAACGCCAAGTGGCAATGAAGCTGAGCAGCTAGGAGGCGAGCGGGACACCAACCTTCACGAAACCCTTCGTTGGCGACGCCTGCACCGGCTGCACCGGCTGCGCCGGGCCCTTTGCCTGCTCGAAAAGCGACTTCATCAAATCGATACTCGTTGCAAAACCTGCTCCATCGGGCGCAGGGGCATTCCTCTGAGGGGCAGGGCTGCCCCGGTCCTTAATATCCCAAACCGCCCCCGACTCGTTCATAGCGCGCAACGTCGCCCGATCCACCGTCCTCGGCGCCCGCACGCTCGCCTGCAAAATCTGCGTCCAATCATCCCCACCAGCCACCTCAATCCTCGTAGGTGCCGTCGACTTCTTGAAGGCCCGCATACGCGCCCTCATTATTCCAGCAGGGACCTGCGCCTCGTTGTCGGCGTAGCGGGAGAAATCGTCCTGGTCGTCGACGGATCCCTGCTGAGACGATTGTTCATAGGCTTCGAGCTGGTAGTCATCGGGTCCGTCAGCCATGCTTTCATCTTCAGGCCATTCGCGTGACGGCAAGGGGGCATCAGCCTCCTGGGGTTCAGGAGTCAGCGTACCCTGACGTTGAGCGGCATTGGAAACCTCCTCATTGTCCGACAATGCGGCATCATCGAAAGCGCCGGGAACAGCGCGCCGGCTGCGCCTGAATTCGAAAGTGTCGTCGGGATCGGAAGGGGAGGTCGAGTCCTTAACAACCGATGGGCTCAAGATTGCGCGACGAGCCTGGATGGACTCCATCTCGGTTTCGTCGTCGTCATCGTCATCGTCACCTAGACCGTAGGTTGTGAAATGCTCCACCGAGAATGTCCAAACGCCGGTTTCCTTTTCGTAGCTCTCGAAAGTCGTGTCGGGAATAGCCGTCTTGAGCCTCTCGATGTGACGCTCGAGGCGACGGCCAGTGGTCGCGAGACCACCACGAGGATACGAGTGCTCGAGCGAGATGACTGCAGGTACATTCAGCCCCTTGCCGACGGGAGGCTTCTTCGCCGCCACGGGGTAAACGGTGGCAGAGCGGGGAACCAAGACGACAATGCCGTCGAATAGCTCATCGAGATTGATGTTGCTGAGGTCAACGGGAATTTTGAAGGTGACGCTGCCAACATTCTCGCGGCCGACGGTGAAGTCGGGGATCCGCTGGCGCTGCACCCTGTTCATAGCACGGATCTCTTCAACGCTTGGCGACATCCAGTAGCCGCCCGGCTCGATCGTGGAACCGAGCTTCTTCTCGGTCCGCACGGCCACAGGCGACTCCTCTTCAGGGACAATGGCGAGTTCGTTGCCCTTAACCTGCTCCATCTCCGGAGCGGAAGTGGCAGGTGACGACTTGGCGCCATTCACGCCGTTGGTGCTAGGACGAGCGGCAGTGCTCGGCTTGAGCTGGGCCTGGTCGTCAGTGCTGGAACCATTCTCCAGAGTGGCCGGGCGGCTTTCGGGGGCGGTCTCAACCGTGCTGGTGTCGAAGCTGACACGCTTTGCCAGCTTCCTCGAGCCGTTGGCGTCTTCCGGAACCTGCTTTTCCTTGTTAGGCGAAGTGAATAAATCGCTCCGCATTTCCTTGTTGATAACCAGCTTCTTGTGGTTACCACCGTTGCCGAGCAGACGCATGCTGGAGTTGGCGGAGAAAGCGCCAGGTTGGAGGATGCTGTCCTCGACGTTGAAGCTGCGCCGCAGGTTGCTAGCCGAGATGCTCTTGCCCAGGCTGCGGTTGATGCTGCCGGCAAGGAGGCTCTGTGAGAAACCACCAGGGGTGCTGGAAACGCTCGATGGGCTGGCGGGAGAGCCATAGGCGCTGTATGAGAATCCGTAACCCCTCTTCTGGGGGGTGACAAGGCGCGAGGCGTTGGCCGGGCTGAGCTTGTACATGGGCAAGATGGACCGGCTCTTAACCTTGGAGGTGCCAGACAGGGGAGTCGCAAGTGGGCCGGGGTTCTGAATCTTGTCATCCGGCAGCCCGGAGAAGAGTGTCGCAGCCCCGTATGCGGAGATGTCGTGAAGGCTCGCGTTGAAAGCCTGTTGGGGCGTTTGTTGGCCCTGAGAGGCGCCGAGGAGGGAGTTGCCCAACATGCCCTGCTGCGGCTGCTGCTGGTTGTTACTGGCGCCGAACATACCGCCCTGTTGTTGCTGGGCGGGTTGGTTGCCAAAAAGGCCGCCTCCTGCGGGCGCCGAATTGCCGAAGAGGGAGGGTTTGGCTTGTGCACTCTGACCTAGACCGCCGAACAGGCCGCCTTGTGCAGGCTGCTGGGCTTGTGTATTGCCCCCGAGGTTGCCAAAGAGGCCGCCGCCAGTAGTACCTTGTTGAGCGGTCGTGTTGCCGCCAAATAAACCTCCGCCGGTGCCTGCGGGCTTGTTGCCAAACAGGCCGCCACCCGCTGCAGGCTGCGCTGCCGTGTTTCCGCCAAACCCAGACGTCGCCCCGGTGTTCGCACCGCCGAACAGGCCACCGGTAGTTCCGGTGTTCGTTGTTGCACCGCCGAATAGACCACCGGGCTTTTGTTGTTGCTGTTGGCCGCCGAATAAGCCACCTCCGGTGTTTTGGGTTTGGGCTCCGAAGCCGGTGCCGCCGCCGAAGCCTGTGCCGGTAGTTTGCTGCTGCGGTTGTTGTTGTTGTTGTTGACCTCCGAAAAGGCCACCACCGGCGGTGTTGGTCTGAGCGGTATTTCCAAACAAGCCGCCACCCCCAGTGTTGGTGGCAGTGGTGTTTGCACCAAAACCGGGCGTTCCGGTTGTTCCGCCGAATGCACCGCCGCCAGTACCGGCGCCGGTGTTGCCGAAGCTGAATCCGGCAGGCTTGGCTGCCGCTGTGTTGGTGCCTCCGAACATACCGCCGCCCGTACCGCCCGTATTCGCTCCGAAGCCCGCGGTCGTCGTAGCGCCACCACCCCCGAACGCGCCGGTACCACCTCCGCCAAACATTCCACCAGTCTGTGCGGGTTGGGTGGTGGCGGTGTTTCCGAACATGCCGCCCGCTGCGGGCTTGTTGCCGAACAGACCACCACCGCCGCTGCCAAACCCGCTAGTCGTTGCGGTGTTGGTCGCGCCGAAGCCCGTCGCCGCCGGTTGGGTGTTTCCAAACATGCCTGTTCCAGTGTTGGTCCCGAATCCGGTGCTGGCTGTGTTGGTACCAAAACCGGTTGTACCGCCACCAAAATTAGAGCCGCCAAATGCGCCTGTCCCGCCGGTACCACCTGTCTTTCTACCTTGGTTGTAGTCGGTCAATCTTAGTTCATCTGCAGACCACTTCTTATATGCATCCATAAAGAGGAGGTTCTGGAACGAATTGCTTTGAGTAGTATTGTTCTCTTTCTCCACGGTGGGAGAGAAGGGGACAACAGCTGTTCCGGGAGGGTCTCCGATGTTCGTCCCGATGCCGGGGTTGGTCGTGGCGCCGAAGCCTGTGGTGCCGGCTCCCGCGCCGCCCCCGAAAAGGCCACCGCCACCGGTGCTACCGGCAGTGCCGAAAGTCGAGGTTCCCGCCCCGAAACCAGTTGTCGCAGGCTTGGCACCAAAGAGCGACGAACTGCCGCCACCGAAGGGTGTGCTGGTGGTGGTATTTGAGCCCCCAAAGCCGCCACCGAAGCCTGTCCCGCCTGCTGTTGTTGTTGTTGTGGTAGCGCCGCTGCCGAACAACCCCCCGCCGGCGCTGGTTGTGGCCGGTGTGCTAAAAGCTGGTTTGCTTCCAAATGCACCGGTACCGCCGAATGCGCCAGTGGTGTTCGCGCCAAACGCGCCGCCGGTGCTGCCGGTGCCGCCGCCGCCAAACATGCCGGTGCCGGTGGTTCCTGTATTGGCTCCGGAGCCAAAGCCAGTGGTTCCAGATGAGCCACCAAAGCCTGCAAAAGTTAGTTTTCATTGTCGCCAAACAATTGTCTCCAAGACAGGATTCGTGGCCGAGGAGAGCGGAAAGGAAGCGAAGGAAATGAGGCGGTGACATACCTGTGTTTGTGCCTGTGTTATTAGTTCCGAATCCACTAAAGCCGGACGATTGATTCTGAGTATTCTGGCCGAAGCCAGTGCCGCCGCCAAACCCAAATGACATGGTATGCGATGTCGATGGCGATGGTTTGGATGTCGCGATGTGGAGGATTTGTCGGGGTTAGAAAAAAAGGCGCGAGGCACTCTGGCCTGTCGAGTAAAACCCGAGTCGCAGTTGAATGATGATCCTTGAAATTGAAAATGGGAAGGAAAATGTTAAGGAAACCCGAGATTGCTGCACTGATTGCGCAACAAGGTGCTTGCGCTGGATAGCACCGCGTTCTTTCCCCTTCAAAAAGATCGAGGCGCGCGATGAGGCGAAGTTGGCAGCTCGCGAAAGTTCGCTGCTCACCCAGCAGAAGGAGCCCTTGCCTAACAGTCGGTCCAAGCTTCTTGCTGGCAGCCAATCAGATCACGCGACCCCCGGAGCAGTGCGTGACCGCGAAAAAAGCAGTGGCCGGGGGCAGCTGTTCAAAGCACGGACCTGATGGGCACAACACAGCACGGGTCTTCACAGATTCAGCAAGCACTCAGATTCAAGTTCATTGAGGGACAGGTTGTGGAGATCCTTTCGCATGGTGAATCGAGTATTTAACCCTATGGATTGCATTTGCTAACGGGACAATGCTGACATATTCATTTGGACCTCAACACGATCACGTGGGGTCGCGGTTGCTGCCTGAGGTTCAATTCAGTGTTCTCATTGGTGACGCTGACAAGCTGACTAAAATCTCGAGTCTGCCTCGCGACAAAGGCACAAATCAGATCCCTTTGCAGGCGACAAACGCTGCGAGACTCGACTTACACAGAAAACCGGACGGAAAATAAAGTGACTGATTGGTCCTGGATATGTGTTAGTCACAAGCTTGGGGTCCGGTGCCTGGAGCGATGACAAACTGGCTCGAGTCGCACCTGCCTGAGCCAGCAGTATAAATCCCCCAGTCTCGTTCATGAGCTGTCCCCCACTGCTCCCGTCTCTCTCTGGGATTGAAAAAGCCGGCGTCAGTTGCCGGTTGCCGACCCGCCGGCAAAGACACCCGATTTGCCGGCATTCATTCTTACAGGATGCAACGACCAGTGTTATTCCAAACCTTGAAGCACACTCACATCCCAAGTCCCGCCGGTCGGGTCGACAAAACGAGGGCTGGCAATCTGAACGAAGCGTCAGGTCTACAATGAACGTGCTTCCAAGGTTAAAGCCACCAAGTTTAGCTAGTATCACGATCGCTTGCAGCATTTTCGGAAAGTCATCGAGAGACCATGGATAGTTTCATCAACCACAACCGAGGAGTTCCCATTTTCCCACGCCTCCACGGGTTCTATTTTCAACGGGCCCAGCCTCAAAGTCCACAAAGTAACGATTCAGAAAAGTAGGTAACTTAGGTTGTAAAGAGTAAACGGTAAGAAGAAGCTTTCTCAGGTCCAAACCACCAACACCAAAAAAGGGGTCAAAGAGAAGCATACAGCCACGCCTTTGCAAGGCACCCACGCACACATCGTGTGCGCGCCTCGCACCTATCCATGCTCCGGCCAAGTTTCTGCGCCGTGCCGGTTTCAACCTCCTGGGCACTTTACCGTCATCGTCCCCCCAACCACCAACACTGTATTCGTCTCCCTCACCCATCTCCACTCCACCGCGCAATCTCAGCCCTAGAACTGGATCAGATCCCCCCCCTGCTGGCCCTGCTGCTGCCCTCCCCTGGCCGCAAATGGGTTATTCGTCGACCCACCGCCAGCGCCGCCCATTCCCATGCCCATGCCCATACCCATCCCAGCCGGGCCGGTAGCGGCTGGCATCTGCGGGTGCTGCTGCTGTTGCTGCTGGGGATACGACACAGCGGGCATGCCGGTAAATTGCTGCTTTAGGAAGGGGTTGTTCCCCGTCGCGTCCGGGTTCATGCGACCCAGCCCGGCGCCGGCGCTGTTGACAAACACGCCTGGGGCGGTGTGTTGAGCGGGGATGCGCAGGTTGCCCGTGTTGCCGAAAGTGTCGAGGCCGTCGCCGCCGGCGAGGAGGGCGTTGAGCCGCGCCTCGTGTTCGGTGAGTTCTCTTTGTGGTTGCTGCTGCTGTTGCTGCTGTGGCTGCTGCTGCTGCTGCTGGAATTGCGGTTGGGGCTGCTGCATGGCGCTGAAGGGGGAGGACGATTGCTGTTGTTGCGGTTGGAAGGTGGCGAGCGTCTTCTGCTCGGGGAGGCTGCCGAGGGTGGTCGTCGACTGGGGTTTGTATCCGGTTGATGGCCGTTGGGCGAAGGGGTTGTTCGAGCCGGTTGGCGTGGGCTTGATGGATTGCGGGCTGCTGTTCCCGGCCCAAGGGTTGTTGCTGCCGGGTTGCAGGCCAGGATCTTGGGGTTGTGGCTGGAGGAACTGTTGCTGCTGCGGTTGGGGTTGCTGCTGCTGCTGTTGCTGCATGTAGGGGTTGTATCCGGTAGGTTGGGGCTGGAAGCTCTGCTGCGACATTTGCGGCTGCTGCTGTTGTTGCTGACCGAATGGGTCAAAAGCTGGCTGCTGCTGGACAAACCCGTTGCTGTATCCGTTCGGGTACCCGGTCTGCTGCGGCTGGAATCCCGTGTATGCATTGTTCACGTACCCCGTAGGCTGAGCCTGCATCTGGTTCTGGTCGATCGGGTTTGCGAAGAAATCGACCGCGCTCCCTTGCTGGTACCCCTGGTTAAAGCCGGTGAATTGCGGCTGGCTTGTCGATGCTGAGGCAGGTTCGGGGTCAAATAGAGCAGTTGCGTTAGTCTCCTCTAGCTCCCTCCGGCGCCTATCCTCCTCCTCTTTGCTGAGTTTGATGGCCTTTGCAAGGTCATCATCGTCGTCGTCGACATTTCGGCTCTCACGCTTTCTCCTGTCTTCCTCCTCCTGGTGTTTGCTAGCTTCAATCGCCAAGCGGTATTCCGCGTCCTCTTCCTCGTTGAACGGCCGGTTCCGCTGTCGCGGGGGCTCCGGGCGACTGCCTTGGTTGTACTGAGCGGCGTACTCTTCGACGCCATTGACACGGGCCTTCCAGGTCTTCCTGTCGCTTCGCTCCGCCCGTAGCCTTTCGTCGTCCAAGATCAGGGAGGTCAGCTCCTTGGCCGCAACACGAACTAGGTGAACAAGTTAGCTCGCCACTTCCAGCTCCTGGCAACGGGAACACCCACCGTTTTGGCCAACGTCCCTGCCGTCTTCATCGATGTACTGGAACTCCCGCAGCGTCTTGATGATGAATATGTTCTGCTTGGCCCAGGTGACGACAAGCTCTGCCCCTTCATGCAGACAGTAGTCGGTGACCTTGAGCGCCTTTAGGACGTGCCGCCAGTTCTTGCCCTTGTCATTGAGCCGCTTGTCGATCATATCCATGATTTCGTAGAACTCGGTCGACCTGGAGGCGGACAAAGCGAAGAGAGTCAGTATCCTCGACTCTGCGATGGGGCGCCACCCCGCACAACACCTTCTCGCGTCCCACTTACGAGTTAAACGTCATCTGAGCGATCTCGCTCATCTGCGTCCCTGTCGGGCCCCATGGATCATTGCTAGTCGCTGCATCCCGGCGCTGTCAGTACAATCCATCCTTTCCGACTGTGGGATCTAGCCGCGGCACGGCGCAGCCATTTTCTTGAAGTTAACCCACCTTCGCGCACTTTGATTTGGACGTTGGAGTAGCCCTTTGTGACATTTTTGACGCTCCGGATAACCTTCGACATCTTGGCGCCGTTAGGGGGGCGGATAGGAAAGTCGTGATGATTGCGATGTGCTGAGTTGGGTCTTTGAGGAGGGCGAACCTGTTATGTCGCAAGACCAAGATGGAGGTGTGTTGCGTGTCGGCGGCGGTCGGGGCGGCGTGCCGCTTCGAGCTTGGCGGCCGTCACTTTAGAAAGGCCGCGCGCCACTGGGGAGGGAGCTCAGGTTTCGCAGTTGGTGAGAGCGCAATGCGCCTTGTTGAAGGCCTCGGACAAAACAAGCCAGAGACGAAGGTAATTGAGGATGGCGATGCGCAGCGTGTACGGTGATGTCGTCGGCGGCTCCTTCTACGCAGATTTGGTTTGAATGCGATGCAAGCTGGAAGTGGTCAGGACATGCGAGGCGAGAGGGGGAAAGCTCGGCCGTTCCTCGAAATGGAATGGAACCGCCGCGCAACTCGCGTATTAAGTATTACGTGGATCGACACGGTCCGAATTACGGCTAGCAGATTTGGTTTCTAAGATATGTACGGAGTATAGATTATGCGACGGAAAAGGGGTGAAAGGCATTCGATGACGAGGGATGAATCGGGTTTTATTTTTTCGATCCGGAATCGACCAGACCCAGACTTGCCATCTGCTGGTGTTTTCGGGATCTGATCTGAAAGCTCAGTTCTGAACAATGGTTCAGAAACCGCGCCTCGAACAGCGCGCTGACGATGCTTCGTATCCGTACTGCGTAACTTGGGTTCCCGTCGGTATCGCCAAGCCTTCCAGAAAGTGGCCACCGCAGCCCTAAGCCATTTTCGGGAGGCAACCCCCAGGGCAACAGGGGGCGACTCTGTGGAACATTCAGTTGGCAGCTGGAGACAGAATTCGCGCCCAGCCTGGCTGAGCTGGCACTGAGGGAGCACGCGTAAATGGAAGTGCCATGACGTAGATGCTTCCACCCGGAATTTCCATTATTCGAGATTCGAGGTTGCACCATTCGTCTTCAATGTCCTATACACCCATAAGAAACCAACACCATAAAGTCCAGAGTTCAGGGCCAACAACGCCTTCTAAACCCTCCCTAAGCCATCCCCGTCTGGAATACACTCGTACAAACAATACTCAATCCGGCGCCAAACAACAAGAACCGTTGTTCGGTAGGTAAGGTACATAGCAGAGGGGAAAAGAAAAAGAAGCCCAAATGCCCTCCCGAAAAAACGCAACGCCCCAGGCCACCGAAGAACAACGCCGTGGTATCCCATCCCGCCTCCCGATAGTTCCAAGCCCGAACTCACGCGTCCACCTCGCCCTCAGCATCCCGCATCTCTACATCCGTATTCTCCTTCCCTGGGTCTTTACCCTTCCCCTTTCCCTTCCCCTTCCCTTTCTGCATCTGCCCACCGCTTTCTTCCAAGGTGGGTGATTGTACTTGCACCGAATCCATAACATCGACGCCCTCACCGTCCCCTTTCTTAGACACCGCCGCCACTACCGCCATCCTAGCGCGCTCGGCGAGCCAAGCCGGCGGAAGACCCGGGCCGCTAGCGGCGTTGCCGTAATCGCTCTTCTTGGTTCCCTTGGGCCACCGACCCGGTCCACGACCCGTGCCACCCGGCTTCCGCTTGCTGTTGCTGGTGCTGTTCCTAGGTCGCGAAGAGGTAGACCGGCGGGACGTGGTTGGGCGCTTGGGTTTCGGTCGCGGGGCGCCGGTGCTGCTGGTTCGCACGGCCGGCGGCCGGGGGATCATTGAGCGAGTGCGGTCGGATCGACGGCCGTTGATGGGCGGGACCACTTCGAACCGACTGGGAGGGACGCTTTTGTATTGGTCAATCCAATTCTCTGCCGTGATTTTGACTGGCTCTGGATCAGCCTCAGTCTGCATCTTTTGTTCCGCAGAATCCCGATTGGTAAGGATGTCGTCTGGCTTGGTGTCGCCATTAACAATGCTGCTCGTGCCGGTCTCGGTTGGCTCAAGGGATTCTGAGGCCTCAGCGGGCTCGCCGGACTCGGTTGACTCGAGGACTACGGGCTCGAGTGCAATCTTGGTGTCCTCGGCAGGAGTGTCCGGTTGATTCGGGGGGTCCGTTCCATTAACCAGCGGCTCCTCTGGCGGAACTGCCGGTTTCACCTCCTCTTCCTCTTCTCGTGGGGCGATGGCGTTCAGAGCCGGACCCAACTCAAAGTTTGTCGCATTGCTCCTGCCCATGACGTACGGCGTCCATGTCAACGCCTTTTCATTAAGCTGAACGTACTTCTTCGCCTCCCACTTCGCAACGTACTCCCGGCAATACTGCAAGTCTACACGGAAAGCGTAGAGCTGTGTCTGCGGGTCTCGGACTAGGCACCGCAGTCCTTCCAAAGCGGAGATGACATCGTCCGGCGTCAGCCCTGTGTCATCCGAGATCTGTTTGATACCGAGGCCTACTTTCCCAGACTTCTCCTCGGAAAACCGGTCCAAAAGGTAACGACACATTATCAACCGCCAGTAGTTCCTGTATGAAACCAAGCCCATGTCGGAGAGGGGTTTTTCCGGAGAGCCAGTTTTATTCTCGACCCTGGTCAAGAGGTAGGAGAAGTCGATTAGGAGGTTCCCGTACCCTTTTCGTTGGTGGATAGGGAGAGTAAGAATACAGGAAACGTTGTTCTGACTGCTGGCACGCTTCTCTTTTGAGAAGTATCCGACGAAGTGATAACCCATGTCGTCGTACTCGCAGAGAACGTAGAAGAGGAACGGCTCCACGTCGTAGTAAAGGGTTTTGGATCCGAGGAAAAGTTTCGCCAAGAGACAGAGATTCTGGCAGTACACCGGATTCTTGCGACCGTCCACCTCGAATACCGAGACTGAGCCATGCCTGTAGATCTCGTCCCCCGGAGGGTGTTTGGCTGGGCATTTAAGTTTATGGCGCCAAGCCACATAGTCCGAGTTCATGTACTTGAGGCAGAATTCGCAGATGTAAAGGACGCGATTCCTGCTGTACTCTTCTGGGTAGGGCGCCGCATACCAAGTGTCGATCTCCCAGCCGCCAAACTCGATGCACTCGATCTGACTCGCAGGGCCTGATGCTTTTCTTGACTTTTTGGTGGGGACTTCCGCCTCGGCCTGCTTCTTGAGTAGCCGCTGTCGCCATTCCTCCTCCGCCTTTTGTTTGGCTTCGTCAAAGCGCCGGCGGTCATCGTTTGTGGGCATCGTTTTGGAGGTGTCGGCTTCGGCTTCCGTGAGGATTCCGCCATAAGGCTTGCCTTTCAGCTCGTCTGTTTCCTTGTCATAAAACGAGTAGAAGGGTTGTGAGTAGGCGCTCGGTGTAAATGGTGTTGCAATCGCGGCCAGAGGCAGAGGTGCTGCACGGGTCGACTCGCTCCTCGAGGTTCGCCGCCGCGCCCGGCTTGAGCGCTTCTTCGGTCCCTTTGGTTGCTGAGACAAAATTTGGTGGAGCTCGGACGGATTTACTTGCAGCTTCATCACAATGCTATTGCGCGTCCTCTTGACAATAGTTGCAGCCTGGTTCGGAATCTTCAGTCGCAGAGACCTTGAGACTGGCCTGGACGACTCTTCCTGGCCTGTTGCTGTATCTTCGTTGCTTTGCTCATCACCGGTGTTCCTACGCCGCCTGCGTAGGGCTATGATGTTCTCGTCCGCTTCAATCGAGGACGTCTTGCGTTTCCTAAGCACGCGAGATCCATCCATGGGGTCCTCGTCGAGGACCAACTGGTTGAAGACAGAGTGGGAGTCGGGCTTGATGGCCCCTTTTTGAGAAGGAAGCAAATCCCGCGCGACCTTGGGGGCGGTAGCGCGTCGGGCAGTTGGTGTGCCACTTCCATCGGCCATGGCGTCGATATCGGCGTCCTCGTCCGCCTCTGCAGGGGTATCCGAATCCAGGTCATTTGCACATCTGGGGCATCGCCAAGTGTCGGGGCCTATTGATGTGAGAAACAAACAATTATAAAACCCTCGAGAAGAGAAACTTACCATCTTCGCTGTCCAGAGCTTCATGCTCTCGCGCGCATTGTTGGTGGCCTGCATTATGTTAGTTATTCCAAACAAAGAAGCGCGGGGTGGGGGGCAACTGACCGTTATCCCCACACTTGGTACAAGCGAGAAACACCTCGAACTCCTCGCCCGGGTCATGCTCCTCGTCCTGCTTGCAGAAGATGCAATGACCAGCCGCGTTCTCGAACTCGTCGTCTTCGGCATCATCGTTATCGGCGCCCTCCCATTCCGCTTCATCCTCCGACTCAGCGTCGCTAACGCTAGCCAGACTCGCCGAATCATCGCCGCTGTCATCCTCGTCCTCAGTCTCGCCGGGTCTGATCTTGACAGCGCCGACGCCCTCGTCTTCGTCGTCTTCGTCGTCATGGTGGCCGTTTGCCATGCTGACAGACCTCCGTCGTGAGCGGTGATTGCGGGTTACGAGTTCATCGTCCTCTTCTCCCTCGGCATCCTCGTCAAAGGCATCGCCGTCATCTTCTTCAGACTGGCCACTCCCGCTGTGGTCATCGTCGTGCTCCCCATGCCCGTCTTCGTCTTCGTCGTATTCTTCCTTGTTTTCCTCTTCCTCCATATCTTCATCTCCATCTCCATCCATGGACCCGGAGCCGACGTCGATGTGACTTTCAGAAGCGAGCGTGTAGTCGTCGCCCATCTCCACATCCCCGTCGGCACCCCCCTGCGCCAGCCCAGCTTCCCGCTCTGACTGCATGGCGCTTTGCTGCAACTCTTCCTCCATGAGCTGCGCGTCCGCCATCTTCGTATTGTTGCTTCCCAGTTCGGTTTCTGGGGTAGCGAGGCGCCGGCCACGACGTTTGGCGCGCCTCGTCAAGCGTCGCGGCAGCTGGCGCCGCTCATATCAGGTGGGCGTAAGCAGACGGGACGAAATGGCTCATGCCTAGCGCATAGCCTTCGAAAACAACTCGTGGTTTGGGACGTTCAGTAGGTCGGAAGGGAACTCTCGAGAGCGCTCGGTGGTGTGCGCAAAGGACGAAAGGAGTACGCGACGCGCCGATCACAGGGCTGAGAGGATGGGGATTATCGATTTGAATGAAGGTTTGGGCGAAGTGAAGGTGAAGACACGTAAATTTTCCAGTGATTTTGCGTTGGCTGCAATTGGAAACGCGAAACTACCGGAAATTAATTGTCTTGCGATGGTCGTTCGCCGTGTCGCAGCTGCCAGTCCGCTGACCGTGAATGTTCTCTTGGTTGCAGCTGAGATGGAGGGAGAGCTTAGTCATCATATTGATGCATGCATTCAACAACCGGTGCCCGTGCACTCCCTGAGCGTTGAACAGGGATGCGAGCCACATTTATGCCTGAGGCACCCGATTTCAACCAACCCGGCGATTCGCCAACCTAACTCGATGACATTCGCGACACTTGCGAACAGCAAGCTTCGGAGCTGTATTTCAATCAACTAGGGAACGTGGGCTTCGTGTATGCTCCCAATTCTCTCTTGTTATAGTATTTCGAAGCTAACATAATTAAATAGGCCGAAAATACCGCTACAATGATTCCCTTCGAGTCGCTTCTTCCCTACGGGATCATCATCGCCGTAAGCTCCCGCCGAGCTCCTGTGCCGAGTCAACTCCGGTCACTAACGGGCTTTAGATGTTTGGCGTGACGGGTGCCGGGATGAACAAGATCAAGAACATGCAGAGCGGTGGCAAGAGGCACAGATGGTCGGTTGACCAGTGGGATAAGGTAGGTCGAGATACTGTTCGAGGGAGCCGCTGAATGAATGAATTGCTAACTCTTTAACAGCAAAGTACGATTGAAGCTTCATATTTAAGGGAAATATTGCCATTCGGTGTGCTGACATTTGTTTGCAGTGATGGACCGCGACAGGAGGCTTACTGGATACTTGCGAGGGCAAACAGACAACCCCATAGCGCCGCGGGGGTTCGAATTAAACAACCCCTGGAGAGTAAGTAATCCGGACCAGCAGTATAGGCGACATGGAGGCTTACGTATAACAGGTCGAGAGGAGGATGTCATAAACCAACGAAGTCAAGACGCCTGCGGCAGACAAATGAGGGGTTACCCAGGAGACAGCCGAGCGCACCCATACATAGACACCACAGACAGCCGTCAGTTTCGTACCATTCATCCACATTCCCCCTGTACAGAAACCTATATTTGGATCTGAGCCCGGTTCTTATTCAGACCTTCGAGGAGCATGCATGCCTGGCAGATTTCCTGACTCGACATGTAGCCACAGCGGCTGCAGTTACCACGGACCTGCCGAGGGGCATTCTTCGAGGTTCCGTTACCGCTCCTTATTGGAAGCTCCTTCTGCTTCTTAGCGCCGGTCTTCTTGCTCTCAGACATAGCCATTGCGACGTCGACCTCGAGCCCTTCGTGCGCTTCATTCTCCCTTAGCTGCTTGTCCATAGCAGCCATCTCGTTCCCCGATGTACGTCCGTTTTGCGAGCCGCATCCACCAATGTCATCCTCCCCAGACACCATAGGCGATGTCTTTTGTCCCTTGCAAGCGCAGGACGACGGCGACTCTCCGGGAACCAGCCTCGCCATGTCCTCGCCACTTCGGACAATGTCGAGAATGGCTGTCGGACGCACCCTCTCCAACTGCTTGATGAGACTCCTGGCGCTGCCACGAAATGCCTCGGGGCTGTATATGCACTCGGTGCTGAAGTAGTCGAGCTTCTTATGATGAGCATACAGCACGATTTCCTTCTCGTACGAGTACTTAAGGGGCTTGCTTCTCTTCACCTCGGACCGGTTGTCTCCAGTCACGATACTAGTGCTTCGTGAGAGGCGCGCCAGGTCGCCTCGGAGGAGGTTCATGAGGACCGTCTCGGCGACGTCATCAGCGTTGTGGCCCGTCACGACGTGCTTGATGCTGAGCATCTTTGCGCCGCGATCGAGTGCCTGCCGACGAAAGACGCCGCAGTATGTGCAGTTTCCCTTCTTGCCGATCGTCTCGACGACCTGGTCCATCGTCCAACCGTACAGCTCATCATACCCGACCACTGTGAGAGGCATATCGTACTGAACTGCATTCCGCTTGACCGTCTCCAGCGAGTCATCACGGTAGCCTTTGATCCCTTCGTCTATGCTCAAGAGAACCAGATCCAAGCCATAGTCATGACGCTCATTCAACGTCTTAAGAACCGAGGCCAAAACTGTCGAATCCTTGCCGCCAGACGCTCCTATTGCCACTTTCTCTCCTCGGTGAAACAGCTGTGATGATGTGATGGTGTGGTGAACTTCATCCTCGAAGATAGTGATGAAACATGTCTTGCAGAGCTTGGCGTGGTTCTTGGGCCGTTTGATCAGCGCTCGCTCAGTTTTGCAGTTGACGCAAAGCGCGGGCGCCATAGTTAATGAGGGCGCGGCGGCGGTAGTTAAAGTGTTGAGTGGTGGTGATAATTATATCCGGTTATTCAGAGGCTTTCTCGGCGAATCGCATCGAAAGATGGTTCCCGAATGCCATCTTTGACTCAAGGCCCAGATCCGGGCAAGGTGCCTGGCTCGCATAGGTGCTAATAATACTGTGTAAACCCCAGCCCACTCAGCTCACTCTCTTTCCGAGGATTCCCCGCCATGCCCTGTTGGTCCGAGCTTTCCGAAAATCCACAACCTCTTTTTCTTGTGTGCAGCACCACCAAAAATTTCCCTTGCCAGAATTCTTCTCGACAACCCCGTTCCGAGCATCGCCCAACGACAAAATGGTAAGCACCCGATGACGATAACACCATCCGCAAGGCATCTCACGATGCATACTTGCAACATGCTCTCAACGATCTTTCGGGATCCGCGAGATGTATGAATTTCCGCCTGCTGGTTGCAAAACCGCAGGTGATGAATGGCTTGAGCTGGCTCGTGATGCGCGGAAACGCCATCCAGCCTCTCTTTAGAGTTCAGAAGATTACAGTCAATGGAAAACATTTACTGATATCTTCTCCTCAATGATAGCCTCCTGGAAGATCTGGTAAGAAGGCCGCCCCGGCCCCTTTCCCTCAGGGGAAGGCTGGCTCCAAGAAGGCCCCCAAGGTGAGTTGCTTCCCAATCCAAGACCCCCAGCCCCGATCGCGTGTGCTGACATCCCTTTAGAACCCGCTCATCGAGAAGCGGCCCCGCAACTTCGGTATCGGCCAGGCCATCCAGCCCAAGCGCAACCTCTCGCGCATGGTTAAGTGGCCCGAGTATGTCCGCCTCCAGCGCCAGAAGAAGATCCTCAACATGCGCCTGAAGGTGCCGCCTGCGATCGCCCAATTCCAGCAGGTCCTCGACAAGAACACCGCCGCCCAGGCTTTCAAGCTCCTCAACAAGTACCGCCCTGAGACCAAGACGGACAAGAAGGAGCGTCTCCTCAAGGAGGCCACCGCCATCAAGGAGGGCAAGAAGAAGGAGGACGTCAGCAAGAAGCCCTACGTCGTCAAGTACGGTCTCAACCACGTTGTCGGCCTGATCGAGAACAAGAAGGCCTCGCTCGTCCTCATTCCCAACGATGTCGACCCCATCGAGCTCGTCATCTTCCTGCCCGCTCTCTGCCGCAAGATGGGCATCCCCTATGCCATCATCAAGGGCAAGGCCAGACTCGGCACCGTCGTTCACAAGAAGGTAAGCTTGTCGCTGTTCTTTTCCATGAGTGCCTGTGCTAACGCAATCTCCAGACCGCCGCTGTCCTCGCCATCACCGAGGTTCGCTCCGAGGACAAGAACGAGCTGTCCAAGCTCGTGTCCGCCATCAAGGAGGGTTACGTCGAGAAGCACGATGAGGCTCGCAAGAAGTGGGGTGGTGGCATCATGGGCTACAAGGCCCAGAAGCGCATCGAGAAGCGCCAGAAGGCCATCGAGACCGCCATCAAGGTTTAATGAAGCATTTCAATGGTCGGATGGGCGGTGCTGCACTTACGAATGGCGTACGGGAATACCAAAACCAGATCAGGGTGAAATAAACTGCTTGCCTCGGCCACATATAACGGGCGTTGATACCAGGTTTTGTTTTCATATCGGGGCGGGTCGGGACAGCTGAATGAATGCGATGAATTGCACAACTTCAGGATCCCACGCGCTGTGACCGACTGCCTTCACAATCCAAGTGCCTCATTTTCCATCCCCGAATGTCACATGGCGCTACCCCAGGTTTCGAGTTTCGTTCCCCGAACTCAACCAGCATAATCCGGGGAAGCGCGGGAGACTGCCGCCACCAGGCAAGACAGTTGGGAGGTTACATTCAAAGCACAACCCAAGCTTAATCTCCACGACGTCCGGACATTGTGCGACACAAGTGAAGGATCGCCAACACGGGTCTGTGGCAGTTGATCCGGGGAGACGGGGATACGTCTGATGAGGGAAGCCACCTTCACCCGCTCCAAAATCAACCCGAAGTTCATGCCGTTACAATGTTATCTCTTAACTGCATCGGGCCACCCAACGGCGCATCATTCCGCTGATTGTTTCGAAATCCATTGTTCCTAAAACCCAGCAACTCCTCTAGCAATTGCCATGGAAATTCCGATCAACCAATATGTAAGCAACCCGGAAACCAGAGATGGGGAACAAACATTATCTGATCCGTGTCCAGCCACTATAATTATCCCGGGAGCCCCTCATGCTTTCGCATATCAGATCTCGGTCGGAGGTGAGCGGATGGGGAAAGAGGCGTTTCATGCGGCCCTACGGACTTGAGACGAGGGGTATGCCCTGCCGTTTGGACTGAACACCGGCCTGTCACACATTCCCCCGAGAGACCCGAGTCCTAAACCCTCGGAGAAGGGACGGACGTGTCTGGTCAAGGTTGTACATACGCGGGCATTGGAAATGCTTATGAGGACCGCGAGTCCGCTCTCCTCATCTTGCAGATCTCGGTCTCTCTTTTGGATCTCAACTCGAAGGCTTTCCCCCCTTGTCGCTGCCATAACCACACCACCACTGCTAGTCGCGACACCAACCCCCACGCCGCTTCCACCCCTATCGCGACTCGCTTTTCAGCAAACCCCCAGCAGTCTCCGCTTTCCCCAGCTCTTGAGGCACTTGACTGCTAGCCTCCCCCCATCTTTTAAGCTCTTCAATCTTTCTTGGCACCTTGGGGCGTGGGTGGTCACTCGATCCGGCCCATCCCGCGGCGCACGTTTACACTTCTGAGACGAGAGTGGCCTGGTATATAAGCCGTTTCGGGGCGGATTGCATCTCCACGGGCATACGCGCCCAGCAACTCATCTCCGTGCTCGGGTCATACCAACGAGACCCGAAATCACTCGTCAGGTTTTAAAGCTCCGGCCTGTTTCGGGGTTCCTCTTTCCCTCATATTCTTACCTAGTTACTTTCCTGGTTCCGTTCGACTTGCTTGTTACTGGTGGTTAGACATAACCAAGCGACATGGCGCAAGGTAGGTTTTACTTACAGCCACTCTACGGCCACCCCAAAAGAGACACCTTGCTGACGACAACCCACCGAAGCAGAAGACAGTTTCCTCTACGCCTTGAGCTCCAACAACGCCTGGGCCGGCTACAAAGCGCACCAGAACCCCAACTTCTTCCCCAAGCTCGCAAGCGGGCAAGCACCTCAAATCCGTAAGTCCCATCCATCCTTCCTCCTCCCTCTCCCACTCCAACCCCCCTTCCTAGACCCCAACCCCGAAACAGCCACTAACCGCCAACGGCCCCCTACCAGTCTGGCTCGGCTGCTCGGACTCGCGCTGCCCCGAGACCACCATCCTCGGCCTGCAACCGGGGGACGTGTTCGTGCACCGGTGCATCGCCAACATCGTGTCGGCGACCGACATCAACACGTCGGCGGCGATCGAGTTCGCCGTCGCCCACCTGCGCGTCGCCCACGTCGTGCTGTGCGGCCACTCGGCCTGCGGCGGCGCCCTCGCCACCGTCGGCCGCGCCCGCCTCGGCGGCGTCCTCGATACGTGGCTGACGCCGCTGAGGGCCATTCATGCGGCGCATGAGGAGGAGTTGGCGGGGATCAAGGATGAGGGGGCGAGGGCGGTCAGGATTGCGGAGTTGAATGTCGAGGCGGGGGTTGCGGTGTTGATGGCGAATGGGGTGGTGCAGGATGCGGTGAGGGAGAGGGGGCTGGAGGTGCATGGGTGTTTCTTTGATCTTGCGAGTGGGAGGATTAGGGATTTGGGGTTTGGCACGAAGAGGGGGGTGAGGGTGGCGGGCGGTAACGGGGAGGAGGTTAGGGGGAGGCATGCGCAGCTGGTGTTTAGGGGCGGGAACGCTTCGATGGCGGTGCGGTGAGTTGTCGTTTGTCTTCCATGCCAGGGGGGGGGGGGGGGGTATGATTGAGTTTTGTGCCTTGTCTGGCTGTTGTTGGGAACGGTTATGACTGGAAGGAACTTGCTGGAGGATTGCTAGCATGTCAGTGTCCTGTGTCGATGTGATGATGGTTGATCTGAATATCATCAACATTATTTTGTTAAGAATTGAAATCTTCTTGCTCTGATAGTCTCGTCACGCTTTCATCACCCCCTAACAGTACAGTATCCAAGCATTATGAGACGCAATCAGCCTCGCCATACTCCCCGGAGAGGAGTGAAGAGCCCCGGAGCCAGTTACCCACCGGCTCCGTCCCCCTTGACACCACGTCTTGAGAATACCTCAATGAACGATATCCCCCCCGATATTACCAAAGCAACCCGCCATAATCAGGCGGAATGTAGCGGAAGCACACCCGTACACTCTGTTAGATCATTGATATGTTCAACCCCGAGCACACTCAGACGGACATAGGCGGCGGCATAGTCCTACAGTTCATCGTCAGCATCTTCGGCCGCCATAATGCGAGTCAGGGGTAAACAAATAAGTCCGGCGAAGAACCACTTACATCATTCCACACAGTCTGCCCACCCACCGAATCCGCAAACACCTTCCAAGACTCCTGCGTCGCCGGGTACCGCGACAGCGCCTGGTCACTCGGCAGCCGAAACACCCCCAGCGGCGGGTCCTCACTCGCCGTCTCATTATAAAACACGGCATCCCACACCCCGGGCGTACTATCCTGCGGCAGGCCCGACAGCACCTCATCCACAAACCGCTGCCGACTCGCGGTATGCGCACCCACCAACGCGACCAGCTCCCGCACCCCAATCGTCTTATCCGCAAACAGCGCCACCAACGCCTCCGCATCGCGGCTCTCCGGCGGCGGCAGCCGGCCCTCGGGCGCGGCTACGGCACTATCATTCCGCCCCACGAAGGCGCGCACGCGCGGGCCCAGCGGACACGCCGCGCTCGCCACCGTCGCGCCCATCTGCACCAGGTCGGCCATGCCGACGCCGTAGGCATCGTGCCAGCTGTCGTACCACGCGCGCATCTGCGGCGCGATCCCGTCGACGAAGCCGCGGTTCTCGGTTCGTTCTAGTTCGGCGGGGGCGAGGATGATGGAGCCGTCCGCGCCGCCGCCGCCGCCGCTGCCGCCGGACTGGGACCAGGTGCCGGCGTCGTGGAAGCCGAGGCGCACGGCCTGGCGCGCGAGGGAGTTGCAGTGGCTGGTGGACGGGTTGAGGAAGGCGGCGGCCATGGTGTCGGCCACGTGCTTCCAGACGCAGCAGGTGGAGGCGCGGCAGGCGGCGCTGTCGAGCGGGCCGGGCGGGGTGTAGACGGTGGTGAGGTCTTGCGGAGAGGTGGCGGCGCGGTTGTGGAGGAGGATGTTCTTGATGGTGAGGCCGGCTGGGGAGAGGGCGGTGTCCGGGAGGGTTTGGAGGTCGGCGAGGAGGGTGACTGTTTGGCGTTTTGGGAGCGTGGGGAGGTTGGTGAGGGCTTGGGCTAGGCCTGGGTAGGCTGAGGTGGGTTCTAAGGAGCTGAGGGCGAGGGTGAGGAGACAGAGGGTGTTGAGTTTCATGGTGGTGATGGGAGTTACGTGTAGCTGATGTTTTCTAGTGCTTTGTGGGCTGAACTATGCGGCATCCAGAGGATCAAGCTTCGACCAGACCTGATGCCGGGCATAGGTTTATGTATTACGAACCATTCTTCGAGAAGGCAACGCGGCTCCTTGCCCGAGTGCAAGATTTCAGGGGCCACAACAGCAAGCTGATTCAGACATCGGAATGGTGCGCGTCTAATCATCGTCACTCGCATAAGCTCACCGACCTAGCTCGTCCATTTCCCCGGAGCTGAAAGAGGGAACTGCGTCTCGTGGCCATGCTGCAGAGTTGAGGGAGCACGAGCGGCTGCGGATGTCCGACGATGCGGGCAACCATCAGCTGGGTAACAAGTCAGAACAGCTCATCATAGGTTTATAGGAGAGCTCGGTAGCATCCTGGACCCTGCTTGAGCATCGGGGAGATGAAACGCACCGTCCCGCTGTTGTGCTCCGTGAAGTCGCAGGAAAGGAAAGGGGGCATCCTGGATGGCTCAGGATACAGTACTGGCAATCGGGTCCGGATTGTTGTGATCTTGATAAGTCACTGTGTAAGTTCAGCAATGACGGGAAGCAATCAACCGGTACTCGGGCAAGTCAAATCCCCGAACCAAGCACCCCGCCGTCCCCGGCCAGCAACGGCCTTGGCACGGCAATCCTGGCCCACCCGGCTCCGAACCCGGAGGCGGCGCCTGCAGTTGGGCCTCGGTCTTGGTCCGGACTTATAAGACATCCTACGCACGCCTTATCTCAACTATACCAAAAACGTATTGTGCAACATCAGTTGTATCAGCCACATCAGCAACCGCAACAATGACGCTCACAGTTCTCACCGACGACCAGATCCGGTCCCTGCTCGAGAACCTAACCCCCGATGAATTGGAGGGCTTCCGCAACGCCCTCATCTCGGCCCTGCACGAGCACTCGGTCGGCGCACAGGATGGGTCCGCAATCCACCAGCCCGAGCGCATTTCTGTCAATAACACGGAAACGGGTTGTACCACCCTGTTCATGCCCTCGAGCAATTCCACCGGTAACGCCGTCAAGGGTAGGTACTTTAAAACCCTCCCCCCTCCTTTCATTCCCCCGACAGTACCACTAACCCCCCATCTCCCCACCCCGCAGTAATAACCCTCACCTCCGCCACCAACCAACCCCCCACCACAACCACAACCACAACCACAACCACCACCAGCACCCCCACCCCTGCTGCCAAACCCAAACCCACCATCCGCCCCACCGGCGCCATAACCCTCCTCTCCCCAACCGGAACGCCCCTCGGCCTCCTGCACGCCGCAGCGCTCACCGCCTTCCGCACCGCCCTCGGCTCACTGTCCATGATACGCCAGCGCACCGCGCCCCTCGCGCGCATTGTAGTCTTCGGCTGCGGCGAGCAGGCCTACTGGCACGCGCGGCTGGCGCTGCTGGCGCGCGGGCGCGAGGTGAGGGAAGTGGTGTTTGTGAACCGGAGGGTTAGTGAGGCGAGTGCGGAGGTGTTGAGAAGGTTTGGGGATGGGGATGGGGATGGGGAGGGTGTGGCGGAGGGGGTGAAGAGGAGGGAGGGGTGGGAGGGGTGTCGGTTTGAGGTTTTGGTTAGAGGGGAGGGGGGGCGGGATGGTGAGGGGGGGAGGTTGCGGGAGGTTTTGAGGGGGGCGGATGTTGTGTTTTGTTGTACGCCGTCGATGGAGCCGTTGTTTGAGGAGGGGCTGTTTGAGGGGGTGGGGAAGGGGCGGTTGGTGGTCGCGATTGGGAGCTATACCCCCGAGATGAGGGAGATTCCGGCTGGGTTGGTGAGGCAGGCGCTCACGGTCGGGGAGAGGGAGGCGGGTGTCGTGGTCGTGGACACGATCGAGGGCGCGTTGACGGAAGCGGGGGAGTTGATTGAGGTCGGGGTCAAGCCGGAGCAGATGGTCGAGTAAGTCATTCTTCTTTTTCCTTTTTATGGCGAGGACAAGTCACTAATACGATGCAACGCAGGCTTGGGGAGCTGGCCGCACTCGAAGGAGACCACACGACGGACACAAAGAGGCGCAACCTGGTGCAGTGGCTCCAGACGGGCAACGTCATTTACAAGAGCGTCGGAATAGGGCTGATGGACCTGTCCGTCGGCATGCACCTGATCGAGTATGCAAAGGAGAAGGGGGTCGGGACCCATGTTCAGGGGTTCTAGCCTCCGGGTGTTGCTAGTTTATGAAGACACCTGTTATTACTCCCCTCTTCGTTAGATAACACCTACCGTTTTGTAGCAATATAAAGTATATGACGGCGTTCAGCTGTGTGGGAACTCAACCACCATCTTGGCGTGTTGTGTGGAATAGGGGTAAACGAATGCCACGGCAACGACGTTCCGGAGAACGTGGGTCCAAATCAAGTTGTCAGCTTAATTCGAAACTCAATCCGAACCAATTCTCACTCATCACCTAAATCCGAACTTCCAACTTGTGCTGCCGATTAACCTCACCGGTACTTCCAGCCGACTTGATACCACCGTTCCCAAGATATCTTTAAGAGAAAGTTAGCCAACCCCTGTCAACACCACCCATATCCCACAAACTAACAAAGCCATAGATAAAAACCCCGACCCGCCATAACCCATCCCACCACCACCAAAACCATGCCCCCCCTCAAAGCCGCCCTGACCCTGCACCTCCTAATCGAGACCCCCGCCTCGCTCTCCTTCCTGCTCACCCCCCAAGCCCAGCTCCCGGGGGCCTCGCCCGACGCCCGCCTCATCCTGCGCAACTTGGGCGGCCTGCTGCTGGCGACCAACCTGGCGTGCCTGGCGCTGCTGGGCGGCGGGCGCATCGCGGACGACGACGGGGACCGCGTCACGGCCCTGTTCTGCGCGGGGCTGGGGACCTATCATGTGTGGCCGACCTACAGGGCGTGGGTGAGGATGGGGATGGGGGGTGGGCTGCAGGGGAAGAGGGTGCTTGGGGGGCCGGTGGTGCATTTTGTGGTGCATGTGGCGTGTTTGGTTGCGATGGTGGGCGGTGGGGTGGTTGGGTTGTTGGAGGGGTGAAGGGAGGATGGAGGAGGAGAAGGACGGAGGTGATGGCTAAGGTGATGATTAGGAGGGAGTTAATATTTTGGAGGGAGGTGAATACCACGGAGGCGGACACTGATTCTTTAAATTGTATCCAACAGGCTAGCCTACACCTTAGCTTAACAAAGTACAGTCCGACTAGCTTCGGAACAGCCTCAACCCCTCCTCTTCGACATTGACACCGCCCATTTCCTCGTCCGAGGCCTCCTCCTCCTCCCTCAACTCCATCTTCTGCCCAAACAGCGTCCCAAACAACCTGTCGATCGCATGCTCCTCCCACTCCCGCCTGTCCTCGGGCGCCATAAAGTTCTGCAGCTTCTCGTGCACCGTGTACCGCAGCTTGCGCCCCTTGCTGGCTCGCCTGTCGACGTTCTTCCGCGTCTTGGTCTCCTTGAGCGCCGCCCACCGGACCGTCGCGACCGACTCGCCCGGCGCCCCCGTGTCCGTGCTCCGCTGGTCGACTAGCTCTTTGAGGAGAACCTGATAGAAGTCGGCGTCGTCGTAAATCTGCGCGTCTTCTTCGACCTTCTTGGCCGCCTGCGCCGGCGCGCAGGAGCGTGGCGTCCGCGCGCGCTTGACAAGCCGCTCCGAGCTTAGGAGCTGTTCGTCCAACGCCGAGACGAGAGTCTGGGTTTCGGACTTGACCAGCTTTCTGGTGGAGAGCGCGGCGTTGCTCTTCTTCACTCTCTCCGACCACTTGTCGAGGACTTTCCGTCTATGGGAGTGGGCGGCCTCTTCCACTGATTGCATGCTCTCCCAGATGGTCTGACTCGGGGTGTCCATGTCGACCCCGCGTTTCCTCTTGTCCCCGACCTTGGCCCTGCTGCTCTCGGGCATAAAACTGTGCCGGACGCTGTCAATTGTGTTCCACAGCTTGACCGCCGCCTCTTCGGCTGCGTGGTACGCTTCCGTACCGTTCTCATGGCTGTTGTCGACCACGCTGAACGAGTTTGCCGCCACCAGTGCCTTCTGTAGCCGGATACGGAGGTTCAAGATGGAATCGAACGCACGGCGCTGAACGCGCACTGCCATGCCCTTCTCTGCGTCCGCTTTGGCAGCTTGCGACATGGCGGCCACGATGCTCTTCTGCCCCTCGGTCGCCATTTTCCGAAGTTGAGCGCGTTCGTTGTCACCGTCGTCGGATGCTGCGTCTTCCTCATCTTCTTCATCTTCATCCTCCTCCTCGTCTTCGTCCCCTTCTTCATCATCCTCCTCATCATCACCCTCGCTCTCATCGTCGTCCCCTTCCTCTTCATCGTCCTCCTCCTCGTCCTCGCCAGACAGCTCGGCCTCCAGATCAAAGAGGCGTGCGCCGTCTCCGTCAAGCTCAGAGTCTTCTTCAGACGCCTCTAACTCGTCCTCTTCGTCTTCGAGGTCCTCCCCTGATGAAGACATGAAGTCTGCAGCGGTAGGTCTCTGTTTGATCCGCCCATTTGGGACCTTAGGTTTCGAGCTGCCGCGAAAGACAAAGTCCTTGAGGTGTTGTTCGTCACTTTCGCAAAGCGCATTGTCGCTGCTGATCTCGCCGTCGTCATCGATGTGATCGGCTTCAAGGTCTGCTGTTTCTGGGTCGTCGAATACTTCGTCGCCGCTCTCGTCGTCTTCCTCTTCGTCATCTTCGCTGCTCTCCTCTAGCGCCTCTCTGCTGACGCGCGAGCCGCGGTATTCGGGGCCCAGTGCAATTGCATCTTTTTGTCGGAGCTTGCTCTTCCTACATGGCTGTTAGAGAAACATGAGAAATATGGGTAGGGCCCATGCATACCCAACAGCAACATAGTGCTCTGTTCCGGCGTGTTCGTCGGCCGACTCTTCGCTCCCGCTCTGCTCATCATCATCGGGCGCCTCGTTTTCGATATCGAAATCTGGTATTCGGGTCAGATATGGTAGCAATTGGGAAAATAATGTATTTACCAACCCTTTGCGACCTTCTCCTCGAACTCGGAAAACCGCCCAGAGCGGCCCTTGCGTGTTGCCGACATGGTGGTGATTGCGCTCTGGGTTGCTGGGAGCAGAGGCTTCTCGATTGACACCCCACATGGAAATTTTTAGGGGAGCAGGATCAGAGCCAGCGGCCGGGAAATTTTGGCGGTGAGTTCTGGCAGAACCCGCCGCTGGGTTCGCAGTGGGGTGCTGTGGGACCTTGATTACAGGGGCCCTCGCTGAAGCTCTCAGCAGCATCAATACAACTCGATGAGGTCGGTACAGTCATGAACATTAACATCAGTTGAGGCTCGGCACCTTCATCACAAAATACATGGCCGGCGCCTAGGACATGATCGAAATACAATGATAATTCCCCAACACAAGTCATCATGAAATCCCACATCTCCCGCCGGTTCCTCCACACCACGCGTGCGCTCCTCCATGAGAACCCTCTTGTAAGTCCTCTCTCACACCAAACCCAACTCCCAACCCACCCCCCACCAACAACACTCTAACACCCCCCCAAGGGCCTCCCCCAAAAAGGCACCATCCCCCGCTTCCAGCGCGGCCTCCCCACCAAACGCCCCATCAAAGGCGTCTCCCACATCATCGCCGTCTCCTCAGCCAAAGGCGGCGTCGGCAAGAGCACCATCGCCGCCAACCTCTCCCTAGCCTTCGCCCGCCTCGGGCTACGATCAGGGATCCTCGACACGGACATCTTCGGCCCTTCCATCCCAACCCTTTTCGACCTGACCACCACCGCCCCCCACCTCAACGCCCAGAACCAACTCATCCCGCTGACGGCCTACGGCGTGCAGACCATGTCGCTGGGCTACCTGCACTCCGACGAGTCGGCGCCCGTGGTGTGGCGCGGGCCGATGCTGCTCAAGGCGGTGCAGCAGCTGCTGCACGAGGTGGACTGGACGGCGCGCGGCGGCGGCGGGGCGGGGGACGGGGTTGTGGATGTGCTGGTGCTGGACCTGCCGCCGGGGACGGGGGACGTGCAGCTGAGCATCGCGCAGCAGGTGCCCGTGGACGGGGCGGTGGTGGTGACGACGCCGCACGTGCTGGCGGTCAAGGACGCGGTGAAGGGGGTGGGCATGTTTGGGAAAGTTGGGGTGCCGGTGCTGGGGTTGGTGCAGAACATGAGCCTGTTTAGGTGTCCGTGCTGTGGGGGGGAGACGCCCGTTTTTGGGGGGAATGAGAGGGTTTTGGAGATGTGTCGGGAGAAGGGGATTGAGTTGCTGGGGGATGTGCCGCTGCATCCGAATATTGGGGAGGATGGGAGTCGAGGGAGGCCGACGGTTGCGGCGGAGCCCGAGTCGGAACGGGCGGCCGTGTTTATGGATGTCGCGAGGAAGTTGGCGGCGAAGGTTGGGTTGGAGGTTAGCTAGTGGGTGTGCATACACCTCGAAGGTGAGGTTGGGCTGTTGAACTGCACCAGCCTTGTGGCTCCAGTGATTTGTATCATATGTATGACTATTGTTTCGATCTAGAATCCGGATGAGATGGCAAGCGTAAATGTGGGTCAGGCACATTCAGCCGTATAACATAAACAACAATGCCGAGGAACGAATTGTATTGCGCAGTATAGGGTATCTCAATATATACTACGGCTAACTCTAGAGTCTTTCTGCGCTGTGAACCAAGACGGGAGCATCAGCGCATCGACTAGCGGGTTGGCTCCGAGACCACGTTAGCGTCCGTCTGAAACGAGAGTAATTAGGGACGAAAAAAACGTAAACCGGGTTCATCCCAAACCGTAACTCCAACCTATGATGCCGTCCTTCGATAAACCGAACGCCAGTGGTCGCTGCCCCTTTGCACGGGCACATCTGTTCCGCTCCAGGCCGTGACCGCGTTTCTGAAAGAAAGAAGACCATGTCAGTCTAATCCAATTCTTCGTTGGGCTGATACACATGGCGGCTCCTGGTAGGGTCCTTGCGCATTGACTGGCCAGAGCCGGTAAAGCCAACTGTAACGAGATTAGCACGTTTGTGTTAAAATGCGAGGAATTCTTGGGCTACTCACCCCGTCCGTGGATGCCGTCGGGCGTGCGGAACATGCTGTCCTTCTTGCCCGACTTGCCAAACTTCCCCTTGGTGGTAAACTCCTGCCACTTGTTCTTGCCCTTTTCGAGCTCCTTCGTGGCCTTGATCTTCTTGAACTTGGGCCGTGGCTTCTCGTCGTTGTCCTCCGCTCCCGCCTTGCCTGCCGCCTGCGCCTGGGGATACATATCAGCCGCGGCGGACATGACGATACCGTTGTTCGTCGAGGTTGGGGTCAGCGCCGAAGGGCTGGTCGTAGCCGTCGCCGCAGAGCCGCCGACTGCGTTGCTGTTGGTCGAGACGGCAGTGCCGTCAGCCTTGCGCTTCTGTGCGACCGGGCGAATATCCTTAGCACGCAGGGTCTCTGCCGTATCATAGCTTTTGAACTTGACTGTGTAGATGGGTGCCGTGGACGAACCAGTCACCGCGGTAATGCGCGCCGGGTAGAAGCCCTTGTCACCCGAGAGCCATTTTGCCATGACATTGTCATTGACCTGGTACGCGATAACTTCAGGCTCTTTCTCCTTCTCCTCGACGGGGGCAGCTTTCTTAAATGCCGGGTGGTTCTCGCGTGACCACTTTTGCTCGGCCGGGGGTGGCGATGGCGCCTTCTTCGGCGCGGCACTGGTGGGTTCGTTCTTGGGTTTGAGTTCGGCGAGAGAATCATCGAGCAGCTGGATCATCTGCTCCAGCTCGCTCCGAAGTCCTTGTAGTTCGGCATTATCAGGGTCCTCCCTAAGCGACGTGATGACGAGCTCGAGCTATCGAGTGTCAGTCTTGGTTTCTGTCTACATCGATTTGACTACCTCGGGCTTACCTGGCTCTCATATTCCTTGCGCTCTGTTTCGAGTTGGGTGCTCATTTTGATATTCAACGACGTTGAAACTGTCTCAATTGCAAAACACTGAAACGTAATGTTCGTTGTTGCGAGTGTTGAAAGTGGCGGGGTCCGAGTCGCGATCAATACCAGGAAAATGGAGACCTGTATGCACGGACTAGGTAGGGAGTTAGGAGCCCAGTTGCCTCCTTTCGACCCTCTCAATTTTGTATTGGTAACATTACACCTGTACCGTAAACCAATACACATCCGCACTTTCACAAGCTGCGGATTCCTCGCGGTGGGGTGGATCTCTCATCGGGCCTTCGCCAATCAACGGCTAGATAATTCCACCCGTTCCGTCACCGCTTTGGTATTCGGTCACGGCGGTTGAACTCGGACAAGAGTCCCGTTCTTGAACTCGACCGATCGAAAGAATTGCCTCCTCAAAAGCTAGCTTTCTAGTTTTCTGCCGTTTCCGACATCGCATATCTAGGAGGCCTCTACCAATTGGTTGTACAAGTCTCACCGTCAACGAGAGCCTTCCCAATCACGACCTTCTCATGCTTACAGCCCCCACCTCCCGAGCCTATGACGAATTACCCTACCAGTCAACAGCGACTTGACTGATTCTGCCGCCAAAGGTCCGGTGAATTGTTTGCCTCACGATCCACTTCCCAACGGCGCGTTCTTGCAGCCAGCGATCCCATTTCACGCGAGAAAGGCACCCGTGCGGCACTGTTCAGGCAAGTGGTTTAGGGAGAAATAAGGCGCAACAAAGAAACAGTCAGCCTGTCATGGCGAGGGACAGAGACAGCGACGGATTGGGCGCCAACCAATCAAAAAAGCCACCCGCCGCCGACGTGAGCGACCAACCACAGCAACATCCTCCGCAGCAGCAGTACCGAGCGAAGGGCCAGAAACACGTCGTAGGTGGGCGTCCCCATGCACGGAATCCGTCCTCGAAGGGTGTCCAGAAACACCATGCCGCTACGTCAACAGCGAAGTTGAATCGAAGACACGGGTCGCTTTCCCCCGATCGAGGACCCGGCGCCGCGATTGCGTCCCATCACCACCGCCGAGCGACCTCCGAGCTGAAACTGTCGCGCGACCCGTCGGCGTCCAATCTCAAAAAGAACACCTCGCAAACAAACCTAAAGCGCAATCGATCGCAGGCCGAGGTTGGAAAAAAGACAAAGTCGGCCATCAACCTCCAACGTTCCATTTCGAGTCCCGCCGTTCACAAGCTGAGGTCCTCTGGAGGCTCCAAGGTCCAATTCAATCTCGGCGACGAGGAGCAAAACGGGGACCAAGACGACGACGACGAGTGGGTGGACGCCAGCACATCTGCTTCGCCTCTGCTCTCCCGCCGCGGCTCTGCCGTCAGTTCCGCGTACACGACCAATGCCGCAGCCGACGACGAAGATTCGCTATCCGGATCACCGACGCCACACGCTGAGCTCCAGCGCACCTTGAGCAACGGGGCACAGAGCGATTCGCAAAACGGCACGCAAAACGGCGCAACAGACGGCTCACAATACTCCGTCAGCAGCCTTCCTCGGAACAATAAGATCGCGCACAACGAATACCTCACATCCCGAATTCTATCAAGAACCTCGTCGCACGGCGCTCCACCCATGATGTCGACCGAAAACGCCTCGGCCCGGCCGTCTTCCTTGCGGCAGCAGTCGCCTCCGGACTCGAGCCCCGGTCCGAGTCAATACCTTTCCAACACCCCCGTTACCACAGCCCAGGCCCGGCCGGGTAGTAGCGGGAAGGCGGAGCTCACCTCTCGGTTCGTAGGAAACAACAGTCAGGAGCCGGGATCTGGGATAGCGGGTGAATCGTTCATGCTAGCTGCACATAGGAATGGGCCGCCGAGGGTGGGAATAAATATCAAAGACGAGATCAGCGTGCCCAAGCGACGGCGGTCTGCGGGTGCCCTATCACAAGCGCGAGGCATTGATGCCCTGAACGCTCGTCGGGCAGCCGCAGAGAATGCCAGCGACGACGAGGAAGAGGAGGAGCGCATGGCGCGGGTGTCCCGTTCACGGCGGAGCGGCGAGTACGCCTTGCCGCGGGAGATGAACAGAACCCAACAAAAGCTCAACCTGCAGCGCGCGAGCTCCAGCCTGGAACCTCCACACCCCCACCCGGGGATAGGGATGGGCCCGCCCAGCGTGACCGCCGGCACGGGGCCGCTCATCGGCGTGCCGACCGCGTACGACGCGCGCGACCCGCGCGTCAACAAGGCGCTCGAGCGGACGGGCATGGAATACCTCACGGTGCGGCGCCACCTCAACCCGGTCGCCCGCTCCATCGCCCGCGTCATGCAGCTCCCGGGCCTCGAGAACAGCCGCCGCATCCCCCGCCCGGGCACCGCCGCCTCCTCCCACCACGCCTCGCGCCTCTCGGAGCAGTACAACCCCAACAACCACCGCGACCGCGACCGCGACGCCATCACCCGCAACTCCAGCATGGCCGACCTCATCAACGGCTCCGGCAGCGGGGGCCGCCGACCCCCCACACCACGAAGCGGCGGCGGCGGCGGTGGCGGCGGGGTGTTCTCGACCCTGCAGAGCGCCAGCTCCAGCCTCGGGACCGACGACGACGACGGCGCCAGCCGCATGCATGAGCGCCAGGGCCATGTGCTGGGCAATGGCCACGGCAATGGCCACAGCCATGCGCACGGCCACGGTCATGGGTTGAGCGGGACCAGCCTGGTCGACGGCGCCGAGGACGCGGGCACGCTGGCGCTGCTGCGCATGATGTGGGAGAAGAATATGGATCTGAGCGCCAGCCAGGACTAGAGCGACTGGCGGCTGCTACAGAGGGGTGAGGGGGTGGTGATGGTGGGTGGGGGTGGTGGGGGTGGTGATAGTGCAGCAGCATCATTAGCGCGTCTTTGTGTTGTGGATGGCCCGCCGCCGGGTTTGCTTGTTGAGATGCCGGTGGAGGAGGGGGGGGGGGAGATGGGGGGGCTAGCAGACCCCCGGCGAGCGCCCCTTGAGTTGCGTTGGTGGTGCCAGGGCTGTGTGTGGCCTGCGGGCGGTAGCATGGGGTATTGGCCCAGGGAATTAAGGTTTAGGGGTTTTAGGGCGTTTAGGTCGCGCTGCTCTGCACGCAGGGTCGGTTCTTCGGACGACGGGTGGCGTTATATTCAGTACCCTCGGTCTCTTTATATGGGCCAGGAAGCAGGGTGGTAGCATATTAGAGAATACGGATGACTGGCTTTTTTCTGACAGTGTTTCTTTGGCGGCGTTCTCGGTGAGCTGGGGGAGAACAGGCAAGGTCACTTTTGGTCTCAATGTCAACAAAATGTTCGGAAGGGAAGGACGGGATCAGGCGTGAAATGTTATACAAAGTTTTAACAGAGTTCGCTACGAGTGGAGTCGTTGAGGAACAGTGGGCTGACGAGTTCTCAATGAAGATGATGATCTATGATGAAATCGCAAGCGTCGTGGTCAGAAGCCGTGATGATTTCCGAAGAATGAATATGTTTCCCACCCACAAGCACATACACCGTAACACTGCTTCATCACAAAAAAGGATCATCCGCTTTGAATCTGTCCATGTAACCAAACCCACATGCATTGCTCTAAGAGTACACAGCCATCATGTCATTAACAGAAAAATAGGTATACAAAAAGCCTCCCCCCTTTTCCCTTCTCCCTTACTCAGCCACCCACACGGCGGCCATACCCATACCCGTGCCCACGCACATGGAAGTAAGGCCGATCTGCTTGCCCGTCCTCTTCAGCTCGTACAGAAGGGTGGAGACCTGCCTGGCGCCGGTGCAGCCGAGCGGGTGGCCGAAGGCGATGGCGCCGCCCTTGGGGTTGATGCGCTCCTGGGGCAGGCCGAGCTCGTTGGCGCACCACAGGCACTGGCTGGCGAAGGCCTCGTTGATTTCGTAGATGTCGACGTCGTCCTTGGAGATGCCGGTGAGCTCGAAGACCTTGGGGATGGCCTTCCAGGGCCCGACGCCCATGAGCAGGGGCGGCACGCCGACGATGGAGGCCGCGACGAACTTGCCCAGGATGGTCTGGCCGAGCTTCTCGGCGGTCGACCGCTTCATCATCAGCACGGCGGCCGCGCCGTCGCTGACCTGGCTGGCGTTGCCGGCGTGGATCGAGCCGTCCTTGGCGAAGGCCGCGCGGATCTTGCCGAGCGACTCGGCCGTCACGCCGGGGCGCACGCCGTCGTCGCGGTCGACCACGATCTCCTTGGTCTCGCCGGACTTGGGGTCCTCGAACTTGACCTTGAGGGGGTGGATCTCTTCCTTGAAGAGACCCGCGGCCTGGGCGTCAGCGGCCTTCTTGAAGGAGGCGGCGGCGAAGGCGTCTTGGCTGGCGCGGGTGACGCCGCGGTCCTTGGCCATCTTCTCGGACAGGACGCCCATGGGCACCTTGCAGTTGGCGGCTTCGGGGTGGGTCTCGAGGAGCTCAGAGAACTCGGAGACGGCGCCCGGGCCGTATTGGGTCGACATGCTCTCGACACCGGCACCGATGCCGACCTCGATCATGCCGGCACGGATCTGGTTCGCGATGTCGACGCAGGCCTGGAGGCCGGACGAGCACTGACGGTTGAGGGTGCGGACGGCGGTCGAGTCGGGGAAGCCGGCAACTAGGGAGGCGGCGCGCATCTCGGTGGCACCGCCACCGGGGGCGAGCACGGTGCCGACGACGATATCCTCGACGAGGGCCGGGTTGATCTTGGAGCGCTCAATGACGCCCTTGAGCGCGCCGGCCATGAGGTCAGCCGCGAAGGTGTCCTTGAAGGAGCCCTTGCCGCCCTTGCAGATGGCTGTCCGGAGAGCTGCTGTGACAACGATCTGGAGAACAGATAAGTGAGCGCATGAGGGCAACGAGAGGCGGGCAGCAACAGGCAAACAAGCTTACATCGTCGGGGTTCTTCTCGAGGAGCTTCGCCTTGCCGCCAGCGGCAGCGCCGCCAGAGATCTGGCCGCCCAGTTGGGAAAGTCTATCGAGAGCTGCAGATGCATCAAGTCAGCGAGGGGCTAGTTTCCGAGTAAGCCGAGGGAGAAATAAACATACCACCCATTGTGAATTGTGTGTATGTGTGGGAGAGAGAGGAGACGTTGAACAAAAAGGGAGCGGTGTCAAGGAAGAGACTTTTGGTGATGATTTGGCAAAGGATGGGTTAAGCAGCAATGTAGTAGACGGAGTTTATAAAGCAAGCACCACAATCCCACTCTTTGAATAGGATGGATGCAAAGTTACCTCGGGCGGCGGCTCATGGACTTTTCCGTTGAAACTCTGGAACTCGGTCCACGAGTCGGTTGGCCTTGCCGTGGCGACGGCCCAGGTGATGTCAGAAAGGCCGAGGCATTGCCGCATCCGGATTAGCGCAGGCTGGGGTGCATTTCTCAGCACCCGCTCAAAGCCGTTCACATGCTTGGGGAAGCCGCTCACTGCATTTTGGTGTTCCTTCCCCCAAATTGTTCCGCGATCAACAAACAGCTTAGAAAACGCCAATGCGAATGCCCGATAACTGGATCGGATCATAGAACACATGCCTCTCTTTAGTCTGGTATTCCCACTTGCCACCATCGAATATTTTGAACATTAAGTAACTATCGCAATCGCCACATCACCCTTTTAGCGGTTTCAGAAGGATGCTCCGCCCGGCGACGACGCGGGGTTGGGAGCAACTGGCGGAGCAACAACCTGGGCAGGCAGTCAATTGCCCTTTTTCCAAGCATCAGGATCCAACACGCCCAGACAAAACACCAAGTCGCTAATATTCAACTACAATAAACCTCACTTGTGGAATTGCTTGACCTTCTCGATCTCGTCATAGCTGCCCATGAAAATGCCCGATCTGTCATGAATGTGCTCTGGCTCCACCTCCAACATCCTCTGCATCTTGCTGTTGACCGCTTGACCACCGGCTAAGGGAGAAGAGGGGTGTGAGTTGCTGCCGGTTACTCCACAACGGGGGGATGGAGGGGGGGGAGGGCATCAATCAGGCTTACCATTCTCAAACACCATCGCCATAGGCGCGCACTCGTACAGGATGCGCAGCTTGCCCTTGGGGCTCTTCTTGTCCGCCGGGTAGGCAAAGACGCCGCCGTAGAGCAGCGTCCGGTAGGCGTCGGCCACCATGCTGCCGATGTAACGGGCGCTGTAGGGCTTGCCGCCCTCGGGGGCCTCCTTGAGCGACTCAAAGTATTGCTTGACGTTGTCCTCCCAGTAGAGCGAGTTGCCCTCGTTGACCGAGTAGATGGCGCGGCTCCGGGGCAGGCGCATGTCCGGGTGGGTGAGGATGAACTCGCCGAGGCCGTTGTCGAGCGTGAAGCCGTTGACGCTGCCGCCGCGCATGGTGATGACCAGCTGCGCCGACGCGCCGTACATGGTGAAGCCCGCCGCCACCAGCTCCGTGCCCGGCTTGAGGATGTCCTCCTTGCTGCCCGTCGACCCCTCGGCCAGCTTGTGGATGGCGAAGATGGTGCCGACCGACACCCCCGCGTCCAGGTTGGAGCTGCCGTCGATCGGGTCGCACGCCACCGCGTACCGCGCGTTGGTGCTGTCCTTGAAGAAGATGACGTCCTCCTCCTCTTCCGACACTAGCAGCGCGCACCGCCCGCTCGACCGCATCGCCTCGATGAACAGGTCGTTGGAGATGACATCCAGCTTCTTTTGCTCGTCGCCCGTCGTGTTGGACGAGCCCGCCAGCCCCGTCAGGTTGACCAGCGTCGCCCGCCGGATGTAGTAGGCGATCGACTTGAACGAGAATTGGAGTGCGTGGCAGAGGAGCCTGGGTTGGGGTCAGCCAAGCAATGGTCATCGGAGGGAAAAGACAGAATAGGAATTGGGGTGTCGTACGTAAAGTCGCCGGTGGCCTCTTTGTGTTTTACTTGCTCCTCAGTGAGGAACCGGGTGAGGGTGACGATATGGGTGTTAACCTTCTCCCCCTCGGCCGGACTACTCCCGTTTGCTGAAGCCATTGTGGTTGTTGGCGTGTGTGGTATATCCCCTTCTTCTGGCCTTGTATTTGTTCGTCGGGTGCTCAAATCTGAACAATTGAAGCTTCGACTGCTATTCTCGGAAATATCGTGACGGGGTATGGAAGTACCAGCAACTCGGTGATGTTCTGTCGAGACGAGACGAGACGGTAGAGGAATAGGGGGAGGAAGCAAACAAGAAAGGGGGGATGATGTCAAGTGGAGAATGAATGCAGGTGATGAATCACGGACGGTGAGAAGGAAGTTTGAGAAGAATGGACGATGATCCTAACTTATTTGCGTCTAATAGCGAGCTCAAGGCAGGAGCGGGAGGGAAGAAAAATAGGGTCTTATTAGTGCACCCGAACGGCATCCATCTTTTGCAATCGCACACGCCCCCGTCCCGTTCCTGGCCCATCCATAACCCGGGAATCTTCCGTCCACACGGCCCAGGCCCCCAACAGAAAGGTACATGATACGCGAACTCCCACCGTTACGTACGTGTTCGGGTTCCCTTCTCCCTAGAACGCGCCCCTCATCGGCCGTCGTCGGCAGAGCACGGCTATCGCGGGGCGTTGCGGGGCAGGGCGGCTGACTGACATCAGAGCGCCCCAAATCTCCAATCCCGGGCAAGGAAGCAAAGAAAAGCGCGCTGTTGGTCAGAATCTCAGGCACTCACTCGAAACGTCTCCGTGCCGCTTCCACCGTTATCTCCAGCAAATTCCCAGTGCTGCTACTACACGGTATCCCCCACGTCTCACCCGAAATGCATCTCCATATGAAGAGGGAGCGTCTCCGGTCGAGAGGAATGGGACATGGGATCTTCGCACCCTCGCACCTCCACGGAGGTCAGGATACACACAGCCAACACAATACCCTCACACCCATGGGTAGATGGTGCCGTCCCACTTCCGAAAGAGGATTTCCCGGGACGGCAGGCATGCCGGGATACGCTTTGTCCCGAACGAGACCCGCAGCGTCCGCATCCAGAACCCCCGGCATTTCTTGGCCCTCCCCAGTCCCCCGCCGTCCGGGGCCAACTCCCGAATCAACGAAATGCACGAATCAGGTGCCATTCCCGTCGACATGAGGCAAGCTTCATGGAAGTTTCTCAGCGCATGTGACTTGGTCACCTGAGAGTTTCCAGGTTGTTGCTCGAGTGGAATGGAGCTGATTTTCCTTTAATTTTGGCCCAAGTCGGTCTCGTGACTTGCTCGCTTTTCGGGCTCGCTTGCTTGGCGGTGTGGTTTGGATGTGGTACCCTAACCCTCGTCTCGCGATATCATGGGCCGAGGGAAGCTGAGAAACCTCAAGCTGAGAGACTTAACATAGCCTTCCAAGGTGAACGGGTTGGAATCTACGACAAATGCATTGTACAACAACTGAGAGATCAGGCGCAACAACATGAGACAGAGGACACAATTTCTACCACAGCGGGCGCACAAAGGTTGACGTTTGGGCAAGCCCAGCCAGAATTCCCTGCTCATTCTATTCTTCTAATTGAACCACCCCCCGAATGGAGAACCTTGGATCCGCAAACTCTTTAAACATCTGATTCGCGTCGGCTCCAAAGTCCGATGCCTGCTGGTACCCGTTGTCAAGTCGATGATGCTTCGCCAGCGGGCCCCGGGTCGCCATCCACTCCGCCGGTCCTTGATAGCGGACCAAGCCCGGTAGCAAGATGGACCGATCGTTTCCCGAGTAAGAATACCCATCTCCCGTTTCCATCAAGGCAGGCACGAGCGGTTGGCTCTTATAGTTACTCGCGGCAGGCGCCGCCGCTCTCCAGTCGCCGGTTCCGAAGTTGGGGTCAACTGTGTCGGTCTCTGGGGGGAAGGTGTCGGGAGTTTGTTCCAGATTCACTTCGACAACCCCTCCCGAGATGCCGACGTAGAAGTTGGGCGAGACATCCGAGGGCCGGGCAAGGGACCACACGCTGCATAATTTGAAGTGTCGAAGTGAGTTGGAGAGGAAGTACTTGGCGTTTGGCCGGTAGTAGAGACTTTTTGAGAGCTCATGCCAGCGGCAGGGTAGGCCCATGAGGTGGTCGCAGCGCGTCCTGCCATTCGCTTCGGTACTAACCGGCTTCATGAAGGGCTGGTGAGGCCGCGGGAAGGGGACACTACCAAGGCATGAGAGGCCGGAGGTGTGGTAGTAGCCTTTTGTCCACCGGAAGTCAAACACCTGGATAGTGAGCCCATCTCCACCGCCTGCTACGAATCGCTCTGTGCCGTAGGCCATAAGGGATTCGGCAACGGACCACGGATCCACGTTGTCCTGGTAGACGGCGTCGAAAGGAGAGGATGTGCGAAGGTCTTGGAGTCTGTGTCATGTGTCAGCACAACGAATTGCGAACCTCTTTTTTCGTTGAGGAGACCGACGTACCTTATCGTGCCGTCCTTCCATGAACTGAGGAGCAGACTTGTTCCCCATTTGGCCCCTGAATGTAGGTAGACTGGCTCGAGAGAATTTGGGGAGATAGTCCTGTCACTCTCGATATTGAATTCCGCCTCCATTTTTTCGTTCTTCCCGACTGCGTGATGGGACCATCCGGTGGGCGTGAGGGTGAGATAACGAAGAGGGTCTTTGCAGCCGACCAGAGCTAGCGCTATTGACCCGCCATCTCCCATCCATCTTGCGCCGCCTAGCCTCGCGGAATCGGGCATCAAATGGCGCTCGTTCAGGTCGTAGGTCGTCGAAGGGGCTATTTCCACGGAATCATCCTCCGGTAGGCGGTAAATGCTCAAATCGGTCTTGGAAGCGGCAGCGACGAGCGGGCCCTTGCTGCTGTCGACGACATCTAGAGCGTTGATTGTGCCCGGTTCCGAGAGTTGGCGGGCGTTGATTCCCGAGTCAGTAACAGAACCGAACTGGGCAATATGCTCGCCGAAACGATCTGGCTCGGCGGACAGGAGAGACAATACACCGTTATGCCGTCCCGCAACGATGGCTCGGCCACTACCATGCTTAACGATCTTGATGGTCTTCACGTCATCATAACCGCCGCTGAGGCCGAGCTTTCCGCCTTCCACCTTCTGCCAGGAGGTTTTCGATACCCTGCCTCGCCCTTGACGCTCTCGATAGCGGGCGACGATATCTTCCCCCGCACCCCATACAACAAGCTCTTGTTGTGTAGCCGGGTCAAGGTGGGCGTCAACAACAGCCATGAATGAAGCCGCGGGGGCTCTTTGCCGCCACCCCTGCCTGCCATTAATGGGGTCGGGGCGACGGGGAAGCAGAACCTGGAACTGAAGGGCCCGCTTATCCCAGCATCGGCTTTGCCAGGTCATCGATTCGGCCAGTTGCTGCCATGTGCGACTTCCCGTAGCCGGGGCTGGGACATTAAGAGTCGGGAACCTGTTCCTAACAAAAATACGCCACCCATCGTTACTGACGAGGTGCCGAAGTTGGTGACAGGAAAGTGCAAGAGCCCATAGTTCCCGAGCGCTTTCCAAATTGGCGAAAACCAGAAAGAGGATATCGTCGGGCAGATCCACAAGTCGAGGGCTCATTCCGTTGGGTGCGTAAACGCCAAAACGTAGATTTGATTTTGGCTTAAGAGGTGATTTTCCACTGTTTGTTGTCGAGAATTACAGTTTGTTCCTCGGCAGGAACTGGAGGCTAAAAAGCATTTCGCACAACCAGGTTGAGCTTGAGAGTTACGTTTAAGGCAGTCATTGACCTGACTGGGTTCTCAAATACTGAGTCATAGGATGCATAATGCTTGCCACAACAGGAAGGAAGGTGCTGACTTGGGCACCCTCTGGCCAAAAAAAGCCGAACTCCAAAGAAGACAAGAAACCAAACAAGAAGAATTACGTGAAATAAATCGGGAAAATAAATAAACCAAAAATATACCGAGTAAAGTAATAAGGAAACTGAGCTAATGCAAACCCTTTGGGCCTTTGGATGGCTCTAGTTTCGTTCCGACAATCGACGTTGGTCGACGTCTGACCTTGGAGTCCGACTCTTTTTGTATATGACGTGTGAGGTCTCCGCAAAACAGAGCTAAATTACAAGGCTTTTAACTTCAACCGAATTGATAGGTTGCCTCGGACACTTAACAACCTATTAGGGACTCAACTCTGACTCCGTCTCTGCTCACTTATGAGGATTGTGCGAGGCGAACATGACAATGGGTAACCTAAGCAAAGCCCAGCGCATTTTCGAACCTTTTGGTTGCCATACCCATAATTGTCAAAGATCGAGTGCCGGGCGGGCAGGTTTCTCGAAACCGCCTTAGCAGACGGTACGGATATCTTCCAGGCCGTTGATTCTCATCTCGTTTGGAATCGGGAAGTAACTGCAACTACTGTGTACTGCGGTGAAAGTGGCGCTAACTACCTAGTTAGCCCAGCTATCATGATATTTAAAGCCTTGCATGATCTCAGTCCGGCCTGGCGCAGAGTCTACGGCAGCAGCCCAGTCGCAAGCCATCCTCTCCGATATAATCTTGGACCCAGTGAACGATATTCAGAATTCCCATGGTATCGATACCTATCTACTCGGTTCCCATGGCAGCAACCATGTGATTTATAACGGCCCAAATCTAGTGAGCCGCCCTTCTCAAGTGCTCCGGATATATTATCCGGAGAGGAATGAAAATATAGTATGAATCAATGGTTTCCCTACCTCATTTCATGGCCCATTTCTCTGTAATTCTTGCGAGTTCCGTTCTTATTTCTCATTTCTAAAGTTTGCATCAGATCACCGACCTTGGACCATTGGCTCGTCATCATAGATTATCATTATCGTCTCAAAATCTAACGCCTTCAAAAACCACCGCTCTAAACAGCCAAACCCAAACCTCAGTCCAGCTCAACCCCTTCCAACGCCTCGCTGATAAACGCCTCCCCATCCTCCCCCATCCCCGTATCTACCCCCCCTTTCCCCCCACCCGGGCCCTCAACCAACAGCTCACCCTGCTCACTCCGCTCATCCACATCACTCCCACCACCACCCTCACTCTCCGTCTCAGGCGGCGTCTCCATCCCACCCCTCCCTCCAACCCCAACACCAACCCCACCACCACCGCCACCACCACCACCCATCAAATTCCGCTTCAACATGCACATCTCAACCGTAATCCCCGGCCCAAACGCGCACCCCACCACATACTCCTTCGGCCCACCCCCACCAGCGCGGGGAGGCGCCAACGCATCCATGTCCTTCCGGCGCAGGCGATCCAGCACGCTCAGGATGGTGGCCGAGCTGCTATTCCCATGATTGATGTAGGTGTCGTAGCTGGCGCGCATGTGCTCGGGGGCCAGGCCCAGCGCGCGCTCGGCGCCCGACAGGATGGTGGCGCCGCCCGGGTGCATCGCCCAGTCGAAGTCGGCGGGCGCGGCGTAGGTTTTGGGGAGCGGGGGGAGGGAGGCGAGGAGGGAGGTGAAGGTGGGGGATAGGACGGATTGGGTGAGTTGGGGCACGCGTGGGGAGAGCACGACTTTCCACCCGAGCGGGTCGACGTCGAAGCCGAGGTCGGATTCGGTTGATGGGACCGTGTGGTGTTGCCAGCCGAGGAGGGTGTAGATGGCTGGGGGCGGGGGCGCGGTGGTGTTGGGGAAGGGGATGCCGTTGGAGAGGAGGAGGGCGCCGGCGCAGTCGCTGAACAGGGCGACGCCGATTCGGGTTTCTTGGGTGGCGTTGATGGACTCGAGTTCGCTGCGGACGAGCGTGGTGCTGATTTCGAGGGCTACGACGAGGATGCGGGCGGGTTGGCGTCGCATGGTGTGGCCCAGGCACAAGTTGGCGGCGGTGCGGATGGCCGCGAGACCACCGCTGCAGCCAACGCCGTGGAGGAGGACTTTCTCGGTGTTGGGGCTCACGCCGAGCTCTGTCGCGACGAAGTGGTCGTACCCCGGGTTTGCTGAGTTGGTGCATGTTGTCGAAACCATGTGGGTGACATGCCCTGCCTCCACGTGCGCCTCGGCCAGTGCTTTCCGAGCGGCATTGACGGCGAGCGGGACGCCCTCCTTCATGAAGATTTCATTGATCTCGGTGATTGTTGGTGGATTCGGCTGGTTTACCAGGGGGTGGTCGGGCGTGCCTATCGAGGAGCGCTGGTCGATGCCTGTGTACCGGTTGATCGAAAGCACCTTGCTCATTCTAGCCACAGAGGGGGGTTAGTTCCAATCCGTAAAACAGCCGGTTTTAAACTTACGCTGGCGATTCTGGGTAGAATCGCTTGCTTAAAATCTCGAGCGACTCGGGCTTGAGGTCATGAGGCGGGTACTGAGCCCCCAAGCCGAGAATAGAGAGACCAAGGTCCTCAAATCCATTTTGCGCGGCCATGTTCGCCGTCTATCGCGTATGTTGTTGGCGAAGAAACAACACGTGCCAATTGACCGTTTTTGGGGTTGAGCAACGAGTGCTCTGTTCCTTGCTCCGTGGATGAGTATGAGATTGCCAACAGCAAACGCCGCACGATGAGCACCCCAACCAAAATGTGGTGTTTGTGTCCCGCAAACAGCACCGAATCCGTTGGCGTTTCAAATCGCCCTTCGCACTCGCTTTAGACGGATTGAGAGGGGAGATGACGTTGGTGGCTGCCTGTGACTACCAAATATGTATGTAAAAAGACGAATCTGACGAAGAATTGGCATTTGACACGTCGCGAGCTCTTGCGCATGTGGTGTCTATATATACAAACACTGACGGGATGGAGTGAGCGAGACGCCCTCAGGTACGAATCTGCAAGATGAAACAAGCTGCCGGCGGTCCATGGCACCCAAGCAGCCTGCAAAGACGCACGCGCATTCAGCGCCGCCACTAGTCAATGCAAGGTCATTCTGTGTGCCGTCATCCATTTTGGAATTGGCTGGTCTCCTATCCTGTTTGGGTATCTTGGCCGCAGAGTTCCATACCGGCCCCCATGTTGGGTGGGTTTGATGTTTCTGGAGCACGTGCGAGCATACCGCAATCGCGGCGGACCACTTCTGAGTCGCATTAGGTACCGAGGTATCTTATGGAATTGTTTATTTGCCTGGTGCAAGGCGTGAGCAGCTGTGGGACCCTTCAATGCTTCGGTTGGAGACTTGGAGTTGTGCGTCAGATTGGACGTGAGAACGGGAGGAAGGGGTTCAGTAATCGAAAACGTCACATGTGTCACAGAACGGCCTGAACAAAGTGCCCTTGCATTCCAGAATGTTTGACAGGGGTATGGTGGGTAGGAAGGACAGGGGTTTATCACAGCGCCTCCAAAAAAATGTTGGGGAGACCTTTGGTTCTCCGATGGATATCGCCCAGACCCCGACCGCAGGAACGGAATGCAAGACATCCATCCGGGAGCCGAGGAAAGGTGCTAAACCCTAAAAGGTTTTATCGGTCACAAGAGCTCGGTATATTATGTTGTACAGCTTTGTTCTTGTTTTCTTCTGCTTGATAAGTTTCTTCTACTCGAACCCCTGCGACCAATCCTTCACCTTCTTGGGCGTCGGGGAGTGGGCGACACTTTCATCTACAACCATAAGTTTACTTCCTCCCATCTAGTACCATCTATGTTTGCTCCACTGTGTAATGACCTGTTCGACCGCGAACTCGGCATCATACCGCTGCGGAAATATGTTCAGCAGCTCCCCATAGTAACCACACCTCACTCCACCGATTATAACGACCAACTCAAAATATTCCGGGTAATACCCCGCGTCTTCCCAACCAACGATACCAACAACGCCAACTCCAGGCTGCACTATAATGTTAGTAGCATCCAGCCGGCCATGTGTCAGCACTATCTCATGGTCCGCCCGTAATCGCAGTTGCGCGCGTACCATCTCGCGAACGGCCGCCTGCTCCCGCAGGCCCGAGACCAGGAACTCGTTGTAGGCAGCCTCGTCCGCAAACGGCCCGCCCTTGACGGGCGTCCAGCGGTTGTCAATCACCTCACGCCCGCCAAACGAGCAGATGCTCCCGTCGGGACTCTTGACGGCGCGTAGCTGCGTGATGTAGTCCCTGAGCTGGCGAGCCACCAGCGCCCTGTCCTCTGCCGAGAGCGTGCGGTCCCACGCTTGCTTGACCGTCTCGCCGGGGATGAAGTCCATTGTAAAGTGCCGCTCCCCTACGTCGTAGACGCGCGGGACGGGAATGCTGGTGTGTCCGGCCACGAACCGTAGCGCTTCGACCTCTGAGGGCCGGACCCCGCCGTATGGGAACTTGGTCACTCGCGTGCCGCAGGCGTGTTTGATGACCCAGCGGCCGTAGCGTTCCGAGATGATTTCGCCGCCGGCGTCGAGGAGCTCCTGTCCTAGCGGGTCGAGAATTGGCTCCAGCGGTGGAGGTGGCGAAGGAGGGGGTTTTATGCCACGCGCCTGGAGTTTCTCCCGATACCGCGCCCGGAGGCGCCGCGCGACCGTACTTTTGCCCCTGATAGTCTTGTACTCCGCCATGTAGGTTGGCTCAGATGCGGCTGATGGCTCGCCAAGAGAGAGCGGTTGTTTGTCCTTTCCCTCAGGAGCAGATTCGCTGTTGGACATACTGACTGAGCTGGACGCACCCGCGCGTTGTGATGTGAGACTGGCGAGAGCGAGGAGTGGATGAAGTTGGGTAGGGCACGAGCTGCTTATGGTGCGGGGCTACCTCAGAAAGGTGACCTTGGATTGGGGACGACTGTCTGCATCGGATGGAACTGTAAAACAGGATTATAGTCTTATTAGCACCCCTGCGCGCCGCCTTCGGCTTATGAATTACAATACATTTCGTCTCTGAACTACACCGGATATACACAGCTGAGAAGGTAAGAAGAGCTAACAAGACTCGGAGGTATCAAAAATATCAGCCGCCCACCGCCATCCACGGCACACTCTGCAATCCCCCGAAAGCCGGCAATCACTTTTGTAATGGGGGCCATCCAGCATGCCCAAGCGCAATGCCAGTTTAGCCCGCATGCCTCACACTCGCGGCATCACCCACCCTCCTCAGGCCGTCTTCTTCCACTGCAGGTACACGCCGATCAAAGAGCTCAGCGTACCCGCAAGGCCAACAAAGCCGTCGTCGAAGCCAACCCAGTTGAGGGCCGACAGAGGAACCGTCAGGTCGCACAGGTCCGAAGTGAGCTGCAGCCGGCTAGCCGCGCGTTCCCTGCGATACACCGTTAGTACATTGCACCCCAACAAAGACAGAGCAAAACATCAAAACTCACATGGCAATCCTCTTCCCCTCCAACACGCCCTCGCCCTCCTTGCGGTCGACCGTCGCCTCGCGCTGGCGCAGGCGGTGCAGGGTGTACACCTGGCCGACCAAGCTGCAAGCGATCCCAAACGCCCAGAAGCGGTACGCCTCCTGCTGGAAGCGCTTGGCGCGGGGGCTCTTGCGGATGCCCGTGGCGTCGAGCAGGGTGGCGAGGTCCATGGACAGGTAGCCGGCGTAGCCGAGCTGGCGGCCGACGGCGGTGTAGCGCAGGACGGGGTCGGCGGTCTTGGAGGCGTCGGCGGCGACGGCGGCGGCCTTGAAGTGCTCGACGTTCTTGCCCGCCCGCAGCACCTTGCGCACCAGGCCGAACTGCTTCTTCATGGCCTCCCACGGCTGGATGGACGCCTGCGTGCGGTTGGTCCGCAGCAGGTACCACGCGTAGAACCGCGCAAAGTACTGCAGCGTGCGCAGCAGCTTGTCGCGGCCGGCCGTGGTGGCGACGAATTTGAGGTAGTGCGAGACTGCCGGGTGGTAGATGAGCGTGTCGGCGACCATTTTGGCGGTGGTGGTGTTTGGGTGCTCGTTGGCTTTCCCTCACTAGATAATTGCGTGTAAGTGCGAATGGGTAATGGATATAGCGTGGGCGTGGACGTGGGTGTGGGTGCGGGTCGCCGTGCGCGTGTGTATGTATGTTAGAGGCGGTCGGTTGGATTGTTGCGGTTGAATGGAATTGGCTTCGGTTTTCGTGACTGTTGTGGCAATATCCGAGGGAAAAAAGGATCGGGACGATTGATCAAGGTCGGGATGGCGGAAGGTGGAGGTCACAAAGGGGATGGGGTCATTGGGGGTGAGATGGCTCGCGCGATGCCGCAATGCGCACATGCCGAGGTTGCGCTCGCTGCCGCAATTGCATTGCGAGCCGAAGGGGACACAGGGAGCAACCCAGGAACGGAGCAATGCGGGGCTCGTTTCGGCTGATAACTCAACGGCCGGTCCAGCACAAAACATCAGGTTAGGGTTATGTATGCGAGTTTTGCATAGATTCCACGCTCCGTATTTCTTTCTACATGATCTTGATCCAAATGCGAGATCCCACGCTCCCAAAACACAGACCCACCCGCCCTTATTTACATTCTAGGAAACAGTTACAGTTTCGGTGAAGGGGTAAATAACCCCGTCCGTGCCTTCAGCGTTTCCTCCGCCTCCTTCTCGATCCGCGCAACGAGGTCCTTGCAGTTGGGGATATCGTGAATTAGACCGATGACCTGGCCCGCGGTCCAAACGCCATACTCCGGGTCGCCGTTGACGAATACCTCGCGGCCGCGCTTGCCGCTGACGTAGGGCTGGATCTCGGAGAATTCCCCCGTCTTGCTCTCGCGCTCGACCTTGAGCGCCTGCTCGGTAACCTTGTTGCGGTACAAGCGCGTAGTGTTGCGCCAGCGCCGCAGGACCAGCGCCGTGTCTGTCTCCTCCGCCTTTACGATCTGCTCCTTGATGTTGTGGTGGATCGGGCTCTCAACAGTGCACAGGAACCGCGTTCCCATGTTGACACCGCACGCACCAAGGCACAGCGCCGCCGCGAGGCCCTGTCCGTCGGCGAAGCCGCCCGACGCGATGAAGGGCACATTGAGCGTTTGACGCGCCCGGCTGAGCAGGATGAAGTTTGTGATGTCCGACTCACCCACGTGGCTATACAATTGTCAGTCCTACCCGTCAAGCCGGATCCGGGTGTGTTTAGCTTACCCAGCGCATTCAAACCCATCAATGCTCAAAAAGTCAACGCCGAGCTTTATCGCGGACTGGGCGTGCCTGATGGTTGTGCACTTGTGCAGGATGATGCAGCCAGCCTTCTTGAGCTTTGCGATGACAGGCCCTGGCGAGTTCCCGGCAGTCTCAACGATTTTGATGCCCTCGTCAATGGCGACCTGGGCGTACCCCTCGTAGTCAGGCGGAACAATCGCCGGGAGCAGGGTGATGTTGACACCGAACGGCTTGCTCGTCATTTTCCTGCACTTGCGGATCTCCTGGCGCAGTCCTTCCGGCTCAGGCCAGATTAGGGCTGTGATAATACCTAAGCCGCCGGCATTGGACACGGCACTCGCCATCTCAGCGGTTCCGACATGCTGGTAAATGTTAGTTTTCTTGTACTCGACTTGGGAGAGGTGAGTTTGCTTGCCTGCATGCCTCCCTGCACAACGGGGACTGTATATCGCCAACAAGAGCCATGTCAGCGTCGGAAATCCAGATTGCGTCGGTATGCCAAAGGCATATGTAAACCGCCCGTTCGAAGCACATACCTGCAATGCCGAGGCGGCGCGTTAATTCCGTGTTGAAGGGCATCGTTGCGGCGGGCGCACGCGGGACAATTCAGTTGATTGGACCGAGGATACGGATAACTCGAAGTGAGTGGAGGGTAAGAAGCGCGCTCAAAGTCGAATTACCGAGTTGATTCCACTACACACCGGCCGCGATTCAGAGCGAGGGATGAGTCGGACAAAGGAATGGAAACCGGATACAGGCCTGCGTTCAAATGGACTTCGGCCGGGTAACACTCGGGCAAGACACGGTCATGCTGCGACACGGCGAGGGGCGGTTCCCTCGGCAGGGCTGTTCATCGCCGCCCCCTTGCGATGAATGGAGCCTGCCAAATCCTGGGGTTGCTGAGCCGAGGCAATTGAGGGGCGACCATCCCGAAACGGGTCAGGTGGAGCTTGGTGGGCACATGCTTCGCGCCCTCAGCTGAGCCTCGTTTGTCGTTTGTAACGGTTATAGATTACCGCGGCGCGGTATTCGTAATGACGAAGGTTACCTCGTACCGTTACGCTTATGTTTTTATTCTTCGGGACCTCCTTCCTGCTTCCTCATAGTTATGAGCAACGCAGATTTGTTGACAACCACCGCCAAGCTTGATCCCCAACGACGACGATTACAAGCCGAAATGAAGTGATTTCTCTATCGATAGTAGAAATTATGGCTCGGCAAACGGCCCGCCGCTGTCACTTCGGAGTCGAGCACGCTTTATGTCGAGCTCGACACGCGCCCAACAACCAAGGCTTTTTTGCATCAATGTATTCTGTACTTCGTACAACGATGCTTGAAGTTCAGCCATTCGAATAATTCTGTTTTCGCTACCTAGCAGCCTTGATGTTCAATCCGTGGCGTCGTTTCAGTGGGATCGTGGCTCCTCGAGGCTGTTATTCGCACGTCCTAATCAGCAGGTTTATCACCTCACCACTTGTCAAAGTAGTCGGGTTGGAGCTCACCATTGCATGGGCCCGACGGCCGCCAGCTCATTACTTCTGATCAAATGTGCTGCCCAACTTGGGACGGTGATACTCGGCTGGGCCGTGTCTCTCATCGCCGTACGCCACTTTGCGTGTGGTGGCCGTCCTGTTTGACATGGCAATACGCCACTGGCGTTCCGCACCAGCCTACCGGAGCTCTTTCGTCTATAAACAGGCCCTCGCCCTCGCCCCAGCGAGGGTCGTTCTGACACATTTTTCTTTTGCCACGTCCTTACACGTTCCTACGTCCTTTCTCGCACCGGCGCCGCCGACGAAGCTTGCCAACCGCGGAACGTTGCGGAAGCTTGCTTGTGCGCCGGCCATATTCGGGGGACACCCGGCGGGCCACGGCAGACGTCGCAACGCTTTGAAACACCGATATCACCGCGACGTGACGCCGGCACTCGCTTGTTAGGCAGTTGCCGTTCACTCATTCGGTTCTCGTACCCTATCGGAGTCGCGTGGTCATCCGCATGCCGGGTTGGTCGAGGCCCGTTAACCCCCCCTTGCACCCAACTTGGGCCGAAGCACAAGCCGCGTGTCACCCGAGCCAACTCTGTACACCGATCAATCGACAGCACTTCTTCTCCGCGACGGGAACCTGCTGCGAGGTTCGAGCCGCCGTTTGAGCATCCCACCTAATTCGTCCTGCGCACTGTGTTCAGAGCTTCTGGAAACCAGGGCGGGACGGAATGGTTGTGCCGGAAGGGATATCTGTTCTGGATCTCCAGAGATCCCGGAGAGCAGCATGGGGGCCCTCGCTCGGAAACATGTTGACAGCGGCAAGGACATTCGACTGGGAACAATTATTGGCTCTGAGTCCGCGTCCGCGGCTCGAATGGACGTTTTCCTCCAATCTCTCAGTCCGCTTCAGAAACGAATCCCAAAATTGAGTCGCGGAACAACGCGGAGCCAACCTCAGAAGTCCGATGCTGTTGGTGGTACAGGTACGTGTACAACGTACCAGTCCAACCTTGCATCGGTCGCTTTCTAAGGTGCGCTAGCCGTCAAGCACCGCCTGTGGTAGGGTCTCGTGGGCGCGCCTCATTGCTGCACAACATGCGGATCCTGGAGACCGCCATTCGTGAAACCAGAACTAGTGGGAGTTCCCGGCAGACCGGTACCGCCTGATCTGTGTTTGCTCAGCTGCCATTCTCCAACCAGTCAACCACCCAACGGCATTGCCTCCGCGACATGGTTTGTTGACATCCCGGTCGCTGCCCCCATGGTTGGAGAGATCTGATAATCCCGCCACACCTGGCGGCTGGCACGGATGTACACAGTACACTCATTAGGAAATGAAGAAGCAAACTCCGGGTTTCTCTTCCGGAGCAATATGACGGCACACAAACTGCGGATTAATGTCGAACTGGTCGCACATTCAACGCTCCGGTTCATTTCGACAGGCCGGCAATGTTGTCGATGTACACTTTCTGTTGACACGAAACACGACCACGTTTTTCCCGTCCAATGACCGTCGGGCAAGTATCTGTTGCTGCTGTCCGATTCGCTGTTCCGCCTTCTGTCACAGGCCAAGGTGAACAGCCCTGCTCTCGATTTAGACTACGACTGCATCTGACGGTGACAACTCAGACGAACCTCGCTCGTCTTGGCACCCGAACGACATGGCATTTCTGCCCAGCCCACAAAATGATCTCTGTCGTGTTATTCTGCCTGTTCTTGCTTTCTGGGCGCTGACAGCCCGTACGAGAGCACCAGTTCACTCCTTTTACCCCTTGTTCTTCCTCCTCGCGTTAGTTCGTTTTGGGTAGCGGCTCGAGTGGGTTGACAGCTCATCGGCGCCCCAGCGGGCACCCAAGCTTTGAACCCTTGCTCCTGTGGCAGACCGGTGGTGCATCCCATTGCTTTTTCCGCACACTTTGTCTTGACTTCCTCGTCCCGGGCGAAACACGGCACCGGGGCGCGCCAATTCCCGGCAGAGACGGTGCTCGGCACCGCGCCCCCGTGCATCCACGCTTATCTCGCCCACCGCTGGCGTCAACGTCGAGATGTACGTTCGGACATACACACCGGGTCATGCCGTGTGCTGCCGCTTTCCACTCAGTCTGCAGTAACGTCAGGCCTGGTGCCATGGCCTACTCGAGTCCCAATGGATCCGTGGCACCTTGTTCGCTGGAGGCCGGTGACTTGGCACACAACAGCAGCGCAGGGGCCAAAAAGCAAAGAAGACGGTCAAGAAGATCGGAAAAGAAATCTTATCCATCCACCGCCTCGGATGGAGACAAGTCGTCGCCATGCCGGGACAGCCCGCCAATCCCCACAGTAGGATAGCCATCACAATAGTCCCAAGTCGCTAAAATATCTGATGTTGCTCGCATTTTCCCCCAGTCCCGTTTACTTCCTCCATCTACACCGGGGAGAGGATAGAATCTCATCGCCTCCTGGTTCCGTCTTGTCCGTCCGTCTGTCCGCGGCCACGATGCACCATCCCGTCTCCTGCCCATAATCTACTCGCTGACGTCCTGCACCTTTGCGAACAAACAAGTCTCTCGGGGAAGAGCAAAACAAGAGACGGCGCGAACGGTACAGCAAGGGGCATGCAGCTTAATTAAGCACTTCGGCTCTTCGAATCCCTTGCGGCCACATCAGTCGTCTCGCAGACCGGTTGCCTGGAAACCCAAGTGGTACCTGCCGCTACGGGCTGTCCCGAGAGTATAAAGGCGATCCAGGACGCAGTCACTACCGACTCGTTCTCCTCTCTTGCTTGACAACCCAAGTACCCTGTCACGATCGATCTGGCCAAGACCTCTGCAGATCTTAGCACCATCACCGCCGACGCCACCAGATTTGGAAGCCTCCATTCTCACGAATCCTCCGTCCCACGCTCCAAACGCAACACAATGGCGTACCAGACCTGGCAAGACAAGCTCGAGGGTATAGCACCCCGTTCCAAACCACCCCCCAACCCCTAACACATCCCCGCGTCCTCCTCCCCGCCGTATATCTTTCGCCAACTAACCGCCACCCGTAGGCGCCTGCCGCGAGTTTAACATCGCCGTGCCCGTCTTTCAGATCGTCTCCGACAGGCGAGGTATGCTGCCCCCTCTCCCCCTATCACGTATTACAGCAAGTGTTGGCAGTATTGTAAACCAGCAGTAGGACACCAAACACCCCCCAGAACCTACTAACACGTCTTGTGTTGCTATAGGCGGCCGCACGGCCTGGTCGAGCACGGTGACCATCTACGGCACGACCCACAGCGCGCGCTTCTGGTACGACGGCAAGAACCTCAACAACGCCAGGGAGGACGCCGCCGAGGTCGCCCTGGGCTGGCTCAGCACCACCGCCGGCTCCAGCCCCGCCAGCTCCCCGGCTACCAGCCGCTCCGGCTGGTAGACTGGTTACTTACTGGGGGCGGGGGCGTTGCCTGACCTCCTGGCCGCCTATCTCGCTGTTTTGTCGCTTCGGCTGTTTCGGCTCTTTCCGGGCTATGGGGGTGTGCTTGAGGTTTGGCGGGTGAGGGCGGGTGATGGGGTGTTGAGTTTTGTGGAGGGATGGGGAGGTGGGATGCGCTGAGATTGATGGCCCATCGTTCAGCAAGGCAGGTGGCCGTTGAAAGGGCGGGAATCAAATGGCCGTGGAGTCCTGGGTTCTTCTACTGGAACTCTGGACGGCATGTGTGCTGTTTGATATCTCTGCCTTCCACGCGGTCTGGCTTTGCTGCTGGGTCTGTCTCTCGGGTTGCCGTATCCGCTACCTCCTCCCTCCCCCCCCTCTTCTCACCTCCGTCCAGGTGCTCGCTATCCAGCCCCCACCCTCACAAACCACGGACTTACACCCACCAACCCACCCACCCGGGTGGCGGACGACTCCGGCTTACGACGACAGTTTGACGGTGGTGTCGAGGGTGTTTCTACGGGCCTCCTTTATTCTTTGGTTGTTTCTTGCCTTACATTCCTGTACAACGGTGATACCACTCCTTTAATTTCGGGGGACCATTTCTATTTTCTGTTTACAGTTTCCTGCCCCTTTTTTCCTCCCCATTTTGTTTCCATCTTGGTTATTTTTTTTAAAAACTTTCTGTGGAGTTGTCGCATATCGGGCATGCCACACGGCACATTGGGAATCTACGATGCTGCCAGTGGACCCCGCGGAGGTTTCTTTATTTTTCATTGTGATTTTTATTTGGATGGCCAGGGTAATTCGGTGAAGTTCGGCATTGCATCTTTTTTCACTGGATTCTCTTTCCTTCTCTGGCGGTAATCTTGGACCTCACTCTCAAGCATGGCAAGGATGGGGGAAGGCAATGTTCTGGATTGGATATCCCTGTTCTTCTGGACCATTGGAGCGGGATGGAGTCCAAAAGCGTTCCGGCTGCTTCTGGTGGACGACGGCTTGCCTCACCGGGTCGCCCAGGTGTCTGGTGCTGCTGCGCTGGCGGGATGGGTTTGGTTCTCGAGACCGGGACCCAGAAGCGGTCTGCGCTTTTGGTCATCAGACCACCTGGTGATGAGCATCCCCCCGGTCATCTGGGTGGACAGGCTCACAGGCAACGGAAGCTAGAAGCAACGGGAGTTTCGGATGGCTGATAAAAGTTTCTCATTGCATTTGGTTATTATGGCATCGGCTGGCTGGACTGGGTTTAGATTGGATTGGCTGTTTCGAACTCATATAACTCATTGTTTGTTATTTTCTCGGTCTCTCGCCCTCAAAGATGGGAATGACACAAGCTCCAATGGCGGACAGTTTCCCACCACCGAACTGAACTGAACCCACCTCACATTCACAACTCACCCACCCTGTCCAGCTCATCCCTTGATGGCGCTAAGTGAAGAAAACAAACGCTGTCGAAAGCCGAGCCAATTGATCAAATCGGGAGGGTGGTTCCGAGGGGATGGATTGATGATGCGGGAGATACAGATTAGGAACTGACGAACGGGAGGTTCCATGGCGGAATTGCACCTCACCGCCAGTGTGGGAAACTGCTGCTTGAAGGGCATTTAGTGTTTCTGATTTGTTCCCGACAGTCGTGGTTCTCGGACCGAGCCCCATCGGCTGGGGTGTGGTAGGCCTGTTTTGTGTCCACGTCAGGCCTGAATGGGGAAATGAATCTGGGGACGCGCATGTGGGAAGCCAGCAGACGGCGGGCAGCAGCACCTGTTCCCGTGACTGCCGCTACAGCGAATAGCGTCCTGTGGGGGTTTGGCCGGTGGGAGAAGGCACGAAAGGTTCGGATCCGATCTTTGGGGCTCAGCGGTGTGTGGCGCCCCCCGCACAGTGTGGCTGCCGGGAATCGAGATGGATCGGATCAAACCTGGGCGGGGCTCAACGGGAACAGACACCCGGCCCGCTTAACCTCAGCCACGGCTAAACCCCGGCATTCGCTCAATTTTTCGAGAACGCTCCTTTGCGTGCAGCAGCCGCGACGTCGTCGTATCAGGTCGCAATTGCCGATCCAACCACACAGAAACCATGCCACCGAGGTTGAACATTTGGTCGGCCTGCAGAGCCCTCTCGACACGGACCCGGGCCTTTGCCCAAGGGCCGCCGTCCGGCCCGGCTGCGTTGGCGAGGGGACTGGCCGACAACACCACATCACGGTTACCGAACACCAACTCCGGCGCCCTGCCCCAGTCTATGGTACCCGACAGCCAGCCACCCGCCTTTGTCAGCGAGGACAATGAGAAGGCGCTGAGCCAACTGCGAATGATCGAGTATGGCATCAACGCCCTGGACCCGTCCGTCGAGGGCCACAAGTACGGGCTGCCGGACCTACCACTGCCCTCGCAGAAGCACGCCAAGCACCGTTACGACTCGGTTATCTCGCAGGTTACGAGGTTATTGATGGAAGACGGGAAACTGGCCAAGGCACAACGGGTAAGGGCCTTATGAACTGAAGGAAGGAAACAAGACCGGGCCATTCTGACTTTGAGAATCTTCAATTGCAGGACATGGCCATCATCCTCAAATACCTGCGCACCTCACCACCCCCCCCGCCTCGACCCCGCCAAACCCCTCCTCCCCGGCGCGCCCCCCGCCGCCCACCTCCCGCTCGACCCGGTCCTGTACCTCGCGCTCGCCATCGACTCGGTCGCGCCGCTGGTCAGGATGCGCGGGTTCAAGGGCCTGGCGGGCGGCGGCAAGTCGCTCGACGTGCCCACGCCGCTGCGCGAGCGCCAGCGCCGCCGCACCGCCTTCGGCTGGATCCTCGACGCCGTCCGCAAGAAGAAGTCCAAGGGCAGCGGCCGCACCATGTTCCCCCACCGCGTCGCCGAGGAGATCGTGGCTGTCGTGGAGGGCCGGTCGAGTGTCTGGGACAAGCGCATCCAGGTCCACAAGGCGGGTACGGGTAACCGTGCTAACCTGATGCACTCGGCTGTGAAGGGCAAGATTTGAGGGGGGGGGTGTTTTGGGGAGAGGGGGGTTGTGCTCGGGGAGGGAGCCCGGGTGTGGGATGTGGGATGTGGGATGTTCCACTGCTGGGAGAGCGGCTGTGGTTTTGTGACGGAGCCTCAATGTACTGTACTTTATATGTATGGACTATTTTTGCGTCCACGAATCGCTTTCTAAGCTTAGACATGCTTGCTGGCTTTCGTTGGGCTGCTGACTTTACCTTTGCTTGTTAACTATGAATTCCAGACGGCATGAATCCAGACATTCCATGATGTTTAGGAAATATCCGCAATTCACGGCCCGTCGGTTTTCAGAATTGGATTTGCAGGGCATCTGATACCCCGACGCTGTTATAGATGAAAGAAAGTAGATTGGCTAGCAGGAACCGTTTTCTTGTTGGTTTATTCCCGTTGAATGTTCGTTCTTCTCTGTTTACTGCCTCGGCCAGGAAACGTGGCACTGGAGGCATTTACTCTTTGGTAAGTTGTGCCTGATTGGTCTCGGAGAGGTTCTGACCCCGAGACATTGGTGTCGTTTGACAGAGTTCTCGGATTTTAAGCACAAAGGTGCCGTCACAGCCGGAGCGAGGGTCCAGACCAATAGCTAAACCAACAGCTAAAAACAACTGCCGTCCACAACCCACTGATAAGCAGGGTCTACTGTACATAACAATTTCACTCGGCGCAAACCCATAGCCGCGTAAGCGCCAACCGTACAGCTTCCCGACGCAAGATCTCCGACTCCTTGGGCTGCCTACCCCACCAAGGCGAAGGGAGTGGTAGAATAGACGAGGAGGAAAGGAAGAAAGAGAAACAACTCGGGTGAAATGGTCATCATGGAAGAATACCCAGCAAGAGAGAAATCTGAGGGGAAAGGGACTGAGCAAAATACTAAAATCAAAATAGAGAACGAACACGGGCATGTGATAGAGGAAGCATCACGAAGTCGCCAAAGCCGGTCGTGTGCCCAGAAGTTTCAGGGGCCCCGTTCAGTCAGGCTCGATCCACCGGGAAGACCCGCCCCCTAGCCAGAGCTCCCCCCACCCCCGCACGTCATGCGGCGAGTCGAGCTCTTCCGTTTGCTCCAGTGTTGAAAAAGCCACTAAACCCCAAATATTCCCGACCTCAGTCCATTCTTGTGCCGTATCTTCCTCGCAATTGCGGCCGATATCCTCTCCTTTTTCAACCACCTGAAATTCACGCAAGCAGCGAGCACCATCTCGCCCCACCAAAAATTCCAACGAGACGCGGCAGTGCACCTGGGCAGCTTCGCAGAACCCAGCGAACCTTGTAATCGGTGTCTTGGTATCTTGGCAAAACGGAGCCAGAGCTGTCTTTCCTTGGGACAAGCATCTTGGCGTCGGCGCTATCCTCGACACAGGACTCGGGGCGAAAAACAGCTGGGCTGACGCCCCCGCTATGTCCTGAGGGCCGACAAAGACGATTTAGAGGGCTCGCCCGTCGCAGATCGAGATGCGGCTTCGACAATTGACATTACTTCCACCCCGGCCTCATATCCTACCAAGCTGAGAGAGACTACCCGACACCACGCCGTAGAACTCTACGATATCGAACCACCACCTGGAACATACCTCCGGGTTCATTAATCGATCCTCTCCACGTCATACGTTACCTGCTTGTACAACCACTTCCTCTTCCTCCACCCGCCACAAACAGCGACCAGACCAGCATACCGTGCCCGAGCGCCGCTCATCATGGCGGGGCACAAAGCGATGTCGATGGAGGCGATGCTCGACGAGGAACGAAAGGAGGTGCTCGCACTTCTAGAGGGATCTTCGAATCCACGACCTAGGCCTCCCAGCTCGCTCGAGGGGCGCTCCCCATCACCCTACACCCCCCGCTCCCCGGTGCGCAGCATGCTAGACATTGGTGATGACCCTCCGTCTCCTATACTCCTCTCTCCAGTGTCCCCCAATAGTTTTCGTACTAAGACAGCATGCGCCAAAGCAGCCCCCGTGAGGAGTATGCTCGACGTAGACAGCCCGCCACCACCGAAACCGGTCCGAAGCATGCTGGACGTGGACAGCCCACCTCCCGCGACAAAACAAGTGTTGAGTACGCCCTCGTCGCCGACCGACTCAAGTGCTCGCGCCCAGGCGGCTAACAGCGCCCATCCGAGGAGCATGTCGGACGCCTCCGCGAGGCCTGTCGACTTTGGGCCGAGGTTGGGCCCTGCGCGAGTCGACCCGACCAGTGAGTACCAGTTTTCCGGCATCATCACGAACCACGTAGGCCAGGCCCTACCGAAACGAGTCACCCAGGGCGGCAAGCGGACCGGCGGAATATCCGACCAGGGCACTAAGCGATCCAATGCCATGGCCGAGATAATGAGGGGCAATGACATCTCTGGCCTGGCTCTGCCCGGCGACCGAGGGCGTCACCATTCCGCAAGCGGACCGTCAATGCGCCTGGGGAACAAGTCAAAATCGCCCAGCAGCCGCCCCGGGGTGCGCTCGCACTCCCCACATCATGGGCCCCTCCTACGAAACCTCAGCCCCGCCGCCCGAGCAGCACTCAATGACCCTGATGTCGCCGACTACAACAATGCATATAGGCGACTGTCGGACGCTGCCCTAGCCCGGTCCGGCGGAAGCTTGTCGGAGCTGGGAAAACGGAAGCCCTCAAACTACATGACCGGGACTGGCAGGCTAGCTAAGGACTACCTGAGCCCCGACGGTGAACTATTGGTGGAGGATAGCAGCGAGGACAATGGAAGTTCGTCCGGGGAGGAAGGACAGCGGGGGAGGAAGACTGCTCGGCCCGAAGGCCCCGATGGCCAACGACAAGCTAAGAGCCTTCTGGCCGCGGCCGAGGAAGAACGTAGGTTCATGGGCAGACCCCGGATTCGCCTGGCAAACCCGCTAACCGCGCCGGATAGGTCTCCAAGTGGCATCCCAGCAACCCTACCAGTACAGGTCGCTTCTGGACGAGCCAGAAATCACGGTGACGAACCCATCCGGCGAGCGTGTAAAACACAGCAAGCCCGTAATCCACCCGACGACCAGCTTTGATGACCCCCCTGGGACCGGGACTCACACACCCATGGACTCGGATACTGAGGCGGACCTCACCGACATTAAGAGAGCGCAGAAACTGTCATTCGCCATGACTCAGATTATGGACACCCCGGAGGCGCACCGGACGATCCAGATCATTACCCGAGGCGAGTACTCAAAGCTCGTCCAAGACGCCGAAGAGGAACACCGGCCCCCGCGCAAGTACCTCGTGGCCACGGACCTGAGCGATGAATCAACCCACGCGCTCGAGTGGGCCATCGGCACGGTCCTCCGCGACGGCGACACCCTCCTGGCCATCTACTGCGTCGACGAGGAGACGGGCATCGGCGCCAGCGATAACGCGCAGGTGCCGGACGAGCCCAGGGCCATGAAGGAGCAGGCGGCGGCCATCAACACGGTGGCGTCGAGCAAGACGCCCATCACGCCGAGCGGCACGGACCTGCCGCTGCGCAACCAGCGCCCCTGGCCGCTGCTGTCCAACACGTCGGACGCGGGCACCACGGCGAGCGTGTCGCCGGCGCCGTCCATCAACCGCGAGCGCAGCAAGGCCGAGGAGGACAGGTACAGGACCGTGCAGGGCATCAGCGAGCGCGTCACCAAGCTGCTCCGCAAGACGCGCCTCCAGGTCCGCGTCATCGTCGAGGTGCTGCACTGCAAGAACCCGAAGCACCTGATTACCGAGGTCATTGACCTCGTCGACCCGACGCTGGTCATTCTGGGGAGCCGGGGGAGGAGCGCGTTGAAGGGGTGCGTATTTGGTTTCCCCTACCCCTATTTGTCTCCATCTCTGGCGGGAGTTGTGTGTTTTGTGGCTGGTGTAACTAACAGTAGTGCGCAGTGTCATTCTCGGCTCGTTCTCCAACTACCTCGTCACCAAGAGCTCCGTGCCCGTCATGGTGGCGCGGAAGCGCCTGCGGAAGCAGGGCAAGTATAAGCGCGTGCCCTCGACGCACCAGATCAACAACATCCATAACCCGGCCGCGAGGAGCCTGGCGAGTGCGAAGATTGATTAGGAGTCGCCGTGAGAGCGGTGGAAGCTTGGCTCGAATCGGGATCTAGTGCGGGAAGTAGGAGGAGGAGGAGGGGGATACCAGAGATGTATGTGGAGTGGTCAGCGGAGCGGTAGAGAGGGTTGGGCTATCTAATTCTCACACGGAGATGCCCTCCTTGGTCGGCTGTTTTGGCTTTAGCGGGTAGTTTATTGGGTTTCGGTCGGGGTTGAGATCCGCTTTTACAAGGTGGTGGTATGATTTGCGTGTTTTCGAGATTAGAAATGACAGCGAACGGGACTTAATGATCAAATGATAATTAGGATTGCGCTTGATTGGGGGGATGGATATGATGAATGAGTGAGAGTGATATGTTGAGGGTGAATGGGGCCCTAAACTACTTTGAGCGTCGAGAGATAGAAGCCGAGACTGTCCACCCTTGATAAATACCATAACTAACCCAATTGTTCCCTTATTCTTTCTCGTAAAACCCCCCCAAAACAGAGGCTACTTCACACTATCAGCTTCAAACAAGAGCGGCTCAAGTTCCTGCGTTTCGTGAATCCACCGCCTCCACCAAGCCCCGAGACCATCAGCCCAAAATGCGGGGTGATAAGCAAGCGAACACTCCACTGCTATCAACATCCATGTCTCTTGAGTTGCCCCTCTCTTTCCATGTTGTTATGCCATCTTTCCTTCTCTTTCATCTTTGGCCACGATCCTGAGACCGAAGGGTTAGGAATGTTGTTGCGCGCGAGACAACGTCTCAGGTCGCACCACTCTGCAAAAGCCGCATCTTCCCGCAGTGCCTGGCGAATCAGATAAACAACGGGAGAAGCGGAGGGGACCCCGCATGCCTCTCTGAACTTCCCTCGAATGGCTGCCCCGCTCTTCGCAAGGGACAGCGGGGTTCGTTGGCCACGGGGCGACTGTTCGGGCAAGGTGGAGCAGTTTTGGGGCATGTTCCCAGCCACTCATTTTTGAGGGGCCCTGGTTGACCGTCGCATTCTCTCCATGCGACTGCCCTTCCCCCCACTCATTCACCCACTGCGACGCCATGCATGCCTGGGGGTTTGAGGCAGAACAACACACCTCGAGGGACTGTTCTGCGTTTGGAAAGTACATCCAGGAGAATCGCCGCCGCAACGCGACTCGGGTTCTCGATTCACTTTACCATTTTAGAGTTGGCGCTGCCCATGCGAACCCCCTGAAAGACAGTGCGAATCGCATCGGCTGTTGATTTCAATTCCCGGCTTCTCGCAAATCGCAATCATACCACACCACGTCCCAAGACGGCATCGCGCAGACCACACCCGATCGGCCCGCCCCTCTCGCGCATCGCAGCAAACGGTTCCTCCCTTGCGGCGCACTCCGCGATTCCGTTTGATGGGGATGCAGTCTCTCTTCAGCGTCCACAACAACGTGTCGCTCATCAGCATCAACATTGCGCCGAGTGCCTGGGTCGCTTCCCTGGTACTCTCCCTCGTCTTTGTTTTCCTGTATCTGCTCTACCAACCTCTGCCCTCTTTCCGCTGGACAAGATTATTGTTCAAGCGCAGCAGGCAACAACCACGAAAAGCCGCACCGCCCATTGTAGAGGAGGAGGAGGACGACACTTATTCCGAAGAGGAACCACCCCGACGACGACATATCGAGCACACCCCCTTGCCGCCTCTGCTCACCGAATATCCCTATCCGTTTGACCGTATCGACAGCGACAGCGGCAAGGACAGCGAACGAAGGGAGAAATCAAGCCGCAAACAACAGCTGCGGAGTAGCGACAGACACAGCGATAGTAGGAGTGGCAAACGAAGCAGCACCAAGGAAAGTGGAGGAGGAGGACGGATATCAGGCAGCAAACGTAACAGCACCCCCAACCACAACCATGACGGCTTCGACAACGATAACAGCCCTCGGTCCTCTCGATCAACTCGACGTGTCTCTGGACGACTTCGCGCACCCGATTGGGAACCAGAGGCGGCTGCCGTTCGGCTACCCGTCGGCCCACTCGGCGTTCCGGAGCGACAACCTGAGCGAGACGGACGATCTGGATTCGGAGGCTTCCGCCGGTGGCTACAGTCCGCCCGCGTGGAGGCGCCTCGGCAACGGCGACCGCAGCAGCGGCTTCTGGAGGAAAGGTGAAGACCTCGCCATGGCCTACGACGGGGACGACGACGACGTCTTTGGCGGGCCCCGCTCCAGGGAGAGCAGTCCCGAGTACGAGAGCGCCGACGAGGGCGACGCCGTCCTCGCGCAGGCTATCAGGACCAGGCTACCCACGGGGAGCCTGTCGCCCGAGAAGGAGAGGAGTCCGGAGCCCGAATTCCATCCGGCGCACCAGCATATTGACGAAATCGTCGGTATAAAACGGGAAAATGATGGGGCGCTGGCCCTGCGTGACCTCAAAGACGGGAGGCTCGCGCCAAAGGAGGTGTCAGACAATTGTAGGTCGGACCTTGTACCCCGTCTTTGTTTCACCGCGACTTATAACCTCCCAGTTATTCGCTTTGCCGTCAGGGCAGAAGTTCAGCAGCGAACCGAGCCCATCGAGATGGCCATCAACTTCGTTCGCAGGAGGTTTGGCGCCATAACCAGGTCGTGGACGTCCATGTTCTTTTCGTTTATTATCGCCATGTTGTCCTACGCGGCGCTGCGGTGGATTTCACAACCGGCCGCAATGCGGCCAGTCCCCGACCTAGTCAAGGTTGCTGGCGTTGCCCGCTCCCTCGAACCGCTGATATACTACTCCGAAAACGGGATCCAGCAGGTCGGCGATCTCCAAGCAACAGGCGTCGCAGTCTGGGACCTCGGCGAGAGTGTCCGAAGCAGTAACCTGACCTCGGCTCCCCTCATTGTTAAGGAGCTCGATGAGCTCAGTGACAGCCTCAAGACGCTAGCCATTGAACTTACAAAGTTCTTTGCCAACGTCGACGGCGATATCGACGGGTATGCACTTACTTTCCCTGGCCCCTCTTCCTCTGCGCCGTGTACCATTAACACTCGCCGATAGCATCCTTATCGTTATGGACTGGGCCCGCCGCGAGCTCTCGCAAGTCCAGCATCTACCCACCCTTCCCCTCTCCTCCGCCTTCGATAACATCCACAACCTCCTCTCCAACGCCGGCATCCTCGAGGACCCGCTCACCGGCCTACCCACCCGCTTCGGCGCGGTCATGACCTCCCTCTTCGGCCACTCCACCCCGCAGCGCACCAAGCAAACCCTCCAGCGCACCTTCAACGAGTTCCTCACCGTGCTCGAAGACGCCGTCGCGTCCGAACTCCAGCACTCCCTCGCCCTATTCGCGCTCTTCGAAGCAATCGACCACCAATTCCTCAACCTCGCGCGCACCGTCATCCGCGAGGCCTCCCTCCAAGACGAAGCGCACACAGACCTCCTCTCCTCCTTATGGACGCGCATCCTGGGCCCCAACGCGTCCGCCGTCGCCAAGTACGAGCGCAACCGACAACTCCTGCAAAACGTGCGCGAGAAGACGGTGCGCAACAAGGGCGTGCTGGTCGAGCACAACCACCGCCTGCTCGCGCTCAAGGCCAAGCTCGAGAACCTGCGCCGCGTCCTCGTCTCCCCGCTCGTCCGCTCCGTCAACTCGTCCACCCTCACCCTCGCCGACCAGATCCGCGGCCTCGAGGACGCCGGCTCCCACCTCGAGGACGTGCGCGTGCAGCAGAAGAGCAAGCTGTTCCAGACCCTGTACGGGAGCGGCAGCGGCAGTGGTGCGGCCCGCTTGCCTCCGGCTGTTGAGGGCGGGGGTGGTGCGGGTGGTGCGGGTGGTGCGGGGCGGCGGTTTATTAGGAAGGTTTGAGGCTTGGGGGGAGGGGTGATACGGGGCGGATGGATTTGGTTTTGTGTGTGTTTTGTGTGTTGGGTTGCGAATGGTCTGGCGTTTACCAGCTGCGGGAAGGGAGGCGTTTGCTTTACTTGCTTTTTTTGTTCCCTTTTTCCTAGTTTTCCCCTCTTTGGGTCAAGAAAGGTCGGGTACGGACACTGGTTAGGCTATCTACGGACTTATCATCACATGGGAGGGCAATGGCGTGGAGCATGGAGTCTACTTGTTGTTGGGGAGCAGGGTACTTGCAAGCAATGTCGGATTCCGCAACGGGTGAATTTGATAACTAGCAAGGATTGTGAAGATCGCTGTGAACACTGGACTGGGAACGTGACCGGGCTGGTGAAGGTCATACTCATGGAATTGGTGTTGGTTGATTAGGCGTATCAAGTACACATAAACGGCATGCATTAGGAGCCTCGAAATCGCGAGCAAAAAAACATCATGGACATGTACCTGAAACATTCATAGTGGCAATTGTTCGTACACCGCTCACATTATCCGACACTCGTAGAACTTTGCTCTGTATTAGCTAGTGCTCCTGTTCAGGATAACGTCTGCCAGCCCGAGGATACAGACGTCCGGCAACTCCAGCCGCCTCAGTGAGAGTGATCGGCGATCGTGGCGCCTCGCACACCCGTTCCTGAGCCCCGAACGACCTAGCCGGCAGAACACTCATGAAATTCGTAACCGTAACGCCGTTGTCGGCCGTTATCATCCCCGCCTGCCCGCAAAGACGGTCCACCTAGGACCATAATCCCCATCATAAGCAAGTCTATCAAATACATGACCATGACGTAGCAATGTCGTAGCAATATGCCATAATAATCCGTCGTCGGAGATGTCCTCGTCTCCTATAGAAATGAGCCAGATCCATCCGATGCTGGCTCTTATTCCGCCTGCATCACCAGACTGGAATCATGCTGTTGCGAAGCTGGTATCAAAACTTTTCCCGACCGACCAGAACCGAAAACGAAGAAATAACCGCATCAAAAGGCAAGAACTTGAGGAAGAGTGCCCTAAGCCTTCTCCTCAGGTTTCTCTTCCTTGGGCTTCTCAGCCTCCCCCTCGCCCTGTGCAGGCGCCGGTCCCTGACCGGGACCCTGCTGCGATTTGACGTACTCATCGTAGACAGCCATGGCCTCGTTGACCTTGGCGACGAGAGCGGCCTCATCCTCGAGCCTAGAGGTTGTTAGCGGAGGTAATCATTGGTGACCAGTGACATGTCAAACTTACAGGTTTACGAGCTCAGCGTTGTCCATTTCCAGCAGCATACCGGTGATCTTGCCAGCCAGCTCCGGCTGAAGGGCCTGAATCTTGGGGAACAGGTTCTCGCCCAGAATCTGCTTTTGCTGCTGCGGGTTGTTGGTGGCAGTGAGCTGAGACTGGAGGAGGGAGCTCGCATTGAGCTCACCGGCCGCAGCAAGGGGACCGGCGGGGGGCGCCCCACCACGACCAGCGGCAAAGTTGCCACCACGACCAGGGCCACCACGGCCACCCATGTTACCGTTCTGGGGCCTGCCGTTCGGGGGGAAACCGGCCATGCTAGGACCACCAGGCATACCCTGAGGAACAGGCATGCCTTGCATGCCCCGACCACCGGGACCACCAGGTCCACTGGGGCCACCACGACCATTGCCGAGCGCCGCGGCTTGCTGTTGTACCTGCTGGATGGCAGCAAGGAACTGCGGGTTGTTGGGTTGGGGGTAGGCGCCGGGAGGGAACTGGCCGAGAGGGTAGATGGGGAGCTGCTGCGGAGGCATGCCACCACGACCGCCCTGCTGAGCATAGGGAGGGAACTGGCCCGGACGACCACCCTGCACGGCAGGCATTCCGAGGCCGCCCTGGGGGAACGGCATGCCGCGGCCACCGGGAGGCAGGAAGTTCGGCTGCTGGCCAGGGGCGTAATAGACAGGGGTCTGCATATACTGCTGCGGGAGCCCGGCCTGAGCGGCGGCTTGTTGCATACGCAGCTGGTTGCGGGCCTGGATGCTAGCCTCAAGCTGGTTCTTACGGACGTCCTTGCGTTGGGCAAGGGCGACGTAGAGCGGCTTGCCCTCAATCATGCGCTGGTTCATCTCCGCAACGGCCTTGGTGGCATCGTCAGGGTTGCTGAAGCAGACGAAGCCGAAACCCTTGCTCTTGCCCAGCCTGCGGTCGCCCTTCTTTTCCGTCTTCTTCTCAGCACCCTCGGCCTCACCCTCGGCCTCGGCCGCTTGCTCACCCTCCTTCTTGTTTTCCTTATCCTTGCCCTCCGCCTCGTCCTCGGCGGAGCCCTCGGTCAGCGCATCGCGCATGACCTTGGCGGAAGTGATGGGGCCAAACTCGGAGAACATCTGGCGCAGCTTGTCGTCGTCGATATCGTCAGTCAGGTTCTTGATGTACAGGTTGACGCCTTGGTATTTGTTAGCTTTCTCAAGGCGAGCAGCCTCATACGACTTCCGAAGCTCCTCCTCGCGCTCATGCTTCTTCTGAGCACGGCCGACATAGAGGTCCTGGCCGCGGAACTCCTTGCCGTTGAGGTCCTCGACCGCCTTGGCGGCGCACTCATGGGTGGTGAAGTTCACGAAGCCGAAACCACGGCTCTTGCCCTCGGGGTCGCGAGCAAGCGACGACGAGGTAACGTCACCAAACTTGGTAAACAGGTCCCGGAACTCTTCATCAGTAGCCTCGAGGCTGATGTTCTTGACGTAGATGTTGGTGAAGTTGGCCTTCATCTCCTCGAACTTGCTCTGACGATCCTTCTTGGGGATGTGGTAGCCGACGTAAACCTTCTTCTCATTCAGGAGCATGCCGTTGACGTGCTTGATGGCCTGGGCGGCGGCCTCGTCGGTCTCGTAATGCACGAAACCATAGCCCTTGGAGTTACCGTTCTCGTCCTGCGCAACCTTGCAGCTCAAGATGTTACCGAAAGCAGCAAAAGTGTCGTGGAGAGCCTTGTTGTCGATGGCGACGTCGAGGTTCTTGATAAACACGTTGCCCTGGCCAGTCTTGCGCAGAGCAGGGTCGCGCTGGGACCACATGATGCGGCAGGGGCGGCCCTTGATGAGAGTGTAGTTAAGCTCCTCGAGAGCCTTCTCGCCGTCCGAGGTCGAGTTGTAGTTGACATAGGCATAACCGAGGGAGCGGCGGGTGATAGTATCACGGCAGACACGAATCGAAGCGACAGAGCCGATCTGGGAGAACAGCTCGAAGAGCATGGCCTCAGTCACAGACGGGTCCAGCTCGCCGACGTAGAGGGAGGCCGAAGACTGAGGGTGGGGAGCAGCAGAGCTCGGGGTCGGCCCAGCCGTATCGGGGTCGGCAGTCTGGTACTCTCCAGGAGCCACGTTGGTGTTGATGGCAGGGGCGGCGCGGTTGTCACCGCCGCTAAGGCTGGTGTTGCCAAGATCAGCGGCAAGCTGGTCGACAGCGCCGGGGGCAACAGGAGCGGCCATTTTGACAGTCGGGTCTGAGGAGGAGTGAATGTCAGTTTTGCCTTCTTTGGCGATTGGGAAGCTGCGGGGTGTTTGCGCAGTGAACGGTAGTCTCGATCGCGAGAATGGGGTGCTGCTCAATTCAAAGGCGACCGGGGGGGTTGTTGGCTTACCGAATACTCGAACTGGGAAAGAAGAATACCGCGCGCGAAGAAGAGCGACGGTCGACAAAGAACGAGACTGTGATAAAGCCTCGGTCGGGTTCTTTCTTGCGACTGGAAGGGAATCTCGATTGGAAGGACGGTTGCAGAGCGTCTTCCAAGGAGAGATGTGGCGGGTCGGGGGATGGGGGGTTTTGGTATTTTTTTGGTGGTTTTCTGGAAGATTGATAGGTAGGTATCGGGATTTTTTTGTTGGTTTTCAATTTTTTTTGGGACAAGTTTTTTTTGTGAGGGACCAGAAAAGAATTAGACGAGAACAGAACCAGTGACGGTTGTGTCGTACTGATCCGACTCTTTTCTGAGAAGTTGTGGAAAGAATCCGGGGATAAAGGGTTTTGATCGCTTCATTCAAGGAAAGAGGAGGGCAAGAATCGCTCCTGCGGAGACAGATTTTTTTTTCTCGCCGCTCTTGTTGCACCCACAAAGCGGAGAATATCGAATTAACCGAGCGTTGGGAGGCGGCCACATTAAACTTCCACAGTATGCTTGCTTTCACACTGTTCCCGAACTTCAAAGCGCAAGATTCCAGTCGTAGCCTTCAAAGTGGGCTTGCGGGCTTCATTTCTTGTTACATTCCAGTCCCCTGACCACTCAATGTCAAACAAACCCGAGCTTGCCGCAGCGAGATGCCCCCTGAATTGGTGGAGTGGCCAACTAGCTGTTGCCGAAGAAGCAGCATTTACAAACCCTCCTTTCTCTGTAAGCGGCTGGTTGATTTGTATCATCGATAATTACGCCGTACATACCTCGAGGTTACGAACCACCTCAATGGGCAAGAAAAAGCGGACTTGAAATACAGCGGTGGACGGGAGCCCTTGCTGCTTGAACTTTTCGGGTGCCTCCTAGAGTCCAGCTTGTGTTTCTTGGGTAGAGGGTGCCAACACAGCAGACTCGGAGTCGAAACAACCTAACCCGAGAACAATGATGATATTCGTCAGCTACATTACATTACCTCCCTCAGTAGGTCGATATCTTTCTATTCGGTTCTATGATTGATTGTTGGCACCACTTGGCGGCTCGAGGAGGTGGCGGGGTAGCACTCAGCTTATCGTTATCAGCCAGACCCCCCGGCGGGTGCTGGGAGCTTCCATCATCGCCGTGCCTCAGCCGCATCTTGCGGAAGCGGTGGAAGGAGCTTCTGCCGTACCTCCATGGTAATTATTAGCCAAAGCAAGCGCCCGGTGCAGCCCGATTTGCCCCCGGGCGTGTTTCATTAGTTGATTTAATTTGAATTACCAGTGCCGTGCAATAATTAGCCCTTGGTTACCTACCGCCCGACAAACAGTTGGTTGCGTGTGGCGGGCACGCACGGTAACTAACCTGCGCTGCTGCCTCGCTGAAGACCCAAGTGGAAGTGGCGTGAGCTAACGTTATCCTCAACTTTCTGCAAGCATGCCGGCATCGTTGGATATCTAACCGACAATTTCCCAAAGGCTTTTTTAGATTCGAGCCATCACGCAAATAGATTTACTTTCTGTCCCAAACTCTTCGCGCTACAAATTCTCGTAGCAAACGGAGACCCCCGCCATCCCGAACCTTTAATATTCGGAGAGCCCCTCGCTGGGGGTTTGCCGCGCCCCACCAACAGCCATGTTTCCGACTTTCACCGGAAGCTCGCGCAAAGGGCGAAATGTCAATCTCAGCGGCCAGAAAGCGATAAACCCCTTCACCAGCACATCATGGGCCCCCAGCGCGGCCGTTGGGGCGTCCAAGACAGTGGCACATGCACAGGCAGAGCGGTTACAACGACAGCAAGAGAGGGACCGGCTGAAGGCTGCGCAGCGCATCCAGAAAACATGGAGGGGGCATAGGTCACGGCGGAATCTGCGGACGTCGCGTCGGCAGGCCGTCGACCTGCTGTACTGTGGGAACGGGCAAGTGGACGTTGAACGGAGAACAACAGAGGCGACACCCTTGGTACTCAGCGCATATCAAGCGTCGAACCCAGAGGACCAGCAGCGGTTGTGTTTGCTCGCTCGTGACCTCCTCCACACCAACTTTGCTTGTTTCGCACCGGGAGCCTTAGGGCTGCCTCGTTTGGGAAAATTGACCCGTATAATCGTTTCTGCCCTTGATAGGTAAGAGGCGCCATGCTTGTTCAACTCGATCGAAGTGCTGACCCTGGTGACGACAGAATCGATCCCGGGATGGCAAGCTCGCAAGCCCAAGTCCTCCTCGCGACCGTCGTCGAGGTGACAAAAAAGAGGCCACAGTACGTCCAGCGTACCCTAGCGGAGCTCTACAGGGTATTGGGCAGATATTGCCATAGTCTTGGCCCAACCTCTCAGTTGCTCGACTCCGTCAGGAGCGCTGTGGGAACGCCGCTTTCTGCGACTGATGCACCTGGTATGTGTCTGCTTCTCCCACTTTCTCCTGGGGCTACGTCAAGTTGAGACCCCGGGCTAACTTGTCTAGAATCGTTCACCCAGGCCGCCTATTTTGAGTTTGCAGTTTCATTCCTGACACAACCCGACTTGGCCCTGTTCGAGTCCAATATCGACTCGTTCGCGGGTGATGTTGATGTCGACCGGCTCTCGCAATCACTCCAGGATGGTATGGTCACGGAGCGCGAGACAGCTGGGTCGCAGGCGGGTCTCATGTGGCTGCTTTCGCACTTCATCGTACTACAAAAGGCGAAAAAGCGCCTCGTACTCCATTCGCATTCTCTACGAGTTTTGTATTCTCTGCTGTCTGCGCTGTCGGCCACCATTCGGGCTGGCTTTGCGGCCTCCGACTTGAAAACATCTGACGTGACGAGCGATGTGGAAGACATCCCCGAGCCGGCGCTACCTCCATATGTTTCCGACAAGCTCTCTTCACTTACAGATAGAGACGAGATTTCCGGGGTTCTCGAGAAGTTCACGTCGTAAGTTTGGATCACACCCGATGTCAGTCACAACCTACTAACTCAACTAGGGATCATGGAGGTACCTCCGCGTCTGAGCTTGAGAATGCCGGCTTCCTCGCCGGCTACATTCTCACCCTTGTCTACTGCTTTCCGACACTTGGCGACGAAATCCGGATGCGCCTGTATCTGGCAGACATCCCTACCCATCAAGGTCATCTTCCTGCTGTCAAGTTCTTCTGGAATGCGTTCAGTAGGACATCGATATTCTCCAAGATCGGGTCGGATCCTGATGCTGCGCTCGCAATTCTACGCCAAAGGCCTTCGTCCCGGACCGATTCCTCGTGGCACCGCGAGTGGCGCACAGTCCTGCTATTCCTCGAGCTGTATATCTTCGTCCTTCGCCTAACCGACGACGACGATTTCTTCAGCGGCCTCAATGTGCCATTACACTCGGGCGAATCGAGTTCGCGACTGCGTTCGAGCGGCCTCGGTCTCCGGGATCTGAAGCGTCTTACACTTTTCCTCAAGCACCTCGGCTTCACACTTTACTACAATGCCGCGGACTTGCTCAATTCGACGTCTAGTACTCCGAACACTGCCGACGGCTCGTCGGCTTCTCACACTCGGCCTTGGGGTGTGGCTGGAAGTAAGCGGACAGTGGACGTCCTGCCTTTCACGCTCACCGCAGGTGTTGACTTTGACGCATTCAGAAATCTCGTCTCTACCGCAATGAGAATGCTCTACGAGCGGGATTCTCGACGTCAATTTCTGCCACCACAGCATTGGCTCATGACGTCAAAGTTCGACATGGAGAGCTTTCTTTCTGCTGTCGTGCTCGAAGAACAGGGACAGCGTGAGCAAGAAGAAGCCGAGGACGGAGAGGAGGAGGACGACGAGGACGTGGATGTAGAAGAACCGAGCGTTCCGTTGTCATCGGGCGGTTTGAGGCTATCTCGACAGGCCCATATGGAAAGGACCAGGGCAGCGCGAAAACGAGCTGCACGGGATATTCTACGGGCTGCTGCCGGCCCCAAGTTAGAGATCTTGCGCAACATGCCGTTCGTCATCCCCTTCAACATGCGCGTCCAGATATTCCGACAATTTGTTCATCTCGACAAGCACCGGAGAAGGGCGGGCAACATCGATCCAGACAGGTGGAGGTTATGGGTGCTTAACCAGCACGGTGGACCGTTTGACCCGACCCCCGCGGGCACGAACATCATCGGCCGACACCAGGCGCAGATCCAGAGAGGTCGGATCTTCAATGACGCCATGGATTCCTTCTGGGACCTTCAGGAGGGGCTGAAGGAACCGATCCAAATCACCTTTGTTGATGAATTCGGCATGCCGGAGGCTGGAATCGACGGGGGTGGTGTGACTAAGGAATTTCTCACGAGCGTGACGACAGAAGCGTTCACGCCGACCGAGGGACTCTTCATCGCCAACAACAAGAACACATACTACCCAAACCCCTGCGGAATGGACCAGTCAAGGAACACTCTTCGAGAGGCGCGGATCCCCGAAGATTCTGCGGAATGGGCCGAGACCATCAGCTACCGCCTCCGGCAATACGAGTTCCTCGGCAGAGTCATTGGAAAGTGTTTGTACGAGGGCATCCTCATCGACATATCCTTTGCTGGGTTTTTCCTCCTCAAATGGGCGTCGTCGGGCGGCGCCTCCGACACCTACCGCGCCAACATCAACGACCTCCGCGAACTCGACGAAGAACTATACCAGGGCATGCTGCGGCTGAAGAACTATCCCGGGGACGTCGGCGACCTCTCTCTCGACTTCACCATCACCGACCAGATCTCTCTCCCAGGCGAGCCGTTCCGCACGACAACGCGAAACCTTATCCCCAACGGCGAGAACGTGGCGGTAAACAACGAGAATCGCCCCCTCTACATTAGCTATGTCGCGCGTCACCGGCTCATCATCCAGCCCTACGCGCAGACTCGCGCCTTCCTCCGCGGGCTGGGCATGATCATCGACCCGGGCTGGTTGAGCATGTTCAACCAGAACGAGCTGCAGCGCCTGGTCGGCGGCGACAGCTCCGAAATCGACGTGGCGGACTTGCGGAGGCACACGGCCTATAGTGGGGTGTATGCTATCGGCGACGACGGCGAGGAGCACCCGACCGTCAAGCTGTTCTGGGAGGTGATGCAGGAGCTGGAGGATCACGAGAGGCGGGACGTGCTGAAGTACGTCACAAGCACGCCGCGCGCGCCGCTGCTGGGGTTCAGCCAGCTCAGCCCGCCGTTTAGCATCAGGGATGGCGGGAGGGACCAGGAACGGTTGCCGAGCGCGAGTACGTGTGTGAATCTGCTGAAGCTGCCGCAGTATCACACCGCGGAGACGCTGAAGAGCAAGTTGCTGTACGCTGTTACGAGTGGGGCTGGGTTTGATCTTAGCTGAGTGTGGGATACATATGGGGCGCATACGGTGGCGTTCATCGGCGACGGGCATGGCGGTGTAGTTAAGTTAGTGTTGGTAAATCAAGGAAGTGTATCGGAAACCCGGAGGTGCCTTGTAAGCGATATTGTTTTACTCTTCAACGTCTGTCCACTAGTCCCGGTCCACCTCTCTATTCCCCCCTTTTTTCCCTTCCCCCCTTTTCCCCTCCCCCCCCTCAACCCTCAACCCTCAACCCTCAACCCAACAACCCCCCCTCACCCCTCCCCTCCCCCTTCTCCCTCCCCTCCAACCTCTCCACCTCCCTCACCAGCCTCGCCGGATACAGCACCAAAAACCCCACCATCACCACCAGCATCGCCACCCCATCAAACACGTACACAAACACCTCATGCCCCATCACCACCCCCCTACTCCCCTCCAAAAACTCCGCCCCGCGCACCGCGCTCCGCACGATCAACATCCCCGCCGCCACCTCCATCACCACAAAATACCCCAGCCAATTCACGCCCGGGTCCGCCACCATCGCCCGCGACCGGCTCGGATCCCGCCGCAGCCGGAAGTGCGTCCGCCCGCAGCTGACGCCCATGAACACGCCCAGCGCGCCCAGCTGCACGGCCAGGCCGGCCAGCACGACGGCCTTGCCGAGCTGTTGGCCCTCGGGCGTGCCGCTCGCGGGGAGCACGGTGCCGATCAGCTGGGTGAAGATGGCGATTATGTCGGCGAGGATGTAGGCTTTTGTTGGGGTCGGGGTGCAGCAGGTCCGGCAGCAATTTCGTTTGGGGTGGGGGTTGGTGGGGGTGGTGCCGTGGAGGAGGGCGCGGGTGATTTGGTGCTGGGTGAGGTAGAGGGTTGCGGCGAGGAGGGGCGGGGAGACGAGGAGGAGCATGTTCTGCAGGATCCAGGGGCGGAGGGTGGTGGGCTGGGTGTGGGCTGCTGCGCGCTCGAGGTAGCCGAAGATTTGGCCTGGTTTTTTGGTTAGGAAGGGGAGTGGGTGAAGGGGGCAATGGGGATAGGGGGCTTACAGATGCCGCCGAGGAGGAAGGGGATGAAGGTCCAGGCGCGGAGCCAGATTAGGTAGATGAGGTGGCCGAGCGTGGCGAGGGCGAAGAGGGCGAGGAAGAGGTAGGCGGCTACGTTGCTTGGACGGTATTCCCAGAAGACGACTACCATGGTCCCGTTGACCACGGGGCCGAAAGGGGGACCGTCATTCAGGGCCATGATGGTTGATAGCCCTCTCAGTCGCTCAGTTGGGGTTGAGGGTTGGGGTGTGGGAATTGGGAGAGAGCAATAAGTCTAACAAGAAGTCTAAGAAAGGGAAGTATTCTGAGTAATTCAACATGGCAGATAGTTCAATTCCGAAAGGGGGCTCAGGGGTAGAAATAAATACACAGACCAGATGCAAACTTCATCGGGCGTCTAAGTCATGTATACACTAAACTAAGCCTCACTCTCCGATAACCGAGTCCGAAAAATGACATTTTTCGCATAGCTTACGATTCGATCAAAGCTTGAACAAGGTTGGCATGTCTAAACACCTCGAGATCAACACTGGGTCCCTTCGTCGCTAGTTGAGGCCGCGTCATGCACTGCGGGGCGGCCCGCTACTTAGAGTCTTGCCCGAACCAGGGGTCATTGAATAGTTTTCGCATCGAATGCGAAAAAGGGCAGCAGTCTAGTTTCTCCCAGGTTTACATCTCAGACACGAACATGGCAACAGGATCGTCACCATCGAGCAAGAAGTCTATTCGACCCCACCGGAAATCACGCGGCGGCTGCGGTCTCTGCAAACGGCGAAAAGTAAAGGTTGGTTAGGATAACTACTCACTAGCGTGGGTGTCTGCCCCGGCCTTGGTTGGACCCCATGTCACTGCTTCGCGTCCTTGCTGATATCCCCCTTTCACCCCTAGTGCAACGAGGAGAAGCCATGCAGCAACTGCGTAAGGTTCGACCTCCCCTGCGATCTTGCTCCAGACGGAACGCGCGTCGAGTGCAACAGAGCCCCAGTATCTCGGCCCCATCGAGGCCGGCCTCGGAAGACCTGGACGGGTGAGTGTGTCCCCCAACCGGCCATGACTCTAGACGGTCGCCAACCCTCTTCCCGAGCAAAACAGACCCCTCAAGAACACCATCACAGTCCCCCAGCTCCACGGCAACACCCAGCCCCTCGCCCCTCGACGCCGACCCGGCGCTGAACCTTGACAATGCTGAGCTCCTCCTCCACTTCGTCACCACGACAGCAGAAACCTTCGCCGGCGGTGAAAGCCCGGAAATCCATCGATTCTGGGCACGCAATGCGCCGCAGGTGGGCTTGAGCCACCCGTTCGTCCTCCATCTCATCCTCGCCTCGGCCGCGTTTCATCTAGCCTATTTGACAGCAAAGGGGAAGAAAGAAACGGAGGGCAGTGGCGCCAACGGCCGTCACCAAAGTCCCAACTCTTACCTCTCTCTCGCCCAGCAGCACCTCACGGCCGGTGTTTCGGGCTTCTCAACCCAGCTCTCTCAGCCAGGGCCCGACAACTGCGGCGCGCTGTACCTCGGGGCAGTTTTGACGAGCTATTGCACTTTTGCGGCCGGGCCAACAAGCCAGCGTGACCTGCTCGTCTGCACCGCGAGTAGCGTCATGGTGCAAGACGCGTCTGCTGCCCCTCCCGGTTCGTGGATGCCCTTCGTCTCTGGCGTACGCCTCATGCACCAGTCGTTCAGCCCCGACGTGCTGTTTGCGGGCCTGTTGGAGGCTTTTAGGCCCGGCTTGCCGTCGAAACCGCTTGAACAACCCGTCTGCGTGAGGGACGGGTTTTCGAGGCTTGACTGGGAGGGCGCATTGGACGGGCTCAGGGGCTTCATCGCACACGGAGATCCCCCCGCCACGAAATCACTTTGCCTCACAGCGCTCGACGGCCTCATTGCGATCTACACCGCCATATATGGACGCCATGAGGGCCCGGGCGGTGGCGCCACGCATCATGGCCCGTCTGAGAACCAGTTCGTCTTTGGCTGGCTGTACCGGGTCCAGCCCGAATTCGTGGCGTGTATAAGGGAGTGCGAACCGCATGCTCTGCTGGTCCTGGCGCACTACGCCGTGCTTCTCAACACCGACACGGTTCCGAGGGGATGGTACATCGAGGGCTGGAGGGAGCACATGGTGGCGAGAGTGGGCGAGTTAATAACTGATGAGGGGTGCGGCAAATGGATGGGTTGGCCTTTGGAACAGGCTGCCAGTGAGCCAGTGTGTCTGCCGAATGGGGGACAGCGGAAGGGGAAGGTGGAAGGAGGGTGAGTTGGTGCCGGTTGCCCAAAATATAGTGGCTCCAACCAACCAAACCCCCTGATAGCACTCTGGGGTAACAAGCCCTTGCATGCTTGGCATCAATAAGCTCCTTCGGCGCCTCTCCGCGCACGGCACGCTTGACCCGAAGTGGCTTTGGCTTGGCAAAGTGGGAGAACCAACGTCTTCATTCCTCGAGCTGGCCTTTTCAAAACTCGACATGACGAAGCAGTTGGAGTTTCAAGACGCGGGTTGAGGGTTGCCTTGGCCGCCGGTGGTTTTACTCATACGCCTTCATTTTTTCGTGGATACCTTATAGGAGTTACTGCTGGGACAGTAAGAGCATGCTGGAGTCGAGAGTCTGAGACAAACTCACTCACTAGGTCCTTACCTCCCGTCCTTAGGACCCTTCACGACACACACCAAAGAAAGACTCACAGAAACGGCACCATGTTGGCACCAATACAGCTCAGAGGCATGCCTCGTATGAGCCGTATCCTCGCCGTGGCTCTGTTTTGTACCTGTATCCTTTATTTACTCTCCAAGTTCGACGTTGGCTTCGGAGGGCCATCGCTGCCCTCCTTCGGATCCAAACCCAAAGATGACATCCTCCGCTTCGTCGACCCCCTTATCGGGACAGCCAACGGCGGTAAGTCACCCCTCATCCCATTCCCACCACCAACAACAAAACAAAAGTCCCCCCAACTCCCCCAAACCCCCTAACACCAAACCCAGGCCACGTCTTCCCCGGCGCCACGCTCCCCTACGGCATGGCCAAGCCCGTGGCCGACACGCAGTCCCGGGCCGAGAACGCGGCCGGCTACGTCTCCGACACCAACCCCATCCTCGGCTTCTCGCACATGCACGACTCCGGCACGGGCGGCCAGCCGTCGCTGGGCAACTTCCCCCTGTTCGTGCACCCGGGCTGCCCGGACGACGACCCCGCCCGCTGCGCCTACTCGGTCATGGACCGGCCGACGGATCGCGTGCCCGGTTCGGTGTTCGCGGCGCCGGGGTATTTTACGGTTAATTTGACCAATACGGTGCGCGCCGAGATGACGGCGACGCAGAGGGCGGTGCTGTATCGGTTTGGGTTTCGGGGCGGGGAGAGGGTGGATGTGAGGAGGGTGGAGGGGGAGGAGGTGGTGAAGGGCGTGCCGTACGCGCCCGTGGTGCTGGTGGATTTGGTGGATTTGATGAATAGTCGGAGTAACGGGGGGATTCAGGTGTTTCCGGAGTCGGGGAGGGTGGTGGGGCAGGGGACGTATGGGCCGTCGTTTGGGGCGGGGAAGTATGCGGCGTACTTTTGTGCTGATTTTAGGGGGGCTGCTATTCGCAAGACGGGGACGTTTAAGACGAATGAGGCGGTTGAGGAGCCCAAGTTCTTGGGTAGCGTTGGCGCGGGTTACCATATGCCTACCGGCTCTGCGGGTGCTTGGCTGCAGTTTGAGCCGCCCGCGAATAACTCGCTGCTGGCGAGGGTTGGGGTGTCGTTTATGTCGGTGGACCAGGCGTGTGAGAATGCCGAGAGGGAGATCCCGGATTGGCATTTCGAGAGGGTGGAGAGCGATGCGCGGAAGGAGTGGCGGGAGAAACTGGGCGCGATCGAGGTTGATGCTACCGGGGTGAGCGATGAGCTGCAGACGACCTTCTGGTCGGGGTTGTACAGGACTCTGCTGTCACCGCAGAACTACACGGGGGAGAACCCGCTGTGGAACTCGACAGAGCCGTACTATGACTCGTAAGTTGGCATGCCAAAAGAACCCGCGGGGGGGGGGGGGGGGGGGGCAGTTCAGTTGCTGACTTGGGAGCAGCTTCTACTGCATCTGGGACTCATTCCGCGCTCAGCATCCGCTGTTGACCATTATCGACCCGGAGACGCAGACCGATATGGTGCGCGCCTTGATCGACATCTACAGACATGAAGGGAAACTGCCGGACTGCCGGATGAGTTTCTGCAAGGGCTTCTCGCAAGGAGGCTCCAACGCAGACGTCGTGATAGCCGATGCCTACGTCAAAGACCTGAGAGAGGGTATCGACTGGGACGCCGCCTACGAGGCAGTCATCTCAGATGCCGAAGGTATGACCATCCGCTCCCTATCCGAACCAACCTTGCCTGTGAACACCCCCCTGACCCACACCCTTTCCTCAGTCGAACCATCCAACTGGGGTCTTGGAGGCCGCGGCAACCTGGTCAGCTGGCACGAATTCGGGTACATCCCCAAAGACGACAAAGACGTCAACGGCACGGGCCCGATGAGCCGCAGCATCAGCCGAGGCGTCGAGTACGCCTACGAGGACTTCTGCATCGCCTTACTGGCTGAGGGGCTCGGACACGAGGCCGATGTGGCCAAGTACCGGCGGCGCGGCGGCAACTGGCGCAACTACTGGAACCCCACCCAGCGCGACGTCTTCAAGGACGCGGACGGCAAGCCGACGGAAACCGACTTCACGGGGTTCATGCAAGCGCGGCTGCTGAACGGCTCCTTCCGCTACACCAACACGCGGGCGTGCTCACCCGTGCAGGACATGCACTCGTGCTACTACGACACGGGACTGGACACATACGAAGGCAGCCCGTGGCTGTACAGCTTCTACGCGCCGCAGGACATGGCCACTCTCATCGGACTGATGGGCGGGCGCGACGCCTTCGTCGAGAGACTCACCTACTTCCTCACGAGCGGCATCTCGTACCTCGGCAACGAGCAGGGGTTCCTGCCCGTCTTCCAGTTCCACTACGCCGGCCGGCCCGGCCTGAGCGCCCACTTCGTGCGCGAGAACATCCCGGCCCTCTTCAACGCCACCGTCAACGGCATCCCGGGCAACGACGACTGCGCCATGGGCGCCTTCAGCGCCTTCGCCATGATGGGCTTCTTCCCCGTCGCCGGCCAGGACGTCTATCTGCTGTCGACGCCCTTCTTCCCCGAGGTGAGGCTCAAGGCCAAGCAGAAGGGGAAGTGGGCTGTGATTAGGGTGCGGGATTTTGATCCGGAGGGGAAGAAGAAGTATATCCAGCGGGCGACGCTGAACGGGAAGGAGTATACGAAAAATTGGATTACGCACGATTTCTTCGTGAAGGGGGGCGTGTTGGAATTTTGGGTGGGTGTGGAGGAGGGGAATTGGGGGACGAAAGACGACGATCTGCCGCCGAGTTATCCCATCCAGTGGGATGAGGGGCCTGGATTGGAGGAGGGATATCAGGGGTAACATGTCAGGGTATTATGGTACATATACGGACAATTCATTGCTTGGAAATGGAGAGAACGTGGCCGGGGTCTGGTTCGCACTGATCTGACTGACCCTAATGAGTAAACAGTTTCTTTTGACTGGGTATCATATCCTTTTTCGCCCAAAGACAATCCTTCGCAGATTACATGATAGGTAACAACCGCAAGCTAATCCTTCGCCCATGGTGCCTTGGTCACGGCAAACTGGTTGCTCGCTGTCCCCAGTTTGCCCCGTGGAAAGGCCGTCGGCGGAGGCGGCCCAGTATCCGGGGCACCCCCTCTCGGCATCGTCGGCGCCGAACTTCCTCCGCCGGTCCACGGCGCCCTCGAGTAGGGAATCCCAGGTCCTGGTGGGACACCCGCGGCAGCACCGGGCATCTTGGTGGCTTGCGCCCAGGGGGCAGCAGTCCCCGGTCCGCTCCCGGCGGGGGCGGGTTTGACATTACTCGGCTGGTTTGCCAAGTGTGCCGTCTGTGCCGGCACAGCAGCCTCTGGATCGGCATCCCACGAGAATAGCGACCCGAACTGGAAGTGCTGAACAACCGGGAACTTGGAGAGCACTTCGGCGTTGAACATCTTAATCATGCCCTTGTTGATCTTGCCCCAGCCGTCCTTGATGCCCGAGATATCGAACAGGATCGGGCTGTGTTCCCAGAAAGGGCCCGTCTTGACGTCGTTGATAAATCCAATGGCCGAGAAGTACATGTTCGACTCGCGGTGGAGGTCGACCGTGGAGGGTTTGGCGACGTCTGAGGGCCGCGGTGCGCCAGGGACGGAGCCTTCCAGCGGCATGGGCTCGGCCTCGGTAATAGGGCGTGTAAGCTGCGCCGACCCGAAGATGTATGGCAGAAAAGAGTGGTCGTCGAGGCCCCATACACCATGCGACCCAGCAGGCTCGAGGTTATACGTCAGGATCAACCGCCTCACGACCTGGAGGTACCTGCAACAAATCCATCAGCACAACCCACCCACCACCACTCAACACACACGAAACACATCACAAAACTCACCTCTCAAAAACCCCCAACACCAAATGCCTCTCCACCTCCCCATCCCCCACCCCCTGCCCCTCCACCCCCCCTTCAAAAAAAAGCCCCAACTTCCACAACGCCCCCAAAAACGCCAAAAAACTCAACTCATGCCCCGTCCCATAATCCAACCTCTGCTCACTACCAAACCCCCCCACAAAATACGCCCTCACCTCCTCCAACGCACCACCACCACCCGGCCCCCACTCCTCCCACACCCCACCGGGTAGCATCAGCAAGCACCCGCCCAGCAGCAAGTCCACCCGCTCCCGCAGCAGCGCGTGCCACCGCCGAAAACTGATGTTGCCGAAGCGCCGCGGGCCTTTTTCCGGCGGCGCGTCGTCGATCATGCGCTCGAGCTCTTGCAGGACGGCGCGCAGGCGGGTGACGAGGGTGGGTTCGCCGGCGGGGCGGGCGTCGAGGGGGAAGGTGCGGATTTGGGAGCTGGTACTGGTGGGTGTGGTGGTGGTGGAGGTGGAGGAGGGGGAGGGCTTGCGTGGGCACATGGCGTGGTTGAGTTGCAGGATGAAGATGCCGAGGTCGCGGTAGGCGAGCGAGGAGAGGAAGTGTGGGAGGTCGGCGCCGGTGGTGATTTTCTTTTTGGGGGGTTCGAAGGGGTGGGTTTTGGAGGGGGTGAGGATGGTTAGGTGGGGGAAGGGGGATGGTGTTGGAGTGGAGGTCGAGGAGGAGGGCGGTGGTGGTGGAGGTGGTTCCATTTTCGAGGGTGTTGGTGATGGCGTGATGTTGGAAGATGAGGTCTCGGTTGAGGTTGGGTGGTTTATTTGTTGCGAGAAGGATGGGTTGGAGAAGGGAATGGCAACGGCCCAACATGGAACCTTGGGGCTCGAGTAGTAGTGGGGCACGGTTGTGTAACCCAGCTGTCGTCATGGCGGGGTTGGTTGTAAGCCTTATGCCACTGAAAAGGTGCTGAAATAGTGGGGGGGCTCTAGGGATAGAGGCTTCCATAGGTACTCGAGGTATGTAAGGTACCTGAGGTATCATGGACGGAAGTCGTTTCATTTCCCCTTTAGCCTCCTCATAACCCGTCACTTTCTCCTCGATTAACGACAAAAATCACGATCCCGGGGATATGTCTGCGGTTGTGATGACGTCTAAAGTTTAATTGCCGGGATAAATACGGGCAAGTTACCTAACTGGGGAGCACGAGGCCAAGAAGAACAAATAGCTGGTAAAAGAGCAACGCTTCAAACCAGAGGTTGGATAGATGGTATATAGCACCGTCTCACCACAACTCACGCCTTACTCCCCTCCCACTCCCCATCCCCATCCCCACCAGCCTCCTCCTCCCTCCGCCCCTGCCAAAACCCCCTCCCATAACTAACCAACACCTCCTCCCCCCTCGCCACCCCAACCACCCTCGCCCTCCCCGTCGCCCTCTTCCCGGCCGGGAGCACAAACACGGCCATGCACCTCTCCCCCCTCCGCCCATCCCAAACAACCCTAAACTCGGCATTCGCCTTCCTCCCCGCACGACCCGGCACGCCGCGGTAGTCATTCACGAACCGCGCCTCGTTGCCCGCCCGCGCCGCGTCCACCGCCAGGTCCGCGTCGCGGTCCAGCCACAGGTCGTAGTCCGACCCGGCGTAGTCGTAGCCGTCATGGTCGGAGCTGCTGCCGCTGGCGTTGGGAGGGCGTCCAAAGGGTGCCGTGCCGACGTGCACCTCGCCCAGGTACGGCAGGATCAGCGTGCCGGGGGCGAGCTCGCGCGTGGCGAAGAGGCCGGCTTGGCCGTGAGCGGGGTCTAGGGAATGGTTCGGTTGTCAATTTTGGGTTGTCGGGTTTAAATAAAAGAAGTGGGAAACGTGTGTGTGCTTACGAGTAGGGTCGGTGATCGGGGTGATGCGGACCGACGGACACGGGCCCGGCTTGAGATCGCGGGGGATCTCAGGGAGCGGGTCTGATGGGTCCGCCGGCCGGGTGCCGAGAGCACGGAGATGGGCTGGGGTTAGGTGCGGTGAGTAAGAGGGCGTTGCGAGATAGGGAATATGGGGTGGCCAGTTGATCGGGAGGGGTGTTGCGGTTGGTTGGGATGGCGGTTTGCCGCCCATTTTACCTGTCTCCGCGGGGGAGGCAGAGAAATTAAAATAGGATATAAGTGAGAGTGGTGCTGTGAATTTATGTGGCTTGGGGAAGAAACGACAACCAAGCGGGGATCCATAACCCAATTTTGCCCATTGGAAAGTGGCTCCTCCGCGGCTAAGCCAACTGGTGAAAAGGTAGGGCGAGCAGGACAACCTAGGAGTAGATTTGACGATACCCATACCTCTTAGCTTGTTGAAACAAAATCAGACGTGCGTCTCAGCTCTCCTAAAATCTCCCATTCCACCGAGCTCAGTCCGTCCTCGGACTATACCGCCCTGTATAGATTGTCGTGACCCTCAAATACCATTTATTCGACAATAAACCCACCGCCTCCCCCGTCATCGTCACCATCATCGTCTTCATCCGGGACAAAGAATCCACCTCCTCCCATTTCCTCCTCACTCACATCCTCCATACCCACATCTTCATCCACTTCCACTTCCCTCCCCTTCCCCTTATCCTCCGCTCCCCCCGCCTCCTCTGCCTCCTCGTCCACTCCAGCCCAAATCCTCTCCCTGATCCTCAGCCCCTTCAAGAACCGGCTCCACATCCTCAACGCCCTCCTCGACCGCCTCTCTTCCTCCTCCTCGGCCTCCATATCTTCCAGCCCCCCAATCACCGCCCACACCCCCTCCCCAGCCTCCTCGGGTACCACAACGCCATTCAGCACCGCCGTGCCATGTCGCCCGCGAAACTCAAACCCCGTCAACGCAGGCGCATAATCCACCCCCAATATAAACGCCGCATGCGCAGCCCTCTGATGCCTGACATGCACGCCGCCGCGGGGCACCATACTCGGCACGTACAGGTCCAGGTTGCCAAACTTATTCTTGGGCACCCTGCCGCCAACAACAGGCGGCGCCTCATACGCGTCGGTCTGCTCCATCATATACAGCGGCGTGTACCCCCTCGCCGCATCACCAAACAACCCCACCCGATCCGGATCCTCATCATCATCTTCCCCTTCACTCCCCTCACTACCCCCCCTCACCCCCCTCCCCCTCCTCCTCCTCGGCCGCACCCAACTCTTAACCGCCTCCTCCCCATCCCTTACCACCCTCCCCAACCTATACCACCGCTCCCGACTCCTCACCACCCTCACATCCGCGCGGCGATAGATGCGCTCGAGCGGTGCCTTCGCGCCCGCGCTCACCGTGCCGCTGGCCTGGGCGCCGGGGACGAGGGCCTCGCCGCGGCGCAGGTGGCGCGCCAGCGCGTAGACCGGGTGGTCCTTGAAGTCGGCGACGTTGCGCGGCATGGGCTCGCGCGCCTCCGCCGCGGACAGCTCGTGGCGCTCGATCTGGTCCAGGTCGGTCGGGTGCGGGCGCGTGTAGCGTTTTAGTGCGAGGCGGAGCCATCGCTGGCCGGGTAGGGGGTGGGGGTTGGGGTTGGAGGGGTCCGGTGGTGGTGGTGGTGGTGGGTTGGTGGGGGTGGGCAGGCCGTCGATGCGCTGTCGGCGGGTTTTGGAGGTGTAGGCTTTTGCGTAGCGGCGCGTGACGTCGCGGGCGCTGGCGTCGGCTTCGAAGGCGATGGCGTAGGTGAGCGTGTTGAGGGTGTCCGAGGCCGGCGGTTCGAGGGCACGCGGTTTCCATTGCGTGCCGGTTACGAGGGGGTCCACGGGGTGCCAGCTCTGATGGGCCACATCCAGGACTTCGACCCAGTATACCGGGAACGGGGACTCGCCACGAATGACTCTGGGGAGTTGCGAAGTGGACGGGATGGGGGGTTGAGACGGTGGAGTTATAGACGGGGGTTGGTAGGCGGCTGCATGTGGATGCCCGAGCCGTCGACGCGGAGAGGGGGTCGTTGCGCCAGCCTGGAAATCCGGGTACTTGGTCTCGTGCTTCGCCACAGCAGCTGCGTACATATCAAATTTGGATGGCTGTTTCTGTGGTGTCTGTGCCTGTGATCTCCGTTGCTTCGGCATCGGAGGGGCTCCAGGGACGAAAGATAAAGGTTGGAGGGAGCAGACGAGTCTGGCTTCCACTCCAACAGATCGCAGAAGGGAACAAAACAGCTGGGTACCGACATCGCGGGAGCCTCTAAGCGTCCTGGCCGCTTCGAGGAAATCACTCTTCTCTAGCGTGGACTCCATATCATCCGGAAGTTGATACTGTTGTGTATTAGTCCAGCCCTGAGTGGGGGTCCATGGAACCTACATACGTCTTTTAACTGTTCTTCATCCTCGGCCCACAACGCCCTCCGTAGCCCTCTTTCTATGATGGTAAATCTAAGCTTGAACAGCTCCTTCGCCTCCTGGAGACCCTTCCTCAGCGACTCTGAACGGCCAAACTGATTCAGGCTGGCTCTGGGTATCAGGGCAGACACCGTCTTCTGAGGGATCAGTGGCCGAAGCGCATCTTGGACACCGCGATCGTTGCACCACCGGTTCCTGAGCTCCACGTGCGCTAGGAGGCAGACGAGATGCGCCTTGTGAATATCGACACGGCGCTCCTTCTCTTCTCTGCTGATGGCCTTGCGACGGTCTGCCCGACGCGGGGCCAGGGCCGCCATGTGGGCGGAAAGGTCCAGACTTAGTTCCTGAGACCCTTTGCCTGCCGCCGCCACCGATGACCCGGCCGCCTCGATCGCTACATCTTCAAAGTCGATGTCGTCATCGTCCTCTTCGTCCGAATCCCTTGTCATGGTCTGTACCGTGGGCGTTGGTAAAGCGACATCCCCAAACAGGTCATCATCCGAAGCATCGCCGACAACAACTTTGCTCAATTCGTTGCTGATGTCTTTGGCGGCCTTATTTTTGGGCGTTTCAGTTCTCGTTGGTCGCCCCTCTCCCGGACGCCTGCGCTTCAAGGGTCGTTCCGAAATACCAGAGCCTTGGGAATTAATTTCAGCTCTCGCCTCGGTCACCATCTGGCGGTAAATGTCTGGGACGGCGGCATCTCGACCCGCAGCTGTCCGTCGAGCGGTACTTTGTCCCGCTGCCCTTGTGCTTGAGCGCGTCGTCCTCGGGCTGCTCTCGGTCGGTGCATTTCGCTTCCGTCTCACCATTTCGCGGGATTAAATGGCCAGCTGAGTCGTCAGGGCCGCGTCAAGAATCGCGTGTTATAACACACTGCGCAAAAGGATATATGCTCTTGCAGGCTGAACGCCTTTGATGCCAAACATTCCTGCCCTGAATCTCACGCGGCCACCGCGCGAAGTCACGTGCGCGAGCCAGTAACCTTGATGACGCACAGCACCTCGGGCGGTCGGCTAACCGGTTTAGGCTGCCACTGACAGCCATGTTCTCTCATTTATCTCCTGTGTGATCTGTGCTCCAGAGTAAGAGTCTCGCCATCCAAATCTTCATCTAGGTATATGTAAAAAATAATCTCGCTATTCCGTCCCCGTCTCTCTCGCACCACTCCAACAACACCTTCTAGCACACTCCTAACCCCAGCCGCCTCCCTCACTCCCTCCATGATCGCAACCCCTCCCCTCCCTTAAACCCTCCACCTCCCCCTCCAGCTCCCCGATCCCCACTATCCCCTCCCCCTCCCCCTCCAACCATATCCGTCCCCTCCCGAAACGGATCCCCCTCTCCCGCCGTCGGCTCCGGGTCCTGCAGGCGCGCCGTGCAGTCGTAGCAGAGCCCGTCGACATCGAGGAAGCGCTCGGAACCGTCGGGGCCGAAGCAGCCGGACCCTAGCGAGTGGCAGCGCTCGACCTTGTGGAAGCCGACGTGCCCGCAGGCGAAGCGGTTCTTCCATTCGTAGCACATGGTTTTCTCACTTTTTTTGGGGGGGGGGGTTCGCTTCGTGTTTTTGGTTTTTGTTCGTGGGGTGGCTTTTTTTTTTTTTGACCGAGGGGTGCTTAACCCGTGTTGTTGCGGCGTGGGCGTTTTTGTTGATGCGGTTGAGGCGGACGCCTGAGTAGGTTGAGTTGACCTGAGCTCAGAGTGAGCTGTTATCTCGAAACCCCGCGAAGCTTCTTTGGTGGGGATGGTCTGATGCGGATGCTGAGGAACTCTTGTTCGCAGTACCGCAATGGTTGGCTAGTGCTGAATCCACCGTTAGAACGAACGGCACCGAACAAGAATGGTGAGAGCTCCCGACCGGGTCAAGCAATGGCGCGGCGGGTAGTAGTATTAAGTATAACAAAAAGGAACTTTGCCCGGGGCAAACTCTCCGCAAAAGCCACAAGACTGCCTCGGCGTCCACGTATCGCCGGCTTAAAGCCATCTCCGTCCTGGCGGTTCCTCCAAAGCTTATCGGAGGAACAGGAGACAGCTTGTATGACCGTTGCTGAGCTAAAGAGTATTGGGGGCGAACTTTTGGTATGGGCCCTTCTAGGCTTGCTTAGCTCTGGCCTACTATCTCCCACTGGACATGGGGTCCCTCGACGGGCTGAATGGGGGGGACTTTGAGGCTCTCAAGGACCAGGCAGACTAGCCTAGCTGCGTAGCTGCTTGGCTGAACGGTTTCCACAAGAAAACAGGAATCAAAAGGTAGATATCGCCATTTCCCCGGCTGGTTCACGGCAAGCGCCCGGTGCCACCTCAGCCAAGTGGCGAATAAACAGGGTAGGTATCAACAGAAAGAATAGTTGCCCCCATAATCAAAATGAGTAGAATTGTTGCTTTTCCAATACCTTACAGTTACATGCAATCCGCTTCATGCGAGCCAGGGGGGTATATCTACCGTATTCGTACAGATTATACAATCCAGATTTTTCACCGAAAGAGAGTGCCACCCGTTAATGCATTTACATGCTCTTGTTTTCGGCGGCTTTCTTCAAAAGCTTTTGGCTCACCGCGCCGGTCTGCACCCGAGAAGGGTTTTTCAGCGCCTTCTGCACTAGCGCTTGCGTGGCCTTGGGGACCCGCAGCCGGTGACCAGCGACCAAAGCCATCGTCAACAACCCGAGCGCGCCGGCCTGGTGGGCGGCGGCAAGCGAGATGGGAACCATGTACATGAGAGTGGTAATGCCGAGCGAAACTTGTAGCAAGGCCAGGTGCAGCAGACCCATGACGCCCTTGCGCACATCCTTTGGCATAGCGGCCTTGACGCGACCAGTCCGGCTGTAGACGAAGAGGGCAACCACGGCGGTGAAGGTGGTCGTGGCGAGGATTCGATGGTCGAGCTGGACCAGCGAGGGATTCTCGAGCATGTTACGCCACCACAAGTCAGACCCATCCTCCTTGCGGCTGTAGAACTTGTCCAACAGCTCAGCTTTAGGCGGTGTAAGACCGTTGCCCATCATTGGGAATTCGTTGTAGATGAGGCCAGCGTCGAGACCCGCAACGAGCGCACCTGAGAGAACAGTCGTGAAAATGAGTACCGTCAGAGCAGCGACAGATCCGCGGAGGGCCCTCAAAGCGGGAGACTTCAGAGCAGCGAACGTCTTGGCAGCGGCTTTGGGATCGCGGAGGAGGCGGTGCGACCGGAGGACGCCGAGCCCGGAGACGAGCATCCAGGAGTAGCAGACAAAGGCGGCAGCCAGATGTGCGGTTAGGCGGTACTGGCTGACCCGGGGATGAGAGCCAGGGGCAAAGAGGTCATCCTTCAGCCCAGACTTGACCATCCACCATCCAATGAATCCCTGGAAACCGATAAGAGCCGAAATGCCGGCCAGGTTGACGGCCATACGCGGAGTCACCCGGCGGCGTGCAATGAAGTAGATGGTCGGCAGAACAAACGTGAGACCGATGACGCGACCCCATAGACGGTGGGTCCATTCCATGAAGTAGATCTTCTTGAACTCGGCCAGATCCATGTGGGGGTTTATCAGCTTGAATTCCGGGGAAGCGCGGTACTTGTCGAATTCAGATTGCCAGTCGGCGTCGGACATAGGCGGCAGCGAGCCTGTAACGGGCCTCCATTCCGTAATGCTCAAACTACGCCATGTTTAGTTTCCCGAGAAGGCCAGCTACTGTAAGTCAAGGCCACATACCCAGACTCAGTCAACCTTGTCAAACCCCCGAATACCACAATGCCGAAGACGCTCACAGCGCTACCCATCAGCCAGTAGCCCACAACCTTGGCATTCGTCTTGGGGAACGGCGAGGACTTCCCCGAGCGTTGGGAAGAAGCAGATTGCGCGGCCTTGGGAGTATTTCTGCCCAGCGACTTGATTGAGGCCTTGGACTCGGCCGTGGTCGACGAGGCATAGCTTCGGGTAGCTCGCAAAGTCCTCAAAACTCGTGCCGGAGGGACCGGAACCTGCTGCCGCAGACACGGGCCGCATGCCAATGGTACCCGGGACAGGCGGGTGGCGGCCCTGCGTAGACCGAGCTGAAAGAAGGCCATTGTGGTGGCTTGCGCCGGGAATGGCGGTTGTTGTTGGGAGCGTTCTCGTTCCTGAGCTCACATCCGGCAGAGTTCAAATGTTCGACGAGCGGGATCCTCCATGGAAGGCATCTGAAAATCAGCCCACCACTCAGGGAGCTTCCATGAGGGCCTCGGCCACGTGCAGGACCCACTAACTCCCTAATTAGGTAGGTAGTTCTCATCCACCCTCGGAATCTGAAAATGGAACCAAACACCATCGGACAGCGAGAGAGCAACTTTCTTCATCCAAATCATGATGCAGGTCCCATGTTTCAGTTCATTGCTTCTTTTAACATTTTACAAGCCATCTTCAACTCGATTGCAATTTCGACTCGGTGCGGGATTGTATCCGGTGGAATGCTCCGGTTTTCTCCTGTTTTTCTTTTTAGCGCGACTTGTCCCTCACAAAAAGCTTGCCATGGGACGGTTGAGCGCACAGGCATCTTCATCGACAGCGCCCTTGCACCTTAGAACTTGCCCTGCATCATAATGCGCAGCTTAACCTCCCCAACTTCATACCTAGGTAATGCCTAAAAGGTTCGGCCAGCATCTTCACGCCCGCTGGAGGGAGTCAGCCGTTGCCGCCGTGCATGGGTTCATACTCAAGCGAGCACAGGTCTTAAACCCCGGAGACCACGAAACCAACCGAACAGGCTCCGAGCCCGTCGAGCCTGGTTCACATGCCCCTCTAACAGGAGGACGTGCGGTTGGCGACGTCGATCCGGGTTGCGACGAACAATGCGTTTCCCGAGAGGGCTTCCCAAACTGCCTATCCACCGAATTCCAAATTCGGTCTTGGCATTTGCCAGAGGTATTCACCCAGATCAGCAATAGCCAAGTGCACACGGGCTGGAAATCTGCGATTTGGGCTTCGCATGGACGGGGGCAAGCCCCCTCACAACCGCGTCGCGAGGACAGCTTGTACCTGTTCATATCTCTGTATCGCCTGCTTCGGCTACCCTTCGTCCTGACCCCGTGTACAGCCACTGCCAAGGGACCTGGGGAAGAAGCTAAGAACGCGCAACGAGAAACAAAAGCTTGATCAAACGCAGCCCGCCTCCTGAGGTCCAGACCACACACTGCGACAACAGCAGGCCAAGACACCAGGCGCGGCCAGGGATGCAGAGTCCAAGCCTTTGCCGTCAAGGGCTTTGTTTGCGAAGCTTCCACGCATGGAAGGACTGTCAACGACGGAGCTCCCCGTTGCGAGATCCAGACTAGATCCTTGAAGGCTTCCCCATGGTTGGCCAACAACGCGTTTCGAGCGGCCGGCAGCCGGCAGTCCGAACGCTATCTGCTGCACCATCCTGAGAGATGCACGCGCAAACCAGATGCCAAGAGTTACAGGTCTGCAGCGATGAGCTTGCAATTGTCCGAACTTGGATAAACATTCCTCAATGCCGAACCGGCTCACGTTTTATACCCCTGCGGCCCGTTTCCACCCCTTCGTGAGAGCCGAGATGTCTCCCCCGCCTCTCATGGTTTTCAACCCGGCCAGGTCAACGCGCGACCAACCTCCTTCTTTGAGAACCGAATCGACCGCGAGATAGCCGATTGTGGTCTTCAGCGGGAAGATCGCATGCCAAGGCGCCTCCCCACACACGGACGCATCCTCCTGCATGCGACCCCCCCTCCTGAACCCCTGCTTGTCGGCACTTCTTGCCTGAACTTCGCATCCTTCCGACCAGGGCAAGTTCTGCCGGGTCCCGAGTTCGACGACCTCGAGTTGCTTTCAGCGATCATTTTCTGTCAGTGGACTCGGGCGTTCCCCGGAGAGACGCTAGTTGAAACCGTCAAGCGAGGCAGAACGAGCCAGAAACGACTCATGTCCCTCTCTATTTGGTATGGATGGTGCCGTTAATTGCATTGACAATGGCATCGGATGCAGGGTTGCTTTGAGACCAGGCGGTAGCAAGCGGCACTCAATGTTCTCGCACACGCACGCACGTCGTCCATCGAAAAATTCCCCGAGTGGACGGCCGGGGGCGGCTTCCGAAGTGCACCAGCGTGGTGGGTCCCGTTTCATATCACATACCGATGGCGCCAAATTCGCTATTGACAAGGGCCCTTATTCTCTTCCCGCCACCACTTGCCAGACTCTTCTAGCCCGTTGACAGGAGCGGCTCGAGGAAGGGGTTGATGATCGGTGCTAACTAATACTGTGGGGGGCGGGGGTCTGTTTTGGCTTGCTCCCCGCCAGGACCACGAAAATAAACCATTCAGCCCAGAGAGGAAGTGATGTCAACATCTCGTCTTGACCTGAGGAAACAACCGTACCTTAACGATCCTGGCTCAAACATCACGGATCAGAGAAAGGTCTCAAAGATGAGAGGACATCTAGGATCTTCAGCCCACAGCACCACATGTGTTCGTCTCCACAAGCGTAGACCACAGGGGAACTCGAATGACTCGCCCCTCTCGATGCTAGGCTATCGCGGTTTGTTCTGCTACGAAGTTGCCCCTGCCGCTCACAGAGCACGACTCGCTCGCGGCAGATGTTGCCTGCCCTAGCCGTTGATCGGCGCCAAGGCGATCGCATACTAAAGCAAACCACCATCCGGAACGTCTAAGCATCTGCCTCTTGGCTTTTGCCATCGGTCCTCTGGAGGACTTCTTTTCTTTCCCTTCCCGTTTGTTTTGGTACTCTGTTTCTTTCCCTTCCTTTCCTCCTTTTGCCCCTTTGCATGGTTTGGGCTCTTGGGCGTATTCCGTGACTTTCTTTTCCCTTTACGTTCTCTTCTCTTCTCTTTTTCGAAGCTGCTGGGCGGCTTCGCTGGTCGTTTTTCAAAAATAGAGTCCTTCTCTTTATTCTAGGCGAGACGCCTGGAGCGGCCCCGCCCCCAGCACCGACAATCACTTTGGAATCCCGTGAAGACGTCACACAATGTCCGAAACTGCAGAGATGGATCTCATGGGAGGGAAGCCGGCGTGTGGGAGCGGCGAGGAGCCCGGCGACTACGATCTTGGCCTCCATGTTGCGGCCTTGTGTAAGTCTAGAGACCCCATCGGGCGGTGTGATAGTCACTAATATAGGCTTCAGTCTTGGTTCTAGCTGCCTCTATATTTGGTGCCGGCTTCCCTGTTGTTGCGAAGAAGGTCAAGTGGGTCAAGGTGCCGGCAAAGACATTCTTCCTTTGCAAACACTTTGGTACTGGTGTCCTGATTGCCACAGCATTTGTTCATGTAAGTAGCATACCGGTGAGCAGTGGTAGAGATAAACACTAATATCTCAGTAGCTACTCCCGACAGCGTTTGGTAGCCTTAACGATCCATGCCTCCCCGATCTGTTTACCGAGCAGTACCCGGCCATGCCTGGCGTCATCATGATGGGCTCCATGTTCTGCTTGTTCGTCGTCGAGATGTACCTCAACGGCAAGATGGGCGGCCACTCTCATTCTCACGGCGGGCCCATGGGTTTCGAGACGCAGAGCCGTGGCCGGCCGGCCCCAGAACAAGTCAACCGTGGCGCCCCGCCTCCGCGGCCCCCGAGATACACCAGCGCTGACGAATTCGAAATCGAGGACATTGAATACGAGAAGAGGATGGCGCAGAAGATGTACGATGAGAAGATGCGGGACTACCCGCCACAGAACCCGTACGCCGACGCCGACGACCTCGCCTCCCAGTCCGAAATGCCACCCTGGTTCGTCGTCTTCTACGAGCAATACGTCCGTCAGAGGCTCGAGATGATGAACATGATCAAAGCCACGCGGTCTCAGCAGCAAGACGACGTGTCCGAGAAGCGCCAGACCATGATCACCGAAAAGGAAGTCCCGTTGTCCGATTCTCCCTACATCGACGTTGAAACAGGCCAACCGGTCGACCCGGCCGTGTACCGCAAGATGTCGATGAACATCACCCTGCTCGAGGGCGGCATTCTGTTCCACTCGGTCTTTGTTGGCATGACGATCAGCATCACCATCGACGGCTTCATCGTCCTCTTGGTCGCCATTCTCTTCCACCAAATGTTTGAGGGTCTCGGTCTTGGATCACGTATCGCTGATGTCCCCTACCGCCGAGGGAGTCTCCGGCCGTGGCTGTTGGTCGTCGCGTTCGGAACGACGGCGCCTATCGGACAGGCTATTGGGCTCGTCGTCAGGGACACGTACGACCCCAACAGCGCGTTTGGGCTGATCATCGTGGGCGTATTCAATGCTATGTGAGTGGCTTCGATTCTGGCGATTTGTGTATCTTAGCTAACAGTCACCAGTTCCTCTGGTCTCTTGCTTTATGCGTCTCTTGTCGATCTTCTGGCTGAGGACTTCTTGTCTGAGGAAGCCAGCAGGACGTTGACCAAGAAGGACCGGATTTTGGCGTTTGGCTTTGTGATTCTCGGAGGTAAGTCACTCACTTTTGGCTTGAATCATGCGATAGGAACTGACATCCAACTAGCTATCGGCATGTCCATCGTTGGCGCCTTCGCTTAAACTCGACATGCCGCCAGACTGCGAGATTGTACGATAAAGGCGGTGTACCATACATGCGACGACTGAACTCCGCGACCCATGACGCACCCATTCCCGGTATTCCTTTCCTGTGTCACTCGATCGCGATATGTCAAGGTCGCGGTGTACGAACGAAATAAACGAACATAAACCCGGTGTTGGAGCGAGACACAGAGACGCCTCTCTCAAGCGCAGGAGGAGTCTTCCGTAGGACACAACCGTGGCTTGTAACCAATTCCCTTTTTTTCTGTTGGGGTCTCTTTCGGCTACATTGAAAGAAGGGACAATATGACAAGTTTCCCGATTGGCTCAAGGTATCTGTTGTCCGATACGAGATGGACTTGAATGTCCACGGCGGAAGAAGCACAACTGATCAAGAGTGCATGACGCTCTTGGGATGTCAAGTGGTGGCCATAAAACATCAGAAGTACACGGTATATAAACATACAGTATATACAATGCTACACAGAACAAGAAAGGAAATCTAAAGCCTATTACACGCAGAGTTTGGGGACTGATATTTCCGGCCAGCTAATATCACTTGGAGTCAGCTCAATACACATTCATAGTCACCTCAAAGGACAAAGCTTTCGACCCTAGACAAGGGGGCAACACGATATTCATATCTGAAAAGAGCCCGGCTGCTTAACAAACAGGATGTTTCATACTCGAGCAATTCTCCAATCTTCTCAGTCGGATTGCAAACCCAATCGCATTTACCTGGCGCGGGACGGAGGTGGCTGTGTTGACGAAGCATCGGCAGGGGCTGTCGATCGCGCGCTGTGCCGGAGACGGGAGGCGGGAGACGGGGGTTTCGCTGCTGAACACGGGAAAGATGCACATACATCAAGGGATGGGCACGGAGGCGATGAACATGGGATGAATGAATGTCAACACCGGGTAGGGGCTGCCACACTTGGGCATCCGAGTGAGACGCAATGGACCAGCAAATAGAGAATAACTGGAACTGCAAGCTGTCGAGCTTATGCAGGGGTATGTATGTACTAGTATTGTGTATGTGTATATGAACATCGGGTATCAGCGGGAGGAGGTTTCAGGAGCGGTGCTGCATCCGATCACCCGCTTCGAAGTGCCGTGTAAGTCGACAACGCGGACAATCAGACGAGATCTGAACACCATCCCGCCTCGTACCCCGGCAAGCACTTAACTGCCCCAGCACCATCACAACCCCCTTCAACCAACGACTTTCAGCTCCCCCTCGTATATGTTATATCACCAACCCCAACCCCACAGCCGCACCTCCAACCCGCATATCGACCCCCATTTTTTCCACCCATGTCCATACACACAAGATAAGGTAAGGGAGCGAAGCCGCGACGGCACAGCGAACCCAACGGCGCAGCAACCCCCTCTTCCGTGTCATCCATCACCAACCCCACCACATACATACATACATAACCGCCCCATGCAGCACAGCTCAGCTCAGCTTCGCTCAGGCGGCGCGGCGCAGGCGAACCAAATCCCGATCCCAACCTGTCGGGACGCACCCTCCCGGCCCGCCAGACCAATTACATGCCGCGATCTCCATCTGTGCTCGTGTATCTTACTTTCCGTCTGAACTTGTCACCAACACCGTTGTTACCCACACCGCGGCAGAAGTGGCGGTGGTGCTGTTTGTGGTGGTGGTGACGATGCAGGGTGCGGGCGGCGCGGCGCGGTTGGCAGACGGCCCGATGCGTTGCGTTGCGTAACTAGGTTGCGTTGCGCTGTGGTGTGCCGTCCCCTTACCTAAGTTGTGCAGTGCCGGAGTGTGCGGTGGTGGAGTGTGTAACCTACAAGCTGCAGCGATAAATGGAGGGCGGCTGGTTAGTTGGCGAACTTCCTTTCGGCCCAGCGTCGAGCCGGACGCGGTAAAGTGGTAGTGGTGTTGTCTTTGTCCTCGGCCCGAAATTGTTTGCAGGTGCCCCGCGCGGTGTCGGGGGCTGTTGGGCTTCAGCTGGCCGCCAACGGCTTTGTTTCGTGTTGGTTTGGGTGGAGAGGGTAGGTCTGGTGACGGCCGCGTTCGGCTTGGGGTTGTTGGTAGGGGTTGCCATCAACACTTTGCCGGTTGGTATAGAGGCGGGTGGTGAGCTGGGAATTGGGGGTTTCGTGGTGTTGGTTATTTCGGTCGTTGGCGGACGGGAAGGAAATGGCTGTTTGGAGGCGTTGTGGTTGACTTATATGCCATCTAATTTCCCCCGGATCTTCTCTTAGGTCCGAAAGGGCACACGGAGTCCCCAAGGCAATTATTATCTTATGTTACAACAATGACGTCTTATGCTACACGTATGCCAGGGCCCTTCGCTACCCCAGACCGCAAGTGCTGGCTTTGCGGTCGAGAGAGCGAGATATTGCGGTACCGTCACAGTCGAAACTATCGGTCGGCATTGTTTAGGGAGATTACTCTTCCACGAGATGCTTCTGAGCGGGAACGAACGGCAAGCATCTCAGCCATACTTATCGCTCCTCCACGCAGCGCTGGGAGGAGACCAAAGCCGCCATCATCCACGGAGAAGACTCTCCACGACTCAGCTTACACCAAAACGACGGTCAGAACCTGGACCTTCCAAGTCCACGCTGACTGCTGGGATCTCGTCGCCTGCCGGGTATCAGACCCCACGGCCTGCGCAACAGCGTTCTGCAAATCCCTGATCGCCAACTACCGCGACCATGCCACACCCTCTCGCATCCCCACACCACAAACCCGTCCCTCAAGCGGACCACCCAGGTTAACAACACCCCCTGGAAGAAACCCCCGCCGCGCAAACATGCACCGGCTGGAGAGCTTCGACGGGCTGGCCGCAGAGTTAGGCCTAGCGCGGCTCCCCAGCGTGCACGAACCAGCCTCACTCGAACAACTACACTTGTTTTCCTACACCACCGCCCCGGCAGCGCCCCTCAGCGCGGACACAACCACCAACAACAAAAACAACGACCCATTCACGACCCTCCCGCCCGAAATCCTCCAGCTCCTCGCCTCCCACACCCCCACCACCGACCTGCTCCACCTGCGCCTCGCCTCGCGGGCGGTGGCTCACGTGTCGGGGCTGGACGGCCTGCCACGGAGTTTCTGGCGCAGCCGGTTCGGGCCGGCCTTCGAGATGGGGTTCGCGCAGCCGGCGCGGGCGGGGCGGGACCTGGACTGGCGCGGGATGTATTTCCTTGTGAGGCGGGCGCTGCGGCGGTATTGTGGTGGTGGTGGTGGTGGTGTTGGCTTGCCGAGGGTGGAGAGTCCGTTGCTGGCGAGGCTGGCGAAGAGGAGGTATTGGTGGGAGAGGTTGGGGAGGGTTGTGGTTATGGGTGGGGAGGGAGAGGGTGTGGAGGGTTGTGTTGGGGGGTGTTAGGGGAGTGAGGGGGTTGATGAGATGGATAGGCAGCCGCGGGTAAGGTTGCGGGTGGGGTGGGGGGCGGTATGGAGTGAACCCCTATTGCGGTCTTGTCAGCATCTGTGAGAGAGAATGGACGAATTGCTATGAGTATGTATGTGCATACCATTTTAGGATTGTGACGGACGAGCCCGTTGAATAGTCAATATGGAATAGGGTGAACCACTAGGGAGTTCTTTGTGCGCTTAGCAGCCAAGAATGGCCAGCATCCAGCAGCAGCTAAGCTTCACAAGTGGTGTGATATGGGAATAGCTAAGCCATGCAGTACCTGAGGCGGCTTCCGGAGAGTCTGTCAGCAAAGAACGTAACGAAACTCACCAGTCTTTGAGGCGCAATGGCTAATGTGGAGCGGTGGCATTGTCTTGTATCCCCGGATCAGGAATGTAGTCGAGAACACAACAAAGACAGCCATGCGTAAACACTCCATTCCAGTCCTCGAGCACCCGACTCAAAACCCACCAGAGACAACATCTCGAGCATCCCGCACATCCCTACTCACGAAACAAAGTTTCAACTCGAGGTCACCCCACCGCCAACCATCAAAAGCCATACCCCTGATGAACCACCAACCACCAACCATGACCACCCCCACCCTCGCCAAAGCAACCTACGTCCTGCACAAGCCCCTCGACAACGGGCTCTTCCTCGCGCGCCGAACAACAGACGGCGAGCTCCTCCTCGCCCGACCCCTCCACAACACCACCACCACCACCACCACCACCACCAACAGCGAGCATATACAAACCATGTCCCTACTAGCCAGCGGCGCGGCCGTGCCCGCGGCCAACCTGCTCAACCACGAGAACATTGTCTCGATCCACGACGAGCTGGTCGACGTGCCGCTGCACCTGCGCGGGAACCAAAACGACGGCTCCGTCGACGCGAGCGACCCGCTCGGCGACGGCACCGCGCGCCGCATGTTCCTGTGGGACTACCCCGACGCGGGCACGCTGCGCGACGTGCTGGATGATTTTGCGCCGCTGCCGTTGCAGCATGCTGGCGGTGGTGGTGGTGGTGGTGATGGTGGTGGGGGGCTGCCGAGTTTTGATCCGGTTGAGGTGGGTGGGTTCCTGCCCGAGTCGTTTGTCTGGCATGTTGGGCTGGGGCTGTTGCGGGCGCTGCAGTGGCTGCATGAGGGGGTGAGGGATACGTATTTGGCTGTTCCTGCTGCTGGTCGGTTCAAGGGGTTTAGGAGGCTGAGGGGGAAGACGGATGCTGAGTTGGATTGGATGCCGGTGCTGCATCGCAATCTGAAGGCGGAGAATGTGTTTCTGCAGCATCCTAAGGGGTTTGAGACGTATGGGGCGGTGAAGCTGGGAAGCTTTGAGAAGTGCCACATCTCGGGGAGCGTGGCCAAGCTGAAGGGGGTGCCGGTGGTGGCGATGGAGACGGAGGATGGAGTGCCGTTGGGAACGCTGAGGGAGAGGACAGGCAGGTGGAAAAGGGATGGGTTGGATGTCCCGAGGGTATGTTACCTTTCTAATTCGCAAGGATGAGCAGCAGATGCTGACCTGAATAGTCCCAACGACCCTATACCCGAGGGAGCGAATTGTTTGCAGTCGGGGCGCTCCTTTACCGCATGATGTGCAGCCGGGAGCTGTCACCAGCCGAGGACTGCCCGAACTGCGGCTGCATTCACATCACCAGCAACGATGCGGCCGAGTACACTCCCTGTCCGCATGAATGTGTCGGGGATGTCAACATTGATACCGTCTTCGACCCCTTGTTCAACTACACGGCAGGCCTCAAAAGATTCGTCAGCTTGTTACTACGGCTAAACCGCAACGACGACTGGTCGGCTAGCGATGTCCTGAATACTGCGTGGCCCGGGTATGAGAATTGGGCGGAAAACAGTGAAGATGGGCAGCTGTATCGGGACATTTTCGATGACATTTGGTTGCGCAAGCATAACCAGTCGAGGTACAAGAAGCGGCGTCGAGTGGAGGATGAAGAGGAGGAGGTGGAAGAAGATGCTATGGAGCTGGACGATAATGTTTTGGTTGTATAGTTACGAGATTAGCTAGGTACGTTATGCTCAGAATATCAAGTGCCAGGTTTTGATGTGAGAAAAAACATTATTCAGCTTTTGCGGTTAAGATACCTCCCTGAGCTGTGTCTCCCTTGGGGAGCAGGTCGGGTGGCGCAAACTTGGGTGTAAATGTGGTCCGTGCGGCGCTACTCCACGCTAAATTAGCGCCTGCTGATCGGCTTAAGAATTCCCCACCTAACCCCAACCCCACACTCGGTCACCTCTCATCCCGAACTTGCTGAACTCTTACTCTTCTCCAACCTTTGTCCCTCAGCCCAGCTTCACTGCCCAAGCACACTACCGCCACCATGTCGCGAATACTACCACCGCCTCCCCCGCTGCTTCTCACCAAGCGGGTCACATCCTTCCTACGAGCCAACCTCTCGCCACACATCCACTCGGCCATGCTGACTACTCCGGCCGGCAGTCTGCTTGCCCATGCCAGTAATCTCCCGGCCAGCGCCCTCCGTCGCCAGGCTGCCGTAGCCGCATCACTCTGGGCGCTTCAGGGCCCGTCTCACACAGGCCAATCGTCCGAACAAGCGACCTCGTCGATTGTGCCCGGCAGCACCGTCCGAACCCGGAAGGGGGGCAAGCACTCCCCACCGACCGTCACGGTACAGCTCGATAGCGGCGCCCTATTCGTCATCCGCCGCCTGCGTTGCGGGATGCTCTTCATCTGCATGGGCGGCGCCGAAAGCGCCGCGTCCGGCCGACTCACCCCGACCCCTCCCGCTCCGCACAGCACCTGCCTGAGCCGCAGCCCAGCCCCAATATCGCCGACGACAGAACCGCCGCCACAAAACCAACCGCCCCCCGACGGGACGGCCACCTCCTCCCAAGCCGCCGACCCATCATCCACCACCACACCACGCCCTTCAACCCCCCCACCACCATCTCCCGCCGCGCCCCCGCCGATAATAACCAGCCCGCCTCCCCCATCCACCACAACCACAAACAACACCACCACCACAGGCAACAACAACACCACAACCACAACCACCACAACCAAGACCCCACCAGGCAACGGGACACCAATCCCGGGCTCGCCCTCACAAGCGTCCATCATCTCGACGCAGACGGCACACACGACAGGCGGCGCGTCGACCGCTAGTACGGCAACGGTGTCGGCCGGCGGGGCCAGCGCGTCGGTGATGCGGCGGCACGTGGAGGAGCTCGCGCGCTGGCTGGACGAGAGGCTGGGCGGGCTGTGCGTGCCGGAGGAGGGGATTGGGATGGGGGTGGGTGTGGGAGTGGGTGTTGTGGGGGGTGGGGGCGGGGGCGGGTTGGAGGTGAGGTAGGGTAGGGGAATTGGGAGGATGGGAGGATGGGAGGATGGGAGGATGGTATTTGAGTGATAGGGTTGTGTTGCGGGTTTTACCGTAGGTAGAATGGTTCTGTGAGAGAAACGGGGGAAGTAAGATGGGACGGGAGGGAGAGGAAGAGAGAAAAAGGTTAACTAGCGGAATGAGCGTGGCAAACGTGTTAGGATAGGATAAGGACCTCGGGGGCCATGTCGACACAAACAGCAGGCGAGCAATTTTGTCTGAAAACAGCCGTCTTGGACGAGTAACGCGGATAGATAAATTGGCGTGAGCAATTGAAAGCAGGCAATACGCCATACCGTCATCTCCTGCCTCCGATAGGTAACAACCGTTTCATGAATTATCATGTAAACCATGTCTGACCAAAGCCAACCCATCCCCAAAGGTACGAAGAAAACCAAAACGCCTACTCCAGTGGGTGATGATGATATTACCCCGGGAAAAGATCCCGCACTCCCCCAGCCGTTCCATGTAGACCACCCAGTCCAGTCCAGCCAGCCAGCCGCAAGAAGCCACCAAACCAACGCCATGAGCCCCAGAGTACATGCATGCGTGCATGCGTGTATGTGTGTGTATGTACGCACCCCCTGTGCGCCCCTCTCCTCCCTACCTACTCAATACTCAGCCGCGTAATCCCATCATGCGTCTCCACCATCCCCTGGAACCCAACCCTGACCTTCCCACCCCCCCTACTATTCCCCCCACCACCACCACCGCCGCCGCCGCCACCATGCACACTCCCACTCTCACTCCCCGCCCCACTCCCATTCCTCCCCGCCCAACCACCACCACCACCACCATTACCCCCACCACCAGCACTACTATCCCCCCCGACACTCCCCGGCCGCGAGGACATGGACATGTTCGACCCCGGCCCACCAACACCCATCCCCACACCACCACCGCTACCAGACCCGCCCCACGGCTCCATGTCGCGCTGCAGCGGGGACTGCATGACGGGGGAGTTGTGGACGCTCATGCCGGGGCTGACGGCGCGGCGCTTGATGCTGACGGGGTCGAGGTCGTCGTCGCGGCGGCGCTTGCTGTTGATGCGCCGCGTGATCTCGGCCGCCGTCGGGGGGGTCGACATGCCCATGGGCCCGCCGGGTAAGGGGGCGTTTTGGCTGCTGCTGGTGCCGCTGCCGCTGCCGGTGGTGGCTGTGGCCGTGGGGTGGTGGGTGGTGTTGTTGTTGTGGTGGTGGTTGTGGTTGTTGGGGTGGATACCGTGGCCGGGAGGGGGCAGGGGCGTGCCGTGGCCGGAGCTGCTTCTTGTTGTTTGTGTCCCGCCGCCGGGGAGGACGAAGGGGTTGCTCTGGCTGGCGCCGCCGGTGGAGGAGGCCGAGGGCGAGCCCATGCTGACGTCTTCCAGGCCCATGCCCGACGAGGAAGCCCGGGCGAGGCCGAAGGGCGGCGGGGGAGGGGTGACGCGCTGGGTGGCGCCCGTGCTGCTCGTCTCCGAGAAGGTATCCCAGAAGACCTTGCCCTTGGAGTTTTTCATGGCCTGTTGCTTAAACGTCCCTGTGACCCCCAATGCGCTAGCGGTCGGGTCCATCATCATGATGTCATCGTTGATGTCCTCAAGACTGTCGTGTGTTGCCAGGTTGGGACTGGATAATGCTGTTGACTGTGTCGACTGAGGCGGGGGTGGCCTAGGTTCGAGGTCTATGTCGCTCTCGCGGACCTGGCGTACCACCTCGGCTTCATGGCGAAATTCCGACTCTACGGGCGCGCTCTCTTCGGCGAGCGCGGCACGAATTCGCGCAAATCCTTTTGTTTTGGGCTGTGAGGGTGAGCATGGGGATCCAAAAGCAGCGGGGATTAGACCTACCAGCAAATTTCCACGGCGCGTTACGGCACGTCGAACAATGCTTGGGCGCGAAGGGCTGTCGAGGGCGTCGATTGGCCTGCTATGGCTGTCGTCGCTCTCATTCCCGGATATGTGCAACTGGTTGGCGGCCCAGCTAATGCTCTCACGTCTCGCATGGGGCGACATATCGTTTGGACCGCCAACCATGGCGTTGTTTGGCGGGGACTTTGACATGGCGGCCGGGCCGGGAGAATGAAAGCCGACCGCCAGTGGCCCGCGTGGTTTTTTCTGGGGGTGTTTGCGTTGGCGTTGCCGCTGGCGCTGCTGGAAACTCAAAAGGTTGCTGGCGGCTGGAGAGCCGGGCATCCACGGCGCGCCCACGGCGGCAGCGGCGCTGGACATGCCAACCTTTCGCACCTGGGGAGTGGTGATATAGGCCTCCTCCATGTCCTCATCCATATAGTCGTCGTCGTCTGAGCTGGACGAGAGATCCGAGATGCCACGGCCGGTACTTCCCACAGAGCTGGAAATGTGCATGCGCTCCTGGTTGCCCATCATAGACCAGAGCGACGTCGATGTCTGGTCGGTGCCTCCGTACTCGGCGCGGCGGCCGGGGATGTTCATAGCGCGGGAGCCGACGGTGGGGGAGGAATCAGGCGAGGCCGGGTCGGCGAGGGTGGAGTGGTGAAGACTGGTGGCGGCGCGAGTGAAATCCAAACCCCGCGATCGGCGCGGTAGGATGTTTGTGGGCGACGAATAATGATGTTCGAGTTTCGGCGACAGCGGAGCGGGCCTGGCGTAGCTGGACTGGGAAGCGGGCGATGCAGATTCGTGTGGGGGTACCTGCAATGAGAGGCCTCGAGCGGGAAATGCTGCGCGGACGGGCGTCGATGGAAGCGATGAAATGCGATCGTGGTCCTTGTCTCGAATGGCAATATCGTCTTTTGACTGGCGAAGGGCCGCTTCGACAATGTGGGGAGAGGGAGATAACCTGGGAGTGCCTCCTCCATCCGATAATGACCGCGTCTTGGGCGCTGGAGATGAAATATTTCTGGTAGACGGCCCAAACCCTCGATCATCGACTACGGCCACTTCGCCCTCCACATCCGACATCCGCGACAGGTCGTCCATAACGGCGAAGGGAGTCGGACGTAGCGCGTCTTGTGGCCCCTCATTCACGGGCACGCGTAGATTGCCCTTGTTCGTTCGTCCTTGTTCGAATTAGGTCGCGATAACCAAGGTTGGGAGTAATTTGTCGCAGTTATGAGATCAATCGGCCCATCTGATCAGGCTGCAAAGCCAACAAGTCAAAGGTTCAACATCTGCCCAACAACACAGCAAACACGAGAGTGGCAGAGTTTAATAGGGTGGGTAGGTAGGTAAATAGACCGCGCTGCTCGGTGTCGTCAAAGGGCTAAAATCGGGACTGGGGTCCCTGTCACAGCAGCACTGCAGAGGTCCATCAGCAGGGGTTTGGTGGGGTGCAATGTTCAAGGATGGGCCATGTTTTTCCTGTCCAAAATACCCCGCTCGCCGTTGGAGCACGCGGGTGACCCTAACCCTAGCCACTTACACATATCTTCCCCTTTCGTCACCGCCGTCAGGTCTCAGTTTCTTTTCCCCTGACCTGAAAGAGTTTTCATATGCTGTATTGGCCAGGAATATGATAGACTTAAAAAACCCTCAAGATGCAACTAGTTACCAAAAAAAATCCGCTGCCTCATGAAAAGAATGTCCCCTTGAAGCAACTTGGACTGATGCTGAAGTGTGAAGCCCCTATGCAGATAGACAAGACCACTAAGTAAACCAGAAAAGTGAAAGTCATAAACTCGTTCCATAAGAAGATATCAAACCCGTTACAGTTTGACCAGGCTGAGATGCAAAATGCCCTCCGACTGGTTCAACTCCTCGCGCAACCCCTCGGTGACATCCCCAGCCACACCTAGGATCATGAGTGCCTCCTTCGCAGCCTGGCCCGCCGTCTCCACGGGTCCGTCAGCTACAGGGACCACTGTTGACGGCCCGGCGCCGTCCTCGAGTGCAGCGACTTGCATGAAGTTGATGTTGACCCCATGCTTGCCCAGGACCATGCCGACATTGCCGATCTTGCCTGGCTCGTCGTAGTTGTGCAGCACCAGCAGAGTCCCCTCGGGTTGGAAGTTTGCCCTGAAGCGGTCCAGCTTGGATATAAACACGGCATTGCCGCTGACATATCCCTCGATGATTTGTTCGCCCGTCTGAGCCCCGCCTTCGTCGATCTTCAAGCTGCGCAGGGTGACAGCGCTCGCATAAGTCGGCACGGTGCCACCATTCCGGACATGCTTCTCGTCAATAGCAATACCGCGCTCTTTGGAGATAAGCGTGGCATTAACAATGTTGACATCCCGCCCGCCGAGGTCACTGATGGAGCTGACGAGCCCCTTAACCAGGGCCGCAAACAACGGCCGGGTGTTGCTCATGCCAGCCAGCTCGCCATGGTACACCAGCTCGAAGCGTCGGCCGCCAACCATGCCACCGCGGTCGGCGAAGTGTTGCGTGTAGAGACTGCCCATACGTTCGACCCTGCGAGGGTCAGTGGTGCTGCATTACGGAAAAGGGGTCAAGTGGAGTGGGACACCTACAGCTTGACAAACGGCTGCAACCGACGGTACTCATCCGGCAAGATCAACGGGGCATTCACCGCCGCCGTGGGCAACCCTCCGCTCAGGATCTCCACCACCTGCGTGCAGACGTCCATCGAGACATTCTCCTGTGCCTCGACAGTACTCGCACCGAGATGCGGCGTGCTCACCACCTTGGGATGCGCGGCCAGCTTTGCAGCAACGGACCCCTCGACAGGCGGTTCCGACGTGAACACATCCAGCCCAGCTCCTGCAATCCATCCCTCATCCAAGGCCTTCAACAGTGCTTCTTCGTTGTACACGCCACCCCTTGCCACGTTCAACACCCTCGCTGTCTTCTTCATCGACTGCAGTTCCTTCTCCCCGAGAAGATTCAAGGTACTCGCCAACAGCGGCGTGTGGATTGTCAAGAAGTCCTAGCCCGTGTTAGCCATATCCTTTGTATCACACACGCGGCTCGAGGCAGCCAGGAGGCAAGGAGCAGTATCCAGCGCAAAGAAGAGCGAAACAAACAAAAGAACACTCACCACCTCCGGCAACATCCCCCCCAAATCCGCCCTCATCTCCACCCCCGCCTGCTTCGCAACCTCCACACTCGCATACGGATCATAAACCACCACCGCCATACCCAACCCCTTCGCCATACGCGCGACCTTCATACCCACCTTCCCCAGCCCCACAATCCCCAACGTCTTACTCCCGACCTCGACACCGACCAGCTTCCCCCTCTCCCACTTCCCCCCCTTCATCCCGGCATCCGCCCTCCCCACATTCCGCGCACACGCCAACAACAACGCAACGGTATGCTCGGCGGCCGCCACGATATTCCCGCTCGGACTATTCACCACAATAACCCCATGCTGCGTCGCCGCCGCGACATCGATATTATCAACCCCGACCCCGGCGCGCGCCACCACGCGCAGCTTGCCGGCGGCCGCGAGCACCTCGGCGGTGACCTTGGTCTCGGACCGCACGATTAGTGCGTGGTAGGCGGGGATCTGCTTGAGGAGGTCGGCGGCGGCGACGGGTGGGGCGGGGGTGTCGACTTGGAAGCCGGTTGAGCGGAGCAGGGCGAGGCCCTCCGGGGAGAGCTTCTCGGGGACGAGGATGCGGGGGAGGGGGGTGGATGGGGTGGTGGTGGGTGGGGAGGAGGAGAGGGCGGAGGGTGCCATTTTGGGTGGGGGAGGATGGTTGTGTTGAGGTTGGTTTGGCGGTGGTGCGTGTTGTTGTTGGTGGTGGTGTGAGTTGTGGTTTGTGGTTCTGAGGGCGATTGGGCTTGGGATGTGGTGGTTGATGGGACGGGAGAGGGATGAAGTGCTTTATAAGGTGTGTTCGTCTGCCGTCTCTTCCCCTCTCTCACCTACCGGGTTGGCTGCCTCAGTCAACCCTCGGCCTGTCATCACTTGTGTCTGGTTCAATACGCGGCAGCTGCAGCATACCCAAATAGTCGATCGATACGCATCTGACTGCAGCTGAACTTGACAATCTCCACGGCCGGCATCGATGTCTCGGAAGGGGCTCGGGAGCGGGGTGGAGGGCCGTTCCTACATCCGGTCAAGACGCAGCAGGGTGACATAAAGGGACAAGGACCCTTAGACAGCCACCACGGATGGCCATTGTCGTGTTATTCTGGCGCCTAACCCGCATTCCCATTATACAGTGGCATCTGTCATCTCCCTTCAGAGCAAAGCCAAGACGGCGTGCATGCATTGGCGGGCCTATGCGGTAGCTCTATTCGAACCTCGACTTGCAGTTGAAACGTGCCCTCCCACCTTCAACCCCTCACTCCCCCACGTTTGACTAATGCGGGCATCCCGCAAAAAGGTAGCCAGCACCTCCGACTCGTCCATCGATCTGGTCTCTGGTTGGCGGACGCAGGAGTCTGCAAGCTTCGCCTCAGTCCGGCACGATTATCACGGCTCCGCAGTATCGGTGCAGCGCAGGGCGTGGGGAACGGGACTCGTGACTGGCTACCTTGTATCTCGGAATGGAAACTGTCACGCGCCTTTTGCCTATCATTAGGGGGGCAGCATTCCGCCGCGGACGTGCATATCCGATGCGTTAGAAGTTGGCCTTCTCCGCGAATCGCTCGTTTTGGACGATCTCAACCCAATATCCATCAGGGTCCAGGACGAATGCAACGTTCTTCATGCGGCCGTCAGTCAGCCTCTTCTTCCAGTTGACGTTGAGAGACTCGAGCCGGGCGCAGGCGGCGTCGAGGTTGTCGACCGAGACACCTGGGCTGAATTAGTACGCCACTTCGCGCTTTCCTGTGAGTGAAACTTACAAATATGCCCGAAGCCTTGAGGCTGGCTATTTCCATCATGGTACTTGAAGTTCTCATCCTTCTCGGTGCCGTAGTTCCAGGTCAACTCGAGGAGCCCCTCGCGGTCAGCGGTACCCTGACCCTCGGCAGGAACCCCCTTGCCTCCGGGATAGCCCAGGAAGTAGAGGTTGAAGCCAGCTGCCTGGGCTTCGTGTTTCCGGTACAGTGACATGCCCAGGACCTCCTGGTAGAACTTTAGCGACTTTTCGGCGTCCTTCACACGGAGCATTGTGTGGTTCTACTCGAGTTAGCATCTAGGCAATATCGAACAAGGGGCAGGAATGCAGATAACCCACCATCCGATACGTCTCAACATCCGTCTCCTTAACACTCTCCGTTTCCTCCACGGGCTTCTGCCCAATGATCTCCACCCAGTACCCATCCGGGTCCAGCGCGAATGCGATATGGCGCATGCGCCCGTCGGTCAGCTTCTTCTGGAACTTGTAGCCGGCCTCCTCGATGCGCTGGCACGCGGCTTGGATATTGTCGACGCTGATGCACGTGTGGCCAAACCCGCGGTGCGGCTCGACATTGCCGTTGTTGACCTTGTACTCGGCGTCGGTTTCGGTGCCGTAGTTGTGCGTCAGCTCGATCAGACCCTCGCGGTCCCACACGTTGTTACCGCCAGACGCGGCCTTGGGCGAGTCGTAGCCCATGAAGTATAGGTCGAACTTTGCGTCGGGGAATTCGAGTTTCTTGACCTGGGACATGCCCAAGAAGGAGTAGAACTTGACTTGGCGAAGGTGAGTCTACGGTGTTTTGGAATGGGAAGGGGTGGGCAACGTACCCGACTCCTTGGGGTCCTTGACCCGGAGCCTGATATCAACATTCAGCATCAATCACAGATTGGACCAAATAACAAGTGGCAGCTCACATGGTATGGTTGAACTTGTAGTTCTTAGTTTCCGTTGTCGACGCCATGGTTGCGAAGGGCCGGAGAATCAGCTTCGAATCTACGGGGGTTAGTAGTTAGTTCCTTCACATGTCCCAAATTAAAATATTCTTCGCTCAGGATTTACCTAGTCTAAAATTGAAAGCAGGCTTTTGTTGTGAGGAAATAAAGAGAGACCTCAATCTCTGAGATGCGCGGAGTGAGAAACTCATGTGGTGCTTGGTAATCGGAGACTGGGGGACTCAACTCGAAGTGGGGGAACTGAAGCTCTTCGGGAAAACATATCATGGTGGTCATGTCATTCCACAATGTATGTTACGCATAATGTATTGAGAATTACAACAGCCGTATGTCGAGGTTGCACCTCCCTCTGAAAAGAGAGGTCATCATGGCCTCAATCTGTCTCTGGGAAGTGAATTGCATTCTAGCACTGTGTTCCAAATACAGACTCAACCAAATCATAGAGACCAGACGTTTCCTAGAGCTTCAAATGTACGCATGCCGAAGAGCTTCATGCAAATCAGATGCGGATTTCATGTACTGCTTGGTATGTAACTTTCACGGCGGGGTAACTTGGAGCTTGGGCCAAGCAAATCTGCAACCCCACCTGTCACTGACGTCAACGGTTGAATGCAACCGACGGAAGCTCAAGAGTGGACGGTGGTTTTGATAGGTAGGTGGTGATGTGGAAGACGGTTGGAGTCTCCAATATGGTAAGGCCAGAAAAAGTACGATATAACCAGTGATACCCTAGCATTCTATACATAATACCCTATAAGAAAAGAAAGGAAAACAAGACAGTAACAACCATCCGCTGGCGCTTCCAGACCCTCTGCCTCCAAACCCTTCTTCCATCCCAGTCTTTGAGACCCCTTTTCACTAATACACTGAATGATACATGTACACTGTATGCCTCCCTCCCCCCCATCTTAAATTAAACCAACACCGCCATGAGCAAGTCAAGCAGCCCTTCCGCCTATGATTTGCCACCCTTCCGCTTTTTCCTCCTGTTCTTCTTCTTCCCCGCCCCACTCGAGGGTCCCGCTTGACCCTCCTGAGAAGAAGTCCCCTTAGCAGCAGCCTCAGCATACGACTCGGGTCCGTCCTCATCTTCCGGGCCAGGCGAGAGTAGGTTCTCGTCCTCTTCATCCTCCTCCTCGACAACCGGGCTCGGCTGGCTCTTCCCATCGTCCTTGCCAATCTCGCTCTCCCTATCCTTGCTGTTCTCCCGATCGCGCCCGAAGAGGCCGAACGTAGAACGGCCCAGAAGTCTCGGGTGGTCGGGCGACGAGGAAACCCCGACGGCGGATTCCTCGTCGTCGTTCGAGCTGGTGGTCTCTAGCACCACCTTGCGCACGCCGCGGGACTCGATGACGTTCTCTGTGATACTACCGCTGCGGACGTACGGCCGCTGCAAGCCAAGCGTGTTGGGGTCCGCCTTCTTGTCGCTGGCGCTGTTGGTGCTCTCGCCGCTTGAGCTAGCACGCAGTTGCCGCTTGGGCTGCGACGGGGATGATTCCCGCTGCTGCTGCTGCTGCTCCTGCTGCTGTTGTTGTTCTTGTGATTGCACGGGGTGTGTGACTTCTTCTGGCTCCAGGTCTATGAGGTTGGGAGGGGCGGGAGTTTGCGTTGACTTGTCGGCTTGTTCCTCCTCGTCTAGTCTCAACTCGGGTATGCCATTTGATTGTGGTGCAAGTTGCACTGTGATCGCAGGGCTAACGGAGCCGTACGTTTGCCGCAGCGCCTGGACACCGTCCTTGACAGATATTTGGGGTTTGAGAAGACTCGTTGTCTCGTCACCTTCCTCCACTGGGGTCTCATCACTTGCCGGTTCGGCCACTGAGGCTGACCGTGGCTGAGCCGACGGGATACCGCTGCCCGGCTTGATCTTCACAGTGGTTGACCGTGTCTTGTTGGGGTTCGTCGCCGGGTTAGAGGGACCGAGATGCTTGAGATGTTGCTTGATATCCTGGAAATTTGCCCGCACGGGGACGGTAGTCTTGACAAACTGGCCGTCCAATCCAGCAGAACTCCTCCGCATTATCAGTGTTGCTGTCTTCGGGCTGGTGGACAGCAAAGGTGAATCGTGACTCGTTGCGCCGGGCGTTTGGCTTGTTTTGTTGCTGTCGAGGATCGCACTGTCGCTATCGCATTTTATGTGGGCGACGTCAGTGTATTTCCCGCTTGGATCTTCCGATAGCCGCCGCTGGACTCTCGCTTTCGGTGCTGGGGTAAGGCGGCGGATGGCCTTGTGCACATCGATGTAGACATCCGACTCGTCGATAATTTCCCTGTTTCCCGTCAGCACGTCTGTTTTGTGGCAAGGGATCCGGAATGAACATACTCCCCGATTAATTCTTCAATCACATCCTCTAACGTCACGACACCAAGAGCGCCGTGGTCTTCCCCCGGATACGTGGAAACAAGCACCATGTGGGATTTGCCTTCCTGGAAGAAATTGACGATATCCAAGCAACTCGTTTCCGGACGCGTCTCTGGGAGGGTGGCCAACGGAAAGTCGCGAACGAATTTGCCGTCCTCGGGATCGTATGTGATGAGAATCTTGACTAGCAGCATGCCAACAAAGTTCGTGGGGTTGCCGGTTTCGTGGATGGGAATGCGGGAGTACCCGGCGGACAGGATCATGTCCATTGTCGGTTCATCAAGCACAGTATCCTCCGCCATAACGAAAACGTCACTCATCGGCGTCATCACATTCGCAACCGGCTTTTCCTTCAAGTCCAGGACCGCGCTGATGATGGTGACTTCATCTTGGTTCAAGCGCTGGGAGACTTCACCAAGGTTCTTGTGGAGTGTCACGAGGGTTTTTAACCCGCTCTTCTTGTAAACCGTTCCGTGATCTTCTCCCAGCAGCCAGTCGAGGAGCTTTGCTGTCGGCCACGCGAGGGGCGCCATCAAGTACATCATGGCGAGGACCGGTTTGGACATGTAGCCACCTATTTGGAGGCCGTATCGAACACAGACGGACTGGGGAAGGACTTCGCCGAAGATGACTGGTTGGCAATGCGTTAGATAGGCGTGGATGGGGGAACACTACAGGCGGACACAAACCGATCAGAAAGGTAGCCCCGACCACGGCAGCAACACCTCCGCCCAGACAACGGTCGAGAACAACGGGGAGCGTTTCGTTCACGATGACATTGGCCAGGAGCAGGGTAACTAAAACCCAATGCTTCCCCTTCTTGAGTAGATCATAAACGCGTCTCGCGTTCTTCTGTTGCGGCTCGCTCGGGTCTCCGGCCATAACCTGGAGGTAGATTCCATCCTGTCCCATCAGCCTGGGCAAAGTTAGCCAACAGTAACACTTGAGTCGCGATCGATATTGTCTTACGCGATTGTCAGCCCCGCGAAAGCGCCACCTGATAGCACGAGGACCAGAGAGGCCACGTAAAGAACCCAGAGGCTAGCACCCTCGGCCTCGGGCTCGTCCCCGTCTCCACCGTGGCCCTGTGTGCCGAGTGGCGCGGCGTAGGCGGTCGATAGGGTCATTGAGAGCACGCGGGCAAGCCCAACGGCCGCAGATCGCACGGCGGAAAAGCCATTGGGTTGAGTTGGTATCCTGCGCGCGGGCAGTATCGAATTCGTTTTCATTGTCATCATAGCCGTAAGCGACGGCCGGGACACGCGAGCTGGAGCCGAAAAGGATCTTCAATTCGTTGGAGTGTGATTTGGGTTCGGTCCCCGTCAGTACATCCTGCCGCGACGCGTGGAAACCGAGTTCCGCAGGTCGATATATAAAGCTCGGCGCCGGGGGGGCGATTCCAGCGGAGAATCGAGATCTTGGTAGCACGAAAATGCGTGGGGCTATTGCTCAGGCACGTCAGGTTATCCGCAAGAGGTGCATCAGGGTAGTGGAGGCAACTTGAATGCGGTTGGGAGGAGTGGGTCAAGAATGGGCCAAGAACACAAATGACGCCGAGGCGGAAAACCGGGCAGTCAGGTATGTACTTTGTTCGTTCCAACCAATGTTTTTATCAGAGGCACCTCATCAATTCTGAAGGCCGCCATCATGTTTGAGGTGGGCGCCTGTCTCGGCTGCCTTGGGGTTCCTCTCACTTCTTTTCCTGCGCAATGCTGGACCGGTCGTGAACAAGACGAAATATTTTCGTATTGGTACGTGTAAATTTCAACGCCACCGCGTCCATCATTGGGGGTGTGCTGCGCTGCGGGGCACGTGGATCCCAGCAGGGGAGCGAGCCCATAATCTCCGGGCCAACAAAAACCTTCCAAACACACACTGTCCGTGCCTTCAATTCAAGCACACCCGTCGACGGCAACCTCCATATGTATTTCGGTCGCGGTCGATCTCGAAACCACCATTCGCCATGGTCACCACTCGGCGCGGCGCCCGTACTTCTGCTGCACCCAGGGAAGACGACAGCAGCTCTGACAACGAGTCCATCCCAGCCCGAACCCCGCCTGTTCACCGCCGTACGCCTGCGTCTGGAACTCCCGCAACCCTGAGGCCCTCGAGAGACCCTGCCCCGGGGAACGCTAGTTTATCTAAGAGAAAACGAGGTCCGAGTGGTGCTTTCGATGCGCCACGAAAAAAGCGACGAAGGCTAGCACCCGACGTTGCGGAGACAATCGAGGTGCAAGGGGAGGACGACAATGTTGATGCGGCGATCAACGCCACGAGCGCGCGCTCTGCACACCGGCTTGAGATACATCTCCCCAGCGGCCGGGGGCCGGGGATAGGCCACAACGCGAACTCGACAGAGGTTCCACGTGAGACTTCGACGAGCGATGTGCCAGCCCGTCGCCTCCGCGCAAGACGCTTAAAGCGCGGGATCAACTCCGTTGAAGTTTTCGGCACATACGATTCTCCGCGTCCGCGGAAACGTAGGCGTGGCCCTGATGTTCCACATATTATCATGGGGACGCCCGAGCCGAGCAGCGACGCGGGGCCAGCCGAACATGGGAACGGTGTTGCTGAGACTGCAGTAGAGGATGTTCCCACCGGCGCAGAATACCCACATCCTGGGGGCAGTCCAGAACTGCAGTCCTCGGCAGCGAGGCGCCGGCCGACAAGACCTCTAGTTGATATCTATGATGTCCCAGAAAATGACCATCCCGAGCTTCCCAATCCTGCTGCCATTCGAGGCACAAAAACGGTGACCAATCTGAGGCAAGCGCGCCAGCCACGATCACCACAGAGGAATGACAGGCTCCCACTGATTCGAGAGGAGCAGCCAGAGCCAGCGACTCCAGTTCCTCGCCGCCGTGAGCCTCACCAGGCTATCGTGCCGGTTGACGCTTCGAGGTCATTGGACAGGGGCAATCGTGGACTGGTGGTATATGGGGATAGGCGACAGGCGAATCAGATTATGGACAGGGAACCAGAGAGACCTCAAGAGAGACAAGAGGTGGGGGAGGAAGATGAGACGGACGAGACCGACGAAACCGACGAGACCGATGACGCGGAAGAGACAGACCAGTCCGAGTCCGATGAAGAAACCGAGCAACGGAAAATGGATGACATCCAAGTGCGCCCCTGCGTGAACAACGAGGACACTATCACCGTATGCAGTGGCCACCTGAGAAACATATCGAAACTCATGGGCCGAAGCGGCTGGACAGGGGCAGGGCACAGATGGATGGCCGAGCTCTACGCCAGCATGCCCGATTTTGGGGTTAACCCGCCTATTCGCACGCGACTCGGGAAGCGCATTTTCAAGACCCTCAGCTGTCTCAAAGATGAGTTCGATGAGGTGCCAAATGCGCTGGATCTCGCTGAGCAATATCAATATCTCGCCGAGCAACAACTAGTCTTGAACGCGGCCATCTCAAGTGTCGATAAGGCAGTGCGGAAGGTAGAGAGTTTAACGAACGCCAGGCTCTCTAGGCGCACAGTCAACGACCTCTCAACATGCGTCATACCGATGCTCGTTCTGGTCATGCAGACATCTTTTGCCATCGGAGCGCGGGAACCTGATGCCGTGGTCAATGACTCCGCCCCGCGGGAAGGAATCTTCACTTGGACTACTATACAGTACCTGCTCGGCACACTGGGGTGGCTGTCGCGTCTCCAAAAATGCATTAATGTGGGCTCGGAACACAGCGCCAATCAGCAATATGATTTTGAAGATCCGACGCAGAACCGCGAGAAGCTGGGGGTTATGGTTAGAAAGTTTATACAGCAAATTCGGCACCAGGTGGACAGTTTCAACGCGCGAGCCGACGCTAACCAGGAGCGATACGAGGAGGAGAAGCGGATCGCAAAGATGCAGGAGCAGGACAGAAATATCAGGGAACAGATTCAGAGGAAGGAGGAAGAAGAATTGGCGCTCGCGAGGCAGCAGGAGAAGGAATTCCGGCTATCGCTAGAGCAGGTCACGAACCAGGTCCGTCCGCTGGCTGAGAAATTCCGGAAGGCGACATTGCACTGGTTCACACCCGGGAAGAGCAGCCAAAGTCGTACTCAGCCCTCGAATTCTAGCGTTGGGGCCCCGACCAATAGAGAGTCTCGAGCGCCATCCGCCGGCTCCTCAATGCGACGACACCTTCCGCCGGGAGCCGGGCACCTGGCACCGCAATCTCGGCAGCCTCGGGCTGCCTCGCCTTCTCCAGAGTTGGGTTATCCGCCTTGGTCCGAGGATGAGACGGTGTGGTTACTGGATGAGCTCAGGAGGCCAGACAGGCAACGCAATTGCATGGATGTGTGGGTGGAAACTCTTGAACGGTCACCGCAGGAGATCATGGCCGAGAAGAGGCGATTGGAAAGGACGGGGCGCTATCGGTCTCCTACCCGAGGGCGTTGACGGAGGCGTGAGAGAGGTCGGTGTTGAAGGATGCGAGCTGCGTTGGTTGGAGTTTTGGTTTAGCCGTTGCTACAGAGATACCCCCTTTGCTTTTCGAACGACTTCTTGACGAATGAATTGTGTTGGCCAACAGTTATAACAAAGTATATCAGGATGGGACTTGCTCGTTCCCCCAATGCCTAGCTAGTTATTTCAGCCTTGTCTGATTCAACGCAGATTCATTAGCCTTGCTGTCACATTCACGTGTGCTCTTGTTGATGCGAGGTAGTTAACTTTTTGGTATGTACTTGTAATTGTGCACCAACGAGCGAGTGACACATCACTCACATCCTAACTTATCCACAGTCGGCAATGAGAGCTCTTCCTTTTATCCTTCCCCCTCCTTTCGATGGCGAGGGAACCCGTGGGGGTACCTACTTTTCCAGGGTTTATAAACCGCAATTGACGTATCTCCCAATGTATCCATCCTACAAATCTGCACACGGCATGAGGGGCCCGTCTACTTGAGACGGCGCAATGCAGTGTCTGGGATCTAACCTGGGTGCCTGGGTATGTCAATGGGTCAACCCTCCACCAGTTCCATTTCCCCGACACGTCCAGGTTCATCCTCTCAGGCCGAATGGATATCCGGTTTGAGAGCGCAAAGCATCCCGGGGTTATAATCGATAATCGTGGCCTGTTAAACCTGCCGTCGAGTCCACGGGTTTCAACCCTCGACTCGGGATTCGCATTGTGATGGAAGCTGTCTGCCCCTCACCCATTGCAACCTCAACCTCGAACCACACAGCGCACTCAACGGCCCGGGCGGACAGGTGCAGCATTTAAGCATCTGACGGCAGCGCTAGCGAATAGCAAAAGCAAAATGCTTTTCAGAGCGTTCAAGCGTGACTACTATCGAACACCGCTAGCGAACCGATATGAACCGCCCCAGTAATATCAAGCTCGGTGTGTGAGGCGACAAGATGGTGGGTTTGACTGGATGAAAAGAGGGTGAGAGAGAGCAAGAGCACACCAAAGGGAAAGCTGGCACTGGCTGGCAAACCCGAGTGCCTGACCAGTCTGGCTCCACCCCTGCACTGTCCCCCCGCCAGGCGTTTGCTGCAGTTTGCCCCACAATCTTACCCCTGTCTTGTCCACCACGCTAAGCCGGCGCTGTGCCGATCTGGGAACACCCAGCACATGAGAAAGCGGGCTCGGCTCCTCTTTTTTTCACCTCTCTTCTCTTCGAGGCAATTGGGGCTGAACCTCTCTCTTCCTTGCCATCACCGCCGGGCGCAATTGTCAAAAAAAGAGCTCTCCGGTGTGCATTGTTGCGATTCAATTTTTCCTGCGAAATCTCCTGTTGTTTCCTTTCAACGGTTCTCGATTTATTTAGCGCCAGCCCGGTCCAAGCGTCCTGCAGTACGTCCTCGGCAGCTCGACGGCTTTGGATTCCAGTGCTGCGGTCTGGGAATAGGAGTGACTCTAGCCGACAGGGGATCACTTGTTCGGTGAGTTGCAGCAGCTTCCCTTTCTTAACAACACCGTTCACCAAGCTACCGACTCCCCTCTTGTATCTGGGAACCCTGTAAAAGGGGACCGAGTGATATCATCGTCAATTTGTTTTTGTTGCCCATGATCTCACACACCGTAATCCGCTGTCAGCTTCCAAGTCGCTAACTGTCCCCGAAGATAGCCAGGAGTCTCGTCGTGGTTCGATTGTCTACCTAGCTCTCCCAATTTGTTCCCACGGCTTTGCCCACGCAGCCCATCATGTCCGACGCCGGTTTCGAGGTTGTCCAGCACACGGATGCTCCCGAATCTGCTCCTGCGCCTACCTCAGAGCCCGCAGTCCCCTCGACGCCGACCTCGCCGACTGCCACTGTAGAGAAGAAAACAACGGCCGGCCCCGCAGCTTCGAAGCGCGCCACGACAAGCGCTACCTCGGGTGTTCGTCGGCCGGCTGCCACTGGTGCCGCCTCCACGAAGTCGACCACAAGCTCGACCACAAGCTCGACCACACGAACGAGCGCTGCCGGCACCGGGACCAGGCCGACGGCCCGTCCTGCCGCGGGGAGCACCATCAAGCGCCCATCGACGGCTACATCCACTGTCTCTCACCGCTCTCGCCCGTCCGTTTCCGAAGATGAGAAGAAGCGGGCGCCGGTCTCGGGTGCCACTGGATCGGCGCGCCGTATCTCCACCGCGCCTAGCGGACCTTCGAGCTCACCCAGCAAGCCGAGAACTGGTACCACTGCTGCCGGCACCACTGCTGCAGCAAGGAAGCCCCTGGCAGCTTCCGGCACTGTGCCTTCGCGGATGTCCACGACCACTTCGCGGTCATCGACAACCGCTTCGTCAGCGCCCGCTGCAACGACCCGTACCGCCACCAAACCCTCCGGTACCGGCGCCGTAGCGGAAGCGAAGAAGCGACTCTCCGTGTCGTCTGGAACAACGACCGGGACTACTCGACATGCGCCGCGTCCGTCGCTGGCATCGAGCACGTCTAGCGCCACCGCCACTGCCGCCGCTGCCGAGTCCGCCAAGGAGATCGGGGATCTCAAGGCAAAGCTCACTTCCAGCGAGTCCGAGATCATGGAATTGAAGGCAAAGATTTCCTCGTCCCAGGATAAGATCGCGGAGCTCACCAAGGCCGGTACTGTCGAAGGAGGCCAGGCCGCCACCGAAGGCGCCATTAACCAGGAAGCCCTGGAGGGCCTGAAGACGGAGCACGCTGCCGAGCTCGAGGCTCTGAACAAGCAGGTTGCCGAGACTCAGGAGAAGCTGGCCGCCGCTGAAACCGATCTGGCTGCCCAGAAGAGCGAGCTCGTTGGCGCTACCAGTGCAAAGGAAGCTGCTGAAGCTGAACTAGCCGAGCTCAAGACATCGCTCGAAGGCCTCCAGGCAGAGCAGGAGGCCAAGCTGAACGAGGCTGCGACAAGCCTCACCAAGGCAACCGACGACCACACTGCCAAGCTTGAGGCTCTCCAGAGCAGTCTAAAGCAGGAGCACGAGGCGGCTGTCGAGGCATTGAAGGCCAAGCATGCCGAGGAGCTGCAGGGCGGAAGCACCACCCTCGTTGCCAACCACGAGAAGGCTATCGAGGAGCTCAATGCGAGCCACGAAACCACCCTCGCCGAACTACAAAAGAAGATCGACGATTTGACCTCGAGTCAGGCGACTCTGGAAGCTGCCCACGAGGAGAAGCTTGCCAGGGAAACAGCGGCCGGGTCAGCAAAGCTTGGGGAGCTAGAGGCCCAGATTGCCGAACTCAATGCAAAACTCGAGGCGGCAGAGAAGGCTGCGGAAACTGCCAAGTCTGAGCTCGAAGAGAAGACGGCAGCACTGACCTCTCTGGAAGCCAAGGTTGCCGAGGCTGAAGCTGAGCTGTCGGCTATCAAAGACGAAGCTTCCAAGGCCACTGGCTCCCACGCCGACCTCCAGAAACTTATCGATAGTCTCAACGAAGAGAGCAAGTCGAAGGATGCCACGATCGCGAAGATCAAGGAGGAGACCGCTGCCGCTGCCGACCACCACCAGAAGCAGCTCCAGCAGGTCAGTCAGGATTATGAGAACGAGATCGAGAGCCTGCGGGGCGATGCTTTCTTCAAGCGTAGGTTCGAGGAGCTCGAGGTCAAGCACGATGAGCTCACCAAGGCTCATGACGAAGCTGCTGAGAGCCATGCGAAGGCTCTCGAGGCGGCCAAGGCCGAGCACGAGGCCGCGGTCAAGGCGTTGGAAGCTAAGGAGGCTGAGCATCAGCAGGCCTTAGATGCGCTTCAGGCGAGCCATGCCGAGGAGCTGGAAGGTGCCAAGAGCCTAGCCAGGCAAGCCCATGAGGCTAGCGCCGAGGAGATTGAGTCGCTCAAGGCCAGCCATGCCAGCCAGATCGACATCTTGAGGGGTGAAAGCGAGACCAGCCTGGCCAAGGAGCTTGAGGCTCTGAAGGCCTCCCATGCCGAGATCCTCGCAAACCTCAACAACGACGCTACGGCTGAGAAGGAGCAAATCCTTGCCAAGCACGCTGATGAGCTCGCTGCTGCTAAGGCGGCTGGCGATGACAGCCACGCGGCCCTCGTGGAGCAAATCAAGCAGGAACTTGAGGCCAAGCATGCCGAGGACCTAGCCAAGGTAACGGCACAGCTCGAGGCCGCCAGCAACCTGAAGGAGGAGCTCGAAGCTAAGCACGCAGAGGAAGTTGCGAAGCTCACGGCGGAGCTTGGGTCGGCAAGCGAAGTCAAGGAGGCGCTGGAGGCTAAGCACTCCGAGGAAGTGGAGAAGCTGATGGCTCAACTGGAGGCGGCCAGTGGTCTCAAGGGCGACTTGGAGTCGAAGCATGCCGAGGAGGTCGCCAAATTGGTGGCTCAGCTCGAGGCAGCCGGCGGCTTCAAGGAAGAATTCGAGGCCAAGCATGCGGATGAAATCGCGAAACTGATGGCGGAGCTCGAGACGGCCAAGGCCCTCCAGCAGGATGTTGAGGCTACCCAGGCCAAACTTAGCGACGCGGAGGCTAGCCATGCATCGGCCATTGAGTCGCTCAAGAAGACCCTCGAGGACGACCATGCGGCCGAGGTGGAGAAACTGATCGCGGTGCACAACGGGGCTCAGGAGGCCCTGAGGAACGAGGGCACCGCGCAGTCCCAGGCCCAGCTCGACGAATTGCGGGCCAACCACAACAGCCTTCTGGAGGAATTGACGGGCAAGTCTCAGTCGACGTCGGAGGAGCTGGCCAAGGTCGTAGCGGCCAAGAGCGAGGTTGACGCAGCCCTCGAGGCGCTCAAGGCCGAGCATGCCAAGACCCAGGAGGAGATCGACACTCTCAGCCAGCAGCTGGCCCTGGAGAAGATGGAGAAGTTCACGGCTCAGGCTGAGCTCGATGCCGCTAAGAACGCGAAGCCCGACACCACCGAGCTTGACGCCCTCAAGGAGCAGCTTGCTACCCTTACCGCGACCCACGAAAAGGAGCTTGCCGAACTCAAGGCTAGCCACGAGAAGACCCTTGCCGGCGCCGACGAGGCATCGGGCAAGGCTTCGTCGGAGCTTGCAAGCGCACAGGAGGAGCTGGCCAAGACCAAGAAGGAGTTGGAGGCGCGCACAAACGAGGTCGAGACCATCACGAAGACGTCCCAGGCCGACTACAAGGACATGCATGACAGCATGACGCAGCTTGTCGAGGAGGCGCAGACCCTGGCGGCTAACAACATCAAGAAGCTGGCGGACGTGGAACAGCAAGTCGGCGATGCCGACAAGAAGATTGCCGAGCTCACGGCTCAGCTCAAGGTTAGGGACGCGGAGCTGGCCGAGGCTAGGGTACGTCTCCAAATCGCTGATACTCAACGAGTATGCAGCTAACCATATCCACGCAGACTACGGGCGACGCGCCCAAGGGCCTTGCCGCGAGCCGCTTCGCCAACGCGGCCGGCGACGACGAAAACGGCGACGCTGCTAACCAGCCCACGGAAGGTGAGGCAGAGCCGGATCACTCCTCGGCAGCATTGGCTTCGGTGCGGACTACTCTCACTTATCATGCAGCCTTTTCATAACACCCTCTCTGTTTGCCTTGGGCGGGCGGTGGCTAACGGATCGGTCGTGTTTTCTAGCTAGCTAAGGTTCAAGAGTCGGTCAGCCAGCTCCAGGACTACGACGCCCAGCTGGGCAGCCAGCACCACGAGATGCTGAAGTCGATTACCGACCTCAAGAACGAGTCTTGAGTGGTTGATGCTCGGCATCCGGGCGCTGAGGCGGGGGTGGCTGTATTGTCCATCCAGGGCGAGGGGATGCGTTGTTGAGTTTTGTGGGAACAAGGAGCTGGGGGAAGGTGTCCGTCTCTTTCTCTCTCTCGTCTTCACCATTTCGCCATTTCACACTTTGCCATAAACCGGTTGCTCTTTGTTATGGGCAACCACAAACATTTTTAATGGAACTTTGTTCGCATAGTCGCCGCTCTTATATACCCTTTGGCTATTTCTTGTTTTTGCAGCTTGGGGGATGCAGGGCTCGACAGGTTGATGTTGGTGCGCATTGCTTTTGTTGTCTGATGCTCTGCTGTTGTCAAAGGAGGCTTACAAGTCTGGTGGATAGCAACATTATGACTATAATCTGGCCGACTAAACATACTTTTCGTTATGAAATCGCTACAATGGCTTGAAGGTTGAGTAGGATGAGCGGGTGTTTGTGATGACGGTTCCATCACTCCCTCTCCTGTTGCTATCACGAATTATCATGTCCTTGTTGGGGAGCTTTCAACAATACTAGAATCATCTTCATTCATATCCAAGGCTCTCTGTTGACTGTGAGGTCATGTTGAAGAGAAAGGGGCGGGGTAAGAACAAAACCGTGCACAACACCGTGTACAAACCTTCTACACACGGCTACCAGCCACAACAACACTTGTCGACGCCCCATCGAAATCGTTCATGAGCGAGCCAAGCCCCAAGTTCCCACATCAAGCTCTCTCCGAGAACCCGCAAGATTTTTCCGCTTTGCCAACCACGGTGAAAACTCCTTCCAGTTCCGTTCCCTCTCGATCGGAGCTGTCAGTTCTTCCGCAGCGACAATAATCCCAGGATCTGGATCCGACTGGGAGAGGTTTCCTGGCCCGAACCAAGGTATGTTTTAGGCCTTGCCGATTTTCCCAATTGTTCTATCCGTGTGTGGCTCCCCGCGCCGTCCGAGCGTGATGCATTACACTTTACTTCCGATGGGTGTGGTATCGTCAGAAACAACACACTGGCGATGGTGTTGTCTCGACATACTGTCAAATCGCCATTTTATAATTTCTCGGAATCATGTTTTTTCTGTATCTGTATCTGCATCTGCACTTGATAGCAACAGCAACACCAATTGAGCGGTCTATCTAGTCGAGGCATTTTTCATTCACTGTCGTCCATACTAATTATGTTCCAACGCAGTAGTGTGACCGACCAGCGACATATATATATCGCCATCGCCATTTGTGTAGACTGCTGTCGACAGACGCGCAGTTCTCAACTTTTTGTTCGAGAAAGCCTACAAGTGTTGGCGATTTCGCACTTGCTTCATTTACACTCACTCAACCTTATCTGGTTAATTGTTCAGCCCCCATCATGGACGACAAGAAAGCCACCCCGGAAGAGGCCGAGGATGCCGTGATGCAACAAAGTTACCCCTCCCCTATTGTCGACAGTGCAGAGGCGCAATACTATGAGCAGCTCACCCAGCATCGTGAGCTTGACCCCCAGATGGACCATCAGCCCGCCCCGCCAGAGCACCATGGCCTACCCAGCATGCCTGAGCACCAGGAGCAGCACGAACACCATGAGCTGCACCAACTTCAAAACCTCCAGGAGTCACCGGCTCCGCAGCAGCAACAGAACTCCCGCCCGCCAGTGAGTGCAGATGAGCTCCAACTGGCGGCCCAGTTGTCACAGGGCCTCGCGCCCATGATGGCTGCTGCCGTCCAAGAGCAAGCACAGGAGCAGCAGCCAATGCAGCAACAAGATGGGCAGGACGGCCAAGTACAGCCTCAAACTGAACCCAATCTGGAGGAACAGTTGGAGGCATCGCTGCAGAACCACGAGCGTGAGATGCAGTCTCATGAGCATGAGCTCCAAAACCACAACCATGAGCTCCAAAACCATAGCCATGAGCTCCAAAACCACAGCCACGAGATCCAAAACCACAGCCACGAACTCCAAAGCCATGAGCTTCAGGACGTCCTGCCACACCCTAGTCAGCCTCAGCAACACCACTATGCACAGAACCCACCACCTCCACCCCAACTCCCTCATCACATGTCCATGGACCACCTGTCACAGGTACATCCCCAGTACCAGATTCCCGACGCCACGCCACCCAGGAAACGGTCCAAGGTGTCCCGGGCCTGTGATGAGTGTCGGCGCAAGAAGATCAAGTGCGACGCGCAGTCGGAAGCCAACGAGGCGCTTTGTTCCAACTGTCGCCGGTCGAACGCACAATGCCTGTTCAGCCGCGTGCCTCAGAAGCGGGGACCCAGCAAGGGGTGAGTTGGATAGTCGATTCCTGGTCCGAATATGCAAGAGTCCGGGCGTACTGACCCGCCATAGATATATCAAAGAACTTGCCGACCGCATCAATACCATCGAAGGCAGGCTCAGCACCAACGTGGAAGGCGGCGAGAGGAGACCGTCAAGCGAGTCGTTTGTTTCCCCGGGGCTAGGCGACGACATCAGGAAGCGGCCGTTTTCTAGTATTTCTGGCGAAGGGTTCCAAACTCCGTCTCCGAACAGAATATCGGCGACGTTCAACTCTGAGCACAGGTCGATTTTGCCCTACCTCCAGCCCGAATTCCACCCGCAAATGCCCGGGAATTCGACCGACCTCGCCTTGAAGCCTGCCGCGCCCTTGCCGTATCCCGCCCCGACGAACGATCTTGGTTTGCAAGGCCAGCCCGACATGATGGAGACCATGTCACAGAGCGACCTCCCTCAGGAACCGTCGCATCAGGCGGACCAGTTGCCGGAAATTGAGGACGCTGTGTTCAATCGGTAAGTGTACCAGCCCTGGGTTTTGCGGCGGGGATTCCATACTAACCAGCGGCTTTCAGCTATCTGGAGCTCATTCACCCAATTTTCCCAGTGCTGGCAAGCAGCAAAGCCAGAGTGCAGTCCCTCTTGTGGCAAGCACCCTTGGTCCTCCAGAATGCCTTCTACAAGGGCTTCTTCTCCATGATGAAGCACTTCCTTCCCGACGCCAGCAGTCAAATGGACAGCGATCCTGCTACTACATGGCGCCTTCTGAACGAATGGGAGGCCGAGGGGGAACCGCGCTCTTCCGTTACCAATATAGTACGCCTCCAGACACAGGTCATGGTTCTGATATCGGTGGACTGCTTCAGTATCGCATCTGGCAAGGGCCTGGTGGCCGGTCCGACCAAGGCCGAGATTCTCGGTCGCGCTGTCGGGCTTGGGTATTCGATGAGGGTCCATTCTCGGACAGTCGACCCTAATCCGAATCCCGAACTAGATCCTGACTCGGACGACAACGTTGCCTTGCGAGCCTGGTGGGTTTTGATCATGTTGGATCGGTGGCACGCGCTCGGGATGGCCAGGCCTGCCCTGATCGCCCGTGAGCTTGTCGTGCCTCGGCCGGGCTTGGAACATATCGTCGGGGAGGCCGTCTATGCCCTGATCCGTGAGTCTTGCCGCATCCCTTTTCAGCCTCGCCCTCCTAACAGATTTACCAGGCGCTTCCTACGTCCTCACACTTATCATGCCCGCCATTACCAATCCACCAAGCGAGCCTTCAGAGCCTCAGACCCTGGCTCTAGCGGCCGGCATCACCCAAACGTTGGGCTGGGCCATCCCGGCCAACGACAAGCACCCCGCGCTCTATCTAACCTATTGGCTCCTCCGCCTCGTATCCGAGCTGCTCTCCCCGGACGAGATGCAGCGCCCCGTCAACATTCTCCAGGCCACCCGGAGCCTGACGGGTCTCCTCGCCGCCAAGCACGACCTCCTCAGCCCCATCACCCACCACTTCGCCGCCGTCGCCGCGCTCGGCCTCGTCGAGCTGCGCCGCTTCCGCAGGACGCGCGGCGAAGCCGTCCGCCTGACCAAGGAGGTCCTCCACTACAGCATGGCGCCGTCCGCGTGGAACGCCGCCGTGCGCGACAAGCTCTCTCGCTACGAGGCGCGTCTCCAAAGCGCCGCGGCCGCGGCGGTGGCGGCGGGCCCGAGTGCCGCTGCCGCTGCTGCGGCTGGCGGCCAGAACTTGCACCAGCTGGCGGATCTGGCCACCGCTGTTGACGGTACCGGTGCCGCCACTGCTGCGGGCCCGGATCCCACTCCTGCTGTGGCTGCGGCTGCGGCTGTAGTCGCTGGGGATGCCCAGCCTGGAGCGGAGGCGGCGCTTGGCGCTGCTGGTGCTGCTGGTGCGAACGGCGCTGTTCCGGCTGACGGTGATGGTGGTACTGCCGGGGCTGGTGGGGCTGCCAACCCGGAAGCGGAGAGTGTGGAGGACCGGGATCTGCCGGCGCTGGTGGATGTGCGCGCGGTGTTGAGGGACGGTTACCTCACTTGGTTTGACGACCCCAGGGATGGCGCGACGGTTGCTTAGGAGGACGGCCTGTTGGGAATACCGGTTTATGATGTTGGTTTACCGCTGCTGCCCTTTGATGTCGTTCTGGAGTCTTGCCTTGCGGAATGGGGAGGACTAATTTGATGTCATTTTGGTGGGGGGGGTTCTCTTTCTTGCTTGAAGGTCCGTTGTGACAATGCGATGGGATGGGGGGTGGGTCACTTTACTTGCCCCAGGACAGGTGTAGTTGATGTAGGTCTTACGCAGCACTGTCTTTAACTGGCATTAGTGAAGAACAGGGCTTGGTCGTTTGTTTGTATATATTTGTCGTATACCCAGAGCGGGCAGCTGGCGTTGGGCTGAGTCGGTTGTTTGTTTCTGTACACGTACATGACTTGAAGCGTTGTATGCCTCCCTCTACTTCACACCCGCTGGTCACATCGGTGGTATAAATAGAGATGCGGAATGTCCTACTCGAGCCAGAGGCCCAGAGGGGGAGGCTGTTCTTCTGTTGCTGCGGCAAGGGTCGCAGATCCAACGGCATTGGCATCCACCGTTAGCAGAATGCTTGGAATGTCAGAGCAAAGCCCGCGACAGAGTACAGACTCGCGCGCGAGGCTACAGTGGTGTATCTCAGTCGGGCCCTTGATTTACTGTAGAATGACGGCAGGTCCGTTTCATTGTTACGTGCAAGGGCCACATCACCGCAGGGAAGAAAGGATGGGTTGACAAAGAGAGGTCAGCAGCGGAGGTGCTAAAGCAAACTGGCTTCCGCAGCCGAACTGCGTTTACCACCAAGCCCAACAGCAACCCTTCCGTGCCTGACGATCCAAAACCCAACCTCGACTGAGAGAAGCCACACACGATGGGAACCGGAACCGAGAACCTGGAATCGCACCTAGAGCCGGCTCTAGAGGAACCCTTTGATGGAGCCAAAGACCGGACGACCCCCGGCCAGAAGAGCGAAGGTGCGGCGGGTCCTCCACCGCCGGGAGAGAACGAAACCCGGGCAGCGACCGAGATGATCTCTCCCGCACTCTCAAGGTTTTCAAGCTTGGGCCGACTCCCAACTATCACGACAGAGCACGAGCTGCTGACTCCCCAGAACCTCGAGGTTCTTGGAGTCGGGGGAAGTGGCTACGTCTATAGGTGCCCCGGAGACGTTGCCTATAAAGTAAATGTCACCCAGTGCGAGGTTGACCTGATGATGGTGGCGGGCGATTGCGCTATCACCCCCCTCTGCCATGTCTTGGCCAAGATAGACGGCGCATGGTGGCGGCGGGGACTCATCATGGAGCTCGCCACGCCCTTTGACTTCAAGCTCGTGCCGGCCGAAGAGCGCATGGCCGTCAAGGACGAGATGGTCAGCCTTGTCGAGTGCCTTCACAGCAGCGAAGTCGGCATCGCCCACGGTGATATCAAGCCCGACAACTTCCTGCGGTGCCGCGACGGCAAGCTCCGCCTGTGTGACTTTAACTCGGCCCGGCTGCTGGCCGATGATGAGGTCGAGGACTGGGAGGGTGGCGTCAGCGACCGATACTTGGCCCCGAGCCGCGGCTATCCGGATAGTCATGGCCCGCCCACGATCGTTGACGATAACTATGCCCTGGCCATCTCCGTGTGGGAGGTCTTTACGGGGAAGGATGCGTTGGTGGAGGAGGATATGGAGGAGGCGCTGATGAAAGGTAAGACAGTCGATCTGGACAAGTTGGAGGATGAGCATGTCCGGGTCTTTGTGTGGAAACGGCTACGAGATGGCGGCGCGAAGGTGCCAGACCTCGTTCCTTCACGGGGTGGTGGCGGAAAATAGCATGCAAATCTGCACACCCAGCGCAAACAATGTCTAATTCTGGGTCGGGACCGGGCGGACTGATCCACGGCATCCCCATGTCGTCGAGATACTCATCTACCTCACAGAAGTATCTGGGCTATTCCTAGGGGGCTCGTCATCAAACTCCGCTGCCTACCTAGGTATATGTACCTAGGTGGAAAGGAGATCAGATCCTGGGGGGCAGACGTCCCCGGATAGCGTCTTTCCTTCTAGAGAACCGTATACCCTTCCTTCACTGGGTGTACGGGGGAACCAGGACTTTTACTCTAAATAAATCAGATTGCTTGAAGAAGGCCTATACTTGAATACATTAGTATGGAATATAAGAATAGGATGTGTGGTTTGGTATACAACGACTACAGCTCACAACACACAGGCTAGGCAGGGCTGGATAGAAGATATTGCGCCTCGTCCATTAACATTTAGACTCACTGCCTTCACATATGGTCATCCGGTAGTTAATACTTGACTCCCGTCAACAACCCCTGACAATCATCAGCCCAGGCTTGAAACAACAATCTTTTTTCCTTTTCCCGAAAGTAAGCGAAAAGTTGGAGCCGTAGTCGATCTTTTCCTATCCACAGACCGGCCTTCAACTTCTTTCGGGGCCGCCTCATATCTGGCTGATACCCGGTCTAATCGGGATCATCCATCCTCGCCTGATGCGGTGAGCTTCGTCCGAACTGCAGCATCGACAGTGCATGATTTACTCACGGCTGAGCTGATGCCACAATGTCACATCGGTGCTTTTTGCCCCGGGTACGGAACTACCCGAAACATCGCAGCGAGACAAGAGAAAATAAACTCTCAACGGCCCCTCTTCATCAGGGTCTCCCTTGCGTCGCGGCTCCTTGTTGACTGGCGACTGACTAACAAGCCAGTCAACCTCTCCCCACATCTGCAACCCAAAAAGTTGGGTTTTCTCGTTGACCGCCCTTGCTAGCTCAAGTGACACTCAGAAATAAAACAAAAAAACCAGCATCCGAACATGATCCCCTCCTTCTTCCGAGGCAGACCGCTCACACCACAGACACCGGGCCGAGGAGAAACGAAAACCAGCACATCAACCCAAAACAGCCAAACTCGGCCAAGCCAGTTCCCGGACGACCGGCCACGACACCACCACCACCACTATCCGAGCAGAGCCCCCCCGACAGCGGGCAGACGGACGGACTCCTTCTCCCCCACGTGTGACCCTTCTCTCGAGCGATGGGGCGGGGGGAAGGGGGGGAACACTCACACTCACACTCACAGCGCAGCAGCAACCCCTCTAAATTTACCCCAGGATTCACACAACCCCTCCATCTCCCCTCACATGCAAGCAAGCTACAAGGAAACCAAGCTCCCAAGCCAAACCAACACCAAAACGGGGTGCGGGCGACACTTGAGTGAGCAACCAGCAACCCCGCATGCCCAACGCCCCGCCATGCCAATGCCAATGCCAATGCCAATGTCGTGCCCATGCCATGCAACCCAGCACCCCATGTGCCCATCTCGCTCACTTGCATGGGGAGAGAGAGGGGAGACCAAGGCCGAGCGACACTAGTTAACTAATAAAACACCACAACGGGGGGAGGGGGGCAGGAAATCACAAGCTACTACTGTGCGCGGACAGGAGCAGCAGAAAGAGGTAGTTATTCTTAGACGAGGCCCGATTCGAACCGATAGATTTCGTTTTCATGCGCTCCACCCGCCGAGGGCCGAGGGACCCGTGTGCTGCCAGATGTGCTTGCTGTGTTGTAATCTGTGACTCTATCTTCCTAGGTAAATGTGTCCTGTCCAGCAACCGAAACCAACCAGTTTTCCCTAGTTAGTTGCCTCCCCACCCACTCGGGTCTCTCCACCAGGTCACTCACCTCGGTGCACTATCCCGTGGGGGTGCACAATGATCCCACTGACCGACAAAGAACCAGCCCGTCGAAACTTCCATGGAAGTTTTTCGTCGCTGTCCAAGAAAGAGTGGAAGCTTTTCTCCCCAAAAGTGGGGGATGCCCCGCCATCCGCAGCCTGGCGACCGGGACTGGGGCACTCGGGCGCAGCTCACCGCCGCTGTCACAAACAGGCCGAGAACGAACGCCGAGCTTTGCCCGCGAGACAGGGGCTTCGCCGTATATGCATTCTTCCACCGACCTCCACGGGCAAGGAGGGACCAGGGAGTTTTCAACGAGCGGGCCTCGAGCAGAAAAAAAAGGGGGATCGCCGACGGTTGGTGGTCAAGGCAGATCGGCATGAGCGGCATCCTTCATCAACTGCCACATATTCTGTACATACCTTTTACTTTTGATCACGGAAAACCAAAAATGGGATATCAACCACCATCCCCAATCCGGACAGGCCAGCCAGCCAGCCAACCCAACAAAAAACGTCTGGTCTATTCTTCTTCTTCTCTCTTTTCCTCCGTAATGTTATGATGCTATGCTCGTTCTTATGTACCTCCATGCTCCCAGCATCTAGAGTCAAATCGTAGTTGTTGAGAAACGGGGAACCGTAAATAGCCGAAACGGGTGAGCCTGGAATGTGCAAGCCGCCGCAAAACGTAGATATTGTACCATAGTGCCGTATGGTAATTCAAAATAGCCACACACGTGTAGCCGTCAGTTGCAGGTCGTCGGGATTCCCGAGCCTCAACATGTCCTCCAGAAACAAACGTGCCTCTCCTTTTTTTCTCATCTCCTCTGTGAACCTTAAACGCGCCTCCGGCTGAAAATGCGACAGGAAATGCGGGAAACCGAAAGGGGCATGGTATGATGCATATGGTGTAGAAAAGATGATGAAGGCAAAAAAATGATCATCATGTCGTTTGACTTTCATGCCCAGACAAAAAGGAAAGAAAAAAAAAATAAGAGACTGCCTTCTGCGCCATCACCTCGAAGAGAACTGCCCTGGCCAAATCGCCACCCCGCTTGCGTGCTCCATTCCGTGTAAGCCAGTAAACGCGACTGAAACATAACTCCGGCGAACAAGAGGAATATGTACGTGGCGTCGGGGGTATTCGCTGCTTGAATCATCACTCTGGAACTGATGGAGAGCGGGGTATTCGAGACCGGAAGGTGCGAGAAACCGTCGCGATGGTCGCTACCGGGTATCGTTCCGTGTTATTGCCCGTCCCAAAATGATACCATGTTGCTTTCTGTCGGCGACTCGGTCAAGGCCGGCATCGTGTAGTCGTTCATCCAGAAGCCCGGGTCATCATCCAGCGAGGTGACGCCGTTGAACGCGGGCGCGCTCGTGGGGAGCAACGTCGGGTCGTCGCCGGACATGGTGGCGGGGGTCGGTAGGAACTTGCTGGCATCCTTCTTCATGTAGCTAAACTCGTCAAGGTCCAGATTCGTGAGGTCCGGGTTTCCGAGCAGACCGACGTGCGCGTGGCCAAATCCGTACCCGTTGATGGAAGCGCTGCTTTGGTACGTCTCAAAATCATCGAGCGGGTTCGATAGGAAGTCCTCTACTTCGGAAACTTCGCCCGACGTCGAAGTGGTTGTCGTCATGGTCGGGATATTCTCGGACCCGGCAAAGTCGAAGCCACCGTAGCTTTGCGGTTGGCTGTAGTTCGAAGGCGCAAAGTCAGATGTCTTGCCGGCGAGTTCGAGGCCCTCATAGTTGCTCCAATCGACCGAAGCCGCGCTCAGCCCAGCGCTAAACATGGGCTGCTCATAATCCGACAGGGCACCGAAGAAGTCGGCGCTGTTCGGGATGTACGAGGGGTACTTGATACTCGAAAGATCCAAGGGCGGCAGCTGCCCATTGAGCTGGGCAAAAGAAGAGGAGGAGCCTTCTAAGAGGGGCGAGGCAGCTTCCGACTTGACCCGGCGTTGCGCCTGGGCGATCCCATCATTGCTACTGCTTCCGGTCGCGGAACTGGCATCGCCGTTCGTGCTGGCGCCAAAGAGGTCGTCCATTGATCGGTTCCTCATGCTACCCATGCTGCTCGCGCTCGTTACCGAGTTGCCGCGGGTTAGCTGGTATGGGCCGCATTTCTGCGAAGCTTTGGCGTGCTTGTACGTCGGCTTGTGGTTACCATTGGCGTCGAAAGACAGGCAGGCATCCGAGTTGGTCGTGTTGGCGCGGCGTCTGGGGCGGGAGCTCGCCTTGGCGATCTTGGGCTGCGATGGGATGGGCTCGTCCGAGTCCGACTCGGGCACCGTGTCCAGCGTCGGTTCCCTCTTGTGTGAGCAAGTGCAACGACCGCCATGGCCACAGCAGCAGCTTTCTGCGAACGGAGGTCAGGAATCAGAGGTGCGGAGCCTTGATCAATCAGACACGACAATGCTCACCCTTGTGACCATCGATTACAGGTCTCAAGTGCACGCACTTATGCGTCTTCTCGCCGCAGTCGCACTTGACGTGGGCCGAGCGCGACTTGCGCATTGCGCGGCAGTGCTGGCATTGCGAAACCGGCCGCCCTTTCTTGTTGATGTGTTGAAGTGGCCGCTCTATCCTCTAGTGTTAGCTCTCTCTTTCATCACCATTTACCCCGCGAGACCAAGTTGGAGACAGGCCGCATGAAAGTTGGGGGCATTGAGGGGAAGCAGCAGGGGCAGCAGCATAGCCCCCACTATGAAGCTTGTCGTGTGCTGCGATTGCTGCGGTAAATCCGCGACCCCTCGGTTGCAGCCGACCAAGCCAAGCAGCCAGCGTGCCAGCGCATTGCAGCACATCGAAGACGGGAACCGCATGCAGGGGAAGAAAGCAAAAATCACTCACCATGATGCTGGCAGTTGCTGACGCGATGGCCTCTCACACAGGCCTCGCAAGCCCACTTCTCTCCGTCGATGAGCATGGCGGAGAAACTGCAATCGTAGCCGGTCTATCAAGACGAGACAGCGGTTTGTGAGTCCGGAATAACGTCCGGTCTTGAACAAGTTGCTGCGGTGTCGCAAAGTCGGTGGCTGTCGGAGCTGCAGAGCCGACAGGGGAAAAAAGCAAAACCTTCGGGAATGCCCGACGGGCGACGGGGGTTCGAGACAAAGAGGGTCGCAACGTGCACCGCTCAGAGGGTCATTGCTGGGGATACCGCCCGCCCAAAAACATCGGTACGGGATGCCGCTGACTCCGGAATCGAAGCCAAAAACAACTTTGTTCGTCGAGGGACTCGAACAGCCAAAAGTTGGCGAGGAAAATGAAATAAAAAATAATGTGGGTTGAGTGGAGATGGGGTGGTGGCCTGTTGAGGTCGTTGACGGCTGCCCGGTGGAGCTGGGGCAGTGAAGAAGAGTGTGTAAGTCGACCGATGAGGTGCGATTCTTCCGAAGGCGACGGGCGGGCCGGAGTGTGGTCGCAAGGGCAGATGTGGAGATCCCAGGGCAAACAGGGAGACGGGAGAGCCTGTGTCGGAAGAGCTCGCCTTGCGAGCCGGCTGAACCTTAGGTCAGCAAACCGCTTCCGCCGGATTGTCGAGTGTGCAAAGGCAACCAACAACCGAAACACGAGCTGTCAGGTAGCTGACGGCACTAACGGCACGGGTTGCCAACACGGCGGCGCGGTGACCCAGCAGAGGCGACCGCAGAAGAGCCGACGGGTGAGCTCCTTCCGGAGTTTGTTGGAGGCTAGCTGAAGCTACTCGGGTCGGGCATGACGTGCAGGACAAACCAGCACGACTATGAGTAGGAGTAGGTAGTTAGGTGAAATAATTGCGCAGTCGGGCAAAAGCGATAAAAGTCGGAGGGGCTTGAGGCTGGCTGACTGGGACCGTGAGTGCGAGACTCGGAGCGAGGCGGAGGGAGGTGTGCTTCTTATTATGTATGTATCGGCCCGGCGTGGGACCGCAAGCTTCATCAGGGTCGTCGTGGGATTCCGCATGTGGATGCTGGCAAAACGGGGCGCTAGGATGGATGGACGACAGGCTTGTGGCTGCCCTGACCCAGCAGCCAAGGTCCGGTGCGAGTGACGAAACGTGAACCAGATCGGGATGACCTGCCACGGCGGTGCTTGGCGGAGTACATGGCTGCAGTACAGGCTACGGCTAGCGACGCCCCGAATTGACGAGACAGCAGCGGGATTCAGCGGATTCAGGGTACGAATACATCGGCCCCCATGTTCCTCGCAAATGACGGCAAGACTGGTTGGTCGCAGCCCCCTTCTAGGCGAATAACGGGTCCGCGGGTTCGCGGGTTTCCTTGATAGGATCGTCCAGCAGCAGCAGCAGCAGCAGACAGACAGACCCGGCTGACAAGGGCCCAGCGTCGCCGGAGTGGGAGCTCGGCACGGCGCAGGCCAGGTGGGCGTGGGCGTGGGCGTGGTGTGGAGACCGAGGGCAAGGGCTCCAACATCCTGGGGCGGGTTGGCAACGTGAAAAGCGGAGGCTCCATTGGAGGAAAAGGAACGAGAAACCGTGTCGGTTGAGTGGGTGCGAAGTGGGTGGTCGAGGGGTCGCTCGGTGGGAAACAGTGCAAGTCCCAAGGGTTCTTGCCCCGAGCGCCGGGCTTCCATCCTTCCAGGTTCTCCCACTTTCCTAGAGTGGGCTCCTTCCTCACTCGGTCTGCCCTTCGGGCTTGATGCTGTTCTGCACAGGGCAGTCGCGCAAGATATCTGAGTTGTGCCTCCCAGCCCCATCTTACTCAATCCACAACTGGTGGCAGGTTGAAGTTCCTGATTTTGGCAACATCGGAAATCCCCGGCGTCTCCGTTCTTCTTCACCTGCATCGGAAGGCATGGGAATTGTGTCAAGACGAGGACTGCCGTGCTTCTCCCACCCACTTCCCCATTGCCCGAGACGGATCTGAGTGGCCGAGTTCATGCCGTAATTCTGGCCGTTACCGCGTGCAGTTTGCAAAAGGCTCGGCGCCATCACGGGCAACTTCGAGAAGACCCCAGTTGATGAGTGGGGTGCTGCCCGTTCTCCACTGCCATTCCGAGGAGCATCCCCACGGCGGCGCTTCTTGAGACACGGGTAAAAACCCCAATCAAAGGCAACAGGCCCGAACAATCTCGACAAAATGGCTGGCTACAATCTCGAATTTGGCTGGGATTCCTCATCATCTTGTAACAGTGATGATACCCTGGGTAAGTGTCCTCCTGTGTAGGAGTATGACTTCGTCTATGCTGTTCGAAAGTCGAAAGTTCAGGATGATCCGGGCGGCGCTTCCACTCTTTTTCTATCAATGGTTTTTGGAGCGGAAGCGCAAGGGTCTGTTCCTTGGCTGGCGGGAGTTTCTTCAGGGAAAGTTAGTTAGCGCCGATGCCCGAATGACGCGCTTCTCTTCTCTGCGACAACTGCAGGTCACACACACACCAAACGAAACAACCACCCACACCATCAAACTCGAGAGAGACCCTCCAGTTAGGTTCCACTGTCAGAGTCTCGTCAAATGCTGCTAGCGGGTTTTCTCGCTCGTCATGTGTGGCAGGACTGCGGATGCCGTGGCTCGTGAGACCGGCGAGCATCTTCTGACCCCCTCCGTTCCGCGTCCGCCGGCTTGCGGAATCGACTGTCTAGTTAGTTATCCCGTTCCCCCCAAACGCTCAACAGAACACCACGGCGGGCCGAGTCAACTCGAAATGTTGTGCCCTGGCTCATGCATTACTGCCGCCGCAAACGGAGCAAGGACGGGGCATTGCAACGAGTCCCTCTTTGGCGAGAGACAGTGGGTGCTCGGCATCCCGCGCCAGTGACATGTCCTCACCTTGCCGTTGGTGGACATGGATGCCAAAAAGGTCAGCCGTGACAGGCCGCTTCCACACACAGCCGACGACGGTTACGTGCCCTCTTGGCGTGGTAGGAAGGCTGCCCACAGGTGTGATCGAACCCTCGCTCCCGCCTGCAGTTGGACTCTGTGACTCTGCAGTTGATTAGAGGCAAAATGTGCAGATTGCCAGCCGCCGCTGAGCCGCGCCGATCTCTCCGTTGATTCTGAAGCGAACGGCAGCCTCAGCGATACAGCCGGCATCTTGACGAGATTCGTCCTGTCATGAGCCTCGTTGCCGGTGTTTGGCCGGGTTGCTCGTTCTCCCGTTCTCCAAGGCCAGCCAAGAGATCGCCGTCCACTCCCCCGAGACCGCCAAGTCTTGGGGCTTCATGAGACGAATCTCGCCGGCTCTCACCCAATGTGCACATGGTAGATGACAAACTGTTATCCGAACTCTGCAGGCAGAGAGATCGTGCAACTCCGAGCAGATTGGTGTTTGCGAGGCAACAAATCCTGACGTCTCCCAAGTTACCGTCGAAGGGTCTCGGTTTGAACCTCCAACTTGGCTCAGCGCCCAGTAACACTTCGATTTCAAACTGGACTTTGAAAGTTTCCCCGACTCTAACTCAGTGATTCAAGACACCCCGCGAAGAGGTTGCGAGCCCAAGGCAACGTCCAGTGCTGCCCCGAGCATGGAGTGCGGTGGGGTCAGGGCCCTAATCGGCCCTGGTGCCAGGGTCGATTTGGCGCTTGGGCCTGTGTAAAAATTTTCACCTCGCCCACAGAATGTGTCTCCTTCCCGGAGCAATGCAGAGGGACGATTTGGGCATTCGCCGGCCACTCCGTGATGCCATCTATTACATACAAGTTGACAAACTGGGTGCCGATGACGAGCCTTGGCTCGGCGAGTTCTCGTTCTCTGGATTCAACCTTGTCCCGGTCGACAAAACGTCGGCTCAGATTGGCTCAAGGACAGTCACCCGCACCACCACGACACCGCAACAGCATCGAGCCCTCCACTCAGTTTTCTCTCAAGGCGGCCGGCAACTCGAAGAGCCGCACATCTGGCTTTGGCCGTCGTGCTGCATGGCATCTGGCTCAGAAACTATCCAATGGACACATCACCATCGCCCCATCTCGTCGGCATTTTCCATCGTGGGACATCGGGCGAAGATCGGCACGCGGCTCCCTGGCACAATATGACACACACTACCCCTCTGAATAACTTCAGAGACAAGAACCAAGGACATCCCACGTTCCGCCTGCTGGCACGCAGGCGTGTGCTGTCATGCCTGTTCCTTGTCCCGGAAGAGAGAAGGCAAAACGTGCATCTCGGATGAGGCATCTTTCCGTCTCTCCTCTTTGCCCACCGAGGTTGGTCACCCAGGAGTTGCGGTGTCAGACCGCCAACGGTAGGAAGGAAGCAGTATTGGTCCAAGTTTCTGCGCCTGACCCAAATGTTTCAGTTACACAAAACTCGGCTGCCAGACGTCACACCCGGGGACCAGCCCTGCCCAAGTCAGAACCACATCTACAAGTTGTAGAATCCCTTGCCCAGCGGCTCAACCGGAACCGTTAACCAGCGGAGGGATCAGTCCATTTGTTTTCTCGGAGGCCGGGTATCACACGACCAGCATCGCGAGCCCGCCGTCAACAGCAGGCCAAGCCCTCACATACCTTCAGTCATCCATAACCAAGGCACCACACCCAGCCCAACCTTGGGCACTCATCGTGGCTGGATTCTTGGCGATCCGTGGGAAAGGACGATCGACAAGCATGATTCAGCCCTGACTCGGTCAACCTTCCAGAACCTCTGATAAGGGGTCCAAAGGGAGCTCACCGACGGCCTGTGATGGAAATCTCGGGCACCATTCAACCAAGGGGCTGCCCGAAGCAATCCAACTGGCGGCCAAAATACCCCGTCCTCCAGGCCTGACCAGAACTTAGCATAAAGGTTTCCTTGGCAGTTCTTTCAGTCATTCTTCGTTCTCCGGCAGATTGGTAACCACCGGTGGCGGGCCACTTGGCACCCGATGCAGCTTCGGTCTGGACCGAAGCTCCCCACGGCACGAGACCCTGACCGCTGGAGTGGCGTGGCAGCTGTCACTGCAACCAGTACCAGTACCAGCTCATGCCGATGACGGAGGAGTCGCTCATCTCCCCCGCGTCAAGGCTTGAAGTGAAGGATTGAGCGGGATCATCCAATTGGCCCATCTGCCCTGTAGCTCAAGTGAGTATCAGGAGCTGAACTCAGTTGGCGTTCCATGTGGGCGACCCCCACGCGCCCCCATCAAGTTGGCATCAGACCCATGCGTCTATCGACGCCACTCATTGCACACTCCATCGAGTTGGTGGGCGTGCCGGCGGTGGATCTCGTTGGCTATGGGGGCACAGCTGCGAAGCCCCGTCGCGTGGGTGAGACAGCATTAATCACACAAGCGCCGTCGAAGAAGGTGACTCGCCCCGTTTATGTAACGAGAGCAAGAAGCTCACCCCCTTGGCTGCGTCGTCTTGTCATGCTTGTCCTCCCTAACTTGGGACGAGTCCAGACGATGCTGCGGGGGGCCGACTTGGCGGACGCCGAGCCTGGCTGCTGCATGGCCCGTACCTTACCTTGCGGAAGGTGAACCTGGAAAGCAGGCTGAGGCTTGGTGCCCCGCATCTACACGTGCTCATCACGCCAGTTGTGATGACGGGAGCATGGTAAGTCGACCGGGGCTCAGACGGACGCGGCCTGAGACGTCTGGGGTTGCCATGGCGGGTACTCGCTCTTTTGCGTATACCTACATCCGCGATCATTATCACCGTTGGCGCGGATGGTTGCTATTGGCATAGATTGATAATTTAGACCCATTGCTGGGCGCCCGTGTTGAGAAATCGTCTTGATACTCAAGGATACCCGGGAATCAGTAGAGGTTACATATCGAAATGTGGAAAGGCCGTTTTCTGTCGACGGGGCACCGGAGGTGTGCCAAGGACGATAGTGACACCAGCCCGTGCTGCGCGGGCATGAACGTGTGTGCCTCCATAAGGCAGAGCGGGTGGTTCTTGGCTGGGAGCTATTACCACACCGGCATAGGCCGACTCGTATGCCCCCCGTCGGCCGGGCCCGACCTCGCGGAGATGCCGGCGAGAGAAGGCGAGTGCGCCTCCGTAAGTGATGATATTGCAATTCCGTGTCAGAGAGGTTGCAAACGATAACGGCTAGCCCACCACTCCAAGGATGGGGGGCCGTTGCTGTGCTCCCGCCCAGTCGGGAGACCGGGGCGGGGGTAATGTAATGGTATTCCGTGGCTGTATCACAGCACCATGGAATGTTGGAGATTCGGCAGTCGAAGGTCACACGGCGGGTCAATATCAGATGACGCGCTTGGCGGGAACATGTGGTTGGGTTCACAGCGGTGCGACGGGACACAAGTAGCTCGCATTGCGTCAGACTCGACATGCTGATTCTGCGTGTCTCTTGAGACAGACAAGTCTCATCGCGATCTCTCGGATGCTTCCCCGTGATAAAGATAGCCCAAGACAACCCAGAGCTGTCGTGTAAGAAGGCGAGACAAATCTAGGCCTTTTGTGACCAAAACATGACTTGAATCATTGACCCTTTGATCTCCAACCTGTTCGTCTATTCTTTCCAAATCTTGAAGTAATGGATCCTGCTGTATCACACGCCCGAGTCCCAGCCAACAGGTAAAAAAGGACAGAGGAGGCCCGGGACTCGGCAAAGCGGGCCCCGCCGATGCTGCCGTGAACCGGCCGAGTCCCGCCCGCTCTGCACGTTCTCCATCCCCCAATTCGTTCCCCGCATGGGGGGAGCTGCGGGCGTGAGATGCGGGGCCAAGCCAGGGCGCCACTCAGATTGCGTGACGCGAGCCGGCGGTTCTCGGTCATCGTTCCCTATTCGACTTCCTTCAAGGTTGGGGAAAGGGATCAAAAACGTCGAGCTGCACTAACTCACCTGCGCCATCTGCATCCCTCGTCGGAAAATCTATCAGAAATTTATTGCGGTGGCTTGCTTGCATGCATCTTTTTTTGGAACTCGCTTCTTGTTTGAAACCAGCTTGCAGCGTGCTGAGAACGTGTTGAGAACGTGCTTCACACGCAGGAGAGGATCGCCTTCATTTATTGGCCAATTGGATTCGTGAGGAATCTGATTACGTCGGAGAGGCCGAAGTGACCAGTCGGATTCGGTGAAGGTAGCGGCGACACGGACGATTCCGGGTTCGGTATTCGTAAACCGACGAGAAGGCCGAGAAGAGATCGATCTGAGAGCCCGGAACGGAGGAGGAGAGCAGGGCAAGGGATTGCTGATCCCCGTTTCCTCGCTTGGTTTGCAACATGGGTGGGCTTGAGGCTTTGAGCCCGGGCACCGACCCAGACAGGTACGTATGGTAATCCGAAGGGGTTACTGGATGATGGACGACGGACACTGACCGACGCAGGCCCGTCCATATCGTCTTCGTCGGTGCCGGCGCTGTTGGGTGCTTCTACGCTTCACGGCTACACCATGTAAGCCAGTAACGCCCCTCCGAGAGGAGCATCTCACTCACTGACCGTCCAGCCATCTCACAACATCCACGTCTCGCTCATCGCTCGCTCCAACTACAAGGCCCTTACCGAGCATGGCGTCCAGCTTCAAACTCACACCTTTGGTGACTACACCTTCCGCCCGCACGCCGTCTTCCCCTCGGTAGCCGCCGCCGCCGCTAATCCTAACCCGTCCGGCGCCGGGCCCCGCGAATGGGACTACATCATCGTCACGACTAAAGCCCTACCCGACCGCTCCGACGACAGCGCCCTCATCGCCCCGCTCGTCGGCGCCAACTCGTGCATCGTGCTCATCCAAAACGGCGTCGGCGTCGAGCAGCCCTACCGCATCCGCTTCCCCGCCACGCCCATCATCAGCGCCGTCACCGTCATCTCCGCCGAGCAGACCTCCCCGGGCACCATCCGGCAGAACCGCTGGACCCGCATCCACATCGGCCCCTACTCCGACTCGGCCTCCTTCTCCCCCGCCTCCGATAACAACAACGCCAGCAATACCAGGAGCAGCAGCAGCACGGCCACCTACACGCGAGGCGACGACACAACCGGCGCGCTCACCCCCACAGGCACCTTTCCCGCCCCCAACAGCAGCAACACCAACAACACCACCAAAACCCCCCCAACCATGGAGGCCCTCCAACAAACCGGCTCCCAGCGCGCCGCCCTGCTAGCCGACTGGTGGACGCGCCTAGGCCAGATCCGGGACGTCGACGTCGCCGCAGACGAAACAGCACTTCAAACAGTGCGGTGGCACAAGCTGTGCATCAACGCAGCCTTCAACCCAGCCGCCGTGCTCGCAGGCGGGCGCGGCAACGCCGACATGGTGCGCGACGACGCCGAGCTGCGCGCCCACCTTTCCGGAGTGATGCGCGAGATCTGGGCGGCCGCGCCGCAGGTGCTGGGGCGGGCTTTCCCCGCGTCGCTGGCGGGGCCGGAGAGGATCCTGAGGAGTACGGAAAGGAATGTGGGCAGTAAGCCGAGTATGCTGCTGGATTGGGAGGCGGGAAGGCCGATGGAGATTGAGGTGATTCTGGGGAATCCGGTGAGGATTGCGAGGGCGAGGGGGGTGGAGATGCCGAGGTTGCAGACGGTTTATGCGCTGTTGAGGAGTGCGCAGGAGGTGAGGGAGCGGGGGGAGAAGAAGGCGGCGGGGAAGGGGAAGTTGTAGGTGGGATTGTGGGGAGTGATTATGGCTTTGGCTGGCGACAAGCTGTTTGTTTATAACTATTGTGTGAGAAAAACGATGGTTATCTCGGTTCCTTCTCGCTGCTGGTTGATGGGACTCTGCTGGATCGGCGTTGCTTCTCCCCGCTGTCTTCCAGCCTCACACCACGATAGTTAAAAGCTGTTGGGTCATTTTCTAATCTCATCCTTACCTTATCCAGACTCCCGATTACACGGGAGTGAATGCGTTCATCGCTTTTCTCTCCTGGTGACGGTATTGTGTGTGAATAGATGGACAGGGCCTCCTGAGTCGGATTAAGCTGTATCTCAGACTCGGAAAGAGTACTTCTATTGTTACCCAAAATAGAGACGGAAATACAATGTTTAAATTACCCATTCCTTGGGCATTCACTGAAAACCAACTGCCACTTACAACTCTCAGACGTTGCACTCAACAACCGGAGCAGAATGGACCCGACTTTTCCATTTTGGTGTTTGCTGTTCCCCTGAAAAGAGGACGCGTCGATGACAACGTCCACAATTTCGATTCAGATTAAGCCTGGCAAGACCCGCCGGCATTCCAGCTGCTATGTAAGATGATTGGCTGTTTTCCAAGCATGCTGGGGTCAAAAACCCACCACCGGCATGGTCTGAGCTCAGGGAGCTGCAAGGTGTGGGCTGACCAAACATGTGGGTTTCAAGATTTTGACAGGCAGTCGTCAAGTTGGTCCTGCATTGCACTCTGCGCCTCCTGCAGTTGTTGACGGCGCAGTTTGTTGTACGAAACTTGAAGGTCGCTACCTCCATGTGCAGCAGGTAAGGCACCGACGCAAATATCACAGGCCTGGCGCCCAACAACTTCGTCGTGGATTGCGACCCCGAGTTGTTTTGAATTCAATTCATGGTTCATCTCATCCCTTAAAACTCAAAAACCCACCTGGCCTTCCAAGCTCACCCCTGATAAACAAAACACATCAACAAAACATCGCGTGTTTTCATCGACCAACATTCTTCGATTATGGAGAAAATCATATACAGCCCGGAACTGACCATTCCTGACACTCTGTTGCTGCGAAACCTCGCCGACGACATCCAGCGGCACAGGGAAATCAAAGGAGCTAGCTCCAACGTCGACCGCGATGAGGGTTACGCCAGCACAGGATCTGGCCGTTCTGCGGCCCAGGACGCCATCAACAGTGCGTAATGATCGCTTTACAAAAGCTCGCGTAGCGGATTAGATGGCTGACATCAGAGACAAGCATCACAGAATACGGCATCTCAGAAGAGCGGGATGCCACCGACATTCAGAAGTTGAATGGATTCAATGACCCCGACAGCGAGGACTTTGAACCAACGGTGATCTCGTCACTCGATCTCGGGGACCTACAGGCTAGGCTCCCCGCCGTCGTGTACCAGAATGTCGTCCTGCCCTACATCGCCTGGGCCCGCACGGTTGTGCGGCACGACACCGACGTCATAATGTTGACACACCTCATCATGTACTTCACCACGTCGCTGCCCAGCGCCGTCTGGCTGTTCTACCACTTCACCTACCTCCACGGCATCTTCCACTTCGTCATGCAGTTCTGGTACATGGGCACCTACACGCTCATGATGCACCAGCACATCCACATGAGCGGCATCCTCGCCAAGCGGCCGCTCCTGCGCCTGTTCGACACCTTCTTCCCCTACCTCACGGACCCGCTGATGGGCCACACGTGGAACACGTACTTCTACCACCACGTCAAGCACCACCACGTCGAGGGCAACGGGCCGGACGACCTGTCGTCGACGCTCCGCTACCAGCGCGACGAGCTGCTGCACTTCCTGCACTACATCGGCCGCTTCCTGGTCCTGATCTGGCTGGACCTGCCGCTGTACTACCTGCGCAAGGGCAAGTACGTCAACGCCGCCAAGGCCGCCTTCTGGGAGCTGTCCAACTACACGGCCATCTACATGATGTACCGGCTCAACAGCCGCGCGGCCGTTTTTGTGTTTATCTTGCCGTTGACGCTCATGCGCATCGGCCTGATGGTCGGCAACTGGGGCCAGCACGCCTTTGTCGATGCCGACGAGCCGGACTCTGACTTCCGCTCGAGCATCACGCTGATCGATGTGCCGGTATGCCCCCCCCCTCCCCTTCCCTTCTTCATCCCCCTTCCCAAACCACCAACTAACCCACCCCCCCTCTCCTGCTTTGCAGAGCAACCGCTACTGCTACAACGACGGCTACCACACGTCGCACCACCTCAACCCGCGCCGCCACTGGCGGCACCACCCGGTCGCCTTCCTCCGGCAGAAGGAGACGTACGCGACCGAGAAGGCCCTCGTCTTCCACAACATCGACTACCTCATGATCACGGTGCGCCTGCTCCGGAAGGACTACGCCCACCTCGCCCGCTGCCTCGTCCCCATCGGCCCGCAGATCGACCTCTCGTTGGAGGAGAGGGCGGAGATGCTGCGTCGCCATACGAGGAAGTTTGGGGAGGAGGAGATTAGGGTCAAGTTTGCGGGTGCTGGTGGTGGTGGGGAGGGGGAGAAGAAGAAGGAGTAGGGGGTTTGTTTGTCGGGACGGAGGAGTTGAGGGGGGAAGGGGGGAGAAGGGAGGGTTGGGTGGGCTGGGTTGTGTATCTAGGGTTGGTTGCCTGACGGGTAATTGTGGTTGGGGTGCTGTGGTGTGTAATGGTATTAGCGGTAGACGATAGATGTAATTACTAGATATTCAGTTCTTGAGACATGGGCTGGACTACGAGCTACGGACTGGGCATATATGGGTGGGAGCGGCGGGGGTTGGGCCTCGCAGTGGGCACATCTCCCTTCCTGCCATCATCGGTGCCAAGCCAGGGCTCTTCGCAGGCGCTTGTTATCAGGCCCGGAGAGTTCATCGGAATCCTCGAGAGGCGGTCCCCTTGTCCACTGCTCCTCATCGCTCTCGTCGCCAGCATCACTCGCATCCGAACCCTCCTCTCGCCCGACGGCATGGGAGGGAAAGATGGAGCCCGCGTTGGCTGCCCGCACCGGCTACTGCAGCGGGCGGTTGTGATACAGGTCTGCCAGCTGGCCGGACGGCGGCGAGGGGAGCATGACGTGTAAAGTGAGCTGGACGGTGGCCGCGTGAAGACGGACTCAGCCTCGAAGGTAAAACGCCGCGTGTCCTAGAGGGTGTGCGGGTCACGGTGCAGGATTATCAGGTCATTTTCGTCGTTGATGGGGTGGGGTCCCGTGAGGAAAGGGCAGTGCCTTTCCATGTTGTTGGACTGGGACCGATGCTGGCCGACCAGGGGCAGAAGGTGCGCGGCCTTTGGGGCCTTTCTATGTATATTCTGAGACACGACACGTGCCGTCGTGAGCGAGGGGAGCGGCCTTCTCTTCAAGCGGGTATACGAATGGTTATTGCCTCAGAGAGGTTGAGACTCGCGCAGTGAGGTCAAAAGGTAGGTAGCCCCACTTGGTGTTTGTGTATGTACAGAGACAGAAAGAAGACCGGGCCAAGGGAGAGAGGCAATCAGCTCTTCCTGGTTGCAAATGGGAAGATATGTGCCGCTTCAGGATGCGAGCGCAACACGCGGCCAGGATCGCCTGCAAGTACTGCCTAATATACACAGGAGACGAAGAATAAAGAGAAAAGGTATATTTACAATAACTTCAATTTCATTACCCTCCTTTCTTTTATCTTTTTGTATTTTTTTCTTTTTGTTTTACACAGTAGGGCTTGCGGGGCTAAATAAAGTGTCGTGTCCCGTTGCTCGTCCAATGTCGATACTGCCTGTCTGTCACAGTGACCCTTCGTCTGTAAACGGTAACGGGAAACTGATGGCCCTGGAAGTCGGATTTCTCAGCCCCTGAACCTTCGGGTCTCAAAGCCGAAGTTATTTTAACTAGTTAATTAACTAACTAACTAATGAATTGCAAGTCTTTGAACTGAGCTCTCGAGCGAGACAAGAGGCCACCTCACCGCTGATAAACGACAAAAGCACAGTCCCAGTGGGTTCCTTGTTTCGGTTGGCAACAGGGTTAACCGCTGGAAGCTTCCCCACGAGTCGCCGCTGTGGGGGCAGTTTATGAATGAGCAGCATGGAGCTCCTGCATGCCCGCATGAATAGCGCGTCGATGGGTCTCAACAAAGACCCTGAACCGACCCCTGAATGGCTGCCTCACTGTGTTTTTCCGTCGACAAACGAAGGAGAGAGAAGTGAATGCCCAAACTGAGCCCAGTGCGTCAGGTCCTGCACGGTGTCGGCCCGTAATGAGGATTCACCAGATGATGCGACCCAAGGGATTCGAGATAAACATAGCACAGATGACAAAAGCCAATATGATTAGCCGCCCCTGGTTAAACCTGGTTCCAAGATGCGAGATGTGTGGGATGCAGGTGCAGATGAGGTTATTTAAGCGCGACGCATCTTTGGACGTCCCTGCCACGGTCGATGTGACATTGGCACCATCCAATGTCAGAACCATCTCCATGTTTCCTGCTGCAAATGGAGAAGAGACCGACTCAGAATCCCAGGCACAGCCATGATAATCCTTTTGCCGTGATGAGAGCGTTCGTGTTGGCGCCCTCCAGGGAGATTGTGAGCTTTGGTCCGTCCTTGAACCAAGCTTTCTCGCCCTGTCTCAGGTGGCATGGAGCCGGGAGAGGGAGAAGCGGAGACCGGGGCCAGGGGGGGTTGTTTCTGGGGGTTTCTGGGTGCATTCGGTGCGGCGCGAGGGGCCTGCAATTCAGGACCCGCGTGTCTGTCACACGCTCTGCGAGGGTGAGCTTATTTACCTGTTGCAGGCGCGGGTCCAGATCTCTTCTTCCTCTTTTCTTCCACAATCTGGGTGCTTGACCATCACCGACAATTTCCATCACCAGCACCAGCCTGGCCAAAAAGCGACGTTGCGTTCATCCCTTCGCGCATTTCGAAACACCCTGATCAACCGCTTTCCGCGCTTTGACCACGATTCAACACCGCAAAGATGCCTGGCATTCGTAAGTCGCCATTTCACTGTCTATTCTTTGGTGCCAGAACCGGCCGGGTCGGGTTGGTTGAGGCCGCCGAGGCGGGCGCGGCCAGCGAGGGCAGCGACTGTCGCGCCATCTGCCGAGCATCGCGATGGCGACGAGCTCCGAGGAGCGCGTTGCCGTGATCAATCCCTAGACAAACAACCGAGAGCAGGCGACTGACCAAAATTCTTCCCTCAGCGTTCGGCGCCTTGGACAACTTGAAGGAGAAGCTCCGGGCTGCCTTCAAGAAGCGCGGCGAGAAGAAGGCCGCGAAGCCCGACGATAAGAAGCCCGAGGAGACCGGTGCTGCTGCCGTTGCGGCCCCGGCTGCTGCTGCGACCGCCGCTACGGAGGCGACCAAGACCGAGACCGCTGCCGCTGCGGCTCCTGCCGAGGCTCCTGCCGAGGCTCCTGCCGGTGAGTCGCTCTGCGAGACAAGAATCCCATCAAGGAGAGAAGAGCTGACAAGATTGGTGATACAGCTGAGACGGCTGCTGCGCCCGCTACCACCACCGAGGCCCCGGCCGCCGAGCAGAAGACGGAGGAGACTCCGGCTCCTGGTACGTCTGGATCACAAATAAATATCCCTTGCCTGCATACTGACCCTTCCAAAGTCGTGGCTGCTGCCGAGACCACAGCTGCCGCCGCTCCGGCTCCTGAAGTGACCCCGGCTCCGGCTGCCGCTGCCGCTGCGGCCCCCGCCACTACTAAGGCTGTCGCTGCTCCCGCTGCCACCGAGCCCACCCCGGCTCCCGCCGCCGAGGCCCCTGCTGCCGAGGCTCCTGCCGCTGAGGCTCCCGCTGCTGAGGCTCCTGCCGCTGAGGCTCCCGCCGCTGCCGAGGCTGCTGCTGCTACTGAGACTCCTGCTGCTGAGGCCCCGGCCGCTGAGGAGAAGAAGGAGGAAGCGGCGGCCGCTGCTACTCCCGCTGCGGCTCCCGCAGCTGCGGTTGCTACTGCCCCCGCTTCCACCGCCTAAACTCTGACCGACACTATCCGACAACGATTCCACGACCCGGCAGAAATGACGGATTGATGGGACACCGGGAAGGCGGTATAGAGGGCGAGTGACACCGGGATGGCGGTCGCTTTGGTCCATCGTTTTCGCGCGGCAGGTGATATGCTGCAGACATGGGAATGATAGGTACCTGACGATGCCACACGGTGCTTGGTGCTAGGTGCTTTGATTTTGCGGGAGCTCGGCGTGGCTTTAAGATATCCCATACTCGATACCCACCGTTAATAATGAATCGCGTTTCTTTGCGTGTGCGATGACGGGTGCATGTGATGGCAGGCAGAAAGGATCGGGTGGAACGCAATGAAGCAAGCAGTGGGTATCCAAATAGAGTGCCAAGTAGAGTGAGTGACAAACATGACATCCAAGATTACAGCATCACCAATCCGCCCCGAAATCCAACCCGCTTCAACTCGCCCCCGCCCCCATTACTCACTCGTCACTCATCCTCTTGGTCCTCATCCTCGTCATCATCATCATCATCCCCCGGATCCGGCATAACAATCCGGTTAAGATGGGTGACCTAACCAAGTCAGCACAGCGCACACCTCTCAACTACATCAACCACCGACGAAAGGAAGGAGGGAAGACTCACAAACCCGACCATATCCCCCATGATCTGGGCAACCGCCGCCTGGGCACCCGCCTGCGTGAACAACGACTCGCCGAGCTTGGTGCCAACCGTGAAGTTCTTCAGCTTCAGCAGCTGCATATCACGATGCTCCGGGTTGAACCCCTTGGGGCGCGTCTTTAACGCCCCCTCCTTATTCCTCTCGGCAAACGCCCTGAGCGCCTTTTCCTCCCCATCACCCCCCTTCTTCCCATCCCCCTCCCCATCCCCCTCCCCCACATCACCACCCCCCTTCTTCCCCTTCCCCCTTCCCTTCTTCTTACCACCACCACCACCCCCCCCAGCCTTGTCACCCAACCCCAACCCCAAAAACCTCTCCCGAAACCCCACCTCGTTCAGCACGCGCCGCCAGCGCTGGGGCCGCTCGTCGATGCTGGCCCGCAGCCTGTGCAGCGCGGGGCCGTCTGGGTGCCACAGCCCGCCGCCGACAAAGCAGGCGCCGGGCTCCAGGTGCACGTAGTAGCAGGCGTAGGGGCCCTTGCGGCCGGTGCGGGAGAAGGCGGCGGAGAAGTGCGCCTGTTTTTTGTTTTTTTGTTATTATTTTGGGTTTTGGTTAGGTTTAGAGGGTGGGTGTGAGGGTTGGAAAAGGGGGATTAGGGGGATTGGGGGAGGGGGGGGGGGGGTACCTTGTAAGGGGTCGGGTCGTTGGTGAAGCGGATGTCGCGGTAGATGCGGAAGTTGACGTCTTTGAAGGGCAGTTCGGGGATGGTGGGGTCCAGGGCGATGATCTTGTCCGTGAGGGTCGTCACGAAAGACTCCCAGTCCTTGAGCGCGCGGCGGTACTCAGCGTCGTGGGCTTGGCTGGTGTTAGCTGGTTGGGGTAATGAGGGGGGATGGAGGGTTTGGGGGGCTTACCCTTTAGCCATGACCGCTTATTGTTCGCCCTGAGGTCGCGGAGGAAGGCGAGTGTGTTGGGGTGCACGGTGTTGTCGGCGTACGCGATGCCGTTGGTGTCGCGCAGCTGGATACGCGGGATGAAGGTTACCTTTGGCGGGGCGTCCTCGTCGAATTCTTCGTCACTTTCCTCAGCTCCTGGCTTGACTACCTCGCCTGTCTCGGCGTCTTCTTCTTCTTCCTCGTCTTCCTCCTTGTAGTCGTCTCCATCGTCTCCGTTCTCATCTGATTCGATCTCAATCTTGGCCTTCTTGGAGGGTCTACCCTTGCCGCTTCCTTTCTTTGGTGTATTACCATTTTCAGCGGCATCAGACTCCGACCCTGCCTCAAAATACTTGCTCTTCTTCCCTGTCGAGCTGACGCGTAATGACCGACGACGTGTTGCGGGCGCGTCGGGGGTTGCGGGAGGCTCCTTGACGGCCGGTGCAGATTTGCGTTTTCGGGAAGGCATGGTGGGATTTGGGTCTGTCTTGAAACTACAAGTCTGGTACAGTCTTGTACGTGAGAGAACTGGCCGTCTCTTGATGACGTCGATGCGTACCCGGGGCGCGTGGAATGGCTTCCTGGCGGATCCATTTAACGCTTTCAACTCGCGAAGGCACGTGATCGAATTAATTGAGTTATGTCAGCGACTCCAAACCTTCAACGCTCCCCGATCTCCACTGAACGAGGACAACTGCATCGAGGTCCTCGAGGTCCTTGCAGATACCACATGCGCCGCAGATCCCCCCTCCATGCATTCACCGTTTTGCTCGGTTCCTCCGTTATGATCCATCCCCAAAGCATCCCGTTCCGCAGGAGCATCGCATGCGAGTTCGGCAACAAAGATGCGCGGGATGAGATCATGGCCGAGTTATGGCATTTGCCCCTCCTGTGGGATGGAACAACCAACAAAATTGACATGATCGTCAGTTGCAGAAGCAACGTTGTATCCGGTTCCCAACGGCCTCTCCGTCCCAGACGAGAGTGCTCGAGCATGAATTCCCCACACGTTCGGAGTCGTCCCCGCATGAACCACACTCTTCTTCCCCACACCCACCCGGTGCCCCTCTCCGACTCCAACTTTGACATGTGAGTTGAGTTTTGAGTCTTGAAAGTGTAACTAGGTAGTGTAAGCCATGTCATCAATTACAACATACTCACTGCCCATCACACCTACAACACACACCTACAACACACACCTACAACATACAACAAACACATAAACAAACCTAGCAACCGCCCCTATCACAATGTCGCTACCACCACCACCAGAACTCGAGACCACCAACACCAGTCCCACCCCCGACCCCCACCCTCACCTAACCGCCCTCCGCACCCACGGCTTCGTAACCATCCCCTCCCTCCTCAGCCCCCAAGAACTAACCGCCCTGCGCGCCGCCGCATCCAACCTCACCGCCGTCGCCCGCGCCGGCGGCTGGCCACACGTGCGCACCGTCGGCAAGCAGTTCCCTCCCTGGGACGCCTCGCTCGTGCCTGACCGCGCGGGGATATGGGGGGTGCAGCATCTGTTGCATCCGGGGTTGCCGGTGGGGGAAGAAGAGAGGGGGGCTTTTGTGGGGGGGTATTTTCATGAGGGGGTGGTGCGGGTTGTGGGGGAGGTGCTGGGGGTGAAGGGTAATAGGGGGGAGGGGGGTGGGGAGGGAAAGGGGGATGGGGGGGGAGAGGAGGGTGGGGAGGGAAAGGGGGGTGAAAAGGGGGATGGGGATGGTGATGGGGAAGAGGAGGACGACGGGGAGCTGACGATGGAGCTCTTCAACATGCTCGTGCGCCCCGCCGGGGTGGGTGTGGCGCCCGGGGACCGCCCGTTCGAGCTGCGCTGGCATCGCGACGACATACCCGCGACGGCGACCGCCGAGGAGGAGCTGGCCAGGCTCAAGGGCCCCGACGACAAGTACGTGCACACGCAGTGGAACATGCCGCTGTATGATGACGATAGTTTGATCGTCATCCCCGGCAGCCACGCGCGCGCCCGGACCGACGAGGAACGGAATGCCGCGCCATATGAGGAGCACATTTCGGGGCAGGTGAGGGTGCAGTTGAAGGCGGGCGATGTGGTGTTTTATGATAACAATATCTTGCATCGCGGGGTGTATGATGTGACAAAGGAGAGGATGACGCTGCACGGGTCGGTGGGGCATGTCGAGGGGAGTCGGGAACGGGCGAGGAATGTACTCCAGCATGGGGTCGGGGATTGGGTTGACCGGTGTGACTTTTCAGCGCTGGGAGAAGGGAGGCAGAGGAAGATGGCCGAAGGAATGAGGAGACGGTTGGTTCAACTAGGGAGAGAAAACGAGGGGAAGGATGTTGGGTTCTCTTTGGAGGGTTAGAAATGTTCTGTTCTATACAGGGGTTGCCCTCCGAGAAGATATTGGGGTCAAATCGGAAAGTTGAGAATAACCCCTTTACATTCACAAACAACCGCCTCCTCCAGCATCCCTTACCCCAACCCTCCGCATGCCCACCCCCTAGTTGCTCTTGTAAACTGCCACGTTCGACGCGAACGTGTTCACGTTATCCTCAAACCACGCCACCCGGCCCCCATTCCGCGTAATCATCTCGCGCGTGCCGATCGTGTTAACATTATACAAGTTAACATTCGTCGCAGATCCCTCAATCGAGATGATGCGCTGCTGGCAGGTCTGACCCGCATCAAAAGTCGAACAGGCAGTGCTGTAGTTGTCGAAGAAGGAGTACAGGCCGCCGCCGTACAGGAAGACGTCGCGCGAGTCGATGACGCGCAGGCCCCACGCCGCGGCGCAGTTGCCCTCAACGCCGGCGCACTGCGCCGTGAAGTCCGGGTCGCGCAGCGCCGCCACGGGTGCGAACGGCACCAGCGCGTTGGGCGTCGGCTGGAAGTACGGCGTCTCCGTCTGGATCTGGCCCATGAAGATGTTGCGCGTGCTGGCCAGCTGGTACTGGTAGAGCACGAAGTGCTCGGACCCCGTGCCCCAGAGCCAGAAGGGCCCGTTCTCGGATTCGATGTCTGCGGTGGTTAGTTAGTGTTTGTTTGGGCGAGTGGCCGGGTGGGTTTAGGCCACTTACAGAGGCCGCGGCCGGCATAGATCGTGATCTGTGTGTTCTGCGCCTCGTCGATGTCGTGGTCGGCAGTCCTGTTCCCCGAGTCAGCTCTGCCCGTCCGTATACCCCTTTCTGTGTGGATGTGCTTACCAGATCCACACATTCTCCATGTACAGCCCGCTCGCCGCTTTGGTGATGTGCATGCCCATAAACGCAACCAGGCAGTTCGGGTTGACGGCCGGGTTACCCGGCGTCTTGAGGCACTGCGCCACCTGCTGCTCCGTGCCGGCGAAGCCGCCGATACGCACGTGGACGTCCCACATGCCGCTGGGCGTGCCGTCGCTGGCGAGGTTCCACTCGATGCAAATCGCGCCGGCTTGCACACCCTGGGTCGAGACGATGAAGTCGGTCAGCTCGACCTGCCCCTGCTGGCCCGACGTCTCGCCGACCTGGACCACCGGCTTCGGGTTGTTGACGTCGTTGAAGAAGGCGCCCGCCGAGAGGATGACGGGGAAGGACTCGCCCACGATCTTGGCGCCGGGCGGGATGCGGATGGTGTTGGTGACGCGGTAGAGGCCGTAGTCGAGGAAGAGGATCTTGTTCTCGGCGACCGCCTTGTTGATGGCGTTCTGGAGCGCCGTCGTGTCGTCGGTGGAGGCGTCGCCTTTGGCACCTTCCGAGCGGACCGAGAGGAAGGACGAGGCCGGGGTGTCCTCGTATTGCGGTTTCGAGCGGGTGTAGTACCGTCCATTGGAGACGAGGGCTCCGGGCCGCGGGTTGGGGGCGATCGGACCGGAGAACTTGGTCGGGCCAGAGGAACCGTAGCTGTGGCCGTTGCCCCAAGCCTCGATTGTCATCGATCCACCAGCAAGCATAGTGCCGCTGGGTCCCTTGACTGCAACGGGGACATTGTCCAGCGCGATGTTCTCCATCACCAGACTGCCAGCTGTGGCAGGGTTAGAGGTCGTGCTCCAAGCCGTGAGGATGGCGACGGGCACGTTGGTAAAGCTGCTATCAATTAGAGTAACCGAGCCTACGTCCAACTTGTTGTTGGCACCTCCTGCTGACATGTCGATACCAACCTCGCAGTTGTTGATGGACAGGCCAGCATAAGTCCAGCCCCAGTCCCAAATTTGGATAATGGCTTCGACTGTTAGCAACAGACCTGTACGGTGAAGAAGAGAACCGGATATTTACTTACCCGTCTTGCAGTTGTTGAACTTGAAGTTCCGCATGGTGTATTGCTGGTTGCCCATGCTGGCACCAGTCGCACCGCCATTGAAGGTGAGGTCCGTCATGAAGCCTCCACTTCCCTCTTCGATGAACAGACCGACGTGGACCACGTCACCCGTGGCAGGCATGTTAAACACGATGTTCTGGAGACTGGTCGCTTGGGATGTCGGCCAGTGCATTCCAGTGGCGGCAGTGCCCGGCGCGATGGCAGTCGTGTCGATGACAAAGTTGCGTACTTGCCGGAAGAAGACATTCTGAGACTTCCAGTTGAGAACGGGGGTGTAGTAGGGGTTGCCGTCGATGAGACCAAAGCCCGCGAAGTTCGAGGTCGCTTTGAGTGTCGGGGGAGACGCAGCGTCGCCGATGAGTTGGGTGAAGTAGGCCGGAAAGATGGATGATGAGATCAGGTATGTGCCAGCAGGGAAGTAAACCAGTGCCGGAGTTGTCGTTGATGAAACCTTGAGAGACCATGAGTACAGCACTTCAACCCACAGTTTCCGCCATCAAATATCACTTACACAGTTCTTGTTGCAAGGATTTCCGGCATTAATGGCAGCGTTGATGGCCGCCGTGTCGTCCGTGACGCCATCACCTAGAGCATATTAGACGAATATCCTCTGACGGCAGTGTCCATGGTGTTGGGAGAAGCGCTCACCTCTTGCGCCGTAGTCCTTGACGTTGCGGAAAACAGGATAGTTTGCTGCTCCGGCAAACGGTGCGAGTCCCTGATCTATCGGAGTGTTAACAACATCGTGATACCAAGCCAAGCAAAGAGAGCTTACGAGGCATTTCCCCAAGCCAGTGTCCCTTCACCGTCGCCACGAGACTGGCCGCAGCCAGCAACGCAGAGAAGAAACGCATGACAACCACTTCTTGCCGGCTATGCAGCCGAAGTCAAGGAGAGGCAGAGATGAGACCAAGGCCGGTTGTAAACAGGCCCGTTCCGCTCGTGGGTGTCTGAGGAAAGGCTTCTTCCACAACAGTCATGGGAGGGAGGGAAGCAGGTAATATACTGCTCGCCAGCCACCTACACCATCATTCCACGGCAAGACACAGGAAGCTATCCGCGAGACAACTCCACGTGCACGGCGGCTACAGGGAGGAAATGATGGAGGTTCGAAGGAGGTGTGCTACCACACTCGGAGTCCACGAGCCGCATAGCGTGACCCTGAGTGCATAATCCCACGTGCTTGGTCGTCTGCCTACTAGGAGATGTAACCATCACCACCGCCAGCAACGACACTTACAAGCCAAGAGGTAACCCACGATCGGGCCGCCCACCAAAGGGCCGATTGTATCTGGCACCATGGCCGGCCTACGCTCCCAAAAGCAAGCATCTGGCCGGGTTGGGTAGCTCTGAGTATGGCTGCTAGAGCCCATAGCTGGTTGCCTAGTCACGGGGTGGAGGAATGCTGGCGCCCTGGAGCCCTTGTATGCAAGAGACATGAAAATTCCTACCACCATACTCCGCTTCAGTACCTCCAGCTCGGCCCAACAACCCCTGACTTCACAAAAGTCCTTTGGAATAAGGTTGAGGGGTTCGGCATGAGCATGCCACATCCCGTGGTATTGCTAGCTGGGCAGCTTCGTCCCATGAGCCTGCAAGCCACTGTTCACAGTTAAGCATGTCTCACCCAGACACTCGGCGGTTGGTGAGTGTAGTTGAGCAGCTGAGCACACTGACACCATCCGGTGACTTGAGTCGATCTGGGCTTCCGAAGTGACCTCCTTTTTTTTGACACACAAGAGGCGGGAAGAGCGGCAACAAGCGAACGATCTGGGGTTGGAGAGTGCATAACGTGAAGAGTCCTCCCTTTGATGAAGGGGTCAGTTGCGCCCCTGAAATGGGTTGGGGGGATTTGATTCGTCCAAGCGGCCGAACTTCTCTGCGAGTGCCGGAGGTAGATGGGGGCGAATAAGGCCGGATACTACCCGCCCATTGCCGCGGGTGACCGCCATCCACGAATCGCCGATCAGATCGTGCAGCTGTGACCCCGTTTGTCTTGTACTCCCTGAGACCTCAAATTCCTTACTTCCTTATTTTGTAAGGTGCTGCAATGAACGATGTCACATCAAAGGCCCAGGATCTAGTGAGGTGAGTATAGGGTTTCCCCAACTCCACAGAGCGGTGCCGAAGCCCGGGTGGTGTTGTTTTGTCACTCAGTCATCGACCCATGGACCCGGGCGTGCTGGCCGATCCGAACCGCATACTTGGATTGTGGACTGTGTAGGTTGGTCAGGGTAACTCACTCGAGGCTCTCGGGGATAGCATGAATGATTTTTCCGAGTCGAGACAATAACAGACCCCCCAGGAGAACGCTACTTGTTTCCCCTTTCATCGCACGAGGCTCTCTAAGCATTGCGTTACGGCTGATTTTCGTCCTCGTCGCTCAGTTTCATCTTGGCCACTGGCGCGTCCTGAGCGGCGGACTGCAATTGCGGATACTGTGAAAGTCGAGGGCTGGAATCCTCGGTGTTCTGGCACCTGTCAAATCGGTGACATCTCCGTGACAAAACGGCTTGTCAGTCTGATAAAAACAACAAACGACTTGAAACGCTGGGGTGGCGGAGGCAGTCCTGGACACTCTCTCCCGAGCCCACGATCGAGGTGAGGCTTTGATGATCTAATCCAAAACAATTCTACCGCGCCAATTTATCTACCCCCGACAAACAGGCCTCAAAATATTTGGGTTCAGGAGTCGGTAGTTGTTGGGAGGTGCAGATTCTGGCGGCGCAGGGGCCTCGCATGCCCGTCCCAACGGCGGCATGGCGGAAGCACCAGCGTGACGGTGGCTCGTTAGTTCAAGCTTCTGCAGCGGCCGAGCACGCGGCTCATCCTGTCGCCCATGATACTGTAACTAACACGGAAGGCGGGGAAGTCGCGGTGAGTTTGACATTGGAGCGAGAGAGCCCGTGGCGCGGAGATATTGATCCCATAGAAGTCGCCCGGATTTTGCCTATTTGAAGCGAAGACGACGCCATGTGGGATGCGGTAGTTAGTACCGGCGGTGGGTTGCTGGCGCCATACGATAACAGATCAGGTTGCGCCTTGTGCTTCAGCGACTCTCGCAGCATCCGCAACTAACGTTAGGTAGTTAGGCAATGGCCCAGCCAAGTCCCGTCACCACCGAAAGCCTGACGTGAGGAGAGTTGCAGTGTGCAACGACACAAACCTGCAGGTAAGTCGGTACTTTTGAATGTTGGAATTTGGGGTTAGGGAAGTCGCATCGGTAGCCGTCACCTAATCACAGTTCCCCCGGATCGGAGGTGCCCGTAGCTGCCGCGGTGCGGTCGAGTGAGGGAGGTATCAATGAACCTGGACGAGATGAGAGGCGGTAGTGGACATTCCGCACCACAATCAGGTGCTAAGCCGCTCGGTTTCCGGAGGCAAGCTTGTGATGCCGCCGAGGGCGCCCCTGTTCTTTCCTCCGCACCACAGGGTCTTTGTGGGGGGGCGGGTCTGCCCTCCTGACATGGGTAAAAGCGAGCTTCCCCAGATCTCCAAACCAGGCACCTCCACTCTCCCCACAATTCATGTCGTTTCGGGATATCACATGAAAACAAGAGGACGTGCCCTGCAATGACCTTGGAAAAACGACGAGCACTCCCCTAGGAGTCAACGGGTCTGTGATGAATGGGAGAAGGGCTTATCGAGATAGAGTTTTGCTTCCTCGGCATGCGGCCCTCGCGTGGGTTTTGCTTTCCAAGACCATCGCCCAGTGTTGGGGTCGCACATCCCTCGGTCCCGGTTCCGTGATGCAATTGTTGTGGGTGGGTTGTTGAAGACGCACCCCGCTTTTTGGTGTAACATACAGAGCCCGGCTCTTCCCATATCCAAGATGTGTACTAAGCTTGAGGGGAAGCCGATCTTCAGTTTGATTGAGGAGACGGCACAACGGACCATGCCACTCTCAAAGAGGTTTGGTAGGAGGTCGTCGGGGCAGATGAGACGGCGGGCGACGTTGACGTCTTTGATGCAAGCGGGCGGGGATCGATTTTCAGTTGCTCGGGTCAGGGCTGAGGCCAAGCTGCGGCGGGGATTCTCAAACTTGGGAGTAACTACCTACAGTAGATAAAACCCGACAAGAGCCCAGTAGCAGAGGAAGACTGGTAAATAATCGGCCTGAAGGCGCTTCTTGCTTGCTTTTGAGGGCCCAGTCTCCTCAACCGAACTTTGAGGTCCGTCAACCCCAAATGGTCCACGGGTGAGCCTGTGAGCCATTCCCCGCCCCCACATTCGGTGCGGAGATTGAAAATTGGGATTGTGTTCCAATGGGGAAGGAAAGGGAAAAATGGGTGGAGCAAGCAGGGACACCGGAAACGCACACACCCCCACTAAAATAGTGCCGTCATTCTCTGAAAGGAAACAGCAGCACACGACCTCAACGAACTTTCGGTGCGTGCCAACTCGATTTTCTTCTTTCCATCTCACCCTGTTGAAATAGAATGTGAGGGTTTGCGTCTACGTAGAAACCAAATCTCCCGATTTCAGATGGAATTAGTATCAAAAAATTAGGATTCTCGGCTTCAGGAAGCAGCGCCTTCCTTGGTTACAAGTGGTGCAGGGATCCGGGGCCAGAACCAATGTCGCGCCTTCTCCCCAGTTCTTCCGATTCCCGAGTGGTTCCTTCCCCGTTTCCCCATCCCCATTCCCCGCGTTTGCGTTCTGCAACCGCACCTCTCAGTTTCATTCGGCCTCCGCGCCAGACTCGCTTGTTGTTGACCTTGATCGCAAACCGACTGCTTCTTCCCCCGTTCCCCGCTCTCCGCCCCCTCGACGTCCCGACCTCGATATTACCACATCAATCTTATTCTTTTTTTCTTTCTCCTCACGCGGCGCCTGCATGTCCGCTTTTGCCCAATCGTGAAGTATTGACACCTCCCCGCCAGAGCGGCAGCCGCCAAGCCCGACTCGAAAGATCACCCAACCCGGCCGCATCTTCAGGCCTTCTGGCTGGCGCCAGATTCCACGATTCGGCCCACTGCTCACGTCCTGGGTCGCCGCCCCCCTTCACGCCATTGTCACCGGGCCTGTTGGATCACCCCTTACCCCGCTCAGCTCCCGGCTCCCACTTCGTTGTCCGAGCTTCGTGCCGTTTGCGTGGGCGCACAGCTCCACAGAGGCTTGCCCCCTAAACTCGAAGCTCCTCCGCGCACCGGGAACACACAGAGATCGGGTGTGCTAGGCAGGCTGATAGTATCTCTCGCGGTACCCTTGACCAACGAGTGAGTGACGGCGGGTAGGGACGGCAAGTGTGTTGGTACGTGAGCTTGGAAGGAGGGTAGCAGACACGGGGGGTCCAGCGGAAGTACCTTACCAGAAGCCTGTTCACGGACCACGAGGACGGACGAGATCAACCTAGGAACCGAGTATTACTATTCCGTATCAAGGCGGGCATGACTACAACGCCTTGATTCGGCCATTTTGTCTCTCACCGACAACCACCCCGCAATAGGTTGGTTGGCAGTATTTGGCAGCCAGTTCCCCCCTCTTACTCCTCCCTTCCCCCTATCCCCCACTCCCGAGAGGGACGCGAGGTGGTTTCTCCTCCGCCACACTGGAGAGTCCCCGTCCCAATACCCCAACTGGACCAGATCACCCTCCTTTTCTTGCGCAATGTTGCCCCTCCAGTCAATCGAGGCGTCACCCCCGTCCAACCATGCCGACGAGAATGGGGAAACCCGGCACCAGAAGCCCAAGGCGCTGCCGTGCAAATATTGTAGCAAGCGTTTCAGGTCAGTAGTTGTCAGAGCTACCCCGTCCGGCTCCTCTGCCGTATATTGACTTACATTGCTATCTCATATTAGACGTGTGGAGCATGTCCAGAGGCACGAAAGAACCCATACCAAGGAAAAGCCCTTTGCTTGCGCATGGCCTCGTTGCGGGAAGACGTTTGGGCGACGGTGAGCGAGTCCTCTTTAGTGTGCACCCTTGTTGTGCTTTGTACCGCCTCCGCATGGGATTTGAGCCCTAGCCTCGCACAGGCTCCTCCAACCCGTCTCCTCCCAGATACCTACCCTCTCTGCCCCCTCCCCAAAGCGCTCCGAACTCCCACTTCCTTTTCCAATTCCGTGCTCCAACACGCTTGCCCCTCATCAATCCTCAACACCTACATACTGCGCCAGGACGACGGGTTTGTTGAGGTTTTCTTGTCCTCACGTCGCTCATTGCTTGAATATCCTTTCGTGATGAACATATGCTTATATGGACATCAGGGACCTACTTGTCCGCCATGAGAAGCTTGTCCATCTTAACGAAGGCGGCAGCAACAAGGATGGCGGCAGGCCGCGGAAGCCCTCGTCGGCGGGCATGGCTCCCGGCGGCCCGCCCGAGAGCCAGGTTGACACCGAGATGCTCGGTATGCAGCAACAGCAGCAGCAGCTTCAGCAACATCAACAGCATCCACCGCAACAGCAACAGCAAAAGCCACGACCGGTGCACAACCAGTACCAGACAGACCCAGTGCAGCAATCTGTAGTGGCATCGCTTCCTCAAGACTCGCGCCTCGCCACACGAGCCCCTGCCTGCAACCTCGATCTTCTCTCCGACGCCGCGACTCACCTTGCCTCGGGTGGAGAGGTCAACAACATGCAACCGGCCATGATCCAAGGACTCGCACCACCTCCAACAGACTTGACGCCGGTCAAAGCCTACCACGATGCGATGCCGTACGGGGATCGGCCGCGGGATCAAGACCCGGGCGTGTTGGCCCCGGGTTACCCACCGCAACCCCCGCCCCCCGCCTTTGATGATTACAACCTCTTCCTCGACGACTACGCCACGTCCTCACATTTCCTGCCACCATCGCTTGATGCCGAGCAAGGTTTCAGTAGTATGTGGTCGCGACCTCCCGGCGCTGAAATGGGACGGGGGCTGTCAAAACCTCCATCGGCGTTTCCGTCTAGGTTTCCCTCCCTTGCTCCTGATCTGCGGGATCCGACTGGGGAGGCGCCAAGGATGCATGAGGACGGAACGCGAGCGCCGATATGGAGAATATCAGCCATGGACCACTCTGTCATCCGGAATCGGCTGGATGAGTTTTCCTCGGCCCTTCCTAACGATTTTGTGTTTCCTTCGCGACACACGCTGAACAGGTTTCTCGAGGGTTATATAAGTGGCTTCCACGACAACCTTCCTTTCCTCCATCTGCCTACTCTATCCCCCACCGATATGTCGCCCGAGCTGCTGCTCGCAATTCTGGCCGTTGGGGCGCAATACCGTTTCGAAACGAATCGCGGCCACGCTTTATGGTATGCCGCAAAGTCAGTAGCGCTTGAGCAGATTCGACGCAGACACAGCCATGAAGTCCACGGCTTGCTACCCACACCAGCCGCCTACAGCCCACATTCGACCCGCCCATCTCCGAGTTCTGGGTTCCGGCATTCTTTTCCTTCCGTTCATCAAGACCGCCCGATGACACAAGACACTCATCGGGAGCCCTAGTAAGACCCCCCCCCCCGGAATAAATTGGTGAACCCTGATGTTGACCATGTAGTTCCCCGAATACGCCTCAGTCGCGACTCGAGACAATCCAGGCCCTGCTCCTCCTGTTTTCTGTCGGTCTCTGGGGCGCGAAAGCGATTCTTCATGAGGCCTTGTCTTTGCAAAGTTTGCTTGCCCTCTTACTACGCGAAGAGGGGCTGGTCGCAGAGCCAAACCAGCAAACGACAGATTGGGAGACCTGGGTTCGACTTGAAGCGAGCACAAGAACCAAGCTCGTTGCCTACTGCTTTTTTAACCTCTGCAGCATCGCGTACAATACGCCGCCGTTGCTCCTGACTTCAGAGGTCCACCTATACCTGCCTAATCCTTCTCGTCTCTGGAGCGCTGAAAGCGCCTGGCAGTGGCAGGAAGCTCGGCAGTCTTACCCCAACATGGAAATTTCACTTCAAGATGCGTTTGCACAGCTCTTGCACCGCCCTTCGCAATCACCCACGACTCCGCATACATCACTGAGCAACTACATTCTCATCCACGCCTTGATTCAGCACATCTTCCTGTTGAAGCAGACGTCCTTCTCCAGTATGACACCATTTGGGATACAGAGGGGGTTGAAAATGGAAGACGTGGAAGACATCAACCAGGCGCTGCGCGCTTGGAGCGTCAATTTCGAGCAGCACCGCCAGTTTCGGGCAAACGAGATGGCGGCGCATGGGGCCGCGGAGGGATACACGGAAGGCGCTGTAGCGTTCAACTCGACAGCGCTGCTGAGGTTGGCCTACATCAGGTTACACACCGACCTGAGCCCGAGCCGAAGCCTTGAGACACGGGATCATGTCATGATCGCACAGGCATTTACCGACGCTCCGCTCCTGGTCCGGAGCGCGCGTCTCTGTCGCGCCGTGGTCCAGGCCATCCACGCCCTGTCCATGCTTGTCAAGATGGGGGTGAATTACGTGGCCAAAACCAAGTCGTTGGAGTGGAGCATGCAACATTCGTGTAAGTCACTCACGTCCTTTCCAAGTTCGGGAGATCTTCACCCGAGAACCTTGGCCTGACCTTTATCCAGTGTGCAATCTTGAGTGTGCCGTTCTCCTGTCAAAGTGGCTCCTCACCCTGGCGGCAATCGGCCCGACAGAGCCGCCCCCATCAGCCGAGGAGAAGAACCTCCTCGAAATGGTGCGCCGCATGCTTGATGAGACCGAGTTTGCCGTTCCGATCGACCCATCGCTAGCGGGATCATCCAGCGGCCATGGCCACGGCCACGGCCACCACCCGTCGCGGTCCATGGACCTATCTGCCACTGACAGCACGAAGCTCAGGCAACTAGCCTGTGCCGTGATTCGGCTGTGGGCAGAAACATTCAAGGGCACGCACATCTTTGAGATTGTGCGCATTATTGCAGCGGGGCTAGAGGGGTACGCGGACATGATGGAGAAGCCGAGGGATAGGACGCCGCTAGGGAGGATGGTCCCGAATCAGGGGCTCAGTTGAGATTCGGTTTCGCAGGTGACGGATCTAATAAACGATCTTTGGTGTTCCACAACGGAGCAGGAGTGTCCGCGCCGCTGATAGACGGATCCTCGACCCTCATACGGGGGAAAACTACACCCGATCCATTTGGGACGTCCACCACCTGTGCAAATGTTATATTGCATTATGGGCTCGTGACGCTCATCAGCTCCGGCTAGGTGCGCATACGCGCTCGAATCATGTCTAGGCCTAGAAAGAGAGGGGCCAACAACCTTTTGGCCTTGATGGCACCATTTGAAGCTTCCAATGGGCCGGTAGTTAGTGCCCAGGAGGATCGGTACCAGTGATTGCTGGACGCAGGTGTGTACCACGCACTGATTTAGTGTGTTCCTGTTGTTGTTTTATAGTGGCATCACGCAGAGACATACATGGTGTGTATCACGGCCGGTGAGATAGCCTACCACGCATGCAGCACGGCATACAAGCAAAAATAGATACATGATTGTAACGCAACCCGTTGCGTCGGATCAGAGCCCCAAGAGTTGAGGGTTCAATTGACAATCCTGCCACGATGAACGGAGCTCCGATCAAAGTCGCGAAAGGCGGGATGGGCGCGGCACTGCATTCACACTGACATGGCCCCCAAAATAGCGAGACAATTTTCGAGTCTGCGCGGTATAACCGTGAGAGCAGGTTCGTTTTCTAGAAAAAAAGCATCATAAAATGCAAAAAGTTTATTTACCGTGCGCTACCCGCCACTAGACAACGGGATATCAACCCTCCTGCCCCCGCCCTTAACACTGGCTACCGCCGTTTGGTAGTACTCAAACACACCAACAACAGCATCAACCCTGTCATCAAACTCTCTGCTTTCCCACGTATCCTATGCAGCGAACAGCTGGCTACCTACCTAGCTAGCTGCCGCAACGGCCCAAAAAGATGCTACTTTCCTCACTCCCTCCCTTATATCACACCCCACCTCCGCCCACTTTATCATCCCTATCTCCCAGATACGTAATACTTGACACACCTTTCCAAACATCGACACACCTCATCTCATTCCGTCCCTCCCTTGAACCAAACATACACCCACCCCTCGTCACCCACACCAACTCACACGCACACCAATACCTAACCCCAGTAAACTCAGTAAGCCGCAGTCCGATAATACCCCTCCGCCGCCGGCGCCGACGGCGCCGTAGCGCCCTCATCCCCAGCCGGTCCCGGCCCCGGCCCCGGAGCAGACGACGCTACCGGCGGCACATAAGCCTTGTACTGCGGCTGCTGCGGCGGCGGCGGACCGCCGACTGCCGGAGCACCACCACCACCACCACCGCCGGCGCCACTAGGGCCTGGCGGCCCGCCCGTCACCCTGCTGGGCAGCGACTGGCGCGCATCGTATGCCGGCCCGGTAGGGTGCAGCGGGGGCGGGGACATGGCCGGCGGCACCGAGGGGGGCGCGTGGGCGCCGTCGACCGTTGCGGCGTCGTAGCTTCCGCCCGGTGCTGCTCCGTAGGGAGTCTGTTGGGGTGGGTGAGGGTGGTAGGTGGAGTATTGCTGGCCGTAAGACGGTTGTCTGAGTTCTGGACTCGGGGCCGACGGGGCCGAGGGGGCTGGAACGGATGGCGGAGGGATGGAGGGTGCGGCGGGAAGGCTGGAATTCGATGCCGCGGCGGCGGTGTAGGGATCTTCGTCTGGGGTGACGTACGCGGAAGACGGGTAGGGCCCAGCGGGGTTTGCGTTTTGAGGTGCGATGGGGGAGTCGTAGACCGAGGTGGAGAGTTCCTGCGGGCCGCTGCCGTAGGTGCTCTGAGGACGCGCGGATGCTTGGGGGACTTGGTAGGGAGTGTATTGATTTGCCGGCGGCGGTGATGCGGACGTCTGCAGTGGCGCAGGTTGCTTGCCGCCGGACGGGACCCGTTGTTCCGATGGGCGTTGGGCGTACTGCGGCTGCTGAGGCTGCTGAGGCTGCTGCTGCGGCGTCGGCGGGGGTATTTGGGTCTGCTGGGACGGAACCTCGGCACCTGCTACGTAGAACGGAGCAGGAGTGGCTCCGGGGCCAGGCCGCTGGAAGTTATTAGGTGGAGGGGAAGATGGAGGGTATTGGGATGGTTCTATCGATATATACATCAGCTATGCTCGGGTTTCTCTCTAATTTCCTAGCTCGACCGAAGGCGTACCTTGAGCAGGCGCCGGTGTGTAGAACCGTTGCGGCTCTTGCTGCGCAGGGGGTGCGTTATAACCTTGTCCGTGGGGCGGGTAGCCCTGGGGAATCGGTGGGCGCATGGCATATTGGTGGTAGGTAGGCCCTGGAGGGTGCGACATAGATGACTCGAGCAGAGCCTCGTAATCTCTCCTGGCCTTGATGAACTTCTCATTGAGCTGAGTGAAATCGTCTGGATAATGTCAGCACTGTGCCCGAGTAGTGGATGCTCCAACGGGCGCAATCACCTTTCTTTTGAGAGTACTTCTCGATCAATTTGATGAGCTTTGGGCGAATCGCCAACGTCTGATGGTAAAGCTTCTATTTGCGGGTTAGCGCCTGAAATATTGTGAGATGCGAGACATGAGGAATAGGCGTACCGAGATCTCCTCATTGTCTTCCTCTTTCGGGCCGGTGTTGCTGGCACTCAGCAGGGTCAACAACTTTTCGACGTTCTTGATCTCGGCAAAGACCTCGGCCTCCATCTGGGCCTCACGTTGAAGCTCGTCAGGCGTAGGGTCCGTCAGCTTCTCAACATAGTTGAGCGGGAAGATGCCCGTCTTCCCCTTGAGCGAACCCCGCCACCAATCCTTGTAGACGCTCTCGAGCACGGCGATGACGTCGCCCTTCTTGAACTCCAGTTCGCCCGGTTCCGACGGAGCAAAGTCATAGAGAGCCCTGACGCGGGACACGGTTGCGGCTGTGGTGCCGGACGGCATGGGCTGGATAGGTGCGGCGGGCTGTTGTTGAGTTGCAGGTCCCGCAGTTGTTGACCCCGCCGCCCCCGATGGCCCCGCTGCTGCTGCTGCTTGGGCGGGCTTCTTCTTTCGCTCCTCCTCCTGCAGACTCAGCTTGAGCGCAATCTGGAGCTCATCCTCTTCCTTTTGACGATCCTGGTCGGTGAGGCTGTTCTTTTGCGGCGCGCTCGGCGGCTGGAGCGTCGGGTTGCTCTGCTTGAGGCGGTAGAAGGCGTCGTACATGATCCCGAGGTCCGGGTCTGACTTGAACATATCTGACCAGTCCTTCATGCGCTCGAGAATTTTCGCTTTGACCTGAGTGTGTGTGTTACGGTCGTTGGCAAGTTTGAGCATGGCGTCGGTAAAGGCGCGGCTCGACAGCTCGCGGTGCATGTTCTTGCCGCAGTTTTGCGACAAGGCATTGGCGACCTGGTAAGCATGTTAGTTTGTGACAGCGATGGCTGGAAGTTGATGCGCTCACCTCGAGCGTGTACAGCTGGACATTGGCGTTGCGATGCGCTAAGCGTTTGATGAGGCTGGCTACCGACTCCTTTGGCCCGTTCTGGTCGCCGGCGACTCGATCGCATATCTCCATAATGGCACCCCAGTCTTCGGACGTCTGGTTCTCATCGGTGGCCTTGTCTATGGAAGGGGAATTTGACGTCAGCTGGGCGCCCCAACATGCACGGCATCTCTTTCCGGAAACATACTGATGGCCTCATCATATGGCCCGGCCGCAGCCGCTCGGAACATGGTGACGGCTGGCTAATAGGTCTCGAACGATGGTGGTAGGAAGAGGGCGAGCTCGAAGTCTCGGAAACGTTGGATTGTATGTTTGTTTAGTGGTTCGGCGTCCAACAACTCTGGCGTTGGAGTGTTGATGATTTGCTTGCCCCGCTCGGTATTTACACGCAAGGCTCTCGGAGTCGGGAAGTTGGGTTTCTAAAAAGTCTGCGATTGTGTTGGGCGAGCAAAAACCCGAGTCTTGAAGTTTTTGATACCGCAAGTCCAAGGTTGCGTCAGCGCAAGCAAAGTATCGGGGTCGAAATATTACGAAGTATGCGGAGCAACCTATGTTGACCTGGAAGGAAGATGGATGATGGAACATTGGTGGGCAGTGCCGCGTGGTTGGTGGCTTGCTCGCTATGACGGATCCCCAGGCGGGCAGGCAGCTTCCATGCCGATTCGCCCCGCACCTTTCCAAGCTCAGTGCCCCCTGTCAGCTGCCCTGCGCATCATCCCTGCTTGGCGCCGCAGCGTCGCTGAACTTATTGCTTGGCAGATCAAACGCCTCGCGGCTTTCGCCTTCCATTGCGTAGGTGCTTGCGCAGCCACAATAGGCGCGCATATGGCAGCGGACAACATCAGCCATGAAGGAGCGGCGAGGAGACGAGCGTTCACAATTAAATTTCTGACGATCGACGTGATACAAAGAGCTAAGCATCAGTTGGAGGGAATTTTACTCCTAACCTCCTACCATACGACATAGTGGGAGTATACCCATCCGATGAATGATGAACCACATAGGGGTCATGACGGTTCAGCAGATTTGTAGAAAGATGCCACTTGCATAGCTCCGTACATACCAAATCGGGTTCACCTGTTTTTCCAACTCAAACCCCCTATACAAAAAGAACTGCTCTAGAGAGTCTAGTCTATCAAAGCTAGCCAAAGAGAGCGACCTCCATCACGCCCTGAGCGCCCCTCCTTGACTGTACGTACCCGTTCCAGCCTCTCACTGCTCAAACGCTCCCTCGATTTTAAACTTCTAGATGACCTCGTCTTAGGCCTGCGCATCCCTCATATTGCGGAAGAAGTCCATCACGCCGGTGTAAACAACAAGTAGGATACCGCCGCCGGGGCCCAGTCGGAGGACCTTGGGAACGAAACCCTTGTAGAGAGCTGCGAACCCTTCCTCCTTGGCCACCGTCGCCAAGGAAGGCCAGGCCCAGTTGTACTTGAGTGTTTGGCCGGGGACCCTGACGCTATTTTGGATACGACTCTTCACGACGTCCATGGCTAGGAGGGTGTCAGCTAGATATATTTTGTTTCATGAGGTGCCTCGGGACGGGCCGAGGAGAACCCATGACAGCTGGAAAGTGGTAGATATTTGGATCCGACGTACGAGTATTGAGAATGGTGCCGACGGTGCCACCGACGGAACCGGCAATGATATCGTTAAATGTTTGACCCCCTTTCGTCTCGGCCTTGGGGAGCAATTGTCGGACCTGGAAGATGCAGCCGAAGTAGCCGGCGTTCCAGAGGATATGGCGCCATAGAGTGGACTCGAGGCCGTTGTACATGGCCAGGATGCCCTCGTTGCGCACCGTCTTCAGAACGACGTCCACCATGCCGTTGTACTTGCCGGCCGAGGCCTTGTCCTGGAGGCGGATCTTGACAAGCTCGAAGGGGACCACGACGAAAGATTCAGTGGCACCGGCCGAAGCACCAGTCAGAACCGAGAGGGATTGTGTCATGGTCTGCTGGCCGAACATGTCCCTGTAGAACTTGCCCCACTTGTCGTTGGCGGCGAACTTGGTGGCGCGCTTAGGCGCTTCCATAAGGATGGGAGCGGTAATGCCGCGGTAGAGTCTCGAGAAGCTGCCAGGATGTCAACAACAGTGCCCTATGCATCCAAACTTTTCCCAGGCAACGCATACCCCTCATTGCGGATGATCTTCCGGAAGCAGTCGAGCATGCCATTGTACGAATCGGCGCCGCCGCCCGTGCCGGTCTGCAGTTGTCTAATAGGTTGTCAGTCGAAGCGTATCGGCACGGGCCGTAGGCGGCTGCTCACACTCTTGTCTTGACGACATCTAGCGGGTACCTGGTGCGCGACGAGGTTAGCAACTTTGAGGCACGCGACCACGAACAGGGATGGCTTACATGACCAGGATCTATGTGCGCCCGGGCTGTTAGCATGTCAGTTAACTAGTATTGGGGCCATTGGTCAACGTGCTTCAGATACACCAGCAATGGCGCCTATTCCATGGTCATGGTTAGCTATCCGAGACTCCGCGGTCCGTGTCGGAAATCTCTCGGAAAGCGCTCACCAGCCATGAAAGTGTAGCGGAAAGGCAGCGGGGCCTTCTCCTTTTCTGGCGCCATCTTGTCTTGTTTTGGGGCGAGTTTACTGCGAAAAAAATATGGGACAAATGAATAAACAAAAAGAAGTTGGTCGAAAAAAATAGGGTATCAATAAAACTGCGGAAGGCGAGTGTGTCGTCGCTTGAATTAGCACGCCGAGAGCGGGACGGGAGTTTTGGTACCTAAGGTAACCGGGATGCAAGCCGCCCACCCCACATTGCGCGCAGATTTCCGTGGGGAACGACATCGGAGGGGTCCAAAACTAACCCTGGCTCTGATCCGCCGTTCCGGGAACCGGCTAAAATGCAGAACTCTCTAACTAACCCTAACCCGCATCATTGAAACGAATCCCCCCAGACGCCCAGACACCGCGGGCTGGACGCCACATTTGTAAATCGAGTGACATGGAAACAGAATAACCCAAGATAGTAAAGAATTCAATCGCGGGGGAAATCGAACGGCTAAGATAAACAAACAATGAAGTCTCGGACGAACAATGGCCGTTCCACCTAATCCTGTGGTACGGAGGTTGGTTAACTCGGGAGGTGGGCAAATGTTTCCCCTCGAGTGTTTCCTCAACAATCCCACATGCACGTTTCATCGTCACCAGGCCCGCCCCGAAGCATCTGCACGTCTTCCATCCCATGCAGGCGGCGGCATTCTTTGGTCCGGGTGTCCGGGTTTGCAGTTCGATAGTTCAGAGACAGGGCTGAGCTGTTGTCTCCAAGCGTTTGGGGCATGAGCATGCAACTTGGAATCCGATTGGTCGTTAGGAAGATGCCCAGACCAGGGCAGTGTGGGTGCGGAACTCGAGGGAACGCGGGGCTATCGCGACGGTTGCGCACATGTTCTCGGAGATATGACCAAGTCACTCCCCAACGACGCCGATTACATTCCCGCTTCCTTTCCAGAAAGAGAACACTCCGACAACAGTGCTCAGGGTTTACATTCCAAACACGACAGCAAAACGCGAAAGCGAAGCAAACGGAAACGGATATCGAGACTTATCGAGAACAATCACGCCGTTAAGCTACTTCCGAGGAACCCGTGTTCTGATCGAAATCGCCACGCACACAAGAATTGCACCCATTGGTCTCTGGCCGAGCGCACAAACCTCGGGGGTCCAACCCGTCCTCGACGTGGGAAATCTTTTCACGAGCTTCCTATCGCACCTTTAAATAGGCCGTGATCCAACGAGACCACAGCGAGGTGCATGCGAAGCTTGAAACAAGAGACAACCCACGATTAACACCCGGCACATGACGCATCTGCTTTGGAAACACTATTGGGAAGACGATGTCGACCGATTTCGACGCCTTCTCGCCCCCGCCGGCCCCGGGACCCAGAGCGGCCCCCGGAGCTCTGGATTGACTCCGGGAATAACGGGAAGTCCAGGTTACGGCACTTCGCCGCGCTCTGCCACCAAGTCGCGCAAGCTTCCGGGCTTTGGAACAGGCTCCGGAAGCACGCGCCACGGCTACGGTGGCCTCGGGCGGAACGAAGTGAACAGCCGTGACCAGGCCGGGCTCACCGTTTTGCTACGCGCAGCATCTTCGACCGCCAACAATGCCATCTCCTTCGTGGAGGCACTGCTCGAACACCCCGCCATCGACATATACGTTCAGGATACCGAGAATGGCTGGAATGCGCTACATCGGGCACTATATGCAGGGAACATATCCATCGCGAGACTCCTGTTGGAGAAGGAGTCCAAGGACCTGACAGGGCATACGTCTTCACTGCATCGGGTGGGGCAGCTCATTAAGACGAAGGATCACGAGGGCTACAGTCCGTTTGACTTGTATAACTCGACCATCGGCGAGCGCAACCTCAACGAGCTAGTCAAGCAGCAAAAGCTTGGTGAAGAATCCGACAGCGATGAGGCTGAGGCTTATTTGGACCAGACGCTGTGAGCTTCTCTTGTCTTTCGTCTCCGTTTTGGGGCGTGCTTCTGCGGTTCCAATTCTGACCCTAAACAGAGGCACGAAAAATGTAAAGGCTTCCGGCGAGGAGCTATATGCGTTCGGGAGCAATAAGAATCTTTCTTTAGGTTTCGGTGACGAGGACGATCGCCAATTCCCAGAGCGCGTGTACCTCAAGCGTCCGGATGACTTGCTGCGGAGGTTTCACAGGGAGTACCTTCAAGCCACTGGCGAAGGGCGTCCAGCATCTCAGGATTTGACCAAGATCCCTGCCCTCGTTCTGAACCGACCGTTGATGATACAAGACGTGGTTCTTTCCAAGCTACACAGTGCGGTCCTAACAGCGGACCCGGTATCGAACCTTTATGTCTGCGGTGTTGGTCGTGGAGGGAGGCTCGGTCTTGGGGATGAGAATACGCGGTTCACATACACGCCCATACAGGGACCGTTTGTTGACAAAAAGGTCGTCCAAGTTGCCCTCGGCCAAAACCACTCGATGGCTGTCGATGACACCGGCGCGTTATGGACGTGGGGCAACAACGCCCAGTACCAGCTGGGATACACGCTCCCCGAGCCGGCCAAGAAAGACGAGGATCCTCTCAGCACCGTTCCACGCCAGGTTTTTGGCCCTCTGAAGAAAGAGGTCATCGTTGGGATCGCGGCCTCCTCAATACACTCGGTCGCGCATACCGGCACATCGCTGTATTGCTGGGGTAAGAATCTCGGCCAGCTGGCGTTGATGGACGCCGATTCCAGGTCACTCGAATATCAGCAAACGCCCAGGAAAGTTGCAGCCTCCTTATTCCAATCGCCAATCGTTATGGTGACTGCAATCGACAAAGCTACGACGATATTGCTCCAGAATCACACCGTCTGCATCTTCACGGCATACGGTTATCACATCGTCAAGTTCCCGTTTGCGACCCTCGACCTCGTCGGCAACATTCAGCTATCCACTCGCCAGAACCCGGCTTGGAACCAAATCAGCTCCATCACGTCAGGAGGAGAAACAATTGCCGCCGTCACGAGGGGTGGTAACCTATTTACAATGAACCTCGACCACAAGATCGAAACGAATCCTTCAACCACGTCTACCACAAACCCTTCCAAGATCAAGGGTGCGGTCACGCCGGCGCAGTGCATTTGGTCTGCCAGGCGGGATGGGGTTCGCTCTGTTGGCGTGGGTGAGCATGGCTCCGTCATCATCAGCACACAGTCTGGCGCTGTGTGGCGAAGGGTAAAACGAACCAAAGCAAAGGATGCGTCGCATTGGTTGTCAGAGTCCAAGCGGAAGGACTACAAGTTCCAGCGCGTGCCCTGCATCACCAAGGTTGCCACCGTCCGGGCTTCAGCGTTCGGTGCGTTTGCCGCTATCCGAAAGGACTCGGAGGTGATGAGGGAACAACTGGCCATTAACGACCAATCCATCTGGCAAGACGTGGCGCCATTAAACTGTCTCGGCGGTTTCCTGGCGTCGGAGCCGACGGACAAGAAGGATGAGGTCTGGACATTTTGGAACAAGAATGAGCTGGGGAAACTTTTTGGTCCAGTGGCCTACGAAGTGCTAAAGTCTTCCGACATCGACCATGACTTGTCACAGCACCTTACATCGTTGTCATACCAGAACGACTGGTTGGACACAGCTGTCTGCACGTCCTCTTCACTTGATACCAAGATACCAGTTCATGGTTGGCTGCTTGCGGCTCGCAGCCCCGTTCTTCGAAGTGCACTGGCACAGTTCCGCAAGGCGGGGTTTTTCGCCCACGAGATGTTCAGCATCAGCGATGACGACGGCAGGGCGGTAGTTCTCTTCCAGGGCCTGGACCTAGTTTCGCTGCTCAACCTCGTCCTATTCGCGTACGAGGATAAGGTGATTCCTGTGTGGAACTTCACCGGCCACGTCCGGCCGCTGGCACATCGTTATCGTCAGATCCGCCAGGAAGTAATGAAGCTCGCCACCCGCCTCAGCATGAACAGTCTCGAGGCGGCAGCGAGGCTGCAGGTGGAACCCAAGAAATGCATGGACCAGGATTTCCGGCTTGCCATCAAGGACCCGCGTTTCTTCACGGATGGCGATGCCTTGCTAGAGCTTGAAGGAGCCGATGTCCCGGTCCACAGCGCCTTCATTTGTCAGAGATGTCCTTGGTTTCAGGTACTCTTCTTTGGGCGCTCCCAAGGCACGTGGCTGGAGGGCCGCCGAGCGATCTCGGGTGGTCGGATCAAGATCGATTTGACCCATGCTTCCGCCAAAGCGTTCAAGTATGTTCTGCAGTATCTCTATGGAGACTGCGGAGCTGAGCTATTTGACCCCGTTGTGTGCGACACTTTTGAAGACTTCCTAGACCTCGTTATGGAAGTCATGTCGATTGCCGACTATCTGATGCTGGACCGGCTGTCGCAGATATGCCAGCAGATCATAGGTCGGTTTGCGAACGTTCGCAACATTGCTGACCTCCTGAACGCCATCAGTCCCTTCTCAATCACGGAATTCAAGGATGGGGGGTTAGAGTACATCTGTCTGCAGCTAGAGACGATGCTCGAGAACCATCTCCTAGACGAATTGGATCGGGATTTGCTTCTCGAGCTGGACGAGGTGGTCCGAGACAACCAGGCCGCCCAGTCATCGTTCGTACGCAGTTGCCGCGCCGAGCTACTGCTTCATGAACGCAATCATTGGCTGGCCGAGGAGATCGACCAGGAGCGCCAGCGCCGGGTCAAGGAGCTCGGATACAAAGCGCAGAGGGAGGAAGAGAAGAGGCTTCTGTCCGCGGTCAAGACCCGATATGGCAGTTTGGATGACATTAGTCCTCTCACGCCCACCCCTGACAGGATGAGAAACGTGTCGAGGGCGGAGCGCAGCGAGGCTCCCAGTCCTAGCCTTCGGCCAAAGGCGTCGCACGGAGATATGATCTTTGATATGGATGATGAGTTTTCGCCAGTCACTAGTCCTTCGACGAGGCCTCGGAAAACAGACGAGGGGACGCCGGATTTGGACCAGATCCCGCCACTGGGTAGCTCCTGGAAAGGTAAAGGCAAGAAGGTACGGCTCGATCTCGGATCGGCATCACCAGTCAGCCCTTTTGGGATGCTACGCACGCCAGTCAAGCCGGCGAATGGGGTTAGTCCGGATATGGTCGCTGCAACGCCCCTACAAGCAGGGCAACCCTGGGGATCTGGGACAACGCCAACTTCGAAGCTAGATCTGCGTGACATCATTCAGTCAGAGACAGCAACCCAGTCCATCCTCTCGGAGGGTCTGGCAGCGCAGAGGGCTAAAGAGTCAACACCAAAGTCAGCGCAGCAGAAGATATCGCAAAAGGAAAAGAAGCGGCAACAACAGGCCGCACAGGCCGCCCAAGCAGCACTGCTCGCGGCCAAGGCGGACGGGGCCAAGAACGCGTGGGAGCGGTCCCCCGATGAACCCCAGGCCTCGCCTTGGAAAACGGTCAGCAAGGACAAGACAGCATCCAAGGGGCTGCTCTCCCCGGACGCGCCGACCGCCATCCCAATCCACCGCCGTACAGCCTCCCCCGACACGCGCTTCTCGGGCCAACGCACCCCGAGCTCAACCACCACCACAACAGCAACAACAACCCCCAAACCCAACCCCCTTCCCGCCACCCCCATCCCAACAACAGCAACAACAACACCAACCCCAACAATAACAACAACAACAACAACAACAACAACAACCCAACCCGACCCCGTAGTAACCCCGCACTCCAAAGTCTACCTCCCCCCGCCCCCCAAACCGGACTACCTCGCCGGCCTGGGCCTGCGCGACATCATGGGCCAGCAGCGGCGCGACAAGGAACAGGTGCGGGAGGCGGCGGCCAAGCGGTCGCTGCAGGAGATCCAGCAGGAGCAGGCGTTCCAGGAGTGGTGGGACGCCGAGAGCCGGCGGATGCAGGAGGAGGAGCGGAGGCGGGCGGAGAGGGTTGAGGGGTTTGGTGGTGGTGGTGGGGGTGGGGGAGGGGGAGGGAGTGGGGAGGGAAGAGTGGGGGTGGGAGTGGGAGTGGGAGTGGTGGGGGGAAGAGTGGGGGTGGGAGTGGGAGTGGGAGTGGTGGTGGGGGGAAGAAGGGGAGGAAGGGGAGGGGTGGGAGTGGGAGTGGGAATGGGAGAGGTGGACGGGAGGGTGGTGGTGGTGGTGGTGGTGGGAGGGGGAATGGGGTTGATGGTGGGAATGGGAATGGGAATGGTGGCGGGAGTGGGAGTGGTGGGACAGTCAGCTCGAGAGGTGGCGGTAAGACCAGAGGGAATGGCGGCAAGGGCCGAGGTGGTGGTGAGAGAGGAGGCAGGGGTGGAGCTGGCGGGAGGAAAGAGACTGTTTCAGCAGGCGGGAAGTAATCACAGAGTGGATGGATGAGATGGACATGTGTTGTTGTGTATAATGGAAGGTAACCATGGCGATAGACAAGGGCAGGCAGGACATGGCAGTCTGGCACCCGCTAGGGATTGGAGTTGGAGGATCGTCTGCTTTTGTCTGTATATCTCAGCAAACTCCCTGCATAGCATTACGGCTATCCGTACATCGCCACTGATGATGGCCATGGAAGCACCGGCGTTGCATTTTTAGAACCATGAATGCCTCCCAGGTCGTTTTGATGTGGCCGCCTGAGAGACGGCCACATGGTGGCTCTGTGTGAACATCTGCCGGTATGCCACGACTCGGCCGTGTAACTCGATCTCGTAGCTACTGTGATGTGTGGAGAGGGAATCTGTAATCTGTAGACTGCACGAGTCCACGTGTTGTTGGATTGAGTGGAGGAACAAATGCAGATATGTGATGCAGACAGCCTCATATATCGGACTCGGACGGCTACCTGCAGCCGATCAGGCGGACTCTCTCCCCTTGTTCTGTTCTTTGTTCCACAAGTGCAGTTCCTCTCTTTTCGGTCAGTTAACTCTCAATTTTCTCCGCGGTTTTCTGATTTGGTCCGACTCCTTACTCGAGCCAGGGTAGGCACCCATTACAAACAAGTACGGGTCGGGACTGGATTACCTGCGGGTTGCCCTGTTTGTCAATGGGCCGATCGTCCTGACCAACCACATACCGTGGATGCCTTGCGTGGTCCTGGTGGTGGCCAGTGGTGGTTATCAGATCCGAGAGGACAAACGAGGATACCTCACGCATCCCCTCGTGAGTCGCCTTCTGCAGTCATCCGTGACTTGCATCCGAAGGACGGAACAACGACCCAAGGGTAACTTGTCATACAATATTTCCTGCCATCGCCACGATTTCTTTTTTCTTTTCCTTTTTTTCTTCGTTTTTTCCTTCTTCTTCTTCCTGCATCTTCTTCTTGCAGGCCCATTGATTGGGTGTAATGAACAAGCCGCAAGTCCAAATGGACAAAGTGTGTGGTCGGCTGCCTTGTACCAGCCATTCCATATAACTGCCAGGCTGCATCGCGTTGCATTGCTGCATTAAGTTGTCGCATTGCGGCTTTCTGCACATCCTGCATCCAGGCTCCCGGACAGTGTTTTCCCACGGAAGCGACACATTGGCCTTGTTCGCTTTCAGGATAGCAGCGGATCTGCGCTGCACATGAGTTGCAAACTTGAAGGTGCCAGGCGGACCTCAAGGTACTTGGTATGTACGAAGTACATGGTGTCGATTCCTGTGACGACAGGTTCCACAGACCAGGCCACACAAACCAAGCCAGCCTGCGCCCTCCATCAAGAAAATGAGAAATCCGCCTGTCTGCGTGTCTGCTCTTGGTTCTTCTGTCTGGTGTCGCTCTGGTGAATCATTGCATCATCCAGCATCCCCTTGGCAACCCCGGCTGTCCGGTTAACACACATACATAACTCAGGTAGCAGTTGATGACGGAAGATGGGCGAAAGAGCACGAGGCGTTTGTCTCAGCGATTGAATCTCCGTTCGGCTTTGGCTGTCACGGCTGGCCGGCACCTGGCTGGCGGTTGATGCCCCAGATTTAGAGGGTGAAAGTGGACACCAGACCAGGGGCAGCGGACCGTTCCACTTTTGGGTCCTTGTCCACGGGGTTCGCTTATGTACAGTCTTGGGGCGTGACTCTTGGGGCACTTGGGGTTCGCGGTCTTGGCCTCCGCTTCTTATCTCTATCACCTTCCCGCATCGCCAGCCAACATCAACGCACTGCCGCAATGCCGCAGTGCCCGTCTTCCGACATCGCTCGCTAGATACCGGGAATCAGCGGTTGATCGTATCATTTGTACCACCTCACCGAATTGTGTCGCCGCATCCTGAGTTTTGCATCACAAACTACCTACCTAGTTAAACTGTTGTTGTATGCAGCATCGAGGTCATCGATGCGTTGCCTGGACCTCGAGGCTCAAGGCATCACTCGACCATTCACAAGCCAGGGAAGAACATCCATCCTCGCACAGAGCATGGACACAAGCCACTGAACCCCTGCACACCCACTGGAGCCCCCCTGAGCCGCCTGTCACCCTAGCATTCCGGCAACGAGCGAGGATCCCCGGGAATCGCTGCGGGTGTGCTGGTTGCTGTCGGCTTGTCTGCCTTCCCGTCGAGCCGTCACCGCCAACCAGCTGTCGGACCTCTTCTCCTTCTATTCTTTTGTACCTATTGTTGATCCGAGGCCTGCATAGAGTCTGCCTTGAGGTGCTGGTCCACGCCCATTCCTTCTCTCCCCCTCATTTTGATACCTTTTTATCGAAACCGCCGCCACTTTGAACCATGGATGCGAAGGTCCGCTTGTCTCGACCGCATCCTCCCGCCTAAGTGACACACACCTACAGCGGTAAACGACATCAGATCCGACGCTGCATCCTGAGTCGACCTACATACCTAACTACTTACCTACGGCCTCCGACTTCCGAGCCTCGAGCCTGCGGGTACCTATACAAACTCCACACACCATCATTTCGAAACGGCAGTTCGGTGACTCGTCGCGCCGCCTTGGTACCGATGTGAAGCCCTACCGAACCGCCCCCATCTTCATCCTTAGCCGTAGAAATGCATCAACAATCCCGCCATCCTCCAAGGGTCTCGTCCCCCGCATCCTCTCCCCAGACAAACCCCACACGAACGAACAACCCGAGGGATCGAGTCCGCGCCGACTCGGACACCACGAGTCCAGATGAGAAGTTGGAGAACAGCGAGAGTTACGGCTCTATGCCGAGCAGGGACTCGATCAAGAAGCTGGACCAGATCATTCAGGTGGGCATAACCCATTCTTAGGGGGACCGGACTATTGGGACGTTGGGCTGACTGTCGCTAGAACTTCTACGCCAAAGCGGCCGTGGTCATTGTACAGTCGCGGATCAACACAACGCCTGCCGGGGGGAGAAGGGCAGCCGAGGCGAAACCGAACCTCTGGGTAAGCGAGAAACCGGGCGAAAGGGTAGCGGAGCAGGGTCTGACAGGATGCCAGTTCTCGCTCGAAACCGATGAGATAGAAGACTTCCGAGACGAACTCCGTGTGTACAAGCAGTCCGGCAGCTTCGAGAACCGCCCTCCACCCATGATCATCGAGACGTACATCGACGCCTCCAGGTTGTCCAGCAACCAGAGCTTGGTTATCCTTGACGCCCATGGCAAGAGATGGGATGTGTTGGAGGCGTTAAACTCGTCGGAAACATCCGACGACAGCCCTAGACAGCGCCATACCCGAAAGCGCAATACCGAGGTGATCCTGGAGCGGTGGAGGCTTGAGCTCAAGTGCCCTTCGAATCTCATGACAGACGAGTTCGGTCCGACTCTGCCGACCGTTTACAAGAGGAGCATCGTCTTTTTCAGGTCGCTATTCATAGTATCGCGCATCATGCCCTGCTGGAAGAATTTCCCCTCGGGATTGACAAAAGGAATCAACCCAGCGCTCGAGGTCAAGTGCAGAGTCCTGAGCGCCGAGACAGAGTATAGCACCTACGACCCCTTGCGACAGCCACTTCACGACGGCGGAGATGCCGTCACAGAATACGTTTTTTCAGACTTGGAGGTACCCGTAGGACGCTTTTACGCCTCTGTGACGTATCGAAACGACTACAACTTCCGGGTCGACGACGCCGAATCGTTGCTCAGCTCGCAGTTTATGGGAGTCGATGAGAACTATTTTCGGCCGTCATTACCGCAAAGACGAGGGCATGGCAGAGCTGATTCGTATGCGGAGCCAGGCTCTTTGCCGCCGCAGCGTCAGGACCGCGGACCACAAGGCCCGCAGCAAACGTACGGCAGTTTGTCAACCTTTCACGGCGCAGGGGCTTTGGGAACAAGCCCGATTACCGCAATAAGGTCCGTCCGCCCTATCGGCTCCGACACTAGCTCTCCCTCTGCCTCAATCTCGGGGAGCGTTGAACAACCAGATCCGCCACATTCGTTGCCCATTCGCGGCACCGCAGCCCGGCCGATGTCGAGAGCCTATGATGGGAGCGGCCGTCGACCGTCAGTGTCCTTCCAGCCGTTCAAAGCCGGCTCGCTGTCTGGGTCCCCGAGAATCGGAGATTTAGAGGCTCCGTCGTCGCCACAGTCGCTCAACCGTCCGGGTATCGCCGGGCCGTCGCGTACCGGAAACCGCTCCTCGCTCACCATGGGGTCGGCGGCTTCATTACGCGGGGCTCCTCCCGCGCCTCAAGACGTGCCCTCAACCTCGGGATCGCCAAGGCCGACTGGCCGCTACAGCAGCAGTTTCACCCATCGCCGGAACAGGCCGTCGTTCGGCGGGCAGAGCAAGGCCGACGATGACCAGGCTAGCAGCGGGAAGCAGAGCCTTTCTTCCTCTGTTCAGCCAGGCTCAGGTCTTCTCACCGAGGCTGGCGCGGTTACCAGCTCGGGGTCCTTCGCCGCCGACGATGATAACATCTCAGACTTCTTAAAAGCCCTCGACAGCCGGAAGACGCTGAAGAGCTTCGAGCCGAACAAGAAGGGCGAGTCCCTCGCCTCCAAGCGCACGGCCGCCCAGCTTTCCAAGTTTCAACAAATGCGCGAGACCAACAACGTCCTCACCGAATCCATGACCTCGTCGATCCATCTCCAACGCTCGTCGAGCTCCTCGAGCCGGCAACTAACCAACGTCCCGAGCATGGTCAACCCCGCATCTATGTCCATCTCATCCTCCCCAGGCAAGCCCCTCTCCCCTCACACCCCACACACGCCGGCCATTCCATCCCGGCTCAGCGAGAACTCGATTATCGATTACCAACCCCAAAATCAACCGCGCCAGGGAAGAAACAACCCGGACACAAACACCCCCAGCGAAGGGGCCGAGCCTGTCGAGGAAGACGACGACGAGACACCCATGGTCACCCAGCAAGACAGCAATAACCGAACGAACCACTCATCAACAACCACCACCACGACCAGCACCGGCACAACAGCAATCGACATCCCCCTTTCCCCGCGCCTCCTCCACCACGGCGGCACCGCCGCCATCCGCCGCCCCAACTCTGTCGCCCACCAGCAACAGCACCAACACCAGCAGCAGCAAGGCCACCGCTCCATCGCCGGCGAAGTCGACGCCTACCAGCGCAGCGCCAGCGTCGAGGGCGTGTCCGCCGACGGCCGCGACGTGCCCACCCTCAGCACCCTGCTCGCCTACCACCACGAGGGCGCCCACATCCCCCGCCCGGACTCCTCCTCCATCCCGCCCCCGTCATCGTCAGCCGACGCCGACGGCGGCGGCGGCGCCCCGCTAACCGCCGGCGAGCGCGGCGGCGGCATCTCCTCCGGCTTGGGCATGGGCCTGGGCCGCGGCCTCGGCCGCCCGGGGTCGCTGGGCAGGGCCGGAAGCGGGGGCGTGGGTGGGATCGGCGCCGGTCCCGGTGGCAGCGGCAGCGGCAGCGGCAGCAGCAGGCCGCGCTACCGCCCCGCGTCGGCGTCGGCCGCGTCGCCGGCGGGGTCGGGGTCGGGGTCTGGGACGGGGACTGGGACTGGAATCAGTACGGGGATGGGGATGGGGATGGGGACGGGGAGGGGTGGCCGCCCGGGGTCGCTGGGCAGGGCCGGAAGCGGGGGCGTGGGTGGGATCGGCGCCGGTCCCGGTGGCAGCGGCAGCGGCAGCGGCAGCAGCAGGCCGCGCTACCGCCCCGCGTCGGCGTCGGCCGCGTCGCCGGCGGGGTCGGGGTCGGGGTCTGGGACGGGGACTGGGACTGGAATCAGTACGGGGATGGGGATGGGGATGGGGACGGGGAGGGGTGGACGGCTGGGGTCGTTCTCGTCGGCGGCGTCGGCTGGTGGTGGTGGTGGTGGTGGTGGCGCCGGGCAGAGGTATGCTGGCAGTGTGGAGGGTGCGGATGAGGAGCCGTTGTTGTTTGCGATGAGTGAGTTGGAGCGGGATTCGAGGAGGAGTTTGGATGAGCAGGGCGGTGGTGCTGGTGGTGGGGGTGGGGGTGGGGGGAAGTATGACCCGCCGAGGGGGATTCAGAAGAAGGGTTGGCGGTCCTGAAGAGAGTGGGGTGGCGAGAGGGGGTGGTGGGAGGTGGTTGATACGCAGAGACGCTGTTGTGGTGTGGTGTGTTGTGTTATGGTGTGTTGTAGCATACGGAGTTTGTTGCTTTGCGTTGTGGCGCGTGGGTTTTGGTTTGGTTTGGTGGCTTCCTCCCCGCTGGATGGACTGGCCGGCCTGGTTAGGGTTGGGCCGATGTCATCTGGAGAGAGAGAGGGGCTTGCCTTTTTTCTTTTCCCTTTCTTTTCCCTTCTCTTCCCGCTTGGCTTTTTGGTAAAAAGCCCAGACAGACTGATTGTTGTTGTTGGGAACGGTGGACTGGGTTGGTTGGGTCATAAAGACGGGTTGGGCTAGTTTACCATATCCTCCCTCCATACATAGTAGAAAGACGCGCGCGATGCATGGGCTTGTGGGGTCGGGTTTGGATGGGCGCTGGCTTGGGGGGGTTTGGGTTTCGGTTGGATCGGTTGGCTGGCTGGATGGCTGGATGGTGCTTTGGGTGGTTGGCTTCTGGCTTTTTACCCTTGGCTTACTTACTGCTACTACTACCTACTACCTACAAGGTGCATAGGCGTCGCTTGGCGGGTTCAGTATAGTAAGCAATATCTGTGATGTATTATTGTATTGTGCTTGTGTGATGGGGGTTGCGTGTGTCGGTGGGTTGATCTCGGTTTTGGTGTCCCTGTCTCTGTCCAGGCATCATATAACATTCCGCGGCCAGCTATGTGCCCTCCTTTTATGGACTTGGCCTGGTCCTCGCCCGTGTTGCCGATGTAGCTCTTTTATATGCTGGCTGTGAAACGGATCCCTAGGTTAGGGCTGCTGTTGTTGGTGGATATGTCACTCTCTGGAATCCTATTACTGTGAAATAATGGCAACATACACCAGCTTGATAGTGCCGCGTTCTCTCTCGACAAGGACGTGGATAGTGAGGTGCCGTTCCTGGGTTTCATGTTTGTCGTTTAGACAATAACTTGCCTTTTTCGTCCCTTCTATTCAGTTGCCACTCACATTCTCTGTTCTGCGGACTCCTGCGGCCCCCGCAATAATTGTTTGAAGAGGCATAGTTTCCTCGCCCATTTCAAAGGTGGCATTCTAGTTCGAACGATTGAGTTGGTCAACTCTGCTTAACTAGATACACAGCGAGGAGGTTCCATCTCAAGTATCGTCTCACTTTCACAAACTCCTCCTTCCATACTGCGTCGTTATTTCAAATCATGGAGGTTTGACGATACTCAGGTTCAGACTCTCTTTTACAACCGCCCTTCCAACCCGATTACTGCTTCCTACGGCTCACATTGGCGCTCTTGCCAATACCTGAGCTCTTAGAACAAGATAAACCAGGGCTCTGCGTTTCTTCGTCCTTCTTTCGTCCCAGGTTGGAAAATTTCGACTCACAAGTTGCAACGCCAACTCAACTACACGCATGCAGTTGCCTCAGGTATCTTCAACTCACTAGACTTTACTTCCACCTTCCAATCCTCTGCTAATGGTGCCAGAGGTTCTCCCAGACCGCGACAACACCGCTTGAGAGGGACTGGGTAACCTCAACGCCCGGTTATTCACCTAGGGTTCCTTTTATTCCATGGGATTGAGGTGACCGGAAGCCTCACTTCTCAACAAAACCTTCCTTTTTCGACCCTTGATCACAAAACGCAGCCAGACCCGGGACTACGTCTAATGGCTTCGTTTTTCTGAACTCGTTGAGAGCACCGTTATCACCCACCCATTCCATTTCTCTTTCTTATTACCTGGCCCTTTCTCTTTTTCACTTTACTTCCTCAAACGTCAAGCACACGGTACTCGAGTCAACCACAACTGTTGCTCCAAACGGTCCAAACGCCCTCGAAGTCACCGGGGTTTACTCTTACCCGGTTCCTTCCCTCAAGTTTCAAGCTATAGCCAGACGCAATGAACGGCAACCATGATGGCCGAGACCAAGGGCCCCTCTCGGGCCCGGTTGATGCTCTCCACTGCGTCAACCCCCAATGCGGGCGGCGCGTAGGGATGCTGAGAGCCGAGATCGACCGGCTCAACGTTGGGATTCAAGCACTGGAAATAGAGAATCAAGCCAAAACAGTCGAGAACCGCCGGGCGGCGGATGAGAACGAGAGGCTCAGAAGAAGATTGGCTCGTATTGGCAAGCACACTGAACGTGTACGTTCGGGTATAGTGTTGAGGCATCTCTCCTAGACAGTGGTTAACATGGGTATTCTTCTAGACTTGGCCGGAAGAGCTCCGGCGATACCTCCGGAACTCTCATCCGAACAAAGTCCAATACGCCAAGATTCATCGGCTGTGCTGCAAAGAAGAGAACATGAGTAGCAGAAAGGAGCTGGTCCACCCGGATCTCAAACTCATGGGGCCCGACTGGAAGGGACATGATGATTCCGACTCTGAGAGCGATGTATCCGATGTGGATAATGGGGAAGCCTCTGAAGTCGCCTCCGAGGTTAACAGTACTCAGACAGTAAGGGGTGAAAAGCCGTTCCCCTTTGAGAAGTTGCCGTGGGAGCTCCAGGCAAGAGTTCTAAAGCTTGATCTCCACAAACCGGGCAAGATCATCCATTGCATCTCAAGGCTCGACCCTTTCGTCCAGCCCGAAGAGTTTCCGAGCGACGAAGACTTGGGCGAGAACAAGAGCGGCTTGATGCACCGCTTCTTTTGGGGCAAGAGGGAGCTCAACTTATCCCGGGACGGGGTAAAGCCCAACGACGTCCTCGGCATCCTCACAGTCAGCAAACGCTTCTATTTCCTCGGCGTCCACATCTTCTACGGGCTCAACACCTTTGCTTTCTCCAGCCTGGGCGAGCTCGGAAGGTTCTGCCAAGGTTCCGGCCTTGCCCGTGTCGCCAGATTCCAACACATCGAGTTCTTTCTGACCGGCAACCAATACCTCACTGCACCCCCGGACACGAGAATGAAGGTGCCCTTCTCGCGCAGGTCCTTTCCCATGTCCTGGCTAGCCGACATGTACCGGCTGAAGACGCTCGTTATTCACGTCAATGAAACGGGCAAAAGTTATATCCGGCGCGGTTACGAGAACCCGCAGATCAAGAAGTTCCTCGCCGCAAAGACAGCCGGACAGCCAAATCAGAGGATGTCCCGTTCCCTGCGGTGCATCCAAGGCCTTGATTACGTTTACCAGCTCCGCGGACTTGAGTGGATTAGACTTTATGATTTCAACAAGGTGCTGCAAGCCGGGCGTAGCGTCCGCAAGTCTGTCCAAGACTGGTCCTTTGTCGAGGACGTGACGAACACGACAACAATGCCCAAGCCCCCTAAGCGAGCGGAGTGTTCGGAACTCAAAAACCTCGAGCCGCTGTTTCGGGGCGAGGGGCAGAACTGGACGCCCGGTCCGACGGACTGGGAGCTGGTGGAGAGCGTCTTCATCGACAGTAACGGCCGTTGTTCGTACGACGACCTCCGGATCCAGAAAAAGAACCGGGATGCGGACGTGGCGTCGTATCTCAGTGTCACGGGCACCGCGCCAGTGATTGACATATCCTCTAGTTCGTCAGCCTCGCCAAGCTCTGATGATGATTCTGACGGTCCCTCCGGTCCCGACAGGCCATTGGGTTTGGGTCAATCTGCCTTGTCTTCGTGGCGAGAGCGCCAGCGTCTCAAGTCCCGGTTGTTCGTCTCCAACGAAGATTCAGAACTGGACTCAGACTCAGATTCGAAATCCTCCTTGGCAACCGAATCATCCACCGAACTGTCGTCCGACTCCGATTCGGAATCTTCAAGCTCGGACTCAGACACCGCGATCGGCTCCCATCGATCATTCGACGAGATTCTCAGCGCCCACCTCCCCAGCCGCGCCCCATCCGCCGCCCTCTCCCAGAGCCCCATCCGCAGCGATCTCCCGCTCAACCCCGCCCCCGAGACGCCAACCGCACCCAAGCGGCGCGAGTCAACCGCCAGCGGCCTGTTCGTCACGCCCGGCCCTGCCCGCACCGCATCCGCATCCGCATCCGCATCCGCATCCACAACCCCCAACCAACCACCCACCCCCCACACCCCAGACCCCACCAACAACAATAACACGCGCGCCAGCCCCCCCGCAAGCACTGCCGCTGCTTCGTCCCAGACCAAGCGCGAGTCGACAACACCCGGGCTGTTCGTCACGCCTGGGCCGTCGGGGCCGCTGGATGATGATGATGATGATGGTGGTGGTGGTGGTGGTGGTGGGGAGGGTGGTAATGGGGAAGGGGCCGCGGCGTTGGGGGAAATGATGGTGGAGGAGTTGTCGTCTTTGGGGTCGGATGAGGAGGTGACTTCTTCTTCTTCTTCTTCTTCTTCTTCTGGGGAGTCGTCATCGGAGGAGTCGGATGAGGAGGAGTCGGATGATGGGTTGTCGTCGGACAGTGATGGGGAGGGGGATGATTCGTCCGGGTGGGACGGCCCGGAGGGTAGGAACGGCGGCAGCAGCAACAGCGGTGGTGGTGGAGGGAGGATGGGGAGCTTGTTCTCTGGCTCCGACGCTGATGCTGGCAGTGACGGCGATGATGAGGGGGTGGGGGGTAAGGGCTGGCTGGCTAGGCTGGGTCGTGGTGGTCACAGGCAACGCAAACGATCGCGGAGTTGGGTGTCCAGAGGTGATCCGTCAAAGGGCAAGCGCCCCCGGGTGGGGAAGTGAGACGAAAACTGGTGAGAGTCGGGGGATGGGGGCGAGAATTTGGGCGGTAATGGCGTGGATGTGGTTGCCGGTTTGGCTGGAGGAGTCCGTCTCGTACCACGGATGGGATATTATTCCTCGTCTTGCGTTTTGCACGTTTGCGCTCTCACCAACACACGCACAAGTCCTTCCTGCCAGTATTATCTTCTTCATGCGAGTTTCTTACAAGGCGTTCGGGGCCGAGCCATTGATTGAGATACCCAGGGCACAGGCGTTAAGTGGGATCCGATATCAGGGCAAACGCCCTCGGGTATTTCTTCTTTCATAATTAACCCAGCTACTTTAATCAAAAGTAATCTTCTTCCCTTGAAACGGGGCACTCATCTGCTCCTTTGCCTTGGCCAATCGTCTCGCCTCCCAACTCGGGTGGAGAGAACCCGAGTCGTCCCGCTTCCTCGGAGCTGGCTCCTTCTTCGGAGGACCTAACTCCGTTTCGTTTGCCCCCGAGGCTCTCGCCTTATCTAGTAGGGGGTTGCGGATACCACGTTTCCATGGCTTCGAGTTTCCGTCGACGGCACCACGCTTGGCGTCCCAACCCGAGTCGCGGCCCTTGGCGGGCTCTTGCAGATGCTTTGCTTTCTCGCCGAACTTCTTCTCCCAGATGGCCTGTCTTGCGCGCTGCCCTCGACGGTTTCTGCGTTCCGGAGCTACATCGATGTCGGATGCTGACTCTGAGCCGGAGATGTAGCCGCCCATGAGACTGGGTAGGAAGGTGGAATCTGTTGGTTTGAGCGGGCCCTTTGCCTTCTTGGCTTTCTTTACCGGCGGAGATACGGACGAGGCAGAGCTCTCGGCATCTGACTCGGCCTCATCGTCGCTGGCCGAGCTCTGCTGGCCTTCCTCGTCATCGCTGAAACCATTGAATTCCTCCTCGCTGCTGCTCCCCTCTTCCTCATCAGAGGTGAGTTCCATAGGGTCCAGATCTTGGTCGTCTCCACCTTCCTCGTCGGTTGTGATCTCCATCGGGTCCAGCTCCATGGTTGACGGTTTTTTCGTCCGCCCCTTCACGAGCACTTCCTCGCTGTCATCCTCGCTCTCCTCGTCGGAATCCAAACCCAACAGCTTGTCCAGTTGAGAGATACTCTTTTCTTCTTCCTCCTCATCTGCGTCACTGCCGTCGCTTTGGCCCCCCTGGTCAATCTTCTCCCTGTCGTTATCCCTTTCTTTTTTCCCTGGCCTGGCTTCCTTTCTTCCATCCTTCTCCTCGTCCGTCTTCAGACCAGCTCTCGTTTTCCCCTTCCCCACCTCGCTATCCAACCCATCCTCCTTCTCTCCCCCTCCCTTCCCCTTCCTCACCCGCCCCCTCTTCTCCGGCACCGGCACACCCAGCGCGCCACAAACCGCCTCAACAGCCTTCTCCACCACCCTCCTGACCTCGACCCGATTATACAACGAACTCGTCACATTATGCAGCGCGGCGCGCTCCTCATCGGTAAGCTCCGGCCTGGGCACGCCGGCACGCACCTCGGCAGGCAAGCGCTCGGAAACATCGGCAACGGCCTTGACGCGCAGCAGCGACGAGCACAGGTGGGCGTGGGCGGTCTGCTGCAGGTCGAGCGACTTGAGCACGACGATCTCGTTCTCGATGCGCGCCCGCTTGTCGGCCGGGGCCTTGCGGTCCGCCAGTCGTTTGGATTGCCGCTGTCGCTCGAAGCCCTTGGCGGCGCGCAGCGCTTGGAAGAGGTCGGTGCGGTGGCGCGTGAAGAGCGCTTCGAGGGAGACGTCGTCGCGTTTGCGTTTGGGCATTTTTGGTTTTGAGGTGGAAGGGAGGGGTTGTTGGTTGTTGGGTGCGTCAATGGGTGATTGTTGATTGGAATGAAGTGTATTTCGTTTATTGGGCGAAGTTGGCGATAACGGTAGTCGTTGGATTGTTGGATCGTGGTGGTGATGCAGCTTCTTGGTGTTGTGGATGGGAAAAAAAGATCAATGGACTTCTCCCCACCTCCGAGAAATTAAGTGGGTCGCCGGCGAGCTCGAGCTCCGCCCCACTTCTGTTGGCAGGGCTGGGCCGCGACGGAAACGAAAGCCAGTCGCGTAAAGTGGACAGGGATGGACGCGATTTTGTCTTTGTCGAAGGTCGATGCTCTGGAACTCAGGGAGGTGGAGGGGCATCAACGTAACCAGCCACGCGACAAGCCGACTCGAGACAAGGCCCAACGGCGACATCCTGCTTCAGACCTAGCGATTTTGCTGCGATTCTCCTTACGAATAGCTCCCCGGTTAGCGATACCGTTTCATTGGGCACTGTTTGTTTTGATTGTTTATTTTGACAGTCGCCGCCCCTAATTGCATTGCATCCATCGCATTGCATCGCCGACCGCCTTCCCGCCCCGAGCGAACTCCCGCGACCTTCGCCTTTGCGCTCCGAGCTTCTTCTGCGCATTCTGCGCCTCGCGCGCCAATTGCAATAATACCACGCGCGCGACAGACACAATGGCATCCTCGGGGCGCGCAATACAATACACCATCCCGGCAAGGGAAGACTTTAATAAGCTCGCCGACGAACAAAAAACACGTATCAACGAGGCAGTAGGTCTACTCAATTCCATGGTCACGGACACCCGAAAGACAAGACAACCCGTCCCACCCTAACACCTTCTTTCCACAGTTCGACCTCTTCGACTCCAACAAGGACGGCCTGCTCTCGTACGAGGAATTCCGGTTCGTGCTGCGGGCGCTGGGGTTCGAGCTGCCCAAGGCGCAGACGTACGACCTGCTGATCCGGCACGGGCAGAAGCCGGCGAGCTGGCCGCACGACCAGGAGTGCGCGCCCGTGTACCGCCAGTTCAGCCTGCCGACGGCGCAGGCCCTCTCGGGCACGCTGATCCGCGGCCGCGACCCGCGCGAGGAGCTGCGCCGCGCCTTCCGCTTGTTCGATACCGACGGCAAGGGCATGATCACCCAGGACGACCTGCGCAAGGTCAGCAAGCAGGTCGGCAACAACATACCCGACGCCGACATCGTCGCCATGGTCGAGGAGTTCGACGCGTCCGGGAAAGGGGGGGTGGACGAGGACGAGTTTTTGAGGTTGATGATGTCCAAGAAGTGACACGCGTTCTGTTGTTGGTTTTTATCTGCTGGGGCGGTGGGTGGCAAGCTTGATACCCAGGCGGCTGTGTCGTGCGTGCGTGGGGGTGTGAGTAGAGTGGACTGTGTTTGGATGACGATGGACTGTGGGAGCGAGCACTTGACCATGGGGGGGGGAGCTCGAATTCTGGGTTATGATATACAGCACCATTGAAGCATGGGCATTTTGGCATCTAGCAATTTCACTCACTAATCCCGCTTCAGCTCTCCCTTTTCACGCAGATGACCCAATCCACACTCCCCACCGGCCACATGAACTTCTCGCTGCCGCTCTTGACCTCCCACTTGGCGATCTCCTTTTCGCCGCCCTCGGCCCCGCACGTCCTAAGCAGCGCCTCGATCTCATCCGGCGTCCTTGTCCTCAAGCACGACATCCACCCGTCGAAAACCAACACGGCCGGCAGGACGGGCACCACGTAGGTCAACACCAACGATAGCGGCGCTCCCCACAGCAGCGCGTAGTAAGGCGCCATGACCATTATCCCGATCCCGAGAAAGCAGCACGCCACAAACCCGGCGATGCCCCGGTCCTGCAGCTCAAAGATTCTGTGTCCACCGCTTGTTAGCAGACCCCACGGAACAAGCCCCCAAATAGATAAAGAGAAGAAGCGCAAGGGAAAAGAATAAGAAGAGAATGACCTACCCAAACCCCTCCCCCCCACCATCAACCGTATCCCTCAATATCCTTCGCGCCAACCCATCATCAAAGTGATGAAACGCCAGATTAAACAGCCGAAACACCTTCTTCTTCCCCTCCGGCCCCCTATACCTCCGGATCAACTCGCGCGGCACGCGCGCCGCGTCCACCGGCTCAGCAACATAGCTGATGGCGCCGGGGGCGTCGGCCTGCGCGACGGCTTTCGCCCAGAGGTCCGTGTGCGGGTGCAGGTCGGTCAGCACGAAGTGTAAGGGTTCGTCTTTTGCGATGGGGTTGGAGTTGCCGTTGGTTAGTTCCTTTCTGGCGGTGTTGTTGTTGTTGCTGGTTTTGGGGGTGGAGGGGCGGTTGAGGTGGCGCTCGATGGAGGGCGTGGGCCCGCCGGCGCCGGCGCAGAAGTCGATGAAGACGTGGGAGTGCAGGTTGGGGGCGAGGTGGGTGCGCAGGAGGTTGGCGACGAGCTCGGCTGGGGAGGATTTTTGGATGAGGGGGATCTGGGTTGAGGTTAGTTGGGGGGGGGGGCGTTCTTGGGGAAGGAAGGGAGGGGAGGGCGGGTGGACATACGTGAGTTGTCCAGGTCGCGGTGAGGCCGGCTTGCATGTAGGCTCGTAGGATTGGAGGGAACCTGGTGTCGGTGTGAGAGGTTAACTCTGGGTAACTATTTTCTTTATGTTTCTGGCTTACCATGGCATGTCTGCAAACTCAAAAACATCCATTCGGGGCACGAGAGGTGCCATTTTGTTGTATTTTTCGTGTCGTGTTAGTCAGTTGCGAGTGACTGTCAGCGGACTGGGGATGTTTGTGGAGTTTTGTGGTTCCGGTTTGGCTCAATTGCTAGTTTTTACATTTGAAATGTTAGTAAAAGGGAAGGCCGATCAATGCTTTTTTTCACTGCACCTCCGATGTGTTGAAGTCGTCATGACGTTGCTCAGGCGCAGTTGTCGTGGTGAGCGCTGGAATGCCAGAATTAATCCCTGCTCGCCAAGATGATGTTCACAGGGATCCTGTCGCACTGCAGGGGTTTCGAGGTTTGAAGGATCAAAAAGACGGAAATGCAGCAGCCTGAGGTCAAAGACCAACGACCAACTCCCAATCTCACTTGAGACGAAACTCCCAGCTCCCTTTTCAATATTCGTACATTAGTAGAAAACATACGCGTCCCCGGTCCCTTAGCCCTTCTCTCCGACCTTACCCGTTCCATCCGAACCCCGAACCCGATTGAGGTTTCACAAAAAGCCAACGCAGTCATTGGCTCGCCAAAGGTACCTTGCAGTACCGAAGCACGCCTCCTGTGGTGCGGTCAGCGGGTCGGGTGCAGTGGGCTTGGGTGTCTCGGCTCTGCATTCAAACGTCACAGATTCCCATTTAGAAGCTCCCTAGATGATTCCTTCCCAGACTCAGTTATTAACCTTCTTGCACTTCGACAACAACCGCCGATATGGGACTAGTTGTCGATTATGGAAGTTATATTCTCGTCGCCGTGGTCGTAGCCATCCTCGTCAGTGCCGTCTCCAGGCCGGGTAAGGCCATTACAAGAAACGGAAAGCCATTAAAGTAAGAACTAAACCAGCCATAATACTCTTAAATACCTGTATCATGACAGCATCCATGTTGAGTTCTGAACCTCCGCTGACCACCGTTCAGGAACCCCCCAGACACCCTCCCTCTGGTCGGCAACGGCATCAAATTCCTGCAATCTCGCTGGGACTTACTCAGCTGGTTCGAGCAGTGTCAGCGGCAGTTCGGCTATGAGACGGCTGCTCTGTGTGTGCCAACACTACCCCCGGGGGTGCTCATCCACGACCCGCGGAACCTCGAGTTCGTCTTCAAAAACGAGGGACTATTCACTAAGGGCGAGTTTGTGAAGAGGCGGGCTTGGGATCTGTTTGGTAAGCTTCGCAGTCAACATCTGTCTAACCCATCCTAATATGGCATGCTGCGTAGGCAATGGCATCATCAACGCCGATGGCGACTTTTGGAAGCTGCAACGTAAGGCGGGCGCGGCTTTCCTCAACACGGCCAACCTGAGGGTGCTCACCGACGTGGCACTCCCTCAGTACCTATCTGAGAGCGCCGACTACCTGAAGTCTAATGCCGACAAGGGCACTGTTGACCTACAGCATGTCTTTCACGAGATTACAACCAAACTCATGGGCAAGATGGCTTACAACGTAGGTAACACGGCCGACCCACCGTGCCCCTAACTAACGACATGCAGATGGAAATGCACGCCGACGACGAGTTCTCCCAGTCCTTTGACTACGCCTCTGGCGCCACAGCCGAACGCTTCCAGAACCCCCTATGGCGCGTCACCGAACTCTTCACCGGTTCCAAATTCCGCCGGTCCGTAGCCGTGATCAAAACCTTCGGCCGCCGCATCGTCACCAGCGCAGTCAAAGACCGGCACGAGCAAAAGTCCCGACACGAAACCGCCAACCCCCCAAACGAGGACAGCAAACTCGACCACATCTCCGGCTCCCTAATCCAATCACTCCTCGAAGCGCTCGGCAACGAAGAAACCGTCGCCGACGCCGCGCTGACCTACCTCTCCGCAGGCCGCGACACCACCGGCCAAGCCCTAACCTGGACCTTCTACCTCCTCCTACAGCACCCCACCGCCATCACCAAAATCCGCGCCGAAGTCCAACATCTCCTCTCCCAACAACCCCACCAACAACAACCCCAACAACAACCCTCACAATCACCACCAGACAGCAGACTCTTCACCCCCTCCACCCTGCCCTACACCACCGCCGTCTTCCACGAGGCCCTGCGCCTCTTCCCGCCCATCCCCTTCGAGATCCGCCAGTGCCAGGCCGACACCGCCCTGCCCGACGGCACCCTGCTGCCGCGCCACTCCGTGCTGGTCTGGTGTCTGTGGGCCATGCAGCGGTCGCGGTTGACGTGGGGGGCGGATGCGGATGCGTTTCGGCCGGAGCGTTTTCTTACTGGAGAGGGGGGTGAGGGTAATGCTGGGGGTGGGGGTGAGGGTGGGAGTGGGAGTGGGAGTGGGGAGGCGGGGATAGGAGGGAAGAGGTTCGTGCTGGGTAAGAGCGCGGCGGAGTTTCCTGTCTTTTATGGTGGTGCGAGGGCGTGTTTGGGGAGGAAGATGGCCGAGGCGATTGCCATGCAGGTTATTCCTGCTGTGGTGTGGGGGTTTGATGTGGAGAAGGGGTGGGAGGGCCCGATGGAGGGGAGGCGCAGCCAGACGAGCTTGACGTTGCCTATGGAGGGCGGGTTGCCTGTTAGAGTGACGGTGAGGGCTGGAGGGGGCGAGTAGACAGGAGTGGATGGGTAAGATGATGTTCTTTGGGAGCGATGGAGTTTGGGGGGCGGGTGGGGGGTTTTGGACACGAGTGCGGCGATATTATAGAGGGAGCGTACGAGCATTTGAACCATGTCCGGTTATGTTCTAGGATATTTCCTCATGTCAAACCTATTGCCTGTATTTACGTGCCTGGGTAACCCGTGATCCGCCGCTTGGTATCCCTTCTTCCTAGGTATTTTACTATGGCCTTGTTGGAATTCCCCGAGTCTGTGATTTGACATGGTTTGCTTTCATTCTCTCTTTTTTCTACACTCGTGTTCAGAGATGTTAACTAAATGAAGGTATCAATGATCTGGGTGAGAACTAAGACCAGTGACTCACAGCAACGGCAACTAGAGGGAAGTAGAAGATGGCCGCTGCAGCGAAGATGAAGATGAAACGATCTAGTTGCGTCCCTTACGTTATCAAACTCGTTCTCCGGCTTGACATATGGGCAAAGTTAACAATGTCGGTGGCCATAGCCGCCTAAAGCGCCATCGAGGTGATTATGGAGATGACTTCGTCCGCTGCTCCGGCAAACAGCGGTATGGATGGCATATAATGTTCGGGTCCGCTTCCCGATAATTAAGTTGTTATTTAGGCACGGGAGGCAAGAAAATAAACACTTTCGAGGCTCGGAAGCGTACAAGAGAGACATCATTGACTCGACATTGGGTCGAGGTCAGGGGCTGTCGCGATATTGAGAAGGGGCTCACCACCGAGACTCATATGGAATGTATTCGTATCACGACCAAATCATTAGACTTAGCAATCGGGGGGCCAAGGCTATGATTATCCGTAATATGTACGAGGTATCAGTAGTGTCAGAGACAGTGGTCACCATAGCACCAATTATTGGTCCGAAGCTCGAGGTGGAGAGGTGAGCGGCATCAAAGGCATGTTACATAACTTAGCAATGAATAGCCTGGTTATAGGGTGTTAAAATAGGGAGGTCAGCAAAACTTCATTGTGACTTTTCCTTATTGCCTGATCCTAAATGGCATTGATATGCAGAATATTGCTGTTAATATGTAGGATTATCCAACAAGTCCGATTATGGGTGAGTAGACATGGTGTTAAAGAACCACTCCAAATCAAATGCCAATAGCATTGTGGCGTAATGGGCCTCCGACTGCCACGTAAGATTTCGATCACGATGGACGTTCTGAGTCCGAGCCCGTGAGTGCTCACGGCAGACGGTTGGTACCGCGAACACGCGTCCACAGGCACAGACTGAGCAGGTCTCCGCAACACGAGTCCACAGCGAGGAGAGGTAACGGATGACCATGTAACGTCACGACTGGAAAACAAGCTTTCGGCAAATGCATTCTGTCTCATGCCGTGTCTCACGGCCACCAGCCCAACACCGGCCTCGGAAATGGCCACATTGGTGTTTGGAGACCTTGATCGAACGCGATCGATCGGCGGTAATCAAAGACGAGTGGGACTGGCGGGTCTCGGAGGAAGGGAACTGCCAGGACACCGTGTTTGTGTTGGGACAGACCTCGTTAGGGAATTGTGTACCGAGGATGGTTCCATCTTGACTGTTTCACCGCGGCATGGCCGATGGGGCATTCCGGGCCGCCGCCCGCGAGAGGGAGCTAATTGTGTTGTGTTGACGTGTTCCCGTGTTGATCGTTGCAACAAGACCCGAGGACCACTGACGGTGATAAGACAGGAGATGTTAGGTCCGAGGAGGGCAACCCCGAAGAACAGCAACAATATGGGGGGAGGAGATGGGAGGGTCGCAGTGGTCGGACTGTGGATAGGAAGTATGAGAGCAGCCGCCGGCGGGTTGAGAGGAAGACGGAGCAGGGCCCGAACTACAACGGCTCCAGCCAATAGCAATGACAATGGATGAGCCTCTGGTTGATCTCACTAAACCTATACCACCGCCCGACCAGTTCCCCGGGTATGAAGTGACTCTTGGCGACAATGCCTAGGCGCGGCCCGTCCCCCGTTGATGATGTACATACAGTGTCTAGGGTACCTGTCGGTGTTGCTGGGTCGTCCACCACGCGAGCTCAGATTTGCTCGGCTATGAGGCTCGCCCGCCTTGACCAAACCCGGGTGTCCTGAATCCGGGGTTGGTGGAGGAGTGCGGGCTGTCCCGTCTGGGCACGGGCTGCCGAAATGGTCACTCGTTGAGGGATTATATGTATATTGCTTGCATATTGTCTTATCTCTCAGATAAAGGCTTGATTGAGAGCACATTGTGCTTTGACTCTTTTCCGATGTACCCTCCCGTATTCCCGTGCCGGGACCCCTTTACCGGTGGACGACACAATGAGCCCAACTGGGACGAATTTGAGCTCGACCGACGGGTATCGGGAGAGAGCCCCAATAAAAATGAGGCAAAATTCAAGGATGATCGTGAGCCGGGAGGAGGCCTCCGGGGCGCGTTTCGGGAATTCCTTGCATCGCCGAGAGTCCTGAGAAGGGTGCCCTCGGCCATCATCGGAAGCAGTGTGCGGATTTGGGCGATACTGGGCCGCTGCCAAGAAGTCCCGAGTCGGCGGATATCGGGGAATCGGCAGATATTGAAAACGCCATCAAGGGCCGAGACGGACTGCCGGCTCAACGGGGCAACGGGGCAACGGGGGACAGACCGGTGTCAGGGAAGGCCAAGGCAAGGGAGAAACCGGAACACAACTTATCTCTCCCACACCAGGGCGTGCGCTTTGAATATCGTGAGGATCCTGGTGGAGCTGGAATTCTGGGCCTCCTGGGCGTCCCTTGGCGGCATGGCGGCGTCGACGTTCTGGTCCTCGCACCGAGTCAGCCAGCACACGAGGGCACACCACCAACTCACCGGGACACGCTATACTCAGAAGGTGCGGCAGCGTCAACAGACTTGGCGAGCATCCAGCACCAATCCACGAGCGTGAATAGCCTCCTGGCGTTGCCTGTTTTCGCCGTTGTCGTGCACAACCTTGCTGCTGGGCCCATTCGACCGCTTTCCACTGCAAAATAGCCCTCCGAAATCAGAAATTGGTTTCCCTTTACCGCCGTTTGCGTCCGCGTGACTCTGCTGGGTTTTGGGCAGCTGGGTTCTTGCACCGCGCATTGCCGTGTTCAGGTCCGCCAACCAATCATTCCGTACCGATTTCTGACAATCACATGCGGGAAGACGCCCCGGGCCAACGCCCGGCAAGGTCACGCTGGTCCCAACCTGGAAAGTTACGTAAGGGTCCAGGCCCAGCGTCCTCCAACTGATGTCACTCCCTAACAGCAAAGCAGCCCTTCGGCCGGCTGTTGCGAGTGGGAAGCCTGTTCCGGCAAGAACACTGGGTCCTGACGTTCTGAGATGCCCCTTTTTACTTAATCTGTGTTGCATATTCAATCCCTAGGTCGGGCAATGCCGGAGAATCCCTGGTGCACCGTGATTCACGGCCCCCTCGCTGACCTATGGCGGAAAGCTATCGGTAACGAAGATGGCGCCGGGGTGAGATCGAGGTGGGGCATACGTAAGATGGCGGGGTCCTTTCTTGAGGATCGGGAGTGTTTATCTGGGCGTCTCGGTGCCTGGCTTTGGCTGCCGTTCTCGGTTCCGATATTTCTTCGGAGCGGGAGTTGAAACACGGAAGGCATTTGCTTGGTTGGCCCGGCCGTTCCTTGATATCCCCAACATCCGCTTTTGGTGTGGTTTCAGCCCTTTGAGGTAATTCGCGGGGAAGCCACCTAGCTCTGGATCATGGGGCTTTTTTGGTCTAGCGGCGGCCAGAGCTTTTGTCACCCGTTTGTGAGAGTTTTCAACGTTGTGGGGTCGCGGGGTAACAATCGTCCTTCGAGAACAGGTTCGCGAACCCGGGAGAAGCAGGGCTGCCAAGGTCTGGGCAGCTCCAAGGCCCCGGATTGTCTGCAGTTGGAGTCACCGCCTTGGCGCTGAAGCGAGAAGGAAAACGTTCTGTGGTGGTTTGGGACATTGGCTGATTTGGTGCCAGCGAGCTGACACAGCGGGAGCGACATGCAGCGCCTCGGTCCAATCGCGAAAGACGAGCCTGCATTGAGCCCCTTCAACGTCAGCCCTGTCCGTTTGGTTAGAGCGAAAAAACACAGTCCGACACCAAACCGGATGCTCAAAAATAGCAGGAAATTAGACAACTACTCGACAACAACCGTGACAACTTACCACGCCGTACGAACTTGCAGGGGTATTTTGTTGCAGTAGGTCATGTGGTCTGCTCAGCCTCTTGTCGAGACCGATGCTCTTGTTCCTGTTGCCGTGGGGCCCCGCTTCCGAATCGGGTCACTAAAACCAACATCTCAGATTGTCCCTGCTTTCCCCGGCCGTCCACAAGATCAAGCAAATGGGGTCGGTGGAGGGGGTGGGATTGGTAAAACGGAATGGTGAAGCACAGACGCAGAATTGCATCTCTGGCAGGGTGCTGTTTCCGTCCGAGTGTCCCTTCCGTTGGGACGGCAGGTGCAGAGGACCAGAAGTGGCAAGATTTGACAAAAGAATTCGAAAGAGAGTAGCACTTTCCTGTGGCCGTCATCCAAACAAATCCAACGAAACACCGATCATGATGCACCGTCGCAGCACTCACGACGCGTAGTTGCATTCAATTGACTCCAAGACGGTGAAACTGGGCATCGCCGTCGTCGTTCCCGAACCCGACAGGGGTGGGATCAACCAGTTCCGGAAACAATTCGTGACCCAGCGGCCCAATCACCGCCAGCCCGAACGGTCATCCACTTGTACCCGGCTCAGTTCCGTCCTGGCGCACGTCAGTGCCGGTGGAATGCTATCGCCACTTGCCATTGGGCGTGGCCGGGCTCGAGGCCCCACGTCTTTATATACTCGCCCTCCTCGACCTCGGGTGCGGCAGGAGTGTAGACTTTTTGATAACACCACTGCCCTACCCCCAAGCCTTGTATCCCTTGTCTTCCCCAGCAGAAAGTGGATTTCCCGTAAATCCACATTGCCGAACTGGTGTCAACTCCCGCAGCCCCTGTTAATACACGCCCCTAAGCCACCCGATCTCGAGCACAGCAAAAAGCACTTAAGAACCATGAAGGACCCCGTCGCTAGAACCGATTCTCCCTACACCGATCCCTCAGTCAAAGGACCCCGAAGCCAACTCTTCACCAACAGACCATCTTCCGCCGCCGTCAACAGTACGTTGTCCCCCAAAGATACCCTAACCAACCTTTACCTCCTGGTTGTATGTCGGGGTCCCCGTTGCTAACTTTAGCTTCTCCTACGCAGTGCTCGTCAATACCGTCAACAAGACCGGACTCCATCCCGGTGGTATCATGTTAGTGCCGCGCCACCCTTCGCCTTCAAGAACACTGGGCAGTTCTAACGGGAAGCAATACAGACCCCAAAGTGATCACACCGAGCTAGGTATGCACCGCCGAAGCGGCCTGGGGCCCTCGACAACTCTGATTCCCATCACCCCCGTATTCTAACCGTATGACACAGAGGAGGAGCTCCACGAGAAAGCCCACATCGACTACACCCGAGTCGCAATTGTGAGTTCTCATCGTGTTTATACCACAGAGAACAACCCCGTCTAATTGCATCTCTTCTCCAGATCCCCAACCCCTCAGTCGCCGCCCTCTACGAAGATGCGCTCGTGTACGAGACCGGCACCGCTGTCGCATCAAGCGGCGCTCTGACCGCCTACTCCGGCAAGAAGACCGGCCGCTCTCCGCTAGATAAGCGTATTGTGAAAGAGTCAACATCAGAAAACGACATCTGGTACGCCCTTAGTCTTGTCATTCTCGGCCGTTGCAATGCAATGAACAGGATGCTGACGATAATGCAATAGGTGGGGACCTGTCAACAAGCCCATGGATCCTGAGGTAAGAGCGACGCATTCTTGTCGTTTTCTTTTACCCCTTGCGCATCAGCCTGGCAGCCCGATTCTAGCCGTTTGTTGGTTCCGCGGCTCTTTGGTCACGAGGGCAACGAGCATGATCTCTCTGGCCAGCCACCTCGGAAATTTGCATCGAAACTCGGGGCCAATCGTTCAAGGACGTCACGGTCCTTGGCATTGGGCACATCGTTCGAGCGCTCGGGCAGGCGGATGCTGCTACAGTTCGCCTGAACGACGTGCAGCGACATCATTGTCGTGTGGTCCTTTTGCCGCGGCCTGCCGAATCCCTGTCATTGTCGTCATAACGTTCCCCTGCAGACCCCACGCGCATTCCCGGGAGCCGATCGCCCGTGTTCCCGCTCCACCCCACACAACCCCAAATCACGTGCACCCCTGATCCTGACCACAACGCTAACCACACCTGCTACGTTTAGGTCTGGAAGATCAACCGTGAGCGCGCCGTTGACTACCTCAACACTCGGAATCGCATCTACGTTGTCGATGGCTATGCCGGGTGGGATGAGAAGTATCGCATCAAGGTGCGCGTTGTCTGCGCACGCGCCTACCACGCGCTCTTCATGCGCAACATGCTCATCCGGCCACCGCGCGAGGAGCTCGAGCACTTCCACCCGGATTACACAATCTACAATGCCGGACGCTTCCCCGCCAACCGTTACACCGAGGGCATGACCTCTGGCACGTCAGTTGCCATCAACTTTGCCGAAAAGGAGATGGTCATCCTGGGTACCGAGTACGCCGGTGAGATGAAGAAAGGCATCTTCACCGTCATGTTCTACGAGGGCCCTATCAAGCACAACATCTTGACGCTGCACTCGTCTGCCAATGAGGGCAAGAACGGCGATGTCACCCTGTTCTTCGGTCTGTCCGGAACCGGCAAGACGACTCTGTCCGCGGACCCCAACCGCATGCTCATCGGCGACGACGAGCACTGCTGGAGTGACCGTGGTGTGTTCAACATTGAGGGCGGCTGCTACGCCAAGACGATTGGGCTCTCGGCCGAGAAGGAACCCGATATCTTCGGCGCCATCCGCTTCGGCTCGGTGCTTGAGAACGTCGTCTTCGACCAGGACACCCGCGTTGTTGACTACGACGATTCGACTCTGACGGAGAACACCCGTTGCGCCTACCCGATCGAGTACATCAGCAACGCCAAGATCCCCTGCCTGTCGGATAACCACCCTTCCAACATCATCCTCCTCACCTGTGACGCTAGGGGCGTCCTCCCGCCCATCTCGAAGCTCAACAGCGCCCAGACCATGTTCCACTTCATCAGCGGCTACACCTCCAAGATGGCCGGTACCGAGGAAGGCGTGCTCGAGCCCCAGGCGACCTTTTCGTCGTGCTTCGCGCAACCTTTCCTCGCGTTGCACCCGATGCGCTACGCCAAGATGCTCGCGGACAAGATTGAGTCGCACAACGCCAACGCTTGGCTGCTCAACACCGGCTGGGTCGGCGCCGGCTTCGCCCAGGGCGGCAAGCGCTGCCCGCTCAAGTACACGCGCGCCATCCTCGACGCCATCCACAGCGGCGAGCTCGCCAAGGTCGAGTACGAGAACTACGATGTCTTCAACCTGCAGGTGCCCACGTCCTGCCCCGGCGTGCCGGCGGAGCTGCTGAACCCCAAGAAGGCCTGGACTGCGGGTGATGACAGCTTCAATGCTGAGGTTACCAAGCTCGGCTCCCTGTTCCTGGAGAACTTCAAGAAGTACGAGAGCGAAGCAACCGAGGATGTCGTCAAGGCTGGCCCGGTTGTGTAAACCTTGCCTTGTTTTGGTCCATTCCCTTTTTCTTTGTTACTTAGACATGGCGGCATTTGGGTACCGGCGCTTTACTTAGGGTTGTTTATTTCCGTTTACCCCTTCACCTACATTGGAAGTAGGAGATACTCGTATTTGGAGGTCTTATTGGATTGTTAATGGCTGTTACTGCTACGCAGTGAAGGGACCGCGATTGGAAGATGGTATTCTAGGTTGGAAGAAGGAAAAGCATATTTGCCTCTTTGTTAACAGACGACTACTGAATTGATTCAAGTTTGTTCATGTGGTGTGCATATACCGAGGTCGGTGGTTTTGTAGCGACATAATATGTTTTCATGGTCGAGTTGACAAGTCCCTCCACTGCCAGGCAAGTACGAGTCATTTCATACCTCCCCTCAATGTCAAGATGCCATGTTGGTGTGGACCGGTTGCATCAACTGACTTACTGGCGCAAATGGCTCGGTTTGATGATATTGGTTCTCGCGGTGCGTTGCTTGCTGTGTTTGTTTGTGGCACCTGCATATCTAGTATGTTTGTCTCAATGCTGTGGAACGACCCAGCCATGACCGATTCCTAAACTCGGACAGGCGAGCCGGAAACGTAGAACCAAACAATTAGTAACGTGGGTAGAGGTTCCTTGTCATTGCTGCTTTCCATCTAAAAGGAAGCCGATTGTATTTACGGCGAAGTGACGACTTGCTAGTGCCTTTCGCGAATCAGTACAGTTGTTCGTTCTTTCCCCAAGCCCAAGATGAACATTCGAGTGGGCTGAGCCCGCACTCTTTTACGCTTTCCAGCAACCGTATAACGGTGGCTCTGATGGGCGAGGCAACCCACTGGACCAGGACGTAGACCAGAGTTCCTCTGCGCGACCTATACCGACCTTGTTCTCTTCGTTACCCTTTGCCCATCATCCAAGTTTAGGTATAATAATAATTACCAACCCACAGCATTGTCATAACGGGCTCGACATCGCAGCACCGACAACACACCACCGGTGCCCGCGCTCGCTCTCCGGCGGGAGGTACCTATCCAAAACACCACCAACCCACCGTGACCTCACCGACCGACCAATACCCCCCCACGATCGATCAAGCAACCAACAAAACACACGCCCACACACCCACACAACAAAACAGCAAACCAACAAACCCAACCAGACCAGACCAGACGCCCCCGGAGCAGAAACGACCACCACATATCCATCCACCCACAACCCACCAACCCAACCCACAAAAATGCACTGGCTCCTCCGCATAATCCGCTCCCCCTTCCTGCTCAAGCTCCCCTGCATCCTAGCCCTGACCCTCCTCCTCCAATGCATCACCACCGGCACCGTGCCCAGCACGCACCTACTCGCCACCCTCACGCGCTGCGCCGCCGCCGTCCTGGCCGTGCAGACGGCCGTCGCGGTCCCCTCGGTCCTGCTGCGCTGCGAGCTGCTGTATGACTTGGCGGGGGCGGGGTGCTTTTTGTTGGTGGTGGGGTTGAGTCTGGGGGGGAGGGCTGCTGGGGGAGGGGGGGAGGGTGGTGGTGGTGGTGGTGGTTACGGTGGTGGTGATGGTGGTGGTGATGGTGGTGATGGTGGTGATGGTGGTGATGGTGGTGGTGGTGGTGAGTGGGGGGTGGGGAGGGTGCTTGTGGAGGGGATTGGGAGGGCGGTCGTGAGGATGGATTGGGGGGTGTGGGAGGAGATGGGGGTGGATTGGAGGCAGGGGCTGGTTAGTGCGGTGGTGTGCGTTTGGGCGGTGAGATGTGAGTTTCTTCTTTCTCTTTTTCTTTTCGTTTGTGTCTTGCTTTTTGGTGTGGCTTTTGAGACCGCGTTCTCCCTGCGGATGGAGAAGAATTTTGGACTGACCATGTTGGCGACTTTCAAGTGGGCATATTCACCTTCGTTCGGTCGCTTTGCCGAGGGGGTGACTCGCGTTTCGAACCCTTCCGCGCCAATCCTTCGCTGTTCTTTGGACTCTTCATGCTGCAGGGAGTGTGGGTCATGTTTTGTACCCTCCCTGTCATTGCGCTGAACTCGATCCCAAGCGAGGGCTTTACCGGCACTGGTTGGCGCAAGCCGGACCAACCCTCGATCATCCCGGGGATGTACCGCCGGTTCTGGTTCTGGCTCGGCATGTGGTCCTTTTTCAGGGGCTTTATGATTGAGTGCGTGGCAGACTGGCAGTTGTCGAAGTGGCGCTTGGACAGGTACCTGAAGAAGCACGACGAGGTGTTTTGCGGGAGGGGCCTTTGGGACAGGAGGTGAGTGCTGCCCTCTTGTGACGGTGTTCCTTACGAGTTGATGCTGACAAATGCGGCAGTCGACATCCCAACTACTACGGCGAATGCCTCGTATGGCTTGGGATCTCCATGTGTTGCTATTCTATCATCATATCGACGGCCGGCCGGAGAGCGCTCGGGCTGGGGTGGTTTACCGTTGTGGTGTTGTGCTGCATCACGCCGTATTTTGTTTACAAGTTGCTGAAGAACATCAGCATCCCAGCGATTGAAGACAAACACGACAAGATGTACATGGGGCGGCAGGATTATCGGGACTGGAGGAGGACGTGGACTTTCAGGCTCTGGCTTGACGGGGCTGGTGTCCTCTGGGGATACGCCTGAGGGAGGAAGCTCAGTGGAGCATCATACATAATATGGCATACGCCACTAGTGTCTCCCGAAGCGAGAACATAATAGGCCAGCAGCGAGAGGAGAGCCGAAAATACATGCCTAGTTCTCCTGTTTGGGGGGTTATATCCCTTTGTGAGTTCGAGTGGGTTGGGCGTGTGTGGACTTTTACAGTTCAAGCTGGCGTCGGCAACTGGGTACCAATTTATGGTAACCTACTGATATCGGACTGGTAACCGGACCGAGAACACGGGGTCCAGATTTAGCCACACTAGCCACCCTGTATCAACAGAGGAAGTCAGTCCTGGGGCGCTCAATTCCCCTGACCTTGTGTGCCGAAGCAACGAGCCCATCGCCCCCCCGCGGACTCGGACCAACGAAGTCTGTTTTTCTTCCCTTCCGCCTTCTGCCCTTTCCCGTGTCATATAATTTGTGGTTGTTCCCACCACATCTTCTTCCGTTCAATGACTACGGGGCACGGGTCGGCTCGCCGGCGGAACCGACTGGAGAGGAACGTGACGACGTACTCCTCCATCGAAACCACCAATTCACAGAGGCATTAAGAGCCCCTTCTTCATCAGCCGTGCTCTTAACGCTATGCCAATACCCCTTCGGGATGACCAGTACGTCGCTAGGGCCTACTACCGCCTCGAGCAGCGACTTGGATGCGTGCGGGCCCCAGACCGCATTCCGCCAGGCCTGGCGCTCGACACGCCCCATCATCTCGGGCACCCTGATGTTAGGGCTGGCGCCTTGTTTCCCCAGGGCCGCCATCACGCTCTTGAACAGCCCTAGCCCTGGCTCCGGTGGCAGGAGCCTAACTGTTTTGGAGCCCCGCAGCTGGCAGAACAGGTTGTCGTTCGGGTCGCGGTGCCAGGGCGTGAAGGTCGGCTCTAGACCAAGCCAGAGGCTGCTGCTGTAGATGTCGGCCGTAAAGGGGGCCTCCCCGGTGGCCGGGCCCGTGAGGACCTCGGGCGTGGGGACGTCGAGTTGGAGGTCTTCGGGCAGATCCGACAGGGCGGCCTGAGCGATGTAGAGGCGGGATACGGGGGTTTCCGGCGCCTCCTGTGAGTTATATTGCACGGCGGCGTCAAGGAGAGCCAGCGGCGCATCGAAGCGGGCAAAACCAGACGCGGATGTATCGTCTAGCTCTACAATGCCGTAACGCAAGAGCAGATCCCGGGCAGTGGGGTTGTCAAGACTGTGCGTGCGTTCCAGCCAGGCTTTGAACGCCGCCATGTTCATGTTGCTGTCATCGACAACGCCTCGACTGTCTCCGCCGCTGAGGATCAATTCATAGGGGACAGTGTAGGGAGAGTATTGCTTGAAATATTGGGATAATACGTCTCGCCTCTGTTGGAATTGATGACCATCAAACCATTTTCGTATCGCCGGAAGGCAAATTGGAGGTTTGGTTGAGTCACTGGATCCTACAGGAGCATCCCCCACAATCTGTTGACGAAAGAGAACGGGCCTGATCCGTTTTTCGGTGGGCGCGGCAATGCGCCGGAACTGGTCGATCGTTACGCGGTTCTCGATTTCCTCAACCGTGTCATAGGTTGGCGGATCTGTTATTGCGAACTTTGTGATGTGCCGTTTGGCAAGCAGCAGCCGAATGGGTGGTGGTGCATATGAACAGGGTTTGAGTTGCAGCATTTGGAGAGCGTCACCAAAAGCGGCGTGACTGATGCTTCATTGGCGGGGACTTCGAGCTTGGTGGGAGGGACGGAATGGCAACCTGACGTTGGCGTACCGGAGCAACCGAGACCGCAGAAACGCGACGGCACGTGAGTCTCACGTCGCAATTGGGTGGCTCAATCGCTCATGCACCCATCCAGCTGCTTTGCCTCGAGATGGGCTTGCCGACCAACTTTTGAGAGGTGGGGCATGGTTGGTGAGGGAGGTGCACAGACCCGTGCCAGCCCACCGGCCAGCAGAAATGAGGCAGGGGCCTGAACCAAGTGGGCAGCCAAACCACTGTCACGGAGCACCAACCACATCAAAATATCATCGAAATATCAACCTTTCTGAAATTGACCTGCACCAGCCCACTGGTGCCACATCCACCCTTATAATTGCCCGCTTGATCATGCGAGCATCATAGGACGATCGAGCTGCCAACGCGACGGCCCAGCAAGCGGAATTGCGCACCAAAACCCGAATCGAGCCCCTCTCTCCCCCAACCACTCTCCTCCACTCCCCGGCCCCTGCGCGACAGGTTCCGAATAGTCCGCGCCAACTGTGCCCGCCGCCGGCCGGTACTCGAAGAACCGGATACGCCCCCGAGCGACCCTATTGTATGGTCGCCCGACAAGGGAACCCCCAACATGTCGACGTCTTCCGGAACCCCAGAATCCTGGATTTCCTCCTTTTGCTCCCTGCTCGGTCACGAGTATTTCGCCGAGGTTTCAGAGGAGTTTATCGAGGATGACTTCAATCTTACCGGCCTGCAAAATCAGGTCGCCATGTACAAGGAAGCGCTTGAGGTACTGCCGACCCCAGTTTCGTCTGATGTCGCCTGCCCCCCCGTAGTTGATGTGTTGATTAACCCTGTATCTTTGCCCAGATGATCCTTGATGTCGAGCCAGAAGAGGACGAAGACGATGAAGAGGAGGAGGAGGAGGACGAGGAGGATATTTCGGGAGACCTGCGGGACGGCCCGGGGCGGGAGAGGAGACACCACAGCCGTGTGGCCAGCGACCTATCGGTGATCGAGTCCTCCGCCGAGATGCTCTACGGGCTGATCCACCAGCGCTTCATCTGCTCGAGAGCCGGTATCCAACAAATGTCGGAGAAGTACGAGCTGGGCCATTTTGGTGTCTGCCCACGCACAAACTGCAACCAGACTAGGACGCTCCCCGTCGGCCTCTCGGACATACCCGGCGAAGACACCGTCAAGCTGTTCTGCCCCTCGTGTCTCGACGTCTACGTTCCACCCAACAGCCGATTCCAGACGGTCGACGGTGCCTTTTTCGGCCGCACCTTCGGCGCGCTCTTCCTCCTCACCTTTCCCGAGTACGACCTCTCGCGTTCCGGCGCCGAGACGGCCGCCAACCTGGGCCGGTCGGCCGACGAGCACGGCATGGTCAATGGCATGTACGCGCGCAACATCGCGCCCGGACTTGGCCGCGGCAAGATCTACGAGCCCAAGATCTATGGGTTTAGGGTATCCGAGGTGGCGCGGTCCGGCCCGCGCATGCAGTGGCTGCGCGAGAAGCCGGATGACGTGACCCTTCTCGACGAAGCCCGCAACTTCGCCGAGGAGCACGGGGCGGAGTCGGACGACGATGACGAGAGCATGATGAACAGCGGGAGGCCCACGGCGAGGAGGCGACCGGCGGGCAACCCGGCGCTGAGGCAACGGCAGGGGCAGAACGGGAGTCCGATGCGGGTCGACGCCAACGGCGCCGAGTCAGAGCTCTAGGAGGCCTACTGGAGAGCCACACTACGACCAGTAGCGCTGTGACGTAGCCTCCTTGTTCTTCATACGGACTCAAGCCGGGGGGGGTTATCTTCCCCCGCCTCTCGTTCATGCCAGCTTAGCATTGTCGGCGTTCGTACTCTTTACCCCTGGGCTTCTCTGGGACGGGACACGGTATGGTGTTGCAAGCGGGCCGGGTCGGATTGTGCATAGGAGCTATGATGGAATGATGGGATGGACAGGCGGTCAGAGGTGTCTCATTTGTGTCTTCGTAGTGCAAGGAGGGATTGGGTGGGAGCGGCCGGGGAGGGACAAGTCGATAGACTGCGGAATGGGATCATGATTCAAGTTCCCAAAGTGTTTACTCGTGCAAGGGGGAGGTGGTATACGTTCAGATCGTACATGTAGATATGTACAGGCCGACGTCGGACGAAACCACGTGAGTGGTCGCGTCGAGAGTTCTGCCCCATTGAAACACTGCATGGTGAGCTGCAGACGGCACATGAAGCAGGGGTCCTCAGAAGCCCTGCGGTCATCATGCCAAATCTGGACGGAAGGAGCATACGAAGTACGCTCAGAGCTGCTGGAATCAAATCAATCATCCCGCATTTTTTGCATCTGTCGCTTACTCTCCTGTCTCCAGGTAGGTCAAATCATGCGCTGGAATTCATTTTTAATCGTTCTCTCTTTTCGGCCTTGGTTTGCTCGTTGGTTCCTTTTTTGTTATTGTTTTGTTCTGGTTTTTGCTTTTCTCCCACTTCCCGACCCAGGCCCCATAACATTTTTTCCTTCTTCCATACGTCCCTTTGTACATACAATACGACCAAAGCAGTTCCACTTGTGTCATGTAAGGCTGGTAAGGGCGCTATCCTGACTCCGGACACAAACAACGGCAGGGTTTTTTTCCACCCCCACAGAGTGGGCGATTCGCGTGGTCTGGAACGGCTTTTGAAGATGCGGGAAAACTGAGGAAAAAATGAGAGTGGGGATGCATGTGGTTGTTGGTTGGTCGCCAGGTTGCGAACCCTGGCTGCTCGGGTTTTCCGAAGGGATCCGCCGGTCAAATTGCTCCTTCCGTTCTCAGCGGTTCTCCATCGAGGCCACCAATTGTCAAACATCGAGGATTTTCGACTTGCGGTCAAGGCGGCTTTTCCGCAAGGCTGCGCCACGAGATATTGTGGCTAAACACGTGGCTCGAGACGAATCAAAGTCTCCTATTGGTTGGAGTTGTTTCCCTCGCCGTTCAAGGCTGGACGTGGACGTCGTTTTACGCTTCCCCTGGCTCCCCACTTTCCATTTCCGCTCGTGTGTGGGGTTCTACCCCACCTTTGCAATCTCCATCTTAAGCCCGCTCGTTCACAACAATGGAGTGCTGGCGGCTCGAAGCGATCATTTCTTCGAGTCGAGTCCATCCAACGGCGGCTCTACCCGGGATGTCTCGGGCGTTTTGCTGCAAGGCATGCCGCATTCCAATCACATCAATTATGTACGTCAAACAAATGACATCGCTGCACTGGGTCTCAAACGGAACATTTTTCTGAAATGTGGATGCCGTCTCAACACTTCAGACATCGCCGCCCTTGCCGCATCCATATGCAGGCTCGTTCCGCGCCGGGTTCCGTCACATCGGCTGGGATGTGAAAGCCGTCGACACCGGTCCAATGAGAGAACCCCCCACATGCCGGATGAGTCGTCGAAGCTGAGCTTCCCGCCTTCCAAAGTTCGGCGATTCCCCGGCCCACACGTCCTCGCTCTCAGTGGCTTCCTCAACACGCCCTTGCGGTCTTCTTTTTGGGGGCGGGGGGTGGCCAAACCAACGAGATCTTGCCGGCAGGACCAGCCAGGACTGATCGCCAATGGATGACACCGACAGACCCGAACCCGATCCGCGGGCACCGAACGCGTAGGACTTGTTGTACCCCAATTCTGGAAGAGAGCCCTTTTAAGCCCATCTCAGCATCGTGCGCCGTTTCGGTGGGGCCCACCAAGAACTCGAACACGCAGAGAACCTTGTTAGTGCCGTCGGATCACGAGCCGCAACTCGGAGCAAGCAAGGTTGATTATGTCGGATTGGTAATGTTTGGGATCTGCCAAGCCCTGTGTTTCTCTCCGTCTTTTTCAAGACCCATCCTCATCCCCGGCTTGTACAAAAGGTTCGGGTTCCTGCCTTTTGCTCCTTTCTCTCCATCCAAGAGCCCCGCAACCAACCGACGACGGTCGGAGTTTGGAGGAGAGGCTCCCTCTTCGTCCACCCTCCACGCAGCGCGCCCTTTCCTTCTGTACCTTGTTGATCCCATCTAACAGACAAAAACTCTTTTTGTCTCCCCCGTCTCCGCGTATACTTTCACCTTCTTTATCCGTGTAATACTTTTTTATATTGTGACGGGAGTAGCCATCTTCCACGTCTTACTTATATTGTATTGCCTACCGCTTAAGGCCGCTCGGGAGAAAATACATCGAGCCCCCCCTTAACGACTGGGCCATGGAGACGACCTCGGAGAAAGCGGGCACTGAGCCTGCGGCCAGACCATTTAGCGCCATGTTTCAGTCGCGACCGTCCACCTCGTCCACGGCTCGACATCCCGAGGATCAAATCGAGGAGGCTCGGCGTAGTAACCCTAATGGAACGACCCGGGCGACGGGCATCTCCGTCAAACAGGCCGAGGCCGACTTTGCCGACCTGCAGCGCGAGCTGTCCCACATGTCTCGTGCGAGCCAGAAGCGCGGCAATGGAAGCAACAACAAGGAACAGTTGGAGGTTGGGTCCGAGGAGACATTCGAGCAGTTCGACTTGGAGGCTGTCCTGCGGGGTGACCTAGACGCCGAGAGGGCGGCCGGGATCAAACCGAAGCACGTCGGGGTCTACTGGGATGGTCTGACAGTCAGGGGCATGGGTGGTCAGACAAACTATGTCAAGACTTTCCCTGATGCATTCATCGACTTTTTCGACTTCATCACCCCCATCAGACGCATGCTCGGCTTGGGCCAGAAAGGGGTTGAGGCCACCCTCCTGAACGAGTTTAAGGGTGTGTGCAAGGCAGGCGAGATGGTCCTCGTCTTGGGAAAACCCGGGTCCGGCTGCACCACGTTTCTCAAGACCATCGCGAATCAGCGGCACGGCTACACGGGCGTAACGGGCGAGGTGCTCTACGGGCCCTTCACTGACGAGGAGTTTATCCAATACCGCGGAGAGGCTCTCTACAACGAGGAGGATGATGTCCACCACCCGACGCTCACCGTCGAGCAGACACTTGGCTTCGCTCTTGACGTCAAAATCCCGGGCAAGCTCCCTGCCGATATCAACAGACAACAGTTCAAGGAGAAGGTTGTCACGATGCTCTTGAAGATGTTCAATATCGAGCACACCCGCAAGACTATCGTCGGTAATCCGTTCGTGCGTGGCGTTTCCGGCGGCGAGAGGAAGCGAGTTTCCATTGCCGAGATGCTGATCAGCAACGCCTGCATCCTCTCTTGGGACAACAGCACCCGTGGTCTCGATGCCTCGACCGCCCTCGATTTCGCCAAGTCCCTCCGGGTCCAGACAGACCTGTACAAAACGAGCACCTTCGTCTCACTGTACCAGGCTTCCGAGAACATCTACAACCTGTTTGACAAGGTCATGGTCATCGACGAAGGCAGGCAGGTGTACTTCGGTCCAGCTTCTGAAGCCCGAGCTTATTTCGAAGGGCTCGGTTTCCTTCCCCGGCCCCGGCAAACCACCCCGGATTATGTCACTGGATGTACGGATGCCTATGAGCGCGAGTACCAGGAGGGCAGATCCGTGGAGAACGCCCCTCACAGCCCAGAGACACTGGAGACAGCCTTCAAGGAATCCAAGTTCTCCAAAAGCCTGGGCGAAGAGATGTCACAATACAAGAAAAGCCTTACCGAAGAAGCCGACAGGTACGAAGACTTCCGCGTTGCCGTTCGCGAGCAGAAGCGCCGTGGCGCCTCGAAAAGGTCTGCCTACTCAGTCGCATTTCACCATCAAGTTTGGGCACTGATGAAACGCCAATTCTTGCTCAAGAAGCAGGATGTCCTTGCCCTCGTCCTCTCGTGGCTGAGAAACATCATCATCGCCATCGTCCTCGGTACGCTATACCTCAATCTCGGTCACACGTCTGCCAGTGCATTTTCCAAGGGAGGTCTTCTCTTTATCTCTCTGCTGCACAACGTCTTTAGTTCGTTCTCTGAGCTGGCGGGCACGATGACGGGTCGTGCCGTCGTCAACAAGCATCGAGCATACGCGTTCCATCGGCCATCAGCGCTCTGGATTGCCCAGATCTTCGTCGACCAGATCTTCGCTGCCACTCAGGTCATGGTGTTTTCCATCATCGTGTATTTTATGACCAACCTAGCCCGGGATGCTGGTGCCTTCTTCGCCTTCTACCTGTTCCTTCTTTCGGCCAACATGTCCATGACGCTCTTCTTCCGCATTCTGGGATGCATCAGCCCAGACTTCGATTATGCAGCAAAGTTTGCGACGGTCGGCATCACGTTGATGATCACGACGGCCGGTTATCTTATCCGTAAGTCTTTCAATGTCTGTCCTCTAGAAGGAGTTGGGTTGTTGACAATTCGCTAGAGTACCAATCCGAGAAGGTGTGGCTGCGATGGCTGTACTACATCAACGTTGTCGGTCTTTCCTTCACCGCTTTGATGGAGAACGAGTTCTCCAGATCCACCATGACATGCACTGCCGAGTCGCTTATCCCTGCGGGCCCCGAGTACACCGACATCAACTATCAGGTGTGCACCCTCGCCGGCGCCAACACCGGCACCCTCGAAATCTCTGGCAGCGACTATATCGAGCAAGGCTTCTCCTACAGTCCCGGTCTCATGTGGCGCGAGTGGGGTATTGTCGCAGCCATTATCGTGTTCTTCCTAGGTTTGAACGTCGTTGCTGGCGAGTTCGTTCGGCATGGCATGGGCGGTAACCAGGCCAAAGTCTTTCAGAAGCCGAATGCGGAACGGAAGAAGCTCAACGAGGAATTGCTTCGCAAGAGGGAGGAGAAGCGCAAGGCTCGAGGGAATGAATCGGACTCATCGGACCTGAACATCAAGTCAGAGAGCATCCTAACTTGGGAGGATCTCTGCTATGAGGTCCCTGTTCCCGGCGGCACTCGGCAGCTCCTCGACCACGTTTTTGGTTACGTCAAGCCCGGTCAGCTCACTGCCCTAATGGGCGCTTCCGGCGCGGGCAAGACCACGCTGCTTGACGTGCTCGCTGCCCGAAAGAACATTGGTGTCATTAGTGGCGACATCCTCGTGGACGGCGCCAAGCCGGGCAAGGAATTCCAACGCGGGACCTCGTACGCGGAGCAGCTCGACATCCATGATCCCACTCAAACCATCCGCGAGGCTCTCCGATTTTCTGCCGACCTACGCCAGCCGATCGAGACGTCTCGGGAGGAAAAGTACCGTTACGTCGAGGAGATTATTGCTCTTCTCGAGATGGAGACCTTTGCCGATGCTGTTATTGGCTCACCTGAGGCTGGTTTGACGGTTGAGCAGCGGAAACGAGTCACGATTGGTGTAGAATTGGCGGCCAAGCCGGAACTTCTCCTCTTCCTCGATGAGCCGACGTCGGGTCTCGACAGCCAGAGTGCCTTCAACATTGTCCGCTTCCTGAAGAAGCTCGCTGCTGCGGGCCAGGCCATTTTGTGCACAATCCACCAGCCGAACGCTGCTCTTTTCGAGAACTTTGACCGCCTGTTACTGCTGAAGTCCGGTGGACGCTGCGTCTACTTTGGCGATATCGGCAAGGATGCCTACATTCTCAGAGACTACCTGAAGAGCCATGGCGCCGAGCCCAAGGAGACGGACAATGTTGCCGAGTTCATGCTCGAAGCTATCGGTGCTGGTAGCTCCCCCCGTATCGGCAATCGCGATTGGGCCGACATCTGGGCGGACAGCCCCGAGCTCGCCAACATTAAGGACGAGATTTCACAAATGAAGGAGCAACGCAAAGCAGCCGGTGCCCAGCGGAACCCTGACCTCGACAAGGAATACGCTTCACCGTTCTGGCACCAGGTCCGGGTTGTGGTACGCAGGGCCAACCTAGCGCATTGGCGGACACCTAACTACCTCTTCACGCGACTGTTCAACCACTTTATCATCGCGCTACTCACCGGTCTGACCTACCTCAATCTCGACAACTCGAGGCAGTCGCTCCAGTACAAGGTGTTTGTCATGTTCCAGGTCACGGTCCTGCCGGCCCTCATCATCTCGCAGATCGAGGTTATGTACCACGTCAAGCGCGCCCTGTTCTTCCGCGAGCAGTCGTCCAAGATGTATAGCTCCTTCGTTTTCTCGACTTCTCTTCTCGTCGCCGAGATGCCGTACAGTGTCCTATGCGCCATTGCCTTCTTCCTGCCCCTCTATTACATGCCGGGTCTCCAGACCGAGGCTTCCCGCGCTGGGTACCAGTTCTTCCTCATCCTCATCACCGAGGTCTTCTCGGTCACGCTGGGCCAGGCGCTCTCGGCCCTGACGCCCTCGCTCTTCATCTCGTCCCAGTTCGACCCCTTCATCTTCGTCACCTTCGCCCTCTTCTGCGGCGTCACCATCCCGGCGCCCCAGATGCCCGCCGGCTACCGCACCTGGCTGTACGAGCTCAACCCCTTCACGCGCCTCATCGGCGGCATGGTAGTCACCGCGCTGCACGAGGTGCCGGTGGAGTGCTCCTCGGTGGAGCTCAACCGCTTCACGGCGCCGAGCAACACCACCTGCGGCGAGTACATGCAGCCGTTCTTTGAGCGCGGCGGGCCGGGCTACCTGGTCGACAACGCCACGCGGGCCTGCGAGTACTGCGCGTTCAAGGTCGGCGACGAGTTCTACGCCCCGCTGGGGCTGAGCTTCGACAACCGGTGGAGGGACCTGGGCATTTTCGTCGTGTATATCGCGAGTAATTTGGTCATTCTGTTTGTTGCCGTAAGTTGTTTTTTATGTTGTTCTTGGGGGAGTTTATCATCGTTGCTAACATCCTCTTTAGAGCCGATTCCTCAATTACAACAAGCGGTAATGTACTAGTAGGTTATTCGAGGCGGCAGTGAAGGTCTTGTTTGAACATGATAGATTTCCGTCTGGATTTCAGTGGGCGGCCACTGTTACTTCAATGGTTGGGTTACCATCGTTTGGGATCCTTTAGGGGTTCCAGTTTGGTTTATTGCTTGTTAATTTCGTCGCTCAGAGGCGTCAAAAGTCTTGCGCGACACTTACTGCCGCAGCATACACCACATAGCATAATATATCACATTACACAGACACGAGAAAAGACCGAAGGTTTTAGGCCCGGGCCCAGGCAAGTGATCTTGGTTATGTAAACTAAAAAGACAGGCACATGGTGTAGTGAAGATACTACAACCATGAATAGAAGGTGAAAATTTGAACAAGAAGAAAAGCTAGCACGATGACCCCTTCGCTGGCTCCTGAAGTTCTCAGTTTGCCATGTCCTTCCTAGTCTGGGGGTGTGCTATGGTTGCCAGAGCTCGTGTGCCTGGTCACCGACATGTTAACCCACCCGCACCACATCTCTCAGAGCAAAGTAACTCACAAATCACTTGCACCTCTTAGTTGACCCAGGTGCACCCGCTCCCCTCCGATCCGCAGTTCAGCTGTACCAAAACAAAACCCGTTAGCTGCAGCCCAGAATCCCCACCAACCACCACTCAGACACACCAAAAAAGAAAGAAAAAAAAGAAAAGAAAGAACGCACGATAGACTGCGGCCCATCCCAGCCGCACTTCCAGTTGCCGCACGGCGCCACCTGGCCGTCGCACCAGCAGTTGTCGTCGCCGACATAGGTCGCGCCCTGGCAGTTGGGCAGGTTGGCGACGCAGCGGCCCTCGAGCGCCGCGCCGGCGTTGTTGCGTGCGGTCACCTTGTTAGCGGCGGCGGCGGGCTCGGGGAGAGCCCAGGCGCTGGTCGCGGCGTGGAGGGCGAGGATGAGGGTGGTGGTGAGTTGCATGTTGATTTTGAGAGGGTTTGTCTTGGGGGGGTGGTTGGTATGAGTTGGGAAAGGTGAGGATGTTGGTGAGTGGTGCTGGATGGAAAGGTTGGTTGGCAGTAGAGGGATCGAGGGGTTTATATACTTGTCAACTCCCCTCCAAGTCCCTATGCTCTCTCTCTTAGCATTGTTCGAAGTCTGCCTCGCAACTTGATTCTCTGAGCCATTAGCCAACTTCGTCTGTCGTCTCTTGCAGACACTCTGTGAAACCTATGTTAATCATCTCCACATTCAGTTGTGGCAAGCATCCCAAACAATCCGAAGCTCGCACTTGAATCCGGAACTCTCAATGGAGTCCGAAGCTCGTACTTGCCTGTCAATCTCTCTCTGTCAACGTACTTCTCTCTGATCATTCCTTGAATAGGTAGCAACTTATCCCATTGCTCCGATCATTCGAAACTGTGTAATACCACAACTTTGGACTCTTCCCTAGACGGGGAGCCGAGGGTTATTCCAACGTATCCCTAACTGCAGCTAAAAAGGTAACGGCAATCCTGATGTGCTAATAGTTATATATGCTAGTTGTTATATTTGAAAACGGTGCATTATCTGGGGCATCTGCCACTTCAGGTTGTGACGGGACTGAGTACCTCGGTACCTAGATCTGCGAACTTTCGGTTACACGAAGGCTTCAGGCCATGGAAGCCTTCTTGGCCCTAATTAAACAAAAGGTTCACATTAGCTAAAAGACTGGATTTACACTTGTGATTGGTTTACTTGGCCAACGATCTGACCAACTGAGTCCTATGCCACGCTTCACTGCATGACTCCGCCATGGGTCTGTTGTTAATAAGTCCTGGAGGCATACGCACAGAGCGTACAGGATTGGACCTACGTTACACAAGGTCTAAAGGCCGCTCGGCTTCTCGGCAATCCATGACACCCGAGGCTCGCAAATGCAGGACCGTCTACGGTGCCAAACTTGCAAATCATGATGTGGTTCGCTGGCATTGCCACCTGTGTTTTGCGAGTTGCAATGCCGGAGGCTCGAGAGTCACCGATACTTTGTCAAAAAGGTCCCACGTAAGATATCTGATAGAGATCTACGGTACCTAATGCATCTCTTTTCAGCTCCCCTTTCGAAAGACTCATGTACCGTGTACATCCCTCTTCTTTGATAGATCTGAACGGCTATCATCAGAGAAGATCAGGCAGACAAAGTCTTGGTTCCGAGGGCAGATTGCTTCTTGATCCGAGGATGACCTCATGTTGTGGCAGTGTTGTTGCCGATGTGTCAAGATTTCTCCCCAGGCGGTGAAGGGCGGTGTCAATCGGGGCGAACGTCTTTGCCAGATGAAGAGCTGTATTTCCTGTACGGAGGCTCATCCCCCCTGACCTGGGAAATCCGATATATGTAAGGAATTTAGGGATTGGGAGGATTTGGTTGTGTAAAAATAGTAACTAGAAAAGAAGGAAGTCCAAATAGTTTAGAGGAACATAAAATTTAATGAATTGTTATCCTACCTACGTTACTTGTTCTCTGTCACTTCAGCATTCCCCTCTTCAAAAGGTATGCCCCGGGCCCTGACAATTCTCTTGCGTCGTTTCTTAGCCCACTTCCCTAGCCACGACTTGGTCGGGGGAGTATGAAGGTGGAGGGGCAGAAGCAACGTCGGCTTTTCTTCATCAGTTATCGGGAGTGTCCCCAGTTTCGGCCGGTCAATGAGCTCGGCAAAGTTTGCCCGGTCCTGCGAGCTTTCAACCACGTCAGGAGCTAGATATGCCAACACATCGGTTTCCGCAGACGGCCCAAGGTGGGAACCATCAATTCGGAGACGCGGCACCCTTAGGCGTTTGGCGTCACCAAAGTTACCCCTTATCCGCAACTCGACCCGGAGGCCGAGGGCCACTGCGGCATAAAACGCTGCCCAGTTAGCGGCCGATCCATGGCAGACCAGCAGACGCGTTCCATCACCCTTAGCGACGTCTCTCATCTGTAACAAAAGGCGGGATGCGAAGGCAACACTAAAGCTGGAGCCTTCAGCACGGGTGGACTTTAATGCGGCGGGTATATTGAGTAGGGAGTCTGAGTTGAGCAGTCGGAGATCCTCCATGTCCTTGTCCTTGAACCCGTGAATGACGCAGTTGACAAAGAGTTCGAGTTGGGGGATGCTGGGGATCGAGGTTGGCGCAAGACCCGTCAGCCTAAGTAGAGAAGACAGGACCTGGGCGAGCCAGAGGGGTTCGGCCGTCATCTGCCAGCTGATGGAGCCTTGGGGCTTTCTTTGGCGGACTTTCTGCCTTTGGGTAGCCAACAGAACTAGGATCATGCCGAGCACATTCTCCCCTGCCTCGGTAGCCGTGTATTGGCGGAAGAGCAGGCCGCTGGTGGCCCGTCGATGGTCCGGCAACCAATCCTGCAGCGCTGCCCGAAAGTCTGGCGAGAGTGGACACACGGTTCCTAGAATGAGAATCGCTTCCGTTGTTGCAACGTGAAGGCCGAAGACTTTCTCCAGGGTCAGCCGGGAGTATAGGTGGAGCGAGAGACCCGAAGAAAGCGACATCTGCGCCTGGGAGAGGTATTCGCTGGGTAGCCGAAACCGCTCCTGTGACCGCCCGCTGAGGCCCTCAGAGTACCATTTCTGCCGCATCAGAAGATACTCCATCTCGAGATGCCTTCTTGCCCATTCCGCGGGCATATGTTTGGCGAAGCCGCCGCTCCAGCGTTGCCTATGGCGGTGGAGGGAGTGGATGAGCCAGTCGTCAGCCGTCGGGAGTGAAACAGGGACCGACATGGTCCGCGATATGCTGTCGAGGATATCTTGAATCGGCAAAATATAGGCGATTGGGCCCGAAAGGATCTCTTCATCGGGATCCCCGTCACCGGCGGCGATCACCATCCCCAGCACTTTCGGTGGCCGCTCGGCTGTGACAACCCAGGACCCCGAATCCCCATCCACTGTGCCATGGTTTGGTTAATAATAGTCGCAGCTTTGACTGCGGAAAAGAAGACGCTTACCCAGTGGCTCAAGCAGAGATGCCACCATAACCCCGAAGGTTTCCCCTTCGAAATCCAGGGTTGTGTGCTCAGCTAGGATGATTCCGTGCACAACCTCCTTAGAAGTCACTACGTGACAGACCAAGGGCTCTTCGTCGGGGTGATCTGCTAGATCGGCCGGCGACGAATGGACGAGTAAATTCGAGAAAAGGGGACGCGGTGGCGCATCAGCCTCTTCGTCCCCTTCCACATTCCATCTGGTGGTTGTCCACAGGGCATCTTCCCACCCCATCTCTGTCCCATCAGTGTATGAAAGTTCTTTATCATGCAGTATGTTTGGGACAATATCCCCCCCCTCTAACCTGATGAGCGCCCAGTCGCTACCATAGCAGTTGCTGTCTTGTGCCAGCGATCCAACATGCCTCAAGCTGTCGCTCGTGACATTAGCGAAGCGGAAAGCCTCCATCTGGGCAACGGACACGGGCTCTAGCGTCTCCTCCTCATAATCCACTCCGGGCTTAGACGACACCTTCTGCTCTGAAGCGGAAGAGATTCTTCCTTTCGAGTCCGAATCCGAATCCGTCATGTCGCCTTTCCTTCCGATCACCATGCCATGCGCGGTTGTGAGTCCAAACATTTGCCCATCCACCAGGATCAACCCGCCGATCGTCATGACCGCCCCCTTTCTCCCGGGCATCTTGTTCGAAACGGTCTTCGCTTCCTGTCGAGCTAGAATTCGCGTTCCCATACCGGTTGAGGGCGAGGCCATCGTCGGGGTCGGGGTGGTCCAAGCCTCATGCTCCCCGGAGTCGCCTCTGAACCATGAGTTGCGGTTCATAACTTTAGCTTCGAAGCCGTGTCTTTTTAGGATGGCGCGAGCATCTGGGCCAGCCAGGGCTCTTCGGAGGTTCTTCTTGGCTTCCTCGTTGTTGCACACGATTATGTACATTCTTTGTTGGTCAACCATGAGGATCAACGGTACGATGTTGTTTTGCACCACCTGCGTGCGTCGCCTAGTGCGCGGGAGAATGCGATGGATGTCGTCTTGGAGTCGTTCTCCTGCGATTTTATCATTACGTGCGGGAGGAGTGGCACCAAGCCTCTCAATGGCCCAGGCTCTCACTTCGTCGTTGGTTGGGTTCGGACCCAGCCGGGTTTTGGAAAAGCGAAGGATCCAGACATGCCGCCAACTCTTCTCCGATGTGTGGCTAGAGCCAGAATCCGAGGACGGCGGAACTAGAAGGCCTGCCATGGCTGCCGTGGATAGCGCGGGTGGGCAAGTGTGCAAACATCAACAAGATACCTATTAAGACCTTGGGATCTCTGGTTATGTTGTGGGAGAGTGAAGTGATTAACTACCTCAGCTACCTACCAGGGGACGATCATGCGGGGAATAAGGCCCCAAGGGCGCTTAGGTATCGGGTCCCTGGTACCTATTGGACAATGTTTCACCACATCACGCTGGCACGCTGCACAGCAGTATGCACAATTCTGCAGCGTCCAAGGGGGCTGGGATTCAACCAATGGCGGTTACAGGGTGGCTGCGGCGCCCGCCGCGTGGCGTGGACGGGGAACTCGTTGTGATCTCCTACATCCTCACTTGAGCGTTTTCAAGTTCTAAAACAAACTGTGGCCAAAGTTCACAGCACAGAAAAGGCCCTATCCTCTTCAAGCCCTCCTCATAATGGCGGATCAAACAGAGGTCGAAGCGGGTATCCAGAAAGGCGAGAGAATCATCGCTAGGTTGTTTCTCCCTGCCGGGGATGATCTCGAACTACCACGGGAAGGCTTCAACCTGAGAACCTATGACAGATTTCTTGCGCTCTTCGACTTCGAAACCAACGCTCTCGGGGCTGGCTGCGACGAAGCGATTCTTGACGCTGTTTCGGTCATGAGGGCCAATATTGCTGTCACCAGAGGTGATTTACACACACAACTATCAGCGATCCATGAACACCTCGAAGATAAACTCGAGCACGCCATTCACTGTGCTGTGCGTATATGGCTCATGATCAACACCAGACCGGCGCGATTCGATGGGACGGCGATGGACCTGAGTCCCGTACAGAGCTGGGGTGAAAACCAGCGGCTATGCGATTTCGTCTACGGCGTCTTTTATCCCGGGAGGCCTGCCTCGTACCCTACCCCGAGTGACAATTACACCGAGCAGGAGTTGTCAGATATCGCTACCGAGAGTGCCCAGATCCAGACTCGGCTGACCCATCCCCTGACCGCGGTCAACCTCAGTCGGTATCCCAAGGTTCATATCCACTGGACCCGCTATCTTCCCGAACATCTACAGTTTGAGCACAATTTCAAGGACGTCAATGTCTTTGAGCACAAGCAGTGGCTTGCCGACGCTGTCGCGCTGTTGGAGTGGCATGCCGAACAAGAAGCACAGAAGGTGGCTCGGCGGCGATCAGCCGAAGAAGGACTGGGTCCAATACCACACCTTAACGATCAGGGAGGGATCCCGGCAGACAACGACTCGACGCTAGCGACTGATACTGCCGCGACCCCCTCTACCACGGATACTTATATCACCGCTACTACTGGTACTGACGCCGCTACTGTCCAAGCTTTGTGAGTTCCTCCCCGTGTCATCGTCACGCCACCGGATACGGACTCAGGAGGGGAGATGATAACCAACTTGAACCTAACTATACCCACCATAGACCCCCGTTCCCCATCCCTCTCGAGGTCCTCAAAGAGGCGCTGCTCACTCTGGACTATCTTTTCCCTCCCGACGAGAAACCAACTACCGAGTTCCTCAGGCGCCGCCACAACAGAAACTTTGATATCCTCGAAGTCACCTCCAGTAGTGGTCCGACGAAGCCCCGCCTTCGAGACTTTCGCTACTACCACGACCGCCTCGTGGAGATTGCGCAAGAGTACCTCAACCCTCCCCGAGACTGGAGCACAGTCTGGAGCGACAACCGGAACCCAGTGCAGTTCTGGACATTCTGGTTCGGTCTGCTCATCCTGATCATAACACTCATCTTTGGGGTGATGGCGACGGTGCTAGCTGGCCTTCAGTACGGTGCCGCTATCCATCCTCCAGAAAATGGAGGTGGTAGCGAGCCTAGGGGGCCGTGATGCCCACTTGTATCTCCCATTTCAATACGGTGCAATTTGGAAACTTGTAAGGGCACGGGCTTTACAGATGAGAGTATGTTCTCAGCAGACTGGAAAGCAGACTGGAATAACCAACTTGGCCCATCGGTATTGGCGGGAGTCGGGCAGCAACGAGACACGAAAACCAAAAAATGATTATAATTAGAAGCAGAGGGTCAGTTTCTGGATATCTCTCGTGACTTCGCCCTACTCCCCAATCTGAATCACCTAGATTGACGGCTCTATTCCCTGTATGGAGGCTCGTCTCCCCTTACCTGGGGAATCCGATACGTAAGAAATTTGGGAAGCGCCTTCATCGATACCTCGCCACAGCCGACTTTCCCGTCTTCCCAGAAGAATACGTCCAAGAGTGTGCCGAGAATAACAGCGTCCTGAACGAGGCCGATGTTCGCCTCCAACATCCCACGAGTCTTCTCCGACATGCCAGCAAACAGCTCCTCCCAAAAGGCTCGTTCGGCAACCTCGAACTCGTCCGGCACCCAGAACTCGCCTCCCGTATATTCGCCAGCTAGGGTATGGATGCGGCCAAGACCTACGGCAAAGGGTTTCGGCTTCGACAACTCCCAGTCGATCAAGCCAGTAACTTGGCACGACTCATCAATAAGAACATTGACGTCGTTCAGATCATAGTGCGAGACCCAAAGCGGCAGCTTGCTGATCTCGTCCAGCTTGTCAAGAAACCCTCGCAGCACATGCCGATATGCCACAACCTCGGCCAGCGGGCTGGCCAGTATGGCCTCGAGATGCGGCCGGACTGTTGTCGACACAGCCCCGCCGCTGTCGTTGCCAAGCCAGCCCTTGGAGAGCACGCGCCCGAGCGATTTGTTGACAGCAACGCGACCCTCAGCCCCCTTACCGGCGACGCCGTGCAGCCACATCTTCCCTGGCAGACGCTCGAGCGAGTAAGCCCATACGCCCTCAGCCTCCAGCTCGTCGTCGGGTAGAGCCACTGCGTCGGGGATAACCTGCCCCAGGGCGCCTTTAGCTACTTTGAAAACGTCGAGATCCAGCTTCTCAGTGCGGAACTGGATGACGACCTCCCGGTTGTTGGTTAGGGTGGCGAAGAAGGTCCGGCTGAATAGTCCCTGCATGGGTGGTCTGTTGATGTGTTTGGAGGGGCTGCCGAGGTGGGCTAATACTAGCTTCTTGATGCGCTTGGCTTGCTTGGTGGGAGTGTTGAGCAGTTTGGGGAGGTCATTGTCCGAGGTGATGGGGGGCTTGTTGTTGTTGTTGTTTGCGTTTATCGTCCGGGGGCGTGGCCGCGTAGCGGACACGCCAGATGCCTTTGAGTATGTAAGGACGTACTGAGCTAGGTCCTATATACAAACTGATACCTGCACCGCCTATACAGTATCTCAAGCGCTATACGCCTTTCGACAGCGTTGTACTGCCTGTATTGCTGTTGCTACTACCTCCCTTTATAGGGTATACAGTTATATCTAGTTCTAGAGCCGATCTTCTAGGCTTATCCGGGTAATATCCCGATCTCCTATAGCTGTATAGGCTGTTTAATGGTATTATGCCCTTATAGTTAAGCCGGTTTATATAACCAGTAAGTATAGTGGAGGCTATTAGTTATAAAAAAAGAAAAGAGATATATATAAGTTAAGAAAGAAAGTAAAAGACTATATACCCCCCTCTATCTGTCCCTAGGAGCCTACTACCCCCCCCCCTTCCTCTCCTATTAACCTCCCCCCCTCTTCCTATATTTTTAGGCTTTTTAGATAGTTAATTTACCGTAATCCAGTATACTGGGCCCCCGAATCACCTTATATCCCTCCTCCCATCTACTAGCTCTCTATCTCACCTCCCCTCACTAACCTAGCAACCCTCTACTTGCCCTACCCTGGCTATAATAAACTAAGTATATCGCTTTAGCGGCAGATCCGGCCCCCTAGAGCCGGGATTCCTAGAGGTAAGTATATCGGAGAAAATACTATCTAAGCTAAGCTGGACGTCCTAGCAGTCTTATCGCTGCCTAGTAGGATTAAGGAAGAAACCTGTTTCCTATATAAATACCCCGAAGGTTTAAGGATCTATAGCTAACTAGTATAGATATTTATACCTTTCTACTATATATTATAGTTTAGGAAAGGGGCCCCTATCTTTATCCTATAGCTAGGGCTACCTATAGTACTATACTAGCGTTATTCTATAGAAGACTAGGTATTTAGAGGTTTTATTATAGCTATAGTAAGGGTATTATATCCTATAGGTATTCTCAGAGTACTGGAATTTCCTATAATACTATATAAAGTTACTATAGCCTGTCCGAAGTGCTAAGAGTCTGTAGAGTGTAGGTTATAATAGTACTTCTAGTTCCTTAGGGTACTCGATCTTGTATTTAAGTTCCCAGTCCAGGTATCTCTAGGAGAGGCCGATATAGGCTACCTCCTACTGGTTATCCTTAAACACCCTTAGTCGTTTCCGGAGCCCTATCTTAATACCTACTAGTATCCGGATACTATCGGGGTCCTATAGAGTATAGAGGCCTACCTTTACTAGGCGATCCGCTATTTCGTTACCCTCTATCCCTATATAGCCGGGGCACTAAACAACCTCTATATAGCCCGGATAACTCTATATAGCTGTATAAAAGGCTAGAAAGTACCTCTATGATATGTTAGATATAGTACCCTAGAGGTACCAGATCGCTGCTATATTATTAAGGTAGACCTAAACCTTCTATATCGAGTCTACGATACAGATGGTACCCTCGAGCCCTCTCTAGGCTCCGAGCGCCTCTATATCGAAAACTATAGTATAGAGATTAAGCGAAGCTGTCCCTATACTAAGGATCTCGCCTATATCTATATTAGGATATAAGATTATAAAGCTATAGCCGAGTGCCCCGTCTTTCTATAAGCTGTCGGTAAAAACCACTATATCCTCGGAGGGGAGGGAGTTCTACTATTTGTTAAATAGGTAATGTCAGGGGTCTCTGACTGAAGAACTAGAAACTGAACTCTTTGGAGAATTACTAAAGAAGATACTAATACAGACACGGGCTACGGAACTAAGGCGATTCACAGGCGAACAAAGATTCAATTCCTAGCTAAACACTCTTATTCAGACCTAAGGTTAGGTCTAGGAAGCAACTGGAACTAATCCTTAGGGAGCTTCCCCAAGATCGGGCTCGGCCATACTTAAAAGGCTCCTTACTGAGCCTCATAACATCATCATCCATTCTGGGGCTCTGAGGCCCTATTCCGTAACAACTATCCTCCTCTCTGAGAAATCTATCCTCAGATTTAGCCTTATAAAGTAAAATTGATATAGCTCATAACTGTTTTCTACCGCTCCTTCCTGTAGAGTCGCTAGCTGTTCGGAGGTAATTACCTCCTTCTTCCAACTATATACTTTCCCACAAATATCCTCCCTTCTCTCTCAATTACAAAATTTTCTTCCTTTCTCAACCTTCAGTCTCTTACGTTGGTCGTAGTTTACCTCTCTTCTCACAACCGCATCGCCACATCATCTCTCTTTATTCATCGCATATTCGTCGTCTTACACACTCATCATAAACGTCCCTCATCCTCATCTACCGTACATACGCTGTATACACAGTGCTCTGAAGCTGGTAGATAAAAACGACAATTTACCGCTATCTATTCGGTACAAGTTCAACCAAGCTTCGTCGTTCAAGTACGCACAGTACATCAAGCGCAAGGACACCGGGTACATCACAGTTCATATTAACGCAAACGATTAAAGGCCGATTAACTAACAACTTATAGGCGGCTAGTACCATGATCGGCGATATTATAGACATACTGAAATACATTAAGGCTGGTCGTACAATATATACCGAGGAGGCCGAGGTGTCACGGATATGGTCACATGCAGCCGACCAGCGGGGCGCGCCGGCAGCGCCCCGGGCCAATCAAGACGGGACGCCTAGCTGCCAATAAGAAGGAGATCTGTAGTGGTCACCATGATCTCTGGGCAGACCACGGCAGTGGTAACAGATCAAGGGGCTCGGCCTCCTTGATCTGTCGGCAACCCACCACGGATCACGCAGATCCAGGTACAGAGGTACCTAGGAGTTAGATAGTATATAGTCACTCGTTCTGGAGAGCTCTGGGAGTTCTCCAGTTAGCAATCACAACTACAGTTCGCTACAAGCTCGAGAGCCTACTGTTGAGACAAGTCTTTGTTGTGCACCCTTTGGCTGCACCGAACCTAAGCACCCTTGAGAGAATACCTTCGACCGATACTGAACCCTAACAGGACGGGTCCAGAGACAGGTTCGTCACACGAGGAGTCGTCGGATAAGGATAGAAGCAGCTCCGATTCGGATAGGATTTACTATATTTTCTCTCTGGCTATATACATCAAGGTCGCTCATACGGTAAACCAGCTAGTCACCACCTTCGAATCCGTCGAAGCTACTCATCGTCGTTAGTATAGCATCTCAGGCGAGAAGAAGCCTACTCCTGTAAATCGTTCGTCTATGTTTCGCTTACAATATTATACTAATCTATCATTTAGAAGGTAAGCCGTAACTATAACCGTCTGCTTAAGTCCCGTACTAATCTTACCGTTACTTCGTTTCTACACCCAACTCCTTCGCACAAGGAAAGAGGTACCAAAGTACGCGGTTCGCACTATACAATCCAGAACAATTTACTGATATTTCTACAGGACTTTAACAACTATTTATACAATTAGAAATTCGCAATTGCGTATCGTCTTCGCCACAGTAACAATAGGTTTCTCGCTTAAAACGCAGCGAAGGTTCGGTACATTTCCGCCGTCCGTAAGGCTCTAACTAAGGAGTAGAATAACAAGTCTATAGAGGAGTATATAGAGGAGTATTAGAGAGCGGTAATAAATGGCCCCGTTGCTTATTAGGGAGTGTTTCGGCGGTATTATAAGGATAGTCGGTCTATTTCCTCCGTTTAAAGAAAACCCTTCGGGGTAATAAATAACTTTTGCGTTTATCTTATTATATGCTGTCTGTTTATATAAGATTTAGCAGTAATTTGCCTTTATATCGCTATCTTAGCGCCTCTTCTAGTTATATTATACCTCCTCTCTTCCTCTTCTTCTGCTCTCTTTCTTTGTAAAAACAACTGATCAGTCTTTATATATTCTCTATATCTTCTTCTAGGATCTATTGGTTAAACTCTAAAGGCCATCCTTTCCACTTCATATAGAAAAACATTTCACCATTAACTCGCTTCTCTTCTCTTACTTCTTCTACTTCCCATTCTTTATTATCTTCCAAATCAGGTATAGGCATCTACTCCTCATCTTCCTAACTACAGAAGTACCAAGGTTTAAATAAGGAAATAGGAAATATATTATATAGATGAGAATACTTCTCCGGTAAAGTAAGGCGATATACTAGAGAGCCAATATATTCTAATATACGAAAAGGACTAATAAACTTAGGAGTAAACTTATAAGATGTCTTTATCTTAAGATTATATATAGACAGAAGGACAAGCTATCCCTTATAAAGCTCTTATTTCTAATAGTTTATATTATAGTATCGCTTCTAATTCGCCACTACTTCTAACCAATATTGTTCGAGTTATCTTCAAAGTTCCTCAAGTTGATTAAGTCTTTCTTATACGTTTGGGTAACACTCCCTGTTCTAGGACGTTCCATCCTCGGTATATCGTGAAATCACCGGATTATACCCTATCAGTATTCGAAAGGGGGTAAGGTAAGTTATTGCGTTTTAAATGTTGTTACAAACAAATTCAGCTTTAGGAAGAATAGTAGCCCAAATGGTAGGGTTCTCAGACGTATAGCAGCGGAGATATTATACAAGTATCTGATTCATCCGTTCCGTTTACCCATCGGTTTAGAGGTAAAATACTGTAGAGAGTTTACAGTAAATCTTATTAAGATAACACAGATCACTCCAAAATTAGGAGGTAAACACAGAACCTCTATCACTAATACAGCTATCTAGTATGCTGTATTTAAGTTTAATTTCTCTGTAAAGAAGCTCGGCGAGTTCCTGGCTTTTAATCATTGTATTAACAGCGAAGAACCGGAATATCTTAGTATAGTAGTTAACTACAACCAGAATTACATCTCGCTTAAGTCCATCTAGTCCTATCACAGTCGGAAAACC